CATGCACACAACCATTAGCCTCTTTGAGGTTCTGCTGAGCTGAGTCTAAGTGCTCAAAGAGGTACTATCATTTTCTCGCATCTGCACATATACTTATATACCTTTTTCATCTCAAACTCGAATAGTATTCAGCAGACCTCTTCTACCCTTATTTCCACTAGTCATATTTCATACAAGTGAACTCTTAGTGATGGGACAAGAACTGTTTGATCCTATAAACTATACGCAAAGGTATCCAATACTCACAAGCCAGCCACAAACCATTTAGTTCAATAGGAAGAAATCTCATAAGCCTCCAAATACGTGGAGCGGAACTCTAAATTTAAAGAGATAGTCATACGCCAGCCACAAACCATTTAGTTCAATAGGAAGAAATCTCATAAGTCTCCAAATACGTGGAGCGGAACTCTAAATTTAATCTTACTTGCCCAATTTATAGCTCTGTTGAAGCATGTTTTCATTTGCTTTCTGTAATCCGTTGGCTCCATTCTTTGAATTTCAGCAATTTTCGCAAGCATTAAAGCAGGGGAGGATATTTATTACTTGAGATCGTAATATCCACTTTAACTATCATAACCTTATCATCGATTTCCGGGATAGTCGTGAAGATATGCACAATTATGTCTGAAATTTATCCCAAATTACATTTGGTCATGGTTTGATAAGCAATGAGTTGGTTCAAAGAGCCTTCCAAATACTTAGTTATTAAATCATTTCCTCCGCTGATAGTTTAGAACCTGCGGTTGGACGACTTCTTCAATGGCAAACCAAAAACAAAATTGCTTATATTGGTTACCAAGTCGAAAAGTGTTTCCCTTGCAACACAAACAACAATATTGTCATCAAGTTGTTTATTGTCATATAATTCATACATTAGTAATCGAGATAATTGAATGGCGAAGAAAATCTGAAGGTTATAATCTTTTATAGGACTATATCTGTTACAGACCCATCATCTCTATAAGATATTTCCATTGGACTTCAACGAAGACTTTATGAGGTGGAAAACTTAATTTCAAAGTTATTATCACTTGCACTTCTTTCATAAAAATGTTAACACTACCGTTTGATTTGGTACGCGTGTAATATTCTATAACCTTAAATCTCAGGGGGAAATATATCCCAATCCGCTCATTTTTAATATTGAAACGAAGCTACCGCGGTGTTTGTATATTTACGGTGACATCAGAACTTTCTACAACGGTGTCACATTACCTCCACATTTCATCTATACAAAATACCGTGATCGACGTCCATCTACAAGCCATGTGGCTTACAGTGATTGCATGATTAATGAAGATGAGTATGATAATTGTCAGTGGCCTGGCTATTTAAACACAAAACGTCACCCATTAGCTCTCTACAGCTTAGAACATACCCCTGTACATGCCAGACGTTGATGTGCTACTCCTAAAAGAACGAGACTATATATAAGAGACTACAGGCACCAGGTGAGGTCAATATCAATGCATCCTCGTCCGTCTATACTAAGCCACCACGCAGTCAGTTGTGGTTCAGAATTGTACTGGAAACCTTGTGAAATGCTCTATCACACCCAGAAACCTCTCTATTTAAATCGAAGCATTTTCTTTAAATAATATGTAATCTAAAATTAAATTCTTCTCATATTTTTCTATTAAATTTAATATTTGAATTATGAATATACTGAATTACGACAATCTATTTGATTAGTCCTGTTAGCAATTTGTTTATCCCCGTACTCCCAATTTTTCAGGGGTTCTATTTTTCTATGCTCCACTTGCCGCAAAATTGGCTAGGAAATTAGTCTACATCTTTTCCTCTGATATGCTTCACCGTTGACCCGAACCTGATAATACAGCCCAAACATCTACAGGTTTCCGAATGAATCACAGCAGGCTGAACGGATGACATGTGACTGGATTATTCATGCGATAAGAACAATAATTGACTGTCACAAGGGATTATGACCTGATAATCGCAATGCAGAAAAAATGATTTGCAGCCGATTGTTGGCTAAGTATATGAAGTCCAATTGTTTTTCTTCCTTGAAGAGGGAATTCTTGGTGATTCACTACTCTTGAAAGGCAAATTTTTGCAGATGGTATCCTGTACTCAGCCATTAGCCTCATTGGGAGTCTTTTGAGCAAAGCATGCCTTGAGGGTAAGATCTACCATCGGCAATAGTGTGTTCCTTGAGGATCTTATTACGAGCTTCAATATCTTCTCTTGGTATACTTGTATAAAGCGTTCAAGCGACCCTTGTTCTTCTCAAAGTTATCCGACGGGGATCTCTCACTTTCGTCTTGAATTCGTTCGGGTTAAGGAATTTCAAGAATTCAGGATGTTCAGCAGCGTGATGGGCCAAAATTCCTCTATTCAAAGGGGAGTAGGTAATGATGGGGATCTGACGCTTAGAAGCTTCTTCAAAACTCCCAATAGGAAGAAATATCCTCTGGAAACAAAGAGATCTATCCAGCGGCAGCTTTCTTCGCAGACGCAGCCCACTTAACTAATACAGCTACGAGCAAGATTGCCACTCATAGTTCTTTCGTAAACTTAAGTTACAGTCTTCAATTGGAACATTAGGATCACAGGGGTAAAAAAACCTATAGGAATACAAGTCTTACAGATAACAATAATAAGACAGCAGCAAGGTATTCAGAGACCTATCAAAGATTCTTAGATATGCTGTGAATTAATGAATTTGATAAAGAGTTTGACGGCTGCTGATAATACCATCACCGGTTTTGCAGAAAAATATGCGAGCCCGCTTGTCATATTTCATCAGAATTTGCAATTTTTTCAATCTCTTTGAGATTATTGAAGCTCAATAAAGACGCTTGATGATTCCTATAGAGGTGAAGGAAGGAAGGAGACGAATCTGTCTTTGGCACTAACCCCCGCACCAGTTGTAGGGCGCACGGCGGGCCTCGCACCCCCCCCCCACTGCGAACTTGAAAAAGTATCACATTGAAGTCTCCATCCACTATGCCCCAGAATTCGACTGTTGAATGCAACGTTCAAGTACACCGGTGATGACTGGGCCATGGGGAAAATGCTAGTCGACTCGACGATGGCAAGTTCAAGGAGGGGAAATGATGGGCAAGATACAGGAAGCGTTGGTACTAGGATCCACTGGGTCCAGAGATAAATCCGGATGGTAGTCAATTTAGAAGAGGTTTTTCAATACGAGCTTCAGTCAGTGGTGTATACAACTCCAACAAAACACGTATAGTTAACCAGTCAGGAATGTTAGGTCCGGATTTGGGCCATATTCCGTATGTAGGACACCTCCTCTTTTTTAATTGCCCAATAGTGGGCACTCCGCAAACATTTAAAATTTCCAAACCTTGCAATTATCAGAAATATCACTCTAGAAATCCAAATGGTCCCCCATATTGACAAAAACAGCAAAGACGGCGACATCAACTACAGGCTGCCATCGTCGTTCCCAATTGGCCCAAACTTCACTCGCTACGAGCATAACCCAATTCTTAAGCCTGACCCTGCCAATGACTTTGAGAGTGCCTATTTGTATAACGCCAGTGCCATTGTTGTGGACGACAAGGTGTTTTTGCTCTACCGCGCCCAGAACGCCGCCAAAGTATCCACAGTGGGATTGGCGTGGCTGACCGACGGGTACAGCTTCACCCGACACCACCAGCCGGTTCTCTACCCGACCGAGCCATGGGAGACAGGTGGTGGGTGCGAGGACCCCCGGATTACAAGAGATCCTATCTCCAAGTTGTTCATCCTCACATACACCGCGTACGACACCAAGACAGCCCGCTTGTGCGTTGCGCTGTCCGAAGACTTGCTCACTTGGCAAAAGTACCCTCCTGTCGTGCAACCTGACTCCAGCTGGAACGACATTGAAATCGACTCCGATGGTAACCAGTTAATTAGACAAGCTTGGCTGAAGTCAGGTGCCATATTCACCGAGCGCCACCGTGATGGTAAGTACTACATGATATGGGGGGATAGTGCGTTCCATTTGGCCGTCAGTGACGACTTGAAAATATGGAAACCCACTTCCAACAATTTGGCTGCCAACCGGTTTGCGCAGGGGGTCTTCGCCTGGGAAAACCGATTGATCGAACCGGGTCCCGCTCCCATAAAAATCGACTACAGAGACAGCCACAGCACCAAGAACCACTACGTGTTGTTCTACAATGCCGCCACCACCGGCGGCGGCCTGTTTGCCAAAAACACATATAGTATTTCGCAAATGTTGGTCGACTATGATGACATTGCCAAAGGACCAGTGGCTCGGTTGGAGAAGCCATTCTTGGTACCCAACGCCGCCAATGAGATCGAGGGACAGGTCAACCGCGTGGTGTTCACCGAAGGGTTGGTGCAATTCCACGGAAAATGGTTTCTCTATTTCGGCCAGGGCGACTCCGAGTTGGGCGTGGCCACCTGCGATGTATAGAAAATGCACGAGAGCGCACCCCAGATTTTTTTCCCGCCTCCTAACAACAAACCACCAATATGGAACCTTTTCGAGCGGACGTCCCGGTAAACTTGAGTTCGCCAGTACGTATAGCCTTATTAGGTGGTGCTAAGACCGGCAAAACCTCGATTCTCTCCAAACTTATCCACAATATCTACACAGATACATACTATCCCACCGTACAAACAAACTCCATGCTCTTCACTTACACACCCGAATCCGATACCAGCCGTGTGGTGCTTGGAGCTGCCGGTGAGATTCCCCTGCAGGTAGCCGCCAACGTTGAATTGAGTCCGGTCTTGAAAAAACTCCGCAAACCACCTTTATCGCTCAAGAAAAGTCGAACGGTGAGCGACTCGGCAGGTGCCGATATTGTGATTTTGAACGATTCCCAATACTACCGCAGCTTCAACTACAAGGCAGACAAACGCCCGAAGCACCCCACCGTGACTCCCATCCTCGTAGAGGCGATCGACACCCCAGCGTATAAGTCAGACTTCATTCCGTTCCTTGAGTCTTCGCTTTACACCAATCTTGATAAAGACGTGCTAAAGAACCTTGCTAACGAGCCGCGGCGGCACGTGCTGACGTTGCCGCTACTTGTGGCAAGTGGTGCCGGCGAGTTGAACGGCTCGGTCGATGGCTACTTTTATGTGTACAGTGCTATACCCTCATACAGCCCCCCGCTGTATGATGACTATAGCAAACCCGATTCCACTCCTGGCGACGACAGCTTGACGGTGCTCCACAAAATTAAAACGTCCATCGACGAGGCCTGGAAAGAATACTACACCTATAAGCTGAAATGGGAGGAAGGGAAGGAAGCAGACATTTATTCGGTTAAAACCGCCATTAAGAACTTCCTTTCGAGCAAGAACTTCCAAGAAGAGGAGTCCAAAAAATTCAAAAAGAGGGGCTACCATACCAACTTGCTTCCGATTCCCACAGACCCTGCCGACCTGGACTGTCCGCCACCCATCTGGATTATCTGCACCCATGGTAGTAGTCCCTTGGCATCACCTAAGCTGATTGAGAATGGCCGCAAAACTGCTGCCGAATGGGGATGCGGATTTATTTGCTTAGACATCAAAGACGCTTCCATCGACTACGTAGTTGCCCTTATGATTCGGGAGATAGTTGAGCGCAAGCGACTCCAGCAACTTCGTGAACAAACCTCTAAGAACTGAGCTATTTATATCTCTTTTGTCAATACATTCTTTTGCATCTTTCTCTGCGCGACTCGGATAAGATAACATTTAAAAAACCGTCATTCCACAATCTTGAGTGCATTATGGATGAGGGACCAAAAGGCCTCGGCAAGAAACCCCCGGCCCGATGTCCCATGTGTCTACGACCTGAGTATCACACAAATCACGACCTCATCTGTGAGAACTGCCATCATGATAAACTAGAAGCCCTAAGAAACTCGTGTGTGGAGACCGAGACTGCAAACAAGGATTACCGAGACGACATAAACCGGGTATTTGACATCAGTCAAAGCATCAGAACCGCCACACCACCACAACTGGGCCTTTACTCCAAACAGTCGATGTCATCTATCAAAGTGATTTCATTGCAATTGCTCAAAAGAGACTTAATTAACAAGTCAATCAAGATTAATAACATTAATAAGTCCACCCTGTCTGTGCAACAAAAGGTCATACATCTCAACGAGCAAATTGTCGATAAAGAGCAAGAAACGAAGTTGCAATTGCTGAGTTTCGTGGCTGCAAATGACAAAATGGTGCAAAGCTACCAGAACCAAATCAGCAAGGTAAACCTAATGATCATGGAGATTCAAAGGGAAAAGATTGTTCAGATTGAAAAGCAGGCCATACAAATTGAATACAATCATTTCAATGTCTTGAAGGAGATTGCATTTGGATCTAAACCATCCACCACCTACATCTCCAAATTGAAGAGCCTGTCGGGTGTTCTACTATTCAACCAGCCGGTCATAAATATAAATGATTTTTTCCAACTTCACAACAAGCTCTTCCAGTTGAACGGCTTCTTTGAAAACCTAATCCGACTACAGGTCCATTTAGTGGAGATATTTGATGGTGAGGTCTTGAAGTTGCCATACATTCAGGAACTCAAGTGCTATTTACCAGATACTGACTTCTATGATTTGGTGCAACAGAAGGAGAATTTTATGATTAATGGGGGTGAGCCAGATCTGGAACCCGATGGTAAGGATGCGGTCCAGACTATTGATATCAATGACCTTCTGCCGGCAGAATCTGAGAAGATAGTCAAGTTGGGAAATACCATAAAACTCCCGCTTTCATCGAAAACCATCAACAACCAGTTACGAAGAGCTAGTATGGCCAGAGCCCAATCTCTCCTGGTACTGCCAGAAGCCCCTGCACCAGAGAAGGTAGATTTCCAATCCCCACCACTTTCCGAGAAAGCCAAGGATAGAAGACCTCTGCTCAAAGCTCATTTATCTGGGAAAAAAGTAGTGATTGTGCCCTACAAGATACTCACCAAGCCTCTCACCAAGCTCACGTCCAAAGAATACTTGAAGTTCTTGCTGATTATAGTAAAAATCTTAGTGAACTTTAAAGTTGTTTTTGCATTTACAATTGACATGATTCCCAAGAACCAGGGAATTTCACATACACTTGCAAGTACCATAAATCAAATTCGGAACGGCATATCTACAGACGATAAAGATCTATCCTCTTATAACTTTGATAAGATCATTCAAAAGGTCATCCTGCTAAACGAATATTTCGAGTACAAGTTGGCACTGCTACAACATCGACAGACAACGCTGCCTAGTCATCTAGAATCATTCACCACCCATAGTACCAGCAACAGCATCTTGCAAACCAATGGACTTGGAAACAGCGTAGACAATAATTCCTCTGGTTCAAGTTCAATTGCACATTCTTCGGTAGCGTCATTTGTGCAAAATTCAGAAGAATTGAGAGAAATAAAGCAATTGGCCAATACCGGCTTCAAGAATAACCAACTTGGGTTTAGGACCATGTACAAAAATCTATTTAAGGAGTCTCGTGGCCATACTTCTGTTCACAAGGATGGAAAAGAGATTTATGGGACTTTCAGCGAAAGCAACACGTTATCATCCGAGGCAGCACCGGAGATGCCTCACGTGACACAACGGGACCTTGACTCCGAGGCTGGCTTGAAGGAAATAATGCAAGATGTGCACCAATTGATGGTGAGCGGGCTGAGCCGAAACCCTAATCGGAGCAGTCCGAGGGACCAAACGCTGCCATTGGGAGCTCAAACTCTCAATATGATGGCCCAGTCCAAAGTAAAACTCGATGATTGGGACGTGGTAAGCAAAATGTATGAATAGCAGGTAAATACACCATAAATAGGATATACACTATGGGATGAGCAGCGTATAATTGGAACTGGAATGCGGGTATATTTGGGACTGCTGCACACGGGATTTCGCACCTCGTTGAAATTTTGAGAATTGAGCTCGATACCGAAACCTCAATCTCGAAACCCCTTATCACAGTTGTTCAACACCCCAATTGCAATGTTATCCAACAAAGAATTATTCGAGTTAAACAAGAAGGCCGTCACCGAAGGCTTTAACATTAAACCAAGAGTAAACTACAATACTGTTGGGGGTGTTAATGGTCCATTGGTGATTTTGGACGATGTCAAGTTTCCTCGTTATAATGAAATTGTTAATTTAACTTTACCTGATGGTACCGTGAGAGCTGGTCAAGTCTTGGAAGTCAGGGGTAGCAAGGCCATTGTGCAAGTGTTTGAAGGTACTTCAGGTATTGATGTTAAGAAGACCAGGGTGGAATTTACTGGTAAAAGTATGAGAATCCCTGTGTCGGAGGATATGTTGGGAAGAATCTTTGATGGTTCTGGTAGACCAATCGACAAAGGTCCAAAGATCTTTGCCGAAGATTACTTGGACATCAATGGATCTCCAATCAATCCATATGCTCGTATTTACCCAGAAGAAATGATTTCCACCGGTATTTCTGCTATCGACACCATGAATTCTATTGCTAGAGGTCAAAAGATTCCAATTTTTTCTGCTTCGGGTTTACCTCATAATGAAATTGCTGCTCAGATTTGTAGACAAGCTGGTTTGGTTAGACCTACCAAGGATGTTCATGATGGACATGAAGACAATTTCTCGATTGTTTTTGCTGCCATGGGGGCCAATTTGGAAACCTCAAGATTTTTCAAACAAGATTTCGAAGAAAATGGATCTTTGGAAAGAACCACTTTGTTCTTAAACTTGGCTAATGATCCAACCATTGAAAGAATCATTACCCCTCGTTTGGCCTTGACCACTGCTGAATATTTGGCTTATCAAACCGAGAGACATGTTTTGACAATCTTGACCGATATGTCTTCTTATGCTGATGCTTTGAGAGAAGTTTCTGCTGCTAGAGAAGAAGTTCCTGGTAGAAGAGGTTACCCAGGGTATATGTATACCGATTTGTCTACCATCTACGAAAGAGCTGGTAGAGTTGATGGTAGAAACGGTTCCATTACTCAAATTCCTATTTTGTCCATGCCTAACGATGATATTACTCACCCTATTCCTGATTTAACTGGTTATATTACTGAAGGGCAAATCTTCGTTGATCGTCAATTGAGTAACAAGGGTATTTACCCCCCAATTAATGTGTTGCCTTCGTTGTCTCGTTTGATGAAGTCAGCTATTGGTGAAGGTATGACTAGAAAGGATCATGGTGATGTTTCTAATCAATTGTATGCCAAATATGCCATTGGTAGAGATGCTGCATCCATGAAGGCCGTTGTGGGTGAAGATGCTTTGTCTACTGAAGATAAATTGTCGTTGGAGTTCTTGGAGAAGTTTGAGAAGAATTTTATTGCCCAAGGTGCTTATGAAAACAGAACTGTTTTTGAATCGTTAGACTTGGCTTGGTCTTTATTGAGAATCTACCCCAAGGAAATGTTGAACAGAATTAGTCCAAAGATTTTGGCTGAGTTCTATGAAAGGGAAAGAGAACAAGAGGATGAGGATGATGAAGATGAAGAAGCGAAAACCGCTGATAAATCCCACGACTTGATTGACGCTTGAGGCTATTTAGAACAAAGTTGACAGTTATCATCTCATTACATCTCTATTATTACAATAGACACAGTTCACTTTTAGTTCACCCCTTTTATTACAAAAGAATATTTTACTTTATATTTTTGTCATTAATACACTACAAAAATCTTTTCATTGACATGCTTCAAATTATTAATTCTGAACTCAATAGGGTTCTCTATATATACAATTATTGTTTACAATTTAGATTGAGCATTGGCAGCAGCTTGTTCTCTCTTGGTGTTACCAATAAAGTTAATGGCAGAACCTGCTTTGAAGAAGTCAACTTGATCCTTGGACATCGTGTGCTTGCACAAGATTTCAAACTCACCAGAGCCATCTTTCTTAGTGACCTTCATTCTTAAAGTACCACCGTTGTTACCGTCTTTGGCCATCATGTCTACTAAGTCAATAGTAGTTAACAAGTCACCAGCGACGATTTTATCGTAGTCAGCTTCATCGGCAAATGTCAATGGTAACATACCTTGTTTCTTCAAGTTAGTTTCGTGAATTCTAGCAAATGATTTGACCAAAATGATTGAACCACCCAAGAATCTTGGAGATAATGCTGCATGTTCTCTGGCAGAACCTTCACCATAGTTGTGTTCAGCAACAACTATCCAAGGTCTTCCATCTTCTTTCCATTTCATCATTAATTCAGGAATTCCATATTTGTCACCGTTTAAATCATAAGCAGTATTCACCTCACCAGTTTCCTTATTGACGGCTCCAATCAAGGTATTGTAGGAAATATTTTCCAAGTGACCCTTGTATTTCAACCATGCCCCTGCAGCAGAAATGTGATCAGTGGTACATTTACCTTCCACCTTAACCAATACATTGGTACTTAATTCTTCACCAGACCATGCTTTGAAAGGTTCCAAGATTTGTAATCTATCAGAAGTTGGCGAGACACTGACAGAAACATCTGGCTGTGGTTGAGGATTTGGATCAGGGTAGAACTCTTTTCTTCCTGGGATAAACCCTTGGTATGGTAATTCTTCGCCTACAGGAGGCTCGAATTTGAACTCCTTGCCGTTGTCCATTTTGATCGAGTCAGTGACAGGATTGAAGTCCATGTCTCCCGAGTAGATCATGGCTGTGACCATGTCTGGCGAGGTCAAAAAGTTCATAGTGTTTCTGTTACCATCGTTTCTGGCTCTGAAGTTTCTGTTGAAAGAGGTGAAGATAGCATTACTTTCGTTGGAAGTTTTGGAAATATCACCTCTGTCCCATTGACCGATACAAGGACCGCAAGCATTAGCCAACACAATTGCTCCATTCTTTTCAAACGTCTCGATTAAACCATCTCTTTCGATAGTAGCTCTGATTTGCTCTGAACCAGGAGTCACAAAAAATGGAATCTTTGGTCTTAAACCCACAGCTTCGGCCTGTCTCATGAGGGAGGCAGCTCTACTCATATCTTGGTACGAAGAGTTGGTACAAGAACCAATCAAACCAGCAGACACTTTTCCAGGCCAACTTTCTTTCCTTGCGGTTTCGCCAAATTGTGAAATGGGAGTAGACAAATCGGGAGTGAAAGGACCGTTGACATGAGGTTCCAATTCCGACAAGTTGATTTCAATCACCTTGTCGTATTCGGCACCGGCATCGGCGGTCAAGAAGTTGAATTTGCTGTTGGCAATGTCTGCCAAATCTGCAATTGGGCCTCTGTTCGTTTGGTGCAAGTAACGACGATGAGCATCTTGGTATGGGAAAGTGGAGGTGGTGGCTCCGATTTCAGCTCCCATGTTACAGATGGTGGCCATACCGGTGCAAGACAAGGTTTGGACACCCTCACCAAAGTATTCAACAATGAACCCAGTTCCACCTCTGACCGTTAAAACTCCAGCCAACTTGGTGATAACATCTTTAGGAGATGACCAGCCAGACAATTGACCCGTCAACTTGACTCCCAATACACGAGGAGCTTTCAACTCCCAAGGAGTTCCCGTTAACGCATCGACCGCATCGGCACCACCCACTCCGATGGCAATGGCACCAAGACCACCAGCATTAGGAGTATGAGAGTCGGTACCAAGCATCATTAAACCAGGAACAGAGAAGTTCTCTAATACAATCTGGTGGATGATACCCGAACCAGGACCCCAAAACTGGATACCATACTTTTCTCCACAACTTTGAAGGAAATCAAATACTTCCTTATTGGTGGCTATAGAAGCGATTAAATCGTCATCAGCTCCTTCTTTCCCGACGATCAAATGGTCACAGTGAATAGATGCCGGCACCGCTGTGTTTGGCATGCCACATGTCATAAACTGCAATAAAGCGGTTTGGGCTGATGCATCTTGCATAGCGACTCTGTCAGGATTTAACTTAAGGTAGATCTGACCTCTGATGTTAGCCAAGTCACCACCAGTGGAACCCAAGCTTTCTTCGGGGTCACAAAGATGCGAATATAAGATTTTTTCGGCCAACGTTAAAGGCTTGTTGCCAACGATCTGTGAGACTTTGTTCAAGTTATGGATTAACTTTTCATAAGGTGGAGCTCTGGATTTGTATTCTTCAGGAACCACAAATGCCCCGGTAACTGATGCCAGGGTTGCCAAGGTTCTTGCATATTCAAGATGTCTGAGGCTTCTTAGCGAAGTTCTAGCTCTCAACATACTGCTCTAAGATAGGATTTTTCAATGAGAATTGATTTCAATGAGAATTGATTCACATCGAGCGCGGCCGACCAATGGAAAAGTCCGCGAAACTGCTTACAAGGGAAGAATCTTGTAGATTATGACTCAAAGCGCACTTTGGCTCATCGTGACACAAAACCGAGAGAGCCCTTCTGGCGCACCGCCTACACCCTCCGGCCCGGTACCGGATGCGTCTAGCTCAAGATATAATACATAATCGTTATTACATAGTATACATAGTGGTATACATAGCTAAATGGTATTCAATTGTTTTCACGGGGCTGGATCACGCAACTCAACTTCCAGGCCCGATCCTCCTCTTTCTTGTTCAATTGGCATACCTTCCATATTTCTAAAAGAATGAGCTCTTGCATGCATGACACTGGGATGATGGTGTAATCATCACCTTCTCCTGAGGGAGTAGGCCTGTCGTACCCGATTTGTAAACTTTCGATATCGGCGATGATCCTTGCGGTTTTCAAGTACTTGTCAATATTGATCAATTTCTTGTTCAAGAAGTCATTTGCTTGTCTGAATTTTGGATTACCATCAGTAACAAACGTCAAATCTTGCAAGAAAAGAGAAAAGTAAGGAACGGTGGGAATATTGTACTCATTGGCCACCAAGAAGTTTCTTAATTTGGCTCTGTACACTCTGTAATTTTTATCTGGATGAATAATGCCTGATAAATATTCGTGTAATTCCTTGTACTTGTCGGACAAATCACTCCATAATTTGGAAATTCGGGTGATTAGATGTGATTGTAAGGAAGTGATAATGGCTGCCAATGAGTTGAAATTTCTCAAGTAAAGACATGAAATGGCCACTTTCAACCATGTCTTGACAATGTTCAATCTCATTTTGTGGTTGATCTTAGGTTGCAAAACCGATTCAATCACGTAACCCGAAAGACAATTGGTGAACAATATCGATTGTCTTACGTGTGGGGCCAACTTCAAATGAGCTCTTTTGGAAGTGTAATTGTCATTAAGAAGCTCCTCTGGTTTGATGGAACAAAAGATAGTTGATTCAATCAATGTCAATTGTTTAGCAAGCTCTAACCCATTAAAGTCCAATAAGTTGGGTCTATAATTGGACAACACCCAGCTTTGGTCACATGCCTCGTACCAGTTTGGAATAAGGGTTTTAATGTCCATGGGAATAAAGATCTTGGGGTTGATATAGTTGTTGGGGCACCAGCCGTTCCCTATAATGGCTCTGTACGTTAAAATCAACTTCTCAATAGTAGAGATGTTGGCCTTCGTTAACAAGGAGCTGGAAGAAGATGTCTGATTGCCAATACCCAATGGTAACGACAAGTTTATCGACTTGAGGGACGTGGAAGTAGAAGAGTTGGTGTTGATTTTACTCAATTCGTAGCCATCCACCATCGAATACCTAGCAGTGATATCATTGGTAGCTTCAGTGAGAGAGTTCTTTCTGTTCAACCGGGTAGCCGTGATACTCCTGGTAACTAATTGCTTACCTTGCCTTTGTTTTTTCGCTTGTTTTTGATCTTCTGTTACAGGTTTGGAAAACAACCGAGAGGCCACTTCCAACAACTTCATCGAGTCCAATGGCAAAAACTGGGAGATTCCTTCGTTGAAGAAGTTAATCAAGGTAGGTAATAGTGAATAGTCCAACTCGTGGTTCCAGTAACTCTCCAACCACAATTGAAACATCTTCGAGATTAATCTTCTTCTGTTCTTGATCTTCAACTCCAAGTTGATGTTATTATCTCCCGGTACCTTGGCGTACGAGTTAGACATGTCAAATCTGGAGATCAACTCCTCGATCAAATCTGGCCCTGATGCAAAGCTTCTGAAACAAATGAAAAACGTGGAAACAAAAAAATATTCAGGAGGGGTGTTTTCATTAGTCAAGGTGTACACTAATCCTCTAAAAGATGCTCCCAACAAATTACCTCTCGCATCGACGAGTAACTCATTTTCCATCTTCAAGTCGTCAGCAGTCGACTCCGTGTGAGTGAACTTGGCGAATTCCTTATCTTTGCTGAATTCGCCATCGATGTCTGTCAACAATACATCATGTAACAATCCAGCCCCACCAGGAGTTATCCCCAATTCACCAGTTTTACCGAATCTCATCATGGAGAAACGGTTACTGGCATTTCTGGCAGTTGGTTTCATGGTTCTCAATTGACGGTTTCTAATAGTATTAGACTCGGCAATACCAAGACTACATCTTCTAATGAACTCTGACGGCTCGATTCTCATTTCAGCATAGTCTGGGTATGATCTTTGAGCGTTCAACTTGAAGTTTCCAGTGATCTCAAGTAATCTTCTAATCGATGAAACAGTGCCTCCAATAGCCCTCATCATCTTAGAAGCGATCTGGATCAACTCACCCCCTTCGTGGGTATAAAAGTATTCTGTATTTGAAAGGTTGGATTTCTTAGATTCCACATGGTATCTTTGATCATCAATTGTTTCATTCAAGGTCTTCACTACTAAGCTTTTAACTGCTGTTACCAAGTCACTCACCAAAGACAACAATGAGTCCAATGAGTTATCCAAATCAGCAGGCTTTTCAGAAGAGAAGTCCGATCCAGTTTTGGATATAAACAACAATTCCCTTAAAAGTAAGATGATTTGGTGAGTTAAAGTCTCTAGAAGATCACATCCCACTGAATTATGTTCAATCAAGTCCAATCGTCCAACAATCATGCCCAAGTATGAATATAAGACGCCATTAATTTCTGTAACTCTTTGTTTGGCCAAAGGAGGAGTATCCAATAGCTTATAGCTGTTCATGTCGTTCTGCAACTTTTTTTCACTTTCCTTCTTGATGATTTGTTTGCTTTCAATGGACCACAATTGCAAGAATGCTATGGCTCTTCTTACGACCTGGAATACCATCAAAGTTAACACCTCGATCTTATAATAATCAGACGTTCCTTTGAAGTCATTTGCCTTCTTCATAAGATTATACCAATCAGCCAATAAGATCTTTCTAGCTTTTCTCACGATTGGTCTCTTGGTGACAATTTCGTTAGACCTGGATAAACAGTCGGTTTCTTGTAAAAGGACCCGGACACCATCTCTAATGGAGTTAACCACTCGTATAGAAAAGGTATATTTACCCTTCCGAGTCTTGTGAGAAAGAGGATTCACCAAAAACCTTCCACAAGCATTGAATAACGGTTTGAGGAAATGGTTATTTGGAATTCTACCCTCGTCTATCTCATCGTCCACATCATCTGAATCGTCGTAGTCGTCATTTCCATCGTCAATAGCAAATTTAAAGTAGTTCATTGGAACCCAGCCTCTTTGCAACGATTCTATTAAAGTCACCTCACCCCATCCGGACTCGTCAATCGTGTGCACCACGGCCATATCGTCCTTTTCGAAAGGTAAGCAGATAGAAGCATCGGCCTTCGATTGCAAAGTCGAAGAGTCAAAAGGATGCAAAGCTCGGACAAAAAGAGAAGAAAGATCTTCATCTTCTGCACTGGCATCAGTGTCAGTTTTTGTTTGGCTCGTGTCAGTTCCCACCGTTTTACTGTCATCTGTGAAACTGGATTTGGGCTCTTCGGTGTAAGTAATGTTCAAGCCAGGAGTCAGGTTTAAGTGTTCTTCAGAATGGTATGGCTTTACAAGGTCACCTCTGACAGGAACGTCGTCATTGTAGATAGCAATAGATTGGTTTCTGATGATCTTCAATGGCACAGGCTTTGTGTTGGACAAGCTGTAGGAACTTTTGGAAACCGGTTGTTTGTTGAAGTAGAAGTTATTGGAATCCTGAGAGACCGACTCATTGTCGGGCAAAGTCTGCGAAAAGTCGTTATTCTCGTTACTTATGAGACTCGATCGGTTGCTGATGGTGCTGACGTCCGACTCGTCGGGCCTAATGACCGAATTCTCTCTCACGAGTTCTCTATGGTCGTCCATATCGTCTTCCCCATCGTACTCATTGTCACTGATGGCCAACGTCTCGTTGATCTTGTTGTAGTATACACTGGTTCTGTTGTGGGCAGCACTGGCTTCGTTGTAACTGGTTCTGACGTTATTGGTGAACTTATTCATAAATCGTTGAGAGTCGTTGGATGAGTTGTTATTTGAGGTCTGAAGCGTGGTCGATAACCGCTTGAACTTCAGGCTCATATTCTGCTGGGGAAGGTAGTTGAGATCGAGGTGGCCGGTGCTCTCGCTGTGGAATATCGGGTTATTGCCCAATATCGGGGTTTGGTCTTCAAGAATGTCACCATATGTATCTGGCTGTGGAAGCTTGGGAGTGGCATCGTCATCTTCGTAGTCGTACATAATGGCGTCGCTGGACGCGACGTGGCCCATCACGGCCGTAGAATCGGTGATATCATTGAGGTCTTCGGTGCTGTCGTTACGCAATAACGAGCGGTTGATGGATGTAAAGCTCGGGTTGCTTTCATTGAACTGTTCGGAGGCCGTCTCGTAGAGGTGGTACTGCTCATCACCAGTGGTATCTTCGTCTTCTTCAAGAATTGGCTGTTCCGAAGTCTGGAACCCTGCTTCTGACTCTAATTGAGAGTACACCGATGAGGTGGTACTAAAATGGGCACTGTTGGTATCAGGTGCCCCTGGAGGTTTCACCGGATTACTGTACATGTATAAGGTGGTTGATATGCTGTAGAGTATCTAATCAGGGGATATCAGCATAGAAAGCAAAAAAACAGTTGGCTTTTGTAGAAAATAACGTTCCCTCCTGAACACAGCTAGTTCGTTGATCTAAAAAAAAGACCTCCTACCGCAACGCGAGGCGCGTTTGGGACGAATATGAGCGTAATCAGGGAAAAACAAACAACCTGTTGCACCAAATTAGACACGTCTACCGTAAGCAGTATGGGAGGCGATATGTGGGAATAAGCGATACGAGAGAATTCGGGTCCACAGCCATCGACTAAGCTATCGACTCGTGGACCCGACTAATTATACTAATTACTTTACCGCTTTAGGGGCCGATGCCAATATACTATGCACGGCTGATGTGGATGAAAGCGCCTGGGAAGCTGTAATACAATGGAATGTTGTGGTTTGGGGTTCGAGGTCTTGGGGGTCCATTTTCTAGATTCGTGTTGCATAAGATGACTTTGAGAAAAGGGGCAACTTTAATCCCTAAAATATCCATGTTGTAAATCTCAGGTTTTCAGTTGATCCTTCGGTATTTGAACACCTTTAAACAAATATGCTCGGCAAATCAAGAATTGTACATGTTTTATTGTTAAGATATGTACGTGTCATGATGAAGTGAACATCGAGTCTATGCAGTATTTCAATGGATTTCGGATTTATCTCAAGCTGGTATCGACGTTGTCTACATTCTATTCCTAACCTCGCTACTGTATATAAGTTCCCAGTCAATTACTATTAGTGGCCTTGATAAAAGGATCGAGCCAGGCTTGTGTCGCGGGATGGTGTCAGAACTCGTCCAAGATAAATTAACTCACCAAAAATAATGAAGGATGCGAGGTTCGAACTCGCGCGGAGAACTCTCCAACAGATCTTAAGTCTGCCGCCTTAGACCACTCGGCCAACCCTCCTGAATAAGCTTGTATTTGGCAATGTCAGTATATGATGAAAAGTTATTGCATTATAGGCTTATTTGGAGTAAGTGTTGAATAAACATGGCACATCCAATTGTGAGAAGTATCAGGAGAATTCTTGAGGTAGCTACCTTTTAGTATACCATTAATGGGGTACTTTTCATAGTTCTACTGAAATTGCTAAATCGGGAAGTAAAAGGAACTTCTGAAACATGTGTGGTAGAATAAAGACCTACTAGGTTGTAGACGAGAAACATGAATTCAAGTATAGATGCACCAGAAATTTCCCCTCGTATTATCAATCAAGGGGATAATAGCGTATCAATCCGAAAACTGTCTGAGTTTACACCAAATCCAGCAATATTTCTACAGAGTTTGTTCAAATTATATTATCTATCCAAGTGTCTCTCCATAGGATTCTGGAATCAAGATCACCATATTGTCATATTCTTTAAAGGAGATTCCGAACATCCCAATTCTTCATCCGAAAATACTTTTAAAATAGTTTGTCGTTGCCGACTGTTTAGAGATTTCCAAGGCTGCAATCGCATCTTTCGCAGTAAGAAAAATTACCACATCTACCATCATGTCTTCGATTGTGTGTTGTACGTGTAAAACCACGTACAGCAACGATGAAATATCTAAGCACTTGAAACTCACACGTCACAAACAAGTCAAGTTTGAGCCGTTGGACGAAATTATTGAGTGTGAAAACTGTGATGATGATAACATTCATCAGTTACAGATTCTTCGTTATGGTTTGAGCGACATGGCCTTACTCTGTCAGCCTTGTTTAAACAAAGAAGAGAAACCATCTACTCAATACTCGTTATCCAACGGATCTTTATTCAAGAAAATCGACCAGTATTACAAGTTCAGAGATATCGAGTGCTATCTTTGTAAAAACAATCACCGTTTGAATGTGGGCCTCGCAAACGGTCAACAAGTTATTGTATGCGATAGGTGTATTCCCATTTACTCTGAGCAATATCCTAAGGTTAAGCTTTGCAGCGAGAGAGATGATACGTTTTTGACGGCTCTTCTTGGTATTACTGAGACATCCAAGACTCCCTCGAAGTTTAAAGGTAGAAGAAATACGATGAGAAGAGGCAAGAGAAAACCCATGACCCCCCAGGAGGAGAAAGAAGCACAAGAAAGAAGAGACCATTACTTTTCAAAGTTGAAAGAGTCGAAGGAACTTAAATCAGGTTCTATTGTGAAGGCAGTTGGAACTGTAGCATCTAAACCTTCAAGAGTGAATGATAAAAACGGAAAGAAAGGTGTGCCTAGTTCGAGGCCGCTGTCGAAATACAGCTCACAAAACTCGTCCAGATCGAATTCGAAGACGAGCAGTGCCAGGCAATCAAAAACTTCTAGTCCGGTTCCTTCTGGTGGGAAGGACTCGAAAGCTAGTGAATCTCATGTTGGAGGTCCTCCAAGAAATGGTGGAGATAAGGGTAAGAATGAGGAGTCAAAGCCCAAGGACAAGAAACTTGAGAAGTACGAGAAAAAGGGTCCCAAGACTTTTAGTGATAAAGAAACCCCCAAGAAGAAGATTTCTAGGAACGAGGACTCCAATGGAAAGGGACCTAGAAACGAGGACTCCAATGGAAAGGGACCTAGAAACGAAATCTCTAATAGAAAGGCACCCAAGAAATTCAACTCAGACAAAGCCCCCAAAAGAGACTCCTCGAACAAAGGACCCAAGAAGGAGAATTCGAATGACAAGAAGGGGCCTAGAAAGGACACCTCAAAAGAGAAGAAAGGGCCCTTGAAAGAGAATAATGCAAACGACAAGCCAAAAGTTTCAGACAAACTAGATCCCGATTTAAGCAAGTTGCCTAAGGGTATCGTTCAATATCAACCGTCTCCAGAACCCAAGCTTCGGTACGAATCCATGGACTCGTACTTTAGGGAAATGAGTTACAACCTTTTTCTCGAAGAGAAATTGAGTATGTCTGCAAGTCAAAACTTGTTTCTCGGTTCTGGAGATCTCACTCTTTCATGGTTTCAAGACAACGATAAGAAGAACAAACAGTACCATTTAGAAATCCCGTTGACCCAAGAGTTCAAGGATAAATACTTGAGCAAGAGGATCCAAAAGTTCAAGAAGAGCCCTTTTTCAGTTGACCAAATTATGTTCTTAGTGTGCAATGAGTGTGTACCTTGGTATGGTAAAGTGGTGTTATCAGAGACGAAGAAGGTAAAACGGTACGATATTTTAGAGGTGATTGTTGAGCAGTTCCCTTGGAATTACCAACCTTTGCCGATGAATATCAATATTAAACATCTCACCTTATTACCAGCATCCGTGTCTATATCCCGAGTGTTCTTGGCAATGTCGAGAATCGAAAATAAGAGATTCATTAGTATGTTGTTGGGAAACACTACCATTAGGCAGATTTCCTTCAACAATTACGTGAAGTTTTCAGACGAGTCCAAGTTCAACCAGTCACAGAAAGTGGCTTTACAGTCTGTGTTGAATAATTCTATAACCTTGTTGCAAGGGCCACCCGGTACCGGAAAGACATCCACCATTCACGAGATCATTTTACAACTTTTAAACAATCTCAATACTTACCCAGTGTTGGTTGTTGCAGCGTCGAACATTGCTATTGACAACATAGCTGAAAAGTTGATATCCACCCACGAACATCAGTTGCTTAGAATCGTCTCCATGGAGAAGGAACTGGATTACAATAAATCACACCCGTTGCACTCTATTTGTCTTCACCGGAAAATAGATGGTATGCTTCCAGAGTCGATGAAAGAAACTTTGGCCAAATTAAGAAGCCCTCGAGCCAGTGAGGTTAGTATCAACCAGTTTAGAAAAGTGAAAAGTAAGCAAGTGGGGTTGTCGAACCTCTTGATCACCCAAGCTAGAGTAATCTTCACTACCAGTGTGATGGCAGGTGGTAATCAATTGAAGTCTGTCAAAAAGTTCCCTGTGGTGATAATGGACGAATCCACCCAATCCTCCGAGGCCACTACCTTGATTCCGTTATCAATGCCTGGAGTCGACAAGTTTGTGTTTGTTGGAGACCAAAAGCAATTGAGCAGTTTCACCCAAGTATCCAACTTGTCGCTTTCGCTCTTTGAAAGAGTTCTTTTGAACGGAACATACCAAAAGCCACATATGTTAGACACCCAGTACAGAATGCACCCTCTGATTAGTGCATTCTCGAGACACAAGTTCTATAACGATCTCTTGAAGGATGGAATCACTGCTGAACAAAGAACAATGAATCTGATCGATAGACCGGTGATGTTCTGGGATACTCAAGGTAAGTGTTCAGAGGAGCGGGTTAGGATCAGAACCAGAGAAGACAATGGGTACACGTACTCGAACCCCGGAGAGATCTCCTATATCGTTGATATTCTTCAAAACTTGATCTATGATAAGCAGGTGGATAAGTCGACCATTGGTATCATTACTCCATATCGGGGACAAAGAGACTTGATATCCAAAGTATTGTCCGAAAACGAGCTCATCAACCCCACGAAAGAAGAGATCAAAGTGGACGTAGATAGAGATGATATTTACAATGACTCCAAACCCGTGACTATTCACACAGTTTCAGGAATCATGATAGCTTCTATCGATGCGTTCCAGGGTCGTGAAAAGGACTTTATTATCTTTTCGTGTGTGAGGTCCAACGACACCCGCAAAATCGGGTTCTTGAATGACGAGCGTAGACTTAATGTTGCCATCACCAGAGCTCGGTACGGACTTTTCCTTATTGGAGACCACCAAACATTGGACCAAGACCCGCTTTGGCACCAGTACTTGGACCATTTGGGCAGTCGCGAATTCATCAACCGCACCGATCTGGTGGCATTGTCCAGGTGAAGATTGATATTTATAGAACCCAGGGTTACAACCTTGGGTAATGTAGGGCTCGGGCCGAAATTATAGATTCGGTCACTATATACACAGTTCCTGCTTACGCACCTGATAGATTCAGACCCACAAGGAATACGGGTGCCATGATGTTTATTTAGGATATTTCAGTAGAATCCACCATTTTTACAAAAATCGTATCATCTGGTATCTTTAAAAATATGTTATGAGTGAAAGAGACGTCGGGGAGAGACGTCAGGAAGAAACATCAGCAAAAAACGTCAGCAAAAAACGTCAGCAAAATACATTAGGAAGAATCAATGATCCTGGTAGCTTTGAGGCTCACCTATGGCTGGCACATTGAGCCACCACACAAAGCTTCATGAACTCATCGTAATAAATTCTCGTTTAGGAAGTATTATTCCATTGCCCACAAATAAACCCGAAGAGGATTTTGAGATAGACGTGTCGAGCCAACGGTCGCTTGGAGCGTATCACAGGGGCCAGGCTCGGCGGGGATGCATGTAAGGTTGCACCGCGGGCTCCCTATTGGTGGTAGTAGGTTAGTGGGGGCTGCATTAGTTGCAGCCGGCTCTTACGCGTGAGTGAATTTTAAGGGGGAATGCCATAGGCGAAAAACGAGGAATAGACGGCTTTTACTGGATCAGACAGCTAGAAACGCGTACATATAGGCCTCAAGTACCACATCAACTACGCGGCAGTCCGCGTCTATGTATTAATAGGTTGCCTGGGCAATCTATTCGCACACCAGATCAAGCCAAAGTGAAATTTAAGTGGGATTTCATGCGCGCCACGACCGGGGGACCTAGGAAAATTTTCGAAGCTACCAAAATCACCTCAGCCAAGTTTCAGAAACAGGAACACATACCATTGTGGATTACATCTTCATCATCATCCGGAAGTTTTCATCGCTGCCGAAATCATCATGATCAAGTCATTCAGAAGAGGGAAGAGACTGTCAAGCTCGTCTGATTCTGGTAAGCTGCATGTCATTTCCAGAATCACCTCCGGCCCCCAGGTGAGAAATGGTGATGGGAATGCCTCCACCGTCTTGCATACCCCCAAGCTTGTGATCAAGGCTTTGTACGACTACTTACCCCAAGGCCCCGATGAATTGGCCTTCAAGAAGGGGGATTTCTACCATGTTCTTAATGATAACGATGAAAATGAGGAAAACGGCTGGTATGAGGCCATTAATCCCATGTCCAACGCCAAGGGTATGGTACCCATCAGTTACTTCGAGGTATTCAACCGCTCACGTCCCAACCCCGACATGGACGTCAGTCCCAGCTCCAGCAGGATTCTTTCACAGGCGTCCAAGGCTCCTTCGTCTCAAAGAAACTCCAACCAAACCTTATATGCCATAGTGTTGTTTGGATTCAAGGCCGAACGAGAAGACGAATTGGACATCATCCCCGGGGAGAACTTGATTATCTGTGCCCATCATAACTACGAATGGTTTATTGCTAAACCCATTAACCGGTTGGGTGGTCCTGGCTTAGTCCCCGTCAGCTATGTGAAAATTGTCGATTTGGTCAACCCTAATAATGTCAACGCCAACGATGACTTGCCCAAAGTGATCGATTCGTTCAAGATTCCATCAGTGGAACAGTGGAAGGACCAAACCGCGAAGTACCAAGCATCTACCATCCCATTAGGGTCTATTTCCAACCAAACCCCACCATCTTCTTCCAATACTCAGTATTTCCAAAAGGATGGGGTTACCCCCGTGTCCAACCGATCACTGTTGAGTTCGTCCAACACGGTCATCTTGGAGGCCAGCGTCGACTCGTACCAGTTGGATCACGGACGGTACCAATACTTGATTGTTGCCAAACTAGGTAATAGTAAGGTCAGATACTTATACAGATACTACCAGGACTTCTACGACTTACAGGTGAAATTGTTGGAGTTGTTCCCGTATGAGGCCGGTAAAATTGAAAACTCCAAGCGGATCATTCCCTCGATTCCAGGTCCTTTGATCAATGTTAATGATAGCATCTCCAAATTGAGAAGAGAAAAGTTGGACTACTACTTGCGCAACTTGATAGCATTACCCGCACATATCTCGCGGTCGGAAGAGGTCTTGAGGCTCTTTGACGTGTTGAATAATGGGTTTGATAAAGAGGTGGTGGATCCTTTTGTCAAACAAAGACAGCTGAAACCCATAAGCCAAAAGTCTAATTATCAGCAAGACAGGTTATCACAGTACTCCATTATGCACAACCACCAAGGCACAAGAGTGTCCACCACTCCCACCTCATCTGAATCCAATTTCAACCGATCTTCCCAGTCATCTGTAAACTTATTCAACAATCTCCAAGATCCTCATCCTTCTCAACCAAAAGCACTTACAAATTCTTCCCAACCTCAACTCGTCACAAAGGCTCCCCCCACGGCATCGGCACCAGTCCCAGTATCTGGCTCCAAAATGAAAGTCAAATTCTACTATCAAGATGATATTTTTGTGTTATTACTACCATCAGGGTTGCGGTTAATCGACTTGAAAAGCAAGCTTTTCAAAAGATTAAACCTCAATGAGGAACCTAAGAATGAGTGCGATCCTGAAAGTATTCGTCTTTACCTTAAAAATGATCTAGATGGGTTCCAAGAGGAGAATAATCTCACCGACTACACATTTAACGACATCCAACAATTGAAGTTGAAAGAATTCGAAATCAACAACGATGACAAATTCCATGAAGTCTTGTATGATAAATGTAAATTATGTATCTTAGCATAAAATAAGCCTACTGGTATATACGTGTTTTAATAAATAAAGCCTGGTGCGTATGCGCGAGAATATCATTTTTTGCTGTTTCATTCCCACCATCTGTGTTTTGATAGTTTAGCAACTTCATTAGTGCGTTCTACTAGAGGAATGGAGACACCTCAAGATCCCTCTCATAGAGATCTTCTAGCCCTGCGCCTGGTTTTGGGTCTGAACCGCCCCTCATCTCAAGCCCGTCTCCTCCCCGATCACTCAGTACTGGAAAATTCCCTTAATTCCTCTGAAACAACCCATTCCAGCCCTGCTGGTTCCAGTGGTTATAAGGGATGGCGGGTCACGAATTTTTTCAACTTCTTGTCCCGGATCACGGGTTCCACTACCAGATCTTCTTACACGCCAACTCAAACCGTTCATGAAAATAGCTCCGCAACTTCAAATATTGCCGATAATACTGTCAATTCCGCTCCACTGAATTTGTCTAAACCTGGAAACCCAAATGTGGCTGTCAAAAACTCAAATAGATCTGTGTCATTGCTGGACCATACAGTGAGTGATGTGACACGTCCTTCTCTCTCCGAAACGTTGAAAATCATGGGTGCAAAAACCAATGGTTCACTTCCTGGTAAGAGCAAATTTTCTGAGCCCCAGATAGATCGAAGACGGCTTGAATCTATTGAAAATAGCCCGTTTTTCCTGTCCTTAAGGAGAGAATCTCAGCTGGAGCTGAAACCAGAACCGCTGGTCAGCGTTAGCCCACCTAAAGTCCAGGTAGCTGGTACGCCTCCAGAGGAGCTTGATTTTAAGTTTGCAAACCAGAAAGATCTGTCGGTCGCAGAATGGAATAAACGAGTCCAAAATAGTCCTTTTTTCTCTCGGGTGACAAAACCAAACTCCATTGATCTAGGACAACTGACACAGATCCAGACCAGTCGGTCTTACAAAGAAGAAAGTAACTCAGGAAACGGTAATGAAGGAGAACCCGTCTCAGACTGGGCCGAAAAGCTCCATAATAGCCCATTTTTTAAGAGTTCTCCAGGACCTAGGAGTAGTTTTGGTCAGCAATCTGATAGTATTTACCTTCGTGGCCAGGAAAACCAAACTTCTCTCCTGAAGAAGGTGTCTCAATATGTTGAAGAAATCGAATCAGCATCCGAAGTGTATGATGATACTTTCACAGAGCACCGTAAACGACCTAAACAACGAGGAAAACATAAACGCGATTTGGCCCTCAAAAAGTCTCTCGAGAAAGGTAAGGGAAAGATTGTGTCAAATGGTGATTCAGGCTTCAGACGCATATACGTCGATGTTTCAGACGTCGAATCGGAGTCTGCTGAGTCTGAGAGTCTCAAGAGGAAACTGCTTCTGCCCATCGACAAAGCTTTGAAGAAATCCAAACAATCCTTGTTCGTGCCGGAGAATGAACCACTGATTGGATCATGGAGGAATACAGCACCTTTGAAGTCGGCTAATGAAGAGCCAACAGCCCAGGAAATTCCATCCACACATGCTGTTCTTCAAGTGGGTGTTCACTCAAGTCCACAAATTCAACATCAACGCTCCCCGTCGTCTCTAGTACAGTCTCCTAAGATCTCAAATTTGAAGTCACACGAGGAATCCATAAAAGAGCCAAAAGCATACCATGAAGCTATAGTATCTTTAGGAGACTCCCAGCCAAAAAGGCAAACCGTGATACAGGCGCCGTTGCATACGATTGTGCCACCATCAAATCACACACATAGGGCTTCACCGTCCCCAAGAATTCACAAGAATGTGACTGTACCTGGCTACCTTGTGAGGGAGAAAAAACCCCGAGTAGAACAACCGATTAAAAACAGACAAGGACGACCACGGAAAAATCGTTTGAAACCACCAAAAGTTCCAAAAGAAACGAACTCCCCAACACAAACTGTACAACTACTAAAACAACCCCCATCAAATCCCACGGCCCAAAAACAGGAATTCTTAGCACCAATACTGACCGTGCAACCCCCGTACTTCGAAACCTTTCAAGCCTCAGAGGTGCACTCACTGCAACATTTCTACTCACACTTGCCGTTATTCATATCCAATAATGCAAGAGGCTACCAAGACCCAGTGTCTCAGCCGTGGTCAAACCCGCTTCCAGAACAGCATACCCCACAACCAAAGGTACTGAGCACAGTGGGTGTACCAATTTGGCCATTAGCTTCGAGCCCAACCTTGGACCAAAAGCCTCCCACACTGCCACCTCTTTTCGTGGGCTCTGCTTCAGAAAATGGCGATGAATACGAAGTAATAGCTCCCACAACAAGTAGCTGGTTTTCTGGCCCAGAGGTTTCAACAACCCTGAAGTCACCGGAACAGATGAAACAGACAGAAGAGACTAACCACAAAATAAGAGCACTTGTACACAAGGATAACTCTCCCGTGGAAACTGAGAAGTTAAAGAAGGCTCCAAAGCGAAAGATCACTCCGAAGGCAGTGGCACTGTTGAGAACACGAACTTCAAGGCTGCAAGCCGATCGTTTACTCTCAGTTTCGGTGTCAGAATCACCATCTCAGTCTCCACCAGCAAAGCTGCAACCTGCCGCTCCGGTATTGGCCAGTCGAACGAGATCGAAACATATTGTAAAAGAATTGGTCCCAGGCGACTTCACACACAGGAGAAAACCCTCTTCCAAACAAAGAGAAAGAGTGATTTCTATAGAGGACTTAGCCCGAGCAGTGCTGACCGATGTCAAAAAAAAGTACAGTAGCAGATCTCCTACAGTGCTGGAAGCACGATCAGGACTACAAATAAATTTCGACCCTCATTCTAGGAGACGGATACTGAAAACTCGAGAGCCATTGCTGATAGCTGTTGAGGAGTATAGCGGTCTGGAGGCGGATACACTGTACGATAACCAAGGAAGCACCGAATCAGGTGAAATATCTCCATAAAAATGTAAAATGGCTGCAAATCAGAATAGGACCGCTCATAAAGAGCAGGAGAGATACGTTGGTGTAAGAAGATTAGTGTAGAAGTGATACAATCAAATACACAATGGTCGGACAACAGTGTTACGGTGCGGACTGGCGGAACAAACTGTGGTTTTCGTTGCTCGATTTCTATTCCTGGCGTGTGGCACATTTTTTGTGCTTATATAATGGCTGCGGCCTCCCCTACTATTCAAGTATTTGTGCTCACAATATGGTATCTCCAAAGTATAGCAAGTCTCACTTCTTGTATCCCTACAGTCATTTTACTGACTTCCCACACACCATCAGTTTGTATGTGGACTACAATTGCCGTTTTAGTGCCAAGTTGTTCTTAAAGTTTAGAGAGTCTGTGATCCCTGAGCTCGAGAAGCAATACCCCGGTAAGTTTCAATTTGTGTACAATCACGTCATCCAGCCATGGCACCCCAACTCAGTATTCCAGAACGAGTTTGGGCTTTCCATTGCAAAGCTCATTAGAGAAAGTGGCCAGCACAATAGTGAATTGTTCTGGGCAGTTTCGGAGTCGTTATTCAAGAACATCATCAAGTTTTACGACAATGCCAACTCCGATAAGGGCCGTAATGAGATATACTCGGACATCTATGATGTGGTTTCAGGAGACATCAAGTTGCCCTTCACCAAAGAGCAGGTGTTGGCCAACATCGCTATCAAACAGGTTGAACTGGAGGAAGACTTTAGTCAAGAGGGTAACGCTTTGGCGGTGGACTTCAAGTATTTCACCCGGTACCAGAGGACTGTAGGAGTCCATATCACCCCCACCGTGTATGTGAACGGCATCGTGGCTCCCTCCATTGAGTCGAGCACCGCTCCAGAAAAAGTGGTGGAGATATTTGCTTCCCATTTGTAAGTCTATATATTGAAATAGTGAGTGTATGGTTTTTTCAATTCGCGTTCCCCATATTTTTCAGGCCCAAATACACAAATGAGAAGAGAACCAGAGTACATTGAGCTCTCGGCCATTGGCCCTGACTTGATTGACGATGGAGAGTCGACGTTGCCGACACCGACGCTGATGCATCTATCAGACAGCCAGCTCCGGATTATTTTGTTGCGGTTGGGGATCATCAGTGATGATAGCTTTAAGTTGAAGGTGCCGGTTGCACACATAGAGTCACCCTATGGAGCCAATTTCATGATTGAAAAGATAGCTGGCTTGGACGTTGAAACCGCTTTGACAATACTCCGAGACACCATCGCCAGTCACCGTGGAGATGTGAATTTTTTACACGAAGACTACCGATTACTTGAGCGGCTCGTGAGGCAAGTACCCACAGACTATGGTGACGACCATATAAATAACCCCCAAGAAGCTGAGAAAATCCAGGAGGATCTCGAGGAGAAAATAGACTACTCCACGTTCAAGAACAAAACCTATCTCAACATCATAGATTGGGAGTTACAAGTACGGTTGGAGGCTGCTTTGATAGAATTTCATTCCCCCTATCCAGAAATCAGGTCCATCACCGATCCCTTTGATGATCCCACCATCCCTGTCGACACTTTGAGAGCATATGCTATTGGGTTGTTCTGGACGGTTATTGGGTCTATTGTCAACAATTTCTTTGTTCACCGAATGCCTTCCATCTCCCTTAGTTCACACACCATTCAATTATTATTACTACCAAGCGGAAGACTATGGGAAAAGTCGTTTGTGTATAACAAACAGGTGCATGTGCTTGGGCGAGTAGTCAACTTGAATCCGGGGCCATGGAATTGCAAGGAAATGATGTTGAGTTCTATCATCTATCTGTGCTCATCAGGGACACCTTACGCCATTTATAACATTTTTGTCATGAAGTTGGATAAATTCTATGGTCTCAAGTGGGTGACCCTTACATTCCAGCTCTTGCTTGTTCTCTCTACCCAATTCTTGGGGTTTGGATTTGCTGGTATAATGAGGAAAATCTGTATTTATCCGGCAAAAGCATTATGGCCCACTGTATTACCATTGATAGCATTGAACAGAGCCTTGGTAGACCAGGAAGAAAGCAAGCAGTCCATTTATGGCTGGAGTATCTCTCGATACTCATTCTTTTTCGTGGTATTCATTGTCAGTTTCTTCTACAATTGGTTACCCTCGTTCTTCTTTAAGGCATTATCCACCTTCAACTGGCCAACATGGTTCAGGCCAGATCTGTTGCATTTAGCTAATATAACCGGCTCCAATATCGGCTTGGGATTGAATCCTTTACCAACACTTGACTGGAATGTCCTCAATGCAGCTGGCTGTTTGACAATCCCATTCTACACCTATTTAAACCAGTACATTGGTACCGTATTGGCATTTTTCGTGATTCTCACCATTTACTACACCAACAACAAATGGACGGGGTACTTGCCAATCAATACCAATGAGCTTTTCAACAATAAAGGTGAAGTCTACAAAGTCCATGAAATTCTAAATGACAAAAACCACTTTGACAAGGGAAAGTACCTGGAAATTGGTCCACCTTATTTTAGTGCTGCCAACTTGGTAGTATACGGTGCTTACTTTGCCCTCTATCCGTTTGCTATTATATATCATGTTGTCAGTGAATGGGACTCGATGAAAACCAGCTTCAAAAACGTTGCAAACACCATGTACGAATCGTTTTCATTCAAATCTAAAAGCGTTTATGGGCTGTTTATCAAAGACCCTCATTGCAGAATGATGTCCAAATATGATGAGGTCCCAGACTGGTGGTTCATGGCGATTCTTGTCATTAGTACTCTTTTTGGAATCTTGTGTGTTTTGGTGTATCCTACAGAAACCCCAGTCTGGGGGATATTGTTTACCATTGCCATAAACTTTGTGTTCCTTATCCCCATCACGGCTATTGCTTCTGTAACGGGATTCTCGTTTGGCTTGAATGTGTTGGTAGAGTTGATTGTGGGGTACGCCATTCCCAACTCAGGTCTTGCATTAATAACTTTAAAGAGTTATGGAACCAACATCGACCATCAAGCTGCGAACTATATCACCGACCAGAAGGTTGCACATTATGCCAAGATCCCTCCTAGAGCCATTTTCAAGGGTCAAATGATTTCCACGGTTGTAAGCATCGCCATCTCTTTGGCAATAGCTAATTGGCAATTGGGCAACGTCGAAGACCTCTGTGAAAGGCACCAAAAGAATAAATTGAGCTGTCCTGGAGCCAACACATATTTCTACTCTAGCATTCAATACGGAGTAATTGGCCCTGCCAAGGTATTTAGTGGAGTTTATCCGGTGTTGAAATGGTGTTTCTTGTTAGGAGTTGTTCTTGTTATTCCTTGCATTTTATTCAAGCATTACGGACCCCGGAAGCTCACCAGGTACTTCAATCCAACTGTGGTGATTGGTGGTTTCTTATTATATGCTCCGTTCAATCTTCTGTATTATACTGGAGGATTTTACTTGTCATACATCTTCATGTACTATATCAAGAAAAACTACATTTTATGGTGGGAAAAATACAACTATATTCTTACCAGTGCGTTGTCGGCTGGGGTGGCATTTAGTACATTGCTTATATTTTTCACCGTGAGATACGATTCAATCGAAATCAATTGGTGGGGCAATACCATCTCGGACATGGGAATCGAAGGCGATAAGTTGCCTCTTAACTGGCTCGACATTCTGACAGCACCAGATGGATACTTTGGTCTCCGTAAGGACCAATTTCCATAACTTCATATAATGTACCTGATGTTTGCAGCCAAATAGGCAACGGCCCGCTCGACCGCGCGCGACTTTATGACGACATATGTCTCTGCTCGCCCACATTAAATGTGATTCATTTCTCATTGAAAAATTATTCTTCCCCCACTTGCAATGTTTAATAATAGCTTACTCGGGAACACTTGCAAGAGTGCTCAAAGAGCTATGGTCAGAACGAACGTGTCGAGTTCCACCTCGGCGTTGGCCTATAAGACTTTGCGTCGTAACCAGAAGAGGCCTCCTTTGCCGACTTTGGACACTCCCAACTGGTCTGCTGGTGCTGCTGTTTCTCTGATTTTGTACGAGACCCCAGCTCCTTCTAGAGCCCCAAGAAAACAGCATGTGTTGAACTGCTTGGTGCAAAATGAACCAGGTGTTTTGAGTTCTGTGTCTGGAACCTTGGCTGCTCGTGGATTTAACATTGACTCATTGGTGGTGTGTAACACTGAAGTCAAGGACTTATCCAGAATGACGATCGTCTTGCAAGGACAAGACGCCGTCATCGAACAGGCCAGGAGGCAGATCGAGGACTTGGTGCCAGTGTATGCGGTTTTGGACTACTCCAATGCTGAGATCATCAAGAGAGAATTGTTGTTGGCCAGAGTGTCGATTTTGGGACCAGAATACTTCCACGAATTGATCGACAGCCACAAGTTGTTTGCAGAAGACGGGTCTGCTATTCCCGACTTGGAGGCCCACGAGTCGATCTATCATCCCAACAACTTGGCACCTTCTGAAGCCTTGAGGCAAAAACACAACCATTTGGAACACATTTCCACCATTACGGAAAAGTTTGGTGGTAAGGTTGTGGATATTTCCGACAGAAACGTCGTGGTGGAGTTGAGTGCCAAACCTTCCAGAGTGTCGTCTTTCATTAAATTATTGCACCCATTTGGGATTTTAGAATTGGCCAGGTCAGGTATGATGGCTTTACCAAGAACTCCTTTGGAAGGCTTGGTGGAAGAAGAAGATGCGGTTGACGCTTCGGATGTTGTGGACGCCTCGCAGTTGCCTCCAGGTTAGTTGTAGTTAATATAAGAATACGAATAAGAATCAAAAGAAGACCCTTTTTCTCTCAGTGGGTTAATAATGTTATAACGGGGCCTTAGCATGTGGTGGTACTGCTGCTATTATATTTATTTCGCTCTGTTCTTGGACCTAACCGAAATAGTTCCACCCAGAACTGTATGTAGATGAAAGTCGCTGCTGATCAAATTATCATTAGCGAGCAAAGCAATTATATCCGGTTGGAGTAGTTAACATCCACAAAAACCAGCACAAAAGCCATGTGCGCTTCTGCACTAAAGCAGACATGGAAATTTCCCTGCTTCTATTTTTATTGAATCCCCTGCACTCTAATGACGGTCCTATATTTCCATTAATATACTCTGTAAGCGCCAGGTGAGGTGAAATAGCCGAATTTGCAGCCGCAAGTCGGTGGCTACACGCAATACATAGTTCGCACTGGGGAAGTCCAACAAAAGCTTTAAAACCTAATTGTAAATAGATGGCACCAGACAAGCTTGGCAAGGCCAAGAAGCCTTCGCTAACCAAACTGGAGCGACGCGACCAAGAGGACGGTACGCTGTTTTCTGGGATGTCGGGCCAGCCGCCCCTCGACCAGGCTCAATCTTTTGGACCCTACTACCAGCCATTTTACAGCCAACAAATGTACCAACCAGAAAACCACATGTATGCAGTGGGAACTCTGAGAAGCCCGGCACCTTCGGTGTCCTTCAATCAGTACCAAGTTCAATCCCCCGAGAACACACGGGTTCCGCCTGCTTTCCCCCAGTTGATGGTTCCACCCCAAGTACCACCCCAAGTTCCACCCCAGATACCTGCAAATCCCTACCAAACCCTGGGCCTGGTACCAGTGCCAGTGTACCACGAGCCGGAGCGAGCCTGGAATCACCTCACTACATCTTCCACATCCACAAACAGCACTGATTCTCTGAACAACCACAAGAACCATAAGGACTTTACCAGAGTGATTATGGAAGAGCCTTCAAAGAAGAAGATCAAAAAGAATTCCAACGTCGTCAGGCGCCGTGCTCTCACGGCGTGTAATACGTGTCGGATCAAGAAGGTCAAATGTGACAATATCCGACCCCGTTGTGGCTCCTGTGTCAAGAATGGAGTGGATAACTGTGAGTACAGCCACGAAGACCAGTTTAAAGATGTCTCATTAGACCCTACATCGGTGACGATTTTACTGAAATTAGACGTGATTTTGGATGAGATGAAAACCATGGGGGCTTCCCGTCCACGGACTAAGGCTTTTGTCACGGCGTCTCGAAACGGAGTGTGGGACATGTCTTTTTCTTCGTTTATGCAATGGAGGTTTTTCAACGAGAAAATGCCTGAACTCAGTGAGGAGTCAGACGAGATGGAGGCACGGTTGATGGAACTCTACACGTCGGGAGAATTAGACTCTGCGGCCGAAGTAGACGACATTTTGGGGGTTTTGAAGTCCATTGAAGAGGTGATGACTGGGTCTTTGCTGCAGAGTTTGAACTCATATTTTGTCAACTGTCACACCAAAGTGCCGTTAGTTGATGTGCTTGATTTCATTGAATCGGTGGAGATTTACAAGGCTCTTCTCAAGGCGATTCCGGGGTTTACACTTTCAAAACTTGCATTGGCGTATCATCGCGCCCAGGGAGAGGATCGAGAAATTGATGCAAAATACATGGATGCGTTGACAGAGATTTCGATCAGAGATCCTCAAGCACGGAAGGATGCTCTAGACAGCTTGTGCAGGAAGATTCCTTTGATTCCGGTGGTGTGCGCTCTTGGCGTACTTTCATCACCAATACAGTTTGACAACTTTGCTAAGTACAAGAGCTCTGTGGAAGAAAGAAACGATGTGACAACGAGCTGTTTGACAAGAGAGAGCATTTCCAAGATCCCTGAACTGGTCAAGAAAGAACGGTTTTCGATTGCAAATAGCCTTGTCACTTACGCCAAGGTGATCGTTGACATTTTCCCCAGCATCTGTAAGGAGTACACCACTGAGTCCATTGTTTTCAACATTTTGCTACACCAATTTTCCATGTATACCATGCGTCCCATTGTGGCTTATAGACATATCAACTTGGCGTGCCATGACATTATGTACTTCATCGAGAAAAGTAAAAACGGTGGCCATGTGTACTATAAAGATGAAGCTACCAAAGGCTTGATGGAGAGGATGTTTTGGATATGCTTGAAGCTTGAGTGTGAAATGAGAGCTGAGTTGTCACCCCGGGTGCCCGTGTCTGGGATCTTGGACATTGAACCTCCTTGTAATTTTCCTACTGTTCCCGATCCAATCATCAATCAACTAGAAAGTGAATATCATAGCGTGGAAAGTGTACGAATTGCAACCAAATTCGATGACCAATACACCTGGTACTATTTCTTGACTGAAGTGGCAACTCGGAAAGTCGACAATGAGATGTTTGATGAGTTTTACTCCATCGATGCTAATGAAGCTGGGTTGTTTGATCAGCCCAAGTTTTATGACGAGACCTTTTGGATATCTTTTATCCGGTATAGCAACCAGTATAACGGAATTATCAACTCTTTGAGTCCAAGAATTAGAAATTTCGTATTGAAAGAGGTTGACATAGCACAGGTATTTAAGTCCATTTCCAGTGCCTACGAACGAAGACGCGCAAATGATGGCACCAGTAACCAAGTGTTATCAGACCACTTGGATGATTTCTTGATAGACGATAACTTGATTATTCAAGCCCAATCGGAGGCCATTATGTATATTAAAACCCGAATCCTAACTTCCAAATTGTTGCTTTTCAGACCAATGATATACTTTATTTTGGAAGATAAGATTCCTATTGAGGATTTAATCGAGGCAGTGGTAGGTTTAATCTCCGATGAGCAGACCCAATATAACGATATGGGTGATCATTCTAGTACCAGTTCCTCAGATGTGCCAACATCCTCTTTCGATCATGATGTGGGAATAAACTACGAGAAACTCCTCGAGGCGCCTTTGTATTTCCAAAAGAACAACACCCATGAGGATTTCTCCAATTTCTTCACCAGTGACGGTAAGCTGGATGAGTCTGCTTTTAAAATGAATCTCTTGGGAGAAGCAAGGAAGAAGACGCTCAAGTTGTTTCTTATAAATCTAAAATCAATGCCCAAACTTAATATGCCGAAGTTAGGTGGTCACAGGCACCCAGGACAGTGGTTTTATCTTCGAAACTTATTAATCGGAGGTTTCTACTTGTTTTTATTGCATAAAAAGATTGGTGACTTACTTGAAGCCATCAGGTCTGACGAAAATCAAAGATCGGTATTTTCGTCCAATCCCATTATTCAATCTCTTGGTAACTTGTCAGATGTGTTTGATTCAATTTTACCCAAAGAGATGGTCACATCCACTTTGGAACACTCGTTGTTGGTGTATGAATACTGGAAAAAAGAATCTAAGGATTGTGAGGTATACGCAGAAATCATCAGCAAGCTTTTGGCAGCGTGTCAAGATTAAACAATATATTATGGGTACTGTAAATTAAATAGAGGAATGATAAATGTATATGACAGACATGGTTTGCAACCAGGCATTGTTTGCAAGCAGCAAAAAGTGCGGACATTTTTTATCTCTCCGATCTCGCATTAAAGTCTGTACCGAAGCTCGAAGTCAAACGCAAGTTTTTCAAGTTACATTCATTCTGTAGAATTGACCACGGCTTTCATAAGATGGAAAGCTCTATAGATGCTAACTGGACCAATGAGGATTATGAAATCAAGGAGCAGGACCGGTTCCTCCCCATTGCAAACGGTATGTGAAAAGAAATTAAATGCAATACCCCACTAAGATGCTCATTACTAACTAAAACCAGTTGGAAGAGTCATGAAAAAGGCCTTGCCAGATCATGCAAAGCTTTCCAAAGAGTCCAAGGTGTGTATCCAGGAATGTGTGAGTGAGTTCATCTCATTCGTAACTAGTCAAGCCGTTGACCGATGCAACATCGAGAAGAGGAAAACCCTCAATGGAGAAGACATATTATGGGCCTTATACACCTTAGGGTTTGAAAGCTACTCCGAAACCCTCAAGATATACCTTGCCAAGTATCGAGAATTTGAGCAGAAGGAAGCAGAAAAAAGGCCTCCTAGAAAGGCATCCAGGAAAAGAGCCAAACAAGCCACTCATGAACCTGAACCTGACTACGATTCGGAGGATTTCCTCTCTGAGGATATCAGTCCAGGAAACTCGGATAGCTCATTAAGCAGACATGTTACACGAGAAGCGTATATGAAGACTCCTGCTGGTAATATGGAAGTTACCAATGGTGCGGACTTCAAGTATGACTTCAATGACCCGACATTTGTCAACTTCAACATGAATCAACGGTCCAACTCCATGAACTATTTGCTTATGCCATCCAGAAGACAGTCGAGTATCAAAGCTGAGGGTGAAACAGACTTGCCAAACTTTGAGGAGTTTGTTGATCGGATAGAGCAGTAGAAGATTGTAATTGTAATATAAATTTTGGAAGCGGGTCGGATTTTATTTACCTTTGTTGTTCATCTTGATTTTCTTCTTCTTGGGATATTGCTATTGCCTTGTGGTGCCCAGGATGCCAAAAATCAAAAAAAAAAAACGACAACTGCAGGACTCGAACCTGCGCGGGCATAGCCCAAAAGATTTCAAGTCTTTCTCCTTAACCGCTCGGACAAGTTGCCTGAATATAAGCCGAAAACCCACATGCAACTACAAGCCCGAACTTCCCAAACTATAAATGTATATAACTATTATGGTCTGTACCTGTCTCGCACTCTGCTGTTCAACCGACAAACATTCCCAAAATAATGAACTCTGCCACTATTAAAGTGCTTCTCGCAATTCGCAGCAACTGACCCACCTGAAAATCACATGCAATAGTCACGTGATGTACAGTCCCATATCAGATCTATAAAAACCCCCAATTGTCCCACCCAACTGCTAATTTCATCAAACACCTTTCACCATGTCCAAGAACACCATCAAGTCGCGTGACGAACTTCTTGACATGTTCCGCAACGAGTTAATCGAACTCATCGCCATGACCATCCAGTGCGAAGGCCATCCAGAAGTGTTGGAATATTCCCAGGAAATGGAAAACATTCCCCAGAAACTCTTTTTCATTCTCCCAGAGTACTCAACGTACACCTTGACAATCAAGTATCGTGTGACCGCAAAACCGCTTGTGAAACTCACTTACTACCAAGTGGTGAAAAAAGGAGGAATTCCATTCAAAAGCCGAAAGGAGGAAATTGCAAATACTGCCGTCACCAATGACGACACCAACCCACACCACACGGTGACATTCCCGCCGGACGATATTCCTGGCGGGACATTTATTAGAGGAACATACCCAGCGGTTCTGACGTTTTACGCGGAAGGAAAACCGATATTCTCGACGGAGTGGGCTATTAAGGTTGTCAAACGTGGGACTCAGCCGCTGATTGGATACTAGGTCCATGTTAATGTGTAAATAATGTATAACGAAGAAGCATATCTGTATACTATCTGTGGTAGTGTGACGATGGCTGCAACTGCGCGTAGTGCAAATCCGAAACCCGCACTCTCAAGTCACACTTACCAAACCAATCACCCGTAACCTACTATGAGTTCTCCTAAAAGACGTATGGAAAAGGATGTGATGGACCTCATGATGAGTGACCATGACGTCCAACTTATCGACGACAACATCCAACAAATGTACGTGCTTTTCGAGGGGCCCGAAGACACCCCTTACAAGGGAGGCACCTGGCGAGTAAGGGTTGAATTGCCTGATCAATACCCGATTAAGTCGCCTTCCATTGGATTCATCAACAAAATCTTCCATCCCAATATTGATGAAAGCTCTGGCTCCGTGTGCCTTGATGTGATCAACCAGACGTGGTCTCCAATGTTTGGACTTTTAAATGTGTTTGAGAACTTCTTACCTCACTTGCTCCGGTACGCCAACCCTAGTGATCCATTGAACACAGACGCCTCGAACTTGATGTCCAGAGACGAACAGTTGTACACGCAGAAGGTGCGCGAGTACGTGGCCAAGTTTGCCCAGAACATCACTAATGACCACTCAGATTGGCAGGATGATAATGATAAGGATGTTGATGAAGACGAGCTTAGTGACGTGGGCAGCTTGTCGAGCGATGATTACGACGCGGTGGCGGGCGACATCGACCTTTAATGAGTCATAGCATAACTATAGTCGGGGTGTGTTGATTGCACCACCGGGGCATGTTAGAGTGTATAGGTATATGAATATACAACCATTTAAGAAACTAAAGTAGTGTTTATTGGATAATATATAGTGCTGCAGATTGGCCGGAGGCTTCAATACATTTCAATATCCAGCATTGACTGGTATATTTGGGTTAAGGGCAGAGACCAGTTCGGGAAACTTCAGTTAGTGTATGGAGAGGTAAAAGTCATGTTTGTGAAATTTCAGTCGGTGTATGGGTCAGTAAAAGTCATTTTCGGGCGTACAGGGGAATAATCAATGGGGCAGACTTGGTGTGTGCCACCGCTGATGTGCTGCCTTTCACTCCGTCTGTGGACTGGATTGTAATGTTCTGTATTCATGTCCGTTTGCTTCACTTGTGTAAAACTCGGAGGAATTCTGGTTCTGAAAGCATGTTCGTCGTCTGAAGAAAGAAGGATATATAGTTGGTTGAATGTTATTGCTGTTCATGGTGTAAAACGAGCTGGTGAACGAGGGTAACATCATAGGGTTTTTGCAGCAATTGAGAAGAAGGTCAAAAGCGACAAGATAGTATTGTCAAAAAAAAAGTAGAACAAGCCATATTTATACTTCACCTACAGACACTGGAAACCTTCTAAGAACACTTCCAAACACGTTACAAATCCCCACCCCGCCAAATTCCAGGTGAAAATAGGTGGTGGAAGCTGGCAGAAAAACTGCGACTTTGTTCTTCCGTATTCTTTTGATGTGGAGGAAATGAGTCAATTGATAAGAGAAGTTGTATGTTGTGGCTGGCTAGGGAGTTGAGTTTGCGTCATAGGAGGGAGTTAATTGGTACTAGACTTTGAGAGAAGATTCTAACATTATCCGTGGAGAACAGATACTTGTCCACATCCCATATACTCTAACACCAGAAAATTTCGGAACCCAAGTAGGTTCTGTCCCTATCTCTCTGTAACTTTTCATCTGCGTGGGTGGTGCAACTGTCTGGTTTTACTGTCAAAATCCTTAGTTTATGTGTTTGAGGTTCCTGGGTCATCCTGGCTATCCGTCGCTTTCTTCGGCGCTCGCATCCCAATTTGCAATCAAAACTTCGCAACTATCTGACACCCACCAATGCTTTTCAATTCCCATACAATGGGCATTCCCAAAGCCTGGGTTATTACCAAACGGCACTTGACTGACTCTGTTCAAGTCATCGGCAGCTTGAAGAACCCTAACTTGTTTCAAACTCAGGGATATATAAACGGCAGATATGTCGATAGCAGCTCCACCCAAACATTTGATGTGAACAATCCTGCCAGTTTCCCGGATCCCAAGTCCTACATCGGCACGGTACAATCCATGACTGCAGATGACTTCAACACCGCCGTGGGCCATGCTGAAACCGCTTTCAAGACGTTTAGAAAAACTACTGCCGAGTATCGCTCAGACCTTTTGCGCAGCTTATACAACTCGTACATTAAAAACCAGGACGACTTAGCCAAACTTATTGTACTTGAAAACGGGAAGCCGTACGCAGATGCTTTGGGTGAAGTCAAGTACGCCGCGTCATTTTTCAAATGGTATGCCGATATTGCAACCACCAAAACCGGTGATATCATAAATTCCACCGGGACCAACAAGCGAATTCTTTCGCTCAAGCAGCCGATTGGCGTCTGTGGGATCATGACACCCTGGAACTTCCCTGCCGCAATGATCACCCGGAAGTTGGCGGCATATGTGGCTGCTGGGTGCACTGGGGTGATCAAACCAGCTTCTGAAACCCCTTTTAGTGCGTTGGCCATGGGACACCTTCAAGAGCAAGCAGGGTTTCCAAAAGGTGTCATAAACATATTGCCATCCTCAAATGCGGCTGAGGTTGGCAAGTTGCTCTGCGAGCATCCAGGAATCAAAAAGGTGTCTTTTACTGGGTCTACCAACGTCGGGAAGTTGTTGATGTCGCAGTCAGCTTCCACCTTGAAGAAACTCTCGTTCGAGTTGGGAGGAAATGCTCCATTGATTGTGTTTAACGACGTTGACATCGACCTGGCAGTAGATGGAGCCATTGCTTCGAAATTCAGAAGCAGTGGTCAAACATGTATTTGTGCCAACCGGATATTTGTCCACGAGTCCATCTACGATGAATTCAGTGAAAAATTCGCTTCTAAGCTTGAGGCTTCAGTCACACTTGGAGATGGGTTGGACCAAGGTGTCACCCATGGTCCTGTGATCCACGAGAGGTCGTTTGCGAAAGTCAGAAGCCATATTGAAGATGCTGTTTCCAAAGGTGCAAAGATCATTCTGGGAGGAAACCCCCGGCCCGACTTGGGGGTCAATTTCCACGAGTTGACCATCTTAGCTGGTGTAACTTCTGATATGCTTATCACCCAGGAAGAGACATTTGGGCCTGTTTGTCCGTTAATAAAGTTTTCGTCGGAAGAAGAGGTTCTCGCCATGGCCAATGACACCGATGTTGGTTTGGCAGGTTACTTCTTCACCAACGATATTAGAAGGGCATTTAGAGTGGCAGAAGAGCTTGAAGTGGGAATGATTGGTGTTAACACTGGTGCCATTTCCGAAGCTGCTTTACCATTTGGTGGAATAAAGGCCAGTGGTTTTGGTAGAGAAGGGTCTATTTATGGTGTTGACGACTACATGGTTGTCAAATCTATGGTCATTGGATTATAATACACATTTTCTCTTTGTTAGTACTGGTCGGACAGAGACCCGTTGAAATCGCTTCTAATTACTTGTGAAATTTCTGGAGTGAAAGATTCAGATCCACTATCAATAACCATATTATTATGGACCTCGATTTGACCTTGGGCCTGTAATTCATAAGGAGTTATATCCAAGTTCTGCACTTGCAGTATATCATCAACTTTGATGGACCCACTGTTAATGGTGGTTTTGGTGAAAGCAGCAGGGTTGACCAAGAAATCTTTTCCTGGGACGTCAGCCTTATAGCTATTGAAAATCTCTTTTCCCACGTCTTCAAGGGAATTCTTGTTGCTCACGATTTGGGTGAGCTTTGCGTTGAGATTGGTGACTTCCTGGTCTGCTTTTGATGTATTTTCTGGAGCCAGGTTTCTCAACTTGGCGATATCTGCTTGTAATTGATGCACAGCTGACTGACCGTCAAACAGCTTGCTGGTGATTCTCGTAGGTTCTTCTTGCTTACTGTGGAACAACGCTTCACGCATTAACGCTAGCTGTTCAGCATATCGTGTGTATCCAATAGATTTATAAGTCAATGTTGATAATCCCCCTTCTTCAGAAAGACCGACTTTGATAGACGAGAAGTCGTTGGCAAACCGCTCTGTAGGTACTGGGTACACTTTTTCGACTATTTCGGTCTTGTCCTTCAAGGAAATCTTGACTGTATCGCTATATGAAGACATTGGTAGTTTACAAGCAGTTGTCAAAGATATTTTTCGTCTGGTCAAGTTGAGAAAATCAGTGCGCGTCGAGGTGATTGCAAAAATATGTGTGTAGCATAAAACTATATCATAAAAGAGAACTGAAATGAGTAATGTCGTAAACGAGTGTTGATTAGTGTCAGTCGGGTTAAGCTTTTCCACCGGAAGTTTCCATGAGGGACTCTTCGATACCATCGATCAAACAATCTATTTCTTCGACATTCAAACCACAACTTAAGCTGATTAGCTTACGGTACTTGTACATTTTGTCATCAATACCATGAAGTTTGATCTTTTCCGTCAAGCGACTCAATAAACCTGACCGTTCTATCTGCAAACTCGACAACTCTACCGCCAAGCCGAATTTGTTCAGGTGGTCATTGGATATGCTATCATCTTCATCACTAAGTTGTTCGTTACTCGAAACCAAGCTTGCCAATTGAAATGCTTGAACTTTTTCAAGTTTGTTGGCCAACACTGTTTCCTTGTTTTTCACCAAAGTTTCTTGAAGTAGCGCAAAGTCGGTCATCAGAGCATCCGCATCAGAAAGGTTGGAAACTTCATCGATCCCAATTTTGGTTAGACTGAACGTACTGTTGTACAAAAGCTTCTCATTGGAAGCTTCCTTTTCGCTGATTTGCTTTCTGACATTGGACTCTTCTTCTTCCAAATCTCTCATGCTGTCTTTGTAAGAGTCTGCTAACGACTTAACCATGACGGAAACCATTTGGGAAATATCGTCGACCTTAAATAACACTTCTGGTAAAGTTGCCTCGACTATGTTTCCGTCTTCGTCCAAAGAGGGTGGTTTGACGAGATATGATTCAGGCGAATCATCTTCCCTGATCTGGGCTTTTATGGATTCATGACCTTGGGGATCAACAGCCATTGGAGTGCTTTCTGCGGTTCTTTCCGATATCACTGCTAATGGTTGATGTGTCAAAGAACCTCCCAAGTAGGAATGGCTCTTGGTGGCTTGAATAGGTGTTGACATGGAGTCAAAGGGTTTCATAGAATCAAGGAAAATATTCTCCTTATCGTCGTCCACCGTGCTCTTCAACAACTGATTGAGTTGTTCTTTATCGACTCGGGCATTTCTATGGTGATCGTCGTCATCATCATCCTGTAAGGTTGTCCTTTGCGTGTCTGGAGTTTCCAAAACATTGGATCGACTTTGAGTAGGAGTTGATAGCTGTTTGATGGGAGCAGCAACTTCCAAATGTGAAGTTGGATGAATAGTGTCTATGTGCGTTGGTTCTGAATGTGGAGGTGAGTCTTTGGATGCTAAAAGATTATCTCTCATGATTATCTGTTTGGCAGTCTCCTGATTAACATTGTATAGATCGTCTCTGGCGTTATAACTCAATAAGTATTTCACAAGTCTTGAGCAGCCGGCTTTAGCAGCTAAGTGGAGGGAAGTGTCTCCATTAACATCCTGGTGGTCTAATACATTCTTGAGAAGATTAATAGACTTGTTGTTAGCACTTTGATTGTTCATGGAGGTCAATTTGCCCAAAAGCATTCCCATATAATACCTCAAACTATCGTATTTAGAAGGAACCTTGGAAAATTGACACAAGTAATGCAAGGGGGTTCTTCCATTGATATCCGTGTTTATGAGACAGATTTCCAAGTCGTCTAACACTTTAGGAAAGTTTTTCAACTCAAAACAATTATTGAAAGAAATCAACTTAGACAAAGGGTTCAATCCAAAGTTGTTAACCACCAATGGATTAGCTCCCTTGGACATCAAAAGATGGATCATCATATAGTTCCCTATCGACGCAGCCCAATGCAATGGCGTATGACCTTCGTCATCAATAGCCTCATTAATGTTAAAATCATAGGGAGGGTTATGGACAAAGTATGGAATAGCACCATTTTCTTCACTGAAGAATTTAAGCAATTGAGCAGCATATGACTCCTTTGGTTTCTTCATCTCTTCATTGGAAGATAAAGAAGTGTCAGATTCTTTATTGTTCTCATCTTGCGACCAAGTAGTCTCGTTTGTAGACTGAGAAGAGGGCATCTTTGAATGGTGGAACAGCCCCATGAATTGAGGATGATTCATTGGTTGCTGTTGCGGCTGCTGTTGCTGTTGCTGTTGCTGTTGCTGTTGAGAATATCCATAGTTGAACTGCGATTGAGGCACCTGTGGTTGAGGTGGTTGTTGCATTTGCATCTGCATCTGCATTTGGTACGACTGGTAGTCATTGTTCATGGGAGCATTCGGATTGAACGCCATGTTCTGGGACCCAGGCATATAGTCCTGTTGCACGAACGAGCCATTCACTGGGTACTGAACTGGCATAGACCCACCATTTGAAAAACTCGACAAGTGAGAAGGCATTCTGGAAACCGAGTTAAACGAGTCTGTTTGGTTAAACTCAGAAAACTGGTCGTCACGCTTGAACTTCTTGGGGGTGGTTCCATCAGGCTTCTTCTTCTTGACATATTTTCTCTTGACAGGAGTTCCATCTTTATTGGGAGGATCTTTGGCTTTTTTCAGAAGCTGAAACCCTGGGTTGGCAGGGTCAAAAAACAAAACGGGAGCCATGTCAGCATTCATACCGTAGCCAGTGGCAAGACGTTGAGCATCAGGAAGAGGAATCCATGTTCCTTGGAACCTTCCGTATCCTCCCTGAATCTTCTGATGCATTCCTTGTTGGACGCCTTTTTCCAAGATTTTAGTTCTCTTAGCCTTGGGAAAGTTACAACATTTAAGGATCTGGGTGGCATTGACCCAGTCATCTTTGCACCGCCTCATAAGAGGACATTCGTTTATTATGGACTCATAAACCTCTGTCTGCAAGCATGGTTGTTAGTAAGAGAAATCGAAAGTTGGTGGGCAGCAAGAACGCGTCTTTGGGTCCATTCGAGGATTGTTGGTAGAAAAGAATACGTACGTTGGAGTATGTGGCAAGGTACACCGGCGGCTCCTCTGTGGACATAGTGGGGCTGGTATGTGTGAGGTGGTAAAGATAGGATCAATTACAACTGGTAAAATAGAAACCAAGACCCTTTTGCACTTGAAAAGAAAAACCTCAGAACAATTTGACGATTTGAGAAAAATTGTGAGAGGGTAAGAAAAAATTTTTGTACGCGTTAACAAATCTTTATAGAGAGCGACTGGGAGGCTGGTACCACACCAGGAAAAGTCTCGTACGGCGGCTAGTGGGCGGTTAGGGAGAAAATGGTGGAGTTTATTTCTAGCGATCGGGTCATGCTATTTTCTGGAGAAGGTCTGCTGAATACCAGTAGCCAGCACAAAAATGAATGGGCCAATGATAGGATATTGCAGCCAATTGGTTGTAAAGTGCGTCTGTGGAGATACGATAGTTGCAGCCAAGCGAGATTTTTAAAGTGTGAGTATATTGGGTTATATTCTGATAAGTGATGGATGAGGTAGGTTTGAGATGGCTAGTGGGAGCCCAAAGGTTGGTTTTCTATTTATATGTAGAAATAAATTGGCTGTATCTGGTGACGTAGATTTGCGATTTTCACCATTTGTTGGCACTGCGATCAAAACAATATTTCGCAGCTAAAGTTGTCCGTGTCTTGTAATTATCTCTTATCTATTCACTCATTTCACTTCACTCAGTACAAATATACTTACATAGTCTACTAAAGATGGCCCAGGGTCTCCAACTGCTCCTCCACTTGCTTGATCGATTCGACCGTGATCTTAACCATTTCATCGGCTTCTTCTTTGGTGAGGGTGAAATGTGGAGCAAACATGATAAAGTCTCCGCCCACGTCACGGATACAGTCATTGGATCCCACTACACTCAATCCATTTTCAAAACAAGCATTCTTGGTCATATTATAGATCAGCAACAGTCTGGCAAAAGGCTCACGAGTAGCCTTATTTTTGACGATTTCAACCGTCCAGAATCCCCCCAAGCCTCTCACCTCACCGGCGATTTTGCTGGAGGCTAACTTCTCCTTCAACTGAGCACCCAAGTAATTTCCTTGTTCAAACATGTTCTTGGTTAAGTTGAGCTCTTCAATCTTCTTTTGAATCTCCAAAGCCACATAACAGTTGAACGCGTTGGATGCGTATGTCAGTGACCCTACAATTACATTGGAACCTTTGACATATTCATCTCTGATCTTGGAAGACACCAAAAGTCCAGCAATGGTGACATACCCGGAGCCCAAGGTCTTACCAACCGTTTGAAGGTCTGGACCTTCATTCAATGGCAAAAAGTTCTCCCAGCAGTTAAGACCTCCGCTGTTGATACGGCCGGTTCCACACATTACTTCGTCCAAGTGGAAAAGAATGTCGTACTTTGTGCATAACTTTCTCAAGCCATACATGTAAGTCTTGGTGGGGACTGGGGTTCCTATCGAAGTGCCACTTATGGTTTCAACCGTCATGGAAGCGATGGTTTCCGGGTCTTCTTTCAAGATTATATCTTCGTATTGTTTCAAAAGTCTTTCTGAGTACTCTTCTAAAGTCTCGCCTTCCTTTTGGTAGTGATAAGGATAGAATTCAGGTAATTTAACAAATTGAGTATCTGGGTGCAAAATATCCTTGAAAGGGAAAGCACGGTTGTTGTTACCAAGAGACAAGCATCCAAGAGAGTAGCCGTGGTAAGAGGTGTATCTCGATAAGTTTTTGATTTTTTGAGGCTTTCCTCTTTCCAACCAATATTGTCTGATGGTCTTTAAAGCGAGTTCGTTGGATTCAGATCCCGATGTGGTCCAAGTAGCAGCAGCAAAGGTTCCCGGGGGAGATCTTTTGATGTAGTATTCAGCCAATTCTTCCGCTGGTCGGTTACCGATCACAGCAGGAAATTGATAGGTGGTGTTCTTAGCAGCCTTGGTGATAAAGTCTACTACATCTTCATCACCCCATCCCAACGCACCCACGGCAGCTCCCGTCATTCCATCCAAGATTTCTCTTGTCTCGTGGGTTGCGGGATCCTTAACGGTGAATCTGGAGCCTTTACCACCAACAACTTCGGGAAGTCTTGTATCGACTTTAGCCTGGAACACGTAGGAGACTGGTGCCGTCGACTTTTCAGCGAAGGAAGGACTGGGAGAAACAGATGTTTGTGGGGTAGACGAGGTCGTGGCCATTATTGAAATTGTCGAGTTGTTTAAGGCACAAGCTGGAAAACAAAAGATTTTAAATAGTTTTTGGTGAGGACCTGATAAGAGCGGGTTTGCGATATCTTTTACCCGATTGGGAAGAATGCGCAAGCGGCTCAAGCTGCAACAAAATTCATCTAGATTGGCCGTGTTCGATGGCCAAGTGGCCCCAGCAAACGTGGAGTGTTGCCTTGGCCCGTGTGGGTCTGTAAAGCCGTGAGGTCAAGTTTCGAATCCTTCTTTGTACGTTAATTGGCTCGCAAACAGGGCGGAAGCGGAAAAATAAGGCGATCTTAGGACAACGTCGTAGTGTGATCTAAAGCGGTGGTAGGTTTCCTAATACAGTCCAAGCCGCTTGGCCAAAACATTATGGTTCCGATTACAAAAATGCAGGAAATGGATTTCTAGGCGTATGTCTACGGAATAGCGGTGAGAACCCGACAAATTCGCAGCCACAGATAAGGACCGGAAAACCTCCGGAAAATAGGCACAAACGGTATGAGCCTTGACGGAATCGGGCACCAACGGGCGCTAGTGTCCCTAACCCTAGTAACACTCATTAGCCATTAGAGGGGAAGTGGGCCAGATTTGACCTGAGGCCTGGGTGTACGGGTCAGAAATTTGGTGGGTGTATGGGTCAATTGGCGGGGCCGGTGCGGCTATACCCCGATCCATCCCATGTCCACATCTGCAGCAACAGCGACCTGTGCCACCGCCGCGTTCAGGACGTATTGTTCCCACCGCTCGGCCATGGTTCTACCGTTCCACTTCCTAGCCTCGACCTGGGGCATTCCTAGCGCCTCAATCACACAACCGCTCACCAAGTTGCCACAAATGGCAGCGGCAACTGGGTTACGGGAGATGTACAAGCCCATCATGAAGCCGCCACAGAATGAGTTGCCACCGCCAGTTACATCTACCACACCCGCCTGGTCCTGGTGGTACGCTGGGAGATGGGTGGTGTTTGTGGCGGTAGCCACCACGCAACCGAGAGCTCCGCACCGTAGCACGCAGATAACAGCACCTAGATCCACGTACCGGCGGGCGAGAGACTCAATGGCACTCACATCGGTCGGCACCACTGACATGCCCATCAATGAGCACGCCTCCTCTAAATTGGGGGTGAATACGTCGATGTGGGGGAGAAGTTGGTGCAATTTCTCCCAGCGGCTGGCCACACAATCTGTCGGTAACGGCTCGAAAATGAACTGTGAGTCACAATTGACGGCCCGAATACCATCCACCAACTCCTGGCACCTGTCCACCAGGCAGATCACGTGGAAACACTTGGAGTGAAGAAGGGATGGAAGTTGATGCAAGTCTGCCAACTCGATGCGCTTTTTCGGGGTAAGATAGTCAAAATGACGAGTCCCGTAGCGGTCGTAGGTGTTGCGTCCCCGTGTGGTGAGACGTTCTGGGTCAGTACGAAACACTAGTGCCGTGCCCCACGAGTCCAACTCCCGTCGCACCGGTGGAGGGAAGTCTTTACCTTGATCGATGATTCCCGAGACCTGCAGTGCGAGGTTGGCCAGAATCATCGCAGCTCCTACCACGGCATACAGCCCGCCACCTCCAACAATGTTGTACTCAGGAGCGCGTAAGGGCTGGCCAGGAGCCGTCTCGTAGACGTTCTCATCGATGATGAACATTCCAAGACTGGTGAACACTACCATGGTGTGTGAAAATTGTCTAGTTCGCAGTAATATTTTCGCGGAGAAAACGCTGGTGAAAAGATCTAACCATGAGACATAGCAAGAATACCACAGCGAACAGCCTATTTTGGTGTTTTTGTGGACAGAACCACTTGTATCACTAACATTTATTTCCTTTGTGTGTGCCCAGAGGTGCTGTCACGTGGAGTCTGGGGTGTGCCCTTACCGGTCCGGTTTTCCTGTCTTCACAAACAAGGTCCACGCGCGGCTTTGGGCATGCGAAAATAACCTCAGAGATAACCCCAATAACAACTACCAAATGGTGACCACAGGTTCTGTAGGCGGTGTTATCGCCGGATTGAACCCGCTCGAGTACTCGAGTCTGTCGCCGTACACTATCTTCATTTTTCAGGCCATCTTCATCTTGACAATGTGCAATCTCGTACATTTTCCTATCAAGTACCTTCAACAGCCACGAGTGATTGCAGAGGTGATTGCAGGCATTTTACTCGGCCCCACGGTGTTGGGCCGTATTCCTAACTTTACCGATAATTGCTTTCCGACCGAATCGATTCCTGGCTTGACATTGATGGCCAACATTGGTATTATTTTGTTTTTGTTCATGGTGGGTATGGAAGTTGATCTCGGATACATCAGAAAACACCTCAAGGCTGCCGTCACCGTGGGGTTGGTCAACATGGCGGTGCCTTTCGGCTTGGGGTGTGCGATCTCGGTCGGTATGTATCATCGTTACAGAGAAAACGCTGACTTACCTCCTATCAAGTTCACCACTTATATGGTGTTTATAGCGGTGGCTATGTGTATCACGGCATTTCCGGTGTTGGCACGGATCTTGACCGAATTGAACTTGATTTCTGATCGTGTGGGGACGATTGTGTTGGCAGCCGGGATCACCAATGACTTGGTGGGGTGGATATTGTTGGCATTGGCGGTGATTTTGGCCAATTCGTCTGCCCCCGTCACCACCGTGTACATTTTGCTTGCCACAGCTGCATGGTTCGTGGTGATGTTCATTCCTGTCCGTCGGGCCTTGCTGTGGTACCTCCGCCGCTTTACCAATGACTTGGTGACGGGTGAACCCAGCCAGTTTCTGATGATGTTGATTTTGTTGTTGGTATTTGTGTCGGCGTTCTACACTAATATCATCGGAGTGCACGCCATTTTTGGAGCGTTCATGGTCGGGGTGATTGTGCCCCGGGATAATGGATACGTGATTCGGATCACTGAAAAGTTGGAGGATTTGGTGCATCTTTTGATGATTCCGCTTTATTTTGCGGTTGCAGGGTTAAACGTCAACTTGGGTCTTCTTAATGAAGGGGTAGACTGGGGCTACACCATCGGAATTATTGTTTTGGCCATGGTGGGCAAAATTGCAGGGGGGTTTGTGGCTGCAAAATTCAACAAGCTCCTCTGGAGAGAGTCTTTGGCGGTGGGGGTGCTAATGTCGTGTAAAGGAATTGTGGAAATTGTCGTTTTGAACGTGGGATTGAACGCACAAATTCTCACCCAGAAGACTTACTCGATGTTTATTGTCATGGCCTTGGTGACAACTTTTTTGACCACTCCGTTGACCTTACGCGTGTACCCTCTTAGTTATCGGGAGAAGGTTGCAAAGTTTTTGAAAGGAGAAATCGCCTGGGACGGCACTTCTTTGGTGTCCCCAGATTCGGCGGAAACAAAGAAAAGCTTCCGTAGCACGGATATCAAGACTTTTACTGAAATCGAGATCCCTAGAACTTTGGTTTTGTTAAAAAGCATCGAGGCTTTGGCTCCTTTGATGTCGTTCATCGAAAAGTATCTCAAGAATAGCAATGAGCCAACGGTTCAGTCCATTCACTTGAGGGATTTCAGTTCTCGTACTTCTCATTTATTGGAAGCGTCTACCATGAGAGAAGATAACCAAAGTATGGAATACAGCACCTCTGTTTTAGACTTATTCCGGATCTTTTCTCATTTATTGGGATTCCATACCACCTCCAAGTCGATCTTAACCACCCCAAAAAACCAAATGCTTATTCTTAACGAGCAAGTGCAACACGAAACCGAACTTTTGCTTACTTGTGATAAGGCTTCAAATGTATTGAATACTCATATCGCTGAAGATAATGAGAATTCGGAGAACGCATTGTACAGAAAGATCTTCAAGTCTGCCGAGTGCAACTTTGGATTATTCCTCAAGGCTTCCTCTGAAGGCAGTGTTGACACTATCGAAAAGACTGATAATGGGACATTGTTTGAGCACGAACCGACTTCGACTTTTGGTGTCAATGTGGTTATCAGCAATGACAACTCATTGACGCCATCCGACTTCTTGGCTCTTCACACTGCCTTTCAATTGGCTGTTGAGGCTTCTTCAGTAAACCTCATCATCAAGTCGTCCTCCCAGTCGGTGGGCATGGACGATGAACTTGAGGCCCTCTTCAAGGACCTTGTCTCCGATGTCACCATTACGCGTGTGAAGCAGTTGAGTACGTTTTCTGATGAAGTACTTAGGATCAAACCTTCGTTCAAGTCAGACATCTTTGTTGTTGCTAATAACTTGTCGATTGAGTCCAGTAATGTTCTCAGTGCCGATGTTGCAGAGTTAGTGGTATTGGGTGAAGAAGAAGGGTTCGACACACTTGTAGTGAAATGCCCAATGTGAATATTGTCTTATGTTTTATGTACAATTGTACAATTGTAAAAGTCAGTTGTAAGAAGCTCAGAATGACTGTAAAGGCAGGGTTCAAGAACGGTTTTTCCCAACAGCTTATGGACCAGAGGGTGTAAAAACCAGATGAATTCGCGCCCGCTTGGCCAAGGGGTAAGGCACTCCACTCGTAATGGAGCGATCGTCGGTTCGATTCCGACAGTGGGCAACGAATTTTTTTAATCAACTAAACACTATGAACTGGATTTAGGAGGTGGGGCAACCGAGCCTTCAACCGGTTTCACTGTCAGCGTATCTGCTTCTTTCGACTTTTGCAATTCTTCGTTCATGTACTCGTTCAAATCGGCTACTGGACGAGTGTGCTTCTTTTTCTTTCCTGGTTTTGGTGGGGCCAACGGAGCAGCAAGAGTAAATGCATCTGCCGCTGGTGTGAAGGTGTCGCTTCCAGGTGGCGGAAGCTGAAACTCAACATCTTTGCTCTCGTACAAAACATCGTCTGTGAGTTTTTCACTATCGAACTTTCCCACCACCTCGGGAATACGATGCAACAACCCGTACCCAACATCACACCCCAAGAGACCCTTGTTGGATCCATCTCCCCACGTCCGCGTGAGGTTTACGGTGACGGGTCTCAAAACATCATAATCGTGGTTGTAGACATACAAGGTGATGGGCACAAAGTCTTCGTGCGAGCGCTCGCTGTTGAAGTTGTAGTACCGCAGCACTGTCTGTGAAAGGAGGGCCTCGCCGCCCTGTGCCAAAAGGCCCTTTCCGTAGGCATCATCGGGAAATGCTGAATCACAGCCAATGATATAGTCCGAGTAGGGCACGAGCTGGGCCTGGAAAGCGGGAGAGTTGACGTGGGTGGCGAGGATTCTCCACACGTACGTAGCAGTGTTGATATGCTGGGACTGGAGAGTTAAGCCGATGGCTTGGAAGGGGTCTGGGATGAGCTTTCTGGTATTTTCAGTCGACTCTTGAAGATTTTCCTGGCTCAATGGTACTCTCACTTGCCGTAACACACCGCCCTTGGCACTCCATACATCAAGCACCACCTCTTTGTTGGTGTTCGGGTTGCGACAGACGTTAACAAGCTCCTGGTGGATCAAATCGAAGTTGACGGCACCAGCGTGTTCAGCCGTCGTGGAACCACCGTAGTTGATGGTGCCGTCATTGTTGATGCTGTAGGAGTGGTCTCCTAGGGACGGGAAAGCCATAGGCAAGGTGTGGCCATTGATACCTGTAATGTAGTCGAACCAAGCCTCAAGGCCGGCGACGTTGGCGGGTGACTGGGGAGTCACAGCAAGCACACGTAGAGCGTACCCCCGATTGTTTATATCGAGCAAATTCTTGAAGTACAGGTCTTGTGGCCCTTCATGGCCCTCAAACCTGTCAACAAGCTTCTTTGCAAACGAGAACATGGTGAGATGTTTTGGAAATTTGAAAATGTTCGCGAATTCCCCAGAGTTCAACGTTTCAGAGACGTGATGCCTTCTGATTAACAAAGGGATTTGATCAACTGCTGTCAGATGTTATGTGCCTTTGTACAACCAGAAGTTAGTCGATTTTCTAAGTGCTGAAGTAATAGGTTACAAACTCAGGTTGAATTAATCTGCTGCCAATATGGATGATTTTTGAGTGGAAAAAGAAGAATATTAGCTCAACTTCAATGAGAATATAATACAAACAATGGGTTAGACCACCCCAACACTTGTTTTAGAATGTAAAACATTTATTTCCTAATAGCAGGTCCTCTAGTCTAAGCCAAATGGCTGCAAAAAATGCGCACCGTCAGCCAACATACAAATATCAATTCTAAAATACAGATTATACTACCATTATACATATCTAAGTCGAGTTGTAAAGACCTCCAGAGAAGGCCAAACTCCAGGTTCTACTCTGTCCGTTGTCCAAGTAGGTCGACAGGAAGTCGTCGGACGAAAAGAACTTGTACGACGATTCAGGGTCGAATAACGCCTGGTTAAGACGAAGAATACCTGCCCATCCATCAGTCAAACTGTCAACAAAACTAGCAATGGTTTCTTCCCATTCCTGCTTGACATATTCTTCTCCTCTGATGGAAGCAGCACCGGCATCCATTGGGAGCATATGAATTCCATGCACATATTGTGGGTACTCGTCGCCATCTCCAAAGAAAGTAGTGAAAGCAATCTTGTTATCGTACAAAATACCAGTAACCTTATTGGGGACCATTTCAGATGGAGCCACATCATTGTCGTCGGAGTAGTAGAAGTACTTGTTCATGGCTCTGTTCATAACTGATAACATCAAGTCACCTCTACCTTCCATGGACGAGTCTCCAATGACACTTCCCCATAACTTCATTCCGTATGAGAAGTGGTAGTCTTCCGACGTTGATTCCTCGTTACGTCCGTCTCCGCTGGCAAACAAACCGGCTGCCCATGAGTGGCCGGCAAACCAGTCAAACATTCTGGATACTGGGAAGTAAGTGTCGTCCTCAGAGGGGTTGGCAACGTCTCTGATTAAACTGTTGACCCAGTCCTTGTTATCGTCTGCCCAAGAACCTCCCAATTGTTTGTCTACGTACCCTACCACGGCTGCAGCATGGACAAAGTACCCATAGTGGAAGTGGTGATCATTGTAGTATCCCGAACCAAAGTCAGCACCGGTATCTCCACTCTGAGACGCAGAAGAAGTCACACCACCAAACTTGGTGTCGTAGATCAAAGGATAGTATTGAGTGTTCTTGGTGAACACTTTGAAAGCGGTTTTCAAGTCCAGTAAAATGTCCTTGGCTGAGTCGGTGTCTCCAATGATATCATGTACCACCAATAAAATATTGGCGTACTTGTCAATCACCTTACCTGAATAGTAATTGGAGTTCATTCCAGAGACGGTCAGGCTGATATCAACATCCAACTCCAGTGAGGCCGCTTCGGCCAATAAACTCAACTGGTCGGAGGTGTAGCTCAAGTCGGCTGTCATGACGGGAGCCCATGGCAAAAATCCAACATCAGCGTTGAGAGTCTCAGATAAACTGATTTCGTTGGCCAACAAGGCAGTCATATTACCCTTGGTCGTGGAGGCCAAGGTGATGGGAGTCAAGGCCGACGAGGAGGTGCTGGTGAGCGACTCGACATGGTGAGGCAACGCAAACACAATGGTGTTTCCAGATGAGGAAGAACCCTTGGTGGTGTACTTGAAAGAATAGTCAGCAGAAGAACCAGAAGAAGATCCTGAAACCTCGGCCGAAACCGGATACTTACCAGCCGCTTCATCGTAGTAGCCGTCGTGTGCAGAAGCGGGAGCGACTGCCATTTGGATGATCAAACCGTCGACGGACTTGGATCCCTGAACGTGGAAGGAGTCGGTGGTATCCAAGAAGAAGTCGCTGTCGGCTTTTGGAAGAATCGCATACACGAGGTATTCGTAGCTGTTGGTCAAGGTCACTCTGTACTTCAAGACCTTAGAGTCCAAAGAGCTTGAAGTCTCTTTAGTAACGGTGGAAATCCCGTAAAGTGTGTTCAACTCGGCAGTTAAGCTTCCGTGGTAGATAGCGGTGACAAAACCCATACCTTGCACAACAGGGATCTCGATGTAATCGTCACCAACACTGCTGGCTGCTGACAATTGGATGGTGGCAGACATGGACTTCATGTCCACCACACTCATATAGTTGTTAGACTTGGTGAGATCGGTTGCAGAGATGAGTAATTCGGCGTTGTTGGTGGGGTTGTAGGCGTAGGTGTCACCGTCCGTGTTTGAACTCTTAGGACCCAAAACTCTTTTACTGGGGTCGGTGTGTTGTACACCAATACCGTAGTAGTCCACCTTCTTCCAGTACAATCCGTATGGGTAAGACCAAATCATGTCGGTTTGGTCGTCCAAGAACAAGTTAACGTAGAACTTGTTCGTTTGGTAGGGTACTCCGTCATTATCGACGCCGGAAGGAATGGAAAGTGGAAGTTCGTCTCTTTCAAACACTGAGGGTGGAGAGTCGCTGGAAATGGCTGCAAATAAATCCGCGCTCGAAGCGAGTTTTGAGCCTGAAGACGGAGCAGACGAGGAAACTGAGCTGGAGCTTGAGGAAGATGACTTGGAGCTTGAGGCAGATGATTTGGAACTTGAAGATGATGATTTGGAGGTCGAGGTCGCCGAAGTAACAGACAAAGTAACCACCACTGAAGAAGACAAGATCTCTGAAACCGAAACGGTAGAAGAAGCCAAAGTAGCACTTGAAGAAGACGCAATTTCACTGGAGGAGCCGTTGGAGTAGAATACCTGCTTACCAACATAGCTGGATGCCAGGGCCAAGATACTTGAGGAGGTTTCGCTACCAATTCTTAAGTCAATGGTGCTCGGACCCGAAGTAGCTGTGGATGGAGCATCAGAAGTCACTTGACCCGAGGAGTCACTGGCCAAAGAAGAATCAGAAGACACTGGATATACTGGGTCAGTGGAGAAAGAAGCAGCCTTAATGGTCTTGTCGCCGGCACTGCTGGAACCAGAGTCTTCAACAGTGATTTTTCTCTTTGTTCCAGTGGCTGGAACCACGGACTGAGAAGTTACAGGGTTTCTCAAGGTGGTGGCTACTGACCGGAACTTGGAACTTTCTTTGTAGGTGCTGGAAGGAGTGGCAGTTGCCGAAAACACAGTGGTGGTAGTAGTTTGGGCGGTTCTGGTGATCTGAGTATACACATTGGAAGTATCAGTCACAGTTTCGTACTCGAAGATAGTGGATCTTCCTTTGGATCCCTTGGACTTTTTGGGTTCCTTGCCTGCTTCGGTACTGGCCAGAGGAGACTGTTTGACGGCTTTGGGGCCGGCAGTGGTGAACACAACGGGACCAGTGGTGGTGTAAACCGAACTGCCAGAACTAACAGTATACTCGATGTCGGAAGTGGTTAAGTAGGTTTGGGGAGATGTGGGAATAGCTTCAGCGTATGAAGGTGCTGCATTTCCACCTTCGTCTACTCCATCAACAAACACGATTCTAATACCATGGTCAATGCCATCAGGTTGAGCAGCCAAAGCCGTTTCAATCACATCCATGAACCACTGAGGAGTCACATAATTGGTTTCAGTAATGGTGGTTACTTCTTCGTCGGCACAAGCCGGACCAAGCATAAGCATGCTTGCAAGTAACCCATAGAGCACTTTTTTCCCGTACATTTGTGTTGAAAAGGATAGACTAAGTTGGAGTAGAAGGGAGTGTAAAAGGAATGAATGTGGTGTGGATTGGGAAAAATATTATACGGAAGTCTCCTATAAATAAGATCGTCACGAAGCAGGCGAACCAGCATTGCCCATGAACCACAGCCTTAAGTGGTCGGACGTTAGCCCCATTACAATGATATTTTCTCGGACAGATGCTGGCACAGATAATTTTTCGCAACAATAGCCTTTGTGCAGCAGCCAGCCATTTAAATTGTACAGGCATGAACAATGCCCATTTAGCAATTGCGACCCCCAAAGAAGCATCGGGCCAGTAATTTATGTCGTTGGAACCTGTACGTCCGGTAATAACGAAAGTTACAATGTTTTGGGTCATCGGTAACTGAGATTGATTAAGCGGGCTCGTAGCGAGGTCGCAACCGGGAAACCCAACATTTAGGTGCTGTGTTTTTATTTGGGGGGCTCTACGCCTTACTTTGACGCACGGGCGGGTCAGTTAGACTACTTGCATCGTGGTACGTACTATAACTGCCTACTTGAGAAGTCCACGGTGTGTTTGTTGTTGTGTAGGAAATAATATTGCACAAAATAGCATTATTTTCTAGCACTTCCAAATTGGGCTAGCGCGGAATCCATGGAGATAAGGTAGCGTCTCCTATATCGAGTCTTGCCTTACACAGTAGGGGCTTTAGTATACACCCAGAGTTTCGGTATTGTTTCGGTATTCACCCAAGGGTTTCGGTATATACCCAGCCTTTCAGTATATACCCAGCCTTTCAGTATATACCCAGCCTTTCAGTATTTACCTAGAGTGTATTTACTCACCAGTTTCCAGTTTCCAGGTTCCAATCTTACTCTGCGCGTACTTGCTCGCTCCTCAAAATCAGGTTTAATAATATGGTACAAGCCAATATCGTGGTAGTGGGCGCGGGCGTCAGTGGCCTCACGACGGCTGTCGAATTAAAGAAACTGCATCCGCTGTACGACATCACTATTGTGCTGAGCCACTTGCCAGGAGACATTTCGCCCGATTTCACGTCTCCTTTTGCGGGAGCCAACTGGCATTCGTTTGCCACAATCGAGGATAAACGCCTTCAAACCTACGATTTGGAGGGGTACAAGAGATTGGTTCAGTTGGCCGAAACCGACCCCAAATCGGGCATTTGGGCCAACGACTCCTACTGTTTTTATAGCCAATCTGCGGTTGAAGAGATGGGAAACAAAAAACCCGATCCCTGGTACAAACACAAAGTCGAAAACTACCAGACCATTCCGCCCGAGCAACTTTTACCGGGCACTGCACACGGGTACCGGTTCAAGGGAGTAGTTATCACGGTTCCAATATACCTCAACTATTTGTTGCAAAAAGCACTTGAGATGGGAATTGCCATCAAAAGAGTCTCAGCCTTGAAGGAAATTGGTAGTGCCCGCCAGTTACACTCCTCTGGGAAAAGGGCTGACGTGGTGGTCAATTGCACCGGGTTGCTTGCAAAAAATATTAAAGGGTACCGAGACCCAAACAGACAGTACCCAGTATTGGGACAGGTTTTGCACGTCCGGAACAATGCCCGAACAGAGTTTGCCGTCGATGGAGTGGATCCATCACGACCAGATGAGTCGCTCTATATCTTTCCTCGAAAGGAGGGTGGATCTATCATTGGAGGGTGTCACCGAGAAAACTTTGACTCAACTGATGAGGATAAGGAGTTGACCAAACGGCTCATTGACCGGGCTATTAAGTACGCTCCCGAGCTTATAGACCGTTCCTTCAAAAACAATCCAGAATTTATGGACATTATTACCGTAGGTGTGGGACAACGACCTTTCAGAGACGGAGGGGTGCGGGTAGAGCAGGACCCAGACCTTCACTGGTTGGTCCATAACTATGGAGCTGGTGCTGGGGGGTATCAGGGAAGTTATGGGTTCAGCTCTGAGGCTGTGAGACTTGTGAGAATGGCAGCAGAGCTGATCCATTCCAAGATTTAGAGACTATGGGTGAAGTTGTATTGTCTTTTTATAGTAGTAGTAGAAGTGTACGAGTTCTGACCCATACACTTCTCTATGGTATAGTATCTAAATTGACTAATTGCACACCTGGCGAATCAAAACGTCGAATATCTTTCTGCCAACCTGTTTGGCATATTTCTTCTGGTGGTCTTTATCTGTCTGGTTGGAGATGAACTCGGATGCCTTGTTCTGCTTGGCATTCAAGGGCGTGGGCTTATCTTTATAGTCATGGGTCTTGATCTGAATGTCTTTGTAGCCTTGTTGGGCCTCGAGAAACCCAAGGTTTTGTGGATGTTCAGGGATGGACATGTGAATAGCTCGGTAAACTTTGCAATTGCTGTTTCATTATCTTTTCGCATCCTCGTGTGCGATGCTGCATATAGCCAGGTGTCTACTAGAATTATAATTGAGTATTTAGAGCCGGAGAAAAACGGGTATTTGTTTCTTGAGGTGGTTGGGTTGGGTCTGGAGTGTTTTTTTTACCAGAAGCAACCCTCCAGCCGTGTATATTTGAGTGTTAATAGAGACATATTGTTCCTGGTTCTCGCACGAGATTTGATAATAAACAGTGCGAAAAGAGCGAAAAGTTTTTCTGGCCAACCAAACCATGAGAGCTTCAAGTGTGTTAAACCTCCAGGCCTCTGCCACCGCCAACTTGAGACGGCCTTGGCAAACGTTTAGAGATGGTCAAATATGGTATGGTCTCACAAAGCTGGGTTCGAAGAGACAGGCTTTGACCACCAAGCAAGGGAACAAGAACTACTACAAAGGTACCAGATCTTCAGGTATTGGAAAATTGAATAACGCAGGAAATTATATGGTAGACTGGACCAAAGTCAGAACTTACGTGGTTCCTGCTGACATATCTTCTGTCAGCTTCAAGCCGTTAGTTTCTCCCAACTCTCCCCAGCTTGAACAAAGATATGTTGGATATGCTGATGGACCTAAAGATGGAGAGCTTGCATGGAAGAATGTGGTGGACTTCATTGAGTACGGAGAGAACTACGATGTTCAAGACATAGAGGAAAATGAGTATAAGGAGGAATATGTTAACCCTAAGATAGTTCAAAGTCAGATAGAACTTCCTGAAGGTATTAAACAGTAGTTATGGTAATGCTGATAATTGTACATAGTAATATATCTTGACATTGGATGAAGAGGTATGTCTGCTGGATTTGAGTATTGAGTTGAAGAGTCAAGTTTGGTAGAGAGTTTAGACTTCCGGGGTACTGGTGACTTAACCGGCAAAAATCCCCCCGATATCGCTGGTCCAGGTGATTGTTCAGCTTAGAGAGGTTTGGGTAGGCAGCCGATTTTGCACCCCCCCCTTGAGAACCACATTTCAACTCTCAGGTAAACTCAGCTTTCACCCAAAAGAACCGGTCGCGCTAAGGGCCACCCTACCCTCGAAATTGCCTCTACGCGTACTTCTTCGCGCACTTCTCGCGCACTTCCACACCCACATTCCCAACCATGTCTTCTCCTCCACCAGACTCACAAGGCAGAATGAACGATACCCCCACCACCACGCCCCCGGCACCCACATCAGATATAGAGTCACCTGCCCCCGAACCCCAACAAATGGACCTTGACCCCAAATCAGACCTGGATGACGATTCTGCTTCCATTTCCTTACCTTTATCCAAAATCAAACGAATCTTCAAAATGGACCCAGACTACAGTGGGGCATCTCAGTCGGCCGTGTTTGCCACTGGTGCTGCCACAGAGCTCTTTGTCCAGTATATCACCGAACAGGCGTCGTTGTTGGCCAAAATCGATAAGAGAAAAAAAATACTTTATAAAGACTTTAGTACAGCCGTGACATCTCAAGACTCATTGAACTTCCTTTCTGACACCATTCCCAAAACAGTGCCACTTCGAGCAGTTCTTCAAGATCAGGGAACGGTGGAGCACGAAATCACTCCACAAACGGCTCCAACTCCAACGCCAGAACAAACTGATCGGGTTGAACTTCCTCCGACTCGCAGAATCGATATAACGTCAATGCTTCCCGTTGTATCAGGACCTCCTCCAGTACAGCAGCAGTCTACTTCTCCTCCGGTTAACAAGCCTTCTATCAACAGTTTGATATCGAACGACTCGCCTAGCAATTCCGACGATGTGATTATGATAGATTAATGTGGTTGAGTAGAATTATGGTAGAGTGGTACAGAAATGGTATATTAATTTACGACCAGGATGTGTACTTTGGTGTTGGTGTCGAGATTCATTGTATGCTGGGAGCCTGGGCCCCTTTGTATGGGTCTTGCGCTTCTCGTCATTAATATTAGTGTACATGTACATCCTGGTTTCGAATCACCCACGCTATGTTTCGCGCCTGTGGACCCAAGCTCACACCGTCTGTCCCTATCGCCATAGCGATTCTCATGATCTGTATGGCCATGCCAATAGGCACAGATCGTTCATAGTTATTCAACCCCGTAACGAGATACCCACACAACGCCTTAAGAAGCCTCACGTTTGTAGACCGTTTGAACCTATCGATTTTCACCACCTCGCTGGTGTGCCGGCTCGGGGAAAACCGTTGAAGCAACATCCGACACAGGTCCAAAAATCTCTCACTGAAAAAGGTATCTTTTTGCAACCGATCTGTTTCCAACATCAAGGTGAGAAACTCGAGTCCTTTAATGGCCGCTTCTTCGGAATACTGTCCCTGGTGTGGGAACAATGCCAAAATGTCGCTCCAATGATCAGCGGCAAGTGGTAACGTCAAAGAATAGTTGGTGCTGAGAATTGGGTATATGTCAATGAGAATCTTGAGAAGCTGAATCTTCAACACATCAGATGGGTGTGAGAGGAGCCGAAGTCCATAGATAAATACTCGCTGCACAATGAAATATATGTTCTTAGGAACCATACTCGTCCATATTTCCTCTTTTTCCGGTGGGTTTTCGTCTACTTCTTTGTCTTGTTCCTGCAACTGACTGAATGGAGCGTCTTGAGACCGATGAAAGTACTCCTTTTCTCTATCGTATCCCTCAAACGGATCCAAAACCTTCCTCGACTCATCAACCAACGCTCTTGCCTCTTCGATACTTGTCATCCCCCAAGGCTTATATAAGGAATGGTGATAATCGAGTTTCCTCAAATACCTGTCAGGAATGTACTGCTGTTTGATCTGTGCAACTAACTCACCAAACACAATGAAGAACCCTTCAACCAATATAGCGTACCCGTGGTACGAGTCTATCAAGATGAAAATCTGAGAAAGAATGTCACTTAGTTGGTTGGTCAATAGTAACTTCAATCCTGACACCTTCAAGATGATCAAAAGAATTCCCGGAAGTGCAGGAGTCAAAGCTCCTGGCAGGGTCAACTTTAGACTCACAGCATCTACCAAGTATTCCAGGTTGTCGAGAACCAACTCGGTAAGCGAGTCACCATAATAGTTTTTTGCAATCAAAGACACAGTATTTTTCGCATGCAGCTGGATAACCGTATTCGAGTTGAACGTCAATGCCTCAAACAAAGGAAACAAATACTCGATCAAAAAGTGTTCTTTGAACTCGTCTTTGGGAAGATAACTGGATAGAACCCCAAGCGAATCGAGGGCAACGGCGTAAGATTTTTCGTTCATTTTGTTCTGGAGCATTTCTTCTTTGGACGTTGAAACTATAGTCAAATCCTCCAAAAAAGGTGCCAAATCTTCGATGAGCTCCTGCGACTGGTTCACTATCAAGTAAGCCATTTCCTCTGTTTCGTCTGCCGGTTCGTCTTGTTTCTCAGTGTCACCAAGAACAAGGAATTCGTCTATATCAAACTTCTCGCTCTTCATATTCTGTACAAGCTGGTTTGCAAGCCACAACGAGATGCCTCTGTCCATATGTGAAGTATCTCCCGAAATCAATGTTTCAAGAGTTAAAAGCCTGTCAGTACTTATACCGTTAAGAAACGATAGAAAGTCACTCAAAGCAGTTTCCACTTGTGAACTGAAATTATCTTCAAAGTAACATAACGACAGCATCTCTTGTGGACCTGACAAAGTCCACATTTGAGACAAGTGAAGCAAGTCCGATACTACTTCTTTCTTCGACACTGGCAGCCTTCTATTGTCCAAGGGCTTCAAGTTGTTGGCATTCACATATGGAGGAAGTTGAACATTATCGAGCTTATTGTCATTTTCAAAAGGTTCGGTGTCTCCAGTATACGACTTGAAAAAATCCTTTTTGTCTCCCCGTGACATCTGAGCTCCGGTGAATACAGACACGTCTACAAGGGAACCCTTGAGTTTGACTATCTGTCTCTGTATCAATTGTTGCACTTGAGGTGGATCCAACTTCTTAAGCAATAAGAAATGGAATCTGAGCGACACAAAAAATTGAAGAATCCGGTCTTCAGACGTCGACTTCATCACCCCCACCATCTTGTTGTCTATGAGGTCTTCCAACTTGAGGGTCAAAAGCTTGCCTGGAAGGTCAGATGCCTTATGGAGAATCGCATACTCAATATACGCTATTATCTCCGTCAAAACTTGAGTTTGGGATTCCTGATCCAATGGTCCTATGTCGGGGTAGCACCTAGAATACGATACCAAACATAAAACGTCGATATTCAAGGCAAACAACTCGTCAAAAAGTGACCAGAAACAGTGGGTGTAGATGTCTCTGACAAAAAATACTATCGAGTCTCCAAGCTGCTGTTTCTGTCCCACCTTCCCCCTGTGTGCTTGGAACAACACTGACTTGAACAAGGTATTGAGAGAGAGTTTGAGCTTCTTGGACGTGGCCTTCAACCAGCTTTGGCTTGTGTGCTCATTTCCACTGTCCACGGAAACGTTAGCAGTGTAGTGAACTCGGTCAATTTCGTTTTCTTTTCCGTTCTCCCACTCGTGGTTCAAGCTGTCTGGAGTCAAGTCTCGTGTCTGTGGTTCGACGCCCAAAGTCTTGTCGTCAAACACTCGCACAACGAGTTTTCGCAAGAGGTCGACCACCTCAGTGATCGTAGACCAATGTAGCGTGGCCGAATCGGCCACAAATGCAATTAACGTCAGTACCACCCCCGGAAATATGTGTGTGAGTTTTTCTGTACCAATTCTGTGTACAAACAAGCGAGTCATGGCTTCTAAAAGCTGTTTTACAGTTTCCAGCTCTTCGAGCGAGCGAGGATTCGAAAAGCTCTTCAAAAGTGCCAAAAGCACCGATGATGTGTCTCCGAGAAGTGAAAGCCGTTTCATGTCATTTCCAGCGAAGTAGTCTCGGTCAACTCCTCGCACGAGCGCGGTGGTGGCAGCAGTGCATGCCATTCGAAACTCAGACAGCTTTGGCTGCAACATCACTTCTATATTGCCACCACTTCCCTTGATAAGATAGCACGTGACCGGGAAAAGCTGGTCCGCCAATGTGTCGGAAAACTGGCCATTGGGCACCCAGCAGTTATCGATAAGGAACGAGATGATGTGAAGGATGTTGGTGATAATCTGGTCTGAGAGAACCGATTGTTTTAGCAAATTCGACAATGGGAAGAACACATAGTCGGCGAAATTTGGAGCAAGAGTATAAGCATTACCACCACGCGTGTGGACGTGTTTGTGGTGGTAGAGCGTTTCCTGGAGTTGGGAAAGCGTGGATAATAGCTTATGTGATTGTGGATCAAACGAAGCTGCGGGCGCGAGACTCATAGCAGAAAGTGCCACACAAATGGATTTCACCTCGTGGAAAAGCGACGAGGATAGTAGTCGTGTGGTGTCTGGTTGGAGTGGGGGCAACAGCGGTACACCCAGGCGGCTTTGGTGGTTGGAAGCCATTTTTGGTGATAGTGGAGGACTGAGAAATACAGCGGCGCGCAGAAACTCTGGTCCCGGTCTGTTCGCGCGCAGTTATGTGAAAAATTCTCAACTGAAAAATTTTTACTTCAAAACCTCCTAACACATATACCATAAGTATGTTGACACCAATGAAAGGTCCTTACGAATGAGTTTCTTCAATCAAGCCCGACTTCAAAATCTTCCGGTCTTGGAATGGCTAGTCCTGAGCAGCCAGTCGCAGCTTAGTCTGTTGCGACCGGCACCTCCACGACAAGTTGTTACGAGGAGTTTACATTTCAACAACGTAAACGTCCCCCGAGACCCAGATACCTGGCTGCCGCTTCGACCCACCGCCCCGTGTGGTACCACTCATGAATCCGTACTTTGTACGGACACTCATGAGGACTTTTGATGAAGAAAATCATGTTACTAACCCTATCAGAATGACCAGAACTTCTGTTTTAGCCGACGCCTTAAATGCCATCAACAACGCTGAAAAAACCGGAAAGCGTCAGGTGTTGATCAGACCCTCCTCCAAAGTCATTGTCAAATTCTTGACGGTGATGCAAAAACACGGTATGTAACCATTAATTGAGTCAAAGACCTACCTAAAACCGGATTGATAACTGGATGGTTTGATCGGTGTTCAGTCCCTTTCTGTCTTTTAAGTATTCGGGATATCAACGTCAAGGAACTCTTCTTACACGGTGTGTGGCCAACTCCACCCGCAGACCGTTTATTTTCCTTCGACAGTCTTTGCACAAATAACTCAACAAACTTACTAACATTTGATAGGATACATTGGAGAATTCGAATACATTGACGACCACAGATCCGGAAAGATCGTGGTGCAGTTGAATGGGAGATTGAACAAGTGTGGTGTGATCAATCCTAGATTTAACGTGAAGATTGGAGACATCGAGAGATGGACGGACAACTTGTTACCCGCCAGACAATTTGGTTACGTGATTTTGACCACTTCCGCTGGTATCATGGACCACGAAGAGGCCAGAAGAAAGCACGTCTCTGGTAAGATCTTGGGATTTGTGTACTAGATATAATCAGTTTATAGTTAAAAGTTAGTTTTTGCATTCTTTCGCAGTCGCGAATCGACATTTCTCACGTCTTAATCTCACTCCCACCGATGCAAAAAGTTCGGTTTGTGGCCACCACCCTCTCGTGGACCCTACGAGCTGGCTGTGTCGCCCACTTCCTCCATGAATACGTCTACGAGTTCACCGAGACACGCGGAGAGTCGATGCTTCCTACTCTTCAAGCTCAACACGATTACGTCCACGCATTGAAAGGATACCGGTACGGACGAAATCTTGATATAGGTGATTGTATTGTCGCCACAAAGCCGTCAGAACCTACCCAACGTGTGTGTAAGCGTATCACTGGTATGCCTGGTGACATCGTGTTGGTGGACCCGTCATCGTCGTCGCCGCTTACCAATACTCCAAATGAGGTGATCCTCCACGATGGATTCAACAAGTACATAAAAGTCCCCGACGGTCACGTGTGGGTGACTGGTGATAACTTATGCCATTCGCTCGACTCACGGTCATACTCGTCGTTGCCGATGGCACTCATCAAGGGGAAGATCGTGGCGGCCAACTCGATGGATAAAGGTTTCATCGATGCCGCCGGTCGTTTAAGGTTTTGGAACTTCCGATGGATAACCAACACTTTTGAAAATGACTAGAAACAAGACAAGAGTAATGAAACTTAACGACATCGGTATATACTAATCTATACACTGGCATTTAGGCCTTTCCGATTTTTCTTAAGTAGCCCAAGAATCTGAAAGCCCTCGAACCCAGCACGAGCGCAGGGATTCCAAGCACAAAGCTGTGGAACAACGTCGTGAAAATCGAGGTGCCCAAGTAGTACCGCACAAACACCACCTCGAACCCCAATAAGGTGCTCAAAAACACCACATTATTGACGATTTGAGTACCTGGGGTACTCTTCACCAATCCGTACAAGTCCTGTCCAATCAGGGAGACCCACATACCCAACAATGCCACGAGCACCACCACGGCGGCCCCGGAAAATGCAATGGGGATCACTGCCAGAACGGTGCTGGGGTCTTGCCTGAAAATATGGTGGATTTCAGGCTTGATTCCAATTCTTTCGGCCTGCTTATAAGGTACCAACTCTTTGAGTGGTTCCAGTGGCACGAACTCACCCAAGCGTTTATACAAGTTTGTACTGGATCCGGAATCGGCCACAATCAAGTTGATGAAAATGGTGTCCAAGTTACGGATGCTCACAGGTATCTTGGAAGCAGTAGTAGACAATTTCAAAATCTTTTTATCCACGATGAATTTGGGGAAAAGGGTCACATCGAGTCCCTTGCCATCGCCTAAAGTGATGAGGGCCTGCTGGGGCTGTTTTGACACGTCGTTCAAATGAATTTCAAATTCAAGTTTGTCTTTGGTGGACTCGAGCAGAAGTTGCTTGAGTTCCAAGGTGGAGATTTCGCCCAAATGAAAGAAGTCCTTGTTGACCTTGACAGTGGCCTCTTTCAAGGAGATGGCCCAGGCTACGCTGAACACTGCAAACAATGCTGCCAATTGATGGAGTCTCATTGATGTTTGATGAAAAGTTGTTGGTTTTGACGTGTTCGAAGTTCGCACCGTGCGACTTGCGACTTGCGACTTGGCCGCTGGCTGCAAACGGACAACAGACTTTAAGAGAGTAGCTGTCCAAAGAGGCATTTGTAGATGGCGTGATCAGCTACTCGTCGGTGTAGCCGCCGGAGAGTACAATTGCAGTGGTGCAATAGATCCTTTTGCGGAAGTCGCTGCCGTCTTCTTGCGGACTGCTTACCACCTGAAACCCTTTGTTACTCTGAATTGAACCATCATATATGGGCTCAGAAGCAAGGACATTCCCGTTGTGTGAACTATTATCCTTGTACTTTCCGGCTTTGTGCACTTTGGTTTGGGACTTCTTTCTAGTTCTTCTCCTAAAGACCAGCCCCAATAGCCGTCCCATGCCCTTGATGCTTTGGGGCTTAAACGACAACAAGTGCACAATAACATGATACACTAGGTATGTAATACGATAGGTTATTTTCATGATAACACAAAATGTTCAAGTGGAAGCACTGGAAAAGAAATATATAGTCACAAAGATTATTGAGGAGGGAATTTTCTGGGAATAAGAGGGATATACCGACAGAAGTGGAAGTATTGTGAGATACAAGTGGTGTAATTCTGCTGGTGTTGTGAAGATGTTACTAACAAAAGATGTTATTTGTGGATTTTACTGAGGCTGGAGAATTAAGAGAACACCGAAGAGCACAAAAAAAAACTCCAAAGAACACCAAACACAGCATACACCCACTCCACCATGTTTTGAAACGCTCTGACACTCTCAAACAAACACGCGTCATATTCCTTTCACTACGAATCGTTCCTAGTGCTTGTCCCTTTCTGCCGTCGGCTCCCATCCTCGCCTCTCCCTCGCCAATTTTGCAGCTCTTCTGCGCGCGTCCATTTTCCATTACTTGACACATGAAGTTTTTAACCTCCAGATCTTTGATATACATAAGAACCATCTTCCTTTTCACAGGAGCGTTCTGGGTGTCAACCGACCCCAAGTCCCTCATTCACTCCAACTTTGTGTTACTTTTGGCCGAAGCCATGCAGTTGCCCATCATTCCAGTGGATAAAAAAAGCCCTCTGAACGGATTAATAGCCATGTTTATGACCATCACCGCCCTAAGCGACTTGATCCCATGTATGGCTGATAACGTTCAATACTTCGAGACGGTAGTGCCTACACGTTTGTTTGGCTTCTTCTGCTTGTGTGCCTACACATATTTGATCGAGGACAGAATATTCAGTAATAGCGTGGTATTTGTGTACTCGTTTTTGGAGATTTGGTTGAACCTCTTGATCTTCAACAACTTGCGGGACGAGAAGTATGTGCGGTTGAAGGAATACATCAACGAACACGGGGAGGAGATGCAGCAGGAGGCGTCTGAACACGTGAGAGTCATTGAAGATTAGGGAAGGAAGATTAGGGCAGAGAAGATGAGATGAGATTTTGGTGAAAGCTCGGTCGAGGCTGCTTCTACTCAGTTTACTTTGAGTTGAGCCTTACTGACTAGCTCTCTATTTAGTGTAAATATATCTATGGTTCTTAAGCCTACTCTGCTAGAAATTTCTGGATGGACCAGTCCACCGACTGGTCGACCTCGGTGAAGTCACTGAACGTCAACTTCAACACGTTGGTTCCCTTCTCGTTGAGGTTCAAGTTCTCTACCTTTTCATACCGTATAATCTTCAAGTGCAATATCAAGTTCACAAAGATCTCACTCGTCGTCAAGTCCACGTCAACTTTAAGGCACTTCTTGTTGACAGGGTTTTTGATGATCAAGTTGAACCTCGATATAGGCTTCTCGATCGACTTGATAAATGGGGTTTCAATTTTCGTCAAGTTTTTGATGTTCTCATACTTGCTGACAATAAACTCAAACTCCAACTTGTGTTTGTACTTCTCCATAGCTTCCGCCATGAGCGTGCTGAGCTTGTCCACGTATGCCTCGTGCTTGAAATGACCAATCAATGGCCGCAAAATCAACGGGTGGGAGTTGTTCTGTTTGAACTTGGTAAAACTCGTGGGAATCTTCTGCTTCAAATTCAAGTTGTACTTGAAGTACCCACACAACATGATCTTGAGGTAGTTCAAGATCAATTGGCACTTGAGATCGTTCTGCAGTGATTGCTCGTTGGCCGCGAGGTAGAGTCTGTCGGTATCGTCTTCGCTTGTTTCGTCGTACGATATTGTTTCAATTTCTATTATCTCGTTGTTCACCTCAATAATAATCTTGTCGGCAATTATCAGCACGTTGTAGTTGATAAGGGTGCGGGCTTCGCGTGTGAGCTGGAAGAATAGGTCCTCTTCAAAGATGAAAAACCGGGCTTTTTCAATATCGGTGATGAGCCTTCCTGCAGAATCGTCTTTGAAGTTGAACTCAAACTTCGATTGACCTGTCAACGTATACTCATCATCCACCTTACTGAGAATCTTCACCTTGACGTACTTGAATGTTTTATTTATGAGTTTGTTGTTGGACTCTAGCACTGGTGCAAACGTGAGTTCTCCAGTCTTGGGATTTCTGCGTAAAATGGCTATTCCTTTGTCATGATAACTTGAACCCGAGTCTCCGTACCCGTACTTCACACCTATAGACTTCGACTTGTCTGCCGGGTCTCTCATTTTGAGGAGAATCTCGTTGTTGCTCAACACTTTGTTAATCTGATTCCAATACACTTTCTCTTTTTGGCCCTGGAGCTGTAGTTCTTCTCTTTTGTTCAGAAAAAGTGACTTTATCTTGCTGAGAGACTCATACTTCCATCCCTGGCCAATTTTGTTCACGTTAACATCGTTCTTAGGGGCATTTTCTTCGGGTGTGAGTCTATCCGAACTAAAAGACCCCAACGGAACATTCTTTGCCAAGTGTGGAGAAATGGTCGACTTGGCGAGACTGGGCTTGGTTGCACTGAGAAGAAGGGACACAAGGTCGAGGGCCAACGATGTCTCGTTGAGAGCCAAATTGATGTTTTTGCTGAGGTTCATTTTGATATCGTGGATTTGGTCGAGTTCCGAAGAGTCATTTTCCTTCGTTTCTTCACCACCATCACTCGGACTGGTCTCAGTGGCGTCTTCTGTATCCACTGCATCTATACCAAACAGTAGTCCTTCGGACTCCTTCTGGAGACCTTCTTCTGTCAAGGAAAGGAAGCTTTTTCGTTCCAAGAGGATCTTGGGGATTATTTCTTCGACGGAGAAATCATCTCTAAAATGGGTGAATTAGTATATAATTGGAATCTTGAAGCTAGAGAATTAACATACTCGTTATGAAGGAACGGGTCTTTCGATCCATTGAACAATTCGTCCTCGACCTTGACTTGTATTATGTGGTGGTTCGACATGGCGAGTACAAATGCGAAAAATTAACAGAGGTCGCGGCATATGTGGAGGTTAGAAGTATATTTATATCATCAACAATATTCTACTTAATCCATGAAATCATCCAAGTCACCTTCTTCGATGGCCTTCAACAACTCGAACTCGTCCTCAAACGTTTCCAGGTTCTTGGTGTCGTCCTTTAAGTTTTCAGACGGATACCTCATGGATTTAACCGAATCGTTGTGCAAGCTCAAACAGAACTTGATTCTCTGATCAAACTCATCCTGGGGCAACTTGGTGGAGTAAATGTCCAACAACTCCTTGGACTGCATGAACCCCTTCTCATTGTTTATGGTGGCTTCTATAACGCCATCTCTGATGGCCTTAGCAACAATATACTCTGTCAGCTCTTCCGAATCCAAGTGCAACTTGATGCAAATGTCCTTCAAAGAAATCTTGGAGTATGACAAGGAAATAATTCTAATTCCAGTTTTGATGACGTTCTGGTGCAATCTGGAAATCAACGTGTAGTTGTCGTCCTTTACAAAATCGGCCTTGTACTTTTTCAACACCTGGTCAAACAACTTTAAATCACCAACCTTTACGGCCCTGGTCACCATGAAGTATGGCTCGAACTCATTAGTCTTGAATACCTTGAGTTCGGGTATGTCCCCCATCAAAAGCTCGATTATGATACTTAACTTGGTGGCACTTTGGATAAAGCCCACCGAAAACTTGGTCTGAGGAGCCTTTCTGATGGCTGTGATACAACATTCATTGGCCAACGAGTAGTTCAATTGAATGGCATGGATCCGGGCCACGTAGTAGTAGTACCGGGCCCCCAAAGACGTATTGGCATTCTCGGGGAATTCGGACTTTTCAATCAAGTTCAACGCCTGGTCGATGTCTTTGGTCAACAAGTAGTTTCTCAATAAAATGGTGACAATGGAAGCCACTGTCTCGGTGTCATGCCTCAAGGTGGCGGTCCTAAAGGCGTATAACAACTCAGGCCGGATCCAGTACAAGTCATTGGCAAGTTCTGTGGCTCTGGAGATGTAGAACCAGATCTTGGCGTAAATGAAATCCAACGACCGACGGTTGTATACCTTCATCAACAGTACCACATGGCGGTTGAAGCTTGAGAGCTTGTCGATCTGGTCAGAGTCCAAAAGATAGAGTTGTACCAACAAATGAAGATACAAGTCGATTTCAGGAAGCACTTCTGATTTTTTTGATTCCAGCTCTGGGATTGTCGAGGCATCGATGTACTCAAATATGTAGCTTTTCGACTCGATTGATCCGTATACGTTGGTGAGGACGGTGGATAACGAGGTTTCATCTTGTTTGAGTTTACGGCTCAAGGACCCCAACCCACGAAACAACTTGGTGATATACCGGTTGTCAAAGGTGGTGGCGACCTTCTGCAACAACAGGAATGACAGTTGGATGTCGGTGACCAAGTCCTCGATGTCATTGGCCTCGGGGGCTTTCATTTCGATATCTTTTGTGTCTGACATGTTCGGTGTTGAAACTTGCCACTGAAAGTTGAGAATGAAAACGCGAACTTGAGTGATACGACTTAACTGCGAACATGAGACGTTTCTGCCCCAGTTGTCTGCCATTCACCTCTTCACAATCATTTCCATTAACTATATAACTAACAAGCATATCCAAGGACCTCTTACCTTGACAAGTGGTGGCCTGGCACTCCTTCTATATTAACAACAAGAATTGGATTGGTTGGAGTTCAACGACTGCCCTCTCAAATTGACATTGGACTTGTTGTTTCCATTGGCACTGGAGTTATTGTTGTTGGTCATTTGAGCCTTGATCTGTCTGGCCATCGTGTAGAAAGCTTGTTCGACGTTGGTGGAAGATAAGGCAGATGTCTCCAAAAAGGGGATATCCAAAGCATCAGCAAACTCTTTGGCAGCCGTGTACTCCACAACCTTCTTATCAGACAAGTCGGCCTTGTTACCAACCAACAACTTCATGACTCCTCCAGTGGCATACCGATCGATTTCTTGTAACCATTGCTTGACGTTATTGAATGACTCTTGGTCAGTCACATCATATACAATGATGATACCATGGGCACCTCTATAGTATGAGGATGTGATGGTTCTGAACCGCTCTTGACCAGCGGTGTCCCAGATTTGTAACTTGATGGTTTTGCCATCCAATTCGATGGTTCTGATCTTAAAATCCACCCCAATGGTGGAAATGTAATCAGGAGTATAGGTGTCATCAGCAAATCTTAACAAAAGACAAGACTTTCCAACACCGGAGTCTCCGATCAACAATAACTTGAACAAGTAGTCGTATTCGTTATTCATTTCAACTGACAGGTTATTAACGCTTAAAGGGGAGATACGCGAGATAGATGAGGATTCAAACGGGGTGAATCAGCGGGTATAAGCTGGGGGTTTAGTGGTGGGGGTAGGCTTTGTGGGTGTATGGGATCGCGGACGCCGAATAGATAATCACTTGGGATTTGTGGTTACTGTTGTAACGTGTTCAGTTAATGGTGCTAACAGGTTTTAACAAACTCCCTGTGTTTTTTCTGTGAGCGAGCGAGGCACCAAAGAAATGCGGCGCCCGTGCACGACCCCTGAGTGCCGCTAGCATTCAGCAAATGTCTATTGTAATATATAGGTTAGTCAATTTTTTCAGCTGCTTCCTTGGCCAACAGTTTGGGCAGTTTGGTTCCCCGGATCTTTTTAGCAGCAATCCGAAGCATTTTGTAGAACCAATACACGTTCAATGCGTCGAGCGAAAGGTTGATCACCACCAATCCCACCGGAAATACCCAATGATTCATTCCCCAGGTCCTGTACAAGTCGGTGGCCACAAGAGACATGGCGTAGAACCCCCACAAGATTCTGACAGAGAAAAAACTAATCAACAAGAGAATCCCGTTGACAACCACGATTTTTTCGGGAACAATTCCTGGGAGCCTGGAAGAAAACCAATTGACATTCACAAACGGGGTGGACGCCTCAAACAAGAGGAAGCTGGGCACCCAAGACATACAAAATGGCTGTAAGGTGCTGCCAAACACAAACAATGCGGCCACTCCGTGGAATAAGAACCCAAAACCAAATGACAGAAAGTGTCTCAAGCACACGTATGTGTCCCAGATGAAGTATGCGATGGCCAAGCTCGCCACAAGCCCACCGTACGGGTAATAGCCGTAAACCGATCCTACCGTGTCATTCACTCGGTTGAGAGAGAACTGATTGTTCCACATGGGAAGAATCAGACCGAGTGAAACAACACATTGAACCATTGACACCACATGGATGTCAAAGTCGATCTGGGTCCGTTTGCTGAGGGATGTGTAGTGAGAGCCAAAGTACTTTTTGCTGATGTAGGGGGAAATTTTTTGGATAGTAAAGTAGAACACCACCATAAACAAGATTTCGTGCCAGTGGTTGGCATAGTGGTTGGTAGACAATTCCTTGGGGAAAGGTCTATATTTCAAGAAAGGGTCCTCATAAGGAGTTGGAAGCCACAGCAGCATTGTCAACAATGAATAATGGTGAACACTAGACAATTAGGTGGAAGAAGATTGACGGAATCAAATTAGGGGGATCTTTTTGGAGCCGGTCGCACGCTAGATATGTGCCGGCCGCGAAAAAAAAATGTTGGAAAACCCATCAACGTTGATAACTATAATTAAACGTTGTAATTCAAAAATGCCATACGATCTTGTTTGCTTAGGAAACCCTTTGTTGGACCTCCAACTTGATGTTGACCAAGAAATTTTAACCAAATACGATTTGAAGGATAATGATGCTATCTTAGCAGAGGAAAAGCACTTGCCCATCTTCGACGAGATCATTAACAACCCGAAGTTGATTTTAGTTGCTGGAGGTGCTGCCCAAAACACCGCCAGAGGTGCCCAGTACATCCTTCCACCAAACTCCGTCTGCTACTTTGGAGCCGTTGGTGATGACATTTACAAGCAAAAGTTGGTTGAAGCCAACGCTCAGTACGGTTTGACCACCAAGTACATGATTGATGAGCATGAAACTGGAAAGTGTGCTGCTTTGATCTACAAACACAACAGATCCTTGGTTACCGACTTGGGTGCTGCCAACCACTTCAAGCCCAGTCACTTTGACATTCCTGAAAACTGGGAAATCGTCCAAAACGCTAAGGTTTTCTACATTGGTGGTTTCCACTTGACAGTTTCTCCTGAGGCCATCATCAAGTTAGGAAAGCATGCGGCCGAGACCAACAAGCCTTTTGCCTTGAACCTCTCTGCTCCTTTTATTCCTCAGTTCTTCAAAGAACCTTTGGCCCAGTCGATTCCATACGCCGATTATATCATTGGTAACGAATCTGAAGCCGCTGCCTTTGCTGAAGCCAACGGTTTGGAAGCCACCGATGTTGAAACCGTCGGTAAGTACATCGCCAAGTTGCCCAAGGTAAACACTACCACCCCAAGAGTGGTGATTTTGACCCAAGGTACTGAAGAAACCGTTGCTGTCTCCTACAACAAGGATTCTGACTCCTACGATGTCAAGAAATTCCCCGTCGTATTGTTGGAAAGCAGCAAGATTGCTGACACCAACGGAGCTGGAGATGCGTTTGCGGCTGGTTTCATTGCTTCGGTGGTGCAAGGTAAAACTCTTGCTGAAGGTATCAACGTCGGCCAATGGGCTGCCCAGATCTCTTTGCAAGAAGTCGGCCCTAGTTTCCCATTCCCCAAACAAACCTATGCTTAAGCAGTCTATGTTTAATAGGTGCTAGATGATGAACATCAGCTCCTTACACTTCATTTCAACATGTATTTTAATTATTGGGTTTGTGGACGTCCGGGATCTAGATATATAGCATTTAATTCAACTTTTTGCTCTCAATCTGGTGTGATATCGTTACTTTTCTCTTCTTTTTTGCAGCCTGGTCGCATCTCATCTGCGACTGAAAAATTACATCGACCACCACTAATACCCGCCTTTCTTCACAAACAGCACACCCACCCCATGGCTGTTCTGAAAGACCACTACTATAAGCTCGCGTCCGAGCTTCCACAGGAACGGCTCGATGCAGCCGTCACCTTGCTCAAGGAATTGACAGATTCAAACACTTCCGAGGACTGGCTGTATGCGTTGAACAGACTCATCAAAGGTCTCAACACCACCCGACAATGTGCCCGGTACGGCTTCTCCATGGCCTTGACAGAGGTTGTCCAAGAGCTCATCGCCAGTCTGTCGTACCCGTTGACGGTGTCTGGTTTCATGGATGATATCCTAAACATAATTGAAATCAAGCCTTCCATGAAGGGAAAAGACGAACGAGCGGCACTTTTTGGCCGTTTGTTCGGTCTTCAAACGTTGATCAATTGCAAGATCATATTTAATGCCACATACACAAAGCCAGCCGATACAATCAAATTTTTAAGGTGTCTTTTAGAGCTTGCGACCTTCAAGTCCTGGTTGAGAGAAACGGCTGTTTTCACCCTTTGTTCGTTTATTAAGCAACTTGAGTTGACAGATGAGTTGGTGACGTATATCCTTCGGGCAACGGCCGACTTGGGCTTGACGTTCACCTCGGAGGGCGTGGCCATATACCTTTCGATTCCTCATGCCATGAGAGTGAAAAATGGCAACATCAACAATTCCTGGAAAAACTACGACCCGTTGGCCAAGGGCAACTTACCAACGTTATCAAAGGCTTTGAAAGACGTGGAAGTTGCCGATGATGACGATGCCAATGCTCAGAAACAGAAAGGATCTTGGACTCCAAGAGTGCACTTTGTGTGGGGCTTGGTATTGGAAAAGCTCATCAACAAGCCGGAGGGAACACCCCCAAAAAAGAAGAAGAAGACCAACAACTCCAAGGCTGTCAAGGAGGATGGGTCTGTGGGTCTCAGAGAGTTCTGGAAAGTGGTGGTGGATGAATCTTTCTTTGCGGAAAAGTCTTCTCACGAAAGAAAGTACTGGGGATTTGAACTCTTTATAAAGGCATACCATGCGGTGAACTATGACCAGGTTGAGTGTATCATTACTCCCAACTTCTTGAGGTGCTTAATCAACCAATCTGCCCAGACCAATAGAATGTTGAATAAGATTTCCGTGAAGTGTTTGAGCACCATTAAGCAAGAATCTACCCAGAATCCTCTCAAAGCTCCGTATACTTTGGCATGTTTGGTGGACCCCAAGCATGGAGGGTGCTGGAACTTTGATCTTCTCACCAAAAGTAAGACCACCGAGGTGTTGATCGGGTGTTTAAGTCAAAAAATTGGTGATGATGCCCAAGATGTAGTGGTTTTGGAGAAGTTCAAAAACGTTTTGACCAAGCAGTTCGAAAGCTCTTTGGTTGATGACGATGCAGATTTGAAAAAAGTCAATGATAATATCCAGAAGTGGTGCTTGAACCTGTTGCTTCAATTAATACGAGGAAATAGGCAGTTTATTGGGTCTTGGATTGAAGACATTTTGAATTTGCTCATAAGATACAGTCTTTTCAAGTCCACCGATGCTCCGAATGTTTCCATCAACATCAGGAACATGTGCCAGGACAGGCTCAACTCTATTCTCGGAGATATCATCAACACGAAGACGAACAACTCTTCGTGGTCGCTATACTGTATCAAGTACATCAGGAAACTTGAGAAATCGAGCAACTACGAATTCATCCTGGAGCTTGACCAAGAGTTGGCTCGTGTGAAGCTGGAGTGCTCTACTCTCTTGCAGAAGGTGGAAGACTTATCACAAGACACCGGGTCTGATGACAAAATCTACAGTTTCGAGTTACTCTTCTCCATGATTCTTCTTCAAATTTACATGGGAGACGAAGATTCATTTTCGGTGGTGGACGAGTTAAAAGCGTGCTTCGAAAGCACATTCTCTGAAAATGATGGACAAGACGTGAACTCTGCCATGGTGATGACGGAAATCATCTTGTCGTTCATTTCCAAAAAGTCTGCCCTTCTCAGAAAGTTCTGCTACATCATTTGGGAATCGCTCCTTTGTCAAAAGGACTCCAGTGGGAATATAAGAGTCACGGACGAGTGTTTGGAGGTGTTGTTCAGTGTTTTGACTGCCAAGGAGAATAAGGAGGGGCAGAAAAGCTTGTTCGATAAAGAAGGCGACTTTGTCGAAGATGAGGAGGAGGTGGAAGACGAGGATGACGAGGATGACGAAGATGACGACGAAGACGACGATGAAAGCGACAACGATCAAGAAACACACATGACAGATGTTGACAAAGACACCAACCTCAAGTTGGCCCAGGCATTGGGCATTCCTACCGACTATGACGGAGAAGTTAAGTTCGAAGACTTGAGTTCAGACGATGACGATTCGTCCGTCGAACTAGACAATGCTGACGACGAGGAGATGTTTGCAATGGATAACCAGCTTTCCAAGATCTTCAAGGAGAGAAGAGACATCTTGTCGTCGACGGAGACCGGAAACAAACGTAAGTCTGAAGTTGCAGAAGCCAGAGAACAAATGGTGTTCATCAAGCACAGAGTGTTGGACCTTTTGGATATCTTCTGCAAAGCGCAGCCGGAATCACAACTTAACTTCCAGATGATCAAACCGCTTCTCATTCTCATCAACTTGACTCTTGACAAGAACGTGGGTACTAAGGCCCATAAACTACTCAAAAACCGGTTGTCGAAGGTCAAACTTGACGTACATGTGGTACAAAAGATGCTGGAAACAGTCGAAACTCTTCGGACATTGTTGGAATGGGTACACGGTCAGGTTTCTGAGTCGAAGTCGTCCAATAGTTCCCATATTTTGGCGTGCAACAGTGCGTCCATATTGATTGCAAAAACCCTTGTGAGCTTAGACTCGCACCAGGTGGAACCAATCATCGATATCTACGCCCAGACGATGAAAACATGGGCCAAAAACGGCCGGTCCAAAACCCAGCCGTCTCTATTCTTTGACTTCATCAACTGGTTGAGCTCCTGGAGAAAGTAGCCGTGTATATACGTTTTTAGAATGTCTAGTGTTTAGCATCAATAGAGTCGCGAAACACAAAAAGGTACAAGACTAAAATCGCGACGCTTAGCTGGTTTAAATTGTTTGAACTGTAATGGATGTATCGAGACTCGAGATCTCCACCGACACAAGGAAGAAACGGATCATCAATGACCAGTACCGTATCCTACGAAAAATTGGGCAGGGCCAATCGGGTAAGGTGCTTCTAGCAGAAAGAGTGATCCAGCTGGGAGATGAAGACAAGCTCGTGGCAATCAAAACCATCAACCGAATTGACAAAACCAAGCTCATTACCAAGACTTACTTGAGCCACATGACCAAGATTAAGCGAGAAATCCAGATCATGAAGGAGTGTAATCATCCCAACGTCGTGAAGTTGTACCTGGTAATTGACGACCTCAAGTATGATAAGATACTCTTGGTGCTAGAATACTGTTCCGACGGAGAAATCGACTGGAAACGCTACAACCACTACACAGAGAAGCTCAAGAATGGGCGGGGACTCACCATCAACAAGATCTTACGGGATGTTGTCAATGGACTTGAGTATTTGCATGAATATAAGGGTATTATCCACCGAGACCTAAAGCCTTCGAATCTTTTGATCCAGGGCAACAGCATGAAAATCACCGACTTTGGGGTGTCTCTTATTCTCGAGAACAATGCCAATGATGCCAAAGAGTTGGGGAAGACCATGGGGACCCCGGCCTTTTTTTGCACCAGAGCTTTGCCAGTTTGTGAACAACAGGCTCTCGATGATCAACGATATCACCACCAATAAAATCGACAAACGCATAGATATCTGGTCGTTGGGAGTCATCTTGTACTGTTTGATATTCAACGATCTCCCATTCAACGGTAAAAACGAGTTTGGGCTCTTCAAGAACATCGTCACTAAGGACCTCAAGTTCCCCCAAACTCGCTTCAGCTCCAAGTTCACCGAGTCAGACCGCAAGGAGTTCAATCTACTCTGTGATCTCATCTCGAAGATCCTAGTCAAAGACCCCAATCACAGATATACCATTCAAAATATCAAGGACCACAGTTTTACCACATTTGACTTGACGATGTCCGAGTCTCTACGGTTCAAAAGGTTTAACGACGGGGTGATCCACAATCAGTTAGGCTTGACCAACAAGATCAAAAAGTTCTTTGGCGGAAAGCCTATGGAAAGTGTTAACCCAATCAAGATTGAGCATTACGACGGTGACTATAACCACTTGGAACCTGTGGACGATTTGCTTGACAGCTACTTTGATAGCTCATCGATGGGATCCATGGAAAGTGACGATGATGGAGCAGAAGATATACAACCCATTGCTGTTGTTACTGGCTCCCATGAGTCGATTGAAGACAAAAAAGTCGAGTTTTTGTCGAATGAAGATAGAAAAGATTACCCCCTCGGTCCAGACCGATTATTTGCATCCAACCGCTTGAGTGAGCGAGTACAGGCACCACCGTCACTCAACTTCACGGCTCCTCGGCGCAATACCCTCAGTTCTCCCGTCAAAATCGGCACCTCAACTCCATTGGCACCAGTTTCCACGCCATTGTCCGCCAGCCCGTCGCTCTCGAGCTCTTCCAGCATGATAAGCCCACGACCAGTGACGCTTGGGCCACTGTCACCATCAACGTCGGTGTTCTACAGCCCTACGCGATCGTTCTTCGATAAAATTCACGGCATGAATCACACCATTAGCTCGCTTTCCTCACCTCCGGACACAAGGGGATTTAAAAGTAAAGATGTCAACGACAAACTTGATTTGGAGCCACCCAACATCTTCGGCAGCCGGCACTCGTCAGTAGGGTCGGTCGGCTCGTCGCACCGGAAAAACAGTTTTGGCAGCCCATTGATGAGAATCACCAGTTCGAGCTCTTCGTTGAACCTCAACGCGTATTTGACAGATGACAATTTTTCAATCAACCTCCGCAGTCAGGATGAAAGTGACACGGACAGTGTGGTGAGCGATGCCGTGGGAGGTTCTGACGATGAGGTAGATGATGAGGCGGATTCTACTTTTGTGTACGGAGAAGTTGACACAAACATAAATACAAACACTAACACCTCCAAATTTAAGTTCCAGGACATGGGCGAATACCTCGACCGTTTAGATTGATTTTTACAGGCTGTCCTTAGACGTCGGCTCGTGCCTGCATGAGCGACATGCATTGGCCATTGCCGAACCTTTTAGGGTCGTTGACGATGCTTTGACTATAGATGCACCCTGCAGCCTCAGTTTTGAACAGACGGCGGAGTAATTGGCAGTGGATGCACCACGGAGAATTGGGTGCAACATGACTAAAATGGCATGCATGTGGGTGATGGCTTGCGTACGCCGTGGGTCGATTACCAAAGATGCGGAGCACAATGGCGGTGAAATTCCACCTGAAACGGACATCCACCTCATCACCAACTGAAAGAATAATTTCAAGTTCGGTTGCATGAAACAATGCGAGATCGAAAATTTGGGTTGCCTAATGCAGGCATTGATAAATAAATAATCGGAATTTACTACACGCACAAAGCAGCGATGAGAATCAAACAAAGAGGAGGAGGTGGCATCAACTTATTGATATACGTATGATGCATACCATGGTGTTTATGTATACGTAATATCGGGGTATATCCTCGTGCTAGTGTTTGTGTTTATGTATACCTCATTGTTCATTTAGACTCTATCCTGTCACGGACCTCACCTCTACCACTACCGCCGCCACCACCACCACCACGCCGTGCTCCGCGCACCGCGCGCGTACTAGCTCAGGCCTGTATAAACCTTATTGTTCCTCTGGCACAAATACTCACTTATTTAAATAACAAGACTGCCCCTGATTATCGCAACTCTGCACAAACCTCCGTTTTTTCAAACTACGTATATACTTTGTATACCCAACCCACACCATCCTTCCCACCACGTACATCCCGTTCCCTCGGCTCTCGTTCTTCCTGTCCTGTTATCTCGTGCCTTTTCGTGTTTGTTTGACTTGATTGCTATTTGACCATGGGCAATAAATCCTTAATGTCACCTAATGCTAATATTTTTGCAGATAAGGCCGCTAAGCGAGATCGGCCTCTAAGTAGTTTCCTTGATACTCCGACCGACCACATCAGTGTTTTTCTCCAGAAACTGCACCAAGAGGTTGATGATGAAGGAACCGAAGAAGAAGACGATGACGAAACCCACCCCGATACTCCCATCAACAACAGAAAGAACCGCATGGTAATCACATCGCCATTGGTGTCGCGTAAGCCGTTCCGCAACTTGTCCAACTTGATGAACATGAACATCGACTCGGTGAAGAAACGCTTTAGTTCAACAAAACGGTTCATCAAACGGTCCAAGGACGAGGATAGTGACAGCGTGGTCCATGACGTGGACCAAGCAGACAGGGGAATTCTGGTACAGGCTGATCTCGACGATCTCGATGCAAATACCACCGTGTCCACCATTGACGACCTCGAAGTCGCTTTGGACATCGACGACCTCGATGACTTCCCCAAACCCCAGGCACCCGCTCCCCCAGGCCTTTCCCTCCGCCGGTTCCATTCGATGTACCAAACCACCAAGGAAAAAGACGTGGTTCTCCAAGACGATAACTCGCTTCTCAAACACTCCAACATAAAATATTTCACGGTCGAGTCCGACCTCGTCCCAAGAATCGATCTGGCATCGTTCTGTGATCTCATCAACAACAAGTACACCCACCAATTTGATGAGATTATCGTGGTCGACTGCCGGTTCGACTACGAGTACGAAGGAGGCCATATCAAAAATGCCATCAACATCTCTGACAAGCAGGACTTGGAAACCCGGTTCATTGCTCAAGACTCCGAATACAGGTCCAGCCAGCGATACTTGATTGTGTTCCACTGCGAGTTCAGCATTTTCAGAGGGCCTACTATGGCGTCCCATTTGAGAAAAACCGATAGAATCTTGAACTTGAACAACTATCCTCACTTGAGCTACCCTGATATCTTGATTTTGGATGGAGGTTATAAGAAGTTTTATGAGTCCTTCAAAATGTACTGTGAGCCTCAGAACTATGTGGAGATGAAGGATACTAATCATGTCAAGAAGTGTTCGAGCGACCTAGATAAGTTCAGATCTTTCTCCAAGTTGAAAGAACACAACCGGTCAAACAGTTATACCACCATTACTTTGCATTCAGAGAACTTGAAAATCTTGAAGAGACAGAAGTCCAGCAGCTTCACCCGCCCGGCGGACCTTCAACTCAATAGGTCTTCGACTTTTTCCTACTCAAACGAGTTGATCCAACAGGAAGAGTTCTTGCCTCCCGTCACCAAGTTCTCCAGGTTCAACGGATCTTCGAACTCGATCAACTCCTTGAACAGCTCATTGTCGGAGTTGTCGACATTTTCATCCAACGACTCTGCCGACTCGGTTTCAATCTCCAATAGTCCAATTTTGGAGATGAACGAGTTTTTTGGGTCAAGTGCTTCCCCAACCGCCGCAACCACCTCGTCTTCCATCTCGTCTTTGAACTTGGGTTTGTCCCAACACAAGAAAAAGAAGTCGGTCACAGCGATGTCCAGCTCCAAGACTATTGCTTCCGACTTTAAGTTCCCAAGCTTAAGTGGGTTCCATACCTCTGCATTCTCCAACACCCAAACCAGTTCACCTTTCAACAAGAAAAACTTGTCGATTAGCACAGGGGTTCTTTCTACTGCTAGCAGCTCTGTTGGCTCTAATAATACCATTACCCTTTCACTTCACAACAAGAACACTTCCATCACTTCCCCCATCATCAGTTCACCTTTATCTAATATGACCCCTACCCCCACCCCCATGTCCACCATTGGTACCTCTATAAGCCATCATAATCGGGCCACTTCAATCATCGATCCTATTAATGATACCCCAGTTGATTTCCAGGTACCATATTATAAGAAATCATCTAATGGCCCTCTGCAATATTTGGATACTTAGATATTACGCATATAATAAGCTAGTAAACTCATTCAATTCAACCACTACTTAAATCAGATAAATAACTCATTCATTTAAACTAAATCCTTTTATACTAAATCAACCTACAAATTAGCCTTGTTACCAAGCAATTTGATGGCAGCATTGTTGATGGCAATGGTTCCTCTCTCAACAACATGAGTTTGGAAAATGACAACGTCTCCTTGCTTCCAGGCCACCACCTTCAAGGTTTCGCCTGGGAAGACGATTCCGGTGAATCTGGCCTTGATTTCATCAAAAGCACCAAAACGATCCAACAACACCTTGGCACTTAAACCGTAAGTTCCCATACCGTGTAAGATTGGCTTGTCAAACTTGGCACCCGCTGCAAAAGCTGGGTCAATGTGCAATGGGTTCCTGTCTCCAGTCAATCTGTACAATGCAGCTAAATCTTCAGAAACGGGAATAGTGGCCTCAAAGTCTGGAGCAGATTTTGGTGCTGTGAATAAAGAAGTAGCAAAGGTTTTTCTTTCCCCGTACGTCTTGGTTTCACCTTCACAGTTTCTAATAAAGAAAGTTGCTTCGTTGGAGAACACCAATTCTCCGGTTTCAGTGTCAACCGACTTGGACCCTTGCACAACAACTGTATTGGTTCCTTTTTGAGTGACGGCCAATGGGCTGAACGTGGTCTTCACCTTGGCTTCGGTTGGAATTGGATATTGTTCCAACTTAATGTAATGCTCTCCGTGTAACAAAAACATTGCGTTGAAGTTCTTCAAGAGCTTGCTGAAAGCCATTGAAGCAGGCGAGTTGAAAATCACCAAGTGTCCAAAGGTTGGAACCACCTGGAAATCACTATCGTTTTCATACACATACTTCAACTCCTTAGCCTTGGCACCAACAGCAATGTTATACAAAATAACTTCCCTGTCAGTGTAGGAGAATTCAGGTTCAGCTTCAATCTCTTCTTCATCATCATCTTCTTCTTCCTCTTCATCTTCATCATCTTCATCTGGGTCAACCGCACTCAAAATCTCCATGGAAGATTCACCAGTGCTCTTGGGGTTAGAAGATTCAGTAAAGTCGATGATCTTGGAGTAGTTGTCTCTGATGAATTCGGGAGTGACAACCTTATCTTTGCATACAACTCCCTTGGATCTTTGCCATCTGGTGTTACCAATCCAACCACCACCACCTTCGAATAATTCTCCAGTACATGGAACATCATCAGATGCTAAGAACACCAACAATGGAGCAACCAATTCTGGTGGGTACAAGTTCTTGTCAGATTCGCTGAAAATGGTCAATGTCATAGCGGTTTCGGCGTGTGGAGCAACAGTGTTAACCTTGATGTTGCTCTTGGCCCCTTCAATGGCAATGGTCTTGGAGAAACCAATGATGGCTGCCTTGGCAGTGGCATAGTTGGTTTGGCCAAAGTTACCGTAAATACCCGAAGTGGAAGAAATGTTGATAACTCTACCAAATTTCTTTTCCAAAAAGTGAGGCCAGGCCAATCTGGTCAAGTGAAAAGTACCGTTCAAGTGAACTTGTTGCACCTGGTACCATTCCTTGTCGGTCATCTTGGCAAACGACTTGTCTCTCAAAATCCCGGCGTTGTTGACCAAAACATCGATGGTGCCGTACTTGCTGATAACGTTATCGATGATTTCGGTGTACTGAGTACCCACATCATGTTGGTCACCATGAGCTTCACCACCGGCGGCCTTGATCTCTTCAACAACCTTGGAAGGGTCGGCAAAGTCATTGACAACCACCTTGGCTCCGTACTTGGCAAAGAACAAAGCATAGTCTCTACCCAAGCCAGCACCAGCACCAGTGATCAAGACAACCTTGTCCTTCAAGGAGATTTTAGGAGCACCGGAAAGGTCATTTTCCTTCAAGGCCCGGGCCGCCTCGTTCAACGACAAATAGTCGTTGACCATGTGTGGGTTCTGGTTCTTCAACAACTCGGGTCTGGAAGAATCGTCGAAATCGACAATTTCTTCAAACTTCTTAGCCACCAATTCGGCACCAAAAGTCAGGTCTGGCTTGAAGAGAGCACCACCAGATCTCTGCCATCTGATCTGCGAGTAGAATCCAGCCGCCAATTCAAAGATTTGCCCGTTGGCTTCCACGCCCTCATGGGTCAAGTATAACACCAAAGGAGCGATTTTTTCAGGACCCAATTGCACCAAAATCGACTCCGGCAAGATTCCTTCTGTCATGGGAGATCTGGCCAATGGAGCAATGACGTTGGCAGTAATGTTGTACTTGGCACCTTCCTTGGCCAAGGTTTCGGCAAAACCAATCAATCCCGATTTAGCAGCCGAGTAGTTGGCCTGTCCAAAATTCCCGTACAACCCAGCGGGAGAAGCGGTGTTGACAATTCTACCATACTCCTGCTTTCTAAAGTAAGGCCACGCTGCTTGTGTGCACTTGTAGGCTCCGTTTAAGTGGACGTCAATAATAAGTTGGTACTGTTCTGGGGTCATTTTCTTGAACTGAGCGTCCCTGAGAATACCAGCATTGTTGATCAAGATATGGATGGTGCCGAAGTTCTTGACGGCAGTCTCGATGATCTTTTCACCCTCCAACACGTTGTGGTAGTCGGCAACAGCAATTCCTCCCAACGCCTTGATTTCGTCTACTACCTTGTTGGCAGCCTCGGATACACCGTTTTTGAATCCCAAATCATTCACCACCACCTTGGCCCCACGCTTGGCGTACTCCAAGCAGTAGTGCTTACCCAATGCACCTCCAGCACCGGTGACCACGACGACTTTGTCTTTGAAAGATATTTCCGACATGTTGAATAATAGTAAATACCTTGTTTGTGTAGTTGAGAAAACGGAGAAAGTGGAAATTGATGGATTTATATTGTGAGAATTTCAGACTGTGATATTTTTGCGGGGTGACGGGAAGAGTAATTTTAGATGAGGACGAAAGAACGAGGAGGTAGGACGAAAGTAGTGAGGGTGGGCGGTGGTGGCATTCTGAAGGCGGTCTGGGGTTGGTCTTGGGGAGGTGGTAATGGTATTAAGTGGGTGATTAACTGGAGTGAGAATGGTACAATATGGTGCGAGCTGGGGGTGGGGCCACCGCGGTTCTAGCGGTGGATAGTACCATCGTCGCGGTGGCTGTCAATCCTCGGCCCACGCGCGCGCACACAAATGCGCACCCATGAACCGAGGACGTCTCACATTCATGTGCGCCAAAGGAGTGACCTGCAAACGATTTAATTGGCGAGCCACAGACAAGAGCATTTTCGCGGTGGGAGGGTGGCAGGGTGCTGGTGCGTGGCTAGGGTCACGAGTAAGTCACGTGAGCCTGTCCTGGTGCTCCCTGAGCTCATCGCTTCCCCACAATTCGCGGATGGCCGAAACACCGGCCACAAAAGGATGAATATAATGTACCAAGAAAGAATATAATGGTGTGAATATAATTACTTTCCAAAATACAACATCAATGTCGCAGTTGTGTTCTAGGCTTCACACAACGAAAGTAGTCGATATTTGTGTAACAAACATTTTTTTCAGTTTTTCTGAAACCCCACCAGGCCCTTCCGCAGCTTTTGCAGCCAAATAACCATATATATAGACTATTCCTTATATTAACAACAATTCCTACTCTCGGGCAATTCCGTTACCCCCGCTATTCTTCTCTTTGCATCCCCTATCCCACCCACCTATTTCCTACCTTCCTTCCGCCATGAAACGCCATTCGCTAAAAGCTGCCCCACTAAGCAACCTGAATAATACTCGCAATATTGGTGCTCGAAGAGCCAATGAGCAAAAAAATTGCATTGTGTCGGGAATGTGTTGGGTGCCAACAACCAGGTGGGGGGGTGGGCTTCACCCCTGTGGCTATATGTGGAGGAGATCAGGGGAAATTCTGGGGAACAGGGGTATAAAGCTGAGCCTCTTTCCTGGTTGTGGTGGGTGAGTCTACAATGTATTGGTTCTGGTGTTTTTTGTCCATTGTGACAGCCTCAATTGTATTTGAGGAATACGATGAGACAATTCCCATCTATACCAACGCCAGTACATCTCGATTGGTGTTTGACCCAGCTGACTGGCCTGGAGTTATTAGGGCTGCTCACGACTTGAGAAAAGATTTTGAAGCTGTTACTGGCAAAAAGGCCCTTCAGGTGGCCAATGATACCTTGGAGTACTGCTCCAAGTCACCTACTATTATTATTGGAACAATTGGTAATTCTCTGATAATTGACAATCTTGTTAAAAATAACCTCATCGACATCAGGGCCATTGAACACAAATGGGAATCTTACATTATCACCCATATCAAGGGCTGTAATACTGTAGTGGTAGCGGGAAGTGATAAAAGAGGAACTATCTTTGGAATCTACACCATTTCTGGGATGATTGGGGTGAGTCCATGGTATTTTTGGGCAGATGTCCCCATCGAGTCGCACTCGTCGGTATACTTCAACACCTCAGCACCAATAGTTAGTGGAGAACCCAGTGTCAAGTACAGAGGGATTTTCATCAACGATGAGGAACCTTCATTATCTACCTGGGTGAACCGCAATTTTGATCAGGGAAACTACACCCACTATGTTCATGAGTTCTACTTCAAAGTGTTCGAGCTCTTGTTGAGACAGAAAGCCAATCTCTTGTGGCCAGCCATGTGGAAAGCCATGTTCGGGCTCGATGACGGTTTAAACCAATACTGGGCTGACTACTATGGGATTGTGATGTCCACTTCTCATACTGAGCCCTTACAACGGGCTTCCAATGAATGGTTATATGAGGGTGAAGGTTCGTGGGACTATACTACCAACGAAAAGAATATCACCGAATACTGGAAAGACGGTATTGCTCGAGGAAAAGCTTACGAAGGGGTTTGGGTTGAAGGTATGCGTGGTCTTGGAGATACCGCTATGTCAGACGGAGTCGAGTCTGCTTTGCTTGAGAAGATTATTGCTCACCAGAGAGACTTATTGGTAGAAGGATTTGGAGAAGGCACCAACATCTCGACTATTCCCCAGGTTTGGTGTTTGTACAAAGAAGTGCAAAGCTATTATCAGAAGGGAATGCTGGTACCTGACGATATCATATTGCTTTGGGTGGACGACAATTGGGGAAATATTAGAAGACTTCCTCAGGGAGATGAGACCTCCAGAAGTGGAGGAGCAGGAATATACTACCATTTCGATTATGTGGGAGACCCCCGCAACTATAAGTGGATCAACACTGTTTCACTAACACGGACATGGGAGCAGATGCACATGGCGTACGAAAGACAAGCTCGGGAGTTCTGGGTGGTCAACGTTGGTGATTTGAAAGGCTTGGAAGTGCCCATAGCATACTTTCTTGACTTGGCCTACGACTACGACCAGTGGGGACAAGTCAACAAGGTACCCACTTGGACTCGAAAGTGGGCTGAACAGCAGTTTGGAGAATTTGCTCCAGATATCGTTATAGATGAAATCTCAGACATTGTTGAAGAGTATTCGTTTTTGGCTGGACGTCTCAAGTATGAGCTCTTGGACAGGGACACCTACACGTTGCTCAACTACAACGAAGCCCAAATGGTCCTTGACACTTGGAAAACCCTCTCCGACAGGGCTTGGAATGTTTACAATAACAGTCTTTCAAAGGCTGCTAAACCGGCGTTCTTTGAGATGATTTTGCACCCATGCCATGCGGGATACATTGTTCATGATTTGCACATCACAGCTGGTAAGAATGACCTTTATACTTCTCAACAGCGTAACCAGGCTTCTTCTAGTGCTGATCATGTAAAAGAGGCCTTTCAAGACGATTTTAATTGGAAGAAAAAATGGGATGCATTGCTCGACGGTAAATGGAAAAATATGATGGACCAACCACATCTTAGCTATTCTTACTGGCAGAACCCAATGCGAGACGTAATGCCTGCAGTATCAGAGATATTGCTTGAAACTGAAGCTATGAGTGGTTCAGGCGGACTTACCATTGATGGTGCCCTTGGAGTGGTTCCTGGTGATGATGTGCACAATGGAGCTACTTACAACAACAATACCTTGATATTTCCCGAGCTCAACCCGTATTCTGGAAACACGTGGATTGAAGTTTTTAGTAGAGGCTATGAGGATTTTGAGTTCAAGGTAACTCCGTGGAACGATTATGTTAGTGTGACACCTTCCAGTGGAATTATTAATGCTTCCAACCAATCGTTGTGGAATTCGATCTTCTTGAATGTTAGTGTTGACTGGGATCAGGTGGACGACGGGTTCCACTTGGAATTCTTGAACTTCACCACCAACAGTTCCACCTACTTCTACACGATTCCTACCATTTTGAACTTACCCATCAATAAAACAGAGAATGTCACCTCATTCACTGGGTATATCGAGTCACAAGGATATGTTTCTATTGAAGCCGAGCACACCACTGCAAACATTTCACAGAACGACACTTACTTCTTGACGATTCCCCGGTTTGGAAGAACCTTATCTGGGGTGACCCTTTACCCAATTAATAGTGAGTCTCAAGTTGCGACCGAAGATGCGCTGTACTTGGAGTATGATTTCTATGCCTTCAGTGGATCCAACGTCACAAATGTTACATTGATATTCTCGCCCAGTCTCAACGTGAACCCTTTCCGGCCTTTACGTTACGGCGTGGCTGTAGATGATGACGAACCAGAAGATATCCAGATTTACGAAGATAACACAGACCCCACTGCGTATCCGGTTGGATGGGAAGAGGCTGTGGCAGCCAATGCATGGACCCGAAACACGACACATGACGTGGATGCGGGACCACACACCTTGAAGGTGTGGCTTTTGGAGCCTGGGGTGGTGTTGCAGAAAATAGTGATTGATTTTGGTGGTGCCAGGCCAAGTTATCTCGGGCCGCCAGAAAGTTATTTTCTTGAGGAAGAGTGAGATTTGAAATAGCGAAGAAGTTTTGCAGCCAAATTGCTACTATACAGTTGACATACTTCAATACATACTTTTAAATACTAGGGAGGAGTTAGAGAGCGAGAGCCTCACAACTTTGCGTCATAGTGTTCCTTGACGAACTTGTGGATACCTTGCTCATACACATTTGGCTTCTCTATTCTCTCCTTACTCACAAAGAACCCCTTTGGAATTGTGTACTCAAGCTCATGGACCTTCTTGTTCTGTGTGATACATGTGGCAACTGCCTTAGCACTGAAAAGAACTCGGGGCATACCATGGCCGTGGAATCCCGCAACGATGTAGCAGCCTTTCTTACCAATGACATCCAACTCTCCCACATACGGCAAATAGTCGTTGGTGAAGCCCAAGATCCCAGACCAGATTTTGCTGACGTCGGAGTCGGTGTTCTCCCACGTCGAAAACCGCTTCTTCATGTAATCCTTAAACTCTGCCTTGGATACCTCGTCAACATAAGTATCGTCCACACAGTCAAACCACCCAGAAATATCCCCGTTTGGCTTGATCAAAGACTCATCACGGCCCCCCACAATGATGGTCCCATCAGGTCTGTTGATGAGATAGTCACTATTTGGTCTGGAGGTAAAGAGACCATAGGTGTTTGTCAAATGTGGGGTATGATCTTTGTCAGCAGCCTCTATACTGCAACAAACGCCTCTTTGTGGCACAATTGTATTTGAAAACTCCTCCAACAATCCCTTTGTGTATCCATTTGTGCAGTAGACCACTTTACCACAAATAGTGGTTCCACGGGGAGTATGAACCACCCATTTGCCATTGTCAGTGGACGTCACTTTGGTGACCAAAGTGTTTGTCTGAAGATTCAAGCCCTTGGCTACACACATCTTTAAGATTGAAATGAACAACTTCCATGGCCAGCAGCTGGCAGCAGGATATGTAAAAGCTATGTCAGTTTGAGGAGATTTGGAGATCATTCTTGCAGCCGCGCCGTGGAAAATCTGAAACTGTTTCTTCATCTCCGGATAAATGTGCGGATTGGCCAACATACTTTTCGCAGCCTCTAGGTCTCTGGCGACACGAGAATCCTCTTTATCAGGGTACACATCACAGGCTCTGGTTAAAAAAAAATCACAGTCGATATTATTGTCGTCAACGATTTTCTTGATAGCCCACAAATGGTCGTACTCTGAGTTGACGACCTCAGCCGCGCCCTTCTCACCCAACATCTGGAGGTAGAGATCGTAGTTGCGGTGGTAGTAGGGCTTGACATGCCCGCCATTACGGCCCGTGGCGCCCGAGCACGCGGTGCGGGCTTCATACAACGCGACCCTTAACGCCGGATCCTGGTGCAAGAGGTAGTGGGCAGTGGAAGCTCCTGCATAACCGGATCCTATCACCAACACGTCAACTTCCAGGGGAAGTTCGCGGGTGGTTCTGTGGGACGAAAACTCTTCTTGATCTTCAAGACCTAACCAAAAAGACTTGGTGTAACCGTCCAAGGGGAAATACTGTTTTTCTGTGGGCATTTCTGAAACTTTGTAAATTTAAGGGCCAGATAAGCCGGAAACTATATATGTCAATATTTGGACACCGATAAGAAAATGGGGCATTTATACTGGGGGACCGCACGCAGTTTTTTAAGAAGCAACCCGATGCGTTATTCCCTGCAAATCAACCTATCAACACGCCGATCTTTATCTATTTTTATGTTCTCGGAGCAGAATTACTAATCCTGGAGTGCGTCTATTTCCATGGTTGCGGTTGTGAAGGTCGAAACGGGATGATATGGACGTGATAAGAACAATAGGATAGGTATCGCCCCACCGGAGCAGCACCGTCACCATCATTACAAAAAGAATACGCATTTCCCAGCTGTGGTTGAGATTATCCATGAGTGACAGTGACATCAAACAACCAGAAACCGTTCTCACCACCGTGTTATCAGGAGACTACAAGCATGCATTGAACGAGGAGATTGCACGCGTGATTTCTCCAGGTGGCAAGGAAATTAAGGTGACGGCCGATGTGGATGAGGCCATGGAAATTGCCTTGGAATCTAAAGATATTGTGTTAACACCCGAAGAAGACCGCCAGTTATTGCGCAAGATCGACTTGTACCTCATGCCGTTCTTCACGTTCATGTACGCGGTGCAGTACATGGATAAAATCACCAATTCCTTTGCTTCGATCATGGGTCTCAAGACCGATTTGGGGATGGTGGGTAACACATATTCGTGGTTATCAACCGCATTCTACCTCGGATATCTTGTGTTTGAGTTGCCAGCTTCGTTGATTTTGCAAAGATTCCCGGTTGCAAAAGCAACCTCAGCGTTTATGTTGTTATGGGGGATTGTCGTGTGCCTCGCACCGGCTGCAAATTTACCTGGCTTCATGTTTCTCAGAGTGGTGTTGGGAATGTTGGAAAGCAGTATCACGCCGGCGATGGTGATCTTGACGGGCCAGTGGTACAAGCGCCATGAGCACTTCATGAGAACCACCGTGTGGTTGTCTGCGTGTTCGCTCGGGGTGATCATTGGATATGCCTTCGCATACGGGCTTTACATCCATGGTTCCAACTGGTCAGTGGCGTCGTGGAAAGTGGTTTACATCGTTATTGGACTCGTGAACATCGTCATGGGCGTGGCCTTCTACTTCCACATTCCAGATAATCCCACCAAAGCATGGTTTTTGAATGACAGAGAACGGTTGATGGTGGTGGAGCGAATCAGATCCAACAACCAGGGTTTCGGCAACAAGCACTTTAAGTGGAGCCAGTTGAAGGAATGCTTGACGGACTACCGGATTTGGTTGATGTTTGTGTTCCAAATCTTGGACGAGGTTCCCAACGGTGGATTGACCAACTTCTCGTCGATTTTACTCAACGACGATTTCGGCTACTCCGTCAAGAAGTCTTTGATCATGAACATTCCAGTGGGGGTGGTGGGATTCTTCGGGTCGATGCTTGTGGCATCCACCTACGAATTTGGACTTGTCAAGCACAGAATGGCGGTTTCAACATTTGCCCTCGGCGTGGCCCTTATGGGGTCGTCGTTGTTGGCATTTGCTGACAGTAAAACTGCCCGATTAGCTGGGTTCTACGTGATGCAAATTTCGGATATAGGCTTTATTTGCATGCTTTCCATCTACCAGTCGAATGTCGCGGGACATACCAAGAAGGTGGTGGGAAATGCCCTTCTTCTTATTGCTTATTGTGCTGGCAACTGTATTGGCCCTCAAACATTCAGATCTAACGAGGCACCACACTACAAGAGTGCAAAAGGAGCCATTGTTGGGTGTTATGCCGCTTGTATAGCCCTCATCTTGGTGTTGTACTATTCATATTATAGGGAGAATGAGGCCAGAGCGCGTAAGCGGGAAGAAATGGGGGATGCGTACGTTAAGCTTGAGAACATTGAGTTTGCAGATTTGACCGATAAGGAGAATCCCGAGTTCAGGTATACACTTTAGTTATGCTATGTTAGTGAATTATACTTTTTGTGTGTAAAACCAATGATATTGTATTCTCTGACGGTGCCACGATCTGTCCTTTGATATCGCCTCAAACCCATAATTACATCAACATCGGTCATGTGATAACCCCGTATCTTAACCCCGTCGGTTGCATATACTGCAGCCACCAAGCAGGTACAACATTGCCGTATTTTTTCGCCCGACACATGATAATGCTCCTCGGGCCTCCTCTCGCACGAGGCTGCAAACTTCTCCACAAATCACACTGCGAAGTCATATGAAACATAAAATGAGGAGACACCCATATATATTCCCACCCATTGCCATTATTTCACTCATTTTCTCATCCTAGCGTTTCTAATTCAAATATGACTACCACGTATACTCTTTCACGTGAGTCCCACAAGGACCCCAACACCTTCAGGATCAAGTACAAAGATGCGAAACTCGTGTTGGACGACCGTGAACAATCCAAATGGTATATCGATAAATCCATCCCCGTCAAAGAAACTTCCAGCAAAGTCGCCATCATTGGTGGTGGCTTCTCGGGTATTGGTGCCGCCATGACCACCATCAACAAACTCGGCGAGTCCGACCTTGTCTTGTTTGAAAAACACGAACTGTTGGGAGGAACTTGGTTTGCCAACACCTACCCGGGATGTGCCAGTGATATTCCAGCATTGTGGTACTCGTACACATCCGAATTGGTCAGCAACTGGTCCGAGTTACGTCCTCCGCAATACGAGATGCTCGAGTACATTCGTCGAGTGGTGGACCGTTACCAGTTGAACTCCAAGGCCCGGTTGAAATCCCAGATCCAGCAGGCCACCTTCAACGAAAAAACCAACCACTGGGAAATCGAGGGTTTCAACCTCGCCACCGGTGAACGCTTCAAGCACACGGCCCAGATCATCTGTAATTGCTCGGGTGGCTTAGTGGTACCCAATAAGTTTGCACCCAAAGGCATGGAAACTTTCAAAGGTGACTATATGCATTCGGGAATCTGGGACTGGTCTGTAGATTTCAAGGGAAAGAAGGTGGTGGTGATCGGAAACGGTTGCTCAGCTGCTCAGGTGGTGCCCGAGTTATTGAAGTTTGAACCGGAGTCTGTGGTGCAGTTGGTGAGGTCCCAGCACTATATTCTTCCTCCACACCCTCGGTTTTTGTTGTATTTGTATAACTTACTTTCCAGATGGGGATTTGGCTTGTTGTTGCTCCGTTGGATTGTGATGATTGTGGCAGAACTGAGATATCCCATGTACAAAGACACGGGGTTGGTTGGTCGCTTTGTTAGGTGGTGGAACACTCGTAACAGTGTGAGGTATATGCGAAAGACTGTTCCCAAGAAGTTCCACGACGTTTTGATTCCCAAGTACAAGATTGGCTGCAAACGGTTGATTTTCGACTACGTTTACTGTCCGACTTTACACGATCCTCGGATAGACGTGAAGGCCGAACAGGTGGTAGAAGTCAAAGAGCATTCAGTGATTTTGACAGATGGACTGGAAATACAGGCAGATATTATTGTGGCGTGTACTGGGTATGACCTTAACAAGGGTGCAGCTCCTTATAAATTGATCGGCAGAAATGGTAATGATGTAAGTAAATACTGGAAAGAAAATGGTCCTTCTGCGTACGAGACGTTCTTGGCCAAGGACCTTCCCAACTTGTTTTTGATTGCCGGACCCAACTCAGCTTCAGGCCATTCATCCGTGGTGCAGGCCATTGAGATTTCCTGTGGCTACTACGCCAAAGTGGCCAAAAAGATTTTGGATGGCACCTATGCCTCTATTTGTGTTAAAGACGAAAAGTACCTTGAATGGTTTGAAACTACTCAAAAGTTGTTGAAACAATCAGTGTTTGGAACTGCTTACGGAGGGTGTGTTTCATGGTACTCGGATGCAAAAGTCAACTTTGCTGCTTATCCATATAGTCAGATTACTTATTTCCGGAGAGGTAGAAATGTGAAGTGGGATGATTTGGATTTGGTCAAGACGAAGAACAGTTGAGTAATTAGAGTAGTGAATACAAATTGTTAAAGACTAGTTGATAGTAAAGCGGTCACTTGTAGAGTAATTTAATACTTGAGTAACTTAGCATCACAATTTTATTATCTCTTTGTGAATTCTGCTAATTTTGCAACTACCACAAAAAATTAAGAATCCTCTAAAAATCCCCAAAAAACTGGAGCACACCTACAAGCACCACTATAACTCATTAAGAAACCACTACACCCCTCCCCACCTTCTATCACCGTCTCCTACCACACTTGAATATCCCCAAATCAGGGTCGTGCCCGCACAATGCCCTCATCATATGTCCGCGAAAAAAATTACTCACTTCCTCCACGACGTTCAAGATTAGTCAACTACGCCAGGTTTCTAAAGGACTTATTCGAACATTCAAAGCCACGATGTCCACCGCTCAAACTCCCATCCCCTTTTCCAGGGATGCCTTGGAACAAGTCTTGAAGAGAAGATTTTTCTTTGCCCCCTCCTTCGAAATCTACGGAGGTGTTTCCGGATTGTACGACTATGGTCCACCAGGATGCGCTTTACAAGCCAATGTGGTTGATACCTGGAGAAAGCATTTTATTTTGGAAGAAGATATGTTAGAAGTTGACTGTTCAATGTTGACTCCTCACGAGGTGTTGAAGACTTCTGGTCATGTCGACAAGTTTGCTGATTGGATGTGCAGAGACTTGAAAACTGGAGAAATTTTTAGAGCTGACCACTTGGTGGAAGAAGTCCTTGAAGCCAGATTGAAGGGTGACAAGGCTGCCAGGGGCCAAGATGTTAGCGAGGTGGAAGAGGATGAAGATAAGAAAAAGAGAAAGAAGAAGGTCAAGGAAATCAAGAATGTCAAGTTGGATGATGAAGTTGTCAAGGAATATGAGACGATTTTGAACCAAATCGATGGGTTTTCAGGACCTCAGTTGGGTGAATTGATCACCAAGTACAACATCACCAACCCTGCCACTGGGGGACCTTTGGAGCAACCAGTCGAGTTTAACTTGATGTTTGAAACTGCCATTGGTCCTTCTGGTCAATTGAAAGGATACTTGAGACCAGAAACTGCCCAGGGCCAATTCTTGAACTTTTCCAAGTTGTTGGACTTCAACAATGAGAAGATGCCTTTTGCTTCTGCCTCTATTGGTAAGTCTTTCAGAAACGAGATTTCTCCTAGAGCTGGTTTGTTGAGAGTTCGTGAATTCTTGATGGCCGAAATTGAACATTATGTTGACCCAGAGGACAAGAACCATCCAAGATTCGATGAAATTAAGGATGTCAAGTTGAAATTCTTACCCAAGAGCGTTCAAGAAGCTGGTTCCAATGAGTTAAAAGAAGTCTCTGTTGGTGATGCTGTTGAATCTGGAATGGTCGACAACCAAACCTTGGGTTACTTCCTTGCTAGAATCTACAAGTTCTTGCTTAAGATTGGAGTCGATAAAAACAGACTTAGATTCAGACAACATTTATCCAACGAAATGGCTCATTACGCCGCTGACTGTTGGGATGCCGAATTACAAACCTCCTACGGTTGGATTGAATGTGTTGGTTGTGCTGACAGATCGGCGTACGATTTGTCTGTTCATGCTGCTAGAACCAACGAGAAGTTGGTGGTGAGAAAGGCCTTGGATGCCCCCGTCACTGTGGAAAAGTTCGAAGTTGACATCGAGAAGAAGAAGTTTGGTCCTACATTCAGAAAGGACGCCGGTAAGGTTCAAGACTGGTTATTGGCTAGAACTCAATGTGAGTTGGAGGACTTGTCTAAGGAATTGAAGGACAATGCTAAGATTGTGTTTAAGGTGGATGGAATCGAGCAAGAGGTTGAATTGGACGAAACTTTTGTCAAGATTGGTAAAGTAACCAGAACCGAACACATCAGAGAATTCACTCCTAATGTCATTGAACCATCTTTTGGTATTGGTAGAATTATCTACTCTATTTTTGAACACCAGTTCTGGGCCAGACCCGAAGACACCGACAGATCCGTGTTGTCTTTACCTCCTTTGGTTGCTCCTACCAAAGTATTGCTTGTGCCATTATCTTCGAATGCTGAATTACAGCCAATGGTGAAGAGAGTCACCAACTTCTTGAGAAAGGAACAAATTCCATTCAAGGTAGATGATTCTTCTACTTCTATTGGTAAGAGATACTCCAGAAACGATGAATTGGGTACTCCATTTGGTATCACCATCGACTTTGACTCTATCAAGGACGACTCTGTCACCTTAAGAGAAAGAGATTCTACCAAGCAAGTCAGAGGTTCTTTCGAAGACGTGATTAGGGCCATCAAGGAGATCACCTATAATGGCGTGTCATGGGCTGAAGGGACCGCTAAACTCACCCCATTTGAATCACAATCTAGTGAGTAGGTATATCGTATTATATACGGTCATGTATTTTATTAATAAGTTAGCCAAGAAGCTCTTTCAAGAACGCCGTATTAGTGGGTTTTCTCCCCAATAGCTCCTCAAGGCTCTCCATTATTTCTCTCGAGTTTCCTGTGGACAAAATGACATCTCGATACCTCAAGCCACTTTGGATGTTCATTGGATCTTTCTTAAACAACGAATAAAACATATCTGCAGCAAACACTTGGGAATATAAATATCCATAATAACTGGAGGAATATCCAAGAGCAATATGGCGGAATGAAGCATATCCTGGAGTTCTAATAGCATCAGCAGGAATCAACGAAATATCTCCTCTCATATCGTTCCACGTACTCAATAAGTCAAAGGTTTCCAAATCTTCCTCATTATCGATAGTGTGGCATTTCATGTCAAATAGACCCAAAAACACCTGACGAAGGTTCAATAAGGCTCTATTGACACTTTTAGATTTAATGAGCTGGCCAAGCAATTCATCACTTATAGGTTCTCCAGTTTGATAATGGGAAGACAAGGCTTTTAACTCGTCTTGGGACCAAATCCAATACTCAAGCATTTGCGATGGAGCTTCAACAAAGTCTCTAGGGACTCTAGTGCCATGAAACTTGGCGTACTTGGTTTTGGATAGAATACTGTGGACTCCATGGCCCAATTCATGAAAGAAAGTCTTGAGCTCACTGTGCTTCAACAAGGCAGGCTTGTCTTTTGAAGGTTTGGTAAAATTGCAGACCAATGCGGTGACAGGATATTGTCTTGTTCCATCGCCCTTCTCGAAACCTGGTCCCAAATTGAAGTTAGCAGCATGGCCGTATTTACCTTCTCGAGGATGCAAGTCAAAGTATATGATCCCAACAAATGACGGGTTTCCCAGTTTAATATTCTGAAAAACTGCAAACTGTTTTACTTCTGAGTGCCATGTAAATTCAACAGGGAGGTTGGCCAATTTGTGGAATTTGATATCAAAAATGGTTTCGTATATCGATAGCATCCTTTTGATGGTCAAGTCTAACGGGAAGTACTCCTGGATCTTCTTGTGGTCAACTTGATATTCTTTTTCCAACAACAAGTTATCGTAAAAACTCTGGTCCCAAATATAAAAATCGTCTTGTGGAGAAAGTTCCCGGGACCTTAAATCTTTATATTTCAACTCTTTCATGTGTTGAAGTTGTTGTTTGCCCAAAGGGGTTAGTTTAGCCCGCAAATCGTGAAGGAACGTCAAAACATTGTCCAGAGTTTTTGCTATCCTCTCTTCCAAAACAAAAGCAGAGTAATGATCGTAGTTCAAAAGCTTGGCCACTCTGTACCTGAGCTTGAGCATATTCAAGAGTATAGTTCCGTTGTTTGCACACTTGGACTGATTTCCAATGTAGGCTCTTTTTCTGGTATCTTGGTTCTTAGCGTATTTCATTACTGGGAAGAAGTCAGTGTACTTGAAAGTCATCTTATACTTTCCGCCATCGATTTGGAACTGATCCACAACATCATCGGGAACACCCTCCAATTCTTCTCTGGTAAAAGCTATATATTCGTCAATTTCATTTAATGCCCGTTTAAATTCAATCGCAAGCTCAGAGAGCTGAAGCTTATAATTCTTTAGAACTTCCTGCTGGTCATCCGGCAATTCCATGCCATTTCTTTGGTATCCCAACACCTTCTTATCCAAGTAACGAGTAGTTTCCGGGTCCAGGTGTTTGGCTTCTGCCAATTTCTTGAACACTTTATAGACGTCTTTCCTCTGCAGAGCCTCAATCGAGTACTTGTCTAGCTTCTTCAGCACGGCATTGGAGGCGTCTCTCACATCCTTCTGTGGAGACACAGACAGGTAGAATGTCAATTGGCCCTCGGAAAACCATATTTCTTGCACTGTTTGCAAGTACGGAGCCAACGCGTTTTCTGTAGTAGGGTTCTCAACAGCAGCGAATTTGTTGAGGCATTCGTCTTGGATACGTATCAAGTCTTCTGCTTTCTGAAGAACCTGAGAGGGCGTGTGGTCCCACCGAGGAAGTGAAAGCTTGGAAATGAGGTTATCGTAGTCGATTTCAGACATGGTAAATATGGTTTTGAAATTAAAACGAGCGTTGTGAAAGAATGGATGCTAGGCGAATTTCAGCGACTATGAGATTGATCCTTTTTATACCAGGAATCGCACCTGGATCCTAGCGCCATGTATTTGTAAACAGAGCCATATAGTGGGAAGAATGTTCACAAATACTGCTGTCACAAAAAGAACTGGCACAGATAGTGACTGTTGAAGAAACAAGTATCCTAGGGTATTTGTGATGATATTGGTGGCTATTTTGGAAAATTGGGTGGTTCTGATGCCTGAGACGACAGTCACGCTGTATAGGGGGCATATCAAACATAATATGTAGACGGTGGTAGTGAGAGTATACGCGAGGGACATGGTAGGTTGGATAAAAGTGGATGTATGGATCAAAGAAATAAATGCTGCAAAAAATGCGAATCTATACAAATGCCTTGGGGATGTCTATGTCACAAAAACTTCAACCAACTTGCCAAAATCAAGCCCGTCGCCCGAAGCCAAGTCAAAGATGTTGAGCCCGTCCAAGTTGAACACCCCTCGCGAAAGCCCGATGATTTTGACGTTGGTCTCAAATACACTGTTGGGTTCCAATGGGCCGATACGCACGTCGTTATCAAGCAACAACACTCCATTATTATCGAGTTTGAGCGAGTTGTAGAGCGAAAAAAGCGCCGGTTTCATGTACGCTGGCACGAGGTCCCGTTGGCGGAGCGGTTGTTGCGAGACCAGAGGGGTTGACGCCGAAATATCCTTTTGGCCCTGGAGCACGAGCGAAAGCATCATGTTTGACAGAGAGTTGTTGATGGCCTGGAGCTTCCACACCGTCACCTGGCCCAACGGAACCGTGAGATTCCCGTTGAAGGTGAGTTTAAGTCCAAACAAAGAGGGAGAAATGCCGGGATTGCACAAGTTGACGGTCATAGACGAGTTGGACGAACCTTTACGGAAAAGCACCGGGTTGGTGGCAGTCTTTTTGAAAGACAAGGTGTTGGCGGTGGACAAGGAAGAGGCCCCGGTAGTAACAAGCCTACGCTTTGCAAGCGTCTGTGGCGGTTGTGCTTGGGTCAACATGGACTTGAGTGAGTTGCTGATGGGCGGTGCGACAAGGTTGAAGTCCACCAAAGGTGACCAGGAGGTGGAGATGGTGCTACTATAGGGCGAGGCTGCTGGGCCAAGAACCTGGAGGTTGAGGGTCACGGTGACCTGGCGTGAGGTTTCGAGGGACTCGTTGTTGATGAGTTTGAAGTTTAGGTTGATGGACTCGTCGACCGCGAAGTCGATGGGGAAATGGTAGATGCCTTCGTTGATGTTGATGATCTGGCCGGCGAAACTCAACTCGAACTCGTTGAGGCGAATGTGGAGCGACGAGTGGTGGAGGTGTGCGAGGTGGTCGGAGGTTTCGACGTTGAAGGATGCAAGGAGTTCGTTGTTTTTGCCAGCGGGTTTGGTGGACTTGAGTTTGACGACGAGGGCAGAGAGAACTGGGAGCGAGACGGTAGCGGGGGTCACCGACGCGACGGCGGTGGAGTTGTCGGTGTGGGAAATATCTGCCACCACCCGGCTGTCGAGGCTTTTTCTGGATGTGTCTGTGTCCTCAATGATTGTGCTCAGGAGAAACATGTTTGTAGATGAGAGGTTCAACTCGCGTAGGAGGTTACGGGGATGGCATGGCTCGAGGTCCGTGAGGGTGGCGATGGTGGAAGTATTGGAGGGTGGGTCATTGAACCTGATGGTGGCGCTAAGGTGGATTCGGGGCGAGTTGAGCTTCTTGTTTGGATATTTCACGGGGATGGAGAATCGGTATAGTTTGAACGGCAAGCCGTCGTGAAGGTCCAGCGCCACGAGCTCGTCTACCACTAGCGACTCCACCACGAACAGTGCCGGCGAGTAATTGGGGTCTGTGTCAAGGATATCGCCGGGAATAATGCTGACGTCTAGGAACACTTCAAAATGGGACAGGATGGAGACGTGGAGATCGGGGTGTTGTTGGACGAGGACGTAGCCGGCGAGGTGCTCGTCGAAGAAGGCCACGTCGCGGGCGGCATAGAGCCGGTGGAGAAGCAACTCCGGGTCGGCGGTGGGCTGACTGGGGAGATGGATCAGAATGTGCATAGTGAGAGTGAGAGTGAGAGTGAGAGTGAGAGTGAGAAGTGAGTGAGAAGTGAGTGAGAATGAGTGAGAGTGACAGTAGAGATGAGACGTGAAAAGACAATTAAGAGAAGTGAAAAGACAAGCAAGAGAAGTGATAGAGAAGAAAGGCCCCAGCTCAACACCCGTGATTCTATAATGTCTATTAATGCTTAATAAATAATTGTCTTAAATACGGCTAATGGGCCTCTTCCGTGAAACACTCAACCACATCTCGTGCCAAGTGGTACAAAAAACCCAAACAGCATCCAACTGTCACCACCACCGTCGCCACTCCGTACACAGCTCCCACGGCCTTGAACGTCTCCATACCATACATCTTCCCAAGCTCACTATTGCTAATGGCCATGGTGCCCAAGGGAAATGTCATGGCCCAGAAACCCTTATTGAACCGAATCATACCTTCAAATGGCCCACTGGTACACACATGTTCCGGGTTGGGGTTCTTGGTCAACACCTTCGTCAACACTGACGCTACCGCTATACAGGTGTTGAAGTACCCAAACGATATGAGAAAAAGCCCTGTGAGAGAGCACACCACCATCAACACGGTGGCAATGCTGGTGGCGGCCTCCAGCAACGTTTGGCCCATGTTGTGAGTGAATTCCAAACCGGCCAATTTTGCAGCCATCGCCGGCACGAGCTGGTGCAAATTGTTACCACACAAGAGGATCAGAAATGCTCCTTGACCCAAAAACCCAATGGGGATGAACGTGGTGAACACCATCGTGGTGTTGGGGATCTTGTGCACAAGATACTTGTAGAAGATTAGTGAGAGCACAATGAACGACATGGCCATGGCGTTGGCCCAAAGCACGTAGCTCACCACCACCGTGAGTACCTGAAGATTCCGGTGCGGTAAGTCCATGGCGAAGAGCTGGCCCGCCGATGAGGTGACTGTCAATGCCACGATCGGCAAGAGAAGGGTAGCATGGAAGTTTTCCGGGGAAAAGTGCTTCTTTGTGCTGGTTTTCACCAAAAACGTGAAGTAGAAAATCACCACCGCCGTGTACACGCAAAGGAATACAGACACCCACCAGAGCACAAAGATACCGATGATGAACGATGGGCCTGTCACGAAGTAGAGCATGTTCACCATCGAGTTGTATCCCATGGCGAAACATCCCATGAACGGGGCCACCTTGGGGTCGGTGTGGAATTTGACCAAGTTCCCCCGTACGGTGGAGGCTGAAATGACCATCAAGACAGTTCCACAAAGGAAGAAAAAGATTCCTAGGGCCCACAAAATGAGTCCCACCACCCGGAGCCAGGCGGCTGGGTATGGGAAGTGGTAGCAGATGGCGGCAGAAATACCGGTAGCCATCACATTGACAAAGTATGCTGGTAGGAAGTTATTGACGAGTTTGTGCGATGCTTTGTGGTGGAGCCGGTTCCAGGAGGAATATGGTTTTTGTGGAGGGGAGGCATGAGAGTCGAGTTTTGTGTTTTCTGTCTCCACATCTGATTCCGTGAAGGAGTGGTGGTGTTGAGCTGGTTGTAAAGAATTTGCAGCCATTGGTGTGAAATGGGTAGGTTATAAAACTGAGGCGCTGGGAACAAACTGTGGCGCTGACTATGTGTAGGGATCCGACTATTTGCAGCCAAGCGGAGGTCGGGGAGGCGGAGAAAGAGCGGTGCAGGGGAAAGCAGACTCAAATACGCCGATGGACAGTTGAATATATCTGGCCAGAATGCAGTTGGGGGGGATATGACTCTATGTTTATAGGTGAAGGAAAAGTTTTTTAAGAAGGAAACATGACGCACTTTGAAAAAAAGCGGCCGAAAAACCCTGATAGGAGCGACGGGCATCCGCACCATTTTTGCCTGAACCGGAAATGGATTGCGAAAGGGCACGTGTGGAGGGCCACCGCTCACCGGCCGTCGGGCGGATGGCCGCCCAATCAGCGTGGGCGGAAGTACCACAGCGGTTGTTTTGGAGGCCGCCGTGAGCAAGTTTGAGACCCCGAAGGGGGGTGGGCCTGCACACAGCCCCAAAAGCGGTGCCGCCGATCGCGTGACGGTTGAGCGGCCCCGCCCCAAATAGGTGTAGCCAGGGCGCACATGGCGGCCCCGCCTCTCAAGCTATTTAAACAGCCCGTATCCGCCCCCCGACTGCCTCCCTTTTGTTTTCACATTCGCAAATTCACAAAAATACCCATCATGTTATCTACCCAAATTCCCGCCCAAGGACCTTTATCGTCCTCCCATAGTGCTAGGACCAGTGCCAGGGCCACTCCCACGGTGGAAGACCACGCCACCCCCCGCTCCGTCCCCGACTATGACGCCGAAGAAATTCCCGATAACAACTTTGGCCGCTTGATCCGCAGCCTCAAGGCCGCCTTAGGCCCTAACAAAGGTTTGTCTTGCAAAGACATCGATATTGAACACATCAAATGCCTCATGGAACAATACGAGGCACGTGACGACGACTGGCTCAAGTATGCGTTGCACGACCCATCCCGTCCCTACACCAGAAATGGTATCATCAACCTCAACGGTAATGCCAACCTCTTGATATTGTGCTGGTCTCCAGGAAAAGGAAGTGCCATCCACGACCATGCCAACGCTCACTGCTGCATGAAGATTCTTAAGGGAAACCTCATGGAGAGTTTGTACGACATGCCACAAACAGAGGGTCAGCCATTGGTGTGCAAGAAAGAAACCGTGTTGAAGAACCAAGAAGTTGGATACATTGCCGACGATATTGGGTTGCACAAGATTTCGAATCCAGACCTGGAAGTGTCTGTGTCGTTGCACTTATACACGCCTCCGTACGCATCGATGTATGGGTGTAGCATGTATGAAGCTGGAAATGGGAAGAAACACCATGTTGATATGAGTAAGTATTATAGTTGGCAGGGACAGGTGGTGAGTGTGCTGGGAGGGCTGTCGTGTTAGACGTCAGCGCCTGTGCTCAGTGCCGCCAGTGCCAGTGCCGTCAGTGTGCCAGCTTTAGCTTAGATAGATGAATGAGATACGATAATTATAATAGAGTCAGTTGACAGTCAACGAATAGAAGACAAATAGTTGACAGTCAAGGAATAGGAGATAGTCGCAGTGTCAATGAATGGGAGCAGCACAAGACGGACAGTGGCACACGTTGCAATACAAAAGTACAGTTCGTCAGTTCTCCTCGCTGTATCGCAGCTTCGCGCTCGTCGCACTCAAAATCAAATCTCATTCACCACTCCAATACCTCTCCCATACCCCATCCCCTTACCTCCATGCCCGACCTGCCGCTCGTCTACTACGGGCCGCGCAACCTTCAGCCGCTCAACCATGCGATGCGCCACGGCTTCGAGTTTGAGTACAACTCCGAAACCTTCCTCACCTCCCTTGCAAACACCTTCTACATCTACTTTGATGATAAGCGTCACAACACAAATGGAAACCCGGTAACCCCCGCCATCAAGGCATCCGCCGAGTACGCAAAACACTACCAGGCCATCGCCGACTGGAAAATTATGAAGGAACGCCAAAAAACCGTCAGTGCCATGCTTATGCTATGCCTTAACTTAGGAGTCGACCCTCCAGATATTATGAAGACATATCCTTGCGCCAAGCTCGAATCCTGGTGCGATCCAACCGCATTTTCCGACACCAAGAAAGCCATCGAAACCATTGGCAAGAACCTCCAGTCTCAGTACGAGACCCTCACCCTCCGAACCCGGTACAAACAGCTGTTGGACCCCAGCGTCGAGGATGTCAAGCGGTTCTGTAATACTCTCCGACGCAACGCCAAAGACGAGCGTATTCTCTTCCACTACAACGGCCACGGCGTACCGCAGCCCACACTGTCGGGAGAAATTTGGGTGTTCAACAGAGGCTACACCCAGTATATTCCCATCTCCCTCTACGACCTTCAGACATGGCTTGGGGCTCCCGTCATTTTTGTCTACGACTGCAACAGCGCCGGCCACATTGTCCACAACTTCAAGAAGTTTGTCCAGAAACGTATTGATGACGATAATGAAGGAAACCACGACATTTCGTCGCCGCTGCCCACCTCATCGTACCTCGATTGCATCCAACTCGCGGCCTGTCGCTCCAACGAGTTGCTCCCCATGACGCCCGACCTCCCGGCAGACTTATTCACCTGCTGCCTCACGTGCCCCATCGATATTAGCATCAAATGGTTCATCATGCAGCTGCCGTTGAGGAAAAGCTACTACGACCAGCTCCCCCGTAACGCCGTGGGAAACGTCGTGATCCCCGGAAAGTTGACCGAACGGCGTACCCCTTTGGGCGAGTTGAACTGGATCTTCACCGCCATAACTGACACCATTGCCTGGACGTCTCTCTCACGGCCTATTTTCAAACGGCTTTTCCGTCAGGATTTGATGGTGGCAGCCCTTTTCCGGAACTTTCTTCTCGCCAAACGCATCATGCCGTTGTTGAACTGCAACCCAATCTCGGACCCTCCACTTCCCGAGACCGTACGCTTCCATACCATGTGGGAATCGTGGGATTTGGCCATCGACCAGGTTCTTTCGCAACTTATTCGCAGCCAGACCATCCCACAGCTGGTGCTGTCTCCCGTCACCACCACCATGGCCACCACCAACTCACCCATAAACTCTACCGCTAGTCCCGGCCAGCACTCAACCTTTTTCGAACAACAACTCACGGCCTTCGAAATCTGGCTCAAGTTTTCGGCTCCCTCCACCAAAGAGCCTCCCGAACAGCTCCCCATCGTGCTCCAAGTGCTTCTTTCACAAGTCCATCGTCTTCGGGCTTTGATTCTCCTTTCAAAGTTTCTTGACTTGGGTCCATGGGCCGTCTACTTGTCCCTTTCCATTGGAATATTTCCCTATGTACTCAAACTTCTCCAGAGTCCCGCACAAGAACTCAAGCCGGTGCTCATCTTTATCTGGGCCCGCATCATGGCCATCGACTATAAAAGCACCCAGCAGGAATTGTGCAAAGACAAAGGGTATAATTACTTTTACACAATCTTGAACGGGTCACCATCGGCCAGTGGTAGTGGTCCGCTTATCAACGACGACCACAAGGCCATGAGTGCGTTCATTCTCACGCTTTTCATCAAAGACTTCAAAAACGGCCAGCGGCTCTGTTTCTCGGTGGAACTCATTAACAATTGCTTGCGGTATATGGCCTTGAGTGAGAATCCCCTTTTGCGGCAATGGTGTTGTTTGCTTTTGTCTCAGCTTTGGCGTAACTATCCCGATGGTAAGTGGATCATCTATAAAGATGGCTACTTGAGCAAAATGCTCTCCATGGCTAGCGATCCTATTCCAGAAGTCAGAACTGCTATTGTTCTTGGCATGACTGCGTTCTTATCGGACGGGTCCAGGCAACAGAACCAACCCCAGCTGCAAGGCCAGCAGTTGCAACAACAACAGCATGGAGCTGCTAATGACATGCGTAGAGACGAGCTTCGCCAGCAGGACTTGCGGTTGGCCAACATCGTGTTGGGCCTTTTGGGTGACGGGTCTGCCATGGTCCGCAAGGAGATCATCTTCTTCATCAACAAGTTTGTGGCCAACTACCACCAGTTTTTCTTGGTTGTGGCTTTCAACCAGTTAGAGGAAGAGGTGGTATTGATTGACAATTCCAACCAGTTGAATGACTTCCGCAAGAAGTCACCTGCCTACGGACTGATCTTCAGCTCGGTGTGGAAGGCGCTTTTGATCCTTGCCGAAGATCCACATCTCGAGGTCAAACAGCTTGCAGAAACCTTGATCGATACGGTAATGTTGCAGTTGAACGAGAGTGAGTTGGGTCCGTTGGTCAGAGACATGCAGATGTACTTGTTGAGCAAGTCCAGCATCAACATTAGTGAGAGCTTCCGTCCAGCGCAGCCTATTGTCAACCGACACTTGGGAGGAGCCGGTGCCAATGGAGGTGCAAGTTTGGTTGCCAAAAGACAAATTCTGAGTGCACTGATGGTGCTGAGAAAGAATAACACTCTCACCATCAACGGAGCAAGACGAGTGGCTTCGGCCTCTCATGCCGACACATCGAGTGTCCATTCCGAATCGTCCCTTGCCGAGTCGCTCACCAATCGTCTCAAAGGACTTTCTCTTGCCAAACTTGTACTGCTGCTTCACATCAACGACGATACCGAACTCAACAACTTCACGCGGATTCTTAACTCCAGTCCCGTTAGTTCCAACTATCACGCCGAGTACCGCCCCAAGCCTCCACGGTTTACACCCAGGGATGTTTCTGCCGACGTCCATCTCTCCGAAGAATCGGGTTTTTTCGAGTACTCGTGTGAATATTTCCAAGAGCCACAAATGAGCAAGAGCGAGCTTGATGAACCTGGTTCCCAGGAGTATATTGAGCGTCTTTGGCGTCGGAACAGAAACGAGGCCATCATTCAAGAAACCCAGCCCCAGAAACAAATGGCCATTCGTGGTGACTGGGGTCGGTCTCCCGTGGTTCTTGACAATAAAACGCAGCCCAAATTGATCAAGTTCACCCAATTCGAGAAGAATTTGGTTGTATGTGACGATAAAGACAACGTGACGGTATGGGACTGGGAGACTGGGAAGGTGGTCAACCGATTGAGTAACATGAACCCAGCCGGCACCAAGATCACCGATATAAAGTTCTTGAACGAAGACGATTCTCCATTGATGCTCGCAGGGTCGAGCGACGGGGTTATTAAAATCTACAAACACTTTACGTCCGACAGAACCAAGCCCGAGCTCGTAGCTCTGTGGAGAGCCCTTACTGACCTTCTTCTTACTGCCAAAAGTACAGGGCTTATCTGTGAATGGCAACAGTCCAGAGGTTCACTTTTGGTTACGGGAGACGTCAAAATCATCAGGGTCTGGGATGCTCCTCGTGAGCTCTGCCTAGTAGATATTCCTGCCCGGTCGACCCTGGCGATCACGTCCATCACATCGGACCAGGTTGCTGGTGATATCTTTGTGGCTGGGTTCGATGATGGTAGTCTCAGAGTCTACGACCGTCGTCTTGATCCCCGTGAGTCCATGGTCCGCACATGGACCGGTAGTTCCCATCCAAATCAACACCAACAACAACGGTCTCGTGTTGCCAGTCCAATTCGTAATATTCATATGCAAAGAGGAGGATACAGAGAGTTGGTATCTGGAGCAGCTGATGGATCCGTTCATCTTTGGGATATCAGGTCATCAGACCTGGTGCTTTCATTCGCCAACACCGAGAAGTCACTCCGGTGCCTCGAGGTCCACGAACATGCTCCCATCATTGCAACCGGCTCGAAGTCGGTGAACTTGTGGACTTCTTCTGGTGACTTGGTGTACAATTTGAAGAATCCGCACGAGCTGTCGACGTACTTGGGAGGTAGAACTCTGAACTACCTTTCGGGCGTGGCCCTCCACCCACACCGGATGATGGTGGCATCAAACTACAATCAGGATGGGAACATCAATGTGTACACCTGTGTGGACATCATCCAGGAGTATTAGAAGCACCCATTCTGTGATCTATGTATTCTATGTCAACTTGCTCGACCGAACCATACACGTAGAAGTCTGTTGTAGTCTGATATAGTCTGATATAGTCTGTTCCAGTCAGTTCTCATCTGTCCCTCTGTGTACCCCACGATACACCGAGAGCCAAATGTCGCGCATGTCGCGCACAAAAAAGACCAGCCCATCCCTAAAACCAGTTCAACCTCCACCAAAAGACCCTAGACTCCCATCGGAGTTCTTCCCCATACACCGGCTATTCTCTTCATACTCCAAAACCCCCCACCGTCTTCCCACAGACATATCGCTCCACCGCACTCCGTCTTCGGAGTATCACCACATGACTTTTTCGCACTCTCGTTTTCGCACCTACTTCATCTTACCAACAGTCTCCTCCATTAACCATACGATGTCGCTTCTGCTTTCATCGTCCCCCATCCACACAACACGGCATCCGCCCGACCCCGAGCCGCCTATGCCCTTCACCAGGCCCCCCGACACCTCCGATCTCACCCTCCCCCAAAGAATGTTGAGTGCCAGTTCAGGCTCCATTTTGACAGCTTTTGTGCTAACCCCATTCGACGTGATTCGTATCAGAATGCAGCAGCAGGAGATCATGCCCGAGTCCAAGCCATGCTGCTCATCGCACTACCAGGCGGCTCCGGCCGCCACGGCCACCAGAAACACATTGGTGGCCAATACTTCGGTACTCGCCCCAACTGAGTCGCATCTCTTCTGGCTAGACAAGGACTACTGCAAAAACGTCAAAAATTGTACGAGAATCGACTCGACGTACCAGGGGTTTGTCACCATTAGCAGAAATGAGGGGCTTCCAACCCTCTGGCGTGGGATCTCGTTGACGTTGCTTATGGCCATTCCTGCCAACGTAATTTATTTCACCGGATACGAGTATATTCGAGATAACTCACCCATCAGTGGGCTGATAAACTCGTTGTTGTGTGGGGCATCTGCACGGCTCATGGCCGCCACCGCGGTGGCGCCGTTGGAGTTGGTGAAGACCAGATTGCAGTCGATTCCGTCGTCTCGAGCCAATCCCCGGATGCTTCTGAACGTGCTTGCGGGAGCCTTGGCCGACGTGCGCACCTATGGCGTACGCTCCTTGTTCAAGGGCCTCCAGATCACCTTATGGCGCGATGTACCATTCTCGGGAATCTACTGGTCGTTGTACGAGATGTGCAAAAAGGAGTTTGGCCTGATGTTTGACGCCAACTTCGACATGGGCACCCACGCCGAGAACGACTCGCGCGTGTTTGCTACCAGCTTCTTATCCGGGTCGGTGGCTGGGTCGGTGGCAGCGGTGTGTACTCATCCATTCGACGTGGGCAAAACCCGGTTGCAAATCAGTCAGGATAACTCCAAAGACACCAAGCGCTCGACGATGTTCAAGTATTTGTTTAACATATACAAGAACGAAGGCCCACGCGCGTTGTTTGGAGGACTAGGGCCACGGGTGATCAAAGTGGCTCCGGCTTGTGCCATAATGATCTCGTCCTACGAAATCACCAAGATCTTTTTTAAGAACTGAGTTGGTAATGTTGCCAAACTCAAACCTCACAGCATGTATATACTAGGCAAAACTTACATATAGATATTTAATTCCAGCTCTCGTTACCGTGGAAGTGGTCATAGATGGGCCTGTCAAATTCGTCGTCGGGCACAATCCGAGTAGCAGATACCACTTTTTTGCCCAGACTATATTTGCAGGAACTGGCTCGGCCAGCCTCAATGGAGCACTTGGCACAGTGGGAAGCCATTGAGGTGTGGCCATCCAGCTTCTTATTTTCTGGTAAATTGGTAACTTCTTTCGTGGCATTCAACCCAGGAAACCTGTTTTTACCCTTGAGACGTTCCTCACATCTGACGGCATCTGCCTCTAAGTTGACGGCCATGGCCCGGACCTCCATGGCGTAGTTTTGAACTGCGTCCATGAAATTCTCATTGATGGCTCGGGCATAGTGGGTTTCCGAAATCCTAATATTGGCTGCGTTCGTCTCCAAAGTCTCCAGAGCTTTTTGGGCATTGAACAGTTTGTCGCCATATTTGCCAGACTCAACCTTCCACTTCTTCTTGAGGTCCACACGGCAGTCTCGAAGCTTTTTGACGGCAGTTTCCTTGTCAGCCACCACCGTTAGGGCCTGGCGAATTTCTTCGCAGCCAGTCAGCAATGGCAGATACCAATTTACCTGGGCCCTGAAAATCCCGGCCGCCTCCTTCAAGATCAAGTTGCACTTGGGATCAACCATATTATCGCCCCAGAAGTCCAATTCCTTCTGGAGCTCACTGCTGTGCTTGAGTAAGTTTTGGTACTCTTTTTGTACCAGTTTCAATTTGTGTTCAAGCTGCTTGGCAATGACAATACTGGGGCCGAATTCCTCGTCAAAGTCGGATTTGGAACTGGTGGAGATCGACGCCGATGCTATGGTATTTCTCACGCCCGTGAGAGTGGAGATTTTGTCTAAAACTCGGTGGAGGGCCAGGGCAGGACCTTCCACTAAGGACTGTTTGAAAATGCTCTGGTTCTCCTGTTGAGTGTTGATGGTCCTAGCAGTCAAGTATTGGGACCGCGGAGGTGTGTCGCTGCCACCGAAGTGGCGGTACTGGTCTACACCTGAGATGTGGGCACACATGGGGAGAAACAAGTTGTTTGTGGTGAGATCCACAAAATTCGCAGCCGCTCATTTTTCTACTTGCTTATCTATTCGTTAATATAAAAGTGGCCTATTTCTTGGTGGCATCGTCGTCCAAGTTCAACCCCGTGTACTTCTTGATGGTTAGTCTCAACGAATCCACCATCGATGTGACCTTGGCCTGACTCGATTCAGTGGTTTTCTCGAGCTGAGTCACAATCTGCTCCGATTTCTTCACCAACGACTCCTGCTGCTTCGCAACCTCGGGGAGCTTCTGCTGCTCCCACTGCCACAACAACCCGGTGGTGCTGCCAAACGTTTGAGGCAAAAAGTACCTAAAAGAGCCCACTCCCAAAATCACCGGGTACACCACCTTTGCAAATACCGATCTTTGGCGAGCAAGAATGGTTCCCAGGAGAAATGCAATCGCTATATATGCAGAGTTGGGCAACAAATCCTCCGATTTATCGTGCAATTGGCTCACGGTCGACGTGACTTTTTGCTCAGCTTGGTGATACTTGGAATATCCATCATCCACAAGACCGGTGGCACCCGCATACACGTTGTACACGCTCTCCCGTACCGTCTTTATGCCTGCCTCGAGAAAGCTGGGCGATTCGACCAACACTCCGTTCACTATTTTCTGTGAAGGTAATGGAGACGCCGGGTCCGACACTGGAGCAGAGTTGAGGGATGGTTCGTCTTCATAGAAATTCCGCTTGGATTCGTTGAGCACACTACTGGAGGATGTCTGGTACACCACCAGGGCCGCCACGATGGCTGCCATCTTCTTGCTGGAAGTTCTGGCAAACATGGCTTATAGATGAAAAGATTCCAGTTGGTTGGACAAAAAGTGTTTTGTCGCGCACCGCTAGACGCACGACCACTAAGTAAATCACTAATCAGTAGATACTACTTTTTCTAACAAACACATTATCCACCCAAAAACCATGTGGTCAAGGCATATGAGGTATGCTGGATTCACATCAAGGTACCAGCGAATACTGTTATCGAGACGTGTAGGAGGTTTCGGTGGCCGCAGCAACTCCAATACCGCTTATAACCCCAGCTCATCGCAGCCAGATTTTGGTGCCAATATATCTTCATTCCACTCTATAGGAGGAAAGGACAACAACTCAGATCAGAAATTTGGATATATTGTCAAAGGAGATGAGAAAGAACAGGCGGTTCTCTCCAGAGATGATTTGGTTAGCTCTCCGTTCAGAAATGATGATGGTTCTTTCATCAAAGGCGCTAATGCTGAGGAAGCAAGATTACATGACAATACTCTAAAAGGGAGAGCCCACCACACGGCCATAAGGCTCCCTGATGTCATTGCTGATACCATCAACAACAACATCTTACGGTTGACTTCTCCTGGCCGGTTGAGAACAAAAGTGGCTGACATATACCAATCGGTACAAAAGGAACAACTACAATCGGCTCCTACCAACGGAATAGAGGCCAACGCCCACATCGCAGCATTGTTCCTCCAGGACTACGCTCACTGCTACCAGGTTCTTCAGGAGTTGAAGAAGAGAATGGGCCCGTCATTCAGTCCTAAGAGAATCTTGACTGTTGGATATGGACCTGCCACGGGGATGGTTGCTTTGAACGAAGTCATGGGTGACACATTCAACCCCGAGTATAAGGATGCATATGTGATTGGCCGAGAAAATAGAGAAATGAAGAAAAGAGCCAAGATCATCTTGTCAAGGCAGTTAAACGAACAGCCATTTGGAGAAATTGCCCTTGAAGAGGCAGAAGAAGTTGCTGAAACCGAAACAGAAGATGCGTTGACCGAAGAACAAGCACCAGAGACACCTGAGTATGTGGGACCCGTCGACACGACGCGGATCGAGATCAGAACCAAGTTGAGAGATTCGTTGCCGACTGCAAAAAAATACGACTTGATCATCGTGAACCACTCATTGTTAACCAAAGAACACCATTTCCCACGGGACGTCGACGTCAACATGCACATGCTTCTTCGGCTCCTAGAGCCCCAGGGCCATATTGTTCTTGTTGAAAGAGGCAATTCTGTTGGCTTTGAAACGGTCGCAAGAGCCCGTCAGATCATGATTAGACCCGAATCTTTCGAAAAAGAAAGAGGTAAGGTTCCCCGTCCTTACATCAAGGGTTCTTCCATCAAGCCCCAGAAGCTTCGACACGTCGATCAGATCATCACCGAAGAGCACATCAAGCACGAAGAGAAATTACTTGAAGAGCTTGACAAAGAACTCGGACAATACCACGCCAGCGACTCAGACATCAGTGAACTCGAGCAGACCATCATCGAGAAGTATGGAGACGTCAGCGAGGACGACTTGAAGTTCGAGTTTGAAGATGATAAGCGTTTTGAAGTCAACGAACTTGGGGATCCCACTCTTGGCCCAGAAAGTGTTGATTACCATTTGGAAATCGTGGCTCCCTGTTCCCATCACTCCAAGTGTCCATTACAGCTAGGCGACCCCAAGTACTACAAGATCCCATCCCACAAGCATCGGCTCAAGTTCTGCTCGTTTGACAAGGTTGTTGAAAGACCCAAGTATACGATGGAGTTGAAGAGAGGAAAGAAATTGGCCACGGCGTGGGACAAGGGTGCCGAAGACGGGTTCGGATTCGACACAATGAAGAAGAGCCAGGTGAAGAAGCTCAGTGGTTCTGGAAGACCTGGAGGCAATAATACCGAAAGTGGGTCTTTCACCTACTTGATCGCCAGAAGAGCATCAAACGAAATTAGCGACATCCAGAAGATCGAGTACGAAAGAGTCCACAACGCCTCATCTGAGGTGGACCTCTCCAACCCCACCAACTGGCCCCGGGTTTTGGATGTCCCCGCTCGGGTGAAGAATAACGTCAAACTCACTACTTGCGCTCCCTCGGGGAATATCGAGATTTGGCAAATTCCCAAGAGTTTGGGTAAACAGGAGTACCACGATGCCCGCAAGGTCGACCAAGGCGACTTGTGGGGTCTCGGAAAGAAGAGTGTGTTGGTGAAGAACCAGCTCAGTGAAAAGGTCAGAGATAAGTTGGATATTTTATCGAAAACCCAGAAAAAGACGTTTAAGAAGGAGCAGAGAAAGAAGGTATGGAAGAAATTGGTGAGCCAGTCGGAGCATGACTTTGAAAATGACATTGTGAAGTTTTCTGACGTGATGGCCACGAACTTGGAGCAGACGAAGAAGTATAGGAAGCAGGGACAAAAATTTGATGTGGATGTCTCCGAGTATGATGGGAAATAGTCTTTCTATCACATGTATATACTGTAAATAAACCTTTCCATCACATGTGTATACTGTAAATATCTATCTCATACACAAATATACCTGTAAGTATCTATCTTGTACACAAAAATATATACCCTGTAAATCTCTACACCTTGTACACAAGTATACTTGTAAATATCACCTCGTGCACAATACACTGTATATCACCTCGTACATAAATATGTTTATTAACTATAAACGACGTGGTCGTTACTTTTGTATGTCTTGCAACTTATTATCACGAATTTGCATTCGCCATGTCCTATAGTACACAAATCAAAGTGGGGGAGCTTCTCCATCGTTTCGTAATTGTCATTTACTTTCTTCTGAAAGACGAGCCTTCAGTCAACTTGGCCTTACCACCGGTTGGAGTACACAAAACAGTGGCACATCCGTCACAGGTGACGGCAGTTTGGGCATGAGAGAACACGGTGGTGATGTTCATACATCCGTGACACTTGACATCCATAAAGTAGGATCTTGGAGCTTGGACCAAGGCCTTCTTCTTGTGTTTCTGAGCTTCGGAGGCTGGAGAAGGGTTTAATAAATCTTGAACTAAAACCATGATGTACTGTGATGTGGAGGAAATTTTTCCAGAGGGAGTGAAAATTTTTTCTATTCACCACTTGGGCGAGCACACGACCGGTTCCCCGATTTTTGGTTGGGACAGGCGACCTTCGCGACCCTGCTGCAAAATATCTATCACCACAGTTCCCTGATAGGATACTAGGAACAAAATACACCATTTGTATAACTGTACTATTTGACTTCTTAAACACATCACAGACGCCCACAAATGAAACTGTCTGCTAGCAGAAAGAAGTCCCAGAGGATGTCGCCCTTTGATCCCTCTTCTTCACAGATTAAAAGAGAAGCGGAATCTACCTTCACAACACTGGAAAACCACCATTACCCAGAATATCGCCCTAGTCGAACCACCGGATACGTAGCGGTGGGAATTGCCATTCTCCCAACATTTTTGGCGGTGTTGGTGCCTGTATTTCCCAATTCTCCCTCTAGCAACGACATTGCGATACTCATCACAGATACTTTAATAGTTGTTCTAGTGACTTGGGCTGTCTGGTTTTTGGGTGAATGGCCTTGGAAGTGGCTTGAACAGGTAAAACAAACAAAACAACGACTTTTAAACCGGATTAACTCGCAACTTCTCATCCAAAAATCTGCTGATAACCGTAGCAGCAATAGAGAGTTCGAAGAAGGCGTTTATTTCTTAAAAAAGCTCATTGGAACAGAGAAAAAAGTCCTACTGTTCTGCTTCACTGGGATATTGGCTGGTGGCATTCTTATGGTCTACACCAGGGTGTTTATTATTGTTGAAGATTCCAGGAGAACCATTGTGTTTTCAAACTTGAATGTGTGTATCTATGTTTCATGGGGTACCTTTAGGTTGGCAGTGTTTCTATTAGAGACCACAAGAAGGAACTCGTTGGAAGCAGCTAAGAAGGATGACTACAACTTGATCAATGAGAGTCACCTCCATCTGTATATGAACACCAATAAAGGTGTGTTGGACCGGATGGCTGAAATGTTCATCGACAAAGCTCCAATACCGGAGCTACACAGACTCCAACAAGAGTTGAAAGAGAACGAGCTCAAGCAAGAACGGGAATGGAGACACCTTAAAAAAGCTGTTTCGAGCTTGAACCAAGAAATGTTGAGTATCAGAAAGTCTCCTCAACGTATATCTACTTTCCATCCATTTCCATTGAACTTCCAAAACAGAGATAGGGCTATTGGTCAGAATACGGACCACAGCTCAGTTCAGACCAGGTTATCTACGATTTTTGACCGAAATTTTCCCAGTAAAAAGCACAAGCGAGTCGGTGAAAATCTTAGACATTTTTCTGGTATCAAGTCCTTGGAAACTAGACTAAAGGAGAGAAACATTTTAAATGACTACAGTTCCGAAGTCAACTCTGGAACAGCTATACCTGAACCTGAACCTGTTAATGTTGGTATGCTGCCCGGAATGACCTCCATTAAATCCTTTATTCTGTTAGCGAGTAGAATTAGACACAAGTACAACCTATTCGATGTGTGCAGACATCCATACATGATGAGGCATATTCTCATGGAAGAAATCCCCCCTTTCTTGAAGTCCTTTGAAGTATTTGACAAAATCATGCTTACCAAGCATATTCTACTTGAGCTAACCATCATTCACATCAAATCAAACATTGAAACTTTTAGACGGTACTTGCAGGCGATTGGAAACAAGTGCAAAATTTCAATGAAGATTGCGTTTATTCAAATAATATCTGCTCCGTTCAAAAGCCCATACAAGGTTTTGAGAACTAGCTTAAAGATCGTCTCTTTTGTTCCCAAAAAACTCATAAGAGAGTTGTTTATACATCCTTTTCGAATTATCCGGCCCAAGAAATCCCCTTCCCTAAGCCCAATAGCCATGTCTAATGACCTCCAAGACTTCCTAAAACCCTCAAAACTATCACCAATGTCAGAAATGGAGGAAAAACTTGAATCACCCATAAAACTTGAAGGATTGAGAGAGTTTACAATCAACCGAAGACATCTCCATCAGCGCAAGCGGAAACCCAGGTCCCCAATCCAGCGGTTCCATTAGATTAAAGTTTTATGTTTTTGCAGCCTCATTGTATTTACGCACTGGGTTCGCACCTTGTACTTAATCTCAAGAGAAGCATCACCGATTAATTTCTTGCACATCCAAACCTGTTTCCAAGATTGCAAACAAAAGACGCCCAAAACAGTACCGTCCGCCGTACAAGCGGTATGTGTACCGATCGGACTTCACTGCTGCTAATAGCAGTGATGAGGAAACAGATGATGAAGACGTGCTTATTCAGCAACAGAGAGATCAAAACTACAAAGACTTTCTGAGAAAGACCAACATAAACATCAGCTCGGTGTATGTACTCACCACACAGAAGCACTTCAAAGGACGAATATGGCCCATGTCTCAGTTCGAGAAAGTGGACGTTCTTAGATGTTGCTTGGAGAAGAAAAACGAAGTATATGACAAAACCTTGAAGGTGATGAATGATGAATTCGAAGAGCAGGAACGACTTATGAGGTTCCCCATGGAAATAGTGGTTCATATCCTAAAGGTACTTTACTACCGTGGAAAACTCACGCCCAAATATTTATGTCTCAACAAGATGTTCTATAACGTGGTACTACCCATGATCTATGGGTATCCAACCTTGAAGGCCACGAATTTTTTCAGTTTTGTGGAGACCGTGAGTTCCAACAAGAAACTAGGAGAACACATAAAGCAACTTGATTTATCTTACGTGATCCAATCAGGTAAGAACTCATTTGTTGCCAAACTTTTGAAAAGATCCAAGAAAAACCTCGACATCTTCGTTGCACCTCAGACCAGTTTTGGTTTGGCCCCATTGGTAGCCCTAAAGAACTGCGAGAACCTCAGGGTCTTGGATCTTCGACTAGTCAGTGAAACTCTCAACTTATCAGAGCTTTTCAACTCCATTCGAAATCTCGATAAGCTCACGAGCCTCTCATTCCCCCGATCTTCCATCGAAATGGATTCCAAACTAATGAACCAAATCCACTGGCCACCCACGCTATCATCCTTAAGAATATCTGGTGGTATAAGTGACGAGTTTCTTATGAAGTCAACGTTGCCCAGCACCATTACCAACTTGGAGTTTGCTCACTGCCCTCATATCAAGGACGAAGGCATCAAATCACTACTCTACAAGTTTGGAAAGAACTTGAAGACACTTCGAGTAGAGTATCCCATGCCCAAGCTCCGTGATGATAGCTTGGATATCATCTGGGACTATTGTCCCAATTTGACGGTTCTACTGATATATGTCGACTACATCTCCGGATCGTTCTTTGACGACTTCAACTTGAGGTTCTTGGACCACCAAAGGCCGTTGAAGACTCTCTACATCGATAGCAGTGGGATGCTTGGAACCTCCACCAAGCTCAATCCACTCGACTTGGCAATTGCATTAATCGACAAACGCCTCCCCATGCTCAAGTTTATTCGGTGTACGGCCAAACTAGGATGGGATCCCAAATCAGATCTTCTATCCACCATCATCGAAGAGCTTGAAGATAGGAACGGTGGGCTCTACCTCGGGTATTAAATAAATATTTATAGATCTGTATTACTAGGTATAATCATGAAACCTCAAAACCGAAGTGTCGCGTAGCCTCAATTTTTCATTGTAAAACATTTCTCCATGTCCGAAGTAAAGCTACCCCCCGGCTACCACCAGGGCATAGCAAGGCCGTACTACACATCCAGCCCCATACCAGCAGTGGTGGGAAGAGCCGTGCTTGGAAACATTGACCGGTTCTGCCTCTTTTCCCTTTTGGCAGTGGGTGTGCTCGTCCGGCTCTACAAACTCCCATACCCCAGTGAAGTTGTATTTGACGAAGTCAACTTCGGAAGCTATATTCACGAATACTTCCACGGGAGATTCTTCATCGACGTGCATCCACCGTTGATCAAGTTGCTCTATTACTGGTGTGCCATACTATTTGGGTATGATGGAGAATTCGAGTTCAGCCACGTAGACGAGAAGTACGATCAAAACGTCCCGTATGTTGCCCTCCGGCTCGTATCGGCGACATGTGGGTTAGTGACGATACCAGTGACATATCTCATTCTCCGCCACAACTATTGTGGTCCGGTGTCGGCGTTGTTTGGCTCGTTTTTGGTGTTGATCGAGAACTCGATGGTGACCCAATCACGGTTTTTCTTCTTGGACTCGCCATTGATCTTGTTTACCGCTGTCACGATGTTGGGTTTCAGCATGGCGAGAAACTCGACTGCTTTCAGTGGCCGCTGGCATGCCAACTGGTTACTCACAGGAGTGTTTTTAGGGCTCGCATGCTCAAGTAAGTCGAGTGGACTCTTAACTTATGGGTGGATTGGGATCTTGGCATTCTTACAACTATGGACCGTTTTGGGGGACTTGGAGGTGTCGGATTTTGGGTGGTGGAAACACTTGGTTGCCAGAATTGTTTATTTGGTGGGTGTTCCGTTCACGATCTATTTGGCAGCTTTCTCGCTTCATTTCCATGCCCTTCCGAATGTAGGTCCAGGAGCCGGCCCCATGACGCCCCAGTTCAAGGCCACATTCAAGGACTATGACACCATCCGAAAAGAGCCGGTGGAAGTGGTTTATGGCAGTACGGTGACTTTAAAACATAATGAGGTGGGTAAGTACTTACACTCACACCCATTTAATTATAAAACTGGCTCCAAAGAACAGCAGGTGACGTTATATCTGTATCACACTGACTACAACAACGAGTGGGAAATACATCCCAAGACCAAGAGGACCGATATGAGACTCTTTGACCAGGTGAATCCCATTAAAAATGGAGATGTGGTGAGACTTTTCCACAAAGCTACCGGAAAGTTTCTTCATGTCAACAACGTGAGGCCCCCCATCACTGAGAAGGACTACGCCAACGAGGTGTCGTGTAACGGAACACGAGACTTATTGGGAGACATCAACTACGAGTTCAAAATCCATATCTTGGACAAAAAGCCCCATTCAAAAAACAATTTGCCCAACATAAAGCTCAGGGCCACCGAGTCCGTGTTCCAGCTCTTCCACCAAGGGACCAGGTGTTCTCTAGTGGCCCATCAAGGGAAGCTTCCGGGATGGGCATTTGGTCAAAACGAAGTTCTTTGCATCAACCAGCCCACTATTCCTAACACTTTATGGTATGTCGAGTACAACAGCCATCCAATGCTAGACAAGGATCAAAGTTCCGAGAGAGTCAACCTAGGAGGCCTCACGTTCTGGAAAAAGTTTGTGGAGTACCAAAAAGTGATGTGGATGTTCAACAAGGGCATGGGAGGTTCTCATGAGTATGGCTCAAGACCCGAAGCATGGCCATTTTTGATCAGGGGAACCAACTATTACTCTACAGATGCCAGGGTAAAGACAGCAGATGAGCCTGGAAGTCATATATACTATTTTGGAAACCTTGCCATCTATTATTTTGGAGTTATGGCCATTTTGTTCATTGGATTGAAACAAGTCTTCTACTTGATTAACCATTTGAACCCATTCATGCTCCCCAATGAAACTACCAACGTCAGTATGTTCTACCAGGCAACCATGGAAACCATACTTGGGTATGTGGTTCATTACCAACCATACTTTATGATGGAGCGAGAATTGTTCTTACACCATTACTTACCGGCAATTTATTTCTGTATTTTGACGGTGACGTACTTTGTTGAGTATCAGATATCGAAACGGAAGCTCTTTGGCTACATCTTGGTTGGGGTGATCGGAGGGCTTTCATTAGGATGTTTTGTGTATTTTTCTCCATTGATATATGGAACTGATTGGTCTAGAGAGGCATGTCGAGAAGCCAAGTGGATTGGATCCTGGGACTTTGACTGTAGGACCTACAAGAAGTAGGTGCCACAGAACGAAATGAGTATGTATATCTAATAGTACACAATGAGCATATGTAATTTACTTTGTGTTGGAGATGCCAGAAGCGACCTCTAAAATCAAACCTTCAACCCACTTTAAAAGCTCATCTTTCTGGTGTATTTTTTGTATTCTCTCACTTTCAACCTCCTGAAGCTCCACCGATAGATCCTTGATTAACTGCATCTGTGAATCTTCAGATATCCCTACTCCTGGTAAGGAATCAATTAGCATAGAGATTTGTCGAGACTTTAGTATTATATCCGTCGACAACTCGTTGATGGTGTTATCGAAATTGGCACCCAGACCCTCACTCTCATGTGAAGTCGGGTGGTCCGAGAGTCCGTTGCTGGTTTGGCCTGTTTGTGGTTGGGTTGGTTGTGGAGGTACTTGCCCGGCCACCGGCGCACTGGCAGCTATATTGGTGACAGAACTGGGGTCTTCATCGAGAGGTGCCTGCTCGCTGTGCACATTAACGTAGTTGACGGTGGCATTGAATTGCTCGATGAGCTGGTCCACACAGATCTGGAGTTGAGTGAGTCTGTCTGACATTAGGTGGAAGAATGTGATGAACAAACAATGAGGATGGATGAATTTCGCGGTTGCAAAAGTAGTGAGAAAAGACAGGGTGAGGGAAACGCAAGAGGTGTGCAAGAATTGGAGAGAGGATGTGAATCATGGGCAGAGGAGATATGGCGACGTCGGCGATGCATTAGAGAAGATTTGGGGATCTTTAGGGCTAAAGATGGAGGAGTTAGGGACAAAAATAGACATACTTCCCCCAATTGTGGTCAAAATAGATCCTGAAAAGACCCATACTAACTTCAGCCCATGTTCTACTGATCCATATACACCATACACAAAAACCTTCCACCCTCCCCTTAAACCATTCGCTTTCCACTTCGTGGCTCCACGATTCGCAGCCACGCCGCACTCGCACACGACTCAGATAAAAAAAGGATCACAGCTACACAATCCACATAATCCACACATCTACACTTTGCCTTCTTTCCACAAACACAATCCCCTACAAGCACGGCGCCTGAAATGAGTGACGCTGACTATGTACCCCATTGGCAAGAGGATTCAGGCTCCATGTGTTGTGTTCTTTGCGAGACACCCTTCACTTTTCTCAATCGAAGGCACCATTGCAGAAAGTGTGGAAGACTTGTTTGTGCTACTTGTTCGGACCAGGCGGTGCGGTACTTTCCGCGCACGGTGATTGCCAACCCTTCAGACACAGTCATATACCTGAGCCAGGCGGAAATCTACAAGACCTGTGATGAATGTGTAGAGGAAATAAGGATGATCCGAAGAGCATTATTTGACAGTAATATCGTGGGAGAACACGCAGAGAACCGGTCATGGAGCCTGTCGGCCAGCGAGGGTAATGCCAGTGCCAGCGGTACCATGAGCGTCCCGGCCGATGACCGAAACAGTGTGATGAAGTTTTCTCGCACCAGGACCTCCACCCGGGTGTTGGATTCCTCGACCAACTCGTCCACCAACAACTTGGCGAGCCTGCGGGACGATGATCTGGACCATAACTTGTGTCCTGTGTGTGCAATCAACATGTTGGATGCCTACATCACGACCCACAAGAAGAAGATCAATGAAATCAGTAATGATGACTTTGAGACCTTTAAAGAAGACCATATCAAAAGTTGTCTCACGTCGTTTGACTTTGACTACAGCCACTCACGGTTTGCGGGCGGGGCTAGCGGCAGTAACCACACGCATCCTCGCAACAAGATGTTGGTGTATAACATGCCCCCGATTCCAAAACCCCAGTTTGAAGCGATTCCCGCGGTGGAAGGGACTTCTTACGACACCATCAAACAGATGAGTGGATACGACGAAGGGTTGCATTTACGTATTGGGTCGGTCACATCGATAAGCACGGTTCAGCAGAACGAGAAGGAGGACCCGGATGATGATGACAATGAGTGTGTAATTTGTCTTGAGGAGTTGAAGCCAGGAGACAAGGTGGGCCGGTTGGAGTGTTTGTGTGTGTTCCACTACAAGTGTATCAAGGACTGGTTTAACAAGAAGGGATACGGCGAGTGTCCTGTGCACTATTTACTGAAGTAGAGCAACCACGACCGAGAGGCGGATGCCACGGTCAGGAGAGGCAGATGCTACGGTACGGTCAGGGACCTGCGATGCCACGGTACATGGAGTCTATAGATTATTTCGGTATGTTATGTTTGATTTTGTTGGAGGTGCCTCACCTCTCCTCTCGGTCGTGGTTGTCTCTATGGTTCCTATTACCTCTGCGCTCATGAATATCCTTCATCTGCCGAATGGCTTCTGCCACGGCTCTGTCCACGTGAACATGCAAAGTGTTCAACACCTGCTTCGAAGGCGAAGGATCCTTGGGGAGCTTCTTGCCCAAAACACTCTCGATTCTTAAATAGAGCTCCAAGTCGTACTGAGTGACGAGCGAAATCGATTTTCCTGATTTTCCAGCTCGGGCCGTTCTTCCCACTCGATGAATATATGCCTTGGAGTCAGTGGGGATATCGTAGTTTATCACCACGTCCACCGACGGAATATCCAATCCTCTGGCCGCCACATCGGTGGCTATCAAAATATTGGCTTTTCCCGACTTGAACTTATTCAAAGCTCCCAATCTCTGGGTCTGTGACAACTGCCCATTCAACGGTACCGACGAAAACCCCAAAAGTCGGGTCAAAATGGCCGTCCGTTCGGAGTTGGCCACTGTCCGTGTGAACACAATGATACTCTTGCCCATGAACTCGTTCAACAAGTGCACCAAAAAGGTGTTTTTATATCCATCGCTCACCAACATCATCGACTGCACCAAATTATCAGCCGTCTGGTATTTATTGGAAACCGCCACTCGAACAGGGTTTTTCAACGATGCCCGCTGTAACTTGGCAATCTTGTTAGTCATGGTAGCCGAAAACAAGTACGATGTTCTTTCCACCGGAATCACCTTTAGAATTTTATCCAACGCCGGCCCAAAGTCCATGTCGAGCAACCGATCGGCCTCATCCATCACCAAATATTTCAAATTCTTCAACGAAAACCCCTTGGTGTGTTCCAAGTGGTCCGTGATACGTCCGGGCGTCGCCACGATCACATGGGGCTTGCGCATCAAGTCTCGGGCCTGGTCCATCATGTCCATGCCTCCCACAATACAAACCGATCGCAACCCCATTGAGGACCCGAGCGCATCAAACGTTTCTTTTATCTGAAACGCCAACTCACGCGTGGGAGCCAACACCAAGCTGAAGTACGGGGTCTTGGCGTGCCAGAGCGCCTGGAGAATGGGGATGGCGAAGGCAGCGGTTTTCCCAGAACCGGTTTGTGCCAATCCAATAATGTCTTTACCTGCCAACGCGTGAGGGATGGATTCGGCCTGGATGGGTGTGGGCTTGGTGAACTTCATCGCCTGGATGGACTCCAAGATCTCAGGAATCAAGTCGAACTCGGCGAAGCTTTGGATTGCCGTCTCGGCCGATGCATCAACTACTTTGTCTTCCAACACCACTGAGGGAGCGATGGGGGGTTCAAGGGCGGGAGCAGCCGCTTGTTCCTGTTTTTTCTTCAAGGCGTTCTTCCTGATCTTGTCGGCCAAGGCCTGGGTGTCAAGAATACCCAGCGAGGGCCGGGCACTCTTGGAGGCCTTTTTGGTGGCATCTTTCATTTTGTGAGCCATTGGTATTGTGGTGAAATATAACTGTGTTTTCGCGATGAGATGCGAATGAGACTTTAAATTTTTCAAACCTGCTACCATGGCCAGAAGAAGACAGAAAACAAGAACCCATAAGAAGCTCACGGCAGAAGAGTTGGCCAAGATCCCCAAGTCGATGGTGCTCAGACTCGGGCTGTCGTTAAAAAACCACTCGTTGAGCCTGCTTGTGAGAGATTTTAGATATGTGATGCAGCCTCACACGGCCATCAACTTGAGAGAAAGAAAGAGTAATAAGTTGAAGGATTTCATCGTCATGGCCGGACCGTTGGGCGTCAGCGACTTGTTCGTATTCAAGCAATCGGAATCTACTGGTAACTTGTCGCTCAGAATCGGAAAGATGCCCAGAGGACCTATGTTGCAATTCAAGATAAATCTGTATTCATTGGTAAAAGACGTTCAAAAGATCTTAAAACACCCCAAGACAGTTGGTAAGGACTCTCCCGAGTTTCTTAACCCGCCATTGCTTGTGTTGAACGGATTCCTGGGTAAAATGAGTGAAGCCCCGCCTCATGAGAAATTGATGGTAACGGTGTTCCAAAACATGTTTCCTCCTATCCAGCCCCAACTGACAAGGGTCACCAGCATCAAAAGAATTTTAATGATCAACAAGGATCCCGAAACTCAGGAGATCTCCTTGAGACACTATGCCATCGACACCAAACTTGTCGACACTTCTCGTAACATTAAGAAGTTGATCAACTCTCATCACAATTTAAAGAAAAGCCTCCCTATAATGACCAAAAATGAAGATGTCAGTGACTTGTTGTTGGACCCATACTCGGTCGGCGGAATGACCTCCGATAGTGAAGTGGAAGACGATGCCATTGTCGACATTAACGAAGAAAACCAGGCATCTGCCACAAAAAAGGTTCCCGATCAGCAACAACCACAAGAAATCACCCGTAAAAAGGCCATCAAGCTCACGGAGTTGGGCCCCAGAATCAATATGAGCTTGGTCAAGATCGAAGAGAAGTTGACCGGCACCTCCAAGACCATTTATCACTCCAAGATTGTCAAGACGCCAGCTGAGTTGAAGAACTTGGAGAAACTGGCCGGAATCAAGAGAAAGTTGAAGGCCGAAAGAAGAGCCAAGCAATTGGAGAATGTTCAAGCCAAAAAAGACAAAAAGGATGAGAAAAAGGCTAGAAAGAAGGCTAGAATTGCCGATGAAAATGGTGAAAATCGGGACATTGAGCAAGATCAGTCCAGTGACAGTGACAGTGACAGTGACGGACCCGACGTCGATCAATATGAGATTGATAGTGATTTGTATAGTGAGTAGAAGAATGAGTCATGCATGTTTAACTTATAATTGTTCGATCTGGCTGATGATGCTGGAGATTTTGTTCTGGAGGTTTACCAATTCCACCGAATTTATTAGGGCCAAGTTGAAAGACGCCTGTGCTTCTCTCAATTGGTACGGCACGAGGGCACCGAATTGGTTAATTGGGTCTTTGTATAGCGAGTTTCCAAACTCCTCCGTGTGGCTGATACTTTCATTCTTTGAGCGGTGGACACTCGAAGACACAGCGGTGTTTTGGTTTTGTTTTGTGGTTTGGTCCTTTTTGGTGTATTCGGGTTCCTTGTCGTGTTTCTTCAGTTCCTGGCGTTGGAGGTAGTCCTCAAGCTCGAGATTTGGGCCGGATTTGATGTTTTTACAGGCCAAATATGATCTGAGGTCAAAGTCTTTGACGCCATAGGTCCGCAAACCACCACCGTTGAAGTTGGCTCTGCTGAGGTTAAGGAAACCATCGATGAAGTTGGTTCTAAACGAGGTGTTGGCAAGCGACTCGTACTGGTCGACGAGGTGTAGGAGCTGTTCAGTTAGAATGTCTTTGTGGTTGGAGGGATCCATGTTGAAATGCTGCGAATATTGGAATAAAAAGTGAGAACGCTGAGAGTGAGAAAGAAGGTTGGAGCTCAGTAAGTGAATATTTGTGAGGTGGTAATACTCTCGGTAGTAAAAGTCTCGGTAGTAATGGGTTTGGTATTAGCATCCAGCCGTTTGGCACCCAATAAAAACGGTTCCGCCAAACTTTACCTATTCTACTATTTAGCAGCCATTTAATACTGATATTTATATTCTGTGCTACTTGTACAACTGCTTCAAGCGTAGAAACTCTGTCCGCGGCAAGATGTCCCCGAAGCCCAAATCATCAGGCCGGGACCGGCTCTCAATCAACTGGGACTCCTCTGGTGACCGCTTCTTTTCTCGCATCTGGTTGCCATGATGCCAGATGCTATAGATGAGGTCTTCTTGTCCAAACTCCGAGTTCGTGGCGTTGTTGGTATACACGACATTGGCAAGATCATGAAGAATGTTGGCGGTCAAGCCCCAAACGTCGTATATCTTTTCATTTGTTTCCGAATGCCGTCTCGAGCCCAATCGGCCCCATTTTTCTCGATTGAGTTTTCTCGAGCCCCGAGACGTCTGGGGGACTTCTTCCGACTGGGCCTGACTCTCCTCTCCCTGGAGCTCGGCGGAGTCGCTATTGAGTTCCAGTTCCAGTTCCAGCTCCAGAAGGCCTTGAACTTCCTGCAACCAAGAAGCCTCACCTGCCACCAATTGCGGGAATGTGTACGTTCGCAACATCCAGGGTATACCACCCCATGACATCCGGAAACTCTGTTTTTCAATGCATTCCAACAGGTCTCGGTCGGAAATCGGATAGAGAAAGTCCTGGAGAGGACAGCTGAACACCGACGAACTTTCTCCAGGATTCAAGTTGACCTTCAAGTTGTGGATCAAATCTGCCCCCGACGTGTCGGCAGCAAACCGCATGAACCCCACGCACGGGCGGACAGCCAGAAATGTTCGTGACAAGTAACTGGGCATCACATTGAGATGGTCGATTTCAAACCCAAAATTTTTGAGGAGGTATTCGTTATTAGCCGAAAGGCCGATTTCTTCTTCCATCTCGCGGCGGGCCGTGTGCCATTCCAGCTCCAACCCGTTGTCACTCTTACCACCAGGGAAGGAGATATGACCAGGAAAATTCCTGAGTTTGGAGGAGCGCTTGGTGAGCACCACCCGCAATTCTCCCAACTTTCCCAAGAAAAGAAGCACAAACACCGCCGACCGCCTCAGGACCGGGAGTCGGTTCCATACCAGCGTCGGTTGGTTGTCATAATGGGGGAAGTTGTACTTGGTGATGGTGTTAAGAGGTGATTCCAGCATCAGACTGTGATTTTTACTGTCTAGCAATTTGTGGAGTCGCGCACAATTTAATACCAATATTCTATTATTCTATCCTAAGCTTCCAATAAGGTTGGTAATTCATTAACATCCAAGTTCTCATAGATCACCTTGTAGGTGGCCTCGAACAATGGGAACTCATCTTGCAACTTGTAGTTTTCCAAGAGCTCGTGCACCTCTTTGGCGGTCAAGATCCCCTGTGACGATTGTCCATTTAATAAGGTCTTTTCAGCCTCCCAGGCACTTACTCCATGTTCCACCATATACCGGGCCACACGAACATTTCTCCCACCGGAACAGGTGGTGATCAAGTCGGCGACTCCCGCAGATTCCTCGGTGAAGGTGGTTGCTTGTGGAGGTAATGAGGTCTTAATGCCGAACTTTTCGTAGTAAGACGCAAACTTGATGGTTTCTTTGATTCCGATTCTCATGACAGCTGCCTTAGCATTATCCCCCCACCCGGCACCTTCCACCAATCCCGCAGCAATGGCAACCACATTCTTGAGAGCTCCAGCAATGGAGGCTCCCACCACGTCCTTGATGACGTTGACATGGAAATAACTTCGATGAAACGCTTCTCTCAACACGTACTCGTTGATATCGAGCCCGTCACCTTTGAAGTCCTTGGGCAAATCGTACGCGATGGAGGTTTCCGACCACTTTTCTTTGGCTACCTCGTTGGCGATGTTGGCTCCTGATAATACACCACAGTGGATTCCCAACGTATCGGTGATGGATTGTGACAAAAGTTTACATCCTTCCTGGGTCACTTCCAACCCTTTCAAGCATGAAATGGCTCTGACAGAAGGTTTCACTTGTCCCACAAGTTGTTTACAAACTCTGGGTAAGAATTGATGAGGAATGTTGAACACCAACAAGTCGGCATTTTTGACGGTGTCTACCACGTCGGGGTTGGCGATCAAGTTTTCGGGCAATTGAATACCGGGCAAGTACTTGACGTTTTCGTGCTTGGTGTTAATTATATCAGTCAATTTCTCTCCGTTTATGTCCTCTTCAAATACCCACATATTTACGGATTTTTGGAAGATTTCGGGCTTGTCTCTGGTGTTTTCGGCCACGAGTTTGGCGACGGCAGTTCCCCAGTTTCCGGAGCCGATGATGGCGATTCTGAAAGGAGTGACGATTTTGATGGGTGTAGTAGTCATGACGGCGTTGCGAAATGTGGAAAAGGTGGTCCTGTTTGCTCCTTATATAGTTTTAGGAGGCGACTTTCTTTTAGGGTTGTGAGAACCGGCGGCGATGGGTGAATGAGATCCGGGTGGAGGTACATACAGGACTACCACCCAAAAAAAAAGCCCCCACCGATCCCACCCTACTGTCCAGGCAGCGCTTGTGCCTCCACCATTTCCTTGGCTGTAGGTGGCACCATTACATCATAATGCCATCATAGGGCCTGATACCTTGGAAGTCTTTGTTTTAGTAGTTGATCAAGCAGAGCCGATGTGGTGCTGCCATCGGTCGGGGTTCGGACTTCCCCAACATTTTTATTTTCGGAGGTTGCTGATCGGCACTCTGCCCCCCTAGTGACAGCCCGTTCCCCTTCCCCGACGGTACCACCACCACCAAAGTTTTTCCGCAACCACAAAAATCACCAAACTCCGAAAAAGAAAAATGTCCGCAGGAAGTTTTTCCTGATATACAGGTAATGATATCATCGTTACATCATTTAACTCCTACAATAGAATCCTGATTCGTATCGTACCTGATAACCGGAGTGCGGTATTCACTGCACTTTATGAATCCGCCCCTACTGATAATCGTCATCGTGCCGATACGCTTCATATTCTTGCTGGCGCATCCGATCAAGAGAGGTGCTCACCTGGTTCATCCCATCGGTCATGTCCAAAAAATCGTCGTCTTCCATCCAGTTTCTGGCCTTCACTTGATTTCCACTAATAATCCGGGCCGCCTGGAGGGGTTCCGAAATGCCTTCAAGACTTCCGTCTGGAATGTGCGCAAGCGGGTCGGGAAGATGGCTGTTTTGCAGAGGGTCGGCTACCTGCTGTTCCGTATGAGGATAATCGTGGTAGTGCATCATGGGGTTGCCGGTGAGAATCGGGTTGGCATGGGAAGTCGTTGAAGGCTCGTTTATCAGTATCCGGTCGTGGGTAACCGTCTCTTCCCGGTCGTGGGCAAGTGCTACGTCTCGGACATCATTGCCTTGTTGGTCCACCAACTTATCTCCTTGGGTGGATAATTCGACCCGCCGATGGGAGATCGAATCCATGAGTTTCATGAATTCCGAGTTCTTCAACTTGTCGGCCATTTCGTTGTTGCGCAGTCCCTGGGAGCTTAGAGTGGTGTGAATCAGCTTGGCAGCCATGGCAAACTCTTGTTTGTCGGAGGTGTCTGCTGCGAGTTCCTTTTCAATATCCTGGAAATGCTGTTCGAATTGTTGATTTTGCTGTTCCAAGTGGTGGGTTTCTCTGTGTTCCGTCATGTTGGCGGCAATGGGCTCGAAATGGGTCCGGAGGTTGCTCCGGGTATTGAGCTGGAAGCTGGTGTAATTGGGGGAGAGTTGGGATGGTTGAGACCGGGTTTGGGAGTTGAACTGGGAGTGCCAGTCCTGCTGATATTGTTGTTGTTGATGCTGTTGATGATGTTGTTGATGTTGTTGATGATGTTGTTGTTGATGATGCTGATGCTGTCTCTGCTCTAAAGACATGTGCGAGAAGTCGTTGACCCATCCCTGTTGTTGGGCCTGGGGAAGCTGGGACGGCGGACCCGGCCGCTGGATCGTACCGGGATTGAACTGGTTCATGAACTGCGAGGCAAAATTGGTGGTGGGAGCCCCACTAAACTCCTGGAACTGTTGGTTCAAGTTGTTATCCACCACATTGGTGTTTCTGAAGGACTGAGGACCCATAGGCCCCCGGCCACGGGCGACATCATTCTGGAGGGACGTGTCACGCAGCGAGTACTGTGCCAAGTTCTTGACAGCATTAGAGGGACCACACGAATCCATGGCGTATATGGCAAGTAGTGAGTAATCTGGGGATTTGATTACCCACCTCGGTGCGATCACGAGTGATGCGGTGACCACACGCCCATTCGCACTGTTATTAGGAAGGTACACGTCCTGTTCACTCATTGGGATGGGGGGTACACGCGGTATCTGTCGTGGAAGGGACACGCACACGCCACCTACCACCCTTCCCACCCTTCCAGTGGGTCAGCGCCCACAACGGCACCCGCGGTGGGGCACGTGACCACGGCCCTGACGATAATATGTATACTAAAAGAGGAAATGTTCGACTGCAGATGTGCGTCTAATTCCACAGGGTGCGTCATTTGCGACTCCATTAAGACCCGATTCTGCGGGTAATGCCAGATCACTGAATATTATACAGGTCAGACGATCCAGTGATTCCACTCAGTATACGTGGTCGGTTACTGAAACAAGCAAATTATATATATAAACAAACCCAAACGGTCCTCAAACCACCCACGCAACATCCGGACAGGTGTCATTTCGGTAGTTTGGGTGCTGTTGCTATAAAGCCCATCAATTGAAAGGGGTGATAAAACCTTTGTCTCAACTTTTGTTTTTGTCACAAGTTTCAGAAGGGGGGATAAACAGTGCATGATCTTGTTTCCAAAGGATTTAACATCTCGTATTGTCTTCTGGCGCTTTACGTTACACGCTCACGCCCGATTTATATATTTGCCTTAGATCCATCATAGCTGCGAAACGCCATAATTATAAACCTCCCATGGAAGGGAAGAAGTATACCCGGAGCAAGGCTGGGTGTCTTCTGTGCCGCCGGCGGAAGTACGTATCGTCATCAAAATTTGTGGCTTTCTTGTTACTAACTGTCTAGAAAAAAGTGTGATGAAACAAAACCCATTTGTAATGCTTGCAAGAGACTCAATTTGGAGTGTAGTTATGTTAAGGATAACCTCGACTGGAAGATTACAGAACCCCATCGAAACCTCAAGAACTTCACCAACTACACCACCGCCAAACCCATCTCCCCCGGGTTTGAATCTTGGTCGGTATATCAGGAGGGTCTTGGATCCCACTCCAATCTTGCATCTCATTCCAATCTTGTACCTCATTCCAACCACACCACCGCCATGGCCTTGTCATCGTCGCTCCACCACCACGGGTATGTGGAGCCGCCTCCTCTAGGAACCTTCTATGAAAACCAACGAGATCACTTACTGCCGCTCAGTCTGAATGTGCAACCCAACGAATATTTGTCTCCTGAACCGCAAGCCGCCAGAAACGCCCAAACCTGGGGAACCACCCCGTTTCACGCCAATGATGACGTTCTTTATGCCTTCACAGGCATGCTTGACTTTGATATGCCGCCTCCACCGGCCATGGAGGCCAAAAAGAAAAAGTCAGGAAAGTGGAAACTGTATGAGCCTAGGTAGCTTTCCCTACCTTTTAATGAATATATTGTTAAATCTCCTTGTGTCTCTTCACCATCTGTCTCTGGATACTGTTGAGGTCGTCGGCATCACGGAGCCCGGCCTTCACCAACGCCCGTATCCTCATTTGCTCTCCCCAGATAATCAACACCACCGCACACCCACAAGCTATCCAAAGCACAATGGCGGTGATGGTGCAAGTCCACCCCAACCCGATGTTCTTGATGCTCGTCAAGCACGACGCTGATGCCACCGCCGCCGCCACGTACCGCGAGAAGTAGCTGCTGGCAATACCATCTCCCCCGAGCTCAGGCATCGAGTCCACACAATAGGCATTTGAAGCCGGGAAAATGCACGTTTGGGCCACTCCACCCATGAACAAGAATATGATGGGCACGGCCATGCCACCCTTCTTGTACTCAATTGACCATCCGTATATCATGGTGCTCACGGGATACATGATTCCCAACGGGATAAGAACTGTTCGCAACCGGTCCTCAGGAACCCTTCTACCTTTTTTCTTCATGTACCGCTTGACGGTCCAGTCGGCCCACGGACCGCCTATGAAGCTGCCGGTGACGTATCCCATGCCAGGAGCCAAGTAGAAAAGCCCACTATAAAGCGGCGAGTCTAGATGGAAACGAGGCTCGAGCACCGAGCGAATCGGCGTTTGCAACTGGAACATGGTGTACAAGGTGGCAATGGCAATGAATCCATCGATCGAGAGGTTGGGGTACTTTAATGCCTTCATGATACGGAGCGGGTTGAAGGGTACAAACACAAACCTGGTGGATGGGTTGGTTTTGCGGGCTTCTGCTAGTACCAACGAGTGAACCGTCTGCACCGACGTCTCCGGTAAAAAAAACACCGCTAGCACCATCACCATGGCACCAGCTCCCATCATCACCCAGAGAATCACTCGCCAGGACGTGAAGTTGACGATAATCCCCCCAAACACCGGACCAAACCCAGTTCCCACCTGAGCCCCTGCCACCAACGCCGCCATGGCTCTGCCACGCTGGGTCGGGTGGTAGACGTCGCCCACAATGTGTCCCCCGATGCTGAAGAATGAGGTCCCGAAGAACCCACTCATACACCGAAACACAAAGAACATGGCCAAGTTCTGAGACACCGCTACCAAGGCCGAACTCACACAGAACATCACGCTGCAGAACAAAAATGTGTAGCGCCGGCCGTAGATGTCGCTGCAGGGCGAGAAGATGCACGGCAGAAGCGACATGCACACACAGTAGATGGCATTGGAGACATTAATGATTTCCTCGGTGGTGTTGAAACGCAGGGCTATTTCGGGAATAGCAGGCAAAATCGTCAACGACGACAACGGGGCCAAGAAGCCTGACATGGCGGAGATAAGGAGGCATACGTGCTTGGTTTTGTTGGAGAACCGGGCATATTTGGGGTCTTTTTCAGACGCAGTTTTGTGGAGCACCTCGGGTTCCAGTGTCTCATCTCCCACCGATGAGTGCCGAGACTGGAGCCGGGAAATTTGGCGGGACGTGGCTTCGGAGGTGATGGCTCGCAAGTCGAGCGGAACCTCGTGGAAGCCTCCGACGTCCATTTGGAGAGTGTTTTGTTCATAGTGCTCGGAGTCCATATCCGAAGGAAGAGACGTATTTGAGTCCTGGTCTGACGTACCGAGATCGAACTTGGGCTCGAAGCCATCCACGTGATTGTCTTCCAGGGCTACCATCATGTGGTTGTTTTTGTGGCGTGTAAAACGATTTGGAGGTGGTGCAAACTAGTCGTGAGTTATAGCAGCCAAAGAAACCATATATGAAGTAGATATTGGTGATGGTTGCAAATATACAAAATTGTCGAGAGATGTGCTTTGCAGTTGTATGAACCTGGTATGGGAAGGTTGTTGTGTTGTGTTAAGCTGGTGTAACCCCTGGAGGTGACTGATATACTTTTAGTGCTATGACGCTCATAGAGCGGACGTGCGGCACGGGCCCGGGGTTGCTCGTTGCTCGTTGCTCGCTGCGCGCGGCGGAAGTGCCGCTCCAAGGCTTTACACTAGTGTACTAATTAATCATCTATTAACTACTTATGCTAAACCAAACCCTTCATGTCCTTCGGTAATCGCAAGTAACAACGACCCCCGTAAAGTTTCATACGATTCGTATGCTGGTAAATCAATCTGGTTGAAACAAGTGTGTGATGATGGCAATCTTTCGATACTGCCGTAGTCTCGGTGGATACTGAACTTGGACCCATCATTGGCACCTTTGAGTTCCTTGAACCCATTCAAAGGAACCCTCGAAGTTCCGGTAGCAAACTGTAACAACTTAGCCCGTTCTTCGTTGTCAAACGATTTGACGGCTCTCCAGAACCACTGGATTTGGAGCGAGGAAGGGGAATAGTTATTGTAAATGGTGTTGTTTTGCCAGTCTTGCACATCGATATCGGGTAATCCACTGATCAATAGCTCCAACTCTTGCTCATCAAAAATTGATACCAAGTCTTTTGGAATCATTTCGTGGAATCCTATTAAAAAGTTGTCCATTTGTTCAGAAACCGACCGTTGTAATCGATACTCAACAACAAACTTGACGTATTCTTGCTTGTTATCTTCTGTAACAGGAATATTTCTGCCATTAGGAATCAAGTCGATGATTTTCTTCTCACCATAGTCATCGGTTTCAACCAGGAAATCCTCAGTGATCACGTCGGTGATATCATTTTCCAAGATCCAGATCAATGATTTGAAGTACTCTAAATCCAGTGCCTCCATATCCTTGAACGACACACTTCTGCCCAATATCTGTTTGTAGACGGCTCTGCTGAAATGGCAATCCAAAAAGCATCCATCAAAAATGGCCTTTCCAATTATCTTACCAATGAACTTGAAGAACGATAAGTGCTCAGGATTTATATATGACGTTCTGTTGGGGTGATACGTGTTTGAGTCAGAAGACACAGGTGTGAACAAGGCATAATCAGGGTTGAACATTTGTCTCGATAACACTTGATACCACTCTCTAGTGACACCTCCAGCATCTATACCAGATTCTCCTTTGAAATTAACGTCAAGTCTGCTATTCTTAAACTCATCGTTGGACTTGAAGAACAATGCCCGGTAACTATCCAAGAATACTTGATCACGACGAACATTAATAGCCAATGCTTTATCTTCATTCTTCTTCTCGTGTAACTTTCTATCAAAGTAGTTCTTCTTATTATCAAATTCCAACACCTTTGGATTACTGACTAACATTGAAAATGGCCCACTCATCAAGTTAGGATTAGTTCTGACCATTTGGTTTAAGATTTTTTTATGTTCGTCAGTGAATGAAAAGAACAAACTTTCAATTGGTTCCTTGGTAAAGTCAACCTTCTTTGCTTTGTATTTAATGGCATCTTTCACAGGGATTTCCTTAACTTTACTGTGTTTACACACCACCATAAGAGCTTCAATCAATGGTAATAAGATAGTTGCAATGTTCGATAAATGGGAATTTTCTTCCAAAACATCCAAACAATCACTCAAAGCATCCCATAAAGATCCCAATGCCAATTTATTGTACAACTCAGCCAACTCTTCCACATCATCAACAACCTGCTTATTCTTTTTGTCATTGGTTTCGAACATGTAGTCCAAAGCTGTCAAGACTCTTAAAAGTTTGGCTTGATCAGAACTCGAAGCATTGAACTTTGAAAACGTTTTGCTTTCACCATCATACTTACCACTTCCAAGTTCTTGAGTCAACATGTTCAAGTCTTTGATGATTGACTTGCCCAAATTGGTTGCTTGGTCACTCAACTCAGCAGAGAAAATCCTCTGAGCATCTTCTAAATTGGTGAAGTTCTGCATTGCCGAAATAGCTCTGGTAAAAGTGGTATTCGGGCATTCATTCGACGTTAGGATATTCACCATTTTGTTGAACAAGTAATCAGGAATATAAGGAGGACTGAAGGGAATAGGCTTATTGGATTCATCGCTTCTTTTTAATAACTTCAAGGGTCTGGATGTCAACTGCAAGATCCTTGATAAGATATCCATGAACGGTTGATCTTCTCTCAATGTGTTGTTTTCAAGTAATCTCAACAAGTAGTTGATCTGGTACCTGTTAGTCTTGCTGATAACCTCTTTTCCATGTTTCTTATTTTTCGTAAGGTACGGATTCTCATGTTCAGTCAAAAAGAAGTATCTCAATTGATTGTTATTCTCCAATAAGAAAAGTAACAAATCAAGTACTTGATCGGCAACTACAAATGGAGAAGCATTCAAGGGCAAGATTGTCTTTACCTTTCCTGTAGAATCCTTCTGCGATTTGATAGTCAAGTGATGGAAAATCTTGTCATTTGATTTGTAATTGACGAGACTTTCAAACAAGATAAACACAAGCAAGTTGACAACTTCAACTCGTGTTTGCTTATTGTAACACAAATACTTCAACGTTTGATGGATATTATCACGCTTAGTCATACTTTGAGGAACGTACAACAACCTAACAATTGAAGCAACACCGGCTTTGTCCACTAATGGCTTGAACAAAATCTTTTTCTTCAGCTTCTTTTCAGGTTGTACTTCCTGCGGTGGAGGTCTTTCTGAAATATTCACAGCTTCATTATCACTTTCAAAGTCATCAACATCTTCATCTTCTTCATCCTGATGCAGGTAAGGATAGGATATGGACTCCTGTTGGAGGATTTCTTCTCTGATTTGATCCGGAAGAGCATCCAAAAAGTCGGGATCGATTTCTCGTGTGGCATCCGCACTGCTACCCCTTCTGGCATTGGCTCTACTCTCCCTGACGTGATGTGTGAACACTTCTTCTCTCATATCTTCTGGCAAAGCTTCGAGGAAGGCAGGGTCTATATTAGTTCCACTAATATCAACTTCACGATCTCCAATTTGAACCATAACTGGTTCCAATTGTGGACGAGGATTATTTGCCAATTCAGCTTCACGTTGCTTAGCCTCTTCTTCTCTTTTAGTGGCTTCTTCTTGTTCCCGCTTCTTTCTGGCTTCTTCCCGCTCCTTTAGAGTTAGCATCAATTTCTCCTGTCTCTTTTTGTCCAACTCAATACTTGGTTGGGCAATTCTGTTCACGATTGCAGGTATCATGTTCAAAGCAATTGAATTTTTCTTCTTTTTATGCAATTCAGGAAGTGAATCTGACCATCGTTCAGTTGTGGACCTAATGTAAAGGTTCTGCAATGGATCACCAGAAGAATGGTCCTGTTTGGAATCAATATCGAAGAGTGTCTCAATAGCAGCTCTATCGAATCGAGCAGAAGTACTGTTGCCACTACGTCCAATATGTATAACACCCGTAAGAGCTCCATGGTCTTCAACAGTGTTGGTGAAGATTCCTCCAAAAACATCAGCCAAGCTTCGAGTCATAGCGGGACGTAAAGCATCAAAGAACGAACTGGCAAACTCACCAGCTCTTCTTCTGTTTGTGTTGATGCCAATGCCTTCGAATTCTTCATCAGCATTGGACTCCACTTCAGAATCCATATTTTCTTCTTCCATGATATTGTCATTGGTTTGTTCTCGTTCACGTTCACTTCCTGGAACACGACGACCAGGCGCACCATTAAACCCAGGTTCCTCCTGGTTGTCTTCGTTATCTGAAGGCTCAGTATCATCCAAATCTTCGATCCATCCATCCAATTCGGCTTCATCATATTCACTGCTGCTTCTATCTTCTAGTTCATCGTCATCGTATTCTTCGAAGTAGTATTCAGAAGCATCGCTTCCCATTCCAACAGCAGTTGTATCGATGATTTCCACGTCAGAATCGTTACTGTCAAACTCGCTTGAATTGTCTTCATCCTCCTCTTGGTCACCATGTCCGGTAAAATGGAAAGATTCCATCATCGAGGCATCATCCATGATTTCGGCTTCTTCATCACCGTCATCCTCATCCATATCGTCATAATCATCCATGGCATCGGAATCGTCATCATCGATATCTTGAGAATCGTCCTCACTTTCATCGGTAACATCATCACCAGATAAGACGTCTAGTTCTGCTTCATCACCGTAGTAGTCCATTTCTTCATCTTCGCTATCATACTCAATATCATACATTCCCAACGTCGAATTTCTGAACAAGTCAGGGGTATCTTCCCTATCATCATCTTCTAATTCGGGAAGATCGTCATCCTCCTGACGCTCGTCTTCAAAGCTTTCCTGAAAATCAGCCTTCAATTTACCCAATAAGCTCAATGGGTGAATAGCAGATTTGATGAGTTTGTCTACTTGCGGGAAATTCAAATCAAATTTTGCAACCAAGGAAGTGATATGAGAAGCGACTTGATTATCAAGAAATGCCTTGGAAATGTAAAAGGTATCAAATTTGGTGGCAGCCGGATTCAAAAGAGGCCCAGCAACTTGGCGAAACCTGTTGGAAAGTAAAGCACTGATCAAGTCAAATATGTCGATCAACTTACTGTATCTATTGTGGAGAAAGTGATTGGAGTTAGAAGTTTCTTTCATGGCTTTGGTAATCAAATCAGCACAGAACTTTCTAACAAAAGCCATATCAGGATTCTCTTTCTTTAGAACAGGTTGGTTCTTTTCATCAATTATAGGGGTCGAGATCAAAGCTAAGATGGCAAGTTTAGCAAGCGAGGAAATTGAAGCTCTTCTTTCATATTCAATACCAGAAGAAGAGCTCAACAGCTGGGTCGGAATCAACTGGTGAATTAAAACGTTGAGAGCTGTAGACCTTGGCTTCACTTTATCCTTGGAACTCTTTTTGGAGTAAGTGATGAATTCAAGCTTACAACTCATATAAGAACCCAACAATTCCGTCAATACCTGAAGAAGGTAACATGCATAGGCGAAGTTGGTGTTTTGAAAAATCTCCAATATCTTTTGGTCCTTCTTTTTATCATTTTTCGGTTTGACATATTCCTTGGGAGTGGTAAGTATGTCTTTCTTGCAAACATCCACAAGTTGAGTGACAATTGCGTGAATAATCTGACCTGGCTGGATTGGGTCAGAAGGTTTGGTTCTTTCGGATTCAGCCATTTCAACATCTTCAGAAGTCTCTTCTTCCACTATAGCGATGGACATCTGACTGGTGGAAAGACGAGTTCCGTCGTAGTTGTGTAACCTTACTTTACTAGAGATTATGTCAGTGAAGATCAGTTGGTCTCGGACCGCGAGAACAGAGCCTTGTTGGAGTAAAGAGGGTAATTCTCTCTTAGTTCTGCCATGCAGAAGAATGCCATTTAACTCAACTGCCATGTTGGCCCTTATAACATCTGGAGTTTCGAAACAACGTGTCACAAGAGTGCCAAGCATCAATTGAGCTTTGTGGTTTTCCGGTGTATTCTCAGCAGTTAAAAGAGACCCAGAACCAATAAGAAGTTTGATCAACAGGGATTTAGAAAGCATTTCTCTTCTGGAATCCTCCTTAACAAGCATCAAAAGTGTAGCAATTATGGCCCTCAATGATTTCTTGTTCTTAATTTCATTAATAGAAAGTAATAATTTGAACAATTCATCTTCACGACCTTCTATCAGTAAATTCTCAACAATTTTATCGTCAACCAAGTCTGCTAGAGAACTATGAGCCAGTTCTTCAGGTTCCTGGATGTCCTCGATTGAAAGAGCAATTGCAACAGTCTCAAGAGCGTATGCCCAGTAATCCTTTTCTATCACATCCCTAAAATTATTTAAACACATAACAGTGAGTTCAAAGATGTATCCATAAAGTTGCCTCTTATCAGAATTGATTCGAGACTCTTCCTTTATATTATGAAGAAGATATCCATGAATAAATGGCATCAGGATTTCCATGAATTCATTTATCTCTTCGAAAGGCAGCCCGGTAGTTGTGATCTCTATCAATTTTTGATGAAGATATTGTTGGGTGCTATCATCATTGTATAAAAAGTCTGAAATTGGTTCAGAAAATTCTGGGAAATAAGTTGTCATCTGAAGCCAGGCATAAATAGACTCTTCGGGGTACCTATTTCCCAAGCTAAAGTGGGTTTCGGTTTCTGTAAATGACAGACTAAAGTCCCGACCATCGTTTCTGATTCTCAAACTGAGTCTATCCAATTCATTTTTGTCAATACTTGAAGATGGACACGGCCAATTGCCCTTTGCGAGGGCTTCTAAAGTATTGGCATGTTTAAAATAATGAATAGCATTCTCTTCACTTAGTCCTATCTCTTTTAAGTATTCCACTTGGTCGTATGGTGGAGAAACATTCTTCCAGTCTAATGGAATGAAGACTCTGTCTTTTCCACCTAATGAAAACATTGGTGTTGTCAAAGGTACCAATTTCTCCACAAAAGGTTTTGGAAAGCGACCAAGCACTTCTTTGTCCAGCTTGAACACATCATAAACGATAAGCTGGACCACACCAACAGCAATACGGAGGATGAACTCAGCGGTTGTGCTAGTGATGTCAAAATTATTGTCTGAAGTGTGATAGAAGTAGCCCGGATTTTGAAAATTGGGATAGTAGTTATCATCTGTCGTAGTTGCAAAGATGGTCAAGATGCAATGAATAGTATGAACAGCGACTGACTGAAGATTGGAATCTATCAAGGCAACTTTCTGAAACTCAGATGTGAGTTGTTTAAAATCAATGGAACCAAAAATATGACGACAAACATCTAACAAACTGTCAAAAACACCTGCTTGGACACAAGATACTATAAGAGGAGTTTGAACCAAATCTTTACCTCTGTCTCTATGGTGTATCACGTACCATAAAATCGTCACTATGGTAAACGTATAATGTTGACAAATAGCAAGACTCTCAGGCCTTTGAACAATTAACCTATTGAATATTTGTCCAATTTCAATGGTGATCTTGACCGCATTTCTTCTGGCATTGACTTGGGAATATTCTTGACGCCTGTGCATAGCTATCTTTCCAAAGTAGTGGAAAGTATCAGCAACATGATGCATAAGATGAAAGCAAAGAGACCTCATCTGTGAAACGTTCTTGTAGATACTACTAGTCTTGATGTCATGGTTAGGCTTTCTCTCTGCAGAAGGGTCCTCCCAAAACACCCTGATCTTTGGATTTTCACTATCTTCGTCTGGTTGAGGGTTAGTTTCTATAAGAATCTCCTTGTCAATATTCTCCCTGATGAAGGCTTCTTCAACAGTGACCTTTTCAAGTAATGCACTCATGTACCTAAAGAACTGCAATCCAACTTCGCTGCCAAAAACCTCGGTCAACATTCTGTATCTCTCATGAGGAATAATCACATCCCACCTGAAGCTGTTAACACTCATGTAAATGTTCATAGCATTGAGATCACGAAGGAACGCGGAACACTTCTCCTGATCCTCAGAAAGCAAGTCGAAGAATGAACTAGTATTCGGATGAGCATAGAATGCTTCCAAAAGGGGGGTGCTAAATTTGCCCATCATCCGTTCATAAAAAATAGGCATGTTGCTCTTATCTTGTTCATCATCAAGGAAGTAGGAGAAAAGCTCAATAGCACTGACACACTCAGAAACAAAGTCACAAGGAGCACCGGGAATCTCAAGTAAGTTCAACCAGTCTTCAAATTTGACTGCACTGGTGATTTCATTACTCCAGTTTCCTTCTGCCACTAACGTTCTTAAGAAAGAAGCTGTGGCATTGTAAACGTGACCATACTCTGAAGTTTCAAACTTCTCGATTTCAGCCCCCAGGTTGGAAGCAGGGAAGTATCTAACCCCGACTATGTGTTGACTCACTAACGAAGGAATTTCAAGAACAAGTTTGCCTACTTCTTCAATTATCAAGGGCTTGAAAGAGTTGAAATGTCTTCCCAATTCGTCCAAAGAATCTCCCACACTGCTGGCCCTGTAGTTCTGAGATAAGATCTTGCAATACCTGGTATCTCTGAACACCTTGAAATAGATTTCAAAGAATCTTCCGTTTTCGATTTTCTTCAACCCTTCTTTGTTCAAGGCAATTGCTCCTAAAACTTCCGGTAAGGTTATTAACAAGTCTCCACTGGGTATGAACAACGACTCAAAGTTGTCGAGAATGGTATCAATGACATTGGCTTCATTCAAGACCGAAAATGCCGTAGGATCATTGTCAATGATGTAGAAGATCGAGTCCAATGTCAAGCATAAGATGTTGGGACCAAATATATCAGGGTTTAAAAGGATCTTGTTGAAGCTTTGTAGAATTGGCGAGTCAAATAAGTTTCTCAATCGATCACCACTATCCCACCGAATTAAGTGTTTGACCAACTTGACCAATTCTCTCATGAAGTTGGCCTTTCTAAGGTTAATTTTATAATGAACCACCACGTCTTTAGGTGCACCACCGTCAAACCCAGGATCAACCAAGGCCTGGTCCACCTCATCTCCCACGATCTTGATCATCAAGTCAAAACCCTTGTTGTTGACAAAATCGTCCAACGAATCGGGAGAGTTGTACAAGAAAGACGAAAGTAAATGCACGGCCCCAGTAGCCTGCCACCAATATTGTTGGGGCTCTTCCAAGAATTTCATCAACTCTTTCAAGAGGCCTCCTGACAACTTAGTGTTGAGGGTGATCAAGTTCCCAATCATGTTGAAAAAATAGTTGTATGCTCTTGGGTTGCAATCACTATCGTGATTGACCAACTTTTTATGGATATGTCTCAACGATTGATACAAGACCCCGTGATTGACGTTCCCTCCCAAACAGCGCACCAAGTCGTTACCCCAGGCCTTCTTAAGCGAAGTACACGATAACGTCTTCACCACCAGAAAGTAAACTTCTGGAGGAATTTCATCCATATGGGCTGGGTGAATCATATCGGCGAGAAACGTGAAAATGTAGGGTTCAGGCTCGAATACCTTTGATGAAATGTACTCTTCTCCCGAACTGCAGATGATGAAGCAAAGGGCGTACAACTTGCACTGCAATAATTGGTGTCTCAACTTCATGGCATCATAACTGGTGGAGTTGAAGGCCTTCACCACGTAGGCATGAAGCCCAAAATCGAACCACAAATCCTCGGGAATTACCTCCGAAGCCTTATCTAGAATTTGTTCCAACGACAACTTACGGGTGTTGTCAGCAGAAATCGAAAAAGTGCACAAGGTTTCTGAGGTTTTGGGGGAAGAAGATTCTTTCTTAGGGCTTTTGAGTTTGGAAGGTGACGAAGTTGTGCCGGGCTGCATTTTCAGCGACCCCTGCAACTTGTAGTAGGGGAAATTGACGGTTTTCCACTCCTTGGGGTACAAAGAGTTCTGCTTGAGCGACTCGGTGAAGCAGAAATGATCACCAAGCACAATTGGTTGGTCATCGGATGTTCTCTTTTTGTGGTATTCATGGGTGAAAGATGCGGGAACGAGAGGAGGGTAAGTGTGGAAGATTTGGAGAACCTTCTTCTTGACTTCTTTAGGGGCTGGGTACTTGGAGCTGGAAATGATGTATCGACTGCCCAAGGAAATTGCAACTTCTAGAGCTCCCAATTTGATGGATAAAGTGGGAGTATTGATCAACAGAAAAATGCGTTCACTGCTGTTGTATAAGGTTCTATTGTCACAATGCTCCAACAACATGAAGGTGAACTTCAAGCACCAAACGGTCAAATGCTCATCATCTGAATCCATGACGGTCAATTTCACAAACTCTTCTTCCAAGCCATACTTGGAAATCATTCTTTCGAAAATCTCATCAAACCGATTCAACAAGGGGATCCAGTGATACAAGTCACCCTGAGGCCTGTTCCAGTCGATGTTCTGTTTCAAGGCATCTATCAACTTTGGTTCGGGACATTTCGATAAATGCTCCACAAACTGCTCAAAGGGCTTTGTCATCTCCATCTTCGCCTGATGATCTCTCCTTAATATAATCATAACTAGCAAAAGCCCACGGTAGTTGACTTGAGTTGGTTGTTTCTGGCGCTATATCTAACACAATAGGACTCGGATAGTTCAATAGTCACCAAAAGATGTTGTTGAAAAATCTGTCCTCGAAGATGTATAAACGGCAACCTTTAGTATCCTTTTCAAATTTCTAGCGCGACAACTTTGGTGCTAACATTCCTCATCTCGCCATGAACTCCAACTCCACCAAACGACTACGAGAAGCAAACAATACGAATCTGTCTGCCGACAGACATGATTCCAAGCGGTCAAAAGGTGGGCTCGGAGTGGAAATCCACCCGTTCCTCAAAAGCATAGTCCCCATTCCACAGCTTCCGAAGGACTTTAATCCACTCAGTAAATCCGCCAGCAATGCGATAGACTCCACAAAATCAAACCCATATTTGGATAGCTCCACTCCACAAGCATCTAGAAGGACTAGGAAGGGCGCTTTCGAGTTTAATCATAGCGGAAAGTATGTTGAAATTGCTAATCAGATAAGAGAGCAGGAGGCTGCTAAAAGTGAGCAACTCCGCAAACACAAGATTTTGGCACTGAAAGGACTTGTTCCCAACGACGACCTAGGAGAGTCACTATACTCCCAGGAGTGTCCAGCGGATGACACCGTCGAGTGGTGGGATGCGTACTACGTGAATGGTGATAAGTATAGGTGTACTGAGCAGCCAGAAAACATCATTTTGGACAACGAAGAAGCGCCTGTTTCACTCTATATCCAGCACCCGGTGTTCTTGAAAGCTGCATATGAGAAGCATATGCCCGTCCAACAACCATTGTATTTGACCAAAAAGGAGATGAAGAGAAAGAGAAAGATCGAGCGTCAGGAGAAGCTAAAGGCGCAACAAGAGCGGGTCAAGAAAGGGCTTGAACCCCCTCCTCCTCCTAAGGTCAAGCTTTCCAACATTATGAGCGTTCTAACCAACGAGGCCATTAAGGATCCCACGGCGGTGGAGAAACGGGTGAAAAAAGAGGTTGAGGCCCGGTTCAACAAACATATTCAACAGAACGAAGAGCGTAGACTCACCAAAGAGCAGCTGCACCAAAAGCTTCATGAACGCCGGGAGCACGATCTCTCGAAGGGATATTTCCGAGCCGTTTACAAGATCCAGACACTTGTGGATCCTCAGCATTTCTTCAAAATCGATAAAAATGCCCAACAACTCGAGCTAAAAGGAGTCTGTATCGCTTACAACAAGATGAGTTTGGTGGTGGTGGAAGGTGGTAGCAAGTCACTCAAGTACTACGATAAACTTATCACCAGACGGATCGACTGGACCAAATCCAACCGTTCTGACGTAGACTTGTCGGAAAATCGAGCGACAAAAGTCTGGGAAGGTCAAATCAAGGACCTTCAATTTCAAAAATGGTCAGTTCTTAAGCCACGGGATGACACAGACCTCACAAGCATGTTATCCCGTTTCAGCTTGCAAAACTACTGGCGGGAAGCTCTATTAGTATAACCCCACCGGTCGTGCGCCGACCCCGGCTCCTTCAGCTCCAGTCTCGGATTTTGCGAACTGGAAAACCAACTTTTTGGCACTCACAGAAAACTATAATGGGCGCTGCTTACACGATTTTTGGAAAACAAGTTCCCTCCCACATCGTATGTAAACCATCGCAATGGATTCAATGGGCTTACTTTGACCCGCTATGACTTTCAGCGGGGCCGTACCGTCTTTTTTTACTAACGTTGTCAGCTTGCTATTTTGACCTTAGGATCTGTGGCCGGAGTGGTGGCTTACCCCCGGTCCAAGTCCGAGGCCACGCCAACCCCCACTCCAGCTCCCGCAGTGACGGTTGCCTCCAAGGAAGATGATTTCGACTTGGAAAAATTCATCAAGTATGTGCTTTTGTCGAGTCACGTGACCATGCTCTTACTAACGATTCTAGTGATTTGTCCAAGGAAGAAACTAAGTAGAAATATACAGACTTTGGTTATCGGGGTAGCGGCTCTTTGTAGTGTCTGCCCGTTGGAACTCAACTTCAAACCTCAACAAAGGTGGAATGATGTAGAACAATATGGCAGTAATTTGATGGGGAAAGACTTGGAACAAAATGGCAGTAAGGAAGATAACAGTTTAGCCTGCTTCCACACACGTCAAGTTCAACAGTGCCTTGAATGTGAACATAATTTTGATATTACCTTCCGGTCTGAATTGCTTTAATTATTGCACGAACAGATGGATTTTCCAGAAAATCAATGATGGAAGAAGGTAATATCTGAAAGAATGTTCGTTCACATATGGGCTTATTTAGAAGTAAGCTTAATTGTTAGCAGCGAATTCAGATAAAATTCCGACAGCTTCAGAGAGCACACACGTCTGCGGCGCTCCGTCCGTCACGTCCTACTTTCACGACCCGTACTTCTGCCCTCTCAGGGTGTCCCCTGTCTTCTCCCCTGTCTTCTCCCACGTCTCCCCTGTCTTCTCCCACGTCTCCCCTGTCTTCTCCCCTGTCTTCTCCCACGTCTCCCACGTCCCGTACTTCTGCCCTCTCAGGGTGTCCCCTGTCTTCTCCCACATCACCCACGTCTCCCACATCCCCCACGTCTCTCACACCCTCCATTACTCTTTCTTGCCAAATCGGGGTCAGATCATCACAGCCATACGTAGGCTATCTCTAATCATTTCCGCAAACGGGTTCCAAATGGGCCCTACACGTCTGTTTATTTTGCGATGTAAACAAACAAACAAACTTGATTACTAAGACGTGTTGGGATTTCAGTGCCACGATATGCGTGTTAATCGATACGTGGGCCGCTGCCAGGCATTAAACCCGTCGAGTTGACCTAATTAAGACATCACTTGTACCATCTGACTGCAGCCACCACCAGTACCACTCTCCCATACACCCATCTGTCTTCACCAGTCACTGTCTTGCTCATCTGCCGAGTAGCGCCCACCTTTCCAGATTCCGCCGTTCCTTCCTATTGTATGTTATTGCTGTATCCCGTACACGTCCTGGTCAAATAAAAACATTCAAAAAATTCAACGCGGATCGCGTGCCACTATATAAACACGCCTAAATTCCCATCTCAATAGTTTTTTTAACCCAGTTTTTACAACAAAATGTACGTTTACAAGAGAGGTGGACACAAAGAGCCGGTTAGATTCGACAAGATCACCGCCAGAGTCCAAAGATTATGTTATGGTTTGGACACCAAGCACGTTGATGCTGTGGCCATCACCCAGAGAGTCATCTCTGGTGTTTACCAAGGTGTTACCACCATCGAGTTGGACAACTTAGCAGCCGAGACCGCCGCTTATATGACCACCATTCACCCGGACTACGCCATTTTGGCGGCCAGAATCGCTGTTTCCAACTTGCACAAGCAGACCACCAAACAATACTCTCAGGTTTCCAAAGAGTTATATGACTACATTAACCCCAAAACTGGTAAACACTCTCCTATGATCTCGGACGAGACTTACGCGGTGATCCAGAAACACGCCGATGAGTTGAATTCGGCCATCGTATACGACCGTGATTTCAACTACAACTACTTTGGTTTCAAGACCTTGGAAAGATCGTATTTGTTGAGAATCGACGGTAAAGTTGCTGAAAGACCTCAGCATTTGATCATGAGAGTGGCCGTCGGTATCCACGGTGATGACATCGAAAGAGTCATTGAAACCTACAACTACATGTCTCAAAGATATTTCACTCACGGTTCTCCAACCTTGTTTAATGCTGGTACTCCAAGTCCTCAGATGTCTTCATGTTTCTTGGTGGCCATGAAAGAAGACTCCATTGATGGAATTTACGACACTTTAAAGACTTGTGCCTTGATCTCCAAGAGTGCCGGTGGTATTGGTTTACATATTCACAACATTAGAAGTACTGGTGCTTACATTGCTGGTACCAACGGTACTTCTAACGGAATCATTCCTATGATCAGAGTATTCAACAACACTGCCAGATACGTCGACCAAGGTGGTAACAAAAGACCTGGTGCCTTTGCCTTGTACTTAGAACCATGGCACGCCGATATCTTTGACTTTATTGACATCAGAAAGAACCACGGTAAGGAAGAAATTAGAGCTAGAGACTTGTTCCCAGCCTTGTGGATCCCAGATTTGTTTATGGAAAGAGTTGAAGCGAACGGAGACTGGACTTTGTTCTCTCCAAACGAAGCTCCAGGTTTAGCTGAAGTTTACGGTGATGAATTTAAGCAATTGTACGAAAAGTATGAAAGAGAAAACAGAGGTAGACAAACCATTAAGGCCCAAAAGTTGTGGTATGCTGTCTTGGAAGCTCAAACCGAAACCGGTACTCCTTTCATGTTGTACAAGGATGCTTGTAACTTGAAGACCAACCAAAAGAATTTGGGTACCATCAAGTCTTCCAACTTGTGTTGTGAAATTGTTGAATACTCTGATCCTGAGGAAGTTTCGGTTTGTAACTTGGCTTCTATTGCTTTGCCATCTTTTGTTGAAACTGATGAAACCTCTGCTTGGTACAACTTTGAGAAATTACATGATATTTCCAAGGTTGTCACCAGAAACTTAAACAGAATCATCGACAGAAACTACTACCCAGTTCCTGAAGCCAAGAGATCTAATATGAGAAATAGACCAATTGCTTTGGGTGTTCAAGGGTTGGCTGATGCTTTCATGGCCTTGAGATTACCTTTCGACTCTCAAGAAGCTAAGGAATTAAACATTCAAATCTTCGAAACCATCTACCACGGTGCGGTTGAAGCTTCGATCGAATTGGCTGCTACCGAAGGTGCTTACGAATCATACCCTGGATCCCCTGCTTCTCAAGGTTTATTACAATACGACTTATGGAACAGAAAGCCTACTGAATTGTGGGACTGGGACACTTTGAAACAAAAGATGGCCAAACACGGTTTGAGAAACTCGTTATTGGTGGCTCCAATGCCAACTGCATCTACTTCCCAAATCTTGGGTAACAATGAATGTTTCGAACCTTACACCTCCAACATGTACTCTAGAAGAGTGTTATCAGGAGAATTCCAAATCGTCAACCCATACTTGTTGAAGGATTTGGTTGACTTGGGACTCTGGAACGAGTCAATGAAGAACAACATCATCTCCAACAACGGTTCGATCCAGGGATTGACCAATATCCCCGATCAAATCAAGGCCTTGTACAAGACAGTGTGGGAAATTTCTCAAAAGCATATTATCGATATGGCTGCCGACAGAGCTGCCTTCATTGATCAGTCTCAATCGTTAAACATTCATATCAAGGACCCAACCATGGGTAAGTTAACCTCGATGCATTTCTACGGATGGAAGAAGGGTCTTAAGACTGGTATGTACTACTTGAGAACCCAGGCCGCTGCTGCTGCCATTCAGTTTACTATCGACAAGAACTCCATTGCCCTGGCCAATGACACCGTTGCTGCTTTAGAAATGTTGAACAAGAGAAAGTATAAGGCTGTTGGAAGTGCTATTGGTTCTGCTGACGAAGGTGACGCCGATTTGTCTATTTCCACCAGATCTGGATCCACCGAACCTTCCTCCATCGAAAACTCTATTGCGGACTTGAAGGTTTCCGATGACAAGCCTGAAGAGCCTCAGGATGTTGCCGAAGGTGAAGGTGAAGGTGAAACTGAAGCTGATATCTTCAGTTCCAAGGTGATTGCTTGTGCCATCAACAACCCTGAATCGTGCACCATGTGTTCTGGTTAGACCCGGCTACACATACTTGGGACCCAACGTCCTGAGTTTGTTTGCACGGTATGTTAATTATGTAAGGTTTTAATAAAGTTTTTTCATGATACTGGTACTTTTCGCAGCCGGTTTGGCGTGGCATCGCCAGCTCCACCGCGAGTTTCGCGACCTTGGCCCCAAAATTTTATCGCCGAACCTTTGCCAGCACTGCTATATTACCATTTCAACCATCACAACTTCCGTGTAATGGTCCCATAGACACTATACTCCAATTCTCTCCCATTAATTCCTTGCAGAAACCGCAACCGCAACTTCCCAAAATACTGATTGCCCGACGTGTTTCCTAATAAGGTTCTCATCGGATTATGTCTCAACCCAGCCCCAAATACAGTATAGACACTCCCTATTCTGAGGATATCCCACTCCAAAATTTGACCTATACACCCGCCAAACAAACGTTTGATGCCGACGATATGTCGTCCGCCGACCCCGAATCCCCCGCCATCACCGCCGCCGACCTCCCTGAAGATCCGTTGCTCGACCAAGAACTCAGACGTTTGCAGCGCTCCCAGATCCCCAAATACAAACGCTTTATTTCAGCCCTCTGGCACGGGCCCAGCGCCGCCACCGATGACCCTCCCACGCGATTCACCGGACGGGCGCTGGCATGGCTTGAAGAAATCCCCGATAAATTTGACCGGTTGGTCAGTTTCAAGGGTAAATTGGCACTTTTGACGGGCTATTTGATCCTTTGGTATTTGTGTATCCACAGCATTCTCTTCCCGTATTTCATGAACCCGCCGTTGGTTGATGTTGCTGGAACCACGCCCGTCCGGACCTTGGGCTGTACGGACCAGTTCTGGCACGGGAAAAATGGTGCTTGTGGCATGGACGCACAAGATTGTGTTCCAAACCCGTCCCAGAGCGACGTGTTTGTACGGTGTCCAGCTCTCTGTGACCGGAGCTGGACCTACTCCTTGATCCCCATGGGCCCAGAGCGGGTCAAGTACCGGGGCTACTTCATTGGCGGTGGAGATGACTTGAAATCGCTGTCTCCTGCTGAACACCAGCTCTCAAACCCCTACAGAGCCGATTCGTTTGTTTGTGGAGCCGCTGTGCACGCCGGAGTGATTCTGCCGCTTACCGGTGGCTGCGCTCGTGTGTCCTATAAAAGTGGTGGCCAACCACGGTTCGAATCAGCCAAAGGTCACTACGGAGTTGACGATTCGCTTGGGTTCAATTCGTTTTTCCCAGCGTCTTTCTTCTTTAAAGTGGTGTCTGGCCTGACCCACCAGTGCTACGACCCCCGAATCCCGGTACTAGTGATGAACATTGTGTTGGCGGTGCCCATAGTGTATTTGGCCAGTGGAATGGTTGCTTTCTGGACTATTAATACGGTGGGATTCTGGACCATTGTGTTGGCAACAGACCCTCCCGTACAAGTGGATTCAAGTGATAGAGAAACAGCCGCTCTGTTGATATCCGTCGGCCTTGAGCGGTTTCTTCCCTCGTGTTTCATCCTTTATGTGTTATGGAGAGCTTCTACCCATCAGACCCTCACCGCACCCGAGAACTTCAAGACCTCGTACCTCAAACGTGTTTTATTATTCTGCCCGTTTTTCTGGCTAGGAGTACTAAACAACATCAGTTTTGATCGGCTACCAGTCGACAGGCTCACGGTGGCCGACTTGAAGGAGCAGGCAGGTGGTGCGGTGGCCGTGGGAGGAATTGTGCTTCTTATCACCACTTGTGCGATTATCCAGGCATACAAAATATGGAAGGCTGGGAAGTTCAAGAAGTACCTTGTGATCTACGTGCTGTTTATCTTGGGTCTTGTGGCCGTGTCAATGATCCCTGGTCTTACTTTACGCGTCCACCACTATATTCTTGCCATGCTTTTGATTCCTGGGTGTAGCACCAGAGGTTCTACTGCGATTATGTTCCAAGGCATCTTATTGGGACTTTTCCTCTCGGGTGCAGCCCGCTGGGGGTTGGCGGCCATAGCCGAAACTGACACTTCGCTTCGTCGTAACGATCCTAGTGGTAAGGTTCTTCCTCCGGTAATCACTGGATTCGATGTTTCCAGTGGTATACTCAGCTGGAACAATACTATCAATGATGCTTACGATGGAATATCCATTCTCGTCAACGACATCGAGAGGTACGTGGGAACTAATGTCACCGGTGTGAACCTTAAACAGCTCTTCAAGAACTCGACTGAGTTGTCAAATCTAATTGAGACGTCTCTTGGGGCTAGTGCTGACAACAGTAATATTCCTTTGTACATTCGGATTGGGAAGAAGATCATGGGTACAAAGCGGTACAGTGACTTTTCCAATGCTGCTGTGATAACCTGGCCAGAGGGACACATTGACCTTCCTAACCCTGGCAACACGTAGTCGAACTAACAGACTTATAAGGACTTTATAGAACGATAGATATGAATAATCCATGATATACAAACACTTTTAGGTATCGCTATGGTTAGCTTTTTCGCCTTGTGGCCGACTTTTTGTAATGGTAGTTTAGCTAATTATAATTAACAGTGGCTGCGAAAAATTATCGATTTGAGAATCATAAATTCGTCGACACATGTGCTAAATTCACCTAATAAGTGAATATTTAACCTTGATGGAGATAGTATGAATACAACTGGTAATCTACAAAACATTCCTACTAGCTATCAAAGTTGTACCTCTCTTACCAGTCCAGCCATGCCGTGCTGCTGCACTTTTATAGTATCTGTTTTAATTGCACCTATGTAATAAAGTTATTGAAGCAATATTTGACTATATCATACACCTAACATGACCCTTTAACCGGTAGATGAATATTTCAGGAGCAAACCTTAAAAGAAGTGGGACATTATTTGGACGACCAGTCCTGCTGTGTCAGGGATTGTAATAGAGCACAAACAAATGTAATCCCAATTCCAAGCGCTTGCTGTAGAACTCTAATGAGACCTGAAAGCCACACAAAGGGAGTAGGATTTGATAAAGGCTGCGAAACCTTCGAAAGCTTAGAAATCACCTCACTCTACGCAATTTTTAAACCCACCCCCATCCTCACCAAACCCCGCTCTACACTACTCAGTGCTTCAGTTTCCCTAAGTTTCCCTCCTACCAAAGCCCAAATTTTGTTTGGTTGGGTTTAAGCCGCACCTCATCCACGCGAACCGAACTGTTTGCGATCTCTTCATTTTGACCTTGAGTCAACTTGCTTACATCCCAATCACCTACAATGATCGTGTTTCGGCAACTACATCACGCTGTAGCACTTTCCATGCGGAGAAGCACGCCGAGAATACTTGCCCAGCCTAAGGCCTTCACCACATCGGCCCTTTTGGCCTATGCCAAACTGCTGCTGCACAATTCCATTCCCAATGCACAGATCAAATGGTACTATGCCACAGACGTACCACTTACCAAACCCGATTGGTACGAGTATAAAAAGACACAGGATGCCAAGAAGTATGTACCGTTCTCGGACTACGACTCCAAGCGAATTGAATCCCACTATCGCAAATTTGGAGATTCACAGTCCGAAGATATTTCACCTAGAGTTTACGTTAGTGAAGACCGGTTGTTCCAGGTAGACGTGGAAAACCTCCATTTGTCCCCAGTGTATTGGGAAGGTCCGCTGTACGAAACACGTCGGGGATTGTGGTTTAGTCTGGATGGTATACCGTTGGCTGAAGACATCACCCGAGAAATCGAAAATGGGTATAAGGACAAAAAGCCATATTTATTTGACGAAGACCGAAAGAGGCAGGCAGAACAACCACAAAAACAGAAGCCCAATAATATCGACTTTTCCAAGTTCTACGAAACTATTGGTGAAGATTTTAAATCCAAAGAGTCTCACGATGATGTGGTGATACTTGGAAACGGGAAAGCAGTTGTCTATTTCAATGATAACAAGGCGGTTCTTTTCCCCAAATTCATGGTAAATAGCTACCAGCTACCCATCATTCGTCAATTTTATGGTTCTTCCGTGGCTTTAATGGGTGTAGAGCCCATCCAGCGAGGTTATTCTTCGGATTTGAAATCAATGTTTGACAACTTCACCAAGAAAAACACGATAAGCTCGTCAAATCACTTCCTTCTTCCAGAACCCGGTTTGTTCTTGGGAAAAATACCACAGAACAAAGAGGACAATCAGAATGAACAAATGAGAGAGGTAATTGAAGACGACTTTGAAGACTCCACCACCGAGCAGACTTCCACTCGAGAAACCGATCACCTAGTACTTTGTGTCCACGGGATTGGACAGGGTTTGGGTCTCATGGCCGAAGCCATTAACATTGTTCATGATATCAACAGTATGAGAAACACCATGAAAACAGTGTACAAAGAGAACAAGAAGTTTCGTAACTTGGCATATAAGGATCCGAAAGACCCCGATGTGGACAAGAACAACCGGATTCAAGTGTTGCCGATTGCCTGGAGACACAGAATTGACTTTCATCCAGAGAAAGTGAGTACTTCCGATGACAAACTTGAACCAAGACTACCCACCCTTTCTCAGATCAACGTGGAAGGCGTAAGACCGTTGCGTAACGTTGTCGGTTATGTGGCGTTGGATATCTTGCTTTATTATGACAACAAATACTTCAACCAAATTCTTGAAGCGGTAACTCTAGAGCTCAATCGGGTATATGAGCTTTATATGGAGAATAATCCCGACTTCAAAGGGAAAGTACATATCTTGGGCCATTCTTTGGGGTCTGCCATTTCCTTTGACATTGCTTCCAGACAGTTTGATACGAGGCCAACCAAGCCAAATCGGTCAGCCGACCTTTTGTTCGATGTCGATTCTTTATTCTGCGTAGGAAGTCCCGTCGGAGTGTTCAAGTTAATCAGCCAAAAGAATATTGTCAACAGAAGCGATGTACCAAAAGATTTTGATCCAAGGAGCCGATCTTTACTGTACTCGTCTCCCAAGTGCAAAAACTTATACAACTTATACCATCCATGCGATCCAATTGGGTATAGAATCGAACCTTTGATTAAACCCAGGTTCGCTCATTTCAAAGCGCAAGAAGCACCTTTTGCTGCTGACGGTCTTGAAACCCCATTCAAAGGCTGGTCCACGCTCACAGATGAGCTCCAAGAGCGATTCTCTAAGGCCAATACTTGGCTCTGGAGTTTTAACAAGAAATCAAAGGCATTTGACCAAAATTCCTTAGGTGACTTCATGAACGGTATTGTGGATTCCAACCCAGTTGAAACCCCAGATGATGCTGAGTCTAAGAAGAAGCTTTCGCAAAAAGACTTGGGGGAGTTACTTAAGTTCAACAAAGAAGGGAGAGTAGATTTTTCTTTACCAAGAGGAATGTTCGACATTTCATTGTTATCTGCTATTAGTGCACACGTATCTTATTTTGAAGACAAGGATACCGCTGGGTTCATCATGGGAGAGTTGCTCTTGTCAGACAACCCACCGGTGAAGTCATTAGAAGTGATGTACAAAGACGTTTAGCCATATGTTATTATTTAACTTTAAAAGTCATCTATACCTTTATCACAATCGTTTTCGATCAACTTCAACATTCCTTTGGGTAATATGGGCGTATTGGTGTCGTCGAGAATATACCTGAAGGGCATTTCTGTAGACTCGTACCTGTTGAACTTGATTTCGGGGTAATCGATGAACTTGATATCTTCAAACTTAACTTGTTTGTCGACGATTCTCTGTGTGGTACGTACAGCGGTGTCGGTTGTCATTTGAAGCTCACCGAGCCTTCTACCAGAAAATCCATACTTATCTCTGAGCAATCCAGTTCTGTCAATTCTAGGATGAGATCCCAAGATCCCTCCAAACACAAAATAATCGAACTTTTGCTGGTCATTAGGTACCAAGTCTGTTTCTGCTGCTGGATCAAGAAGGCACACCCGAGAGTGGTCCAAGCCGTTATCAATTTGAATACATTCTTGTGTAGTCCATTGCAAACCCAAGTCTAAAAGTTGCTGGGGGATATCTTTCTCAGTGGTATTTGCGGGTAGAGAAGTTAAGACCAAGTTTTCCTTACCCACATCCTTGATTATCTGAGTATATTCAAGCACCACCCACTCGGAAAATTCGGGTTCCATGTGCTCAATTATGTACTTCATGGTTCAAGATGGAAAATTCACATTGCGATGAACGCTCGCTTTGACTGCAAAATTTATCTCACCATTCATTTTATTATCTATAAATCGCTTTTCTTCACAAATTACTTTGTTATATACATCTGCACTACTTCTTAGAGCAACACGAGTCAGATGACGATGATGTCTTGTTGAACGCCAATCTGGAAGTGGAGTCAACGTTCAAAGAACATGAATCCAAACCCTTGGCCCCCGTTCTGACTTCTGAAGTCATCTTGGAGTACGAAGGCTTGATATCGAGCACAGGGTTTTCTGTGAAAATATGTCTTGGTCTCAACATCAAGTCGAATATCTCAGTTGGCATGACGGGGAAGTCTTCTGGGGATGGGAAGTGGGTGATACCGAAGGTGTGGAAAAACACAATGTCAGTGTTTTCAACATTATCGGTTCCATCACCAATCCACTTTCTCATTCCTCTCAAACCATCACCACTCCATTGAGCAACATGGTCACCTGATGGATACAACGTACCGTATCCAAAGTCCTCGTCTTTGTATGGAACAACTTGTGTGGTGTGTTCAGCCCATGGAGCTCTTTTTCTCACCAATGAGCCGGGTTGAGCCAACACCGGAGGACAGAAGGTAGACACCAACTTGTAAGATGCGGGCTTCCCGGAGTACTTGTTGATGGACTTGGGGTTAAACATGTCCCAGGTTCTGGCATACTTTGATTCTGCTTGGGTCAACGAATCCTTGACGGTCTTAAATACGGTTTTCTTTGCATAGAACCCATTACCATAGACGTTTTCAGGAGATCCAGTTGGATAAGGCGAAGGACAAGCATCCGACGTGGCGGCAGAGTTACCCTCACCATCAATTCTAGGGTGGATTCTCAAGGAGAACAAGTGCTGGTGATTGTGGGCATTGACCTTGGGGTAAACAATGGTTCCCCATGGTCCAATATCCTCATCTTCGTCACAAATGTAGGTGTTCAAGATCCCGGTCAATCTGACCTCCAACTTAATGGTACCATCTTGTCTCAAGGTCCAGTATAAACAGTATTCGTAGTTAGCGGCGGTGAAGATTTGAGAGATGATCAACTTCTTACCTCTGGTGTTGATGGTGGTTTGGAAATCGTCTCTGAAGTCGGAGTGCTTGAACAAAATCCCATCGTCTTCTTCGTGGATACAGACAGCATTTCTGATGGTAGAAGGGTCACCAAACTTATCGACAAAATGGGCATCCAAGTAATGGATCACTCCTTTACAGTCACATCCCAATGATAATGGGTTAGTACAGTAACCAGCACCATATTCACCAATATCCAACGCATGTTTTCTCTGGTGAGGAAAGTCGGGACATCCATAAGGAACAATCATTTCCGACAAAGAGATTCTGTGGAACAAAGACCTGGTATTGCCGTGGTCATTGTAGTTGACATCACTCAACACAATACCTTCCCTGTAGTTAAAACCAATGTGGAACTTGAAGTTGGACCATTCCATGACATTTCCTTGCATGTTGAAAGAAACCCCATTTGGTTGAGTAATGTTGATAGGAGTATCATCTTGTCTGTAACCAGATGGGTTTTCCTTGGTTCCGAACTTAGAAGCAACATCTCTTGGGTGGAAACCCGTGTGTTTGTGTTTGGATACTTTTCTTCTCTTGGTAGGAATATCAATAAAGATAACCTTACCAGCATTCATATCGACAATGGGGCAGAAATCCAAGGGATGGGAGTAATGAGAATCATCCTCGTGGCTTCTCCAGTATATCAACGCTTGTTGCAATCTTCTGGAAGCACCCCATCTTTCATCGTATCCAATGGTCCAAGAATCACAGTAAATGTTCTTCATTTCACTCTTGTCCAAACCCGAGAGTACAACTTGAGCAATGACATTTGGATCATTTCTGACAATCTCTTCGGTATCAGACAAATCCTTGGTGGTCAAGATTGGTTGCACACCTTCAGTCTGCTTTAATTGGATGATCTGGCCAGTTGGAATATCAACCACACCTTCTTGAACTGCTGTAACATCCTGTTCGATAACAACAAAATAGGCCAAACGAGGAGGTAATGGACCCTTCTTTTCCTTCCAGTTGTAGTAAAGGTTCTTTGGAGGTTCTCTTAAAGTAACGGTGTTGAAATTAAGGGTTTTACCCAGGTATTTCTCCTTGACAATCGAAGTGACGTACTTGATCTCTTGAGGGGATAACGGGTCCAAAGGATGAGCAGGGGCCGCAGGAGCAGACACCGCGGAGGTCACCTGTGAAGCGACTTGTTGTAATCTTTCCATTTGTTAACTAGGGTTAGGGCTGGTGTTGAAAAACATTTAGCAGGTAAATGTCCCCTTTATATAGGGGATCTTGACTCTGCCTGCCCTGCCCGCGACACCTTATCATTTCCTATGCCGCAATAGGTAAAAACCTCCCGGGGGTGTGCCAACTTCCGCATTCGGTAAATATTCCCGGAAGAAAACTCACCGGTGTAGTTGGGGAGGATACTATTACCTAAACCACAATCAGACCATACCATCTGTTTGACCTTCCTGAAGAGGAACTTGCCTAGTTGCAAAATAAACTCTGTTGTGTATTTGAAAAAACTATGTGTATTCATATGTGGTTGATTCCACAAGAATGATCCACAAAATTAACGGAAGTAGCACAAAACCCGATGCGCTCATCACTGTCAAACAGTTGCCAAAAACATGTCTAAAGTAAATTAAATCTTTTACCATTGCCTCCACTTGCTCTGATTGGCCGCACAACCTGTGCAAGCAATCACTTTCGTTTATATGGCTGAAGAAACTCATCAACATCGACGTGAATACGTTGATGTTGTGATCTTCAAATTTGTAATCTTGGCTTGCCAAGTGTGCTATCAGGCTGAGCATATTAAGGACCATATCATGGAATAGAAACATTTGTCCGTGGGTGGCCATCACAATTAATCCCTGATATAAAATAATGCAGTAGCCAGTGAACGCAAAACTACATGTTTTTCGATATTGGGCAGAAGCGGAAACGGTGCTTATAGCCGTGGAAATGAAAATTGAGCTGATGGACCAAAATAAATGGTCAGATTTGATGGTGATGCGTGGGGTTGAATAAATCGTGGATGTCGAGTTGAGTAAGAGGCTCTTGGGAAGAACCATGGTCATTATCGCTAAAATGATGGTAAATGAAATCGCATGACGAGCCACTTTTCTGGGTGCAAAAGTTCTGGTTTTTGAAGGTATTAAATGCTGATGGTCTGTTGAGCTATTCAGAGCCTTCTCAAGGTCCTGGCCTTCATCAACATTATCTTTGATGTGCTCGATCATCCTACACCCGGTGTTCAAAAATACCTTCACCAACACAAACCCTTCGATCATTACCAATAGGCTGCGAACGTCACTTGCCCAAAATTGGTGGCTGGCCAAAAACTCCAGCTCACTCTCTGAACCAGACCTGGCACTAGCCTCCATGTTCTCGTAGTAATTCTCCACAGCTCCGAGTCGTAGCACGAGACTGTCCGCAAATACACTCATCAAAAAATTCCACACGGCCAAGAGTACCCCCGATACCACATACTTAGAAGATGTGAGCCGGGTATGCCTGAGCACCAAATACCGCCACGTATAAAACCCTACTACTAATACTGACACCACTGCCAGCATCATCTTGTATTTGTGGTCAGCCGTTTGCTCATCATAAAAACGGATCTTCTTGAGTGTCTCAGAATGTACAGAAGTGAACTGCATTTGTGAACTCATGTTGCTGTAAAAGGGAACTGTGACTTAATTGTTAAGAATAGTAACTTTTCGTGGTTTCAGCAGTTTTTTGGATCGCAAAACAAAATTTGATGGAATTGTCTTGGTATTACTAATTATACTTTGTGCTATACGAGTTCGCTGACACAGAACACGTAAGAGCACTTATAATTCAAACCTTGTCACAAGTAGGAATAATCACTAAATTAATATGGATATTCTTTCCAGGAGTAAAAAGGGTGTTGGACTGGAATAAGTAAGTTGCCGGGGTTGACGGTTGCAAGACTTTATATGTGGATGGGATCGTACCGACTTTACCGCACCTTGTCAGCCCTGTGTTATGTGCAGGACGCCGGTTAGCTCATTAGACAGTTTTGGGAAGCGCAATATATTGCCGATCGCAAACTACTGAGAACTGATAATAATCATATGTTATTAGGCTATACAAACAAACAAACAATTGGCTTATAAAAAAGAGGTTCAAGTCACATAAAGAGATTACAACTTATCGTAGTATTCTTGGTAACCTGGAACTTCTGGTTTCATACCAGCACGTTCTCTCTTTCCTTTAACAATCGCACCTGGCTTAGAGGTTGGGTCAGTTGGGTCACCTCCCAAAACGGCCCAATGGTCAAAGATCATTTGAGGGAAAGCTTGACCACCAGTAGCCTGTCTCAAATCACCGGTGAAACCGAAAGATTCGTTAACTGGCAAGTAAGCTTTGATGGTAAACAATGGAGTACCTGGTCTTTGTTCTTCAGAAATAACTTGACCTCTCTTCTTGTTCAAAACCGAGTAGATACCACCAATGGCGTTTTCTGGACATTGGATTTCACACAAAAACACTGGTTCTTGAATGGCTGGTTCAGCCAACAACATGGCAGCGTAGGTGACTCTTCTCATGGTTGGGATGATTTGACCACCACCTCTGTGGATAGCATCGGCGTGCATAGTCACATCCAAGATGTTAACTCTGACAGATCTCAAGTTTTCACCAAAGATTGGACCTTCCTTGGTAGCCCATTGGAAAGCAGCAACCACGGAATCCTTGATTTCATTCAAGTATTGGACGGCCTTAGTTTGGTCAACAACCAAGTTAGGACCGTTACCATCTGGACCGAAACACCAAATCTTTCTGGCATCAGTGACGTCCCATCCGTGCTTGTCAGCCAAAATTCTGGCTCTAGCCTTGAAATCATCTCTTGGGTTGACGGTACCGTTTTCAATATCAACGGAAACTTCTTCATCCAAAGCTTGAGCCTTGACGTAGATTCTGTTATGCTTGTTTGGAGACTTAGATAAAGCAACCATGGAGGATTCACCTTCAACAGTTTCTCTGTAAGAAACAACTGGGGAGGAGATCTTCAATGGAATACCAGCGTGATCGTTTTGCAAATCAGACAAACAAATTTCCAAGTGCAATTCACCGGAACCAGCAACAATATGTTCACCGGATTCGGACATGTAGGTCAAAACACATGGGTCAGACTTGGACAATCTCTTCAAACCTTCAACCAATTTTGGCAAATCGTTGGCGTTCTTAACTTCAACGGCAACTTCCACAACTGGGGAGACAGAGAACTTCATAACCTTCATGTTGTGAGAAGATTCGTTGTTGGTGATAGTACCGGATTTCAACAAAAATTGATCGATACCAACCAAACCAACAATGTTACCAGCTGGACAGTCATCGATTGGTTCGACGAATCTACCCATCATCAAAACGGTTCTTTGAACAGCCTTGATGAACAAGTCTTCCTTCTTACCAACTTGGTAGTTAGGACCTTGAATTCTGACCTTTTGACCAGATTTCACGGTACCAGAGAAAACACGACCGAAAGCGTAGAATCTACCCTTATCGGAGGTTGGGACCATCTTGGAGATGTAAACCATCAAGTCACCCTTAGGGTCACAGTTCTTAATGGATTGACAAGAAGAGTCATCAGCTGGACCTTCGTACAAAGTTTCAGCTCTGTAAGCTTGAGCAGTAACTGGAGATGGCAAGTGAATGACAATCATTTCCAACAAAGCTTCGGCAGCTGGCAAGAACTTTCTCATAACGACCTTCAACAAAGCCTTACCTTCCAATTCCTTTTCGTCACCCTTCAAGTTGATTTCCAACTTTTCCAACAAGGTTGGGATTTCAGCCTTCTTGAAGTTCATGATGGCGTTAAACAATCTGAAGATTGGGTCCAAAACGAACATGTTGAAAGCTCTTTCCAAAGTCTTTCCATCAGCGTCCTTGTCCTTGTTGGTCCACTTCTTGGTCTTTGGGTTAAAGTAAGAGTCACCCCACAATCTTTCCATCATCTTTTGTCTGTCAACACCAAACTTCTTGGAGTATCTAGTAGCAAATTGTCTGACGGTGAAAGCCCAACCGTGTAAACCAGAAGCGAAAGCAACGGTACCGTGGTATGGGTAGACTTGACAGTCACCCAAAACTGGGTCAACATAGGTGGAAATAATCACGTTAACGGATTCAATAGTTCTGGAGAAAGATTGGTACAAATCTTCCTTGGTGACTTGCAATTCCAACAAAGCTCTGTCGATCTTGTTGATAACCACAACTGGCTTAATTCTTTCACCCAAAGATTGTCTCAAGACAGTTTCGGTTTGCACACACACACCTTCGATACAGTCAACAACAACCAAAGCACCATCAGTGACTCTCAAAGCAGCAGTGACTTCAGAAGAGAAATCAACGTGACCGGGGGAGTCAATCAAGTTAATCAAGAAAGAGTTACCAACGGTCTTTTGCTTGATTTCCTTAACATCATCTTCTTCCATAGCAGCATATAAGGAGATGGCGGTGGACTTGATAGTAATACCTCTTTCTTGTTCATCCTTTCTGGTATCAGTGAATCTAGCTTCACCGGCCTTAGCAGCAGAAATAATACCAGCCTTTTGGACCAAGGAGTCGGTCAAGGTCGACTTACCGTGATCGACGTGAGCAATGACAGACATGTTACGCACGTTGGTAACCTTGTCCATCAAGTCACGGATCTGTTCAATTGTAAAAGCAACTACACCAATGTTAGTAATCATTTATTTTTTGAAGGGTTTCGTGAGTGATCTGTCACTTTGATTTCTGGCTTTGCCTGGTTTCTACGTCCATCAGTGGCACCAACACCGCCCCATGGCACTACAATAGTTTGTTTGTGCTCCAAATTGCCTCCACAAAACCACCTTATGCCTGCTATCCATTTTTTAGGGAGTAACGAACGGGCGCTTACGCCTAAACCCATGAAATTCTCCGTTAGGAACTTTCAAGGTCTTTCAAGTCAGAAATCCACTCACAATCCCAGTGGCTAAGGATCCCATGGTCGGGAGAAAAAAACACATACCCATTTTGAATTAAGTGTTACTATGTAGTGGTTGTACAACAAGTTGGTAGAAGAGAAAATTTTTTGAAAAAATTTTCATTCCCATGAGGGAGACTCGAATGAGAAAATGGGGCGGCGCACGCCGTGCCAGCACGAGCGCAGAGATAACCCACTCGTGTGAGGGAGATAAGAGTGGTACAGGTTATTTGGATGGTTTCGGAGATGTTTTAGGGACGTTGGTTTGAATGAAGAGGTCGAGCGATCGATTTGCGTGAAATTGGGGGGGGGGGGGCTCTTTGACCTATTTTCGTTAACTAAATGTTGATTTATGAGCATATCAAAAAGCCTTTTTCACTCAAAAAAAGAATTTAAACTAAAATCCACACTGAAAGTATCTTTATGGTTCATGTGATTGAAATTGTCCATTATAGGCTGCTAAAACTCATGGTTTCTACCGTCTGAAGATTTTCTGACTTTAAGCATGGTAATTTCTAATGGCTAACTCTCAATTGGTGATACCGTAAAGCCTACAAAAAAACACCTAAATGGTGCTATTCGAGTCCAACAAAAAGGTGATGTGGTTCTATATAATGATGGAAAACAACCTCTCTTCTTCCTTTGGCTGTGCAATGCGGGTTTGGCCTCTTTTTGTCTTTTCTATCTATACGGGTTCCTTGGTGTTTATGGTCCGTACACACTGGCGGGTATTCTCTTGGGGCACTCTTACCCGGCTTTTGGCCCACCGAAACCAAAAGTTCGCACCCAATTGTTCCAGAGTCAACCTAATCATGAAGCTCATCACCGTACTAATATCCGGATCTGGGTCCAATCTCCAAGCCCTCATCGATGCCCAAGCATCCAACAGTCTTGGAAACGGTAACATCACCCACGTGATCTCCTCTAGTGCCAGTGCGTATGGTCTCCAGCGTGCACAAGCAGCCCAAATCCCCACCACGATCCACCAGTTGAAGACCTACTACAAAGGAATCCCCAAAGAAAACACACAAGAACGTACACAAAAACGCCACCAATTCAACGTGGACTTGGCTAATCTATTGATCTATGGCAACATCGAAGGAAACCCAGATGCCCAATACACCAAACCTCATTTGATTGTATGCGCCGGATGGATGTTAATCTTGTCACCACAAGTGTTGGAACCATTAGAAAAAGCCGGTATCACCATCATCAATTTGCACCCGGCATTACCAGGAGCCTTTGACGGAACCCATGCAATTGAGCGGGCATGGAAGGCTGGCCAGGCAGGAGAAATCGCCGAAGCTGGGGTGATGATTCACAAAGTTATAACTGAGGTCGACAGAGGTCAGCCGGTATTGGTGAAGCGTTTGGAGGTGGGGAAGCCACAAGAGACTTTGGAGGAATACGAGAAACGAGTACATGACTTAGAACACATAGCCATTGTGGAAGGCACCAACATGGTGTTGAAAGAATTATAGAAGATTTTAAAACGGTCAAAAAACCTTAAGAATAAGATTATTCAGTTAAATAATGGTAAAATAAAAAATGTATCTCTATTACAAGTTGCTGATGACTTGCGCAGTAAAGTGTTGAGTAGAAGCTGTTCCTCTCAAGTCACCGGTTCTGTTAGCAGGACCAGAGGCAATGGTCTTCTTGACAGCAGCATCGATCTTATCGGCGTAATCGTTCAAAGACATGTGTCTCAACATCATGACCGAAGACAACAAAAGAGCAGTTGGGTTGGCCAATCCCTTACCGGCAATATCTGGGGCAGAACCATGGACGGCTTCAAAGATAGACACGGTGTTACCCATGTTGGCAGAGGGAGTCAAACCCAAACCTCCAATCAAACCAGAGGACAAATCAGACATGATATCACCGTACAAGTTAGGCATCACCATCACAATGTTCTTGTAGTCACTTGGGTCGGAGGCCAACTTCAAGGAGGTGTTGTCCAACAATTCATAGTCCAAAGAAACATCTGGGTATTCCTTACCCACTTCCTTAGCCGTTTCAACGAATAATCCATCAGATAACTTCATGATTGAAGCCTTGTGGACCACCAACACGTGAGGCTTGTTGACACTCTTGGCGTATTCAAAGGCGTATCTGATGACTTTTTCAGACGCTGGCTTGGTGATCAACTTGATCGACTGGACCACACCGGGAACAATGGTGTGTTCAATACCCGAGTATTCACCTTCGGTGTTTTCTCTGATCAACACGGTGTCGACATTCTTGTATGGGGTTTCGAAACCTTGAACACTCTGACAAGGTCTGACGTTGGCAAACAAGTTGAAGGTTCTTCTTAAGGTCAAGTTCATAGAAGAATGTCCCTTACCAACCGGAGTAGCCAAAGGTCCTTTTAAGGCAACCAAGTTTTTGTTGACCGAATCGACGGCAGGTTGGGGTAATGTGGTCTTACCATCAATCAACAAAGGAGTGACATCAACAGGTTCCCATTCGATTGGGACGTCAGCAGCGGCATAAATCTCTTTGACAGCTTCAGAGATTTCGGGGCCGATTCCGTCACCTTCGATTAAAGTGACGGTATATTTACCGTTGGCCTTCTTGGCACCAGTGAATTGACCGGGGATATAGGATCTGGTAAACTGAGGGATCACGGCGGATCTTCTGGTTAATTGTCTGAACATGATTTTAAATGTGATGGATAAGATTCAAGAAAAGATGGGAACGGGAAAGATTTTTTCATTGTGTTCGGAGTTGGAGGGTTGAGGGTTAAAAAACGATTGTCCAATGGGAGTGCGGGAAATGAGTTTTCGGTTCCTGGTCTGGCGTGGGTTCGCGGTGGCCTACACGGGTGTCGCGGAGCTGCCTAGGTCGGGATGTGTGATCACGTGCCTCTGCCCGTGCCAGTCCAGTCTACAAAGTCTATGCTTTTTGTGAAATTGAATCTAAATCAATATACATAAAATGGCAGCTCCAATCGTGGTAGCTCCAATCATGGCACCACCCGTACCAACTATTTATCAACCTCTTGCATCGTCGTACCGCCTAGCACGTCAACTGCAATTAAAGCCTACTTCTTTCTTGACGCCCAGGTTCGAGTCTTCATAACTCAAGCACAGCACGAATACAGTCACCATTGTGCATGTCTTCAAAAGCAGTGTTGATTTTGTCCAATGAGTGTCTGTGGGTAATGAAATCATCAACTCTCAATTTACCTTCCAAGTAATCATCAACAATTCCAGGCAATTGACTTCTTCCCTTAACCCCTCCAAAAGCAGCACCTTTCCATACTCTTCCAGTCACTAATTGGAATGGTCTGGTGGAAATTTCCCTTCCAGCAGCAGCAACCCCAATAATGATAGAAGTACCCCATCCTTTATGACAGGCTTCCAAAGCATTTCTCATGACATGAACATTACCAGTACAGTCAAAAGTGTAATCACATCCACCATCGGTCAACTCAATCAACTTATCCACAATGGTGGTACCTTCAGGTAATGTGGCAGAGTTTACGAAATGGGTAGCACCAAACTTCTTGGCCCATTCTTCCTTCTTATCATTGATATCCACCACAATGATCTTACCACACTTTCTTTGGGCTGCTCCTTGTACAACTGACAACCCCACACATCCAGCACCAAACACCGCGACATTATCACCTTCTTGGACATCACCAGTAATGGTGGCAGCTCCGTATCCGGTGGTTATACCACATCCCAACAAACAGGTCTTCTCAAACGAAGCCTTTGGATTGACAGCAACAACCGAAATATCCGCCACCACCGTGTACTGGGAAAATGTCGAACATCCCATAAAGTGCAACAACGACTTCCCTTTACAAGTGAACCGAGAAGTACCATCTGGCATCACTCCTTTACCTTGAGTGGCTCTAATTTTACCACACAAGTTGGTCTTTCCGCTCAAACAAAACTTACATTCCTTACATTCGGGAGTGTAAAGAGCAACCACATGGTCTCCAACCTTGACACTGGTGACACCTTCTCCTATACTTTCCACCAACCCAGCACCTTCGTGTCCCAAAATCACAGGGAACTCTCCTTCAGGATCGACTCCACTCAAAGTGAAGGCGTCAGTGTGACAAACTCCAGTATTGAGGATTTTGATACGAACTTCATGGGCTTTTGGAGGAGCAACCTCGACATCTTCAATGCTTAAAGGTTTACCAGCTTCCCAAGCAACGGCAGCTTTACAGGTGATAGTCTAAAACATACAATTAGTATTATGTCAATTGATTAAGATCAGGTAACAGGCACATACTTTTCCAGTGGTGTCAGACATGATTAGAATTTGTTTGAGTTTATCGCAATCCAATAGCAGGATGCGGGCCTATTTATACTTCTTCGGAGGATGATAGAATTGCTCGTTTTCCATTGCCTAATCGGGAGGGGAATTCTAAAATTTATGGCCTGCCGCCAATGATAGTATGGTCGATATTAGACTCTTTAGAAACGTGTGATTTAGAGGATTTCGATGATGGGCCTTACATGGGACTGGTTTATATGATGTTGAGTATATGGTGGTTTCTTGCAGGGGAATTGCCACCGACTATGTCGATGAGCTGGTGATGACCCGCTTGACGGCTCAGATAGCCATTTATTATTCCGGTATTGGGCGCGCACGACACCTGCTTTTTGTAACTGCTTGGCGAACACGATGATGAGGCCGAAGAACATAGGAATTGTCCCAATAGATGGGGGCAAAGGTAATGGCTTGGGGTTGTCTAGAAATGCTACGACTACAGACTTACTACCATCTACTCACTTTTTTTGCCAGATCAAGCCGAGTGAATAAATGCGAATTTCACGCATTTCTGGAGTTAGGATTCTCCTATGAATTAAACTTCGATAGTCTTAATAATAATGAAAAATCTTTTATAATCAAGGAATTATATAGAAATTTTTTAGCAAATAACTTGAAACTAACCGAAACGAAAATACAAAGCGACCGGTAGTCACGCTGCAAAAGATAATTTGTCATCAGGGTCTTTTGGGCTAGTTGCTGCAATGTCCGAAAGTTAATTTAGTGCAAAAAGCTTGATATGAGGGAGAGTATTTAGCATCAGCAGGAGAGTGAAAGAAATGCCTTCAGCCTTTGTCAGCACTGATTACACCAGGAGGGACACCAGGTGGGACACCAGTACATTCCAGGATTCAACATCACTTTGAAAAGATGGTGAGATTATCTGTAATGTGACTAGCGCCCTATTGTCTGCAATTTGGAGGGTGCAAAATCGGAGAGTTTGTATTTCCTGGATAGCCTTTGAAGGAACAATAATGTGTGGCAAGAGAGACCAGCACAGATGCAAGAGATCATAAATAGATGCAAAGTCTGACCAACATAACTCTATTTATCTGGGTCTGAGTTGAAAATATGAGTTTGTAGGGGAGGGGAAAGCCTATAATTTAATCGAACTTTGAAACTAGCAACGTTGATCTAGATCAAAAGAAAAAGTCAGTGCTTAAAAAATATAACATATTCGGCCTTTTTAGGTTCAGCAGCGGGTATGTGGTCTAGTGGTAATTTTCCATTATTCCGCACACCTGGCAGTGCGCGCGCTGCACGTACCCCTTGTACAACCAGTGCGGGCGCTCCCCGCATCCGGGTAACTTGATGAGGGTATTTTGATTCTAGCACGGGCGTGTGGTCTAGTGGTATGATTCTCGCTTTGGGTTTAGGCCTCTAAAAGCACCAACACAACTTGGTACTTCTAGAGATCCAAAATACAAGCATGCGAGAGGCCCTGGGTTCAATTCCCAGCTCGCCCCCTTTTTTGTATGGGCTATCTTTGTGACGAGTTAGAAGATGATTTTCTTGAAAATGTTGAGGAAAATACATACATTAAATGCAATTTTAGAAGAGTAAGTTACAAATTAGAAGGAACCCTAGTTTGCCAAACGATGCTCTTGAAGCGTTAATAGAGGCCAGTTTGGAAATACCTATGCGAAAATCGACGCACTTAGCGTCCCAGTTGGTTAATGAATGGTACATTGGCGATTACAGCAAGTCAAAAGTACCTCAAGAAAGGGAAAGTCGAGTGAGCGGTTGCAAAATGTCGCGATCTTCTCGCACGACAGCCCTAGATTACTGTGCGGGCTCACGGTGATACGTATATGAACTGCCCACTGTGGCTAAAGACCGTTCCGGTTATTCAGCCATGCGGTGGTGGGCGTACCACAACTTTAAAACCCACGCATTTAAGGGGAATGGAGAGTTCCATCAGCTGGAAGAATTTAGTAGGGAATTAGTTAAATTCAACAGGGGTAGGACTATTAGCAAAAAATAGCATTATAAGTTCAACTCTTTGCAAACCATTGTTCTACGCCCCGGAACAAAAGACTTTTGTTAAGAGTGTATATATGAAACCTGGCTCTGCTGCCTGGTAATTGCTATCTATAACTTTTTCTGCAGCAACCACGTCTCGGCTGCGGAACTCTAATTTTAGGTATGGAACCATATATCAGTAATAGGAAAGTTCTGCAAAATACAGATATTTCTACCCAGCGGTGGCAGATCTAAAGTCTGTTGTATGAAGCCATCGATGTTCGAGTTTTGTAGCCTCAATTGTACTTTGATGAAAAAAAGGCAGAAGAAAGAAACCCAAGCGTGCGATTACCTTATCTCCGGTACCAACCCAAAAGTTGGTAAATTCTAAAACTGAAAGTTAAGACGGTCACATCAGCTGATTCCCCCTATTCACAGCCGGTAGACCGACCTGCCTTGGCAGCACTTGCCCACAATTGCCCATAGGTAATTTATATAATCGCATTGCTTAGCTAATCGCATGGCTTAAATAATCGCATGCGCAAGCCCCCACTCGCAGCCCAAAATTCGGATTTCACAAGCACCTGAGGTGGGATATAAAGCACCGTATTCCCCAAAATAACTATTTTCTATACCATAAAATGTCTCCATCAGCAGAGAAAACAGAATTGCACTCCACTGGATCTACCCGGTCCACCCGGTCAGGCAAGTCGTCGGCTCCCCTGACCACCACCTCCAATAGCCCATTGAAATATACTCCAGTGGAAGAGATTCCCGTTAAAGTCAAACAATTGGTAAACAATTTCCATGAACACCACAAACTCCACCCTCTTCAATCGCGTGTAAACCAATTGAGAAACGTGTATTTTGCTATCAAGGACAACGAAGACTTGATTTGTGAAGCATTGGCCAAAGACTTCCACAGATCACCTTTTGAAACTCAGTCATTGGAAATGTGTGTGCTCTTGAACGAGATTTTACACACAATCTCGTCGTTGCATAAGTGGAGCCGGCCCGAGAAGGTTCACGACTTGACCATCAATGTCGCCACACAACCGGTGTACATTGAGCGTATTCCGTTTGGAGTGGTTTTGGTGATGTCTCCATTCAACTATCCACTTCTTCTTACAGTTTCGTCCCTTGTGGGGGCTATTGCCGGGGGAAACAGCGTGGTGTTGAAATTACCCGAATCCACTCCTCACTTTTCCCTGTTGTTGACGTCTCTTTTGAAGGATGCCTTGGATGAAGACATCTTCTACGTGGTCAATGGAGCCATTGCTGAGACCACGGCGGTATTGGACCAAAAATTTGACAAGATTATGTACACAGGATCGACTGTTGTTGGTAAGATTGTGGCTAAGAAGGCGGCCGAGACCTTGACTCCGGTGCTTTTGGAATTGGGAGGAAAGTCTCCTGGGTTCGTTTTGAACGACGTCAAAGACTCGCAGTTGGCAACGGTCGCGAAAAGAATCTTGTGGGGAAAATTCAGCAATGGCGGCCAGACGTGTGTAGCCATCGATTACCTTTTGGTGGACGACGCTATCAAGGATAAATTGATAAAGGCATTGTTGGAACAAGCGGAGTTGATGTTTCCTGGAATCGACTCCGAATCTGACTGGACCCATTTGATCCACGATCGGGCATTTGGAACTTTGATCGATACCATCAAGAAGACAGATGGTACTATCATTTACGGAGGCCAGTCTGATGAAAAGACCCGGTTCATTGCTCCTACCATCATTGACAATGTCAAGTTCAACGACTCGACCATGAGACAGGAAAACTTTGGTCCGGTTCTTCCAATCATCTCGTACTCAGATTTGACATCTGTTTTGAAGAGCGTGATTCAATCCCACGATTGTCCTTTAGCACAGTACATTTTCACCGGAGGAAAGACCAGCCGGGCAAATCCTCAAATTGACCAGATCTTGACGTACCTTCGTTCAGGTGGTACTCTTATCAATGACACTTTGGTACACGTTGCCTTACCAAATGCTCCATTTGGAGGTATTGGTAACTCCGGTACTGGATCATACCACGGCTATTTTTCTTTCAGGGCATTCACTCATGAAAGAACTACCATTGAGCAGGCTTTGTGGAACGACTTTTTGTTGAAGTCCCGTTATCCACCATTTTCTGATAAGAAGGCTGCTTTTATCAAGAACTCAATGGCACCACAAAGAGAGTGGTTTGATAGGACAGGTAATGTCAAATCCACTGGACCCTCGATATTCTATAAGGTCTATGATGCGATTGCCACTGCCACCAGCATTGGTTATACCGCAATCGCTAATAGGGTTTAGTCTATTTAGTGTATTTAGGTAATGAGAAAATTGATTTGGCTGATAATTTGTAGTCGCGACATCGATATTTTACCATTATTGCCACTATAGGATATATTGATTTTAATGGTGTTTACAAGTATGTATAGATTGTGATGTATAACATTGACACCGTACTAACAGTTGTAGTCAAAATAAAGAATGCTGGGAAGGTCCAAGACGTTACGTTGGAAGACACTGATACTGGTGCTGATTTCAAACTCAAGATCCAGCACCAAACAAACATTCCCACTGACAAACAAAAGATCTTGATTAAAGGAGGAAAACTTAATGACGATTCCGTCGTGAAGGACTTGAATCTCTCTCAGCCAGTGATGGTCTTGGGAACCCCTAACAACAATATCAACAAGGTAGAGATCCCTAAACAGGTGTTTTTGGAAGATTTGAATCAGAATCAGTTGGTAAAAGTCAGCGATGAACCTTCAGGATTGGTTAATTTGGGAAACACTTGTTACTTCAACTCTTCTTTGCAGAGTCTTTATCGAATCGACGATATCAGGGAAGGTTTAAAGACCGCCAACAGCACCAATTCGTTTGTTAATTCATTAAAGCGATTATTTGATATGATGTCTAAAAAGCAAGAGAGAATTAATCCTACTTTGTTTCTTGCCAGTTTCAGAGAGAACTTTCCTCAGTTTAGTGAACAGGATAACCATGGGTTCTATAAGCAACAAGATGCAGAAGAAAGTTTTTCTCAGATCTTGAATGTTTTATTGGAAAGCATTCATATGAAAGGTAAGTTGACAATAAATTTAAAGACCGAATCGAAGTGTTTGGCGTTACCTGAAGAACCAGTCGTGACTGGTCAAGAGGATGCCTTGAAGTTGATGTGTCATATCGACATCAAAACCAATTTTTTGAGAGACGGGTTGTTGAATGGTTTAAAGGAGACTTTAATTAAGCATAACGACACTTTAGGGTCTGACGCTGAATATGAAATTACCAAAACAATCACCAAGACCCCCAAATATTTAATTGTTCATTTCGTCAGATTTTATTGGAGAAGAGACACCCAAAAGAAATCGAAGATCTTGAGAAAAGTCCAGTTTCCATTTGAATTGGATATTAGTGAAATGTTAGACGAGTCTATAAAACCCACTAAGGCTAAATTCAGAGATGATTTAAGAAAGATCGAAAAGGATAACTTTGAGATGGTTAGAGACTTCAAGAAGGCTAAGAAAGACGATTCGTTGAGTCCTTTACAACAACAAGAAGAAGACCAATTGAAGTTGGAGTCCATAAAGTCCAAGTTCGAAGATGATTTTAACTCTTTATTGAAAGAGCACAACATTGACGAGCAATTGGACTCTTTGACGGAAAACCCATCCTCGGTCTACAAGTTAAGCTCTATCATTACCCATGCCGGTTCTTCTGCTGATAGTGGACACTACCAGTCTTTTGCCAAAGATGAAGGAGACCTTGAAGATGAACACTGGTGGAAATTCAACGATGAAAAAATCTCCAGAGTTTCCAGAGATAAAATCGAGCAATTATCTGGTGGAGGCGAAAGCGACAGTGCTTTGTTGTTGATTTATAAGGCTAGTGGTCTTTAAGTTATTTTTCAATGTATTTAAAATGACTATCAAAATCTAAGTTTAACAATCTTTATTAGTACTATTTAGCGGCTTAAATTTATAAATCCTTCACCAACTGGTTGAACTTGGTCACCTCATCCCAACAGTTCAACAGCTTACCTTCGTTATGTTTCAAACATTCAATGACAGATTTTCTGGAGGCCTTGATATCTTCAGTTACTTCAACCGTAGTTAAAGCTATATTTTTTTGGATCAATTGTTTCAAATGCTGGATTTTTTCGTTACTCGAAGGCACAGAAACTACAGGTGTACCATCCTCAGGTAATATGGCGCCCTGAGTGGTTTGTTGGAAATGCTTAATGGCTTCAGCTTCTAATTTTTTCACCTCTTGTGCAACTCTGTCTTGTATGTACTTCTCGGTGTACTGAGCTCTCGAATAGTCGGATTCGGAGCTGTTTTCCAATTGTGACAAGAAGGAAGCACTGAAATCAACAGGTGCCTGAGGAGTGAACACTTTTTTCTCGGGTTTGGAAGTGGTAGAACCCATTGTCAAAATGCTCAAGTTGGGTTTGATTTCGTGCTTTTATTGGTGAGTTAGAGGTTGGTCAAGGTGAGTCGCGCAAAAAGGTCGTGGCCGCGCCTCCAATCTCCAAGTCTCATGAAAAAAAAATTTGAATAGGTTTCTACACATCGATATCTACTTGAAAATGCCACCAATCCAACAACAAAGATACGTGCAACACCAACCTTCCAACTTCGATAAGTTCAAGATGGGTGCGATGATGGGATCCACCGTCGGAGTATGTGTAGGTGTATTATTTGGTGGATTCTCCATTTTGCAGAACGGACCAGGTCCAAATGGAGTAATGAGAACTTTGGGACAATATATCATGGGGAGTGTGGGAACCTTTGGATTATTCATGTCAATTGGTTCTGTGATCAGATCAGACTCCGATTTCCAAGCTTACCAGAAAGCCATGATGTTGAGTCAAAGACAAAAGATTGCTTCCATCAGCAACAACTGAGATCATCCAGTCGTCAAATTAATATCCCCAATGTATATAGAAGTTTTATTTCTAGTGTAATTTATACTCAACGTCGTGTTCGATGTCAAACAAATAAGTCAAGCCAAACTCGGGAGTCCGATAGTATTCAAGCTTGTGTAACTGGGAACTTAACTTGGTGAGTAGGTTCTTGGGCTCTAATATGGGCTCGCTACTTAATTTAAAAGTGCCCCAATGGACTCCCATCATGTACTTTGAGTGTGTTTGCTGACAAATTTGAATACACTCTTCGGGAGAGATGTGCCGTGGTTTCTGGTGCCACGAAGGACAGTACTGGCCTATGGGAAGGAGGGAAAAGCTTATCGGTCCATACTTCTTGCCGATTATATCGAACAACTGCTTCAGATATCCAGTATCTCCAGCATGGTATAAGATAGACTTGCCATTTTTTCTCAAGATGTACGAGCACCAAAGGGAAAAGTTGGCATCGACAATGTAACGACCACTCCAGTGCATGGAAGGTACACACACCACCTCATATATATCTTTCAAGTTACCGTCCATGTACTCATTTAGCGATACCAGGTCCCACCAGTCCATTTCAATCACATTGAAAACCCCCTTTCTGGCAAGGCTTTTGCGGAGTCCGACTGGCACGATCCAAGTGGATGAATTCCCAAACTTTGCTATCAAATCATTTTCCAAATGGTCTGGGTGGTCGTGAGATACCATAATGAAGTCGAGTTTATTGTTGGTAGCGAATTGAATATCTTCAAACGTCATAGGCGACTTGTTCAACCTCTTGGGGCCAACATGAGGCATGATGAGGTAGTCACTGAGAATGGGATCTGTGAGAATATTAATTCCTGAGATCTGGATCAAGGAACATGATTGTCCTAGCCATGTAAATAGAAGCTGGTTACTGAGTGGAGGTAATCGGGCTGACGAGAACCATCGTCTAGTTTTCTTGTACAATTGAGAATAATTATTTGTGGTAGCACACTGATGGATGATTTGGGAGTTTTTCCTGAAGATTTCCAAGTCGGGTTTGTGGACTTTAAGATAGTCTTCTGTGGTTTGATGGTTGGGAAGGTGTTCGTGCAATTCGATTCGGTTACCATAAAAGCTTTCGACTAGTTCAAGCACCCGCACACACATGAACTCAAACCCTGTTTGTGGTCGGTATTCTTCGAATGGGTTTACAAACATCCCTGCAACCGTGGCGGATTTGAACTTGGTGATGTCTATGTCATCTGGATTAGCCATTGCGGCGGAAACATGCTGACGAGCCTTGATGAGCAGCTGGGTTTGGAAATAGAGGTACACCTCAGACCCCGCGTAGAAGCCTAACAAGCCTGCCGATATCCGGGCGCCTTTGTGTTGGAATACCAGTCTCCACATATCAATTGGTGGAGCTGCGACCGAAAAAGAGGGATACAATTGCGCGATGCGGTTTGGGGAAATATATGCTTATAAATTATACTAATGCTGTCTTACAACCCCGGATTTATCGGCCTGCTTCAATATGGCCTTCTTGTAGTCGTTGATGGATCCTCTGAATTTAGTGACGCTTTGATTTTCGGTTACCCAAATCTCACTGCACACTCTGTCAATGATAGATACATCATGGGAAACCATCAACACACCACCTTTGAAGGCAATCAAGGCATCGGCCAACGCATCCAAACCTTGGGTATCCAAGTGATTCGAAGGTTCATCAAGAATCAAAATATGAGGCTGGTTCAAACATAAGGCTGCAAATGCCACCCGCGATTTTTGACCTCCAGACAACAATTCCATTTGCTGCAAACCCAAAGACCCGGTGATACCAAACGAACCAAGATGTCTTCTGTACTCTTCATCAGATCTTCCAGGAAACGTCTTGGACATCCAACTCACTGCACTTAATGTCAAGTCTATGGAGTCCACATGATGTTGGGCAAAGTACCCAATTCTTAATCTTCCATTCTTATTCACAAAACCTTTAATGGCCTCGAGCTGACCCAAAATTAACTTCAAAAGAGTGGTTTTACCGGTACCGTTACCACCAACCACGGCAATTCTGGAGTCCAATTGAACGTCCAAATCGACATTTTCAAGGAGTATATCATCTGGGTTGTATCCAAAAGTCACACCCGACAACTGTAAAATGGGGGGAGAAATGGAATCGGGTTCTGAAAACTTGAAAGTGATGGCTTTTTCGTCTTCAGGAGGCTCCAATACAGGCAACTTTTCCAACTTCTTGATACGAGATTGTGCTTCAGCAGCTCTGGCAGCATTATATCTGAACCGGTCAATAAAGCTCTGTAAATGTTCACGATGTGCCATCTGGGCTTCGTATTCTCTTCTTTGAGTCTTGATTCTCTCTTCTCTTGTGGCATAGAAAGAGTCAAAATTGGCTCCTCTGTAGTAGTCCAATCTTTCAGAGTGCTGGTGTATTATATCGGTTGCAACTTCGTTCAAAAATGATCTATCATGCGACACAACCAACACAGTGGACTGGTAGGTTTGTAAGTAGTTGGCCAAATACGTAATGGATGGAACATCCAACATATTGGAAGGTTCATCTAATAATAACAAATCTGGTTGACAGAAAAGAGCTCTGGCCAACGATAATCTCATTCTCCAACCACCAGAAAACTGCTTGGTAGGTAAGTTTTGGGTCTTAATAGTGAATCCCAACCCGTGCAAGATGGCAGCAGCCTTACTTTCGGCTTTGTCACTTTCCATATCCTCCAATTTTTCAGTAATTCCCAACAAATGGGTTTCCAAGTCATCTCTCTCGTTATCCAACTTCTTAACTTCCTGACTCTCTTCGTCAAATTCACTTTTAAGCTTCTCGATTTCGGCGATTCTTTCGTTGATCTTGGCCTCTTCTTGCAATAAGGTCTTTCTCCACACATCAGCATCCAATACACTCTGAATAGCAGGCGTATCATCACCACGGATTTCTTGTTCAACGTGCAAGATGGTGATGTGTTTGGGGATGTTCAACTCTCTTCTTGACAAGGCTTTCAAAAGTGTAGACTTACCAATACCATTCTGCCCCACCAACCCATATCGCCTTCCATAACTCAACGTGAGAGTGGCATCACTCAAAATTCTCTTAGCATCTCCCACATATAAATCAAAGTTTTCAAGCTTGATGTCCTTGGACTTACCGGCACTGGAGCCGAATTCCAAAGGGTTGATTTCGAGGAAAAACGAGTCGTAGTCTTCATCTTTCTTCTCATTCAATAACTTAGAAGCTTCATATTTGACAAATTGGTTGTTTCGCTTTGCGACCTTCTTTGCAATCTTTCTCTCCTGCTTCTCCAACTTCTTCATATCAACTCTACTCTCCACCAGTCTTCCTGCATGCTCGATGTCACTGGTGGCATTGAGCAATGCGAGTGACGAGTTGATGTCTCTCTTACTGTTATTCTGTTTGAGCAAATTGATGTCCAACAACCGTTTGGAGGTATCACCTGTGATCTCGAGCTTGGCCAAGTTGTCCTTGAGCTTCTTAGTCAAATCTTCAATGACCTTTGCCGTCAAATCACTGACATTTTTTGTGGAACCACCCGCATCGATCAAGAGGTCTTTCACGTACTGAAGCTCACCGCTGATGTCCAACTGCTGACTCAAAACTATATCTTCGGTAGCATGCGATACATGCTGGATGTAACCTACCGCGTAGTCTGCTACCACGGGGTCAATAGACGGAACTGCCTTTCTTACTTGTAAGCCTATATTAGACATGAGTGTGTGGTTTAAAATTTTTCAACGCTGCGCTCAGTGCGATAAAGGATAGAGGATAGAGAGAGGATATTTACAATCGGAGACAATAGCGGAGGTTAAATGCACATCTGATGATACTCAGAATATCTCACACCACCTGTCCATATATCTCCGAGAACACTACTCGATAGGGAGCATATTCGAATATATTTCAAAAAACCATATATTGGTGTCTCAGCAATACTCTAGAACAAAAGTGACATCACTTACAACGCAGCCTTAATTTTAGGAACCAATTGGTCCTTAGAGTGCAAGGCCTGTAAGTCTGAGTTTCCACCGATGTGTTCACCAGCAATAAAGATGTTGGGAACAGATCTTTGGCCAGTGAGTTCTTGCAAAGCGTCTTGGATTTCAGCACCATCATCAATGGTGTCTAATTCAAGAACATAGGCATCACCGGTGATGGAACTAAGAGTTTTCTTGGTAGCCGAGCAGTAAGGGCAGTAAGTCTAAAAAGTAGAAGATTAGTAAGGAGTTGGGGGAATAGCGACCAGATTGATACATACTTTGGAAGCGACAAAGATTGGGTGATCTTTGATCAAAGCTTGGATTTTTTGATTGACTTGAGGAGAGACCATTTTTTTTGTAGCAAATTGGCGTTTCAACAAACTGAACATATAATAGGAAAAACCAACTAAAAGGACGAGCGATATGAGTTGCATATTTATGTGGATGTCAGCGAGCAACAGTGAAAATGCGAATCGCCACATTTGTCAGCGTGGTTGCAAATAGATCCAACCGACGTTCCAGAAAGTGCTGGTGAGAAAGTAGTTATTGGTAAGCCGAATTATAAAACACGTACTTTAGGCCATATGGGCACAGGATTCACAATATATAAACTCGGTCCTGAACCACTATAAACGTATAAATACTTACAATTTGGAGTCGTCACTGAAAATATCAAGTGGGATGATCTCAACACTGTACCCATCAGGGTCCCTGATAAACGCCAAGTTGGGAGTCAACAGACCCTTCCCCCACTGGACCGACCAGTCTAATTCATCTCCATACTTGTCTTCAAGTTGCTTACAAAAAGTAGCTGGATCTTTACAACTGACACCAATATGACCATAGCCCTGGATGGCACCGTTGTCGGTGGAATTTCCGTTGTGGTAGTGGAAATCAGTATCTTCTTCAGTGCCATAGTTGTAGGTCAACTCGAGCAACGATTCCTGGAAATGCCGGACCTTTTTGTCGATGGAGTTTTCTTCATGATTGTTGGCATGGTCGTATCCCAAGAAGAACAACGTAAAGCGAGCATCTGGGAAGTCGAAAGTCGAGAGTAACTTCATACCAAACTTGTTTTTGTAGAAGTCCAACGACTTTTTGGCATCTTTCACTCTGATCATCGTATGGTTGAATTTGTAGGTGGAAAGATCGGTCTTGGCTTCGGTCTTGTTGCGCTGATGCTCAACCAACTCGACCCAGTATCCATCAGGATCCAATACAAACGCAATGTCCTTCTGTCTGCCGTCGCTCAATTTTTTCTGGAATTTGGCACCATTGGCCAAAAGGTTGGCTTCGCAAACCTGGATGTTATCAACAGAAACACAAATATGACCAAACCCTCTGTTTTCAGTGCCGTTACCGTTGTTAACCTTGAAGGAATCGTCGTCTTCTGAGCCGTGATTGTGGCACAATTCCAAAACCCCTTCCCGGGCACCCCAGGATTTGTCTTTGTTGGCCTCTGTCTCAAACCCTAACAAGTATAAGGAGAACCCGTCAAAGTGAAGGCGTCTGATGCACTTCATGCCGAAGTTGTTTTCATAGAAGGGGATAGACACCTTGGGGTCTTTGACACGGAGACACGAGTGGTTAATGATGAATGAATTGTCAATTGTGGTCATGATGATTATGATACTGTTAACTTTCAGAATTTCGCACCGCTTTTGTTGGAGATTGCCAACTGCCCAACTGCACGACTTACCTGCAATATCTGAAGCAATAACCATAGCGAGCCCAAAACCTCATTTGTATTGAGTATTACACCTCATTTACCACTTCATTTAATATTCATATAACCGCACTTTCTAGTTCCCCACCTTTCAAAAAGTGTTACTACACCTTCTTCCTCGGCTGAAAAATTTTAAATCAATCATGTTCAGATCCATAAGATCCCTTTCTAGCACGAACCGGGTGTATCTGTCGTTCAAACATGCCACCACCAGAAACACCATTGCCGATATATACCTGATGTACCATCAAAAGGTCCCGATTTCCATGGTTACTAGTCATGACTTCATTACTGCAAAATTCGCTGAGCAGGCACAAATTGACATAAACCTTATTGGTGACTCATTGGCAATGGTGGCATTGGGGTATGACGATACTAATGAGGTCAGCTTTGACGAATTTCTCTACCATGTCCGCTCGGTGTCTCGAGGTAACTCCAAGTCCTTGCTAATTGCAGACCTTCCGTTTGGCTCTTATGAAATATCGGCTGACCAAGCACTTGAGACATCGATAAAAATGGTCAAATCAGGAAGAGTGCAGGGAATCAAACTAGAGGGTGGCCTCGAAGTGGCTCCGGTGGTGTCGAAGATTGTGGCAGCAGGAATCCCAGTTATTGGTCATGTGGGACTAACTCCACAAAGACACAATACTCTTTCGGGTTTCAAGTTGCAAGGTGCCACCACCGAAAGTGCCATGAACATATACAAGGACTGTTTAGCCCTCCAGAAGGCAGGGGCGTTTGCGGTGGTATTAGAATGTATCCCCAATAAACTTGCCCTGCTCATTACCGAAAACTTGAATATTCCAACCATTGGCATTGGAGCTGGCCCTGGGTGCTCGGGTCATGTGCTCGTCATGGCCGATATGCTAGGTATGAACGGGCCCAGTAATGCGCCAAAGTCCAAGTTTGTCAAGGAGTATGCAAATTTATATGAGACTGCAGTCGAAGGTTTGCAGCAGTACAAAGCGGATCTTATTTCTCAGTCATATCCGGACCCTGAAGTGCATGGGTATAAGATGAAGAAGGAGGTTTTGGCACAGGTGAAGCAGTACATCAAATCCTAGAGCTATGAATATATGATATATTTTTGATTGTACCTTATTGGTCCAAGCTGAATAGAAATGAGTACTCTAATACTGGAGCCTCTGATGAAATCGTCTTTGTGGCTGTTGGATTGTACAAAACCGAAGTGCAGCTCCGCACTTGTGTTCGCAAACTCGGCTGGTGGCAATAAGACCTCTTCATATCATTGAGCATGGAGATATGATAAATCGTAAGTGATTCTACCCGTTCCCTAATTCTGGTGATCGTTCACCTTGAAAAGCTTCCAGATCCTCCCATTTTAGGCTTTATCTCTAAGAATTTGATTGTCTTTTTTAATCTAGTATCTGATAAGTAACAGCAAGGATGCAGAAAGTCCGATCCTAAGGTGTATTATTCGTTGCCGAATTAGGGCCGATGAAGCACCATTAGAATACACTCAGTCCTTTTGTGTTTTGCGATTAACCACCATTACCATTATCTATTTTGTAGGTTCGCGCGTTATGGTAAATAATAATATTACACACGGCAAGTCAACTACTTATAAACCATGTCAGACACCACCGCACGGCTCCGGACGCCCACGCGGCCTGGTAAACCGAGCACGCATATCAAAGTTAACCTCTCGGTGGCCAGTGATCTAACTCCTGAGCTTCGTCCCAGCAATGAAGATTTCATCTCATTCCCCAACTTGCCAGATCCTGAAGACGAGGGAAACCAAACTTTAACGGGATTATTCACAAAGACATTGAAAAGAGTCACCAACAACGCCTCGCACATTGTCAAAGCATACTCGAGCCCAAAATCAGAGCATTTTTCCGATACAGATGATCGAATTGATGGAATAGTTGATAACTCAACTCCTATAAGAGGACACACATTAACTGCTCATACGTTGACTTCCCTCAATAAGTCAGACAATTCAGCCACACGCAAGAAAGCCCAGGACAAGATTAAGTATCTTCAGGATGCTATAGATCTCCAGGAACATGAATCAGATGGTATACTTCGAAGCTCTACCCCAGATATCATCACTGTACCACTCGATAATAGAATGGCTGGATCTCCGCCTAATGATCCCTACAATAAGATTCTGGCCCCGCTTAGCATTATTAACACGATGAACAACAGTAATGTCAGTGTTTACGGAAGTGACTCTACCAATATCGATAATGATGATAGACAAGATGCTAACGACGAGGTTAAGAATCCAGGCCTTCAGAAACCACAAGATCAAACATCAAAAGTCACCTCTGACAGCAAGACTTTGAGGTTTTCCAAGCAATCTGTGCCTGTTTTGGAGGCCACCACCGAAAGTGTAACTAGCTCAGTGATAAATGTGAATGCATTAGCAAACACGGAACCCGATTCTACTTCCAAGACCAACACCCCGAGCTTGAAAGATACCAGTGTAACAGCTTCTAATAGAGTCACAAAGAAGAGAAGTCTAAAGAACTTGCCCAACAGAATATCATCGATATTTACCAATCTACCCAATGATATCGAATTATCAGACGACTCGGCTTCTGATACTGAAACCGTTAACGACACCAGTTTCTTGGGAGGTATTCCAGAAAATTCTCTGCTCAACCAAGCTGGGGCGGTTCCTCCGCCAGAATTAGCCATGTACAGAGAAACTCTGGTGAAGTCTTCTCCAGTGAAAGCTCGGCAGGTCCGTAGTCCAACGGCAGGTACGGACGCTTCTCCTACTATGAACTCATTCAATACGTTGAAACAATACAATATGAAGAAGAAATCCTCAAACTTATCAGCATCTTTGATAGACAATGCCCGGTCTATAATCAACCAAAACTTTCATGGGAACATATCGTCTGCCTCGTCTTTTGTTGAAAAAGTCACCAAAAAGAAAAGGAAAACTCGCCCTTCACAGAATCCTTTAAAGTCTGGGGGTATTCCCAAGAAGTATTGGATGAATGATGCATTTGTATCGGAGTGTTTGAACTGTTTTAAACCTTTCACCGCCTTCCGGAGAAAGCACCACTGCCGGTTCTGTGGTCAAATCTTTTGTTCTCGTTGTACGCTTTTCATTTCCTATCAAGAGCATAAGGAACAACGGAAAACTGGAGTCATAAACCCCGACAAAAGACTGTACAAAGATAAATTACGGGTCTGTAGACCATGTTACAGTGATGTGATTGTGTACCTTAGTGACTCAGATTCGTCGTCTTCTGAAAGTGAACAAGAAGTGGAAGATGATGCAGTATCCTTCGAGACTTTGGATAAGTTCAAAGATGATAATCTCCCACAACACCCGTTTGTTAAGTCCCGTTCGAGATCCCTTTCGACCTCCAGAAGAGATTTTCCGTTTGAAGGGAACAAGTCATTCTTGAAGCCGGCTCTTCATGATGATAAAACGACCGTTAAGTCTCCACTTAGTCTAGCTATTCCCTCTGCTCGCAAAGGTGACTTACTCGAAGTTCAATACAGTAAGAGTAATGTGAATAGCAGCTTCAGCCGTTCGACGTCACAGGAGCCTTCAGGTGCTAGTTGGCTAAAGAACTATCCACATTTGAGAAGATCGAAGACCCAACAGAACACAGGCCTTTCAAGGTCGAATAGTTTTGACAACTCATCTTCATTGCATGGATTCATTAGTGGTAAGACTGATGTTTCTAAAAAGGGTAAAAGCATGATATTTGGTGATACTAATGGTGACGATCCTGATGATGAGGACGATGAGTTTGAAAGTGAAAATGAAGATGAACAGGTTATGTCATTGTATACCTCGTTGAACCATAGTGGTTTTAATGGTAATGCCAACTCATCTACTATCTCACCAAGAGCTCCAATCACCAGACCCCTAGCAAATGTCAGTGCAAATGCTGTCCCTACTTTAGGAGAGTTTCCAACGATGTTGGTGAATGAGAAGCTATACCCTAAGAACATGTCCAGCGGTTTAAGGTCGTCTCCAGCAGGAGCTGTATTTCCTGTGTTTATTCCAAACAATACCAAGACCGACATAGATATTTCAGCAGATGGAGGAAGTGTTCCAAGGAGCGTCTTGGAGGAAAATCCCAAATCAAACCTCAGATCTCATGAAAGAGCACATGCATCATTATTGAGAATGAGATCCAGGAGAAGAGCAAAGACGGCAAGAAACTTGCTGTTACTTACTCAAAATCCTACTAGATTACCCCAGTTGGAATTTCTGGATTTAAGAGACAGTTCTTCTCCCATCTCCACCCCAACCTCACCAACTCCAGGATCGGGACCTTCAGGTGCCTATTTCAAAGATTTGATCACCAATGAAGGATTTTCACCTTTGGACAAGTCTCCTAGTGACCCTCAAACCAGGCACCAAATTTCGTATGGCAGTTTGAATAATTTTGATGCAGACGATTCTGACCTGATTACTAGAGGCCTTTCAGGGAAAGCTTCTAGGGAAGGTCTCTTTGATGAGATAGAAAGACAACTTGATAGCGTTTATCTCGAACTTTTCAAGAAGATTTTAGATCAATGTCTCAAGGATTGTGATATCAAAGATGATACACAACGATGGTCAAATGCATTGACTATGTCCATCAATTTTGTGAACGGCTTAAAGCTAACGGACACTTTGGATATCAAACAATATGTCAAAATCAAGAAGATTCCAGGAGGGAGAATCGAAGATACTCAAATGATAAACGGGTTATTCATGACTAAAAATATCGATTCAAAAAAGATGTCTTCACGGTTGAGTAACCCCAAAATCGCTTTGCTTATGTTTCCAATTGAGTACTTGAAACAAAAGGAACAGTTCATCAGTTTAAGGATTGTCCAGTCTCAGCAAGATGTGTATATCCTGAATTTAGTTTCAAGATTGATTTCTTTAGAGCCAGACATCATTGTGGTCGGTGATACAGTTTGTCAGCTTGCTAAGGACTTTTTAGAAGATGCAAACATTACGGTGATTTCCAACACTAAACCCCAAGTGATTGAGAGAATTTCAAGATACACAAGAGCTGATATTTTTCAATCAGTTAATGACTTGTTCTTTAAAAAGGGTACATTAGGTACCTGTCAAAAATTTGAAATCAAAAAACATCTCCATGGGAATGTTTTGAAGACATTTGCCTGCTTCACTGGTACTGATACTGAACTTGGGTTTACTATAACTTTAAGAGGTGGAGATGAGGAGACCTTAAACTCCATCAAGTATGCCACTGAAAACTTACTCAGCACCCAGATCAATGCTAAGTTTGAAAAGAGTTACTTTGAGGATTCCAAATTGGTTTACCTTGAAGACCTCCCCAATGAGTCAGTAAGTTCGTTATCATCCAAGTTAAATCAAATTAAGAGTGAAGCTGAAATAGAAAACATGGGAATTGAAATAATACCAGATGAAAAGGAAGTTTTCGGGTACATCGCCATGTTTATAAACAGACATATTAGCACTTCTCCAGCTGCCAAGTTCTCTTTACCCACACCATTGGTTAATGCAGTTGAAGCGTTCTTTGTTTTTCATAATTTCAATGAGAGAAATAAACTATTGAAGTCTAACGAATCCTTGGATGATGTGGAGATGAGTTTGATTGAAGAGTTGAAACTTAATATTGGACTTGAGAATATGCCCAATAAAGCACAGGATTTGTTGAAGTTTGTGAAACATGCAGCTGAAGTCAAACTGAAGATTTTGTTGAATCAGTTTCAGTCAAGAGCTAGGACTTGGGCAAACTATTTGAAACTTCCATCATACCAGTTGTATCCCATATTTCATAGGAACATACATTTGTTATATTCAAGTGTTTCTAAAAAGTTCAACACCCCTTGTTCAGGTCCAAATATTATTGTTGTGGATTTTTACACTGATAACGATAAGTTTTTGGGTTTGCAGTTGGATCAGATGTTCAGCGAATCTTTGACCGATTGTGATGAATGTGGAGAGCCAATGATAGACCATTATCGGAACTATGTTCATGGGACAGGTAAGCTTGATATGGTGGTTGAAAAGTATGAGGCACTTTCTGCTGAACACAAGAACTTTCCTAACCAGAGAACTATGTGGAGCGTTTGCAAGCAGTGCAATTACAAAACCCCGGTTGTTTTAATGTCAGACGATACTTATTATTTTTCTATCGGTAAATACTTCGAGATAGCTTTCTGGGGCAGAAATGTAACCTTGAACAATCAAGGTGAGTGTCGTCATGATTTCTTTAAAGAGCATATCCGGTACTTTGGTTTCAATGACATGGCCATAAAAGTTGAGTACTTTCCCATTGATACCTACGAAGTGGTAGTCCCGAAGAAACAAACTGAGTATGATACTAGCGTTGAAATCAACTTAAAGGTTGAAGCTTTCGACACAATAAGAACTAAAAGTGCCAACTTCTTTGATAGCATTTCTAAAAGGCTTAACAGAGTCAAGGTTGACACTTTTGATAAGGCAGAAGATGGAGCCAAAGTAATCGAACAGATGAAAGAACGATTGGACCAGCAACGGAGCATTTTGGAAGAAGACTTATTAAACATATACAATCTGACACCTTCGACCTACTACCTTCCTATGAACTCAATTTTACGAGAATTACAAGAGTTGGGAGTGGCTTGGGATGCAGACTTTAATGACTTTGAAACTCAGTTCTTACCTTCAGAAAATGAAATCACCAGAATAACTCAATTCCATTTAAGAAACTTCTTGATCGATAAGTATAACATCGATAATGCCAAAGAGGTTGAAATGAACGATATGTCGAAGTCAGTGGATAGTGTTGGAAGCGAAAAAGAAGGACTTTCAAGCAAAAGTGATGAAAAGACCGTGAAACAGCAAGACAAAGACTCCGAATTGGTACAGAATTTGAATGAATCACCACGAAAGGAAATTGGTAAGCTTATACCTCGCGCATTAGAAGGACCAGGTTCCAATGTTGTTGATAAGGTCAATAAAATTGAACAGAAGTTAGAACACGAAAGAATCCAGAATACGGGATCTAGGGTTTCTAGTGGAACTGGAAGTATGACAGACGAAAGAAAGTCCGGCTTTTCTCCACCTAAGAAAGCCCTGTCCAAATTATTAGGCCGCAAATCGTCTGATCTTTCTATCAGCTCTGTCAACTCACAGTTAGGAGTAAATTCAAACAAGCCGGTTACTAAAGTTTCCCAACTTACAAACTTCTTTGACCAGATGAGTTTTGACCAAATCTCCATGGAATTTAAAAAGCAAAGAGAGCAGGAATTGAGGAAGAATTTGAACAAATTTAGGGCTCTTCCTATTGTTGCATCAAAACCTATTGTTGAGATGTACAACAAAATCGAAGATGTTGTTAACGCTGATGAGTTAGAAGTAGAAAAGGCCAATCGAAGACTTCCGAGAAGACTTACATCTGATTCTCTCATTGGGAAGAGACCCGATGAAAGTACTGCTCCTGATTTAACAAGAGCGCGTCCTTCAGATGTGAATGATTCGAAAGACAGAGATAAACAAGGTGAAAAGTTAAAAGAGAAGGATGCAAAAGCGATTGAAAATCTCAAATCGAAAGAAAAGGACAAACTACTTGATATCCCCCAGCCCGAAAGAGTTTCTCTTTTGAAATCGTTGACAAACTTTTGGGCTGATAGATCCGCTTCTTTGTGGGATCCTCTCGATTATCCTCTTGACTCAACAGAGCACACTTTTGCAGACTCTGATATTATTGTGAGAGAGGATGAGCCAAGTTCACTTGTTGCTTTTTGTTTATCAACCAATGATTACAAGCAAAAGATCAAATCATTGGCTCAAGAGCCAGATGATGATATAAAGCTAGACAGTGAAGTGAACAACAAGAAATTCAATAGTTTTGCCAAGATCGAAAAGAAGTTCAAGAATCGGTTTGACAATAGCAAGAAGCCCAGCGAACTCGAAAACATTTTGACGAAGAACAAATCTACTCATTTGAAGTATCAGTTTGCAGATGGGTCTACCACTTTATCTTGTAAAATCTTCTACTCCGAGCAGTTTGAGGCACTTAGGAAGGCATGTGGTAAAGAGGACCGGTTCCTTCAGAGTTTATCGCGGTGTATAAAATGGAACTCTAGTGGTGGGAAGAGTAAGTCCAACTTTTTGAAGACATTGGACAACAGGTACATTGTGAAAGAGTTAAGCAAATCGGAGTTGGAGTCATTTGTTCCAATTGCGCCATTCTACTTCAAGTATATTGGACAGTCGATGTTCAATACTTTGACTACTGCCTTAGCCAAGATATTCGGGATATACCAAATCCAAATTAAAAACATTATCACCGGGAAGACTTTCCGAATGGAATTCCTTATCATGGAAAACTTATTCTACAATAACAAGACCACCCGTATTTTCGACTTAAAGGGGTCTATGAGAAACAGACACGTGACCCAAACCGGTAAGGAGGATGAAGTATTACTAGATGAGAACATGATTGAGTACATCTACGAGTCACCATTATTTGTCAAAGAACACCTGAAGAAGCTATTGAGAGGATCACTTTTCAACGATTCCTCTTTCCTCTCTGCCATGGACGTGATGGACTACTCGCTAATCATCGGTATCGATGACCAAACCAAAAAGTTGTACATTGGTATTATTGACTGGTTGAGGACCTTCACCTGGGACAAAAAGGTTGAAAATTGGGTCAAAGGAAATAATTTGATCGGGGGAAACAAAGGTAAGGATCCCACGATCATCACCCCCAAACAGTACCGGATCCGGTTCCGAGAGGCCATGGAGAGGTATATATTGGAAGTACCCGACATTTGGTATGAAGGTAAGAACTAGTCGTGCCCGACCGGAAGAGGCTGAAAAAATATCGAGACACGGTTCCACAAATCTAACGGTTAAAAGAACCGCCGGTAAATAGCCGTCGCAGACAACCGCAATTCGGCTGTTGTCAAGCGAAGTAGCACAGTATATAGAAAATATACTCAATACGTCGTTGGAAACCCAACCGTATTGTTACCAAGCAAAATACTTGCCAGATCTTATCGGTTCAGCCAGCCATGTTTGGCTGAGGCGCGTTTATGTAAAGCCGCACATTTCTAATGTTGATTCAATAAAGTTATTTTTTCAACTACCCCTTTTCCAACAAATTGGCCAAATTTTACAGAAACTTCTTTTGATCCAGTTTTCCAGTAAGCCTGCTACCCACTCCCGACTGTGTGCTCGTGCTCCTCAATATCTACGTGCCCTCGAAACTTGTCGCTTTTTTAACCGTTCACATCTAGAAGTTTTGTGTACCCGAGAGCCTGATCCCATCTGATAAAGTTTCAATTACCATGGGCTTGGGGTTTAATACCGTTTCGCTGGTGTTGATCTTGGTGTCATTTGTGTTCCTCCTTTTGGCCACCATTTCCACCCCCATCGTCAGTTCTTTCAGTCTTGCTTCCACTTCTTCCTTTACCTACGGGGTGTTTGGATACTGTTCGGACAAAAGCTCCGACTGTACGGCATCGTCTGCTGATTATCCCTACCTGTTGGGCTCTGTCCAGCCTAGGCTCGACTGGCTTCTCGATAGAGACACCAGGAACCATTTGGCCTCCACCTTGATCATTGCCCCTATTGCGTGCGGGTTTAACTTTGTGTGCTTGATTGTGGTATTTGTGTCCCACTTTTTTTCCAGCGGCATACTTATCTTCTCGATTGTGTTCAACATCCTCACCTTCCTCTTGACGGCGTTGATTGCAATTTTGGTGGTGCTCATGTTCCATCCCTATGTTTCATGGACAGGGTGGATCTTGGTTGGGTCTGCGGCCGCAACTTTGATTTCAATTGTGTTCCTCTTCCTTGAGTTGAGACTTTCGAACAGTCCGGTGCAATCGGACGTGGAGTCCATCAACGAAATGGCTACATTTGATAACAAGTTCGGCGCAGGCCCCCCAGTGGGTGCGTTTATGCCCCCAAATTCGACCGCTTTCAATAGAGGATACTCGAATCTTGATAACGACAGTTCCATCAGCAAGGATTACGAGTTTAAGGCCACCGGCAATCAAGTCAATAACCAGGTATCGAAGACAATGACCAACTCGAGCATCTATAACTCGAACCCCCAAATGGCTAAAGACTTTACTCAGTATAGCAACAATTCATTTGGTTCCAGGACCGCGGGTTCTTCTCACTTTGAAGACGCCCAGGTGAATTTTGTCAACGGCCCAAATACGCCAATTTCCTCCAAACAGCAAATGGCCCCCACTTTTGTACCAAACACCGCTACTCCTACCACCAACGATACACCCGAGTCTCGCGTGCCTCATTTGCCTTATCCCGCTGGACGTCCATTGAATAAACCTCCTTATGGCGGTGCTGATATGAGCGTGTTTGAGCACCATCCGGAGGTGGAAGGACACGAGCCATTTACTGAATTGAACGACGATTTGCCTCCTCAGGTCGAACCTGCCAACCAATATGTTCACAGAGGAAGCCAAACTTCAGACCTTTCGGACGCCTCTTCCGACTTCACTTCTGTGTCTCAAAGAGCCATAAACCCAAGGTATAACCCCCAACAACAATACGGGGGTCCTGAATACCTCCCTCCTCAACAGCAGTATCAGACTCTGTACCCTCAACAACAACCGTTCCAGCCTCAGTTTCAACAACAGAACCCTGGATACGGAGGCTCACCAATGATGAACCAGAATATTCCTCCAGTTACCTCTCATCAACAACCAATGATGAACTATGGGCCACCCCCTCCTAATCAACACCGGTTTATGATGGCTCGCCCACAACCAACTGCTTCTGACAATGCGTTGGCCAACAACCCAGACTTTGCAATTGGTGGAGTAAGAAAGAAACCAGGAATGAACAAACCCAACATGGGTGCTAGTAGAATGGGCATACCAGGAATGGGAGGTTCCAAACCAGGCCAAGGAGGTGCCGGCACCGGAAGAGGTCCTTATGGAATGATTTGATGAGTGGATATTCCTTGCTTGGAATTATTATGTATTATTAGGTTTACTTATTTAGCTGATTTACTTCAAACTTTAGATTATTTGGTTCAGGTGGGCGAATCTCCTATGGGAATGTTAAGGTCTGGATCCTTGTGTTCTCCTATGTCTTCTTCTGGTCTATCCACTGATGGTCTGTCATTAACGGGTGCCTCAGAAACCGGTTTGTCCGAGGGGGGCTTTTCGACATATTTGGTGGTTCCATGAGGTTTTACAACCACGATAATGAATAAGGCAAACACCACCAAACTAAGAAGAAAGATGATTTTACACTTGGTGGTTCGGGATTGGTAGCTCTTGGCTTTGAGGAGCTCTTTGTTACCGTCCTTTACATCCTGGGCAGTGTTGGTGATGTTGTAGTCGATTCGATCTAAAATCGTTCCTTGTTCCACCACCAAACTCTCCATTTCCTTAAATATGGTGGAGATCTCAAGAATCCCCATGGCGAGCTTGGAGATTTCGCGTTCTCTCTGGGCCATGATCTGGTCACTGGGCTGTCGTTGGAGTTGGAGTTGTTGTTGGGTCTCCTGAAGCACCTGCTTGGAGTAGTTTTCGATGTTTTTGGTTTCTTCTTCTTGGAGAAGAAGGCGTTGTTTTTCATCGGCATTGACATGAGACGTTCTCATGCTGAAGCTGGTATCATTCAAGTCGTCATAGTCGTCATCTCTGAGAAATTTGATGTAGTTGTTTTGAAGGTTTCGAAAGATCAAAGAGGAGTTCTGGATCTTTAAGGCATAATTTTTCTTGAAGTTTTCAATCATTTTAACTTCGTTGTTGGAGTAGTTCAAGTGAAGGCGCTGGTGATTCTTCTGGAGGAAGTCGAACTTCTTGATCAAAACGTACGAGTTTTCAAACTTCTTGGTGATCTCATAGTTCAAGCCCTCGATCTTCTTTTCGATCTCGGGTTTGTCATTTGAGCTCGTGATCAACAATTTCTTGTACAAAGAGCTCAACTCGGACGTCAGTGTCTTGATAGATTCTAGGTTATCGTCGATATGTTTCAGAATGTCGAAAATCGAAGGAGCAATGTTTTGTAGTTCAATTGCCCCGTCATCATCCTTATATTGAGGTCTGTTTCTCCTTCTACCAATTAGCCCTTCCTCCTCTTCAAAAGAATCAAATCGATCGGAAGAGAGTCGAGTGGTCGCACCAGAGAGCGTGCTGTTGAGCTCTCCACGAGGAATGGTTCGCCGGTACGATAGATAAAGATTGGTTCTGTCTCTAAACATGTAGTTGTTGAATTCTCAAGTCGCGAATGCGACTTTTGGCTGCAATCTATAAATCTGTGTATTATGCAATAGAATCCCTAATTAATAAATAAGCCTGATGGTTACAGCAATAAACAAGCGTCATGCTATCACCGTTTGTCCTTCTTTTTGTTGAGAAAATGCACGTTGTGAAGACTCAAGGAGGAACTCGACCGGATGGGCACAGATCCTCCAAGAACCGCAGTTCTATCACTGGCCCTACTCGATGGCATGGCTACACTAACAGTCGATTGACTGGAAGCATCGGGTGCAGAAAAGTCGGAGCAGCCAGAACTTGAGGACCTTCTCTGTGCTCCAGGCCGAGGCAAGTTACTGGGCAACGGTGACACCGGAGAAACTGTACCAGACCCAGGACGACTGGACCGAGTAGTTTGTTCAAATGTCTTATTGGCCTCATCGAGGTTGATCTTAGAGCCTGGGAGTGGAGGTTCATAGGCGGGAGAAAGCTCTTCCTCATCTGGCTGGCGGATGGCCTCGTGGTACGATGGGACTTGCGAAATGTTTAAAACACTTTCACTTTGAGTACGAGATAAGTGAACGGGACTGAAAGCTCCAGGAGACATAAGTACATTGTTGGAAGACAAAGGGGGTCTTCGTTGAGCAAAGTAGTCTCCTTCTTCATCTAGACTGAAGGTGGCACGTTCGGGGGTAGGGGTTGCTAAGGGTGTGGGAGTTGAAGTGCCCAGTTCTTGTGATTGTCGTTGAAGACTTAAAAGTCGCAAGTTCTCGTTCAACTGCACACTGTCGATAGGAGACATGTTAAAGTCCTGGACGGCCGTGAGGGGCGCAGGGATCTCTCTAGGAGTGACAGATCCAGAGGTAATGGGAGATTCAATAGGTGAGACATCTGACCAGAGTCTGTCATAGATGTGTTGCTCATAGATGGGAGGAGCCACCAACCCGGAGAAATCAGTATATGATGAGGAGTTGGACCGGATGGCGGTACTGCTGGTTCCGGTGATGGTTCCAGCAGCAACACCGGCCTCGACCAAGCTGGTGTGACTTCCGGTGCGGTCTCCCGAGAAGAGCACTTCGTCAAACTCACCATCACTGACCTCATCATCCACCCCAGATCTTACTGTGACAAATGGAGAAATGAACAACAGCACCGGCAAGGAGGCTCGCAACTCAGACACATGCCCGTCGGGGTTCACAAGTCCAATTGTAAACTTGATTTTATGACGGACCTTGATGTTGGTGAGAATGTCACAATCTTGACAGCATTTGGATAAACTCGGAGGAACCGTCAAAAACGTCTGAAGCTCCCACTTATCAAGCTGAAAATTCAGGTCGTCTTCAGAAGGACGAGGAATCACCTTTTCGGTAATGTTTCGTTCGACGTTCTTCACTGGAGGCACATACCCAATATACGAATAGTATTCAACCAAGGCGATTTTAATTTCTCCCAAACGCAATCCTTTGAGAAGTGGCACCAACATCATGCTTATCGGCGTGCCCGAGCCGACAGCAATGGCCTTGGATGGTACTGTGAGTGAGTATTCGACTTTCTTGGGCCAAGTGTTATCAACAGCAACGGTTTCCAGGAGTTCTACCGAGTCAGTAGTTAGAGTTCTAACCACTCGAAGGTGTTTTTTTGCAACCATGGGGGAGTGGAACTTTCCCCTGTCGATGGTGGCCACAAGGTGATACACTACCGATGCCCCGGGCAATCCTTCCACCGATTCTGGAATGCTACCAGGAAGAATAGCACTGAAGGGAATCTCGTAGTTGCCCTTCACGAGCGTGTAGTTTGTTAAGCGCTGTGATCCCAAGGCTGCAAGACTGGAGGAACTAGCGTTGGACGACGAAAGCATCAGGAGGTTCGATGAACTTCCTGTGGGTGAAGGTCTGAGGTTGGCAAGGTTAGAAGACGATTTTGAACGAAAATGACCTCCCAACCCTTTCAACGAGGTGGTGGAACTGGTACGGGCCAACGCTGAACCAGGGCCGTTGATTCCAGCAGAGAGCCCGCTGTTTTCGTACATGTTATTCAAGTACTTGTTGATTTCACTGTTGTCCCAGTGATAGTCATAAATCTTACGCTCATGACGAACATTTTTGGGATAAGATCCCTTGGTGGTAATCACCAGATCAGTGAACAGTAGACGAAGCATGGCGTAGAGTTCGAGGTTGAGCTTTTTGATGGCAAACGGTTCGTTTACAGATAAAACAATTTTACCTGAAAGAAGGGCTGAGGCAGCATCATCAGGAGGGCCCTTGAGAATCAAGACATCATGTTCGTGATTCTTCAACCGAATGTCAAACAAGGACGCTTGTTTCGAGGTGTTTGCGGACTTCTTGGGCATGGTGTGATGGATGATGCCTTATTTGAACGTTTTTCCCGTGCTATCAGTATTATATATTTTTCTGTGGATAAGATGAGTGGGAGATTTTAGGTCAACGGGTGCCGGACCTATTTGCGCGATCGATAAAAAGAAAGTCGGGTTTAGCAGATATCCGAGGGGGTTATTTACCGAGGGTGCATATCAGCCGTTGAAGGTCGTGGGGGTTCACGGGTGTGGCCCCTGGGTGGTGGGGGACAAGGCCACCGCGCTCTTCTAATATCCCCCGGAACTAAGATACTCCCGAGGGTACCGACACTCCCACCGCGAAAAAGTTGCATGCAACATGTAATAATCACCGGAAAAACTCGCCAATCGGATAAATAAGGGTCATGGGCTTCTTTTTCCGGTGTCACCACTTACCTATGCTCAGCTAACTCTGCTAAAAACCTCTATACACGACCACAACGCTGGCCACTTTCTAGTCATGTGATTCCATGAGGGTGCGACCTTTCCAAAGCAGTTGCACCTCGACGCCTCACCTCTTCCCGTATCTACAAACAACCAGTAAATCTAATCTGGGCGGCCAAATACATGGATCTGCCAGACAACTTGTTACATGTTCAGACGTGTCCAAAGTTGGACAGGGTAAAAGTGGCCAGATATCTGGCAAAATATTTGCAATAAAGCCCAGATTTACCTTCATCAAAAAAATAGGAACACGCCCTATTACCTATATTTTTGAATAGGGCTGTTGGTGTATCACCTTAGGTGGCTGCTGTCCGACTCTCAATTGCAGTATTTTTTCATCGTCTGTCGCTTAATGACATTTCCAAAAACATTATGTTGGTTGTCAGTCTCAAGCAGCCAGCATGATTTTGCATTTAGTGAGATTCACGAAAAATACTCCACGTCAAGAATCAATTTACGTATTTTCAGAAGTGTCCATAATGTGAGGCGGTGACTCCCATACATCCTACGAAATAATTTAGACGAGATTATAGATACCTGGCTGTTGCATGGTGGGGTGTACGCTCCTGTGCTTGCTTCGTATGTGATAAGCCAGGAATGTTCAATTTTAAGGTCTGGCGAAAGGGCCTGGCTTTGAACTAATTAAGCCACTAGCCGCTCGTCAACCTCAAAGGTCGTTTAAATAGTTGAGTGTGGGGCACGTGAAACTGCAGTACCCGTTCCTAATCGGATCAAATGTCTTTGTTTCATGATAAATAGACCTACCTCAAATTGTTTATAGAGTCAATCTCTATTGTGTATTTTACATGCAAGCGATTAAAATAACTGTAGACAATTGCCAGATCCCAAAACAATACTTGACCTAAATTCCCAATAGCGTTTATGAGCCAGTAAAACTAGTTTACAGGGGGGTTGGTGTATTGCCGCATTGGGGAATTGCAGCCAGCCATTAAATGTTGCGAAAATGAATTCTGTCAAAACGGCTGGTGCATTGGAAGATTTTCGCAATCTGTTTGTAAAAAGCTGGATAATAACCGATATTCAGCAGCTGTACATTGGCTGGTTGGTCTACTTCGTCGTTAACTTCAGGGGCTCACATATATATATTTGGCTTGTTCCTGAAATTTTTTGTGAGAGAACACTCTATACATTTTCCTGGCTAGCAACCTAGAAGTCAAGAAAATCCATAAAGCCTTGGTATTTTCAATTTCATAACACTTGTTGGACTCATTCACTTGAAACTTCAACAAGCTCATTCTCCGGAAAGCATCCTTTGATAACTTACCCCAGTCTTTCATTAATTCCTAATTTTATTTCCTCATATAACCTTTTAATTCATCTTGACTAACTTGCATTTTTAAGAACAAATGGAGAACTGTTTCAATACTACAAGGCCAGTACTTTCGCATGGTGACTCAAGCAATAGAATTTACCAGTTTTCACCTGAACATGTGGAAATCCAGGAACTCGACTCAAGGCTATTGAAGAGAAGCAAATCCGTTAAATCTCTAGATCATCCAGTATCATTTATACCAAGCATATCATCTTCAGCAATAAGCAAGACTTTGAACAATCCTACTTCCAAGAGAAGAATCAGAAGAAGAAAGCCAACCATAAAATTATCCAGTTGTGAATTTCACCCTTCACAAAACAAATATGCCCTCAATGGGTTCAACTCGGACTCAGAGTTTTCCTTCACTTCCAATTCAGATTCAGACTTTGACTTGGAGTCCTTACCGGACTTGATGGATGATAACAACACTCCCTTGTCATCACCTAACCCATTGACTCCAAAAAACTGTTTCTTAGAACAAGCCGGAAAATTTTTCGACGACTACAAACCCAAGAAATTAAGGCTTGTAGAAGAGTGGTCACCTAGAACTCCTTCCATCTTTGATATTCCGGAAATTGTGCATAAAATCCTTGATTATGCTGCTATTCAAAATGACAATTCGCCTCAAGAATTGGCTCCTCTAAGGAGGAAACCATTGAGTTACAACCATGCTTTGTTAATCCATGGTAACAAAAGATTAGCAGAAGAATCCATGAAAATCGATACCAGTAAAGACTACAATTGCACCAACGTGTTATATAACTGTTTGTTTGTGAATAAGTTATTCAATTCGGTTGCCAATGAAATCTTGGGGAAACGATTCTATTTTGAAGATGGACACAAGCTCAAAACATTTGTGCAAAATGTTCCCAAGTCTGTCAACTTTAAACCAACAGACTTCAAATTATACAAGATGTTCCACTTGACCAACGAGTGTCTCCAACCCGTGTTATACAGTCTTCAATTTCAGAACTTGCAAACAATTGAAGTATTCATGTGTCCTAGGTTTTTACCTACCCCGGAAATGTTCGAGTATGGCCAAAACATCAAGAAGATTGTCATTTGTGGATCTAAGTGTTTGGATGACGACTACTTGATTATGATCAGTACAAAGTGTCCAAACCTCGAAGTTTTGGATATCAGAGGTTGTGAATTAGTTACTGATTCTGGAATCTACCATATAGGGAAAAACTGTCATAAGCTCACATCTATAAACCTTGGCAGAAAATCCAAGGGCCACTTAATAACAGATGCTGGTGTTTCTACATTGGTTAAAAATAATGTTAATTTGGACACAGTAGGATTGGCTGGTTGTCATATCACAGATAAAACTCTATGGGATTTGACGACCTACTGCAACTATTCCATCCAAAGAATATCAGTGAACAGCTGTCCTTTGGTAACTAATCAATCTATTCCTTTGATATTGCATGCCAACTATTTGCCCCTTTTAAATGTGCTTGAAATCAGGTTCACCAAAGTTGATAACTTAAAGCCTATCATTGAGTTCAAAAGAAGGCAGGAGTTCAACGGGGTTTCAATCCTCATAGAGATGTGTGAAGCCTTAAGCTTCAAAATGAGGCAACAGGAATTGGAATTAGATAAGTCTATCAGTGAACGGATATTTAATGATATCCAAGACTGGGCCAACGATTCTGACGATGGAGACACAAGCTACTTGACGTTGCTCAGTTCTCGGTCCTCCGGTAGGTCATCTCGAGTCACATCATCCACTTCGTGAAAACCAAACCCATCAATAGAAGGGTGTATATTATGTATACTATTTATCAACAAGAGATCACTTACTTTAGAACCTGGGGTTTCCCTGCATTGAGCTGCAAAATAACCGTTTTTTTAGTGTGAGGAAAAGTCGCGACATAAACAACTAGACGATACCATAAATAATTTTATACACATACCCAACAAAATTCATATGAGTGGTAATCGGGTCCATATTGACCGACAAAGTTCACGGCTAGATCTTATTGACAACACGACGCTAACGTCGTTACCGTTTCCTCCGCCGTTGAAGTCTCAACCCCTGAAGCTCAGTAAGCGATCTAAGCCTGACTTGCTCGCCAATCGATCCAGATCACTGCCCAGCATTCTTGATAATAAAGCTTTACCTTTGGAGCTTAAGGCAGCGAGAGATGTCACGAGTCCACTCAACAAAGACGTTTCGGCTCGAGATGCTAGCTTCACTTCCATTGACACCTTAACTTCTCAAAACATGACCACTGAGATTGATGATAGTTTTGAAGATGCGGAAGAGCCGATAATTTTTGTAGAAGACTACATGAAGCCACAACAAATACCCAATCTGCAGCCCAATTTCTCACGTCAGAAATCACTCGCCAACTTCAAAAAGCGGTTGGGAGGTGAGCTCAAAAAAAGAAGAATCTCGGCTGAACATGAAGATTTAGAACAAATCTTTGGCCATATCCCGGGAAAAAACCTACTCAAGTACTGTGACATATGTGACAAGCCACTATATGAAATGAGTTCTCTCATAAACAACAAACGAATCAAGCACAATAAGATCAACGAATGGAACGATGTGTTTAATGAATTTATATGCTTCGAGTGTATCGATGTGTATGAAGATTTCTTGAACGAATTGTATACCCAGGAAGTTGAGCGAGAACCACAAACTACTTCTTCATCAAGCATGACAGAGCTGAAAAACTTGAAGCTTTTGAACATCTTCAAAACAATTCAACTTAGATCTCTCGATAAAAGGACGATTTTTTCCAATAACTTGATCTCAAGACTCCAGTTTTTGAATTCAAAATCCTTGTCTACAGATATTGGAGAGCTTCAGGAGTTGAACTGGATAACCACTTTGCAAAATAAACTCAGATGGAGATGGAGGCTCGATGGACTCTTACCATCTTTTAAACGAAAAACTAGCAATTAATTTATAGCATATTTAACGACTATTCATGTTCATTAACCAGTTTAACTATAGCCTTCGCTCCAGCCTTCGACGTCTGTACACCACTATACAAGGCCCAAATCATTTATTTTCATTCCTTCATACTTGATCTTGCAACCAGGTGACTGAAGTTCGCGCTCCTGCAATTTACTTCGGCATCTCCAGTTGTATATGAGACCTTCTCCAGTTGCCCTAAAGTCTCTAGGGCCTACGCTTTCCCTTGAAGAGTTCTTGTTTCGTCAGCAGATTAAGGGAATCTATAGGAAGGTGGTACGACTGATTTATAAGCATCATGAGAGAGATGACTTAATGAAGTTTTTGAGATATGAGTTCAAAATCAAGGAAAAGCACGATCTTGCTTACAGAAAATACTTGTTGAGTCAAGGTACTCAACGTATCAATGATATGGCCATGATGTTGGGACTCAACATTAGTGTTTGAAATGACACCTTACATAATTCCAATATGTTGCATTCTATTCTGTATATATACATGGTGTTTATCTCAAATGAACATACGAAGCTTTTATGAACGCATCATGAAGCTTATCAACTTGATCATCGACAAACTCTTTTGTGATATCCAACTCGAAATCTCCCAATTGGATCTTCCAGGAGCTCAACGCATCCATCTGCTTTTGCTTGTAGGAAGTGTCGATTTGTCTCGATAAAGCAGCTCCCAAGTTGACCACCTGCTTGTTCTTTGAATTCAGGGTGTACCTCACCAACTGAAACAAGCTGCTCATTTGATGGTTGAGCTCTCTTGAGAGGAACTCAGTAGTGATAGGAATTTTGGTGATTTTCAAGTTCTTGATCAAGAAGTTCATGGTAGACTCAAATTCGGATTTGTTCAAGGTGTTGTTTAACTTGAACAAATTCAAGTACACTTTCATTAACCAGGAGTCGAATTTGGTCAATTGAACATTTGGAAGTAACTTATTAAATGCTTTGAATCGAATCTCCGATGGTTGAAGGATCAAGGACTCTTTAAAATATTTCAACTTCAAAAGGGCTTGTTTATCTTGTTTCACCGCAGTGAATTTGGATTCAAACTGGTCAACAAATTCCGATTTGAAGCCAAGGCTTTTCCAGAAGATTTTGTTGTCTCTATTATCGGTTAGCTCAGCAGTTTGAATAGTTTCTTCAATCTCAAAAAACTTGTTGAAGAAGTGATTCTCATAATTCTTGTCTCCAAGTATTTTGGTCATTTTGAATGTTTCCAAAACACATTCAAAGTATTGAAACGAGAATTTAAACCGCTTGCTAAAGCTGAGGAAGTTCTCAAGTTTATTGTAGGCTCCATTATCAAAAGCCTTCAAAGAATTCTCGTTCAAGTCCTCTTGACAGGTCAAATAAAACCGGTAGATATTCACCAGATAATTGAGCATCAGTTTATTGGGGTATAGAGTTGAGACATCTTCCAAAATCAAATGACCCAAGGAGTCATGTTGCATCATTCTTACTTTCAAAAGCTCATATATTCGAAGAGCTTCTGGTATCAAACCAACAAGTCTGAACAACTTTATGAGCCATAAGTTTACCTTGTAGTCCAATGGATCATTTGAAACAAGATAGTTCAATACAATCACATTTTTCAATACATTTTCAAAAGACTGGTCTGTGTCTAACGAGTGTATGACGTTCATGACAATTAACTCGTTGGCAAGGTAGAAATCTGTGTCAAGTTTCTCCTTTAATAAAGGGAGGAATTGTTTATAGATTCTCCAGTTAAAATCATAGAATGACTCACTGACCATACCAAAGTGGTGCAAAAGCTTCTGGTTATTCACAAACAAATTCAAATTCGAAGTAGTGATTTCCTGGTCTTCGAGATTGTTATTGACCTCCTTGATGCCGTTGACTAAACTTTCGTTATTCACGTTGTAACTTGCTAGATCAGAAAAGCAGCATGTTTTAGTGTTGAACTTGTCGTAGTATGCCAAGTTATAGTGATTGAACTTTTCCAAGTTGTGATACACTTTACTCAACTCGAGCAAAGCCAATTGGGAATTTCTGGACCATTTATAGGCTTTTATGGAATCTTCCAATTGTTCGAATGGCTTTCCTAGTTCAAACCCAGACTCTATGTATAGTTTCCAAGTATCGAAATCGTTGAACTCTTGATCAAATAATAATCTGGCGGTAAAATCAAATAGCTTCTGGTTTTGTTTCAACGAGTGCAAAACAGACAAATACTCAATTTTGACATCCAAGTCCAAAACACCAGGGTAACTTTCGATATACTCAATGATCTTTGGTTTGTTGTTGTCCAACACCTTCACAAACACAAATAATTCTTGTGTTGACAGTGGAGTTATTCCCTCTATGATTCTAAACCCTAATGTGCAAAATAGGTTGTACTGCTTTTCATCATTTCTCAACTCATTCGCCAACAAGTAGCTGGAGAAAGCTGCCCACATCTTGTACTTTGGTTCGCCGTGGATCTTGGATAAATGAAAGCATGACTTTTGGAGGGCTTTAATATTGCCATACTTAACCGAATTTTGAAACCACTGGGTTACATGTTCTTGACAATTGTTGGGAAACTTCTTGATGACGTTCTCATAGACCTCATTCAGTTCTTTTATTTTATCCAGCTCCATGAAAATTATATACAATAGGTCTGTGGTTCTTGGATCATTTGGAGTCTTGGTCAATAGTTTAGCACATTCATCCAAGGCTTGTTTTACATTCCCCTGGCGGTAAAGTAGGTAGTTTGCCAACGCCACGTAGTAGCTTTGGTTCGGGAACTTGGCCAGTTTTACCTTGATGAGCGAAGAAGCACGTAGAAACTGTTTTGAATCAATGGCGTCTATGATTTGGTGATCTTGCATTTGTGGATCGGTAAATTCAACGACTGAAAAGTGCGAGCTAAGAGATTGATGAAGCATCATCAAATATGAGAGAACACATACCACAGTACCATTGTCATGACCTACCTTTCTGCTCCAGAACATAAGTATAGCCTCTTAACTACTTTCAAGTAGTTGAAGGACCTCTTCACGATTATCTTACAAACAAGTGTTAGAAGATCACAAAACTACAAACTACAATTATCTCCCTAAGCTTTGCTCCCAAGCCTTTGGTTAGAGTGTCATGGTAGGACAGGCCAACTCCATTAAGGGATTGTTTGTTTTATGCAAGTTTTTTGAATTTTGATTACCACAGAAAGGTAATAAAACCTTCGAAATGCAAATCTTCAGTAAGTTGGCGAATCAAGCCTTTGTTTGGCCAACATAGCTGAGTCTGATGGGGTACCTATGTCCACCCACACAATATATGGGTGGCATAGCACAAACACTATTAGAAGAGTTTAAAGCGAAAGCAGTTGAAAATTTTCATCTCGAAGAAAAACGAGAGCTGATGGCTGGGTCGTGTCCAGGGCCATTTAAGCACCCCAGATACGATGTGTTTGTATAGTTAGATACGACTACTGGTACAAAGCCGAGGTCGTTTTGAGTTTCCAAAGCCACATTGGAAGCTTTTGTCCCTCGTGGAACTCCTTCCACAGTTTATCTCGTGACCAGATGACAAGAAATTTAGTCCAAGAAATAGATGAGACAAGAAAAGCGTGCAAAAAGCTTGTCATAACCCACTTAGTTTTTACCAAACAAACCCAACCTGACGGTGTCTATGGACAGTTTCATCAACATAAACACTTGTTCAGCACCATACCTTTCTTATGGTGCCTGAAACACCCTAAAAAAAAGCTGTCTGAAACTCCATTAATACGCATCACCTCATCTTGCAACCCCAGCAATTGCTAACATACAGGATTCTTCACTAGCATATTTATCTATGCTCTTTATCTACGATCTTGGCATAAAAGTCCTCAGCGAAGTATAAATACAGTGAACATCCCCGGGATTGCAGTATTACCTCTTGTAGTTTATAAAACATCTAGCATGGCTGACTTGAAGGAAAAAAGAACCTTCACAGACACGTCATCTTTGACAAAACTTATTACTCTGGACTCCAGTTTCGAACCATATAGGCTATCTATTGAGAAAGTTGCAGCCAGTTTTAAAATTGACCTTCAACAAGGTTTAACATCTCGCCAGGCTCAAGATACTCTTAATGACTTCGGTGCCAACACTTTGGGAGACGGTGATAAAATCAGCTACGCCAAGATCTTGGCTCATCAGGTGTTCAACGCAATGATTCTTGTATTGATAATTTCGATGATTATAGCCTTGGCGATTAAGGACTGGATATCTGGAGGGGTCATAGGGTTTGTGGTATTTATCAACATCTCTGTGGGCTTTGTCCAGGAGTTAAAGGCCGAGAAAACCATGGGTTCTTTGAGGTCTTTATCATCTCCAACCGCTAGAGTCACTAGAGATGGGGACGATTCCACTATTCCTGCTGAAGAAGTGGTTCCAGGAGACATTGTCCACATTAAAGTTGGTGATACAGTTCCCGCAGACTTGCGGTTGGTGGACTCGATGAACTTGGAAACAGATGAAGCTTTGTTAACGGGTGAATCTTTACCGGTTGCAAAAAACCATCAGGAAATGTACTCAGATAGCACTAAAGATGTTCCGGTTGGAGATAGATTGAACTTGGCTTATTCATCTTCGGTGGTTTCCAAGGGAAGGGGAACGGGTATTGTGGTTGCAACTGGTTTGCAGACCGAAATTGGAAAAATCGCTAGTTCCTTGAAGGGTGAGAGCACTATTATCAAAAAGGTTGATAAGTCTAATAACAGAACACCCAGAAAAAGAGAATACCCTAAGGCATGGTCCCACACCATTTATAATGTTATTTGTAATGTTTTGGGGGTTAATGTCGGGACTCCGCTTCAAAGAAAGTTATCGTGGTTAGCTATATTCCTCTTCTGGGTGGCAGTGATTTTCGCTATAGTGGTAATGGGATCCCAGAAGTTTATTGTAAACACTGAGGTGGCTATCTACGCCATTTGTGTGGCCTTGTCGATGATCCCGTCTGCCTTGATTGTGGTCTTAACCATAACCATGGCGGTGGGTGCCCAGGTCATGGTGAATAAGAATGTTATTGTGAGAAAATTAGATTCTTTGGAAGCCTTGGGCGGAATCAACGATATTTGTTCAGATAAAACCGGAACCTTGACAATGGGTAAAATGATTGCCAAGCAGGTTTGGATTCCGAATGTGGGGACTTATCGTGTTGATAATTCGAATGAACCTTTCAACCCCACTGCCGGTGATGTTATGTTCGTCAAACACTCACCTTACTTCATCAAGGAATCTGATGAGGAAATAGATTTTAGAGATATGGATGCAAATATCCCCACCAACCTTCAAGATTGGCTTTTGACCGCTACTTTGGCCAATATTGCCGCCGTCAACCAAGCAAAAGATGAACAAGACCAACTTGTGTGGAAAGCTCATGGGGATGCCACCGAAATTGCTATTCAGGTTTTCACCACCAGATTAAACTATCCCCGAGATAAAATTGTTGAGAGTGGTTCTTACCACCACAAAGCCGAGTTCCCATTCGACTCCTCTATCAAAAGAATGTCTGCCGTTTATGAGAAAGATGGGTACATGACTGCGTATACTAAGGGGGCTGTTGAAAGAGTTCTTGGTTGTTGTACCCACTGGTATGGACATCACAGGGACGAGCTAGCAACCACTACTTGGGACACTAAAGTACCAACCGAGTTGACCGAAGAAGACAAAAGCTTCATTGAAGACAACATGAATGCCCTCTCTTCTCAAGGGTTGAGAGTTTTGGCATTTGCAACCAAAAGCATTGATGACCTTGATACCTCCAACCGTGAAAAAGTTGAGTCAAATTTGATTTTCCAGGGCTTGATTGGGATCTATGATCCTCCAAGGCCAGAAACGTCTGGGGCTGTCAAGGCTTGCCACCGAGCAGGAATTAATGTCCACATGTTGACTGGTGACCATCCGGGAACTGCGAAGGCCATTGCCCAGGAAGTTGGAATTATCCCCCACAATCTTTACCACTATCTGGACGACGTTGTGAAAGCAATGGTTATGACCGCATCTGAATTTGATTCTCTTTCCGAAGAAGAAATCGACAACTTACCGGTTTTGCCGTTGGTTATTGCAAGGTGCGCCCCGCAAACCAAGGTCAGAATGATAGATGCTCTTCACCGGAGAGGCAAGTTCTGTGCTATGACAGGTGATGGAGTGAACGATTCACCTTCGTTAAAGAAGTCGGACGTTGGTATAGCAATGGGGCTCAATGGATCAGATGTTGCTAAAGATGCTTCGGATATTGTTTTGACAGATGATAATTTTGCATCCATTTTGAACGCGATCGAAGAAGGACGCAGAATGGCTGCGAATATCCAGAAGTTTGTGTTGCAATTACTTGCTGAAAACGTCGCCCAAGCGTTGTATTTGATGATTGGATTGGCATTTATTGACGAAAGTGGTTTCTCTGTATTTCCATTGTCTCCAGTAGAAGTTTTGTGGATTTTGGTGGTTACTTCATGTTTCCCAGCCATGGGTTTGGGCCAGGAACGGGCCTCTGAAGACATTTTGGAACAACCTCCAAACAACACCATCTTCACTTGGGAAGTTATTATAGACATGATGGTGTATGGCTTCTGGATGGCAGTATCTTGTTTGTTGTGCTATGTGGTGATTCTGTTTGGAAAGGGAGATGGATACTTGGGGGTGAATTGTAATTCCACCTCTGCAGATTTGGCTGCTTGTGATTTGGTTTTCCGAGGAAGAGCTGCTTCTTTTGCAAACATGACTTGGTGTGCCTTGATTTTGGCTTGGGAGTGTATTCACCCCGTTAATTCTTTGTTTTGTATGAGAGGAGACACAGACAATCCTTGGTGGAAGCAAACTGCCATTGATTTATGGGGAAACCAATTCTTATTCTGGTCGGTTTTCGCTGGAGTAGTGACAGTGTTCCCTGTGGTGTATATTCCTGTTATCAATGACAAGGTGTTTTTGCACAAGCCCATTGGCTATGAATGGGGAGTAGCTGTTGGATTTTCAATATGTTTTCTCTTGGGAGCAGAAGCTTGGAAGTGGACTAAAAGAGTCTACAAGAGAAGACAGCAAAAGAAGGTGCAAAACCCTGAATATGAGTTAGAGAGAAATGATCCGTTCCATAGATATGCTTCGTTTTCGAGGTCTAACACCGTAGAAGTTAGAATCTAGTTAAAAATATATTAAATCTTATCGCAACAACTGATTGTTAACCTTCAAATCAGCACCTAGATGTGTGGTATCACCAAATGCCTGGATAAGTCCTTCACCAGTCGCCTTGTCTAAGTCTATCACTGAAACGGAGGTGTTGAAGGGGACCCTCAAGTCCTCGGGCAACAACTTTGTGTTCATTTTATAGTGTTTATCTTTGTATAAGTGATTAAAAAATTGGATTAAAACTCCTCCGTGAGTACAAACCCCAACGTTCTTGTTACCTCTAATTATGGCTTCTTTTAAAATGGTGTCGAACTCCTTGTTGACTCTCTCGAGCAATTTTTCTGACGTTTCACCCATATTTCTAAACCCATCACCATACTGCGCGAGAGCATCTTTGATGTACATGCCTTGAACCTTACCCATTTCCCGTTCTCTCAAGTTGTAGGTGGTACGGAAATCATCAAGGTCCTGGTACTTGATGATTTCCTTGGTGGTCTTGATACATCTGATCAAATCAGAAGATACAAAGTGATCAAATTTCACAATCTTGAGCATCTGACCTACTTTATCGGCCTGATCTTCGCCCGTGGCATTGATATCGACATCGACGTGGCCCTGGAGAATCTTCTTGAGGTTGTGATCCGTCTGGCCGTGTCTAATGAAAAATATTCGGAGAACCTTATCGTCCGTGTTAGGTTCTATGCTCACAGTCATCTGATAAACGTGAATTTTGTTTTTCCTTGGTGCACTGATAACAATATGAGCATCCGGTGTGGATACACGACTATAAAAAAGCATTAAGGGAGATGAATATATTGGCACTGTCTTTTTATGGAGAGATTAGGGTACCAGCTGGGCCCTCTTGTGGAATATTACTACCATACTTAGTAGGGTCTGAGATGCGAGATGCCAGGTTAGTTTCGGTAATGTAAAGCCAAAACTGTTGGCTCCAAGGCACACATATGGTTCTAAATAGCGTATATTATCAGTACTCTCTGGCCCCGTGTCTTCTCAGGTTCGTTTGTGGCACATTATTACTCATGCTATTGGACTGCAAAAATTTACAAAATTGAATGATATGTGTATCACCATTATTTGTGTCCTGCATGGCGCTACCGCAACGATTTAATTATTCAATCATGGCGTGTGCGTACCATGTTCTCCATCCGCACACTCGCCTTTTTCCAATCGGTAACTTGTTTGGCAACAGTTCCTCTTTTGTTAGTGCATTTAAACACAGTAATCGTGGCGAATAATTGAATAACCGTTGGATTTGTGCAACCACCCCGCTTTCCCAATAGCCATATACGCGTCCATCGACTTGTATTTCTGCACCCATCCGCTATTCATATCCACCACAAAAGTTTCCAACACCTCATCCATAAATCATGTCGTCTGAAGGTTTACAAAGACGTCGTGGAGGTAAATCCAACGTCGCCAGCACCACATCCGCTCCCGCCAGCAAGCCCCGGTCGTCCAACTCTTTCGACAACGAAGAAGCTGAAGCCATACAAAATGATCATAAAATTGGAATCGATGATCGGGATATCCAAGACCGTAGACAATTAAAAGTTCCATTACTCACATTGATGGAGGAAGTTCTTTTGATTGGACTAAAGGACAAAGAAGGGTATCTTTCTTTCTGGAACGATAACATCAGTTATGCTTTAAGAGGATGCATTTTGTTGGAGTTGGCATTTAGAAAGAAAATCACCTTGGTCAATGATCCTGCCAGACGTCGATTCGAGTTGGCCGACCGATTGGTTGAAGTGATTGACACAGAACCTACCGGCGAGGTTTTGCTCGATGAGGCATTACAAATCATGAAGAATGATGACTCTCATTTATCTGTCACCAACTGGATAGACTTATTATCAGGTGAAACTTGGAACTTGATGAAAATCAACTATCAATTGAAGCAGGTCAGAGAAAGATTGGCCAAAGGGTTGGTTGACAAAGGAATCTTACGAACCGAACGTAAGAATTTTTTCCTCTTCGATATGGCCACTCATCCGGTTGCTGATAAATTGTCTAAAGAGTTTATCAAGACCAGAATCTTGTGCCTTCTAGGCTCAAGAAACATCGATATTGACCAGATTTGCAACGATCAGTTCCCAACTGATACTTCTTTTAAGTTGTTAAGATCTATCGCCTTGGTTAGTGGTTCTTATGCTGCTAACGTTTTGGAAAACGTTTTGTTGTCGTTGAACTATAGCAAAAGAGACCAGGCATTTGCCAGAGCCGATGAGTTGTTGAACGATTTCTCTGACTTTCCATTCAACACCTCTCATGCCAGTCCTCTTGGAATTGGTTTAAACTTGGGTCAAGAAGTCACTACAGAAATAGAAAAGGATGCTTCAAGTGAGTTACAATTAGAATTGATTGCTGCCGTTTTGAGTGTGTTTGCAAAAATGGATTCCATTTTATAATATGTACATTTAGTTCAATTCACATCAATGAGTAGAAGTGCTATTCAGGTGTCGTAACATCTCCAGAAATGTCCGAATCAACTCACCATGCTTATCACCGGCTGAGTCCCAATAAAACCCTCCTGCAAGCCCTCTGCTTGAAACCTGGACTGCCTTCACTTTGGCACTATCGACATTATCGTAAGTAACGAGGGTTTTGGTGGTGGGGTCATAACAATACGCTCCAACTTTTCTGGGATCAAATACCTCTTTCGAATGGTTCAATGGCAACTTAGCGTACTCGATGATTCCTTCATCAGAGAATTTCTGCTTATCAAATGACTGTCCGATTCCAGGAACTTCTACTCCTCCAAACTTTCGACCATATAAAGGCATCCCAAGCATAAGCTTATTGGCAGCCACTCCTCGAGATCCGTACGACTTCAACGCGACGTCAGCACACAAATCGGTGTCTCCATTAGCCCCAAAAAGATTGGAGTGAAACCCGGTTTTTTGGGACCAAGAATATCCTGTAAAGTCATAGCACATCACATTCCAGTAGTCAAGCAGGTTATCCATACGCTTGACATCAAGGTGCCGTATGTACTCCTCCAGCCCCGGCACCGCGGCCGTTATCAACAAGCTGGGGGAGATTTCACAGAACTTCTCTCGCAACGTCTCCAAAAGACGACAGTACAATTGGCCTTGTGCAGCAGTTTTAGGGTATTCCCAGTCAATATCAACTCCGTCAAACCCATGTTCGATTACCAACTTAGCACATTGTGATGCAAAAGTGTCGAGCTTCCGAGCATCATGCGTAATAGCTTCAAATGTGTGGTCGTATCCCCATCCGCCAATGGAAAACATTATCTTCAACTGTGGGTGCAACTGCTTGATCTGCCTCAACTGGGCCACAAGGCCATGTACCTTCTTTGATGGGTCAAGTGGTGATGGGAGCGGGACTTCCACATCCGCCCACGTATCCAGGAACGAGACGCTCCCCGTATTGGTGTCTATCAGAAGAAATGCATAGTAAAGGTGGTTTACCCACTGCCAGTCTATATCGGTTGGGAAGTGGTTTCTTTCATAAATGGACCAGTTGGAGAAGTAGACCCCCGTGATTCCCTCGCCATGGGGGTTGCTTTCGGCATGGGTGTGCTTGTTATGAGACGGACTTCTGTTTAGTGCATGAGAAAGCTTTCCAAACATGTTTGTGGAAAAAAACCTTTTGTGTTTGCAGCATAATTTATATGTCGCGATTCGGCACGAGAGGAAGAAGAGGCACAATTGATGATCAGTTCTGTTGAGCGGGAATTTCACGAAAGTGTGCTGGAACCGGTAACTACAGGTAATTTAATGTATTTGTGGTCGACTCGGATTGCACTGGCCTGGACCTGCCGTGGTGTTTGTGGGTCCCTCAACCGGTAATATGGTGCCTAGCGATGCCGCCTAGCGATGCTGCTGCCGCATTTTCGCACTCTTTGGAAAACGATTTGGCTCGAGAAACTCCAAACTACCATCAAAACTATGTCGTATGGCCATTTGTCAACTCGTGAAGCGTCTTTCCCAGCCGCTGTTTCTCCAGGAACAGTGGTTTACAAGGATGATTGCATGTACAACTTTGATACCGCCGAAAACAATTCTGTTGGACTCGATGTGTGCTTATCTTGCTACAAAGCGTACTCCAGGAGTCATGTTGATTATACAAAACAACACACTCGTGACTCGAACCACGACTTGTTTCTCAACATCATCAAAAGATTGAAGCCATTGCAAGAACGAGAACGCTCAGTCACAGGTAATGGTTCTGTTAACGACGATGGCAACGAACGACAGGCTAAAATCGCTAAACTCGAAATCAAGGAATTCAAAGAAGAAGAGCTCTACGACATCTTCTATTCCATTTACTCCTCCACCGAGAATCTTCTGGTGCCTCTTAATGAAACTCCCGCCAAGTTCCAACTGTTGGCAAATAGCATTATATCAGCTAACTCATCGAATCGTCAGGAAGAGATCAAGGCCTGGGAGCAAGAAATTCTTCCTTGTGAGCATTCAATTGAAGTAGAGCAGTTTCCTAACGATGCGTTGGATATCTCCAAGTGTCTGCAGTGTCTGTTGGTCGAAAACTTGTGGATCTGTCTTCACTGTGGAGCTTTGGGGTGTGGAAGACAACAGTTTGGTTCGACGATTCCCGGGAACTCTCACGCGTTGAAGCACTTTGAGGACGTCGGGCATCCTGTGGCAGTCAAGTTGGGATCGTTATCGGCGACTGAAAAGGACAATTACGATGCTTACTGCTATAAATGTAATGACGAAGTGAAAGTCCCCAATTTAGTGCTGAATCTCCAAAAATACGGAATTGACTTGGACAGTACCGTCAAAACTGAGAAGAACCTAACTGAAATCAACTTGGATCAAAATATGAACTGGGAATTCCAACTTGATGGTAAGAATGGAGAAAAGTTAAAGCCGATTTTCGGATCCAATTTCACAGGGTTGACGAACCTAGGAAACTCCTGCTACTTAAACTCGGTGGTGCAAGCCTTATTCCATTTGCAACCGTATTTACTCTACTTCAAGAACCAAAAGTTCCCTAGCTACGAAAAGGTCCCCAATCCTTCCAAGGACTTATTGAGTCAGCTTCTCAAGGTCCACGATGGTCTTGTTTCTGGAAGGTACTCAAAGCCTGGAAATTCAAAAGGTGAAGATTATCAGTTGGGGATCAAGCCCATGGCATTCAAGTCGTTGGTGGGTGAAGACCACGAAGAGTTTAAAACTAACAGACAACAAGATGCTTTTGAGTTCTTGACCTACTTGCTTGACAAGATCGATAAGCAATTCGGATTCGAGGTCAATGAGTCATTCAAGTTCCTCATGACTAACAAGCTCTTATGTGGTGAATGTTTTTCAGGCAAGGCATCTGATGAGCTTGTGGATAATTTATCGGTGAACGTAGAAGACGAGGTTGTTAGTACTGATGAAGAAGGTAACAAGGTTTTCAAAAAAGTCAATATGTTGGACTGCATTAGGAACTACTGTGCTGATGAAGTCATTGAAGGATACAGGTGTGAAGTTTGTGATAAGCCCACGGAAGCGGTGAAGTCTTGTGGATTCAAATCGTTTCCCGAAGTTTTGATCCTCAATGCCAAACGAATCAAGTTGGAGAACTGGGTCCCCGTCAAGATTGATGTGCCTATTGATATTCCATATGAGCTCGATCTCAATGGTTTCAAAGTTGAACTTGATGATACCTTCAAAGTGGACAAATCTGAACCGGCCAAATTTACTGCCAACGAGGAGATTTTGAACAATCTTCTTCAAATGGGATTTCCTGAGCCCCGGTGCATCAAGGCCCTTTACACCACCGGTAACAGTAATCTCGATGATGCCATGAACTGGATATTTGCCCATATGGAAGATGAAGATATCGATGTGCCCCTAGAGATAGACTCGGCTCCAACCACGGCGGTGGTCGTCTCGGACGAGCTGGTGAACAACTTGACGGCCATGGGATTCTCGGCCAAACTCGCCAATAAGGCCTTGGTGGTGAACAATAATGATGCCAATGCCGCAGTGGAGTGGCTTTTCAATAACCCTGACGACGATGGAGAAATCGTGGAGACCACCACACCAGTCGACTTAAACCAGCAGAGGCAGCGGCTCGCGGCGAAGCTCGAGGAGGATGCCGAGACGGGCCAGTCAGGCTCTTACAAAATCAAAGCGGTTGTTTGTCACAAAGGAACCTCACCGCACACGGGCCATTATGTGGTTTACATCCGACAAACGGTTGGAGATGCAGAAAAATGGGTGCTCTACAATGACGAAAAAGTGGTGGAATGCGATGATTCTAGTGTTGAAGGCATCGAAACCAACGGGTATATCTATGTGTTTGAGAGAATTTAAAGCATGGTATGTTTTGTATGTCGTCAATACACAGAGCGGTGCTGGGGCGCGCACCCAGGCAAAGGGTCCACCGTGCCGTGCCAATAGCCATTAAAAGTGCTGCGATGCCCTCTCCTGCACATAGTCCCCATAGTTTCTGGTGTTACTCATTTTTGCGTCGACAGAATATCACCACAAATCTTTTTTCAGCAAGTTGCAGCTAAGTCCACTTTGACAACCAGCACGAACTTATCATCGTTTTAACAAAACCATGTTCATCTCAAACCCCAACATCGGCGATCGCTCGCGGTTAGAAGACTGGAGAAGTACGTATCATCACCGCCCCCACGGTGGCCTGGCCAATCGGCACGGTCTCATTATTAAACCACTAAATACTAACCGATTTTTTACAGTCAAAGGTTACGACCCGTTAACTGCTCCCGACTTGTTACAACATGAGCTCCCATTAACTGAGAAGAACCAAAAGGTGATCTTGGAAGGAAGAGAGCAGGCCTGTGACATTTTGAATGGGAAGGATGACCGATTGATCTTAGTCATCGGACCATGTTCCATTCACGATCCCAAGGCAGCGATGGACTACGCCACCCGTTTGGAGGCCCAGGCCGAAAAGTACAAAGGCGAATTACACATCGTCATGAGAGCTTACTTGGAAAAACCCAGAACCACCGTTGGTTGGAAAGGTTTAATCAACGACCCCGAAATCGATGGTTCTTTTCAAATAAATAAAGGATTGAGAATCGCTAGAGGCTTGTTTGTGGAGTTGACCAAAAAGTTACCTATCGCAGGAGAAATGTTGGACACGATTTCTCCCCAGTTCTTGTCGGACTTGTTCTCGGTGGGTGCCATTGGAGCCAGAACCACTGAGTCGCAGTTGCACAGAGAATTGGCATCGGGATTATCTTTCCCCGTAGGGTTCAAAAACGGTACCGACGGTACTTTGGGAGTGGCGGTTGATGCCATGAGGGCTGCTGCCCACCCCCACCACTTTTTATCGGTGACAAAACCTGGTGTGGTTGCAATTGTAGGAACAGAAGGGAACGAAGACTGTTTTGTGATTTTGAGAGGTGGTAAAAAGGGTACCAACTACGACGAAGCTTCAGTCGACGAGTGTCAGGAGGTGTTGGTCAAGTCCAAGATCGTTACCGACGATAAGCCTGGTCCCAGAATCATGGTGGACTGTTCTCACGGCAACTCCAACAAAAACCATATGAACCAACCGTTGGTGGCGGCTGAAATTGCTGCTCAGTTGAAGAAAGGGTCTACTAAGATCTGTGGGTTGATGATTGAATCGAACATAGAAGAGGGAAGACAGGATGTTCCACCACTTGAAAAGGGTGGAAAAGATGCTTTGAAATACGGGTGCTCGATTACTGATGCTTGTATAGGATGGAACGACACCGAAAAGGTGTTGGAGCTTTTGTCCGATGCCGTCAAGGCCAGAAGAAACTTGTAATTACATGTATATGTTTGTATATACGGGCAAAAACTGTTACACGACTGGAGTTTGTGGAACATGCACAAACTTTGATGAAAGCTTTCGCAAACCCAGTGTTCCTTAAAGGTGCGGTGGTGTACGGCATCGTCACCGAGGGGCCAGTCTGAAACCGGTCCATGTCAAGCTTTCTCAGCACCAAAGTTTGTAGCATATGCAGTCAACACTCTGTACAGTCAAGAAGACGACTTTTTCAGGTCCTCAACTAGGTGTGCTGTTAATAGAATATGACCCATCACAATCATAGCAACAATGTTGGGATATGTTACGGCCTAGAAGGCGTCTTGAAAAGCATTTATCTCAAGACTGCTGATAAATGCGTGGAGTTTTAAGCCCCGACAGAACCGGGTTTATTGAGATAAGTAAAAATTTTGCACATCCTGATTACAAAAAATACCCGCTGTTCAATAGCCAACCAGAGGTCCACGCCTCGCTGTATTATTCCCTGTAAAGGCGATCTCCCTCTGTATTTATTAAAATGAAAAGTGTTCAAAATACAGTGCTAGGGGCGTTATTTCCATGAATGTGTCCCGATTAAGCGTATTTTTGACCCACAGTGCAGTCAATAGGATGATCTTGTAGTTTAAATAATAATTGGTTCGTAAATGGAGTTTCCAGTGATCGCCTCTCATGATTATTAAGGTGGCTAAATCCTGGTGATTGAGGAGTTTTCTACATTATCCTTCAAGCTTTTCATATGGGTCAATCATATTCTGCAGTATCTTGTAACCCAGAAGGGCTTTCTCGCGGTCTTCAAGTGGATATAATACCTGTGGTAACAGGACAGGATATTTCCTATCTTCAACACGTTGAAGAGACCACTCCACTGAGTACGATATATGGTGTTACTGACGTGCAGTTCGATTTCGACCTTGATTATATTGATACCGGTTATTACGAACTATATGGAACTAGCATGATTTTAAATCCTCTTGGGATGAAATATACTGGTTATTTCTACGCTGAACAAGATGGAGAATATTCATTTGAGCTTACAGATATCGATGATTTTATTGCTATTTTCATTGGTAAAAATAGTGCTTCAGATTGTGCTTGTGATGGGTACAAGACGTCATTGGATGAAGCACAATTAACTGCTGACGCAAACACTTGGGCATATTTTTATGTGAGCTTGGAAGCAGGAAATTACTATCCTTTCAAAATGGATTATTATAATAGTGTCGGGCCTCTTGCACTTCTGCTTTATGTGCAATATCCTGATGCGACCTGGGTGCTGGGAGCAGATATTCCATTTTACTATAATGTGCCTTCTTGTGAGTCTGCAAGCAGTCTGGACACATCGAGCAGTCTGGACACATCGAGCAGTCTGGACACATCGAGCAGTCTGGACACATCGAGCAGTCTGGACACATCGAGCAGTCTGGACACATCGAGCAGTTTGGAAACATCGGAAGCTTCAAGTTCGTCTGAAGGTTCGACTTCCCATATCTCCGACAGCTCCACCAACTTGGAATCGTTATCTAGTTTACAATCCACAAGCAGCTCGGAAGCAATCAGCAGCTCAGGGATTTCAAAAGCATCAAAAACCACATCCAATTCTTTCAGGAGTCTACAGGCTCCTTACACAAATTCTTCCAGTATCATCAGCACAGCCTTTTCATCTGAGACGTTTGCTTTTACTGCTGAACTATCCGGTTCGGATACTCAATATTCTGGTTCAACTTCGGTAACTACTTTAGTCTCTTTTGAGTCTTCAGTAACTACAATCCTCCGCTCAGCTGCTGTTGAAACGGTTTCCGATACATCGGATTCGATAACTTCTACTAGCATAGAAAGTACCGGTGTTGTCAGTGGAGTCTCTAGGGAAACCTCTAGTACAACCGAAGCATCTTGCGGTACAATCACTGTTTTTTGGACTTCCACTATCACCTCTACAACCACCACGACATGCTCAAACAGCGAAGAAACTGTGGTGATTTACAAACCGGGTTTAGAAGTAAGTTCTACTCCTATCTCCCACGAACCTACTTATGTCGCCGAAGCAATCACAACATCTGTGGTGCCAACCATCACCGAATTCTCAGATTATAGTAGTGCTACAGGTGCAAGCACAATTAGTACTGGTACTGCTGAGACCTTTATTGTACCCTCACCTTACAAAGGTGAAGGGTCACAGGCATCCAATACCTTTGCTTTGGTGTTAGTTTGCATGTTTGTTTGGGTCTTGGCTTAAATTTCAGATTTGTCGTTTCTTGTTCCTTTTCTTAAAAATAAAACAGTTGTATTAGGTCCATAAGAGGTTGGGTTTTGAAGTAACTGGAATCGATACAGTTGCAAACTAACCAAAACCCAGGAGTCAGCTTTGACAGAATTCATTGTCTTTAGCAATACCTTTAAATATTTTTTCCAATCGGGTATCTATATAAAGGATGATATTAACTTCCATTACGAACCACAAGTATCTGCAGGAATTCAAAGTGATTTTGTTGGTCAATGCTTTGTTCACAATCCACAAGATACTAGTAATTTATAAACAACGAGAAACCAAGTCCCATAGTCTTTACCCTCCTCTTCTGATAAATGGCTACGCCAGGTCCTATTGCACTATTATCGTGTATTTTAGTTTAGTCGCCAAATGCATTTCACTTCATCAATACGTTTGCCACAGACAAGAAACAATTTCAAAACATTCTATATCAATCATACACATTTTTTAGAATATATCCATCTGACTTGTATTCTGAGATTCACCATTTATATTCGTTCAGGGTCTGAGACACTGACGGTGCTGGTGGGGCTGTACCTGCTTTAAGTTGAGACGCTTAAATTAAATGTACCGCTGCAAAAGTAACCCGACCTGAACCAACGAAGATATCGAAAGCAATAATAGCAGCAGTGGCAATATGCACCAAAACTCTCAGTTAAGCCTCTTGGAGTACGCATGATAGTCCTGGGCCAATGACAATGTAACTGGCCAACATTTTAAATTTGTAATTATCAGGCTCTGATTTGGCAAACTTATTTAGTGTCTGCGGTGCAACTCCGGCAAATCTCCTGCTGGTTAAGATTGAAGTATCAATTTTGTGGGACACGTTTTTAATCTTAACTGTTGCCCAATACCGTTCTCCTTTACCATAGCACCAACCTTTGTCTGGGACCCATTAGCCGAATCTGAATATTTATGGCTCATTCTTCGAATAACATTCTGATTTCCTCATCGCTAACTCTGCGCTGCTCATCTTCATCGGCTGCAACAACTTCTCCCAACTGTTTCTTACGCTGCTGGATTTTAAGAATCTTGAGTTCAATACTATTTTTCATGATGAATCGGATCACCTTAACGGTTTTTTGTTGGCCAATTCGATGCAACCGGTCAATAGCCTGCTCTTCAATACTTGGAGACCACCAGGGATCCATCATGAATGCTCTAGAAGCATTAGTTAAGTTCAATCCGACACCACCCGCCTTTAATGAAAGAAGCAAAACCGTTATTTGGTTTCCGTAGTGAGCCGAATTGTTGAACTGCTCTAAAATTTCTTGTCTTTGAATTTTGGATAAACTACCAACAAACTTCAAGCAACGAATGTTCTTCTCACCAACACGAAGAAGTAACTCGGTTTCAATGATCTCCAAATAAGATGAGAATTGAGAGATTACAATCACTGGCTCCGTTAGGTTTTGGTCCTTCAATGTAACAATATGGTTGATTAAAGCTTGAACTTTAGATGATACTTTGGACGGATCGTACAAATAGATATCGAAATCGAAGTCTTTCTCGGCCTCCTTTCCCGAGTGAAACTTATACTCCTTTTTGGTTGTCACCTTATCTCGTACCTTGAATATTTTGTATGTTGAGATCGGACCCCGACAATTTGGACATGAACGGTTCTGATTCTTCTTTTTCTGAAACTCAAGATGTTCGATCACACAGTTCAAACAGAATGTATGTCCACATGTGGTTATGGAGATTTCACTCATGTCTATAGGGGTTTTGGTACAAATAGAACATTCACTATTATTAATGTCAATTTTGTCGTATAATTTGTACTTTGCTTCCATCATTTCAGTGTGATCCTTAAATATGTCATGTTCAACTGTGTCCTCGGGAAGTAAATTCTGCTCTTTCATATCGGTAATGAGGCTTTTAATCAAATCTTGGTGACAACATATTTGCCTTAATCTTAATATATGGGTCCAAAGATGTTTTCTTAGCGATTCCCCAGAATTCAACTTATCCCTAAATTGCTTGTAGGCCAAATCCTTGAACCAAGAGTACACTTGATTTTCATCATTGTTAAACTCAACCTCTTCAATGACAACTTCCTTGGGAGGTAAGTCAACTAGTGGGTTTCCATCATCACCTTTCATGGATTTGGTTCTTCTTAAGAAAATAGGCTCAAGAATTGTCTTGATTACGTCCAAAGTTTGTTTCGCTTGTTTCTGCTTGAAAGGTAAAGATACAAACATTTTCCAGTATGAAAGGTTACTCCAAGGCTCAAGCTCCAAGAATTTTGCTAAAGAGTATAAATCGTCCAATCCATTGATAATTGGTGTACCGGTGAGAATCCACTTCCTACTCAGCTGTAATTGGAATATTGCTTTGGAAGACTCGTTGGTTCTATTTCTTATCTGATGGCCTTCATCAAGAATTATTCTGAAGAACTTTACTGAATATAACCCCATTCCAGGAAAGTCAAATAAATCACCTCTATTTTGCAACCGAGCAAATTCACTTGCAACGGTTCCATATGTGGTGATCACAACTATTGGTATATGCTTGGTTTTGTTTAGTAACACACTCTGTAAGTTTGGAGTCAGCAGCCCATAATACACAATGCATTTGTGGTTAAGGTTATTATTAGCCTTGTCAAATTCATTTTCCCATTGAGCTAATAAAGACATAGGAACTATGATCAATGTTGTTTGGCTGGCATATTGGTCCCCATGGAAACTCGATCTAGTATCGTACGGTACAGAATTAATTAATGCTAATGTTGAGATAGTCTTCCCCAATCCCATTTCGTCGGCCAAAATCCCCCCTCTTAAAGAAGACTTAATTAATGGTTTTTGTAAAGAGAGCTCCCCACTGTACATATTTCCATAGAACACATCAGAATGGACATCTTTGGATTCTAACTTGGGCCACCTGAAAGTCTTCCAAAGAGGATTCATTACTCCGTCTTCCATCAACTGTAATTCATCGATCGATTGCAGTGTAAAAGACTCTTCCAAGTCGGAACCAGAGCTGTTAAGAGACTTCAAAACGTCCAACTCTTTCTCTCGAGCAAGCATCCAAGACAATCCTAGTTTCTGATACTCCCTCAATTGTAGAGAGAAGTTCTCAGCTGGAGGGGTGGTGGTATTAGGTAAAGCCTTCAACATCTCTGACTGCTGGTTTTCCGAATAGAACGTTTGTAACTCATCGAGACTCAACTCATTATTTTCAAGGTCGTCTTCATCACTATCTAAATCAATGATTTGATGTGGGTTTTCATCGCTACTATTGACCTGTGTAGCACCAAGACTGTCCTTGGCTTTAACAGGTCGTATTTGCAATCTCGAAAATAAAGCAGCTACAGCAAACTTCCGAAGCCGTAAGTTCGACTCTTCTTCCGTCTCGTTTGTTATGTTTGTTCGTGTCTCCTTCATGGTGTCGAGCTCATTGATAGGAGATTTTGTCTTCTCGAACGCTCCACTAGTCAAAAAACAGTCAATTTTCACGTAAAATTCGTCACCAATCATGAGCCTCTTGGTAGTTTCAAGTGCCACTGTCACCTCAAACTCAAAGATGCAGAGGTCTAGCAACGGCGCCAAAATACGGGTTAAATCCTCCTTTAGTCTTCCGATCTCTCTTCCATCACTGACATCTCCAGGAGTACTAGTATATAGTCGAATCACTGCCGTATCAGACGTGCGCTTCTTTTGTTTCCCTGTCAAAACCCTTGGTTTCAAACTCCTTATTGACATCTTCTGCAAGTACAGAAGGCTCTTTAAATATGGCCTTGTGGCATACGCGTCTGCAAAGAGGGTCCCCAAGAATCTCTTCCATTCAGTAACAGTCGGTTTGCTTTCACTTTCGGTTGGTCTGGCAGGGCTGGCCCGCTTGTTGTAGGTTAGAGGCATCTGGATACCACGCGTTCGTTTCCTCTTGACATCCATACTAAGAGTTATTGGCGGTATAGACTTGGGCACTTTCATCTTCACATCACCTCTGAGATGATAGTCTATGGCCAAGAGCACCTTGTCGTCGTAACCGCTGAACTTTTGGTAAAGCGGCTCTATTATATGGTCACCTAGTGGTCCCAACACATTGGTGAGGGCATCTTTGAACTTGGTGAAGTCTTCCAGCCGCTGGACTGAAATCGCATCTTCAAACTCATCTTCGGAATCCTCGACAAAAAGTGGTTCTTCTTTCACTGGTAGAGCTTCTTGTGGTAACTCTGAACTAACTGGTAGTTCCTTAGTAGCCTGAGACTCTCGTTTGGCCCTCAATTTGTCAAAGTAACTGGACTTTGTGTTGGCCATCTCCAGATCAGAGTGGAGGATTTGGGTCTGCGCGTTTGGAAATTTAAATGGCTGCAACTCAAATGTTCATTAATTATACAAGTATACTGTCTTCTTTTAACATACAGCTTTCAAAATTAGGGTTGAGACCACGAGACTCGCACCACAGGTACAAATTGCCCATATAAAGCTGTGCTTTCCTCGGGGTACTGTCGATCAAATTCATATACTTAAGCGTTAACATGATATCTTCCTTTCTGTATCCTGTGATTTCAGCTATGTCTTGCAATCGCAAAGTTTTGACGCCTGTAAAATACTGGGCTAGAACCGGTGCAAGCTTACGAGACCAGAAATTCAAATAGGTGACTTTCCCAAACGGAGAGAGCGGAAACTCGGGTCCACTGAGATACTGGCCTGGGGTAACGCGGGCCAACGCATACAGAAACTCTATCAACAACGACCCTAAATGCTTTCTTTGGTACGGAGGAAACACGCAGATACATGCTAGGTTATTGTCGCTATCCCATGGCAGCAACTCTTTGGAAAAAAACCCCATGGGCTTGAAGTCGGGCAATTTGTTGTGATACACCAGAATGTCATTATCGTCTAGCCCGTAAAGCACATAAAAATCAAACTGTTCAACGTTATAATACACCGATTTGTCCTCCAAGAAAATCTTACCAAATAAACTCAAGTTCTGGCAGAACAATGGATGTTGATACCCTTGTACTTTCCTTATGATAAACGGACTATCATCATCTCTATATACAAGTCTTCCTATGGTTGGAAGCTCTTTTTTGGCAGTGCAAGCGACTCGATGTCGTATCATGTTGGAAGCCTTTGTGGAATATTTGAAACAATATTCACAAACATGTAAATGCTCTAGTTCCCACTCTATGCCATCTTCTTGATCCACCCCAAGCAGGCCCGACTTGGGGTTGAAGTACGCGGTATTACCGTACCACGGCTCCAACTCGTAGTCACCGAAATGTACCATGTGGATGTTTTTGTGATGGATGGCCCCCCCGCGTGGATCATCCGTCTCAAAGTTCGGGCTGCTGGACTCTACTTGTTTGACGGCCATATCCCGAGTGAAAAACTCGAAAATTTAGAAAACGCGGTTAGACGCATTTTCTTACATTTCCATCTTTCCTACCAACAACTCAAAATGCCACCAAAAGGTTGGAGAAAAAACCCAGATGGCAGTTACCCCCAGCCCAACCGAGAAGCCGAGATCACCTCGATTGACGAGATCCTCTTTCCGCGTTCTATCATCCAGCGGTTAGCCAAAGATATCCTCAACTCCAACGACGCGAATATGTCCATGGCCAAAGACTCATTGATAGCTCTTCAAAGGTCTGCCACCGTGTTTGTATCGCACGTGATGTTCCACGCCCGGGCCATCTCCAAGGCCAGTGACCGCAAGACCGTCAACGCCCAGGACATTTTGGCAGCATTGGAAGCAGCTGAGTATTCAGGATTTGTACCAGAAATCAAGCACAAGTTGGCATCTTTTGAAGCGGCGGTTGAGGTGAGAAAACTGGAGAAAGCAGCTTCCAGGACCGAGCCTGCCGACTTCAATGACGTGAAGCGTCTTAAAGATAACCTGGAAAATGCCGTACCGGTGATGGACACCACTCTTGAAGATGACGATCACTCAGACAACGGCATCGAAGATAATGATAACGACAACACGGAGGAAGTGAACGACACAAACGCGGATGAAGAAGACGAAATAGAGGAGGTTTCAGTGCCGAATCCCATTGCTGGTGTGTCCCAAGAAGCCACGGAACTAGAAGGCGTGCTGATGGAAGAACCAGAAGAAGAAAACCAGCAAGAAGAAGAGGATTGAACAGAAGAATCTCATATGTATGTGCTATTGTACTAATGGTAGGGTCTGTGGTTGTCCCTACCGATGGATGCAATGGCTCAAGAAGGGAAACCCACAAGCCGAAGTTAGAATTAAATAAAGAATGAACACGAACCCAAAGGCCAACATCAAATAGAACTTAACCCCACTGAGCCACATCCGACGTTTGATGAGCTGTGCCCGTTTCTGGAACACCAGTGAAGAGTTGGTCAAGCGGTCTGTTTGGTCCACAAGAAGGTTGATCTTGTCTCCTCTATTCATGAGCTTGTTGATATTATCAAGCATCAACTGTCTCACCTCCTCCACCTCTTCGTTCACCAACACCAAGCTCCTGGGCCCGATGACCTCGTCACCCAGTGTCTCTTCCTCGTCTCTCGGTGGAGTGATGGACCCGTAGTTGTATAACCCCAGGTTGGAGTCGTAGTTCATCTCCTCAAACTTGATGATTTGGCTCATATACAACTTAAACTCCCCCAACTTCGACTTGGAGCCTTCACTCGCACTGTCTAGATCCTGTTTAAACTCGATGTACTTGTCCATGATCTTTTTTAACACTGATAATACCAATGCTCTGTTCATATTAACATGGGCTATGGTGACGACGGTTATTAGATCACTGCTTCCGTCGGCATTGCTCAACAGCTTTTTGATGAAGTAAAGCGCCAACTCAATATTGCTGCCACTACTAATGGCAGGTGTGGATCCGATAAGGGTTTTGGAGGCGTTGATCAAACCCAATTCTTGAGCAATTATCTCAGAGCAGTTGACCTTGCTCAAGGCATGCACCAATTGGACGTTTTCACAAGCGTATAACGTGGTGGCATTCCGCGTCAACGTCGTATATATCACTATGGTGTTAGTATGGGAAGTGTCAGTGGTTTGGGTAAACTACGTACAATGCTTTTGGAAATCGATTTTGTTCATGTTGATTCCCTTTGGTTTGTGAGGCACAAATGATGCAACCAAAATCTCCGCGAAGAGCATCTCAACCTTTGCGTATTATTTTTCGCTTTTCAACCAGAACCTATGGGGAAATATAGACCACGGTTCAACGAAAAGGCTCGGTCCGGGATGCTTGCTAAGCAGGCCACCTTGAAGAAGGCCCGGAATAAAGCCTACTTCCGTCAACTCGATGACGGCAATACCGAAGGAGAACCTGCGGAAACCTCCCCCGCTGTTCCAGATGATCCAAATGCAGAGATCTTAAAGCCCATGACAGACCAGGAAAAGATCGATAGAAAACGGGTATTGGAGCTGCAAATCTACTCCATGAACGAAAAAGAGTCCAAAATGTCTCGAAATAAGAGAAAGAGATTGGATAAATACATTGAGCATCAGCTAAAGCGAGAAGAGAAGAAGGCCCTTTTTGAAAAGTTATCCCATACCAAGGTTGACACCGAAATGTTCACACCTTCCAAGATCCTTGGTAAGGGGGGCCAGACCAGGAAGGAACAGTTAGTAGAAGCGTTGGAGTTAGAGAGACATGGACGTGGAGATGAGAGGACTAAAGACCTTTTGTATGAAGAGAGAGAAGTGAAAGAATGGCCGGGCGATGAGCAACTTGTTTTTCACCAAGAAAGCGAAGGTGATGAAGAACCAGAGGAAAAATACCCGGAAGATGACCAGGATGCAAGTGGATTCATAGATAACAGGCCTGCAAAATTTGGTGGTTCTGGATTTGGATTTGGGTTCAGTAATATCAAGAAAGTTGAAACTGCTAAACCTGTTTCAAAGAGCAAGTACAGCTGGAGAAGCCGACTAGAAGAAGCGGAAAAGAGCAAGTACCACCAAGAAGATGAGGATGACTTTGCTTCTGAGAGTGATGAAGACAGTGACGAGAATCAAAGTGATATCGAGGAAAGTGACGAGAATGAAAGTGATATCGAGGATGGGGAAAACGATCTCGAAAGCGGCCTGGACGATGTTAGTGACAACGAAAGCGACAGTGAAAGTGACGAAGAGGTCTCAAAACTTCTCGCTGCAAAACCAAAGCATACCTCTTCTGGACTGGCCTTCAAAGAATGGGCCGAACAGCAGGTCAAGCAGATGTCAGGACATACCGAAATGGTGTTACCAAAATTGTCCGATACAGTGAAAAAACAGTACTCAAAACACCAAGTCAGAGAAGAAGACGTTGACCATTCCAGTGATGACGAAAATTATATCCCCATCAATAAGAACAGTCAAAGACAAGCATTTTTCGTGGATATTGTTAGAAGTGAAGAAGTGCAAAACCAACGTATTCATTTGCCGGTTTTCAATGAAGAACACAGAGTAATGGAAGCAGTTTACCATCACGACTGTATCATCATTTGTGGTGAAACCGGATCTGGTAAAACCACCCAAGTACCTCAGTTCTTATATGAGGCCGGGTTTGGTTCTCAAGACTCGCCTTTGTATCCTGGGATGATTGGGGTCACCCAACCCAGAAGAGTGGCAGCTGTTTCCATGGCAAACAGAGTGAAAAATGAACTTGGAGATCATGGTCACCGAGTAGGTTACCAGATTCGATTTGATTCTAACATCAAAGGAGAAGGTACAAAACATGGTACTGCCCTCAAGTTCATGACTGACGGGGTACTCCTTAGAGAAATGATGTCCGATTTCCTCCTCACCAAATATTCTGTCATTATCATTGATGAGGCACACGAAAGAAATATCAATACAGATATTCTTATAGGAATGCTCAGCAGAGTCTTGAAGTTAAGAAGGAAGCGTCACGATGCTAATCCCGAGACCACCAAACCTTTAAAGTTGATCATTATGTCTGCTACCTTAAGAGTATCTGATTTCTCTCTGAACTCAGTTTTGTTCAAGAAACCTCCTCCAATAATCAAGATCTCTGCTAGACAGTATCCTGTCAGTGTTCATTTCAGTAGACACACAGCTTTTGAATATCAGGAAGAAGCCTTTAAGAAAACATGCAAGATCCACCAAAAGCTTCCTCCTGGAGGTATTCTCATCTTTTTGACGGGTCAGGCTGAAATCACTGACATGGTCAAAAGACTCAAAGCAGAGTTTCCTTTTCTTTCCAGAAACATCACTAAAATAGATGAAGACATCACCACTGTGGTCAACCACAAGAATGTTGATTTGGAGGCTGAAGAAGTCGATTTGGGAACAAACAAAGCTTTGAATGGTGAAGAAGATGACTATGTATCCTCTGACGAAGAAGAAGAAGGGTTTGAGGAGTCGCTTGAAGAACACCAATCTCCGAACGATCCCTTGTTCGTTTTACCATTGTATTCTTCTTTACCCACAGATCAACAGATGAAGGTGTTTCAAAACCCTCCAAAGGGAAGCAGAATCTGTGTGGTGGCTACCAACGTAGCAGAGACCTCTTTGACGATTCCGGGAATCAGGTATGTGGTTGACTGTGGAAGGTGCAAAGAGAGAAAATACAACAAGGATACCGATATTCAGTCGTTTGAAATTGAATGGATCTCCAAGGCATCGGCTGACCAAAGATGTGGTAGAGCCGGTAGAACAGGACCAGGTCACTGCTACCGGTTGTTCTCTTCTGCTGTTTATGAGGATTTTTTCAGTCAGTTCAGTGATCCAGAGATTCTTCGAACTCCGGTTGAAAGCACCACCCTATCCATGAAAAGTATGGGAATTGATCAGGTGGTAAACTTCCCATTCCCAACACCTCCAGGAAGACAGTCCTTAGCTAAGGCAGAACTGGTGTTGGGTGCAATTGGTGCTTTGGCCAAAGACAAAACCATCACCTCTTTGGGAAAAGCCATGTCCCATTTCCCATTGACTCCACGATTCGCTAAGATCTTGATTTTGGGAAACCAAAGAGGCTGTTTGCCATATATCATTGCCCTCGTGTCAGCATTCACAGTTGGCGATCCTTTTATCGGTGAACTAGAAATCACTCAAAGTGAACTGTTTGCCAAACAAGACGATGATAAAAAGAAGAAGATCATCAACGACTTCCACAGGTCGCGGGCTTTGTTCAGCCGGTTGAGCAAGTCCAGTGATGCCCTTTGCTTATTATCGGCAGTCTGTGCCTTTGACCATGTGCCTCATGACAAGCAAGACGATTTTCTCAAGGACAACTACTTAAGACCCAAAGTCATGAAAGAAATAGGTCAATTAAGACGCCAGATCACTCGTATTGTCAAGATGAATACGAAGCTGGAGAGTGTTGCAACCACTCTTGAGGCCGAAGGTATCACCAAGCTTGGAGTTCCTTCAGAAAAACAAGTGGCATCCATCAAACAGATTGTTGCATCGGGATTCCTAGACCAGATTTCGGTAAGAGCTGATATCGTCAACTCGGAAGTCAGTGTTCCCAAGAGCACCAGTATAATTAACATCCCATACCAAACAATCACGTTAACAGCGCAATCGGACGAAACTACTGATGGGTTTGTGTACATTCATCCTCACTCTGTGTTGGCTGCGTCAGGTGAAATGCCTCCAGATATGATGGTATACCAATTGCTTAACCTAAGCAGCAATAGAAAAGAAGGCGTGGTAACAAAGGCCAGAATGAAGGCACTTGTGGACATTTCAGGGAAGCAATTGGCCAATATTGCCAAAGGGTCTCCATTATTGACATACTCCAAACCCTTAGGTAACAAGTATGCACCCAAAAATATCACTTCTTCAAAGAGAGAGGCATATGTTATCCCTCGATTTGGAGCTGCTATCGGTTCTGGGGGGTTGGGCTGGGATTTGCCTGTCATTAAAGTGGTGCAAGTAAAAAATAATGGTCAATGGATCAATGAATAGAGTTTTTCTAGTGTAAATAGAAGTAGTTCGCATCGCATATTTTTTTGTTTTGATTCAACCTTCGTGAACACAGATCTCTAAAACATGGAAAGGAGTGGCAAGAAGCGGGTTCGAATAGATGATACCGTCACCGAGATCAGGCTGGCACGTCAATACCTGCCACCCACCAACCGCCAGTCAAATCCTTTAATTCCTGTCCATATTCTTGATGAAGCGTTCCAGAGAATTCTCTTGGTATCGGTTTTTGTGTTGATCCAGGCGTGGAAGCTTTATGATGCAATGCTTCTTAACACCATTGCCGATGACTCGGTGGTTGGCTCTTCTCTCAGTCGTATGACTTTCGTGTTGAAATACTTGCTTATTGACGGGCTATTCCTTTGGTTTCTTCCAATTCTCAATCTTCAATACCTTTCATTTTCTCCATTAGTGACATTGTTGTTCACTTTGATCCTTAACTTGTTCAACATATTGCTTGCAAGCAAATTGAATATGTCACTTTTCATGGTGGTTGTGGGTCCCTATTTCAAATCCCTAAAACCTTCCAAAGAACTCACAGTAGCAGGTGATGCTATAAACCCTAAAGTCATCGATATGGACTCTCATTTCAAGGGTAAATACACCATCCAGTATCTTCCAGATTCGTTGGCAAAGTTCAATGTTTTCGACCTACATTCTGTGTGCCAAGACCCAGAAGAAAAGATACCTTTCCAAATTCCTATTGAGTTCAATACCACCACTGATCTTGGACTTCTTGAAATCCAGTACACATCTCCAGAAAACAAGGTGTCCCAAATAGTGTTCCAGGAATCTGATCTCCATAAGTTGATCAACAAGGATTATTCTCATCTAAAATCAAATAAAAAATACGTGAAAGACGATTATAGAGTGTTTTATCTTGAAATTCCCGTTCGAGAACCAGGTTCTTATAAAATCAGCATAGTACGAGACAAGAGTGGAACCAACATGAGATATGTGCAAAATGAGTTTTCCTTTGCTTACTGTCCGGGTGCATCATTCATCTTACCTAAGAGCTATGCATCTGACACCAACAACAAAGCATGTGTAGGGTTCAAGTTGGACGATCTCAGCATGAAACTTCCATTAATTACATTTTATGGATCACCTCCTCTTGTTACAAAAATCGGAACAACTATAAACGGGAAGAGTAATAAAGTTATTGATGCCGAAATCAGTCTTGAAACTTTGGATACTTTAAAATTCAACTTCACCAGCCAATTTTCCCACAAAATTACCAGAAATCTGTTGGAGCAAGAAATCCTTAAGGACCCAAAAATGTTTAATGTCAAAGAGTCCAGTACAATTCAATTTCAGATCCTTGAAATCAAAGATTCACTAGGAAACGTTAAGAGATACAATCCTCAGTCTGATTCTTCCGATTTGAGGTATAATCTCAATTTGTTAACAAAGCCTTCATTGAGGTTGATTGATATGGATTCTTCCAAGAAGCTTTTGGTCAATGGTACTAAAGATCTCAGTTTTGCAACCAGTTCCAACATAAGAGAACAACTACCATTCACTGCTTATTATGCATATGAATCTGTGATAAATCCTGAATTGTCATTCAACTTTTCTCATAAATTCTCTACCTTTGCTGACTTACAAAAAGGGATATCCGTCTCCAATCCTGGAATTTATAAGCTTCTTCGTGTTTCTGGGAAATACTGTGAGTGTGAAGTTCAACCCTCCGCCATTAATCTTGAAACTATTTTACCTCCTCTGCTAGAAATCCAAGCTGAGCCTTTGGTGGACAATTGTGTTGGTATGACTGGTTATAATTTCAAGTTCAATGCAAAGGGAAGCGCTCCTTTCACTGTGGAATATTCCGTATATCAAAATTCAAGTCTGGGGACTTTAAGACCGCTTCCAGGGCCAAATGGAAGAATTAAGAGACTATTGAAGAGCTCAAGCAATGACTTTGACTTTGCTTATAAACCTCCAGGAGAAGGCAACTATGTGGTTAGATTTGAGGCTATCAGAGATTATGACTATTATGATTCTCCTACACTCTTGAACGAAAAAGAACACACCTACCTGACATACTTCAAACAGAGATCTAAGGTTTCATTCTTCGATAGACAGTCTAATGGCTTACAGAAAACAATCAACCTCTGTAAGGGAGAGTCTACGCGTGTACCTGTGTATTTCACAGGAAGCTTTCCATTTACCTTCGACTATTCATTGATCGACAAAAACTCAGGAAAGAATATCTTGACGAAACTCAATCAGAAGGCCTACAGTAGACTTTTTGAAATTGATACAAAGGACATCACATTTGGTGGTATTTTCGATGTTGTTCTTGCTAACGTAGTTGATGCCAATTCTTGTGCTACAGATTTCGATGGTAAGGAGAAGGTTCAAATAGTTGCTAGGTCGGATGTTCCTGAAATTTCCTTTGATGTAAAACAACAAGTGTCTTATCATAAAATTGTTGAAGGAGATTTCATTGATATTCCATTGCTGACGAGGTTCTTCAAAAGTAAGCTGGGTACAGTAGAATTTGAAGTTTCGAACCTTGAAAATCTTAACGATAAAAGAACAGAAACTGTCCAAGTTTCAACTCATATGACAATAAGCAAACCAGGTATCTACAAGTTGGTGAGCTTCACTGATGGTAAGTGTCATGGGAAAATTTCAGATATAGAAAAGGCTATCCATGTTTCCTTCCACCCCAGACCTCAAATCCGTGCTGATGCAGACAAACTGATCACCCAGTCTTCTAGTACTAATGAAAGCCTTTTACTTATATCTGGATGTCAAGGTTGTAAGAGACAAGCTACTGTTCATTTCGAAGGTAAAGGACCTTTTATGGTGGATTACGAAATTAAGTTTCCAAGTGGAAAAACTGACTCCAGAACTATGACTAGTGACAAGAGCAAGTTGCTCATCGACCTCCCAACTGACAATAGTGGGCTCTATGAGCACCGATTCAAGAGGATATTTGATGGTCTTTACACAAGAAGTAAATCCCCTGATAGAGGATTCAAACCGCAGATTATCTCTTATGAGGTTTTGCCAGCTCCAAGCATTGTATTTGAAAAGATGGATGTTTTAAAATTATGTGAAGCATCCCTCAGCAAGTACATTAATGAATTGGACTCTCTTTCGATCTCTGTTTCTGGAAAAGCTCCCTTTTCTGCTCAAATAATGCTTATTGGGGACAGCTTAGAGAAGAAGTTCACCATTGAAAATATCAATGGTCCCACAATAAACTTGAATGATGCTGTTGACTCAAAGAATGTGCCTATCTGGAAATATCTCAAACAAGGCGAATATGAACTCAGTATAACTCAAGTGAGCGATAGCAACAGATGTGAAAAGAAGACCCAGAATCTCAGTACCCTTATACTTTCAATAAGCCCAGCTCCAGATGTCACCAAGTTTGACCAATCAAAGAGCTACTATTGTGTTGGAGATCATGTTGGATACGATTTGCTAGGTGAACCTCCTTTTACATTATCATACGAATTTCAAGGAACTTATCATAAAGCCCAAACCACCAACGAGTTTAGAAGATTGGCAGCAAAACCAGGTATAATTCATGTCTCCAGTATGGAAGACTCGTCTGCTGGAAAGTGTATGGTGAACATCGAACCAAGTTCCCAAAAGTATAAGGACTTGGAAATAGTGATTCATGACTTACCTTCCGTTGAAGTAAACCATGGCGATTATATAAGTCAAAACATCCATGAAGGAGACCAAACAGAATTAAAGTTCTCTTTCACGGGTACACCACCATTTTCTATCACGTACGTCAGAACTCTTGATCCAAACGTGAAAGCCAAGAGAACCAAGAACTCCAAGCTTCATAAAGGCGTCAATAAAATCATCGAGACTCAAACCATCAACAACATCAAGGACCATGAATACACTGTTATGGTTGGTTTGGAAGGAACTTATGAAGCTATAGAAGTGAAGGATAAGTACTGTATGGCTAAAAGGGAATTTTCCTACGAATAAGTCAGATAATTTTGTATATTATATAAAGAATAAACTAGACCTGTAAAGTCAGTCAAGGGAAGTACATTTGGAAGTGACTGACTTGACAAACTCAAGCTCTGTTCGTTCCCATTCTTCAAGCTCGTAGCCAAAGTTGGGCTTTAAACATGACTTTGGATTAGCACGAACAAGACCCTTTAAACAATCAGAAAAGTTCTTGTAGGCCAGTAACGTAATCAAACGCTTTTCAACATTCACCTTAACTAACGAGATCACGGCTATTATCTGTGCTTTTTTGCCAGCGGGAACGTTACACGTCGCCTGTACCGAAATGGGAGTACCTTTGCTGATGTCCAATTCTGCCTCAAATGCTGTTTGAAGCACAAGCTTAGCAGAAACAGAAGCAATGAGTGAAAAGGTTTTTCCACTTGAAGCTGACACAGAATATGACACCGAGTTGGCCACTGTAGATCTCGAATTGTCGAGAGCAGACCCCAATGGCCTACTTACAGACTGTGTGTGGAGTACAGTTTTTTTAAAGCTGTACTCCGCAAACAAGGTTTCATCGCCTATTATAGGTACACCACCACCAAAGGACTCGATATCGATATAATCTCCATCTGGTAATATAATGGATTTGGTGTCCTTAACTATCACCACACCGGTTTTGTATAGGCTTTCTGGATCCAAGTCATTGATCGTTGCAATTTCTAGTGGCCGACGCGTTGTAAGCCAGGTGAGCATTGAGTCGTCATTGGTATGGTCTTGATCCTCCAATGTAATTGTGAAAGCAGCCGATACTGCTAGTAAACTTGTCAAGCATTTCAAATGTCTCAAAAGAGCGGGCTTCATAGTTGGATATAGTTATTTGGAGGTCAATGCGGAGGGTTTTATAAATCATGTTTGATATGCGCTAGGCTTCAGGATTTGTTCTGCTTAGAATCTTTAGCAGACATCAAGTTCTCAATGGTTTTGGATGCTTCCGAAAGCATCGAACGTTCCGAGATCCCCTTGAGGAACAGCTCAAACAGCTTGCTTTTTCCTGGTAGCACTTGCACTTGAAGAAAAATGTCTCTAATGGCGTAGGCCAAGGTAATGTCCTTATTTGTAACCTGATTACCAGCATCGTGGGTTGTCAATTTGAAGTCCACCTTATTATAGGTGGTAATTATTGTCGGGTGGTGCTTGGTTTTGTTGGCTTCCCTGGCCACCTCGCTCAAGAATAACCACGTTTTAGCAAATGAAGATAACTGGTAGTGAGCTGAGAGGAAACTGGTGGGTTTATCTTCATTATTAGTTGTGTGCTCAAGCTTCCAGGGTTTATAGTCTCCACTATTTACTAAGCGAAGCTCATCTATGATCGCCTTGGTCGTGAGAGGAGGTGCAAGTGAGGTAAGACGCTTTAGTACTGGTGGCATCGAAAAATGAGTGTTGTGATTTTCCTTGATGCCAAATCGCGAAAACGAATTGAAGCCTAGTTGACATGTTGTGATGGTTTCTGCATTTTATATTCTCCACTGCGCTGATACCGAGCTTGAGTACCTGAGCAGCGAGGCGTTGTTATACCGAATATTCTACGAAGATATTCCTGATACTCAGAAAGTATTGAATGATTTTGACGTGATTTACAAGAAACAATCTCCAAGTGACAGAACACCTGTAATTCATCACAATGGACTCAATTATATCTACCTCTTGAGGGAGAATGGCATTTTGCTACTTGTGGTAACTAGGCGAAATGTGGACGTGATGCTTGTGGTACTTTTCCTCCACCATTTCCAAGAATTGATGAAGCTCTATCTTTGTTCAGGCCCAGAATCAGATACGCTGGCACGAGTTCTCGATAAAGAAGTGATAATCGATAATGTCTATTTCATATATGAGCTTCTTGATGAGTGCATTGATGCTGGAGTCATTCAGATGACTGACTATAATATCTTGAAGGAGTACATCAAGGTGATTCCAAACAGACCGCACTTTGAGTTGCAAACCAAGGAATACAGTGGATCCAGTTCTGAGTCTGACCATGACGACGACCCCGATTCTCGATCCAAGAGCAACAAGTCCAAGCAAAAGAACAAAGATATCAAAAAGATCCGATCCACCCATAACCAAGCCGTCAAGGCCGATGAATTGGTATTGGAAGAGAATTATATAAACAGTTCCATAGTGAGGGCATCCAGTCTGGCAATCAACTGGAGGCCCAAGGGGATTTACTATGCCAAAAATGAGATATATGTCGACATCGTCGAGAACTGTGAGTTTCTTTATGATCTTGAACAGCAGGTGATTCTCCAGAATGAAGTGTTTGGGAACTGCTTTGTCAAGTGTTATCTCCTGGGAATGCCCACATGTACCCTTGGTTTCAACGAGACCCGAATCTCGAACATTGACAGCGACGAGCCAATCGTTGAAGAGGTGACCGAAAGACCCGATAACCAGTTGATACTTGGTGAAGACCAGGAGAGAGATCCTGATGAAGATATGGAATTGAGAGACTCCGTTGAAGACCAGGAACTAAGAGCTTTCAAGAAGCACATTCCCTTCAGAAACATTCAGTTCCACCAATGCGTGGAACTCGATACCATCTACAAAGACAATCTCATGAGGTTCATCCCACCTGACGACAAGTTCATACTTATGAGTTATCATGTGGAACAGCAACGGCAGAGACGTAAACTCCCGTTGTTCATGGTCAAACCCCTCTACAGAATTGACCCCACCAACCGTAGACTCCAGGTGCTATGTGTGTTGTCCACCAGCTTTAGAAAGAGACTTCATGGCAAGGATCTCAAAATCAAAATCCCCATCAATCCACTCCTATTCGATGTTTTGTTTGATGACAATTTGAAGTACAAAGCAGAGATAGGACACGTTAATTTCCAGGTGGACAGCTCGGAGTTGATCTGGGAAATAGAACAGTTTTCAGGTAATAACCCATCAATCAAGATGATGGCAGAGTTGCCCATTAGTGATAAAGTGTCTGACTTAACAGTTTCACAAATCCACTCCACCATCCAAAACCTGGCACATTCATATCACCGCACCCATGAACTGGACGAAGACGACAATGAACTGGCCAAACGTGAGCTAGACAAGTACTACGGGGTCAACGGATCCAAGTCGTCTCTGATTGAGGAAATCCAAAAATCTCTCACCAAAATTCAGTCCTTCAACCATGTCAAACTCAGTTACAATATTCCCATGTTATCTTACACGGGACTCAAGCTCAACTACCTCAAAGTCGACGAACAGAACCTCAAATACACATGTTTCCCATGGGTCAGATACGTGACACAATCTGGCAGGACCAATACAACTTTGTTAGCGTCTAAATCGACTTGCACATATAGATTCAAGTTGGGGGCCACCTGCTTCGAGTTCAAGTAACCAAGAAATACACATCATTTGCATAGTAACTACACTGTCTTCTCAATGAATATTATACCCTCTTCATCCGTCGTCGCATTGGATATTTAATCCCTACTATTACAAATACTATAGCCATTTACTTAAATGTCGCATAGACTGCGGAACCCTTGTACAGAGTTTTGATACCGTCGCTGTAAAGGTATTTGTTTTGCGGAAGCTTCCATCCAGTACCCGGCATGAGAGTACGTTATGGGGTTAATTCACTTCTCTCTTCATGTTTTCATGTTTGTGTAAGACTATTCTACATGAAAAGCACCGTCAAGATGGGGGATTAATTATGGAGTCACCTATAACGGTACCAACTAAATAGTCCACATCATAGGTAACAGTCTGGGATAACCAATGATGTTGCGACATCCCACTGGTTTCGGCTGCAAAAATGCCAGAATTTCCTGCGCACCGCACCATAGGCTTGCACCCTGTCGCATATCTGGTGCAAAACTATCTGTCACAAATTCAAATTTACAAATGCCCTCTCATTTCATTTATGAATGTAATATACCTGCATGCTAGCCTAGCTTCTGATAATATATAACATGTTGCATAATTTATATTCCCGTGGGAGAAATAATTCAAACTCAATATTGAAAAATAATACGAATTTAAGAAGCAGAAGATTGTTGGACATAAGGCTCACATTCCTCAAATAACTTTTTGCCTGAATCAATAATTCATAAAAGTCTAGGACGATCTAAAAGGTGAAAAGCGAATCTAGAGGACAAGAGATGCGATCAACATTCATCGAGGAAACACTGTAACATACAAAAAGCGCAAACCATGCAGCGCCGAAACACATTTCTGGCAACAATAAGAGCCGCGGAAAAACAGTACCTGAAGCCTGAGGTGGATTTCTCCTGAAACAGCGCTGAAAACCTGTGACACATGTTAGGGTCCCTAATCGAGCATTCGGTTGATCTGGTACAATCGGTAGCACCTGCGGCCAAACCCGCCTGCGACAGTTTATACCCCTATATGCTATTCTTTACTACCACAGAACAATCAGTAGGGTGGAGAAAACGTCGAAGCACACCGGCGTGGATCTTTGCACCTGATTAGGATGTTTTTTCCTGAGAGTCCTGGATCCTCCATCCTACATGCGCGCGCCCGCGCAGGTAAAGTCTACTATCTTATCTGCTAATGGATTCCTAAATCTATTGCTAGACACCGCTAAATTTTCCAATTCACCAAGTGTGACCTCTAAAATAACCTTCCGGCCACAACCATACCTTCTATAAGACAAGAGACTTCTCCCCACGTTTCTGGAACAAACCCCTCACATTCCATTTGTCGCTGAATACATGTCGAAGGTGAATCGGCCCAACACAACGGTTGAACCTTCTGAACCAGATTTGAGCCCGAACTCCTCCATAACCCCCACCGACTCCAATAACACCCCTCGTTCCATTACTACGGGCCCCCTGTCCACATCCATACCGCCGGCCACTAAGCGTAAGAATACAAAGTCGAGAAATGGCTGTCTTACATGTAAAAAGAAGCGATTGAAATGTGATGAAACCAAGCCTTCATGCTTGAAATGCTTGAAGAAAAACATCGCTTGCGGCGGGTATGCCACCCGGTTCAAGTGGAGAAGCTTCAACGATGGTCCCGACTCCTCCGACTACAGAACACCCGAAGACCAAGAAAGACCAGAACATGTGCAAGAATCAACTGCTCATCCCCATACAAGCCCATCAACTCTTCGAAGGCATCTTGAGTTGGCATCCATATCTGTGACAGGCAAGTCGATCAAAGACATCAAGCGTGAAAACGATTTGATTGAAGAAGGTATCAACCCTGCCACATACAACAAACGCCGTCGACAACCCGAAACTACGTCCAAATCCAACGCCAAGTTGTTTGCCAACTTAGGCGACTCTTCGTTGCATTTGGATCACAATGAAAGTGATGGTGGAGGTCTTGATGACCTTGAAGAAGAGCATATAAGTAAAAAGATGAAGAGAAGCCAAAGCTTGAATGAGACCCAAATACATTCCACTCAGCAACGGAAGTCGTCCAAAATGGCCAGGTCTTTCAGTTCCAACTCAAGCATTAATCCCAACATGATCTCAGAATTTCGCCGTCAGTACACCAAAACTGGCTCCGTGGGGTTGAACTCGCTTGCAGAAGCAGCCATAGATGAAATCAACACCCGTTCGTCTGATATTTATAGACCTCACCCTGGTTCCATACCAACCATGTCTCCCACGATTTCCGACTTTCTCACGCCGGCTGCCAGGTCTCCTGAAGTCATCACCAACAAAAGCCTAAAACCCCATTTGAACCAGCATCACCATACACAATTGACCATGTCGAATCCTTCTTTTCAGAACATCCACCTCAGTCCTACGTTGTCGGCCTTGATAAACTCTGCATTTGGCCATGACGAAGATCTTAGGCATAACTCTCTTTTTGACGAAGAAATCAAGTTGGATATTCCCTTGAGTCCATTAAACCTTCAAAACGGAGGTCCTCTTCACGACTTTCTTGATACCCAGCTGGTACCAAGTCCCGCAAGTGTTAGGGGGTTCTCAAACCATGGTTTCCATGAAAACCGTAAAAGTATTTCTTCCAGTTCAAATGGGCATGATAAAGAGACAAAACTCTCCAGCAGCCCTGGAGGTTCCATCAATGGCATATCTACTCCCTTGACCGTTAGTGTCAAGTCTACTCCTATCTACAACGTTGGATCCAACTCTTCGATGCTTTTGACGGCCGAACAAGAGCAAATTCTTGGATTATACTCCCAATACACGGCTGAAATCTTGTCCATCAAGAATGGTCCGAATGAAAATCCCTGGAGGAAGTTGATTTTACCGTATGCTCTTCAATATTCATGTCTTTTCAACTCAATTGCATCCATAACCTTGTTCCATATGGCTGGTAATGAAGGAATAGCTACCAATAGAAACAACTTGAGAACAAGAGGGTACATGTATATGAAAAGATGCATTTTGGAGCTTGCTAGTGGCTTATCAGCATCCACAGATGGAACGGGTGAACCGAACCAACAGTTACCTGCCGATATTGCCATTGCAATATGCTTAAATTTGGCTGTCAGTGAGACTTGGGACAAGCATACTTCAAGTGGAATAGCTCATTTGAAAGGTGCTAAAACCATGATCCAAAACGTGTTGGCACTCTTGAAAGAAAACCAAAATGAAATGTGCAAAAAGAGAAGAAAGATACATTCTAACGGCTCAACTCCTAAAGACACAGAGGAGTATGGAGTCTTAGTGAACTCCAAACGAGACGAATTGAAGAAAAGATTAGTGCTTGTGGAAGATTCTGAATGGGATAAGATTTTGACTGGTGAAGATGAGGTAGAAGAAGATCATGAAGAAGCCAAACCTGATCTTTTGAAGATTCCCAAGTCAACTCAATTTTTGTTCAATATTTGGATTTATTTTGAAGTCTTGGCCCAAATGACTACCGAGTCAGATGAAAAGGGAATCGACTTGGTGGCCTCTATCACCACTATTTTGCAGGATTCCAAGAAGAAAGAAGGTAAGGGTTCCAAGTTTCTCGAAGACAAACTCGATAGGTCACCTGATGTCAAGTCCGAATCTAGCGAACTGACGTTAGGAAATGTGGACACTTTTGGTGGTATTCATAGAGGATTCAATAATTTATTCGACAATTTCGAGAACATTTCTTTGAATTCCGATTATGTTGATCCTCTTTTGGGATGTGCTCAATCATTGTTTCTGATTATGGGGAAAGTTGCATCGTTGATTTCAAACATTCGAAAGATCAGGAAGAAAGATAAGAAGCTTCCTGACAGGAATACGTTAACAACCATAACCAGAGCCACCCAGCTAAGACAAGACTTATTGTCATGGAAACCCACCATTTCTGCATCGATGTTGGAACAAATGAATGCTGCAAATAACGCCGATAACACCAAAACTGACTTATCCTCGTGCATTGCCACTGCCGAAGCTTATAGGTTTGCAACATTATTGTACCTTCATCAGGCAGTTCCTGAAATTCCATCCTTATCCTCTCATCAGCTCGCCGAAAAGATATTCATTCTTTTGGCATCCATTCCTACTACGTCTCCAACCTACACGGTCCATATTTTTCCTTTACTAGTGAGCTCTTGTGAAGCAGAGCTTGCTGAGGAAAGAGAGTGGTGTGAAGAAAGATGGAGGATTCTTTCTTCTAGACTTTGGATTGGAAATGTCGATAGAGCATTTGAAGTGGTTAAGGAGGTTTGGAAAAGAAAGGATGATTATATCAGGAAGAAACAGATCAATTCATTAAGTATAGATGATGTGTTTATACCTCATGGAACTGGAAATGACAATGAAAAGTTCAAAAACATCTCTACCCAATTGAGCGGATTAATGGCTGCAATTAATGAGCTGTGTCCAGTCGATGATATAACCGGGGGGATTTACAGTAAACTACACTGGAGTACCATCATGAAGGAATGGGGATGGGAGGTACTTCTCGGATGAATTCCACTGGTTTGATTCCACTTTTTATCATATTTATAGCTGTGTATATATTAGCTAGTGTTTGGAAATCTCACAGCACACAAAACAATGCTCGTTGATAAACTGATAAGAAAAATAATAAACCTCAGCACCATGAAAACACTTGTTAAAACCAGTTTACAATTTGCCAGACTGGTGACCAACATGTCAGTTCCATTGATTTCTGACCCCTTAACATTCAATAACGCCAGAAAGATTAGAGACACCAATACCGTTTTCTCCAAGCCCAACTTTGTTTCTTTCGATGCGTTCGGCACCCTATATGTCCCAAAGAAACCAGTACATATTCAGTACCACGAAATTGCCTCCGAGCAATTTGGAATCGACAAGCTGGCTGAATCCATTAAACAATCTTTTCCTGTCATCCACAATCAATTGCTCCAAGAATTCCCAAACTATGGTAAAGACTCTAAAGAAATCACCTCGACCGACCAATGGTGGCTGGAGTTGATTGTTCGTCTTTTTGATTTGAAGCACTATTCCCAAGACCAGGATTCCCTTGATGTTTGTAATAGCCTTATTAACCGGTTCAAGTCATCGAAAGGGTACCATTTGTATGAAGACGTGATTCCTACACTTTCTAAATTGAAGGAAAATGATATTACCGTATTGGTGTCGAGCAACTCGGATCCTCGTGTCTACGATATTCTTGAAAGCTTGGGCCTTGACCAATACATAGACAATGTCTATATTTCATACCACTTGTCCCATGAGAAGCCTTCAAAAAAATTCTTTGACTTGGTTGCAAATTCCCAAATCTCAAATATTGGCTCCTTGCCAGCCGATAAAAGATCTTCATTCTTGGAAAACTGTTGGCATGTCGGTGATAGTCACGATAAGGATTATGTGGGCCTGGTGAGATCCGGCTGGAATGGAGTACTTATTGATAGAGATGTTAAAAGTGGCTACTTGAATCACCCAATGCCTAGTCCTGAAGCTGAGTCTCCAAGTTGTATGACAGGACCTGCTGGGGATATTCGGTTGGGAAATTCTTCTCGGCCTGCTCAGATAATTGCTGATAATAGAGTGATTGTGTCAGATTTAACTCAGATATTGAGTTTGTTTGGTTTAGATTAGATTAAAGTACTCCAAAATACAAAGTAATAAAACATGTTTTGAGGTGAATAAGAACTCTTTAATGTGTCTGTATTGTCCAGCAGAGGATTTGCATATTTTGCATTCTTCAGCACCTTTTTCTCCCGCTATTAATTTTTAAAAGGAAGTATTTCCTTCGATCGGTATTGTCTGGACCCAATTGTTTGCATAGTTGGCGCAACACCTACACCTTTATGTCTCCAGCCATTGACCCATACACCCATGTAGTCGTGCGCGTCACATAAAATTTTCGAAGTCGCGGTGAACGGGCTAAACAACTGAATATTAGAACACAAGTCTCACCGACAATAGCCATATATAATGACTGCCGAAGCAAAGAGTACGTCCATCTACGATCCATGTTACACATTTCACAACCAATACTAACTGTTTTCTAGAAGATTTGGTGCAGTTGATTGAGGATGTCTTCCTGGTGCTTGAAAGGGCCGATATCGAAACATCTATTTTATCATTGGACTTCCCATCTAATTTTTATGAAGCTGATTCAACAAAGATAATAGACTCATTGCGAAACTTCTTTGATGAGTCTGGGGATTCAGGTTCCACCACAACTATATTGAAAAAGAACGATTCCAAGGAGTATACTAATCTTTATGATATCTATCATGACATCAAGGTTGCCAGTTCCCTCAAGATAAGAAACCTCAAGATTGGATCCAAAGACTACAAAGCTATAGATTTCTTCTACAAGTTTTCTACTGAGATTTTATTAAGGGAAAGTAGTTTGCTTAAAACTGCTTTATTTTCCTATTCTAGTGAGAACGACACTCCTTCTGAATTGGAAGAACAAGTGGCTTCTGATTTCGAGAAGATTGGTCACAGCTATAGTGTTTCCAATGGTGAGGTGGCGACATACATGAGCGAAATGCCAAATCCTAGTGCATCAAGTCTTATTCCTTCCTTTGGTTATGCTACTTCTTCTGCTCCTCCCACCATTAAACAACCTTTATTCACATCTCAACTTGGTAAGAGTGAATTGGATCCTAGATTTACCTTGATTCCTGAACCTTATAACTTGGTCAAGTCCATACCTTTACCGAAGAATGTGGGCTCCAGTAGTGCTACATTTGAAACGTTGAACGCTCATGTATCCAAGATTCCATTGCCTACTAACAAACCAACTACCGTGTTGGACAACTTTCTCTACATAACATGGTACATCATCAAGGCTCCTGAATGGTTGACTTACACTGGAAAAACCTTGAAGCCAACTATTACTTCAAATTTGTTCAAGGATGCAAACAAGAACGAATTCAGGTTAGCCAATTCAAATAACGAGCTGGTAAAATCCTTTGCTCCTAAATTCGACTCTAAAGGAACTGGGGTCTCGGAGATTTTAAAGAACAATGTTTGGTTAAACCAAATAGGCTATAAGAAAATCGACGAAATTAGAAAAGAATACTTGAAGAATACAGGAAAGGAAATAGTCACTGACCAAAACAAGGAAGAGTCTGACTCCAAGCTGAGCTTAAAGGTTGAGACCAAGGAGGCTGTGGATGATGATGAGAACGTCTATTTTGAAGATTATGACGAAAGTAAGACGATTGAGATTGAAAAAGTTCTCAAATGGGACCCGACTGAAATTGACGTTTTGAAATCCCTCAAGAAGGATAACAAACAGATCACGGGTTCTGCGAAGCATCTTCAACAATTGATCTCAAAGGAATTGTTGAAGTTGAACAAATTACGTCAAGAAAGGTTCCTTAGAAGTAACTTTAACAATGTGTTGCCTGCAACCTTGGCAGAGAAAAAGTTATACAAGAAAATCACAAAATTAATATCTTTGTCAATCAACTTGCACAAAGTGGCACCATCTGATTTACCTTTGGAGTTTAGTAAGAGGGTACCTGTGTTGATGACTGATTATTCTGGTACCTTACCTAGTTTACCAGCAAGTAAATCAAGATCAACCAGATTGCCAAACATAAGAGGTCCCTACAAGAAGAAGCCTCGCTAATCGGTAGGACTGGTTTAACTATATGTATTGTATCTAATGTAAAGAAAACTCTTGTGAAAACTATATATCAGCACCGTTAGCGAATGCTATGATTAGGTAGAAGTTCAACGAGCTGATGATGAGCCAAGTTAAAACACTGGCAATTGTCAACACTTTGCCGTTCTCAAATGTATACTTTCTGACTGTCACTGGAGCACTCGAGTTCTGTCCTTCACCGGTCAATAATGCAGTGTTTTCGTTGATGATTAAATGCTCGCTAGTATCAAAAACCGTGAGATACTCTTTTTTGCAGGTGAAGTAAATCAAAGGTGCACTAACTACTGGCAAAATAAAACTAAGAACCACTTGGGAGGAGTTCATGATCTTACTCACACCTTCACGTCCAAGAATACCGATGAAAAACAAAACTGGTACAATGGCCAATACTCTTGTGATTATACGTCTCAACCAAGGTTTAACAGACCAATTTATAAACCCTTCTGAGATGATTTGACCGGCCATAGTACACACAATTCCAGCACTTTGACCCGAAAACAACATCGATAATGCAAATATAAGACCTGCTGCTGGTGAAATATAGTAGGATAACATCTGATATATCGAAAGCAAATCGGCATTGTCAGCATCCGGTTTACCAAATAAGGAACTGCCTGCCACAATTAAAATTGCAGAATTGACAAACACTGCTATAATGAACAAAGAAAGCACCAATTCAGTATACGAATAGTTCAATGAATACTTTATAGCTTCGTACGATGGTCGATACTTTCTTGACAAGCTTGTACCATCAGAAATACTTCTAAACTTGTGAATAGTAGCATGTAATTCCTGATCGGAGCTTGATGCTATTGAAGTTGAATCCGGGTCTTCTGAGTCCTGACCAGTAATGAATCCGTGTTTGATATCATAATCTTTCAATCTGGATTGCACCAAAGCAGATCCCAAGAATAAAGAGTGAGGCATAACCGTGCTTCCAACTATTCCACAGCTCAAGAATAAAGCATTTTGTTCCTTGAAGATCTGGCCATTTACTGGTAAAACTCCTTTGATTATCCCACCAAGAGCTCCTTCTGGAAAGTCACATTTGAATAGCTCAAGGATAAAACAGAGGCAAGTAGCCAATACCAAAATAGATACAAGAATCTCAAATAGTCTTGTCTGTTTCATGGACCCATCTTTATGATATACCATCAAGATTATCAATACGTCCAAAATGGTTATAAGCACTCCGTAGAACAAGGGTATTCCAAACAAAATCTCCAAGGAAATAGCGGTTCCCACAACTTCTGCCAAGTCGGTAGCGATGATGGCAAGCTCAGCACAAAAGTATAAGGCCAAGTTCAAGTTGGGATTCAAGTGCAATCGGCACATTTCAGCGAGGTCCAAACCTGTGATGGTCCCGAGTTTAACACATAAGCATTGAAGAATAACTGCAAATAAATTAGACATGAATATGATGAAGAGCAACTTGTACTCATACATAGCACCAGACGACACTGCTGTCGAATAGTTCCCGGGGTCCATATACGCCACTGAGACCATTATGCCTGGCCCTACGAACGAGGCATACTTCTTTGCGCCTGCAATGACGTCCTTTGCAACAGATTTCACTCTGTTCATAGTTGGGGGTTGAGAACTCATGAGGCCGCGATTTCAGTTTCATGAGGGTACGACTTGGCAAAATCTTGAAGAATCAAAGAACAATAAATAGTTACCTCTTAGTACAGGGTGTCCCTGGTGTTTGAGTGCAAGTACACATATGATAGAGTAGCAGAATAGAATATTCCAAATCTCTAACCTTTGAAATAACAGGTTGTGAGATTGTCAGTTTGCAGCATTTCATCAACTACTTCACTCAAGAACAATTTGCTTTATTTGGAATTTCATCACCACATAAACAGGTAAATATCTGTCGAATTGAATATACCAGTACGTTCTATATTGTTGTATTTGGAGTAGGAAGCACACCAGCTTTATAGCATCCAGCCTAAACTATTTATTTTCTGCAGAAGTCAAATCTACGGCTGCTGGCTCACAAATCTGCCTCCTAATTATTCAGCCACATAGCACTCTCGGTCACGAGCCAGTCGTTCATAGCCACTGGTTAGAATAATTGTAGCCCAGATTAAATGCCCATTTGGTCTTGGTCTTGCTTTCGCGACTGTAAAACGAGGCATTGGAAAAAAAAACATAGATCGAGATTTATTATTAGAATCCAGATATTCCTAAGATCAATAACGTACTCACAACCAGTGATACGTCAAATAGTTTGAATTGGTTTATAGTCTCACTCGTAAAGTACTTTGATCTTTTACCTTTCCTCATCCCTGACGCCAACCTGGATTGTCACAACTATACAACCCCAAGATCATATCCATATTGACACCTACGATGAGACTCCACCAGTTTTTGGTCTCATTGTTTATGATCACCATCACCATAGCGGTGGATATCACAATCGGTGATGTGGATTCTGTATGTGAAGCTGCCAAGTATGTGGCAGATGGAGAGTGGAATTATTACGAAGGACTCAAGTACGGAGGTGTGGTAGGAATGTTTGCCAGTCCCAACTATTGGTGGAATGCCGGTGAAGCATTTGGAGGAATGGTGATATATTACACTTTCTGTGACAACAAAAATGAGAGTTTGAGAGACTTGATTGTGGATGGAATGTATGCTCAAGCCGGTTCCGATTATAACTACATTCCTTCTAACCAGTCGTTAACCGAAGGAAATGATGATCAAGGTGTTTGGGGGATGGCAATTATGGAGGCGGCTGAAAGAAACTTGACGCAGCCTTCTGATGACCACAGTTGGATTGCATTATCCCAAGCCATTTTCAATACCATGAATGCCAGATGGGACACCCTGCACTGTTCTGGTGGCCTTAGATGGCAGATTTTTACCTGGAACTCGGGTTATGATTATAAGAACACCATTTCCAATGGATTGTTATTCCATTTAGCTGCCAGGTTGGCTCGTTATACTGGAAACGACTCTTATGTTGATACTGCTGAAAAAGTGTGGAACTGGATGAGTGATGTTGGCTTTTTCAACAGAGATGGTGATGATTTGATCATCTATGATGGTGCTAAGATAGCAAACAACTGTCTGGCCATCACCAAAACCAGGTGGTCTTATACATATGGTATTTTACTTTCTGGCTGTGCTTATCTTTACAATCATACTCAAGATGAAACTTGGAAGGAATACTCGGAAGAAATCATTCGAGTAGCAGTGGATTATTTCCAAAGTGATGGAATCATGAGCGAAGCCAGTTGTGCCTCTGGTAGCCATTGTAATAATGATCAAAGATCGTTTAGATCCTTGTTCTCTCGTTGTTTAGGTGTTGCCAGTGTGTTAATTCCTGGATCAGACTCATTGATGAGCGATTTCTTAACCAAAAGTGCTGAAGCGGCTGCCCAGTCGTGTTCCGGTGGTACGGACGGGGTCACATGTGGTGAAGATTGGACTGCTTCGGGATATGATGGAGTGTATGGGTTGGGAGAGCAAATGTCAGCATTAGAGGTTATGTTGTCTACTATACAAGGCAATTTCGCAGCTCCACTTACGGTCGATACCGGTGGAAACAACGACACAGATTCAGAGGCAGGACTTGGATCTGAAGTCCAAACCAACAGCAATGAAGTTAAGATCTCAGGAAAGGACAAAGCAGGTGCCGGGGTGCTAACTGCTGTTGTTTTAGCAATTCTTAGTGGAGGAGGTGCCTGGATGATTTTCTAGTTAAATTACCAAATATAAAAAGTTCGTAAAACCCGCAGTATAGAAACTGAAAGATAACGACCGAGATATACTACAGTGAATGGTGTTATTTCAGTCTATTAACAACTTTGCCGACCCCCAAGGTGGTATTGGATTGCCTAGTGCAAGGAGAAGACGATTATATATACCGCCATCCACCAATTATCCGTTGTTCAGCTATGGAGATGGGGATGACCAGAGATCTTTCCTATCTTTGATTGAGACAGGATCTCATATAACCGATTTAGATGATGATAACAGTGATGCTGCCAGTGTCAGTACATCACGTTCGCTTCCTTCTTCCCTCAGCTCGGTCAATACGGACCATGAATCCTTGAGAAGCTGGCTATTGGAAGAGAGCCAAAGACTGTATTCTGCTGCTCAATCTGAAGATGAAGACAATTTACTGAACCACTCTCGGTACTCCCGAACGTCTCTATTATCGTCCAAGTTCAGTACCCATGACTTTGGATCTCTTCATACCTCCTACTCGAAGGAACTCCTGGTGATATGTCAGTATTCGTTTCCCTTGATCATCACATTTCTACTAGAACACCTTTTCAGTATCGTATGTTTGATAGTGGTTGGGCACTTGGGAAAGGACGAGTTGGCAGCCGTTTCCTTGGGCTCCATGACTACCACCATCACCTTTGCTGTGTTTGAAGGTATTGCTACTGCTCTAGACACCTTGTGTCCTCAAGCTTACGGAGCCAAAAATTACGAGTTGGTAAGTATACATGTACAGAGATGTTTGCTCTTCTCCTTGGTGGCATACGTTCCTTGTGCCATTGCTTGGTGGTACAGTTCTGTCTACTTGAAGTATATCATCGATAGTGATAATGTGTTGAAGATGACTGAAAGCTTCTTGCGTATATTGACATTAGGAGGTCCAGGGTATATTTTCTTTGAAGTATCCAAGAGGTTTCTTCAGGCTCAAGGGATCTTTGAAGCCGGTACCGGAATCCTTTTCCTCAGTGCTCCAATTAATATCTTTCTTTCTTGGTTCCTTGTGTGGAACGAGAAATTTGGAATGGGCTTTAATGGTGCTCCCATTGCAACGGTGATAAATTTCTACTTGATGGATATACTATTAATCTTATATGTGATGTTTATCGATGGAAAAAAATGCTGGTTCGGTCTAGCTTCAGTTTCTGACTTGTGCAAACAATGGGGAAACTTGTCCAAGTTGGCGATTCCAGGAATCGTCATGCTAGAAAGTGAGTATTTTGCCTATGAAATCATGACTTTAATGGCCAGTTACATGGGAACGGTGGATTTGGCAGCCCAAAGTGCAGTTAGCTCCATTGCTTCACTCACTTATATGATTCCATTTGCCATTAGTATTGCTGGGTCTACCAGAGTAGCCAATTTCATAGGTGGTCATAACATTCGAGGTGCTCAAATAGCCATCAGAGTAACTCTTTTCGTTGGTCTCGTGGCTGCATTCATCAACTGCCTTGTTTTATTTTCCCTAAAGTCTCATATTGCCAGTATCTTTACCTCAGATACCGATGTTAAAAGTTTGGTCATTGACTTATTTAACCCATTAGTGTCGGTAATCCAGATATTCGATGGGTTAGCTTGTGTTTCCAGTGGGATTTTGCGAGCGGAAGGATCTCAAAGAATTGGCGGATATATCAATTTCCTCGCATATTATGCGGTTGCAATTCCATCGTCTCTAGCCTTAAACAAGTTGTTTGACTTGAAACTCTTTGGTCTTTGGCTTGGGATTGGGGGTGGAATGATCTTAATTGCAATATCAGAGATCCTTGTGATCGTAAATAGTGACTGGGATCATATTATGATGAAAGCAGAGCTTTTGAACGACGCAGCCTTTGATAGTGATTAATATAGACCCGGCTTCAAAAGGTTCTCATTTGTCGGTACGCGAACTTTGTGAAACCCGAAGTTTAGTAAAAATTCATTCGATGATTAGTAGAACCGTACGATCTTACCACAGGGGGTTGTTGAGGGCTAGTAATCTATACTCGAGATCCTCTATAAGGTCCTATTCCATCACCATCACTCCAGCTACAAAAATCGTCAATGAAAAAAATGAACAACAGATACCAGAAAATAAATCGATCTCTCATTATATGAGAGAGTATAAACACTGGTTTCCCAATGACGAGGTAGGAAATTCCTTAATAGACACCTACGAAAGGTTACATAAATATCCCCAAGAAACCGTGACCATCGGCATTTTGTATCATGACAAAGAAGTTCAAGCCAATTCCAAAATCATTGAAACTGTACTCGCAGACCCATTGGCTAGCAATAATAAGGTATGGTTTCAAAAGATAATCGAAAGAAACAAACAACAGAATATCAGTTTTCAGTACAACGATGAAATGTTGGAAATCACAAACACCAACTTCAGCATACCGTCACCTATATTGGGCTCTTTCTCGAGACCCAATTATATGATTCCCAAAACCAACATCACCTTGAACAATATCATTCTTTACGAAATTAACGACATTCCTAGTTTCACCAAATTCAATGACTGTCACTTCTTGGTGTATGTGACCAACCGAATCACGTCGTCCATAAAACTACCCCCTTCTATCAGTGATAAGATCTTGTTAACGTTGATAGATAATAATGACTTTACTCCAGCATCAAGTGAATCAACCCCATTTCCTCTTAGGTCGGACGGTACAGTCCAGATCATAAAAATTGATAGTGGAAAGAGCTTTGAGGGGATCCAAGATTTCCTTGATAATGATGTTAGTGCTTCCAATAACTATTTGCAATCGTTAGTAGACAGTAACATCTTTCAATTTTTGAAAATCATGGGGTATAACTTGCAGATCGACAGATTGATAAATTGGAATGTTAAGAAGCTCATTAACAAGATCTCCAATGACGAAATCTCTCTTGAGCAATTAGAAAAAGTTTATAATGAGCTCAAGAACAGAGGAATCAACGATTTTAGTTCCCAAATGCACCATGAATTACAAAATGAGTTGATTCCCAACACCACAAAATTCTTCAATAAGAGACTCCGATGGTGGAAATTGTACTTCAAGAATGATAATGTTGAATATGATTTAAAAGACTTTTTCCAATTCAATTTCATGAACAAAAGCATAGAGAATTATAACTTCCTTCGAGGCAGAATCATCTCTGAGCTTCAAAATCATAATTTTGGCAAATATCTGGCCAAATCTGGCGATATTTCCAACCCTTTGATCAAATTGAAGAACGAGGTGATCAACTCGAGAATCACGTCTGAAGTTCAGCCGGTTGTTAACTCTCATCTCTTCTACGGAATGTTCTACTATCAATTTCCAACTACCATTATATCGCTTTGTGCCTACCTGATATTTGATTTTTCCTTGAATGCTTCGGTTTCAATCTTTGGGTTGGGACTAGTGATGGGATTTAACTATGTTTCAAAAGGATGGGAAAAATTCACCAAAGATTGGACTAAACGGTTATTTAACGATGTCAGGGTGTCCATTGATAGAGACTGTGTGGAAAATGGATTAGTCAAAGAGTTGACTGCTAGCTATACAGAAGAAAGACGGTTGATCGAGATAAAACGTGGAATCGTTCAGGGTATCAATAGCAAGTTAGAATAAATATATTTTGTCGTAATGTACACCTTATAAATAGATAAATATGGAGGGAGAGAGAATGCAAATGAGTGGGCACCATAAATCATAAAGCTGGTGGTGCAACAGAAGAAGAACCTGACAGTCTGGCGACCTTTCTAGCCTTAATTTGCTCCTCCAACCTGTCGAATTCCTTGAGGGCTATTTCTTCCTCTGGGTCCAAGATCTGCTCGATGTTCTCCACTTCTTCAATATAGTGTTTCAACATCGACTCCATTCCATGCTTCAAAGTATCTTCACTCGAAGAACATGATTTACAAGCTCCCTGCAACTTCAAAAACACGGTACCGGTTTCTTCATCAAATCCTTTGTATTCAATGTCCCCACCATCGTCTTGAATGGCAGGTCTTATTCTGGTTTCTATCAACTCTTTGATCATTGAAACCACCTCCAGGTCATCAGCCTCATCAGCACTCATTTGACGTTGTGTTTCGTCTATCAACTCTCTGGTTATAACGGGATCCTTGCCATCGGTTAAAAACTTATCCATCAACTCAGTGACATCGGGTCTCAAGTTCAGCCAATTCACATGATCCTGTTTGTTGACGGTCAAAAAATCGGGCCCCAACATCACGGACTTGACTCCGGGCAACTTGAACAACTTCAATGCCAAGGGAGAGTGAATGGCTTGTAATGAAGATGTGAATTCAAAGGTCTTGTTTTCTAATGGTAATATCTCCTTCTCTACCGAAACGAATTTCAATGCATCTGGGTTAGGGGTGGGATATGTTTTGAATGACAACCATCTGGCCCCCAAAACCCTCGCTGGTCTCGTATGTGGAATTATTCCTCTTAACATCTTTATCAAAACTGTTTGTTAAATCAGAAAAAAATAGTGATGATTAATGATGCTTTATATTTCTCCTCGCACTTTTCCACTACGGTCCCGAATTTTGGGGGTGGTAAACCTGCACATAGTCCGGGGTATATTGCGATAGAGGTGCGATGACAAATTTAATAGGTGTGATTGGACAATAAAACAAGGTCTAACCCAGCTATTCACGTTTGAAAGATCAATTGACACTTAGATGGGTGTGGTATAGGTTGGAGAGTATTTTTGGAGGCGGAAAGACCTATCGAAGACTTTGATTTTTTTTCTCGCCGTGTGCTCAAAAATATCCAAGGAGGCCAGTCACCCTCCGTGGCCGCCAGCCGCACCAGCGGCAGCAGCGGCGGTATTTTTCTTCCTCACAGAAAATAATTTCCAATTATCTCTTTTTCAGTTAGAATTATTTCCAATTGAAAAGCCCTTCATTACAATTGAATATATATTCTGCGATTGGCTCTCTGATAATACAAATCGATACCAACGGTATGTAGTAGCAACTTTTGTTAGGTGTACCCTGGACAATTACCTCTCAAAAATATAAATAACTGGTCTCTTACTCCGGAACTGGTGAGACTTGGGCTCCCACATAATTACAAATTTACATGCACGACGTGTTTGTGTACTTATCCTCCGGGCACTTGTAGTAACTTCAAACTAATTCATATATATATTTATTGCTTAACATTGAGCAAAAATCTAATGTGTAAAATCTGCTTGGGTGATTTTAGATTTATCACACAACTGTCTGAAAATGGAATTTCTATCCATGAATAAATTAATTGGAGTATCATACTCCATGGCCACACCTTTATCAAGAACCAATATCTTGTCATAATTAATGATGGTTCTCAATCTGTGAGCAATACAAAGAATTGTACAAAAGTTAAACTCTTTTTGAATAGCCTTCTGGATTCTGGCATCTGTAGCATAATCAACAGAAGACGTGGCTTCGTCCAAAACCAAAATCTTAGACCCTCTCGCTAAGGCTCTAGCAAAAGATATTAATTGTTTTTCACCAGAAGAGAAGTTTGATCCTTCGATTTCAACAACACTATCTAAATGGAACTTTGGTATCTTGTGTTGATCTTTTTCCCCTTTGAATTTCTCAATCTCCTCTGGTTCTAACAATCCAGTTCTTCTGAGAGCGTCCCAAAGAGTATCATCATCCGACTCTCCAAATGGATCCAAGTTTCTTCTAATGTCACCTTCAAATAACAATGATTCCTGAGGAATAATGGACAACTTGGAACGAAGATTATTCATTCCCAAGTGGGAGATATCGATGCCATCAATATTTATACTTCCTTCAGCAAGAGGGAAAAGTCTGAATAAAGTACTGATGATAGTAGACTTACCAGCCCCAGTTCTACCACAAATACCCACTTTCTCGTTAGGCTTAATTCGAAGAGAAACATTCTTCAAAACCTTTGGTAAACCTTCTCTGTACTTCATGGAGACGTTATCAAAAACTATTTCACCTTTTTCAGGCCATGTGGGAGCTGGAGCAGTATCATTTCTAATGTATGCTTCTTCTTGTGGTAATTCATTGGCATATTCATGGATTCTTTCGAATGAAGTCATATCATTTTCCACCATTGCCAGGAATCTGATGACCATTGCCAACATAAATGGAATGGGCATGAGATACGAAATCACCAAACCTGAAGAAGCAGGGCTGATATTAAATGTCCGTGTTATACAAAGCATTGTAATAACAAACACGTAAAAAACACTCACCCCAATCATCTGAATAGTTGCCCATCTTTGAACACCGTTAACCAAAAAAGATGCTTCATTTGTTTTATCCAAAAAAAGATCATTATTGTCAATGAATCTATCAACAGACCTGTAGGCCTTGATGACATCCAACCCACTTAAACTTTCAGAAAAATTGTTGAGGACTAAAGATCTTCTGGTGGATTCCAATCTTTTCAATTCTCTTGAAGAGGCCAGATAGACACTCCCCACAAGGATACAACAAACCATTATGAATGGAATTGCAATAGCAATCCAGGGAAGATAAATGATATTCAAAACAAAAATACCAATGACATATGCTAGCATGTATATCACAAGTCTAGCATTATCGACTAAGTCATTATCAATAGCATCAGTATCTCTTGTGAACCGATTCAAAATTCTTCCTGTAGGAGTAGCATCAAGAAACGACATGGGTACATGCAAGATAGATCTGATGGCTTCAACATTAATTCTTCTAGATGCTACAATAATCATCCGAACGATTATAGTAAACACGAAAGCCAACAATATAACAGACATAAAAGACAATAAGGCATAAACACCAATGTAAAAGCCTTCAGATCGGTTTTTAAACTTGTTTTCGGTCCAGAATGATAACCACACATTAATGAAAAAGTCGGAGAAAATTGCCAAAGCAAGAAACATAAGATGAAAGGTACACGCAACCCAAGAAGGGATCCTTCCAGATCCCAAATCCAACAAGTTTAAATATACTCCTAATTTAACTGAATTCTGTTTACTGATTTCATCTTCAACCAACTTTCCATCGGTTCTCCATTCATCTTGAATCTCAATCGCTTTGACTTCCAACCCAAGTTTTTCTTCCTCTAAAACTTCTTCTTCTGCTTCTTTCTCTTCTGCTTCTTCCTCGTCTGCTTCCTTTACCGATGTGTCGTCTCTGTCCCTATGGGTCAACATTTCTCTAAATTCGCTACTTGTTGCATTCAATTCATCCATCGTACCAAAGTCAATAGAACCATCCTTGTGTACCATTACGATTTTATCGGCATAGCCCAAGAAAGACAACTGATGAGTAGCCAATACCTTGGTTTTAGTTTTCAACATTCCCAAGAAGCAGTCCTCCATGATACTTCCACCGACTTTAGAATCCACAGCCGACAAGACATCATCAAGAAGAAAGATATCTTTGTTGGCGTACACAGCACGAGCCAAGTTTAATCTGGCTTTTTGGCCACCTGACAAAGTGACCCCTTTTTCACCAACTTCAGTAAGGTCATGGGCTGGTAGTATATCCAAGTCAGCATTCAATGAACAGGCATAGATTGCTTGTTCGTACCTCTTTTCATCAAACTCTTGTCCGAAAACGATGTTGTCTCTGATTGTAGCATTTTGCACCCAAGGAGTTCCACACAATAATAACTGACCATTAACCTCCATATTACCGTTGGTTCGTTTCATCAAGCCAGCCATAGCCTGAAGGAGAGACGACTTTCCTGCTCCTACGACACCAACTATCATAATGAAGTCACCTTTGTTGATATTTAACTCGACATTTTGCAATGCATAGCCGATCTCTGGAGCTTTTACGGCTTTCTCGAGCTCTTGTTGTTTCATTTCAAGCTTTTTTTGTTTCTTCTCCTTTCTGGACTTCTTCAGGTCGGTTTTTTGTTCTTCTTTAACTTCAGGGAATTTTTCCCAGACGAATTCACCACTTTCAATTTTTATAACAGTTTGGTCAGCATCAGTATCCAGAGGTAACCCATCTGGATTGAATTTTACATGTTCATCTTGAACATAATCCCCTGAACTCAAAAACCCGAGTATTCTTCTGATGGAAACTATCCCATCCACAACAGCACCAGCTGATTGGGGTACAGAGATGAAAATATCAGCAAGAGACCCAATCACGTTGACAGATGAAAAAATATTAGCGGGAGTGGTTTTACCTTTTGCAATTGAAAACACCGTGATAAAGCAACCCAAAGAAGCTAGAGGAACCACTGAGAGTGCCAAACATAGAGATAAATTCTTCAAGGTCTGAAGCATAATTAAGTAATGAGTCTCTTCTTTCCTTGCAGCACCCACCGCTTTTAAGTAGGGGTTTTCCCAAGAATAGTACTTGAGGACTCTCAAACTGTTTATGATTTCTTTGATTAAAGTGACTCTTTTGTCTGTGCTTTTAAGGGACAAAAGTCTGTACTTCATCATGAGCTTTACAAACAGTGCCATGACCCCTCCTAGCACCAAGATCATCCCTATGGCCACCAACACAGCCACCCCAAGATTCACGGCTAAAATGGCAATCGTGGCAGCTAAAACAGCAGGAAATGTCACAAGACGAGGCAACTCCGATATGGCTCTTTCAATCTTGGCACAATCGCTTCCCACCATGGATGTGATTTTGGCGGGTGAGTAATTGTGACGACTCCTGGAGTTTGCATTGAAAGCTTTGTTCAAAAGGGCTTTTGTCAAGATTGCGGTGGTTTGAGATCCAGTAAACATCGTCAAGTAGAAGTACAGATTGAATAATGCAGCCGACAAGAACACGAGTAACGTGACACCGATGGCATATCCTATCCCGGCATTAATTTTTGTGTCGGGGAATTCTGCCTTCAAAGACACGAATTCAATTAACTTTTTAATAGGTAATGCAGAAAGAGTGGTGGCCATCTGGCTACCCATCATTAACACAAAACAGACCCTGTACCGCCATTTGAACATGGCAAAGAATGTTCGTACACCCACAATAACAGGGGTGACGTAGGCTTCTGGCACCGCGCCTTTTTGTTGCATGTATTTCTGTTTAGCAGCCTCATCAAGTCTGTTAAAGTGGTCCATAAAAGTCTGATGATAATTTTCAACCAACAAATCGGGTTCAAGGTAAAATAAATCAGCAGCCTGAAGAGTACGGATGTAGCCAACTCGTAGCATTGGTATCATCCAAGCAAATGAGAAGTTTTTTATTCTATGTGGTTTGGGTAATGGTTTTCTCTCATCTTCGTATGGCACTGGTGGGATCAGTTTGGAAGATAAAAAAGACAACAATCGCTTTTGTCGCACGAGTCCTCCTGAAATCGTAGCTTCTTCTGAAGTTCTACTACCAGACATCTTTGTAGAGATCTTACGTAGAACCTATGGGATATAAATACTTATATTCAAAATATTTCGTCATCCTCATCTTCATGCGGCTCCAGCCTTGTAATCCCGTTTACTACCTATCACCGCCAATAATCGCCGCTATACAACGGTTTTTGGCGGGGTTAATACCAAACTCCTTCCATGACAAGCTAGTGCTCCGTGATTCTGGATGCATGAATGCTAAACCTGGGTATCGTCTGGTCATCCACGAATAAATATACAAAATCTCACTAGCTGCAAAATAGTCAAAAATAGTTCAATTAGTGCAAAATACTTTCAGGAGACAAAGGTCTTAGTTTTTCATGGAAAAGTGGTTCACAGTATGAGACTCTAGTTCCTGAACTTCCGCGAAGAATGAAGCTTTGTCAGCCTACGTAAAAGTCCCTGAACTGTAAAATTTAGCTCTGGTATTTAGGCTCAATATTACTCAGCAATTATTTTGCCCATTCTTATTTCCGCTCGAGCGATATCTCCGCCGATGACTGATTTCAAAGGGTTAGACATACGACCGTGACTTACTTTTATTGTACAAATCCATTTTATATATACTATTTGCATCTTTCCCTACAACCCAAACACTTCTGTATCGGACGTGTACGTCTGACCCTCCCCAGCTCCTACTAAAGCAAACGAGTCGTTGGTCAATCCGGAGTCTGTGAAGTTGACTGGTGGATAATAAACTCCTTCAGGCTCATATCTTTTACCATCCCAACAATACTCCTGAAAACATTCCTCACACTCATCCGATGGTTCTATTCCTTGCCTTTCTTGTTCTCTTTTGATAAGGGCACATCCGACACACTTGGGCCAATTTTCGTCGATTGTACCGTTGAGTCTGGCAGCGGTCTCGAATCCATTTCTAACCATACCTTTTTTCTCGTCATCAGTATATGAGAGCTTGAATAATGATGTATTGGAGAAGAAACTGTATGGCCTGTTGGCAATATAAATGACAAGCGGAGGAACCACGTCATCTTTGATCAAATCTGTCAAGTTACTAGCGTCGCAGCCAAAAAAAGTTGGTTTTGCAGTCAAATTATTGTGGAGAAAAGTTTCCTCATTAGGTACATATGGAACCACCAAAGACTTCCCTTGACTCTCAAATTGACGTTCGTATGCCGCGATTAATGGCCGTCCATTGGGCCAGTTGTCTCCGTTGTCCATGGCCACGACTGCATCGATTTTCCGGTGGGTGGTCAATAATGATGAAATGGCCAATGTTTCGTTAGCCAAGCCCCCATCCATCAAGTATAGGGTATCATTATTGGTGATCAGATCAGAGCCAGCATACTGCGAGCCCTTGAAGGGGTTGGGACTATACTGGGCAATATCAAGTTGATTATCGGATAAATAGTCCAAAAACCGGTTGACAAAGTACTTGAGCACGACATTCAATGAGTTGCAAGTAGGACAAGTAAGTGAACTCAAAAATGAGTTGAAAAGCGATGATGAGGTCCCCATCACGTAACCGGCATTATCAAATCCCGCCACACATGAACCGTTGGTTGGTTCACCGTTGGTGACGTTTGTTCCCAAGTACTTGATATCAATAAAACTGTTGACAGAAGGATCAAATGACCCCATCTCAAACGGATTGAACTCAAACACAGTTGAATTCAAGTGGTATGTGATGGTGTTTGGCTTTCTTCCGATAGCCGTGAACAAGGGGAATGGCATATCATAATTCTGGAAAGTCTTCATACCTCTGAGATCAGAGAAAGTGGTGGAGGTGCCATAATCATCTTCACCTTCCTGAAGAAGCTGATAAGACAATCCTCTGGCCCATGGTTCGGTTATGGTGATGGGGAAGCCAGCATCTTTCTTCCTTTGCATGTCATATTTGATTCCTACCTTGTGAGACGCACTCACCACATAGTTATTCAAATGCTTGACAAATCCGGTGAAACTATCGAAAAGCACCGAAAATGCAATGGTCCAAAGCCCCAGAGTTTCAAGAAGCTGCCGTGTGTCCGTCAAATTCCAAACATCGTAAGGATCTTCCAACACCACCTCTTCTACTGTGGGGAAATCCTGCATCACCAAAGACCCAACCAACCAAGATCCTCCAGAAAGCGAACTGAGATAATTAGCACTTTGTAACACTCCTCCCAAGCCGTACTCATTTGCATCTTCCGTACGGTTATCTAATGCAGCCAATTGGCCAGCCCCAGCAAGCATGGCACGGTAACCCCCACCACTCATGGAAACAGCTATATTAACATCGGCCGATGAGTTTTCAAAAAGGTCTAAGCTATCATCAAGTCCCACCTTCAGCAAATACTCTTGTAAGGCACCTCTAGTCTTTTGTTTTCTTTGGTCAATCCATGACTTCTCACTGTTTGAAAGCGAGTCCCCTTCTCTTATTAATGAAGTAGTATTAGGGCATGTCACCAACCCTGGTGCGAAAGTACCAGTAGGAGATTTTGCACAAATTACATCGCACCATAGCAAAAGAGCAACCACCAACATGTTCATGATGATAAATGGCAAACCACAGAATACTGGCGATGCCAACAATTTTAAAGCATCTGTGGGGTGCGGTTCTCGGCTACAATACCACTCGGTGACATATATGCTCGGGGATATACTTTCCTAGCTGATTAAAAACTTGCCTATTGCGGCAAGTCGGTTGAGACCCGAGATTACCCCATTCGTAGGTGCCGGGTAAACGTAAATTATTTTGTGCATTCTTGATGTCAAATGTGGAGTTGGACATACAGGGGTGACCTTCATATTGCGATCTAGTGAGAGATGGGGAGTCTTGTGTGAGTTGGGGAGTCTTTTGTGAGTTGGGGATTCGCCAATAAATACAAACATAATAAATAAATAAATAATAAACAAATAATATGCTGAAAGTCTCATTCGTGTCGCATTGTTATAATTATTAGTCCTGCCGTTTAACAATATCGTGAATTAGACTGTTGGTTTCGAACGGATTATCAATGTAGAGATTGTGACCTCCTTCTCCAACAGTATGAAACTCGGCGGTTTGTGTTTGGGTCTGCTTATTGACCAATTCCACAAGCTTGGAGCCAGCTTCGGAGTTCATGAAGTCGTATTGCCCATAGAGAAAGTGTACCTCAAACTTGTCATCCCATTGGTTATTCTTGAGAAACTCATTAAACTTGTCGAAAATTGGGTGCTTGCTAACGGTACTAGGGGTGAGGAGATACTTGATGTAGATGTCTGAAACGGTGCCATTGGTAATGGAGTTGTACAAATACTCGATGATTAAATGGCATTCTCTATTGCTTCCATAATGTAAGTCAATTTGACTTTTGAACACTTTCTCAGGTCCTCCAAGCTTGGTAATGAGCTTGTTGATTTTGAATAGCTTTGAATACCACATTTCGTAGTATTTGGCCACTCCCCAAGGGCCCATCAACTTTAAAAGTCTGGGTAAATATGGCTGCAAATCATACCAATGCCTCACGGTTTTGCGTGGAAGAATCGGGATCCGACTAAGAAAATTGTGGTCTGTCGGGTCTAGGGTGGGCTGTATCTTGTTCGGATCTTCGAACTTAAGAGGGTGCTTAATGGAGTGAATATGCCTTTCTACCCCAACTGGAGACAATAGAATCAAGTTTCTGAGGTGATTGGGATATCTTACACCATATGAAGCAGACCAGTAACCTCCGTAGGAGTGCCCCACAAGATAATCGATCTTTTCAATTCCTGAACTTTGTCTCCATCCGTCGATACCTTCAAGGTAATAGTTTTCGATTTCTTGCAAGATTGGAGTGAACTTCTGTTGGTACTCTCTGAATTTGTCTTCTTCAACCGAAAAAGATTTCACCAACTTGTAGTACTTGTTGTATAGTTTCTGGCGGTCTGTGGGCTCTGGGTCATCTAATTTCACGGGAGGGCATCTTTCGATTGGCCAGCCATTTATAGAAGTTGAGCTCGATTGGATCTTGGGATTGGAAGAGAGCCCAAACGAAAGATTATCCAAAAAATGGACCTTGTAATTGTGATTCATGTCCACAAACTTGTCAATGAGCTGGAAGTTTCGGGCAAAACATCCTAAAGAAGCCCCATATCCGTGGACAAACACAATATGTTTGGTGGGCTTTTGGCTATCATTAATCACCTCAAAGCACACTTCATTGATAAAATTCCCCTTATCATCCACGGGCACTTTCTTGTTGCTAACAGTCACATTGAGGTTCTTGCGGTGCTCGGCACTGTACACCAACTCCACCAATTCATCTTGTAAAGTTTTGAGCCTGTTGGGTTTGAAAGAGTTGAACCAAATTCGGCACAAGTCTGAGAATGGAAGGTGTTTAACCGGTTCCGAAGGTTTATAGTGGGAAGGTATCTGGAACGTTCTGCGGGGTGTTAGGCCCTTCCAAACGGCTACCGCAACACTTATACGCTGGGTTCCAAAAAGCATGCTGTTTGCTAAAAATGCTCGCGAAGTGATTGTGATTTCGGCTCGTGGATTTACTGCAAAAACAAATGCGTCAAAATTATCTTATATTACACTCACTAAAATTTACTCGAAGAATTAAAAATTATCATCTTGGCCACGGTTATATCTTCCCGAAACATAACTCAAAGATTTCTCAAGGCCTTCGTGAAAAACATGACCTTGTAACTCATCTTCAAAGTCTTCCACATCTTGATCTTCTTCAAACCAGCCTTTCTGAAATGCTTTAACCTTTGGAACACCAGCAATCGGACTAAGACGACACAAGATGGCATAGACCAAGAAAGCGGAAATGAAACCCATAAAAAAGTTCAATCTGTAAACCTTCTCGGCACCAATTGGTACAACGTGAGTTTCAGTAGCACCCACGAAACCGACAATGTTAGGCAAAATACCACAAATGTATGCAACATAAGCTCTCCAGTTACAACCGATTCTGTTGTAGAAATAGAACGAGCGGCTTTCGGGCTTTTCTGGGGCGTGCAATGAGTACAAGTGGGTCAATTTCAAGTAGCCTCTTCTGACGTAGTAGTAGTCGCAAGCAACAACACCAGCAATAGAAGACAAGAACACCGAGTAAGCAGACAAGTAGGTGGTGAACATACTGGCACTAGAGTTCAACTTCCATGGGTTGATAGCCAAGGCCAAGGCCGCACAAATGTATCCTCCTCTTCTAATGTTGATGTATCTGGGCAATAAGGCGGTAACATCGGTACCAAATGAGATCGAATTGGCACAAATGTTAGTACCCAACTGAGCCACAGCAAAGGCCAATCCCAAGAAGAACACACCGGCTCTATTACCACTGGTGAAATTGTCCAAGAACTTTGCCAATACATCGATAGGGTTCCAAAGGGTCTCACCGTACATGGAACTAGAAGCAGAACTCACCAAAATACCAATCAACGATGTCAAGGAGAAGCAGAAGGGAATCGAAACTGTGTACACGATATATTTTAACGAGAAGGTTGGCTTGTCGGCAAATCTGGAGAAATCAGGAGCATTGACAATTAAGGTTGCAAAATTGGCCAACGAGTTCAAGGTAGATTTAACAAAAGCCCATCCTAAATCACCGCCCAGTACCGTGGCCTTTTTGTGGACCACAGGACCTATACCACCGGCCTTGACGATGGTCCACACCAAAAACAAGATTCCGGCAATTGGTGTCACATAGGCCTTGAACGTGAACAAGTGTCTCACTTGATGAGGAGGAAACCAGATGGCTGGCAACGAGAACAACCAGAATAAGAAGAAACTTAAAAACTCAAAACTGGTGAAATCACTGCTGATGTGGTTAGGAATTCGGGTGTTCAAGTCGTTACCAAAGATGGACTTCAACATCACCTCTATACATGGTCCAGCAATGGCACATTGCACACCATACCACACACAACTCATCACCACTCTGTTGAAAATAGGCCATAACGACCCATATATTCCAAATGAAGATCTGGCAGCCACTGGGAACGAGATGTGATACACAATACCAACTCTCGAACCCAAAGACACAAAGATACCACATAAAAAGTATCCAACCCACACCGAAAGCCAGGTTTGCCACCAGTTCATGGTGGCCACTCCAGTAGAGGCAATCTGCCAAGTACTGATATTGAAAGAATCGGCAACCCAGAAAAATACATAATTGTACCAAGACCAAGTTCTTCTGGCATTTTCAACCGGCTTCAAGTCATAATTGACCAAAAACATCTGTGAAGTGGTTAAATCGCCCTTCTCTTGCACCTCCAACTTCTTCGACAACCGGGACCAAAATCCACCTTTGTCTTCGTATTCAGATAATTCACCTTCGATGGAGTCCGACTCATTCTTGACGCTGACATTATTAGTTTTCTCAGCCTTTGTGCTGAAGTTGCTGGCACTCATATTGCAAAGGTTAAGCTTCTTATAATTTTACAAAAAAACACACGGGATAACCAAGATATTTATAAAGCCAGAGAAAAAGTCTTATAGCTCATCTTTTCCTATTGAACGATAAGAGCGTGAGATCGATAATAATAGAAAGGCAATTTGGTGCATACAAATTTTTCAAGATCCTGCATGAACAAACGCAATTAGATAATTTTGGCGCTCCAATGACAACTGTTACTCATTAAGTTGATGGGCCGGCAGGTCCCCCTTCCAACCAAGATAACAGGTGATAGATCCAAGGAGTAGGTATAGGTGTTATCTACGGTAATCAACTGTTGGGACCCGCCTCCCGCTTAGCACATCGCTGGCCCGTCCAACCGGGGCCGACTCACATGCAGTTACTTTCCTCAGAACGGCCCGCATATCCTTCGCGTGTCCAGATACAAAGGGTGCGTAATCCTTATAGTAAAGGGACAAGCTATCAACACCTTTCCAATTTTGACTCTCGTTACAGAAAACGAGACTCTCTCTTAGGGGATTCCTCTTGTATTTATATTTTAGCTGAGATAACAAATGCCGTTTCCTGGCCGGCGAAAGTTCTTATCTTGCTTTGCCAATTGCGTGATAGGGGTTTTGTTGTGTTATCTGCCGATTATTTTTTTTGTACTATGACTTCCGTTTTGAATACCCAAGGTGGGTACTTTGCGGACTCAGATTCTAATCTATTGTTACCAATGTTCGTGGAAGTATTTGCAAGACTCGGATGACTTTGGTATTGTTTCCATTTTTGATGAGTTGGGGTCACTTATTCCATGCTTCATTGCATATCGCTTCCTGAAAATAAGGCTGTGGGAATTAATTGGCCCTCTTTAATTTCCCTAGTTTAAGAGGGGCCTCCTACCCCTGGCTCGCATTGGGTTGCGCCGATCGGGTTGCTTTCTACACGAATCCTTAGGTCAAGCCGTGCGATAACAAACCTCACACTTGTGCTAATAGGAGCGGGGATAGGGTTCCTAAAAGAGGTGCAATTACAGGAGTGGTTTATTCGCTTGCAGATAAGTTTGATTACCGCTGGGGAATGTTGAAATGAGATCTTTTGGAGGTCCTTGAAGACCAAGTTCGCTCTACTTCAGTTTAGTCTCTTTTGTAATTCTTGCGAACTTTACAGAGTTTGGTCATTTATAATATTCTAGGAAGGCACAGGTCGAGAATCTCTTTCATGGCGTATGACATACCGTAAACCTTGCTCCCGTGACGGTCGTAAATTAGAATGCGAATTCATACCTACAATAGAAGATGCTGACCCATACTACCATACTGCTGCAATAATTTGTGTACTGTAGTCACCTTGTAATTCTTCATCTTATAGAAGGCTTTTGTGGAATATAAAGCTCCCAGTCCCATATTCAACTGGCTGATGTTATTTATCCAGCGTACAGTACATTATTTGAGTCTTTTGTGCACAGCTTCAAAGGGGTTAAGCTGCCGTCTGGTGGTGGCTGCGAAATTATTTCCATGTTGAAGTACAAACAAGTTTTAGTCAATATCAGAAAGAAGAACCAGGTAGAATCTCCCATGTAAACAATACGGGTACTCCAAGGTTCCATCATGAGTAGTCAGTTTCACAATTTCTGACTGGTTCTGACTGGTTCTTATTCATCCGACATAGCCACGTACTTAGTGTCCCTCTCTACACCCCTTTCCTCTCTCTGTAGAAGACTACTTGGACTGATCTGAACCTCCCAGAACTATTCTGTTCTCCTCTACCCCCCTGAACCCCCTCAAAAATGTCTATTAACGGTCTTCCACCAAATGGCTAATTTCCGCCAGTGCACTGCCGATTTGGATGCTGCGGAGAAATATTATCGTTAACTCACTAATCATAACTGTGTTCATATGGCCCCAACCAAGGAATTCGACCCTCCACGAGACGAGGAGCTTCTACCGAGTGTTCCTCTTCCTGAGTTGATCACCTATATTCTACCGGATTTCTCGGCCTTCAAGCATTTCCAGCGGGATTTCGAACAACTGAATGAGTTCCATTTGATCGAGTACACCAAAACCACAGGATTCGATATATATTTGGTGGAACAATGGGTCAACAACCGCCTGATAGGTTCTCTCATATCCACTTACACGGGAAATACCAATAACGAGGTCCGGGTCGTTAAACTCACGGTGGTCAAAAAACCGTCTAAATTTTACCCTATACGATTCCAAGAATATTTGAGTGAACTAGTCACAAACCATGCAAAACTTAAACAGATGAACTTGCCACCCGAAGATAGTGAAAATCAAGAGAGCGAAGTCAGGAATCCTTCGGTCGGTGGAAGCAATGAAGAGTATTTGTTCATCACCAATATCACTTCCTTACCATCACATTTGAGTTTAATCCCTATATTGGGAGGTGATATTAGAGTCGTGGAAGATGAATTTGTGGTGAACTCTAACTTGAAGAGACTCCGGTGCAGTGGAAGATCTATTTCCTTGATCACCCCCAAGATCTCTGATGCCAATGAAGACAAATTCAGACGGATGTACCGAATCTATAACTTGAACGTTCCCATTAAGTTTGCGGTTAGAGAATTGATCAACATTATCCAAACGTGTTTGTTTTATTTCGATCTTTTGGATGCCCGGTACTGTGATGGGCTATTATGCAACAAGACTGAAGAAGCCATAATAAATTGGTGGAATTTGATAGGTTTACCGCATTTCAACATCAGACCTAACCACAGCGATGGTATTTTGCCTTCACGTACAGTGGCGGCCATTATCAGTTTGACCATAAGCATCAAGATTCGACTTCAAATTTTTGGTGGCTGTGACGTACCAAAAGATCCCTTTGACTTTGAAAACTTTATGATCTCCATTGGCGAATTCCAAAGACAAGTTAAGTTGGAGAAGAAGAGAAAGTTGGATATTGAAACTCTAGGTAAACTTTTCTACATCACCAGCCAAAAGATAAATCCCGACAGAGAAAAGCACAAAATTGATTACGAAGCTGGAGATATTTCCATCGAAAATATCAGCACTAATTCTTTTGCAACTGGGGCAATCTTTCCCTCGACTCCCCAGAAGAAAAACAAGAGCTACACCAAAGAAATCAGAAAATTGACGAGTGCTGTGAAAAACACCGTCCAAGATAGAATCTCTACTGTTAATAAGCCTGATGACGGGATAAAGACTGAAGCTTCCCCCAACAAGACTTCGGGAAGATTGAGAGAACGGTTAGCCAAGCTTGGTGAATCAAGTAATCCATCTGAAGTTGAAACCTTGAACTTGGAATTGTTGGTCAATAATCATTTGGTTGGCAGAACTTTAAAAAGATTATGGTATGGGTTGAGTGAACATAAAACGGACGCTTCATTGTTGTTGGATAAAGATCCCCTGGTGAGAAAAGATTTGTTGACAAGTCCTCGGCTTACTTCTGTTCGTTCTTTTGATCACCATTCTCATCACCCAACCAGCCCCACTCAAATGACTCGTCCACAAAGTCCACCAAACCATGGTCATGGTTCACATCATCATTCCCATTTGGATCCCCATGGGAGCCATCATCACAGCACAAACAAGCTTTATAAGTTTGTTAGTTTGAGAGATTCGATTGCTAATACCCAGAAGATATACTATGAAACCTCTAGGTATTCAAGAGGTCTCAACCGGATGAAGCTTGGCTTACAAAGAAATTTATTACTTCCTCAGCAAAAGAAGCTTTATCCTAACGCTTCAGCATTGAGAAGATCACATACCCAGAAATTTAATCCCAACTTGATCAATTCTTTGTCCACTGTGGATGCATTATTGAAGATCCCATCCGATAATTCAGATGATGCTAAGAAACCTAACTTCATCATTAAGGAACAACCCCCCAAAAAGTGTTCAGCACCTAACTCTCAGGACATCATTGTTAGGTTTGACAAGGGATTGAACAGAAGAAATTCGTTCCCCTTTGTTCAAGATCTGGGGGAAACTAATTTAAACTTGTTGGAGTTGACATACGAAGGAGGTGCGGAGATCTGCAAGAAGTCGACTTTAGTGAGGCGCCATAGCCATTCGATTCTTCAAGAATACGACTCTGATTTGATCACTTTAGAAAAGGTTTCGGTCAATTACTTGAATGATATGAAGTGTTTGATAGAGTCTGACATTTACAAAAAAAGCCTTCAAGAGGAAAATTCTGGTATGAATAACCTGACTCTTGAAAAGAAGTATAAGAATTTGGACAGTGATCTTCAGAAGTTGAAGTCAAATAACAAGCAGTTGTGCACTAGTAAAGCCAAACTACACAATGAAGATTTACCAAGTGTAATTGAGGCAAACATGAGAAATCTTTCTCCTAACATTGACAGACTCGTATATGAGTCAAGAATCATTATCAAACGGATCAATGAACTCGAACAAAACTCCAAAATATTAAAAGCAAAATCTAAAGATCAAAGTTACACCAAGATAAATAATATCGTCAACGACTTGATTTACCTGCACCGGTTTCACCGAGTATTCAAAAACCAAGAAGAGAGAACAGAAATTTTACTCAAACTAACCGGGGGCAATGAAGAAATGGTCCAAATGGTTGAACGTGAAATAAACCATGAAGAAGAATCAGCAGGATTCTTTCGAATCTTTGTGATGTTCTTGTGGGAAATGATCATTTTGATATTTCAGCTATTCAAGTTTGATAGGTCAAAGATGAATCTTGATAGAATCAGGCAAACTTGGGTAAAGCTTGATCCTAATAGGAAATATATTAATAGGGCATACGAATTCGTGGGGTATGAACCTACTGGATCCAGTGAAAGCGGATCTCGAAGTTCAAGGAGAGGATCTACTTTCAGCTCCTCTGGTACCGTCAACGAAGACTAAAAAAGGGCATAGCATTGTAGATATAGGTGAATAATTCTACAGACATTAATACAAAGGCAACGTAATAATTCATGAACTAACAAAAGTATGATGTATCTGGTTGAGTTTCTGTATGATTTGATTTAGGTTCTCTTGATATTCAGTTGACAGGAGGATTTCGTAGTTCTGTTCGATTTGCTTGCGTAATTGCTCCATTAACAACTCCACACTTTGAAGATTTTTCTTCATCTCCACGTTGTTGATATGTAAGGACAAAATGTTCAGCTTCAAAAAGTCATCCACATAGTGAACAACTCGGTTATTGATTGCCGTATAATCATCTTTGGTGATTTTAGGCTTATTTTCCATGTACTCCTTCACGCTGTACACCATTTCGGAATTATGATTGACCAACTCGGAAATCTTCTGTCGTATATACTCCTGTTTCTGAATATCCATAACCAATTGCAGCCTTTGTACTTCGAGGTTTCGAATCATTTGCGTTTCGGCATCAACTGAAGTCTGTGACTGGGAGTTTCCGTTCCCATTAATTGTTCTAACCTCTCTCAAAAACCCCGGGAGTTCGTTCTCTGGAACCAATTTTTTCGACAAACGTTCCAAGGTTTCCACCTGTGTGGTGGTATCCAGGAGCTGTGTGGCCAAGTTGGAGATCAAGTCGCCCAACTTCAGGCCGATATCGCCAAATTCCTCCATGAGTAGCCTCTTCCGTCAATAGCTATGGGGCGCGCATTCCGGGTAAACGCACTCGACTGATGATAATGGAAAAACAAAATTCAAGTCTCAAATCGAAACGACAGCAACACGTCTGGATAGAAAAGTAATTGTTTTTCATCTATCTGACGATATCATATTGATCTCGCTATCTCTAGAACTGTGATCCTAAGTGTCAGCCCAAATCGATCAATCTTGAAATCATTCAATCTTCGATCCAATTCACAAATCACACAACTACAAATAAAAAATACTCAACAATGGTTACAATTGGTAACGCCCATGATGATTTGATTCATGATGCAGTTTTGGATTACTACGGTAAGAGATTGGCGACCTGTTCTTCAGATAATACCATCAAGTTATTTGACATCGAAGGTGAATCCTATAAATTGGTGGAAACTTTGGTGGGCCACGAAGGTCCTGTGTGGCAAGTTTCCTGGGCCCATCCCAAATTCGGGTCCATTTTGGCCTCCTGCTCCTATGATGGCAAAGCTTTGATCTGGAAAGAACAACCAGAAACTAGACAATGGTCAATTATAGCTGAACATAAGGTTCATCAAGCTAGTGTTAATTCGGTATCTTGGGCTCCTCATGAATTGGGAGCCGTGTTATTATGCTCTTCTTCTGATGGAAAAGTCTCCGTGGTTGATTTCAAAGATGACGGAACCTCATCGCATGTTATATTCGATGCTCACGCTATAGGAGTGAACTCTGCATCATGGGCTCCAATTACTAGTGTTGATTCCAAGTCTCCAACACCTGAAAGAAAGTTTGTCACTTGTGGATCAGACAATTTGGCTAAGATTTGGAAATTCAGTGCCAAGGACAATAAGTACGTTGAAGAAGCCAGATTGGAAGGTCACAGTGATTGGGTTCGGGATGTATCCTGGTCTCCGTCGGTTTTAATTCGGTCTTACATTGCAACTGCCTCTCAAGACCGTACGGTGTTGATTTGGAGCCAAGACAAATCTGGAAAATGGCAGAAACAACTTTTGACCGATGAAAAATTCCCAGACGTTTGTTGGAGATGTTCATGGTCTTTGTCGGGCAATATATTAGCAGTATCGGGAGGTGATAATAAGGTCAGCTTGTGGAAAGAAAATTTACAAGGAAAATGGGAGTCCGCCGGAGAAGTGGATCAGTAAGTTGTATAATGAATGCCCAATAGTATAATGCCCCAACAGATGAGCCAAATAACCCTCGAATCCAAAAAAACCTAAATTAGAGTATTTAGAGTGTCAAAATAGTAATAATATCAGTTATTCATACCTATAATTGGTTGATCGTAGCTTCAAAGATCTTTTGCACATCCTTGGATGCTTCATTGGCAGCTTCCAAGACTTCTTCATGATTGGCCATTCCCTCATCTAGCCTCACTGGGCTCTCGTCTAAGGCACTGGGAGGTTTTTCACCAACTCCAACGTTTGTAATTAATGATAAAGCCAACACTTTCAATTGACTATGACGGGCTACAACAACCTCGGGGACAGTGGACATCCCCACCGCATCACCACCTAAAGTTCTAATCATTCTTACTTCCGCTCTCGATTCATAAGTTGGTCCGGCTGCAAAAAAGTAGACTCCTTCATGAACAGTTCTATCAATTCCCAACTTCTTCTTGGATTTAAAGAAAAGTCGTCTCAAATCGAAATCATAGGCATCAGATAAAGGTAAAAATCTAGGTCCATACTCAACTAAATTAGGTCCTCTTAAAGCATTAAACCCAGCAAATCCCGGGAAATTGATATGGTCGTTGATAAGCATTAAGTCTCCTACTTTGAAGTCACTATTGACCCCACCAGCTGCATTTGTCACCACCACCGTTTCAATGTCAATTGCCTTGGCTAATCTTATAGGAAAGGTGGTTTCTTGGAAGGTGTATCCTTCATAAAAATGTAATCTTCCGACCATACACATAACTGGAACCTTGTTATCACCTATTAACCCAAACACCAATTTACCAGCATGTCCGGAGACAGTTGAAGATTTAAAACCAGGAATCTCTTCATACCTAAGTTCAATCCGGGGTTCTTGTAAGATATTCACTATTCCTCCCAAACCGGATCCACAGATGATCATCACACGGGGCTTCCTCAATTGCTCATATTTTAGTAGCTTGGCTTTTACCGTGTTTGCTGCTTCCTCAATAGTTATGGAGTATTCATTAACATCAAATATGCCTGAGCTCATGATGAATCAAAGATAGAGCTTTTCAGAACCGCGAGTTTTTAGATGCAAATATCTATTAATGCTGTATATACTACAATTATTTTGATTGCTGCTGATTTATCCTGTTGGACTTCTTAGAGTATTCGAGATGCTGTTCCCGAGATTGCACCTGCTGTGAGTGTGACTTCTGATGAATGTCATCACTGAAGATTTCACTTCCTGGAGAGGAACTGTGGGTCCCAAGCCGTTTATTTTGGTACAACGATAACACCAGGTTTGTTGTATCATTACGGGTGGCTTCAGGTTGAGGTGAATCACTCTTGTAGTTTGGGTGATGCTTGTGTAGGTTTCTTATTTCATCTTCAATAATTTCAAGACTAGCTTCATCCAAAAAAGTATCGAGCTTATCGTCAGAAGAGCTCTTTGTTGCAAGTAAAGGAGACGACGGCATGGTTGTAGTCACCAGTTTGGTCTTATTCAATCGTGGTGATCTTCTGGTACTGAAGGTCTTCATTTGTGGTAAGCCAGGGTGAACTTTCAGACCTTTACTGTCTCTTACATTTGAACCACTCTTAGATGGAATTGTGTCATTATTGGATTCATGCTTGGACATGCTCGTATCAAGAGGAGTCACTTGATCTTTGGGCGTAGGATTTTCACCAAACAAACTATTCATCCATTCATTGTGATGGTCAATTGGACTGGATCTTTGAGTCGGAGGTGCATGATTGAAAGATCTAATGATCATCTTTTCAAAATCATCTGTCCCATTCCTAGCAGGAGAACTCGAATTATGGAATTGGGTAACGTCAATTGGAGGACAGTTTTCTTTATCATCACTACCTTGGTCAATGTTAATCACTCTCGTGTTCGATTTTGTGGCCATCATAGGCGGTGTTACGTCTTGCAAATCTTGAGGTAATGGGTCAATATCTGTTAAAGGCCCACCAAAATTGTTCAACTGGTTAATGAAGTCACTCAAATCGTTTTGAGTACCAAATCTTGTGTTCTGGATAACTTGATTTATTTCGGAAGGAGTATGAGATGGTGTAGCAAACTTATGACTGGCCATAGACACCATTGGAGAAGATGCAATTTGACCAGGTCTTCTGTTTGGAGCCTGGAAATGCTTATCATGAAACCTGAATTCTTCATCACCCTTGTCTACCTTGTCCTCTTCCTGACCTTCCCTTTCTTCTCTTTCCTTTAATTCTCTCTTGTATTTTTGCTGCTTGAGGTATTTCTTCACAACTGCTTCTGGCCTCATGAAACCCTTGTTACGTAAAAATAAGTAACAAGCATTACACAAAGGTCCGAACATTCCTTCGTAGTTCTTCTTGTTGAATTCTTTGGAGTTTCGGATTTCAAAATAATTAGGATGGAAATTCATTTCAAAGTATCTCCATGTTATACTTTCTTCTGTTACACAATTGGGGTTCACACATAACAAACCATGATTCTCTGGTAATTTGGTGCCCGGAATAGTATGGGTTTTCTTGCTGTCTAAATCTTCAAGATCAGGTAAAGAATGGAACCCATGCTTTCTATCGTTACTAGGTTTGTATGGTGGTTGTTGTGGTGTATAAGGAGAATTGTCAGCTTCTACTGCATCTTCAATGTCGTCTTCGTCATCTTCATCTTCCGCATCCACTGTTTGAGCGCTGTTTTCATTATATTCGGTATCATCAGTGTCACTGGATCCTTCTTCATGTATGGGAGATGATATCATCAATGGAGTATGTCTGTTTGTGACCATTGATCTTGTTCTCATGGCTCTCATAGGTTCAATCATAGAATTGGATCTGGTAGCTACTGACGCACCACTAGCTCCTGAAGCATATCCTCTGACTTGGTTTTGATAAGACTGTTTTCTTCTCCTCAAAACCTTGGGCTTGGCAATCACCTGAGCATCCACAAAAGATGCCAGCTTAAACCGATCCAATACGCTTTGTGGATCATACTTTGAAGGAGTGTTGAGCTTGTCAGCATTTCTTATACTGTACATGTGGTTATTGTAGATTTGAGGAAATGCTGGTAAAGACTTGGTTCTGGTGGCCTTTACTGGAGCAGTGTAACTACTTCTCTGGGCCTTTTGTTGTCTGTATTCATTTGAAAGATCCACTTCGGCAGACCGTTTCAGTTGTTGTTGTTGCAGTTGTGACTGTTGTTGGGAAATCTTAGGAGTGGCAGAAGCTGAAGAGTGTTCTCTCTCAATCGTATGTAATTTCAACCTTATTTCCAATGTAAGGGAAGACGAATCACTCTTCTTACCAAATAAAAAGTTTGCAGAGACATTCTGACAAACCCTGCCAGGTATCAACGTGGATTCTGAATCCTGAAGCAATTCTGAAAAAATTCCATGAGATACAAAAGGTTCGTCCGGTTGTTCCGTCAAATCCTTGTAGTAAACAGCATAGTCATGCGTTTGCAAATGGAAATTTTCGGGTGAGCTTGTTATGATCTGTTTGATACAATGTTTCAAGTCGAAGCCTCCCAACATAATTAGTTCATCCACCATGGTATTTGTGGGGATTTCGGCCACTCTGACGTTGTGCATACCACTAGATCGTGATAAGAACACAGTGGGATTATCATTGAAGGAATACAAGACTTTCACTTGCATTCTTCTTTGTTCAACATCACCATCCATTTGTGTTTTTGTGGTTTGAAAGGGTTTTTATGGTTTGATTAAAAGGGGGGTCTCTCACAGTGAATAATACGTGGCTTTATGAGCTGGGTGAGTTATGTTATAGTTGGGCAACAACTGTGTGATGGGTATAATAAATAAAGTCAAAGCCCTATGGATGGTACAACTAGTAAGTGGAGGAAAAAATAAACAACTGGAAGCCATACAAAACAAAATAAAAAAGATCGGTTACCGGATACAGGAAACACAGCGCTTTGCAATCACGAGAATCCCTTACTAACCAACCTACTTTGAGTATGTGTGTGTGTGGAAAAATATTCGAGTCTCGCTATCACAAATTGCACCTCTCAGAAAATGCGAAAGTAAACATAGAGACTCGTACATTTGGCGTTTCAATTTAATCATCGCGTCGCGATGGATTTTTTGCAGTAATTCTACAGGAGCTTTAGGAATGATTTTTACCTGTTTAGGGGGAGGCACCGAAACGTCAACGAGGTCGAATCGAAGTTTACCTTGTGCTTGTATGTATGTACATGTATTTGGATTGTCTGCCGGAGGCTGAAATCCATGTTTTAATCGAGTCCAATAAGCCGTTCAATTTCTTTCATATTGGGCCCAGCAATAGCTTTGGCCTTTTCCCGGCCCTTGTTCGTTACCTGTTCAAGGTACGCCACATCCGACATGAGGTCATCAAAAATATGCCGTTTGGGTTTGAACTCCTCCACAATCATCTCTGTCACGTGATCCTTCAATTGCTTGTGGTCCTTGACCCAATCAAGATCTTTGACAGTTTCGTCAATCGACTTTCTGGACAACCCTGACACTATGTTGATCAAGTTCGACACCCCGGGCCTATTTTCAGGATCAAAATACACCTTTCCTTGGATGGAATCGGTGGCTGCTTTGCGGATTTTTTTTGCAATGGAATCTGGTGTCTCAGTAATATATATACAAGAGTTCTGGTCGGCATCAGACTTTGACATTTTCTTGCTGGGGTTCTTTAAAGAGAGAATCTTCTTGGTGGGTGTCAAAACAGACTTGGGAATAGGGAAAAAATCCGTTTTGTAGGTGCTGTTGAAGGCCTGAGCGATGGTTCTGGTCAACTCTAAATGTTGGGCTTGGTCCTCGCCCACCGGCACATGGGTGGATTTGTAGATGAGCACGTCGGCCGACTGCAATATGGGGTACGTGAATACTCCTGCCTTGGTCTTCCCCATGGTTTCCAAATCGCTAATAGAGCTCATCTCATCAACCTTGGACTTCAGCTTCCATTGAGTCATCCGGTTCAATGCTCCCATACTCGTGAGACAAGTGAGCACCCACGAAAGCTGGGCATGCTCGGGGACACTCGACTGGTGATAAATGATACATCTTTCTGGACTTATACCTGTTGCCAAAAGACTGGCAATAGCTTCGTGTCTAGCATTTTTCAACACCTGTTGGTCTTTAACCGACGTTAACGCATGCAAGTCTGCCGTGCCAAAGATGTACCGAGTGCTGGGGTCCTCATCGGCCTGAGATATATCTTTCCAATTCGAAACAGCGCCTAGGTAGTTTCCCAAGTGTATTTTTCCAGTTGGCTGAATAAGGGAAAAAACAGTCGACCCGGACGGAAACTTCTTGGTTTCTGTAACTGTAGCAGTTGTAAACATTCTGGTCAGCTTTATGCATGGCACCAAGGTCCCAACCACCCGCGTGGTGTATTTGGTTATCATGGCGTGCTCAAACAGGTGTGGGATGTTCCTGAAAAAAATCCAATGCGAAAGAGACTACAGAGATTAGATTTGTGTGCATTTACTGTCATAGATCTGATACTGTCGTATATTACATTCATTGATACCGCATGTCGGGAGAGGCGAGAATTAAGCTCCGGGAAATCCTGGTATGGTCTTATGCAAAAATATTGATAAAAGTTTACTTTTCTCTCTTCTTATCATCATCTGTTTTGGCAACGGGGGCATCCATCACGAATCCTCCCGGCTTGTTATATATGTCCACTCCATTCTTCAACAACCGTTTCTCCAACTTGTTCCTCTGGAGTTCTCTCCATCTATTCAACTGCGAGTAGTCATGTAGTTTGAACCCAAATACCTTAGGGGTATAACACCTTCTATCATGAACAGGTATGGCCTGAGGAAAGTTTTGGAAGAACATGGCCGGAAAAGAAGTGCCAAAGTATGCCCCATCAATCACCGAGTGTCGGCCGGATTTGGGGTTATAAAAATCTTCACATTTTGCACAATATAATTTGATTGATGCCAATCTTGGTTGATCATTCAACCCTACTGGTAATAATGGATGTAACTGACAGTTGACTCGGGGACAATATCCAAAGTCCCCCTTACGGTATTTTTCGAACATCTTGTTCAATCCTCTTGACGTTAAGATGTACCTAGCATGTATCAATCCATACAATATTCTGGCATTGTGCTCAAGAGTCTCTCGTTGTTCTTCGTCCTGCAGCTCTAAGTCAATCACGTCTGTTATTATGTCTATCAATGTCGGCAACTTGTTCACTTCTTGGTTTAAGCCAGTAAGATTAAATCTGTCTCGAATATATTCCTCATCAATGTCACAAAAGTATTCGTTCCCCTTGATTCCAAGGAATAAATCTATCCAATATTCGGTGAAGTCCGAGCTTGAATCGGTGTAAAACTCTTCTTCAACTCCGTTGGCCATGATTTATCGACAACGTATACCGGGTGTAATATGGGAGGGTTCTCCTTTTTCAGGGCGTTGGCGTCTGGTTAAAAAATCTCATCATCAAATAGTGCGAACCTACAAGATGTTTTGTTTTGTGCGAGTTCGAACCTCTTTGAATTTAAATATACCTAAAACCCATGAGAGTGTTGGTTTATCCACATACGTTGCATGGAGGTGAGGTCCATACCCTCGGTATTAACAACTCCAATACCCATCTCTTATCAGCTGGGAAAGATGGAACCATTTCAGTATGGAATGTGTCGGACTTTGTGAAGTTCAATAAAGTCGACTACTCAGAAATAAAAGCTAATCTTGAAAACCACACATTTCAACAAAATTACACATACCATACGTCGCCAGTAAAAACAGTGGTTTGGTCGCCTGTTGATGATGATGCATTTATCTCAGGTGATGCCAATGGCACGATTTATATGAATAATGTCAAGAAGAACGAGCCCGCCAAGGTATATCCTTTCAGACAAAATGAGCAAGCTTCTGCCATAGTAGACTTGACATGGTCTGTTGACGGCCGTTTGATATGTTGGAGTACTGTCGATGGCAAAGTACACATTCTTGATCTCACTCGTCGAACTTATCAAGAACTTACTCTGCTCGTGAAGGCTGAAAAATTGGTACCTCAAAGAAGCCTTGCATTTGATCCTACAAACAAATACCTCATCACCGTTGGTGATGATACAGTGATCTATATCTATCAATTTCAGTACATTCCCCACTCCAAAAACTACCAATTCAAGATTTTGCATCACATAACCAGATTGATAAATGAACCCAATATTCATGTCAACTATAGCCGAATTTCATGGTCTCCAGGTGGTGAGTTTGTTTCTATACCGAGTTCGAGCAAGAATAAAACTACTTTAATCACCATTCTTTCCAAACTCCTGGGTTGGTCCAACTCCTTCAGCTTGGTTGGACATGGAACTGAGTGTGAAGTGGTAAGATTTAGTCCCCAAGTGTTTGAAAAACTCGAACCAGAGGACTCAGTAGCGACTACACAAAATGAAATTCCCACTGAGATCAAGGATCTTGGATTCTCCAATGTAATAGCCACATCTGGATCCGACCAAACTTTAGCATTATGGAATACCAGTAAGCGGTCTCCAATTTTTGTTCTTCAAGATGCTGTCAAAGGTGCAATAGTAGATATATGCTGGGAGCGTAATGGGAGATCTTTGTTTCTTGCTTCAATGGATGGAAACATCACTGTGGTGACATTTGAAGAAAAAGAGTTGGGAATACCGCTTACAGACGAAAAGATAAAGGAATTAACCGTACCGGATCCTATTGATCCTAAATCTTTCAACACTAAGATTGAACAGTCCAGTGGTTCTAGAAGAACTAATAACACTGTAGATATTTTGGAAGGCAAAGATGCAATTTCTGCTGATGTTCATGATAACAAACCGACTGAAGAGCAAATTCCCAAATCCAATGAAGTCAACGGAAAACAAGACTTAGTAACTGAGAATATCATAGCCAGTTTCACGCCCGATGTAATTCCCCCTCCAGATTTGACTAATGCCAACACTGTTGATGATATTCTTGACTCAGCTATGGAAGTCAGAGCGTCTAGGAGCTCATCTTCTGCGATGAAGAGCTCTTCTCCTTCTAGTAATGGCCATACTAATGGTGCTGTTTCCAAGGGAAGCTCTTCAAAAGATAACAAAAACTCCAGCAATGGAACACTTGTTAATAAGCTTGAGGTGAGCAAACAAAAGGTCACCACCAAGAATGGTAAAAAGAGAATCCAACCAGTCCTTGTCAGTGGTAATAAGGACGCTTCAAATAATAATTCCATTCAAAATACCATTGAAGTAAAAATCGGATCTAAAACGGGATCAGTTCCCAAACACATGATGGAACTTGATAAACCCTCATTCAACGTTTCCGACGAATTCTACAAACAAGTAAAGAGACAAAAAGTCAATGACGATACCACCAAAAAGCAGAAACGAGAACTTGAACCAGTTAAATTCATTGGCTCAGTGGTGGTCAATCCGAATACTACTTTCTCCAAAACAAGACTCGCAACTCCTAAGGTGAGACTTGGTTTTCTGATATCAAGTGCCATTGAAAACGATGAATCCTTTGTTCTTGACGTTAAGAATGGAAGTGGCAATGATGCTAGACCATCCAGAATTACTTATTTCAGGAAAGACAAGCAAATCTGGACAGATTTCATTCCCAAATTCATTCATTTGGTTTCTGAAGGACTGTCATTCTGGGCTGTAAGTACAAATGATGGTACTGTTCTCACCTATTCACATACTTCGGGTAAGAGGTTATTACCCCCCATTGTGTTAGGCTCTCCATTATCATTTTTGGAAAGTCATGGGAAGTTCTTGATGGCTGTTACCAATATTGGAGAGCTATATGTCTGGGATATCGATGCCAAAAAGTTACATTTAAACTCGCCTCTGGGTGTCAATGTATTGCTTGAAAACAATACTAAATACCTCGATGAAGGATTGTCAAGGTCTGACAAGATCACTCTATGTTCGATCACGTCTGTTGGTATTCCCTTGATTACTCTCTCTAATGGTTCAGGGTATTTGTTCAATATTGACTTAGGTGCGTGGCAAACTATTACAGAAAGCTGGTGGGCATTTGGATCACACTACTGGAACTCATTAAGTGGTGAAAATGGTAATAGGCCGCAGTCTGCCAATTTGTTTGGCAATGAGGAAGATGGCGAGTCAATCATGAGTCTTTTGGAAAATAAGACTAATGAAGAAATTATCAGAGGTAGTAGGACCGGCAGAGGCAAATTCTTTAATAAAATCTCGAAGAATATGATGATGAAGGAAGGCTTCGAGAATCTTGAAAACACTATATCTGTGAGTCATTTGGAAAACCGAATTCTATGCTGTGAAATACTAGGAGAAAAGAAGGATTTTCATGAGTTCTTCATCTCCTACGTGAAACGAATTTGCGAGTTGGGACTTAAAGCGAAGGTGTTCGAAATTTGCAGCCAACTTCTAGGTCCGGAAGCTGCAGAGGAAGATGAAGATGAAGATGAAATAATCGAGACAACCTGGGATCCCAAAATCTGTGGTTTGGATAAGCATGAGTTATTGAAGGAAGTTATACTCAACTGCAGTCAATTAAGAGACTCACAAAGAATCTTGACATATTTTGCTCAAAAAATAGGGTTATTGTGATGTCTATTATTTTAGTATGTACAAGTATTAATCTAATTCGATAATTTAAAAGTATTGGCATTGTTCCATTCTTTCTGGCCAAGGAGTCCTTTAACTTCTCCCTGTTCATTGGCAACTTTATCCAATGGCCCAGCAACATAGTCCACGTAACCGTCTGGGCCACAGACTACTGCAAGACTAGACAGTTTTTTGGGTTGTTTGCTAGTAACTTTAGCTTGTTCAATAGCTGATCCGTAATGAACGATAGTTTTATCGAACTGCTCTAATTTTTTCTCGAGTTCTTCATCCACCTTGGTGTCATTGTCATTATCCAAGATACTTTTACGTAACTTCAAAGCATCTTCAGCCGTGAGTTCATTTAACTTCTGAATCTTTTCTTTTCTCATAGGACTAAGATAGTTAGAAGGTTCGGGCTTCAAGATGTCTTTCCCAGTTAAGAATGTCTGTTCAGAATCATAATGGCGAATAAACTTGACTCTATCCAATTTCTCGAGAAAAAACATAAACCGTTCCAAAGGCTCTATCTCATTTGGACCTCTGGCCGAGTAGTGGACGGTTATAAATCCTCTGTAAGGATTCTTGGACATCAACACTTGTAACACAGGGGCAATTCCGGTTCCAGCAGCAAAAAATGTCAAGTTATCGTAGTCAGGAAGATTGTTCACAAGCTTTAACTTGTCAGCATAAATTTCAGGTTCCACTTTAGAAGGTAAATCCTTAAAAACAGGTCTTTCATGAAGCTTGGACAACGGGTGGTATGGGAACTTATACTCGATATGTGGGCCTCTCAACTCCAATTCATCACCTACATTCTTGTTGGTAATGTACTTGGAAACCTCACCATCGTCATATTTCTTCACGTAAAGAGTCATTACTCCACCGTGATCATAGTCATTTGAATTTGGGGTGATCACCTTCAATAATGGTTCTCTTTCCCCCGATCTGGTGTACTCTGACTTCATGAAATAGAGAGGTAGAGGAGTATATGATCTCACCACCATGATCTGGGGCTGTTTCACTTCTACCGACCAAATCCTATCGCCTCCCCAGATAGACTTCTGAGAGTAGTCTGTGTAAAAGCTATACTGCCAGTGCTTAAATCGGGGGGCTATTTCAATCAAATAATGGTCCTTGTCAATCTGCTGTTTATGAGTTATGACAAACTTATGGAAGGATTCAGGATCAAGCAACTCAACCGAATCAGCCCCTTCATCAGGGGGATACACCCACACTTTGATGGTATACCCGACCCAAACACATACCACCGCCGTAATCATGTGTGGGATGTATCTGGTGTATCTTTTTATGGGTTTGATTTTACCTTCTTTTGACTGTTTGGTGAAATCATCTTGATTTGGAAGTCCCGGATACTCGTACGTGAGTCGTTCATGTTTTAGCTTGGGAATATAGGGTTTTGTGTTCTTCTTCATGAACTTTGATACCTGGGAGTTTTCCAAAGGTGCTGGTGCTGCCAGAGATGATGTAGATTTTACTTTGAACTCACCAATTTCTTGAGTTTCTTTCTTGGAAACTGCCTTTGAGTCATTATTCAAGTTCCCATTGTTCTTAGGTATATCACTCGACTTGAACCTAGTCCACATTGGAGGCCCAACATGTCGCAGGACTGGTGTTTTAGTGACTCGACCTATACTTCTAAGTAACATTCTAATGGTTTGGGAAGTCGAATGCGCAAAAAAACTTCATCTCGAAATCTATCATGGTTCATCTTATAAAGTCTATTGAGGCACATAGGGATAAAGTTTGGAGCGTAAGTGGCCATGCTAACTTGCCTCTACTTGCCACATCATCTACCGATCAGACTTGTAACCTCTATAAGCTTTCATGCCGCAAGAACTTCCCATTGATTTCCAAGTTACAAGATGCTCATAAAAGATCCGTCAGAAGTGTAGCTTTTAAACCACCTTTGGGTGGTGCTGATACCCCAGATACAGATTACATCGATTTGCCTGCATTGGCTGCTGGGTCTTTCGATAGTACTATTTCTGTTTGGGGCATTGATGAACCTGAAGACCAATTTGAAGACGATGAGTACGAAAACGACGCTGACAAACATGATAAGCAAGTACAGATATTGACAAGTCCACAAAACGATTGGAACTTGATGGCCATAATAGAAGGACATGAAAATGAGATCAAGGCGGTTGCTTGGAACTACAAGGGGAACCTTCTTGCCTCATGTTCAAGAGATAAAACCATCTGGATCTGGGAAACTGATCCAGAGACCTTGGAAGAATTCGAATGTATATCGGTGCTAAGTGACCACGACCAAGACATCAAGAATGTCACATGGCACCCGACCCAAAATATTCTTGCCAGTTCGTCATATGATGATACCATCAGATTGTATAAACAGGATGAAAATGATGATGACTGGTCATGTGTGGGGGTTTTGAATGGACACGATGGAACCGTTTGGTGCTCTGCCTTTGAACATCCTAAAGCTCCTTCGTCAAGTGAAGGTAAAGTCCGTCTTGTGAGTGCTTCAGACGATTTGTCAGTGAGAATATGGAGTTGTAAGGAGACTGTGAATAACGAAGAGGACTACGAAAGAAATAGTGCGCTTCCAAGCTCCATTAAGTATGTGGCGAAAGAGATGACCTGGGAGTTGGAACTAGTCTTGCCACTGGTACATGAATATCCTGTTTATTCTGTGTGTTGGTCTAAAGAATCAGGGAAAATTGCTAGTGCTGGTTCAGATGGCAAAATCGCCATCTACAAGCAAAATGAAAACTCAAACGACTGGGAAATTGAATCCCAGTATTCTTCTGCTCATGGAGTGAGTGAAATCAACTGTATTTCTTGGTGTAAATTAGAGGAGGGAGATGAGGTATTGGTTACGGCAGGAGATGATGGTCATGTAAATATTTGGGATCCTTCTATCGCTAAAAGAGAAGACCAATGAGGATTATGAATCCCAAGATCCCCAATAGAATAAACAAACAGCATAGCATTCGTCCACTGGATCTTCTTTGGTATCTCTCGGCTCTTCTCAATTCAACAGACGCTCCTTGTACATCATCACTATACTTCAAGATATTATCCTCGATGGTGTCGATGGTAAACTGTTGTTCATGCACTATATCCTCTAGGTTTCCATAGATCTCGTTAATGTATGTGATATCCTGGCCTATCTGCTCGATTTCTCTCTCTCGTTCTTGAATAAGCAATGTCTGCTGTTCCAACTCCTCAGCATTCACTGGCTCATATTCTATCAGCACTTGTCCTCCTGAGACGGTACCGTTGCCTATATGATCATTGGTTCCTGAAGAGTACACCCCCAGGTCTAGCTCTTCAGAAGGTACCGAGTCTGTTACCTTTCCATACTTGTCGATGGTCTTTTGTTGTAGAGACTCGTACTTCTTTTGGTGCGTTTGATAGTTCTTCAAACTGCTCTTTATCTGCTTGATGACTAGTGACTCCTTTTGCCGCAAATATACAAGAGTGTCTTCGTCATCATGGTTATTCTCACACTCATTCAAGTAAGAATTAATTTTTTGGGTCAACTCATTGACGATCTTATAGTTCTTGGTGATCTTCTCGGTGAGTGCTGTGATTGTGTAAGAAAGCTTGTTGAGCTTGAGTGGTTTAGTGGAATCAGGGGGTTCTCTGAGTAAAGTGTCATATTGTGAATTGAGATTTTTGAGTGAAGTCAACTGATTGTTATTGATATTAAACAACAACGACTCGATTTGCTGACTAGAGGTTTCAAATTCGGGGAAGTCTTTGTAGTGTAGAGAGTGTGCATCCGCACCCCCAGCTTCAAGGTCTTCACTGAAGTTATTAAAAGACATGAGGTATTCGAACTGATAGCAAATGATCCAGTTTTCGCGAAGATAAAATGCGACAGGCGGCGGTACAAACATCAAATTCGTGGTGTACATACAATACTCTAAGTCTATAGTCTATTATACACTTTGTTCAGCCAAAAAACTTTCACAGTCCAAAGCAGCTTGACATCCAGAGCCAGCAGAAGTGATGGCTTGTCTATAAATCTTATCTTGGACATCCCCAGCTGCAAACACACCTGGTACCGAGGTGTGAGTAGAACCTGGTGTGGTCTTGATATATCCGGTATCATCAGTTTCAATTTGTTTACCAAACACAGCGGTGGCAGGGGTATGGCCAATGGCGTAAAACAAACCATTGACAGGTAACAAGGAGGTTTCCTTTGTCTTGTTGTTGATGATTTCAAGCCCGGTTAAAAGCTTACCATCGCCTTTAGCTTCAGTAGCTTCGGTGTTCCACAAAATCTCCAACTTTTCGTTATCCTTAACTCTTTTTTGCATAATGGTGGAGGCTCTTAATTGGTCTCTTCTCACCATCAAATACACCTTGGAACCGTACTTGGTCAAGAAAAGAGCTTCTTCACATGCAGAATCACCACCTCCGATAACGGCCAAAGGCTTGTTTCTGAAAATTGGAACTGCTCCATCACAAACAGCACAAGCAGAAATACCCTGTTGCCAATAGGTATCTTCACCTGGTAAGTGCATTCTCTTGGCCGAGGCACCTGTGGCAATGATCACGGCATCGGTAGTAATTGGTTCATCATCTTCATAAAATTCGGTCCACAATTTAAAAGGTCTGGAGCTGAAATCGACTTTGGAAATGGTTTCGGTAATGATCTTGGTACCGAATCTTTCACTTTGTTTTCTCATATTGTCCATTAAACTGGTACCGTTGATACCTTCTGGGAATCCAGGAAAGTTTTCAATGTCGGTGGTGGTGGTTAATTGACCTCCAGCTGCAAACCCATTAGCCAACATACCTTCGTATAACACGGGTTTAACCTCGGCTCTTGACAAGTAGATGGCAGCTGTATGAGCAGCAGGGCCTGAACCAATAATTGTGACTTCGTTGTGAACCATTCTGATTTGTTTTAATGTGGTGGATATAAATTTAGAATTTAGAAATCTTTTTGATATTTCCATTCAAAAACCAGAAAAATTCAACAGGGTGCTCGGGTCGGTGGGTTTTATATTCGCATGATTTTGACCAACTCTTACTAATGATAAAGTCTAGAATATGGTCGTGCGCGCGTGCCAGTTTTGGATCCCGCCTAGAAGTTCGATTTGTAAGGACGATGGCCGGATAACCAATAGAGTTATTTCGAGACTTGAGTCGAATGTGATGTGTAATAATACTATTACATGAGCACATGACTTATGGTGGACTCTGTATCACTTTAACGGTGCCGGTTTTACGGCGTGATGGCGCGGCTGAAACGGCTGAGGTTTTTGCATCCACCGAGTGTTCGGCAAAGGTCTGATACTGGTGAATATTGTACCACCGGACTTTTGAGGATTATAACGATTTGCTGATGCGGTGGTTGCTTGCCAGCTTGGCCAAAGAGTGTTCCTAGTTGGCTTAGTCATGAGATAGGAAAGAATCTGATAAGTTCCACTGGAGTACGACCGTTTCATCAATAAACCTATTACTTGTTCTATGATATGCATTCCAACTTCTAGTTCTGTTACTATTTTTGCGGCCCCAATATTCCCACAACCTATTACCCTCTCTTTTGGCAGGCCCAGTCTTCAACCTAGGTGTTTATAACCCTCCTCCTTCAACCAAGTACAAACTCCGTTACCACATTTGAATGCTGGAGTTTGGGGTTCAACAACACATTCGTCATGAACCACTGAAGGCCCTTTCTACGGGTTTCCAACCAATTGCTGGACCACATCATTCTCTGTAAACTCATTGAATCTTTAACTGGGAGATCTGGAATGTCAACGTCCTTATGCTGTTTCACTAGCATCTGTCGAAACCTTTCGATATCTGTATACCGCTTGTAAATGCATATGGAGTTGTGAGTCGAGCCGTTGATGATTATACGTATCACCCACACGATATAAGGTCTTCCTCCATCCCCCAGGATAATGTGATAATCACCCACCAAAACATCGGTGATATGGCTGTTCTCCAAAAAATGGCTACTGTCAGGAGTTCGATCCTCTAGTGATATGGGCACCGGAAGAACCTTGTTAAGCTGTGATAAAGAATGGCTATGGGGTCTTGTCATTAAAGATACAGCAGCAATTAATTTTTGGTGAGAAAGCACCCGCTTTTTTTCCCACTTGTCTCATCAAACATCATCAGCATGGATCCTATTGCCTCAAAATACTCGGTATGGAGACGGCTTATCCACCAATTCCAGATCAGAAGGGATATTCCCTTTCGTAAGAAGTTTTTTGTTGGCTACGATTTGCATGGAAATACCTACTGGGAATTTAGTTTGGATGGGAACATGAATCGATTAAGAAGAAAGATGGAACCCTATCAGGAATATATGTTTAAGGCTGATTACTTCTCCACAGTTCCTCCTCCGTGGCTCCAGTGGCTTCGACGTACGAGGGTCGAGCCTCCTACCCTCCAAGAACTTATGGCAGAGCAAATCAGACAAGATGGCATCAAGATGCTTGCATCTCAAGCCGATGAGAAATGGCAGAGCCAAAAATTACTTCTTGAGCAAGAGCAACTGTTGAAGTTGCAGACTGAGTTGGACAGATTGCACCAGGAAGAATCTAAACAATCCAAGAATGTGACTACGGACTCGGCCCCAAATCAATCAATCAATTCACCCAATGATCCTTGGGCTCAGGCAAACCAGGCCCATGAACAAGACTACAATCCCATCCAGTCAGCCAAGATTCCTATCCGAAGAAATAAGTAGTTGGGTGGCTGTCTCTTTTTTGGGTCGTTTTTGTTCACTTCAGTCATTCCTTGTACATACCTTCTAAATATTACTCAATTTGGACATCACTATCTCAACAAGCTGGTCGCTGTATTTTTCTAGTAGTTGACTGTCCGATGTCTCTTCTACCAAATGCAATACACTAACAAGTTCTTGCCGAATCTGAATCTTAATTTTTGCATCTAGCTGGTTATTCAAAAGTGAACTTCTGATCAGTCTGATATTAGTGTGTATGCTGCTAATGGCTTCTTCTTCGCTGAATCTTGTGATTGTCCTTCGGTCCTTTCCTGGTGTGACGGCATACTGCTTGGTTGGGGAGCCGTTTCCCTTACTTGTAGGAGACATTGATCTGGACCTCAAAATTGGAGATTCTGCTAATCCACTAGCTCTTTTGGCCTCGATTCTCTTCAATGTAGCATTGGTAAGCCTTGAGGTAGGTGAACTTTCTGGAGATTCAAGTATGATTTGGGCATGTGGAGGTGTAAGCGAAGGAATCGAAGCCTTACGACTTGGATGTTGCTTGGGTGTTTGAGTTTCATCTTCCTTTTTTCTAGTAGGTGAAGAGGGAAGAATCTTCCTGATGACTTTGGACAACATTGGCAACCCTGCTTCAGATCTGGCATTAGGAGAGCTTGTGGCTGATTTAAGCCCTTCTCCTTGTTGATGATTATTGGGATACTCAAGTTCCCAGTTGAATAGGCACCCATCTGCACTAATGGATATAAGTTTATTGTCCGTGATGCTTAAACTCAAGACGGTCTCCAGATGCCCATAATTTGATGTCAATGCTTTTCCCGTGAAGTAGTTGAATGTTCTCAAACATTTATTTGACGTAGAAGCAAATATGATATTGTTGTGAACAATGAAGTTTTCCAATAAAATCGAATCATTGGTCTTTTCATTATACACCTTCAACGACCTTGTTTGTTCTAATGTATCAATATTATATATCAGTAGATTTTTATCATTGGTAGAAACGATTAATTCATTGGCAAACCTCTCCATACTGATGGGGGTAGCTCTTAACGAGAGCACTTTTTCAGCCTTTATTTCTGGACCTATTTTGTGGATGGAAATTGTTCTATCACTGGAACACACATAAATCTTTCCCTTGCGATATATGACCCGAAGCAAATTCCCTGTGTGAGTGGGAAGTGTTTGCTGGAGATCCCAGCCGTCTTCGAATTTTGTGAAAACTTGAATCATCCTATCTCTTGATATGCTTACAAGATAGGTTCTCTCTTCACAAGTAAACATAATAATGTCGTTTATTGTGGACTCATGGGCCTTTACCTGATAGACTGATTCATAGTTTGAAGCTTGTTTCTCATTTATATACAAATGGCCAAACTTATCACCGACTGCTAGATAAGACTCATATTTCTCTGCAGCCGTTAATGTGTTCTGCAAAAGCTCTGGAGAAGGAAGTTCAACTCTTTGAACATTTCTTATTTCACCATCACCTATAGTTGTAGTATTAATGTCACCTGACTTGGTGAAAATCATGTACTCACTGGCGTACTTTTTGATGCCACCAATATTTTTACTTAGAGTTCCTATTAAAGACACCAGTTCAAAAGTGTCTTTATTCATTAGTTCTATTACTCCATTTTCAGAAACATGGAGTAAATAGTTTGTATTGTAATTGAAAATTCTGGAGATGTCACTGGTATGAAGATCGTATCTTGAAGGACTCAAAGGAGGAAGTAATTGGTTTTGTTGAAGCGGAACAGAAATTGTTTCACTCGGTCGTAGGTCTCCCCTGGTTATTGAATTAATTCGGAACCCATTCGAATTGAACCAAATTTTGTTGCTGTCCTTCTCAGATGTTAAAGTATTGAAACTGAATGGAGGTGACTTTAAAGGAATTAGCTTGTACTCATCGGCCAAATTCAACAAAACCAAAGTGTTCAGGCCCGCTACTATCAACACCTGGCATTCATCCAAAATAGTTGCTGATAGAAAGTTATGATTTATGAAGGGGCCTAGAATCACGTTCTTTCCTTTTAGAATAGTAGGCTTCTGGTCGACCCTAATTGGAGATTCTTCTCCATTGAAGTTCCAGACTTTAATGAACCGAGTTCCAACCGTTATTATATGGGCTCCTGGCCAGAGCAAATCGTTCACCACTGAAGAACATCGATTGGTGGCCAATAATACTATGGAGTTCAAATTAATCTTCCATACATTCAAGACTCCATCATTTACAACCCCCAAAGAACATAGATATCTCGAGTTTTCGGAAAACTTCAAGCTGGAAACACCAAATGTATGGTGTTGAATCAATGCAATTGGGCTGTTTATCAGATCGGGTGCCAAAGAAAATATCAAAATCCGGGGCTGGTAGCCAGTTTCTCCAATCGCCAAAAGTCTCCCATTACGAGATAAAGCCATACAACTGATAGATCTGACTCGGTCCTTTAGTTTTGTTGCTGAAATGGTATCCATTTCCTCCGAGATACTGCCAGCTGAGCTGTTGTTGCCATTAAATATAATAGGATCAGGTTCCAAGCTAAAACCAAATGAGTCTTTTAGATGAGACGAGTCGGGTTCTCTTTCTCTTTCAGAAATCATATTTAGATAAGCATTTGCTGAGCTGCTAGCTTCACTGTCGTTATCGGTAGAACTGGCCGCAAAAAATCGTTGGTTCTGAATACGATTATCTTGGGTGATCTGGCACACAACCACACCACCACTAGCCACGTATGCCAATCTATTGTCCTCAACACAAATGTGGCTGGGTGATCTGATAGAGTTCCCTGTGATGGCTCTGAGGGTCAATTGGGCTTTTCCAGCCAATGCCTGTGCACTGACATCTATCATAAAACTGAGCTGATTGTTTGTGTTTGCTTTACAAAATGCGGGTGTGGCAGAGATGAGATAAATACACTTTGGAGATGGAAGAGATATCTATTTCAATTGAGGAAACCAATAAGCTTCGTGAGCTGATCGGGTTGCCTCCTATTCCTGTATCTGTAAAGGTTGATACCAGGGAACTCCCAAAGAAGAAGCTGGCCAAAAAGGATGTATTATCGATAGAAGAAACAAACAAGTTGAGAGAATCTCTCGGCTTGAAGCCCATTGAAATAGTTTGTACCAAACCCACACAGAGCCAACCGAATGGCACATCCATAGCTAAGAACTCCACACATGATAACGGCGTCAAAGAGCGGATTGAATCCGCCAAAAATAGAGCTGAACATCGTAAGAAACTTCACGGTAGAGTGATACTAGATGACTACGCAGAAGAATCAACCGACTCGTGGTTACACCGCTTGCACACTAAGTCTAATAAGCCAGATGTTCCTAAAGTAGTGAAGACAATCAAAGCTTCCAACGAACAATACGAAATGCAGATAGCCCATTCTACTGATGATTTAATGAACATGAAAGACAATGATGTTTTGACCTTGAAAGATAGTGACTTGATGGATGAAACCGACACTTTGGGAAATGATCAGATTCTAGCTGCAGCTGCCTCCCGATTAGCAACTGAAAAGGGGTTCAAGGACGAAAATTATAACGTGAATGAAACTGTAACTTTGAAAGGTGGTAAGGTGGTACAGACGACTTCCACATCCTCTCTCGAATCTGAGCCTACTCCAAACCATAAGAGAAAGATTGGCATGTCTCTTTTTGATGACGAAGATAAAGAGTCGGTTCCCAAAGCGAAAAAGACTACGATGAAGAGACTCAAGAAGAAATCAGACAAACACAAACGGGTAAGGATCGCTGATGAGCAAAAGACGGATCTAAAGACAGTTCACCTAGAGCCTATTGAAAACGAGTTAGAACATGACATACAAGAATCGCTTCTGATTCAGCGACGGTTCAAGCAACAGAAACGTCGAAATATGACGCCTGAAGATATTGCCAAGGAGATCAGGCAGATGGCGAGAGTTGAGCAGGATGACGAGATGGAGAAGATGGTGATGACGGGCACGAGTGTGGAGGACGTGGTGTTCGATGCTACCGCTGATTTCTTGAATAATCTAGTTGTGAAGAACGACAAGGATGACGTGAAGGAGCAGAAGGAGCAGAAGGAGCAGAAAGAGCAGAAAGAGCAGAAAGAGCAGAAAGAGCAGAAAGAGCAGAAAGAGCAGAACAAAGACAAGGTAGAGCAAGGTGTCATGTCTCATGAAGGTTCTGAGAAGCCTTCTGAACAACTCCAAACAGAACAGTCCTCTCCTTCTACCCCCTTACAACCTCTAGGCTCCATTGCACAAACTCTTCAGTACCTTCGTTCTCAAGATATCATAGGTAAACCCGCCAGCTCCCAACTCCACCCCCAGCAAAAACAAGCACTCAAACAATTGGAACTAACCAAATTGAAAACAGCCATTGAACAACGTAAACTACAGGAACTGCTTGAATCCGATCCCCAATACGCAAAGCTCCCTGCGGAAGAACAAAAGGTCATTTTCGAACAGCGGCTCGACGAAACTCTACTGGAGAAATTTCTCCAAAACACCTCCCCTGGCGGCTACGCTCCTCGAGTCGAAATTACCTATACGGATGATTCTGGACAGAAGCTTAATACTAAGCAAGCATTCAAGTATTTATCCAATAAGTTCCACGGCACTAAATCCAAGTCGAACCTCCACTCTAAGCTGAGGATCAACAGCCACCGGAAGAATTATAACCCTCAGTAATGTGTCAAACATGCCAAAATATCTTCTAGCCTATAAAAGCATTGTAATATACATTTTCCGGTGTCGGCTTGACAGGTGCGAAGAAATGTCAAATTGTTTTAGAGAAATCTGGGCGGTCCTGTACATCAGTCGCCAATTGTGAGGACTCTCAAACTCTATCATTAGTGATCGTACTATTGAAAAAATTACACAACCTTCACACCAGCAAAATGACAGACGAACTGATGCTGAAGCTCGTGGTACAAATCTCGGGTATGACGTGCGGTGCGTGCTCTGCGTCTATCACCCTGGCAGTGTCACAGCTCGACGGAGTGTCTGAAGTGAGTGTTTCGCTCATTACTGAAGAAGGTCTAGTCAAGTTTGATCATAATAAAATCACCTCCAAACAAATCATTGACACCATTGAAGACTGTGGTTTTGATGCCAACTCCGTGTCTGAGTCCTTGTTGGGTTCGCTGGATCTTCAAGACCTGCTCATCACCTCTGTGTCTATTCAAGGGATGACCTGTGGTGCCTGCAGTGCTTCTATTACCACTTCTCTTGAAAATATAAATGGAGTGCTGGAGGTGTCAGTAAACTTGATCACCGAGGATGGAAAGATAACACACGATGTTTCCGTGACTCCCGAGATGATTGTGGGTGCAATTGAAGATTGTGGATTTGATGCTTCCATCACCGGTAGTGAGCAAGCGAATGTGTCTCACAATACTCTCACTCAAAGCACCATTGCAATCACTGGAATGACCTGTGGCTCGTGTCTGGCATCCATAACGAAGGCTTTGGAGCTACTCCCTGGTGTTTCGGCCGTGACAGTATCGCTTTTGACCGAAGAAGCAGTGATCAAATACACTGAATCGCAAATATCTGTACAAGAGCTTCTAGAAACAATAGAGAACTGTGGATTTGATGCTCGATTGGAATCCTCAAAGCTGTTGGGAATCGTGGAGAATGATGAAGAGGTGATAGCGTTACAGATTTATGGTTTGGGTGAGGGTGTTGATGTCCATGATTTCCAGTACAATATTGAAGCCTTGTTTAAAAGCTTTGGTTCTGGAATAGTTAGCTTCCAGTTGAACGTGGATAGCAATGTTTACGACGTTATGAATACTCACGGGAACGACGTGACCGAATCGTTGGTGAATCCTAGAAGCAGAGACCTGGATGTTGTTGAGGATGGAGATCATTTGATAAATGAATTGACTATAGTATACAACTCCTCCATAATAGGCGTACGAGATTTGATTGAAAAGTTGGATACCATTGACCCCAACATAAGTTTTTTGATTTTGAATTCAGTTGATCAATCATCAAATATGCAGTTGAAGCTATTACTGAAAACTAAAGAAATCAGCTACTGGAGATCCAACTTTTTCTGGTGTCTTGTCGTTGGTGCTCCCGTTCTCGTATTATCCAAAACCCAAAACACACATTTTTGGAAAACCAAAGTCATCTTTGCAGGCTTGTTCTGGACTACTTTCATACAAGGAGTTTTGGCCAGTTATGTCCAATTCAAATTGGGAATCACCTTTCTCAAGAAATTCGTCCAATTCGTACGAAACAGAGGTTCTGGTGCAACAATGGATATACTTGTTTGTATTTCCACGATGATTTCCTATCTATTCTCTGTTTTATCAACTGTGGTGTGTGTCTGGAACGGAACAACCTCAAAACCTCCACTTGTCTTATTTGACACCAGCACAATGATAATTTTATATATCTCCATCGGCAAATGGCTCGAAAATAGAGCCAAAGGTGCTACTTCAACCGCTTTGTCCAAGTTGATATCTTTAACACCAGGAAATTGTGTTATTGTAAGTGATATTCCAAAGTATGAAAGTTATCTCCAATCACTTCGTCAAGAAAAGGCCGGTGAAACAAAGTTAGAAGAAGGTGAGAACTTCCCCACGAAAACCATTGAAATTGATTTGGTTCAAAAAAACGATATTGCCATAGTTCTTCCTGGAGCCAAAGTACCAGCTGACGGTGAAATAATCTTCGGTGATTCCGAAATCGATGAAAGTTTATTAACTGGTGAAAGTTTGCCCGTCTATAAAAAAGTTGGTGACAAAGTCATCGGAGGATCTGTCAATGGTCCTGGTTTATTGCATGTTCAAGTGACTAAGATAGGAAAGAACTCCCAATTACAAAAAATAATCAAATTGGTCAAGGAATCCCAAATGAGCAAGGCTCCAGTTCAGAGATACAGTGATTATATTGCTTCCAGATTCGTTCCTTGTATCTTGATCTTGGCATTTTTGACGTTTGCATTTTGGGTTGGCTTCTGCTTCATGAAATCATCACCTTTGCCAAAAGTGTTCCAAATGGAAGAGAATGGTAAGTTCTTCGTATGCCTCAAGTTGGCTATTTCTGTAATTGTCGTGGCATGTCCTTGTGCTTTAGGTTTGGCATCACCAACAGCAATTATGGTGGGTACTGGATTAGCAGCCAAAAATGGTGTATTAATTAAAGGGGGTGATATCTTGGAAAAAGCAAGCGATTTGCATATTATTTTGTTTGACAAAACGGGGACTTTAACCACAGGACAGATGAGTTTATCTTCTTATAAGATATTGAACCAAAAAATCTCCGACTTCGATTGGTGGCAGTTGATTGGAGGTCTTGAAAGCAGTTCAGAGCATCCTATTGCTAAAGCCTTAATGAAAATTTCTAGGAAGCAACTAGGGATGTTTGCAGAGGACAACTTTGCTCCAATGCTAAAGAACTTTGAATCTTTGACCGGTCTAGGAGTGAAAGGAGAATTAATCTATAACAAAGAAACCTTCAATCTAATTCTTGGAAACAAAAGATTACTTGAATTGTCAAGTATTCAAATGGATGAAATTGAGAGTACAAACACTTTGTTGTATGTTATCATTAACAATGAATGTCATGGGTACATAGAATTGAGTGACGAGATAAAACCTTCTGCAAAATCTGTGGTAAGTTATCTCAAGCACAAAAAGTATATTGTCGGCATGGTGACGGGAGATAACTACAAAGTTGCCGAAAAAGTTGGTAAAGAATTGGGCATTATCAAATCAAATATATTCAGTGAAGTGTCTCCTCTTCATAAAGACAAGATTGTTACAGATTTAAGAAACAAATTTGGAGGTCCGTCTAATGTCAAGATTTCTTTTGTTGGAGATGGTATTAATGATGCACCAGCACTTTCCCAAGCTGATATTGGAATAGCTATTTCTAATGGAACTGAAATAGCCATTGAGAGTGCCGATATGGTTATCATGAATGAGAGTAATGATATTTTAGGTATTCCAATTGCTTTAGATATCAGCCAAAAAACATTCAGAAAGATTAAAATGAATTTTGTATGGGCCATGATATACAATATTTTCATGGTTCCATTTGCTATGGGATGCTTTTTACCCCTTGGGATAGTATTGCCACCTATGGCAGCTGGTTTGGCTATGGCTTTCAGTTCTATCAGTGTTGTTTTAAGCTCATTAATGCTCAATAGATGGAAATTCGATTTCAAACCTGATTACGATTACAAAGTTGATTATGAAAACTTTATGGAATTTGACCTTAAAGGATTTGATGTTGACGATTTTAATAGATTTACAAAGTAATTTTTGTTTTGTGTATGTTAATTCACAATAATTAATGTTAAGTCGTGTGTGACCATCCGCTAAATTTTTTATGAGTTTTAGTTGATGTCCATTTAGCCTAATCAAACAACCCAGGTTATATAGTAAAACATGGCCTAAAAATGTTGAAAAAATGCTTTTCGATTTGATGTATAATTGACCATAGGCTGTACGTCTTTATATTCTGTAAAGCATCAATTTTAAATTTTATGTTATGCACAACTTTGCTTTTGTTAGGCAGATTTTGCCAATTTTACTATAAATACTGTAACCTTTGTATTTTTTTCCCTTATCTCTATAGTAAACATGGATACTATTGACAAACTTGAAACTATTTCTGGTTTACGAAAGAGGAAGTTTCGGTCTAAGATCCCAAAGTTTAAATTTCTTTCCAAGCTCTTTAACAAGAAGAAAGCTATTATCAAGGAATTGGAAAGCATCTTAAAAAGTATCAAGAAGATCAAGAAATTGAAGGCTGAGACCCCAGAGATTTCTACAAGAGGTCTATCAGAAAAGAAAGATGAAATTATAGAAAGTCTTTTAGTCAAGGTGTTTGTTGCTTTGAAGGACAGTGAATTGATAACCCCAATGCTAGAGTTCTCTCTCACTGACGAACAAGTAAGAGGAGGATTAGTCAAGACCACCGTTGACCTTTTGAAGGCAAATGTCATTCCATGGGAAGAAATATTCACAGCCTTAAAGGAAAGTGGATTAGCTGTTGAAGTTGTTCGATTCTTATTAACAGACCCTGAAACTATAGAAGGAGAAATTGACTTAATTCTCGAATTGATTCCCAGATTGATTGAAGAAAAAGTCATCAATCTCGAAGACTTGTTGAAGATTTTACCCCATACCTATACCACCACTACGAAAACTGGTACTACTACCACTGAAACCATCAGTTTTCCCTCTGGTGGGGATTCTGTCCTTGTTGAACTCCCTATCACAACATTGTTGACATTTTTCGCAACCAACCAAACTTTGGTCGTTCCCACACCAACACCTACAGTCAATGGATTTTTGTGAAGTCACAAATATCTTGGAACAAAACAAACCGGCCATTTATCTACAGGTCATACTTACATCAAAGGTATCATATTAGAAAACATACAACACTTAATAAATTAAGCACTAAAAACTAGTTGACTTACAAAGCCAACAAAGCACCAGCAGCTAAAGCAGCAGCACCAACAGCGTATTGCTTGTTGGCAGCACCCTCCCAAGTAGAAACGTTGGCAACGGTGGTGTTAGCGGCAGAAGAAGTAGCAGCTGGACAGTCAGTGACTTCGGTACCACAAGAAGTGATGGTGACCAAGGTAGATTCGAGGTCAGTTTCAGTGACAGTGGCAGCAGAAACAACGGCTGAGAATAACAAAGCGACAGTGGAGAATTGCATTTTAACGATAGACTAAGTTGGATTAATAAACAAAAGTTTGAATAGAGAAAAGAAAAAGGATTTTTACAATGTGGGAAAAATCGGGCTTTATATAAGCAAAACTTGGGAGGCAGTATTTGTGACGATCGGACATGTTGCCTTGCACAAAATAAACATAAAAAATAAATCGCCTCTAAGTGTGCAGACCACTGCCTAATGGGGATACTCGCTTGCACGTAGCCTACTGAAAGCGGTAGTGCGCTTCCCCTATTAAGTTGGTCTCGACCCACAGCCATGGTTCGATTATGTTTACGCACTAAAGCTCAGTTTTGTGTTCACTTTGTGTGTTGTTTTATCCCTCATTAGGAAAGTCATTACTCTCGTCCCCCGTTTTATAGCTCCCGGTTGTGACAATATGCAGTAGCCGGTAATATATGGCTGGGAATGTAATGAACAATTTTCTCGGGGGCCTCGAGTTGCTTTGTTGTGAAGGTCGACAATCATTGCTCGAATGGATATTATTTTGTGAAAAATTTCCTCCCTGCATTTTAGAGCCGCCTATCTCCAATTGTTCAGTCTAGTCGTTAACGAAATAGCCATTTACAATTAGAACAGTCAGTGAGTAAACCGGACGTTATTACAATTAGTTCAATTTCATCCCTCTATTATCTTTTGTTTCCGACTGGGACTAATTTTCGTATGTTTCAGAGGTGGAACTAGAGGTGATCTTCGAAAAAAATTTTCACGTCAAAAAGCCCACATGAAGGATTTCTTTTTTGTTTTTGCGAGAAGATGCCGCAATTGCAGATACCATACGTATGGTTGTAAAGATAACCGATGTATGTACAACGGTTTAATAGTGATCGTAAAGCACTCTATTTATCTCGGTCACTTACGTGCAATTATTCAGAAGATGGAATTTTGTAGTGAATTGCATAGATAGCTCTGCCAGCACGGTAGAACCGCCGCACGAGGAATGGTGCGCCGTCTCCGCTTTCTAAGAAGCGGAATTTTGTCAGGCTTTTTATATTTTCACTCTACTGTCTTTCTGTTTTTTTCTTCACAAGGAATTCCCCTATTACATTAAAAATTATATAATAGTTCTCTTGACGTTCTTTCTAGTATACCAGTCGATATAGTCCTTCAATGAGTTACGAATTCTCTTTTGGTCCTTGTTCTCTACAGCCACTTCCACAATACTGTTGAACTTGTTTAATTGCTTGACATCGTTGTTTGGTAGGCTGCTAAAGATATTCATTAACCAGTTTACCACTAAGTTGGGTGGCCCGAGAATGATGACTTTCAAGATCAACTCATTCATGTCATAGATGATCGTATCATTGTTGGTATTGTTGAACCGGAAGATCAAACTGTGAATTAGTTTGTATAGGATTTGCTCCCCTTTGGATTCCAATACACTCAGAACCTTGAACTTAATGAGGGCTTCATCTCTGATATCCACAAATGAAATAGGGAGATTCGAAGATCCAAAACTTATCAAGTCAATCAAGTAATGAACGATGGAAATCACGCTCTCAAAGTTTTCCAAAGAATCTATCAAAACCATCGAGCTCTCAATAGATGGATTCAATACCGCCGAATCATGTAAATCAAAGAATTGATTTGGATAGTACATAAGGAAGTCATCCAACATCCGGAAGAAGTCCTCGATAACATCGGGGATCCCACTGATGTTCTTTGCTGAGCTCAATGATGTGAAAAAGTAATTGGCTTGCTCAACACCAAATTTGCACACAGTGTTTATCAAATCAGGCTCAAACGCCTCCTCATCTCCAAAGACCTTCAAGATAGTTCCACTCACATAAAGATAGCACCCGAAATTATTCACCTTAAATCCTTCAATCAATAATGTGATAATGTCTTTCAAGTTATCCAACAAGTAGATATTGAAGGATTCCACTGACACTTTGATTAACTTCATGATTTTCTCGTTAATGGTTAAATTGTTTAAGTACTTGAACAAGTACTTGTTAACAATGGGAAGAACAACACCAACAAAGGCTCCCACAGTCTTGTTCTCATAAATCTCATAGTCTTTGACCTTTAGGATCTTGAATAAAGCTGCTAAAAGTTCGAATTTTTGTCCAATCAAATCAGCATTGTTGGATTCATATAATTCGTCAAGCTTATTCAAAATTGGCTGCAAGAACAACATGATAGTATCGTATAACTTTGGATCATTTTCTTTGAAGTTTCGTAAGATGTAGCCAATACCTTCGATCAATTCTATGTTGGATTCGAAATCGATCTTGCCATTGATTTCATTGTAAACAAGGTACAACTGCTCCAAGTAATTGATAAGTAATTTTGAACAGTCTTGACAGAAGTACATCAAAGCGTTGGTGGAAGAAATGAGAATAGATTTGTAGTCCTTAGGATTAAGTGACGATGCATTTTGTTTGTCGAATCCTTTGATAATGTAATTCAACTGGATTTCTAAAAATTCTGGGTTTGCGCTGGTCCATTCAGTGTATCTTCCTAACACCAATGTAGCACTATATCTGATCTTTGGATGCTCTGGTAAGTTGATCAAATAATTCATTATTTGGGGGAGAAGAATATTTTCGGTCTTGGGGATCTCTTTAGCCATAGATCTCATAGAGAACAAAGCACTTTCCAAATTCTGCCATTTCAAGTTAGACGAGTTGGAGAACGCTTTAATTCGTTCGAAAGGTATAGACAACGCCTTATGGGATCCAACTATCACAGTTGCATCCTTGAGAACATCACCCATTTCATATCTGAATTCTTTGAACTTATCTTCTTGTTCTTTATCTCCTCCAAAGTTGTCGTCATCTGGGTAAGTCAATTTAACCAATATGATTCTTATAAGTTCTTCATAGATGGGAACAAAAATAATTCTGCAGTTCTTGAATGTAGGTATAGTCAAAAGTTGTTTCAAAAGGTACCAGAAATAGAATGAGTAATGAATGATGTTCAAATCATGATCTTCCCTTAAGAAGCCCAATAAGATTTCAACCAAAGGCTTGAATTCATCAGGATTCTTGGCCACTAGCACATGCCAACTTTCACAACTTTCCACGTACAATTTGGCAAGAATTTCGAAATTTTCCTCATCAACTTTGATAAATTTGTTTAACTCAATCAACTTCATTAATAACGCCCTTATGAGGTCCAAGTTATCAATATCTCTTGTTTCTCTGATTATGACCACCAAACAATCAATGGATTTTTCAAAGTAATCTTCGTTACTTATGGAATTAAAAATGAGGTTGGTTAAAGAATTAATCTTCAAGAAGCTTTCAATAGGAGATTCCTTGATCCAGTTAACCAAACAATCCAAGATCAAAAGCTCATGTCCTTCAACAAAACTGTCAAAGAGTAAAAACACCTGTTCGATGTTGGATTCGTTCATGATCAGATTCGTTCTTTGTTCAAACTCTTCATCAGTCAAATAAGTCTTGTTAATGTCATTGATTTCTTCAGGTAAAATCTTCAAGAACTCAAACAAGTTATCCACAAGTTTATTGTTGACAAAAAACTCCACCAAGCTATTCAAAGGATTAGTCCAACTAAGATCTTGCAACATCAACTGGCATAAACAGATATTCAATTGGATCCTTATAAGCTTGTAAGAACTATTATTGTTGTACTTGACCAACAAGTTTAAGACCACATCTCGTAACTGTCCCAAGTTTTCTTCGTTGACTTGTTCAAGATCATAAGTCAACTTGTTCCTTAAAGTTTGCGTTAAGAATAGTTTGGTTTGAATGTCAGTATCATCGTTTCCCATTAAATACTCATTACAGACTTGCCAAGATTCTTTAGACTTCTGGAAGTTCTCGAGGAACTCCATCGCTTGACGTTTAAGTTCTCGGTCCGCATTGGAGTACATAGTACCCAACGCACTGACCACGTCCGATATTTCAAACATTTTGTATGCCTGCTAAACAAAATCTCAACTTACATAGTCGCAATTTCTTGCGCATCGTCAAAGTCGTGTGCACATCAGACGAACGGCCTCATTGAAAGCGTGTTGGATTTTAGCAGAAAAATAGTTGAGACGTAAACATACCAGTTTAGACCGAAAGCGAACCGAAAGGACGTTAAGCCTAAACATAACATCCTATAAACACTCCAGAATAATTCGAAAAATCATGAGCACTCCGGTTGTCATTTCTGGTCCAAGTGGAACTGGTAAAAGTACTTTAATAAAGAAGTTATTCGCCGAATTCCCTGACAAATTTGGATTTTCTATCAGTCATAGCACAAGAAAAGCAAGACCACAGGAAGCTGATGGAGTCGACTACCATTTTACCACTATTGAAAACTTCAAGGACTTGATTTCCAAGGACGAGTTTCTTGAATGGGCCCAGTTTTCTGGCAATTATTACGGAACCTCCAAGAAGGCTGTGGACCAAGTGGCTAAAGAGGGAAAGATTTGCTTATTGGACATCGATATGCAAGGAGTTAAGGCTATCAAGGAATCCAACTTAAAAGCCAAGTATTTGTTTGTGGCACCTCCATCCGTTGATGTGTTGAAACAAAGATTAGTGGGAAGAGGTACTGAAACTGAAGAGTCGATTCAAAAGCGGTTAGATGCTGCTACTCGTGAGTTAGAGTTCGCCGAGACCGGTATTCATGACAAGATCATTGTGAATCACGACTTGGACAAAGCCTACGAAGAATTCAAGTCGTTTATTTTGGAGTCCCAGTAAATGGAATGTGTGGTTGCGAGCGTATTTTCCTTCTGAATTGAACTAATTAAAATGGAGTCAAATTGGGTGCAAAAACCGCGTTTATGAGAATGACAGTGATTTTGTGAATACAAAGTGTTCACCTGTTAACCATATCCTATTAATGATAAAATCTACATAGAAAACCTACAAAATTCCAATTCCCTTCAGATAATTGTAAATTTTGAAAGACTTTATTTTAATCGAAAACCACTTTACCAGCGCATTTAAACTTATCAACTTCATAAATACGTATATTACATTTCCATAATACAATAAATACAATAAATAAGGACAAATAGTACCAGACTATTTGTGTTTGTTTTCGTAACTTATAAGGAACTTTCTAATTTGTGCAAGGTTAGCAGACAACTTTTCGAAGATGGCAAAGTTAAGTTTCTGAGTATGGATCTTAAGGAGGAGAATTTCTCCCATGTTAAGAATGTACAAGATACTTGAATAGCTAAGATCTTCTTGGAGGTCCAAGTGGTATACGGTAGTCAAACCAAAGCCCTTCTGGAGGTGCTGGAGGAGTTCTAGCATCTCTTTGAACTTGGATGTCAAAACTAACTTGTAGTTCGATAATGGGTATTTCAAATATTTGAGTAGGAGAACCGCACTTAACGAGCAAAGATGAAAAATAGATTGAGCAAGAATCAAGTTCATGTCATTAACCATTACCTCATCGGTGAAATGGACTCCCAAAAGATTCTCAAAGCTGGTTTCGTCAAGATCTTCATCCATGAAATCTCGATCTTTTGCCTTGTTGGGTGATGTGATGGACTTTTCACATTTAGTCAATAAGAACTTTAAAGAAACTAATGAATAGTCCAATATTTTATCAACTTTGGAGAATTCATTCAATTTAACTGAATTGAGTAAGTTCTCAAATTGCTTTATAAGCTCATTATGGTTCTTTAACCAACTTTGTTGTTTCAAAAGCTTGAAGTCCAAAATAGATGAGATCTTGATGAAGTTCGTGAGAACAGAGTAGTCCTGTATCTGTGGACTACATGGACTGTCCTTGAGAAACACCGTCAAGTTATTCAAAATGTTAACAGTGTTCAAGTTCGAATTGAATTGGTTAATTTCGAAAATACCATGAACCAATGTCACAAACCCATAGTTCGACAAGTCATTCATTATACTCAAGTTCTTGTTGTTGCTGAAGTTCAATAAATTAGAGTTCTTAGAAATCTTTAACAACAAATCCTTGAAGTATAATACTGGCTGCTTCTCTTCAGAGTCAATGGCCAAGTTGAGATGTCCCGTTTCTTTGAAATGTTGGTAGTTCTTACAATTCCAGCAAGCTTCGTCTAATTTGTTAGGCAATTCAGTGTTGTTTAAGTCATTGATACTTAACGTCAATGGGATGTTATAGTAAATCAACAAAAAGTTGGTCAATCTATAGATCATGAAAATGATTCTCGATTGGGACTGTAAACTGATACCATTGTTGAAAAGAAGTTCTTCATTCATGACACTGTTATCAAATAAAGAGTCCAGTTTACCTGACTTAGACACATTCAAGTTTTCCTCTTCTTGTGGATTGATACTAAAATAAACCTTGTGTTTCTTATTCACATTCTCCTTAATACTTGTTTTCACCAAAGAGTTCAATGCATTGAGTTGTCTGATGACGATAAACACGTTGTTCTCGTTATCACTGAACAAGCCGTAAATGACAGACAACGTTAATGATTGAATCAACCATAAAGGATTGTTATTCTTTGTCTCCTGCTTCGTTTTACGAGTTTCCAAATAGATGTGGATAGTTCGTCTCGAAGCCTCATACAAATGCTCCGAATCACTCTTACTATTGGACAACAATGCACCAATTGTAGCAGTCAACAAAGGCAAACAAGCTCTTGAGCTTTCATTAGAGTAATCTTCATTGGAAGTCATCATCATGATTTCATATTCATTAAGCTTGGATGGGTGAATGAATGGAAAGTGCAACAAAAATGTGTTAATAAAGAATTCAAGGTAAAATTCCAACTTTTCATTACTAGGTATTATGGGGTTCAGAATTCCATTGATGGGATACTTGCTCAAGGATTTGTTGATCATGTTCCGCAAGTTTGCAGTATACATTCTATTCTTTGCATAGGATGTCAACTTCAAATTGTTGAAGTTAGTTGTATTCTCAATGTTCAATAACTGGGATTGGTTCAAGTAGTTATTAGGTGAGTTGTAACTTGGAGAATCGATATTGGAGGATGTGATTGAAGGGTTGTCACCATAAAAGGAGTAACCATTGGGCATGAACTTTGAACTGACATCGATTTCGTTGGTCAAGTCACCAATATCATGTATGAAGTTCAAATCAAATTGGTCTACTGAAGGAGGTTTCAGGTTCTGCTTGCCACTGTTTGGTTGACGCTGAGAATGACCATGGAAAGCCATTTGGGAATGAGATCTAGAGTTGGGGTTGGAGTTAGAATTAGAATTTGAAGAAGAATTCAAATGGTCCTCCTCGAATTCCTGTTTTATGGGCGTCAACATGGTGTTCAATTTGAACTCGCTATTGAAATTCGTGGTCATCATCAGCTCGGGAATATCATAGAAAGAATACCCATAAATCTCTTTATCATCATCGTCTCCATTCCTAGTACTATTGCCCAGCTCTAAATTTCCATTAGAAATACCGTGCTTGCCAAAATCATTTTGCATTGTTACTGTTGGCATCATATAGTGCATGTTATTAAGATCGAACTTTTTGTCCTTTAGCTCGGAGCTATTCATACCAGGGATCGATGATAAGCTATTAAGCCACGACAGTTCGTCATAGTTCTGAGAAGGAGCCAATTGTGGGGTGGAAAACTCAACATTCTCGGCCCCCGTATACAATTCGTTAAATTCAGGAACATTAGCAGCATAATTCTGACCTGACTGAGCAGAAAAGGACGCCCCACGGCCCCGGAAAAATAGATGTTTCAGTAAATCCGAGTTCTTTCTTGACTTCTTGAAAACATGGTTCTGCCCCGGAGGACTGACAATTTTACTAGAAGAAGTATTGGGGGCAGACGAGAGGGACTGAGACCTTGAATGGCTATGGGTCATTTGTTGCATCTGCTGAAGCTGGCTGTGGATCGGATCTGATCCGAAGAGGTTGAGATTGAAGTTGATATCGTGGTCTCCATGGTCATCGCTTGACTTGTCAAGTTTGTCAGGTGTAGGCATGGAGTCTGATTTTGTGGGGGAGGTGGGACCATCGATATCGCCAGCTTTCTTAACACTTTTGCGGCGTAAACGGGTGATTGCATCGGCACAACCAGCGTGAAGCTTCTGGGCATGTCTGAGTAACAAGTCTCTTCTGGAGAATTTCCGCTGACACACTCCACACGTAAAAGGCTTCTCTTTTGTGTGGGACCGCTCGTGCCGCCTAAGGTGCTCAAGTCTGGCAAATGCCCTGGTACATATTTGGCACACAAAGAGCCTTGGCTTACCACTTGGAGTGGTTCCGTAGGCAGTGAGTTCGAGAGGGATTTTTTTCTTGGAGTTGCCGTCGACCTGAGGACTGTCATCTGCGGAGGACGAAATAGACAGATTGCGAGACAGCCTTTTGGTAACGTGGGAGGGCGATGCCAGAGGCTTGGACGCTGTTCCAGGAGCACTTATGTCGCTACTGTTACTGAACAGTGACGTGACGTTGGCAAAGTTGGGTTCCATGTTTTTGTAATTCAAAGAAATCATTAACCAACACAATTTTTTCTGTCTTTTAATTTCTCAAAAACTTTTTGCGGGAGCAAAGGAAATGTCGCAGTATCTAAAAACTCCGACAATCTGGGGGCTGGTATTAATATTTCACCGGATATGCCTGGAGGTAAAAAGAATACTAGCAGTGGGCAAATGTAAAAATCAGTATGATTGATTCGATGGGATTTTTAGAAGCGGATTGTAGTATCTAGGAATTATCGGTATTTATAACCTTTTTAAGGATTCACAGGAGCCTTGCAATTTGGCCCAATAGAGATGCTGCAACAGACAATTCACCAAACCTTGCAAATGCAAAGGACAAATGTCGCGGGCCAATAGCCATGGGTAATTGAGCGCATAACCGTCTACAGTCAGTCACCCACGCAACCCGATTGTAACAATGAGCAAAGGCATAATCGGGTTGAGGAAATCCTGACGCCTGCCAACAAATGTATACGACATTACCCTGAACTCAAAATCACCCCTTTTGATACGGGAGCCAACTAGTGGCTGACCAGTGTAAATAGCAACAGTCCAAAAATCTGGGGAACCTAAAGCAGGCGCGACATTTTTGCTGGTGTGAAACGCCAGATGACTGAAAAGTGGGGTAAGTTACACAAACCCGCTTTTGCGTTTGCCTATCGCTCAACAAACTGTAAACACTTGAACGGCTAGAAACACCAGAAATGACCTTGTTTTATGAACAAGATACGTGTTTGAAGTTGTTTATTCAACTTTTGGAGAAATGGCAGGTTTCGGGGAAGTTCAAGCATTTTCCAGGCGTTTTTTCACACTCGAACTAAACAATAAGATATGTGGGCGTTTCTATTGATCCCAGCGGACAATGTATCTGCCACGCCGGAACGGCATCAAAGTCGGCCAGATTAATATCGGTGTAAATAGTTTTACTCCGGATATGTGTATACCTGCGGTCCGCCACACGACGGGCCACATCACATGCAATAAGTCACGTGCGAGCACACAACAAGTACGGTTCAGGGACTATGGCCAGTACTTGGCTAGATGTGGTTTTGGTAACACCAAGAAAGGCACTAGGAGGCCAGGAATATAGTCTCATGAAATTTGCGGTGGTTGTAGTTGCAACTCTTCCTATTTGCTTCCCAGTGCTTCCCGCAATGGCACAATTTTCGCGCGCCCATTGCAAGCCATTTCAACGCATCTTGGAATCTTTCGAACCTCACGCTTACTAACGCACACAAATGCCGGTAACAGAAATAAACTCTGAAGACCAGTTCACGACCTTGTCGAAGACGAAGGACACGTTGATATCGCTTTATTTCCACACGGAATGGGCCGAGCCTTGTAAGACCATGAACTCCATCTACAGCACTTTATCTGATACGCCAGACAACAAAGAGGTGTTATTCTTATCGATTAATGCCGATAACCAAAGCGATATTTCCGACTTATTCGACGTTTCTGCTGTTCCTTATTTCATCTTGATCAAGGACTCCACCATTTTAAAGGAGTTGAGTGGGGCGGATCCCAAAGAATTCATAGGGACCTTGAACGAGCTAAGGGGCACCACTAGTACCGCCGCCACCACCGCCTCTCCCACCCAACCAGCTTTGGAAGAGGCTCCAAAGTCTCAAGAAGATGAGTCTCCTGAGGCTTTGAACGCCAGATTGGAGAAGTTAACCAAGGCTGCTCCAGTAATGTTGTTTATGAAGGGGTCTCCATCGCTGCCACAGTGCGGCTTTTCGAGACAATTGGTGGCTATTTTGAGAGAACATGAAGTCAGATTCGGGTTCTTTGACATTTTGAAAGACGACTCGGTGAGACAAGGTTTGAAGGCATTTAGCGACTGGCCAACATTCCCTCAACTTTATGTTGGAGGCGAATTCCAAGGAGGATTGGATATCATCAAAGAAAGTATTGAAGATGATCCAGATTTCTTCAAGCACGCTATAGAAGCTTAATGTCCGTCGTTGTGTATATTTGTATTGACCTGGTATTTACAGTTATTTATCAATTATAAAAAGTCCGATTCATCCAGGAATTCGTAATCGGACTCAAATGGTAATGGTTTTTTCTTATCATCCTCTGAGTCTTCTATTGGATCGCTAAGATCGTTTTCGCTATCGTAGTCCTTTGTCATACGACCCGGGTTCTGGAATACTCCCAACGACGGGGTCGGGGAGTCTTCTTCTTCATACAAATCATCATCTATAGGAACGTTGATTTTACCTCCTATACGACCATAGTTTTGGTGGAAGCGCTTGCTGAGTATCAACGGCACATAAAACCCGTCTATTAAGTTGATGTTGTCGAAGCTCGTCTTGAAATCGTCCCCTTTGACAAAATGAATGGCCTTGGACACCTTATTGAACTGTTGAATCATGTTGAAATTCTTTGAGAACACAATCTTGTTATATGACGACAGAGACACGTTTTCACACATAGCAAGCCCTACACGAGTACCTCGGATCATCAGATCTTTTCCTTCCTCCAACTCATATATAGACTCACTTAGACTCAAATTATCTGCAATGAAACTTACACTCCGTAGATCGTCTTCGGCAACAAAATTGCTATAGTTCTCTAATATTGATAGGTGCAACAACTGAAGATTGTCATAGTTAGTGAGAACATCATCTATGGTCTTGGAATTGGATTCGTCAGAATCAAGATCTTTGAATTTGCTTGAAGAGTATATAACTTTTCCAATCGCGTGGAATAAGTTTATGGTGGTGTTTCTGTTATAGTTCAAAGGGTCGTTCAAATCCACTCCTCGGATGTAATATCGTGACCACAATTCCAAATTGTTTATCCTTGATCGTACGTCTCCCACGTCGTTGTCTTGAAGGAACTTGTTCAACGCCAATTTGGGAATGCGTTTGAATATAGATGACTCTCGGTTTGTGATTCTAGTGATGGTACTGTTCATAAACCTCTTGGCAATTCCGTTGAACTTTACCGATTCCACCCGTAGGTCTTTAAGAAGGTCTTTACCCAAAAGGGTGGTGGCATTCAAATTGTTTTCAATGTTGAAGAAATCATGAATTGACACATGGAAATTTCGTTCGATTTCTGTCAAACAGAGCACCAACGGAGGTAAACTCTGGTCTAAGTGGACCCATTCATTCAAAGATTTCCGGAATTGGGTGAGAGTATCTCGGTGGAAAATGTTGGGGAGTTCTTCAATAATTACAAACTTCATATTTTTCCCAATTAAATACTTGCAGTCATTTAAGAACTCACCAAACTTCATATCCAGTGAATATTCCACGTAGCCCCCAACTAGTTCTTTGGCCAATATTTTGGCACTCGTAGACTTGGAGCTTCCTGAGGGACCCACAATAACTAACATTTTGATGGTTTTGATGCTTATCATATCTTGCATCAATTGTCGAAGCTGCTTCAATTTCGTGGGGTTTATACAAATTTCTCCCAGATTTTGAGGTGAGTACTTGTCAATCCAAGGTACATTTTCTAAAGTAGTAGGATTCTTGGCTTCATAGAATTCAAACGATTCATCATCAATTTCTTCTGGATCTGAATCAGGGATGCTTCTCTTCATATCATGTTAAGGTTTAGGTTTTTCGCACAGTAGAAAATTCATTGATTACAAAACAATACATATGGTTAAACAGACGTACCTGGACCATGAATAAACGTGAACAAAGGTGGAAGCCTCGAGTCGGGGTTGGGAACAGAAGCAACTGCCATAGAAGGTACGCTGCTGGGGGAATAGGAAATATAACTGGTATCTGGATTAGAGTTGGGGTTTGGGTTCGTTAGGCTTTCTCTTTTCTTTCGTTTCATCTGTTTGAGGAAGAACGGATCATTAGGATAGTTATTCTTTATATCACTTGTGTACCTGTCAGCCACATCATTAGAGAATTCTGGTAAGTTGTACCACAATTCCTTGAACTTACAAGATGGGAAATCATTATTGACGGTCTCCACTATGAAGTTCTCTTGCATCCTAAGATCCAAATTGTTTTCATTCAATCCAGTAACAACATAGTCATCAACTGGTGTGTGTTCTTTAGGTTTGCGTTCTCTCTCTTTCCGTTTGGTCTTTCCTGCGAGGAAGAAAGTGTCCATCTTAATATGCCCATCGATACTAAGAATCTCATCGTATTTAAATTCCTTAATTTCTTCCATATCAGGGTATATCAGAACCCTAAGGGTTTCCTTATTCACATTGTTTGTGTTGACGAACCCACAAGTATAGTGATTTCCCACCTTAAACTGAGTAAGGTTTCTGGTCTTCAAATCACTGGGTATTATTTTGTGCCCATCATTATACTTCTGATAGTGATACTTGCAAATGAACTCATTTTTGGCAAAATCAAAGCTTGCTCCATCTTTTAGTGAACATGTAGCGTGATATGATCTATAGCACTTACCATAACTGCATTGAAAGCAGGCTCCGACCCCTTTCTGACTACAAGTCAAGCATTTCAAACTTTTTTGTGCTTTTGAAATATTGGTCAAGCCCACAATTTTATCGTTCTGGTTCTCCAATTCTTTAGGAAACACCAAACTGCAAATCCTATGCACTTTGTAGCCTTTAAAATCGGTTTGAAGAAGCTCGAATTGATACTTTTCAAGCAATTGCTTTGGCAAGTTATTAGGACACAAATAGCACTCCTTCGTTTCATGAGGCAGATTAGAACTTGTAGCTTTCTTTGATTTTGGCATTTTAGGCTCAACCTTTGGCTTTTTATTGCTGGCTTCTGGTGTAGTTTCAGTGTTTGGCTTTCTCTTCAATTTCTGCTGCTTTAGTTGTGATTCAAGTTTCAGGCTCAGGGCCACCTGTTTATCAATATCCTCATGTTCATCATCTTCATCTCCATCATCACTAGTGAGGTCTGGCATTTCGTAAGGTATACCCTTAAACTTACAGTATAACTGCTTGACATTGATGCCCACCGAATCCAGAATACACTCACATTTCTTTGTGTCTTCTCCATAGGGAAACCAATCATCTAGCGCAAAGTTAACAGACTCGGCCAAGTTATAGCCATAGTTAAAGCCTGCGTGGTAACCAAAGGGATAGGTAATAATGAACTCTTTCTCATTATGGACAATCTTATTACACTTTATGCCATACTTTTCAAGAAACTGGGGTGACACCAAAAATGTCTTATGTCTCAAAAACTCGGGGCAGTTCCGGTACTCGTCACTGAAGGTCTCTTTCATCAAGTCGAAAAATCTTCCAGACTCTTCTTGTGGAATTGAATACCACTGCTTAGGAGCCCCAAAGTGTAAGTAGTTAATAGAATATAAGTCTTGATCTTCCAAATGCCATGCAAATGTGGCTTTCCATAATCCAGCATATAAGTAGGCATCATTAACTCCTGGTAACTTTTCTTCCATCATATCTAGAAGATTGGGAAGACGAGCGACATTCCATGATTTGACCAGATTACTGAAGACTGATCCCAAACAGTCTGCTCCGTACATGGGTTCTGCATAAGTCAAGGACTTCCAATAAGTATTTTCAAGCTGTTCACACCGCTCAGTGGTGAATTCTGAAGTGTCGATATTATAATCTGTGTGTGAGGGAGTTCTTTTGTGGGGTCTTAGATTCATCTTATTTGGAGATTCTTTTCTTGTCTTACCTTTCGGAGCTGGTGGTTGATGGTTGGACTTTTCTGATAAATCTTTCCACTGAAAAATGTTATATGTCCTTGCTCTTTCGATATTCTGTTGGTTATATACTCCATTACCGGACATGTTGATATGCTGTATGATAGGGTTCTTGATTTTGATTGTATCTAGATTTTTCTTCGAATAGCTACCGGAAGTCGATTTGACCCATTCGAAAGGTGGTATCACTTTCACAATTCCCGATTGCATTCCATATTTGTTTATTGCTTTATTGAACTTATAAAAGTCCTTGAACTGAGCAAAAGTAGGTTTGAATACAGGGACTCCGCCTGAATAGTGGTCAGGCTCAATCACTAGCTCGGGATCTCCACAGTATATGTGTTCCATTGTTAGTGGAAGAAAACGATTAGGGTGGTATTAACAAGTTGAAAGAGAAATAAGTGTGTGCTGGTTTATTCGAAATGGGTTTGACTTTTGTGTATCGGCCCATTGTCGCACTCGATTGCAAAATTCTGGATAAGCGACAAGAATGGGAACAGCAAGTTAAAGATAAGACAAACTTGCAATGCTAATGAGAGAGGTATCAGAAGTGTCTATTTCACATTCTTGTCAACATATGGATTAGTTAAAACATCAACAGCGGCCAAGGCCCCCAAAAATGACATTTAAAATCAAATTTATAATGGTGAGAAATTCCTCTTGGCTTAACTCGACGTTCAGAAAAGCCATAAAAGCAGCTCTAAAACCCTACAGGCAGCAAAAAGAAAATGCGCAACCCCGGAATCGAACCGGGGGCCCAACGATGGCAACGTTGGATTTTACCACTAAACCAGTTGCGCTAGTTAAATTTCTACTCGCAAAGCATCCTCTACCTGCACATAACATTTGTTGCGCGCGAGTGATTCCACTAAACCAATTCCACTTATCTTGCTTATTATTCTGTGTGGTTCATGTTAAGGTGAAGTTCAGTTATCCAGTATGATATGTTTAAGACAGTGTATGTATGAGTCTATTTTTGTACCTATCACTGAAAAATTTCCCTAATGAGATCTGTTATAGAGTCAAAAACTTCACGTTGAAAAGACATTCAAGGTATCAAACTCTTCAAGGGTAAAAAAAAGTAAAGCTCCGCGACGGGGAATTGAACCCCGGTCCCCCGCGCGACAAGCGGGGATTCTAGCCACTAAACTATCACGGACACGCTTTTAAATAAAAAACTGTATGATTCAAATATCCTAACCTCCAACATTTTACATAGTAAACACTGGCTATAAACGATTATTATCCCTAAAAACAGGAGAGCAGATGTTTTTGCAATTTTTATTTTGCGTACATCTTATTTCCAACTAAAGAAGACTTTACAAGGCTCACATGTCGGTAGACGAGTGGTGGTCTCTAGACTTCAGCACCCCCCTTCTGGGTTGTGTGCTCTGCAAGTCAAAAATCTGGGGTACAGGGAGTGTTCCACGCCTGCACCTGTCAGGTCACATATTCATGAACAAGTGGGGCAAGTCCTGAAACCGAGAGGTGTTTCTTGTTTCTACTGCGGAATGATGCGTGAGCTAATTGTCGCTTTGATTCTAGGGATATTTGCGATGGCTCCAATTCTTGAAGGCATTTGGGATTTAATTTTTCTACAGAGTAGTCTTTCATGGCTAAAGGTTTTGTCTAGTAGAAGCACACAAATGAGTATGACTTCTGGCCTGTTTTTCATATTCGGATGCAAATGGACTAGGTCATACTCTCGTACTTATGTTGCTCTAGATTGCTTGAATACCCTAGAAATTGACGTACTTTGGCTCCGATCCATGTTTTTCTCCTCAGGAAGGGCTGGGCCACGATATAGGAAACTGCAAAGACAAGTATCCTCCTGTAATCTTGGAAAATACGGATGATTTTACTGATGGTTCACAGTTTGTTAGAATCGTGTGATCTTGGTAAACATATGTGGTATTGAACTTCAACAGCCCCTTCAAGTTTGAAGACCTTTTTGTGGGTGCGTTTTCAGCTCTCAGACTGATTTTTAGTCTTCCGGACTCGGAATAACTCCTTGGGAAGGTAGAGTAAAATAGTATGGGCTTGAATTCAGTATACTTACAGAGTTATATTCATACCACTTGTCGATTATTAGACATATACAATTTAAAAGATAAGCGAACTAAACGGTAGGGCCTGCCCCTTCTGTAGCTATGACGATATGTTTAACACCATCCTTACCCATTTCCCCAATAAGTTGGTCTGCATTGAACACATCAACTTCGGTGGTCTTAAACTTTCTTGCTGGAACTCCTTCATTGAACAACAAGTCCAACTCAGCAAAAGTTTTACCCTTGGTTTCTGGTAAATCAAACCAGCACCAAATTGCAGATGCAATACAGAATCCAGCCCAGAAGAATCCGGTCTTTGCTCCCCAGTTCCAAGCGGTTGGATTTAACATATAAGGAGTGATGACAGCCACAATAATACCAGCAATATTATACAGGTTTCTCGAGATAATAATGGACTTGGTTCTTAATTTGGTAGAGGGTATTTCAGCCACCAAACAATAGCAAATAGGGCCAATAGTAAGATCATACACAAAAGTATAGATCAAAAGTAACGATCCAATACCCCAAGAGGCATTTGCGTTACTAGAACAACCTAACCCACCAACAATTAACAAAATTACAGCATTTACGATCAAGCCTCCAAAATAAGAGTCAAATCTTCCCAGCTTTTGTGATACAAACCATGATCCGAAAGTACCAATAATACCCAAGCAATATTGAATGATAGAGAAGGTAAAAGCCATAGAAGTTGAAAGACCTGCTTGTTCATAAAAGTAAGTTGAATATCCCATTAAGGCCGAACCAGTAATATTTTGAACGACCCAAGTAATGGCTCCTATTCTGGTTCTTCTTAAATCTTTTCCTTTGAAACAATCAATGAAAGAAGATTCCGAATTGGTTTTCAATCTTTCTTCAGTGATGGTCAACTGCATTTTGTTGATCATGGCATCTGTCAACATCTGTTTATTGGTCACATACTTGTTTTCAGATAACAACCGGCCAATTGAAACCCTGGCCTCGTGAAATTTTCCCTTTCTAACAAGCCACCAGGGAGACTCAGGAGCTAAAAAGATTCCAAGCATGATGGGAAGAGGCCAAACCCACTGAACCCCGAAAGGTATTCTGTAGGCCATATTTGTATCATTTTCAACCAAAGCTTTCAAAACTCCTGAACTGATCAATTGACCAAACACCCAACAAACATTGACATAAGTTGTCAAATAAATTCTCAACACAGTAGGACACACTTCAGAAGCATAAGAAACCGTCAACGTCTGGAAAGCACCCCAAGGAATACCAAGTAACAATTCACCAGCAATTAACATTCCTACATTTTGAGCAAAGAAGACGATGAAAATAAACCCAGTAGTAAACATCAAAGCAATGATCAAAGTCCATCTGTAACCAATCCTGTCAGCTACAACCCCAGCCACTGCTAATCCCAAAATTTCACCAACATTAACACACATGGACAAAGTAGTCTGGATGTTACTAGGAATCTGGTGTGCCCCATCTGGGTCGTTAGGGTCGACTGCCTTCCCATATCTCTTTTGGAAAGCAGGCATCGCGTACATACTGTTCAATAAATTTGTGTCATACCCTTCCATAACCAAAGCAGTTGATAAAACAATAGACCACATTGCTGCCTTGGGGAATGTTCTCAACCCTTCACCCAAGGGCATGATTTTATCCTTTTTATCATTATGTTTTACATCTTCACTGATATCAATGAACTTTGCAAGAAAATCGTCGACCTCAGCATCTAAAGACATTGAAGCCTTATCCAACTTTTCCCCCACATCGATAACTTCTTTTGGGTTTCTAACGTCTTCAACAAATTGTGACATTATGATTGAACCAAACTAATTGAATCCAATACAATGGAATCCACCTGTCTATTTATGCATTTTTGGCAAGAAGAAATTCCGTGACGATCAACCTAAGAAAAGTTATGAATATGGTGTCCACACACTCATCTCATGCATTACCCCAATTATTTTTAAAAAAATCCACCATTTAATGGGGTGGTTCATTCAGCCAGGTCCCATGGGGTCAATCAGACCGCAGATCTTCGAAGACTGTCATTTCAGGAGACAAAATCGGACTCCAAAATTAATCCTCATAACCAATTACTTTTCGTAACTGCCGTGCAAGTGGACATGTTTGGCATTTGGCGCCAACTAGAGTCTCATCTACCCCCGCAAAAATCAACAAACTCTAAAACTCTAAAGGTGATTTCGGGAAAAGCTTCACAGGTAGCCAATCTGTAAATCTTCAGTAGTGGCGGGCCTTTGCATTCCTTGCTTGCTTCTAAATCCCCATAAGTTTTTGATTCGGTATTTGTTGCTGCGCCAGGACTTTGTTACTTAATTTGCTAAGCTCTTACCCCAGTTTTTCCTGATACCGCGGGGTTATCTCGAGTTTGAGAATCGCCTCTCGAAAAGACAGGTTCCCGATATCGCAGGTTTACTGGAACAAAGTTTTTGCGTGGTTTAGGTGTTCGCAAACTTAGTCGCCCCGAATAATGTAATTCGGAATCCTTACAAAGTTCGCACCTCTCTAATCAGAACCATGAATAATTCTGGGGTAATGGGGTAAACCAACAACAATGACGTTTCGACATCGCTGAATTAACTTCAATTGGAACGATCATACTTCCGAGGAACGTTGAGATGGTTTCAAAAAAGAATACCATTTAAATCGGTGCTATTCTGGTCCAACGGTCTTTTTTCCCACTCAAAAAATATGACTAAAGACTACATTTGGTGGAAAGATGCCACCATTTACCAAATCTGGCCCGCTTCTTACAAGGACTCAAATAACGATGGAGTGGGAGATATTCCTGGTATTATTTCCAAATTAGACTACATTAAGTCGTTGGGAGCCGATATTATCTGGTTGTCTCCCATGTACGACTCTCCTCAAGATGACATGGGTTACGACATTAGTAACTACAACACCATCTACCCAAAGTATGGTACCATGGAAGATATGGATAACTTGATCAGTGGATGCCACAAACGGGAAATAAAGCTTATTTTGGATTTGGTTGTCAACCATACTTCGTCTGAACACGATTGGTTCAAAGAGAGTAAATCTTCTAGAGACAATTCCAAAAGAGACTGGTATGTTTGGAAGCCCGCCAGATACGATTCCGAAGGTAAGCGACACCCTCCCAACAACTGGAAATCGTTCTTTTCTGAGTCAGCCTGGGAGTACGATGAAACTACAGATGAGTACTACTTGCACTTATTTGCCAAGAGTCAACCAGATTTGAACTGGGAAAATGAAACCACCAGGAACGCCATTTACGAATATGCTTTGGACTTTTGGTTTAAAAAGGGAATCGATGGGTTTAGAATCGATACAGCTGGCTTATATTCCAAGGATCAGAGCTTCGCTGATGCTCCTATTGTGTCACCAGGTGAAGAACTTCAGTTCTGTGGAAACCTGGTCAACAACGGACCTAGAATCCACGAGTTCCATAAGGAGATGTTTGAAAAGGTCACCTCCAAGTACGATGTCATGACGGTTGGAGAAGTGGGACATTGTTCAAGGGAAGATACTTTAAAGTATGTCAGTGCCAAAGAACGGGAAATGAGCATGGTGTTCTTGTTCGACTTGGTGAGTTTGGGTTATTCCTCCACTGACCGATACCAATATGATGGTTTTTCCCTCAAGGATCTCAAGGATGCAATTGTCAAACAATGTAACTTCATCTTTGGAACCGATGCCTGGTCTACTATGTTTATTGAAAACCACGACCAGGCCAGAGCAGTAACTAGATTTGGAAATACCAAAACCTTAGACAATACCTTCAAGTCAGCCAAGTTGATTGCTTTAATGCAAGCAACTTTGACAGGCACTTTGTTTATCTATCAAGGTCAGGAAATTGGGATGACAAATTTACCTAGATCTTGGGATATCTCCGAATACAAGGACATAGAAAGTAACAATGCCTACCAAGACTTACTTAAGACTCACAACATTTCCGACCCCGAAAATGACTCTCGAGTAAAACGGTTTATGGATACCCTCGCTTTGGTATCAAGGGACCATGCCAGATCTCCTGTCCAGTGGACAGCTGATAAACATGGTGGGTTTTCGGGAACTAAACCTTGGATGAGAGTTAACGACAACTACAAGGAAATCAATGTGGAGTCTCAAGTTGGTGATCCCAACAGTGTGTTCAGCTTCTACCAGAAGTGCTTGGTGTTAAGACGCCAGTATAAGGACTTGTTTGTGTACGGAGACATTTCAGTTTTGGATTACGAGAACCCCCAGCTTTTCTCTTATGTCAAACAAAGTGGCACATCCAAGGCTTACGTTGTGTTGAACTTCAGTGGAGAACCCGCCAAATTTGAGAGTCTGGTTCCAGGGACCTTGAGGTTACTCAACACCAACGTCGATGACTTTAAGGATGACCTGTTAAGTCCTTGGGAAGGCCGGGTATACTTGGTTGAGCAGTTATAGTTTACTAGATTTTAGCCCAATATATAAATTGTATGCCGCAGTCACATTCGCAGCTGGCACAAATTAGCTTTACCCTCAGAGGGCTACAAACACTACACATATTCAAGATATACAACCATAGGTGGTTTGGCCCAGGTTCAAGTATTTTGATGTCCCCCTTTACCATTGATACCTGTTCCCCTGAAGTATATGGTATGGGCGTCGCCTAACCAATTTGGCAATTCACCAAATGAAGCGAATCATAAACATTGGACCTAAATGGGTAATATCATCGGCTCCCGAGAACTAGCGCGCTCGCCCACACTGCGCTGTGGTAAATTCTAGCGTCCCGCTAGATTCTCCCACTGTGAATACCGCACCTCTTCTTGGATATTTTTTCTTTCTTATACACAAATCCACCTGGAACAAAATTCTAATTTTAACTCACAACTCTTCTTCCTACCGTTTTGCTTGTTAAACTTCCCATACTCCAAGGTACAGAATGTTTCACGCCAATATACCCCCAACCCTCACTACTAGGTTCATAGAGAGGGCTGCCATGCCCAGCTTGGACTTACCATCGTTGTCAAGTACTGGAGAGACCTACACCACACCCTCAGTGACGGTTCCACCCAACGATAATAACCCTTATATTTTGACCACTTCCAACGTTAACGGAACCGTATTCATAGCCGTGGGGTCTATAGTTGGTGCCATGCTTTTGGCCTTCATCTTATATCACCTTATCCGGTCAATAACAGCATCCCGAAATGCCAAGAAGGCTCTTCTTGATGATAAGCAAACGTATGAAAAGTATCAAAACAACAACTCCACCGCATACGGATTGAGTCCCCTGACGACATTAAACTTCTTTGGTGATACTCGGAACTCGCAGGTAGGTAAATTACCGTTGTTGCTGCACCACGCCACAAAATCGTTTTCTGATATGAACGGGGGATACATTGACTCTCAGCTTGGAGACACCTCCACTTTATATCAGTCTGAAGTGGGAATGCCAACGGTTAAGAATGATGTTACAAAGATGTTCATTTCACCTACTGCTGAGGTAATGTCACACAACCGAGTCAAGTCCCAAATTTTTGGATCCAACACAAACCTCTTCAACAACCTGATGTCCAACATGTCCAACACTCCCGACCAAACCCAACATTCCACCATCCCCAACTTATATATCAGCAACGACAACACCAACAGTGAATATTCCTTGAGCACAAACACAAACAGCCACACCAATAATCACTATCCGATTCAGAGAGATATGCTGAAACAAGATATTCCAGAACACTTGCAGCGAATGGCTGCCAACTCGAGTTCACAGAATACCTTGAACGTCAAGCCTAATCGGAAGACCATTCCTAGTATGTACTTGGAAGACTTGATTGATGAGTAGGGTTGGACACCAGAGTAGGGTCAACTCCAGAGTTTTATTCACACATCATATTATTATATTGCTCTAATCATATCTTACTATAAACACTAGCTGTGTTCTGTATGGGTTTTACTTTCCCCTGCATTCCAACTATCTCACCGATTTTTTCGCGCTTTGCTCTCGCTTATTTCGTCAGGTTCGATATATCTCCCTATATCAGCAACCAACCGAATTCCCTAACACAATGCCTATCTGCGGTGGAGGCCAAAAAACTAGTACGTCGTGCTCCTGAACTGGTGGGGAACACCACGCTTACCTATGATCCGTGTATTTCACATACTAACGTCAATTCTTAGTCCAACGTAAAATCGTGATTCTAGGCGACGGTGCCTGTGGTAAAACATCCTTATTAAACGTGTTTACTCGAGGCTATTTTCCTCAGGTGTATGAACCAACTGTTTTTGAAAACTACGTTCATGATATCTTCATCGATGGCCAATCGGTTCAGCTATCTTTATGGGATACGGCTGGTCAAGAAGAATTTGATAGGCTAAGATCTCTATCATACAGTGACACCCACTGTATTATGTTATGCTTCAGTATTGATTCCCCTGATTCCTTGGAAAATGTTCAGACCAGATGGGTTGGAGAGATTGCTGATAACTGTGAAGGAGTCAAGTTGGTGTTGGTGGCCTTAAAGTGTGATTTGAGATCAAACGAAGATACCGATGTCGAACAACCAATAAACCATGAAGATGATCTGTTCAACCCTTACAATGCCAACTCCAACCCCTACCAACAGCTGAGAAGATTAGTAAGCTACGAAGAAGGTTTGGCTGTGGCCAAAAAAGTTGGAGCTTTAAGGTACTTGGAATGTTCGGCCAAGAAGAATAGAGGGGTCAATGAAGCCTTTAGTGAAGCAGCCCGGTGTGCTTTGAATGCCAGACCAAAGGGTGCTAACGACAATGAAGTCGAAAAAAGATCCTGTGTTGTGATGTAAAAGAAAAACCATTAGACATTGTATAATTAGCTCGCATATACACCAATAAAAGTAGTCTTAAATATTTTTATTCGTTCGTTACTATTTACATTTCTTGATCCATTCAATCTTCTTTAAAGGGATTGACAAGAGGGGTTTCCCGGATATCCCATACATCTTCAGAGCTTCCATGAGCTTTTTCATTCAAAAGCCGTTGCTTGTGGAACTGTTGAATCTTTTGAGCAGTTTCAATGTCTTTCATACTCGATTGTTCATTGACTTGAGTTTCGGAAACAAAGCTTCCATGTCTCAAAGCAAACCAAAGCTTCTCTCGCTGCTTCCCACAATACAGCAATTCTCCATACCTGTAATAGTTCTTTATTTGACCACCAATAGAAAAGCATTGGAAAAGCTCATCAAACGCTGTGCTTATCAGCATGGTACTAGGATAAGCACCAAGATCTGTCCGACTCAAGGAAGCTGTTAATTTTTGTCTTTTCTCTTTGATATCATCGGGCAGATCTTTGAAGTATGACCAGAGTTGTTCTAGTTCTTGTTCTTCTTTTGACATAGTGAGCAGCTGACAATAACCAACCTGAAAAAGTGAGAAAAAAACTAATTGAGATATTGAGTCAAAAAAAATTAAATGCCTTCAGCCAGATTCGAACTGACGATCTCCTCATTACTAGTGAGGTGCCTTACCAACTTGGCCATAAAGGCTTCCCTTGTGTGAGAGAAGTCTTCTCTCCGTGGAGAGAAATATACTCATCCTCGAGAAATGATTACTAGGATGGCCATAAAATAACTCGCTATCTAGTATGTATGACTCGAATCTATAGGTGTATAAGTCTGAATAGACTCTCATCGGTGAGTGTATGGGTGAAGAAATATCTTTTAGTTTATTTTGTCCTGTGCACGACTTTCTAACTTTCAAAAGTTGATCTGCACTCCAGGTCAAGCCTGAAATAGCTAGGAAGTCAGCTCAAAGAACCAAGATTTACAGGTAGTATATAGGTGAGTCTGCTGATTAAAGAGGGATTTTTTGGATATTTGTTTGGTGCATTTGGGCCTTACTTAGGTGTTCTTAATAATTTGTGTGAATTCTACATTTTCTATTGATATTTCTCATACTTTCACAAAATAATGAGGACTTCAAGCCATTGACAATATTGCTGTTGAAAGTACATGTCTCCAGATAGATCCCCAAGTATATTTATGCACTGTATGCTAAACTTAATGTTTTGAATGAATGTTTTTGCTGTTGTACGAGGAAAATGGGCGGCTGCAAAACTATAGGATTGCTTACACAGTCAAAACATAACTTTTTAACCTCTAAAATTCACAAAAAAACAGGCCTGGAAGAGGAGATTGAACAGATTGTTGTTGAAGTTTTTCATGATAATAGTCTGGAAGAGACAGAAAGAAAGAATATTGCGTTCGGTATTGACCCAGGAAGTGATAATTATGTTTATGTTTAACCTCAATGCGTTTGAAGGAGACCGAAGGAGACTGGATTAAACTAGCATACACTCTAGATAAACTCTCATGTCTCCAAAGGCAGATATTCAAACGATTAAAGCATTTTTCTGATAGCTGGCATCTTGGTGGGCTCATCTCCCCAAGCGCGCGATCTAAGTTTTAGTCACTATCATCATGACGGACTTGAAGGTAACTAAACCTTCTAGTAAAAATGGGAGGTTGCTCGATAAGATAGATGATAACGTGCTACTAGTTAATCAACTTAAGGCAGAGCTCAAGCTGAAGTTGCAAGAGAAACAAGGCATACCTTCAGAAACCTGTGATACTGAAAACGAACCAGAAGATGACTGGAAGCAAGATACGGAACAATACAAAGATATAGACCCCAAGTCATTCCGACAGTACGAGCTTGCATGCGACAGAGTCAAGGAGTTCTATGAAGAACAACACGAGAAGCAGACTGTTGCCTATAATATCCAAGCTCGTATTAATTTCAAAACAAGAGTGAGAGCTAAGATGACCATATGGGAAGGTCTAGAAAAGTTGAATAAACTATTAGATGAGAGTGACCCAGATACCGAACTCTCGCAGATAGATCATGCTTTACAAACGGCGGAAGCTATAAGGCGAGATGGTAAACCAAGGTGGTTTCAACTCGTGGGGTTAATTCATGATTTGGGCAAATTGCTTTATTTTTTCGATTCAAAAGGTCAGTGGGATGTGGTGGGCGATACATTTCCTGTGGGATGTAAGTACCTGAAGAAAATCATATATCCTGACAGTTTCCGTAAAAATCCCGATATGAATAACCCGTTATATAACAACAAATTTGGGATATATCTGAAGGGCTGTGGGTTAGATAAGGTAATGCTTAGTTGGGGACACGACGAGTACATGTACCATATTGCCAAGTTGAACTCAAAACTTCCTAAAGAAGGTCTTGCAATGATACGGTATCATTCATTCTATCCATGGCACCAAGAAAATGCTTATAAGTATTTGATGGACGATCATGATAAAGAAATGCTTGAAGCCGTGAGAGCATTCAATAAGTATGATCTTTATTCAAAGATAGATGACGCTTTCGACGTGGAGCAATTAAAGCCATACTACATCGAGTTGATTGATGAATTTTTCCCTACAAAAGTGATCGACTTTTAGCTTATTTATTTATTTCTAGTAATACTTCATCTATATATAGTGTACATTAGTGAACATAGAGGAAACTCTTGATTATTTTAATGTCCTCTACTTAAATAAGTACGCAGCACCAAAGTACTGTTCAATACCATATTGGCCTGGTTGTTTCCAAAAATCGTTGTAAGTAGTCAAAATAGTGATATCACCAGTCTTCGCCAAGATACTCTTAAGAGCAATCTCCTGGTTACTTTTGCTTGGAACATTCAAACCGTTGGTATCACCTTGAGATGGATAACCGGTTTCGGTAATTTTGACACTCAACTTAGGACAAGAAGATTCAACCAACAGCAATTGATTGGCCACAAATTCACCAGCTTGAGAAGCATCAATGTCAGCATTGAAGTATGAGTGAGGATTGATAGAAACAAAGTCAATTGGCGAGTCAGAATCACACAATTGGGAGTTTGAAGTGTAACTGACTGGGGGTTCAGCAGTAGTGACTTTTCCAGAGTAACCAGCATTTTGCAATTGTTTTTTAACAGAAGAGACCTTCGATAATAATTCAGAAACGGTACAGTATCCAGATACAATAGCTTCATTGGCAATGGTAATGAAGTCAAAAACGTCGTCACCGTTAGCAGAAATGTAATCAACTAAGGCACTGACGGGGCCATCAAGAGAATCAGGACCGGTATCGTCCATCCACAAACCTTGGTTGACCTTGATACCTAACTCTAAAGAAACTGACAAAACCGACTTCAAGGATTCACAGTCAGTTCCATATGTTCTGATGTGTTGGATACCTTTACCTGAAATGTACTTTAAGTCGGATTCCACAGTGGAAGAAGTTTTACAGCTTCCATCATCAGCGTATGGGGAGTAGACAATACCCCATGGAGCATCCAAAGTTCCGGACGAGGTAGCAGTAGACTCGGAGGTTGTTGAGGTGGTTGAAGTAGAGGAAGTGGTAGTTGGGGTATTTTGTTGGGTGGTTTCTTGAGTAGTAGCAGGAGTGGTTTCTTGAGTAGTAGCAGGAGTGGTTTCTTGAGTAGTAGCAGGAGTGGTTTGCTGAGTAGTTTGCTGAGTGGTAGTAGGCGTCGTGGAGGTGGTAGTTGGAGTAGTTTGTTGAGTGGTAGTTGGGGTAGTTTGTTGAGTAGTAGCAGGAGTAGTGGATGTAGTAGTTTCAGGTTCAGCAGTAGTAGTTGGTTCAACAGCCTTAACTTCTGGGCTGCTGTACACACTGGTATAAGTAGTTGGAACTCCAGCAGGAGAATCAGTTTGGGTGAAGGTGTAAGTCACACCATTCGAGATAAATAACTCTACTGGTGGTAACCAGACAGTGGTGGTGCCAGTAGTGTAAGTCTGAGTAGTAGTAACAGCTTCAGCTGTGTGTACCCTGGTAACAATTTTAACCGGAGCAGAAAGAACAACATTTAATAAAAGAAAGTAAAGGAACAACATTTTCAAAGGAGTGGAAGTACAGTAGTTTGTAGTAAAGAATGTATGAGGGTAAGTAGTAAAGATTAAAAGATCGACTGGGTAAGTTTAAAAATGATTGACTGAGTTGGAAGTTTCTTTCTTTTCTTTAGATTCTCTTATTTCTTGCCTTTTTAGTTGTTTCTGGGGAGATTATGTGGGTCGTTTGGAAATCCCCAAAAAATAGGCCCTTTACCATAATATATACTCGGACAAAGCTGGTAGTTTCAACACGTCAAGACATCGCGATTACCGAAGGCAGTTTTCGCAGCCAGCTCTCGTAACGAGCTAATGCATTAAATGCTGGCTCGTGGTATCGTTTTGGAAAAACGTCCCCTCAATTGGGCAACACAATGTCATAGAAGGAATTGTATAATCTCACAACTGGAAATACAAACGATTCGTTTGGACAATATTCTTTTTAACTAAGGCGATATTTTTCGAGAGCCGCTTTTTCTTAAAGGCATCAATTAAAACAATGTGATTATGGAAAAAACCAATATCGTCTAACACTGAAACTCTGAACGCTTGGCTATTTGGAAGGCCAAGGAAAAGTAGTCCCTTAAGCTTGGAAACTGTGGAGGGGGTGTGCCAATCTTTGCTAGATAATTGCAAGCATTTCTGAGTTCACAGAAGGCTATGATATTGTTTCAGACAAATATTTGGTGATCGGCGTAGAACATAACTAAAAGTCAGCCGAAGTTGATAGGCTGTTTGGCTATCTGGTACCTTGGTTGACTGATTACAGGTGTGCGTAATACAGTTTTAACAATAGCAAAACTAAAAAAAATGCTGGCTGTGAAAAGTCCGCGAACAATGTCAAAATAGCTGGGAATTGCCTTGCCATGTACACTAGAGCCTGACCCCTTAAACAAGTATAAGTTACCAGCGGTAATACTCTACTTGAAACGTACTGGTAATATTTTATCATAATAACGAATTTGATTATGTACTACACAAATGGTTGAATAATATGGAGCGTTTGATATGGTGTCGACAATGGATAGTGCTTCTAGTATTTGTCCAAAATACTCAAAATGATGTTGAAGTCGTTCTCAGCAAGTATACCCGAGTTGTATAAGAACTTTAATAAGGACTTGATTACTTGGAATAGTTCATCAATGGACAAGTTGATGATGGCTGCCTGTATAATATTGGTCAAGTTGATGTTATACGACGAAATGAATGTCTGGTAGTATAAATAGGAAAATGAACCCATCAAAAATTGACAGTCAATCCTATCGGTGATACCCCCATGGCCAGGAATGGTGTCGCCAAAATCTTTGATACCAAAAGCTCTCTTAAGACCCGAAGCAAAGAAACCTCCAAAGGGTGCGAATAAGGAAGCAAAAGTTGCCAAGAACACAGAATGATAATAGATGGGTTTAACAATAATGTAGTCAATGTTGAAGAACTGCTTTAAATTCCCTGGCAAATGGACAATTTGCTCGATGAAGACGGAGTTTGGTTCACAACTAGGGAAGTTGTAAACGTTTGTATTCAAGTTTGTAGCAGGACAAATCAAGTAGTTAGATCTCGACAAGATGAAGGAAGCGCCTACCGAAGCAACAACCGTACAGAACCAGGCACCAACGAAGCCTTCGACGGTCTTCTTTGGAGATATTGCAATCAATTGAGTTCTGCCAAAAGTTATACCGCACAAGTAAGCAAAAATATCATTAACAATGACCAAAGTACAAGGTAACACAAACCAAATGATTCCATTCAAAATGTTATTGATGATCAAATGACTTTGAAACACCACGATCAATAAAGTCATATGTGTGATGCATAATGAACCAAATTGAAACTTATAGTAGCCTTTCTTCAAGTTTAAGATAAAGATCATGAAACCAAACACATACAAAAAGTAACTGATAATTTTATGATTTGTGGATAAGATGATCATCAACTTGTTTTGGAAGATCAAGTCATGAAAGAACTCAAACAAGGTTTTACCATCTAAATAATAAATGGTGGAAAAGAGAAAGTACCAATTGACAAATTTGTTCAATGGGATGTTCTTATCTCTTGCAGGTTCAGCCACCAATCTGATGATTTCCTTGAAGGTCAACACCTGGAACAACACCACAAAGGCAATCAAGGTCAAGTGGCCCGAAGATATTATTGCAAGAAAGAAAAGTAACATAACAAAAGTCCATATCGATCTTGTAACAAATGCTTGTTTTTTCTTCTCCTTTTCATTCACCACGACTTTAGAAGCGGAAGTATTAGAATCAATTGGCTTTACGTCATTGTTCTCGGCATCTTTGATCTCGGGACTTTCCTTACTATTCATGATTAATCGATGGCGAATATTATAAATGAATTTATGCTGATTTGATTATTCCAATTATTTTGGAGAGCGAAGTGAGAAATCTATCGGGGCAGATATGGCATAGCACTCGCGCAGCTAGTTCTAATCTAGGACGTGGTTTGCTGCGACCCCTATCGGTGCACTACCATTGCATAAGGACAGAGCAGAAGAAAAATAATGTTGGACGTGCGACTGGTAGTTGGCCGCCGACCGGTGTTACTGCCAGCAGGTGGGCGTAGTTAGCACGGAGAATGATTTTGCCACCACGTTATTTTTCACATGCTATTGGGCCATTGACTGCCTAATTAGGAAGACACAGAGCGCGACTGGTGGGTGGCATAGCAAGAGATGGATGCTGATGTGCCTCAACCAGGAGGCAATTTTTACTGATTACCGCGGAAATGGCGGAAGGTACCACCGGTTAGCCCTGCAGTTGGTGCAACCTTCGTTCTAGCATCACACGCGCTTTTCTTTTCTTTTCTTTGTGGTCACAGTCAGCGAGCTTTTCACTTCTCAGGAGAAGAATTTTCTTCCTCCCTGCTGTTTTTCTGCTGTCAAGGAATACATACTCTTTTTTATTCAAATAAGGACTAGCACATTTTTGCATGTCAACTATCCAAAACTTAAACTCGTTCGATCCTTTCGCCGACACTGGTGATTCGGAAGCTCAAGCTACCAATTACATCCATATCAGAATCCAACAAAGAAATGGTAGAAAGACTTTGACAACTGTTCAAGGTCTTCCACTGGAGTATGACTTGAAGAAGATCTTGAAGGTGTTGAAGAAAGACTTCGCATGTAACGGTAACCTCGTTAAAGACGAAGATATGGGTGAAGTTATCCAATTACAAGGTGACCAAAGAGTTAAGGTTGCTGAATTCTTGATTTCTCAGTTACAAATACCAAAGAAGAACATCAAGATTCATGGTTTCTGAGTTTGCTGGTTCAACTTCACTTTGGAGGTTTGTATAGAAGTTAGCGAACACACTGGCTAAGTGATGTTAATGATACACATTTTGAAAGATACACACCATATTATCAATACTCTGCCAGAAAATAACGTGAATTATGATTTAGGTTGTTTAATGCTTGCATTGATAGTTATATTCCATTGTAGATAGCCGTATGTGTTCACCTTTTGTTATAGAGGACTATGAAACTGATGTGTCACACAAGATACCTTATCTTCGCATCGCATCTCATCTTTTTTCTTCAGACCACAATGCCTGGTGATCTTAACTTAAAAAAATCCTGGAATCCAGCCCTTGTTAAAAACCAAACCAAGGTCTGGAAAAAAGAACAAGAAACTCTTAATGAGTTTAGAAAGATTAAGGAACGAGAAGAAGAATTGGAAAAAGAGCAGCAGACTCTAGGATTGATTGGGTTAAAGTACACGAACAATAATGAGTTGAGTAAATCTGATAAATTAAAGTTGAACAAGCTCGATTGGATGTATGATGATCCTACAGGAGGGACCAAGGAAGCTACTCAAGTTCCGAAACCGGTTCCAACAGTAATAAAGACCAATAATATTGATAAAACTAAAAGGAGGCTCGAAGAGCTCGATCCTATGGCGAGTATCAAGAAGAACATGATACAGAAACGACAGGATAGTAGGGACAGATCGCCAACAAGAAACAATGAACGGTTAGAGAGTCATAAACATAGGCACTCCTCTTCCAGTCTGCACAGAGACAGAAAACACCGAACTGATTCACACCATTCCAGGCACCGATCCAGTACTCTGAAGCATACCTCGAGAGGAAGAGATGCAAAAGAAGAGCCAAAAAAACCTATAATTCCATACTGAATGCCCCACTCTGGTTATAATTAATGTCATTGACTTGCCATTCATACCAGACTCTATTCCGGCTTATCCTAGAGAACCTCACCTTTAGAAGGTCCCCCTTTTTCACGATTATTTCATCTATGGGGAACACCATAGAGAACCATGAATTGCAGTAGTTTGGACCTTTCATGTTGGTGATACCAATATTTCCATATAGGTCTGCTCGAAAAAGGCCTTCAAATGCGTTTACTTTTCCGTCTATTTGAACAGGAAATTGAAATTCTGATTGGTGCTCATTGTCGTTTTGTCCTGGATAATTGTACTCCCAAACCCGTTGATAATCGGCAACACGATAATAGTTTCTTAAGTTATTGAGAAAAACTGTATGGTTCACAATTGTGGAATATATGGGGGCAACAATGCTGGTTATGTATTCAGGGATCATTATTTGGGGCTTGATACGCTGTAAAATTTCGGGGAATAATTCGTTGCAGCCAAAAGAACCCAACATTTCAGACACCACAAGATGATATTTGTCCCCTACATCAACGTTTCGGACATCGTCAAATATTAGATCAATTTCGCTATTCCAGTCATTGTGGTTTCTGCGCCGAAGGATGTCTATGGTTTGTGGGTTTTTCTCAATCACAGTTATATGGCTGCAAAACTTGAAAACTGAGTCCACCAAATTACCCATTCCAGCCCCGATAACCAACACCCTCAAGTCCGTATACTGTGTTTTCAAGTCTTGGATAGCTAGCTCAATGGCATCCTCGTATTGTTGATACTTGATCTTGTCTTTTTGAAACTGCTCATACACCTGGACTGACAAGTTGTCTGCTAGTGGATTCAACGGGGTGATTATGAACTGGCTGTTCTGGTATAGTTTCAGTAGATTTCGTTCGATTGTCAGTATTTGTGGCACCAACTGGGTATCTTGAACGACCACTTCTTTACAGTTTAATAATAAACACCTTAGTGCATCGCTTATTTCCGTCACATATAGCTTCAAGTTAGGATATGTTGATAGTTTCTGAAGCTCTAACCCGCTCAAGGCCAGGCCTCGTGTCACCTGAATCCATATAGTAACATCAGATCCGTAGAATTCTTCCGGTATGCTCATCAAAGGCACAATGACTGAAATATGCGATGGTAGCTTTCTTATTTGCTGCAACAAAGGGAGATCGATAAGCAACACGTAGTTATAACTCGAGTCCAAAACCTCGCAAACGTCCCAGGTATCACATTCTACTAAACAGTAACAGCATAACTTTCTAGCCTCGTCGAGTTGGGAAAACTCATTCGATGAATAAAAGACTTTGTTCCCAGCCACATCCATACCCGCATCTCAAGCATGAATCGAAGATTTTTCGAACGCGGTATCGACAAAATATTGATTTTTTTTGAACTTGCAAAACCCAGATCTAAGATGAACTCAGGCAAACCAAGATATTTAACAGATAGCGAACGGGCCAAAATCCTAGAATTCCAAGATCTGATCCACTATAGCCCCCGCTACAGCGATGATTCTCACGAATACAGGCACGTGATGTTGCCCAAAGGAATGTTAAAGTTAATTCCACAAGACTACTTCAATCCCGAAACAGGTACTTTACGAATCTTAATGGAAGATGAGTGGCGGGGATTGGGAATCACACAGTCGTTGGGCTGGATGCACTACGAAACACATGCCCCCGAGCCCCATATCTTGTTATTCAAGAGAGCTATAAATTACGGCCAGTGATCCCAGATCCCGGAGCTGCCACAATCAAAGATGCAGCTCCCCAGAGATATTTGTCACGAGAACAAGGATATGTAAATTTACTGGAGATGGAAGAGCAGGGGACTGGAGAAGGTGAAGAGAATAATTAGAAACCAGGTGGAGTGTGTTGAGGAGCGAGAGCTGTGAATAGCATGGAAATATATAATTACTGAGCATCTCGTAGATAAACCATTGTTTTGGTTGTAGAGCAAGTGTGAAATAGAATCTGTTGAGATAGAGGGTCTTTTGGGAGATGTTGATTTGGTGATGGGGAGAGGGCATCGCGGCAGCGAGGACTCTAGTTAGAGACGCGCTCTAAAAGTCAGATTTTATAGGTATAATATGCCAGTAGGGTATAAGCGTCTATCCAATGATGAGTTGGTTCCGTTCCTCCAAGATATACACGCGGGTATCAATGACCTGGATGCAAGTCATTTTGAAAGGATCATCAAATACTTGATATACATCATCAATCTCCAATTAAACGAGTCTCGTCCCAATTACAAGCTATGCCAGCAAATATATAACACCATGACTTTATTATTGAACAAGAAAGGATACTTGATCAATCTCTCGATTGGCGATGATTTGATTAGTGCCATTGGGATATCTGTACCTCGAGATTCAGACTACCTATTTGAAGTCGTTGTGTTCAATCAAATTGATCAATTAGTAAGGCTTTTTGAGCTAGAAGCATCAGATGAGTTTATAAATTTGATTAAACAGTTCATTATGACGGTTATCAATACCAGCTTGATGGGAACTCGCGATATTACCTTTAAGCACTATGTTAAAAAGATGTTGAGCACAAAGATGTCAGATATGGTCGGTGGAATATATCAAAAGCTTAGTCTAGCCACTGAGAATGATACATACAAAGCAGTCCAATTTGTGTTGATCATTAACAACTACGAGGTGATGCAAAAACTACAGCTAAACCAGTTCAACTTCGAAATGGTGCTTAAAAAGTGTTGGTTCATAGTCACTTCTACAAAGTTCCAGGTGAACAATACTTTAAAGTCTCTATTGATTTTAAGTGTGACAAACAACCTTATCTTAAGTGACTCAGTCCCTTTTTCAACGATGAATTTGCTAATAGAGTGGATACTGGCGTACCTAAACGAGCCGGTATCTGACAATATTTTGGTAAGCTCAATTTGTCAAAGTTTACTCAAGATTCTAAAGGTCTCCGTTAAAACGAATACTCTACACAATATCCAGCATGCCCTCAACTTGAACTACTACTTGAACAGCCTGAATTTGACATATGAACACCCAACCATCGTGAGGCAAGTGCTTTCGATAATAAAGAACTACAACCCACACTATAAATTTCCTAGGCTAAAAGATGCAGAACTCAATTACCTTATCGAGGAACTACAAAATCATAATAGCTACGAACTACTTGAGTTCTACAGCTTTCGTTCAGGATTCCAAAAAGCTACAGATTTACAAGACCCGTCCAGATTGAATGATTGGGTTAAATCGGTCGCCGATTTATTCTTGAATGAGGCCTTGAATGAACCACAGCTCTATACTTTGGTGTCAGCTCTTGGAAACTTACCTTGTTTGGTTAGTAGTGACTTTGATTTTGAATCTTCAGAATGTACAGCATGTGGGTCTTACCCTAATTGTACCAACATATACAAGCGGATATCGTTTCGAAGACCGAAAATCAATGAAAACCATACAATGAAGATTTACTACCATGATTTGATACTTCCCATGCTCAAATCGCCACTCATTGAAGACCCTTTCGTGTGCTGCAACTTGTTGCTAAGTATTTACAAAATATTAGCGTCCTTCAGAGTCTCTTCACCGGACCTTTCTCAGGATCAGGTTTTCAATTTTGTCAAGACCTTAATGGTTCACCAGAACAGAACTGTTAGGGTATTGTCATCAAGAATTTTTCCGTGTTTCTTAATTGATGATAAAGATACATATTTGGACCATCGGTTTTCCCTAATATTTCAGTTTCTAAGCTCCATCCAATTTGATTCTCCTTCAACTACGTTCTTGGCTGAGTCAACAATCAAAGCATTCACCGAAATAGCGATCATAGCTGAAGGAGAATGGTTAAATGCCTTGGTTTTGAGATTTATAGATTTATTGGGAGGGTCAAATGAACACCATATCAACTTGGTGTCCCGTGCCTTTCATGATATCGCTAATGCCAAGGGTATCAAGCCTTATAAATTGTTGTCACCATTTTTACCGGTAGTAGCAGTCAAGTTGATAAAAACGAACACGATATTCAATAAGATCTTGGAGGTCAGTGCTATCAGCAGAAATTACTTTTTGAATTTGACCAAAGAGTACACAGCTCCTTATTTATTGGATTATTATAAGTATGACTATATCCAAGAAATTGCAGATGCATGTAATTTTTCCAAAGAGAAACTAATTTCCAAATGCTTGTCCAAGATTCTAGCTGTGTATCTTGTTAAAGATGACAGAGTCAATGATAAGTATATCATGAATATTTTGAGAAATGCCGGTTTCTACAAAGATTTGAGTTCTTCAGACATTTACTTTAATAGTGGAATTGGCCTTGTTACATGGAATATTCTTCTTCAAATACACTACGATGGAAACGGTAACATCACGAACAAAGCCAAAATCTATAATGCTCTCGAGCATGTTGCTAAAATTGATGCAGGTTTATCTGTCAAGTCAACAGGAAACAAGGAGAAAGACAAACTCAAATACATTGAAATCCTTCTCGATAATCACAACTTAGAGATAATTCAAAGGATTGCCCATTGCATTCACCATATATCCGCTCCCTTCTTTGAGAAGATATTGGCTGTTAAGGCCATCGAGTTCTTGATCAAACATAACTTAAATGCAACGGCATCTGTTTTGAGTCAAATTTCAACATCTTTGCAATCACTAATTGAACTGAAAGAATTTGAATTTATTGCTATCAACTGCCTTTCTGTTTTAGTGAAGAAACTAAAACTCAACAACCTTATATCTCTATTCGATATAATAATATCGTTGGTATTCCAAAAATTTGATAGCTTCGAAACGAGGTCCAAATTGGTTGCAATTGAGATTATCAACCAGATGTTCCACTATATCGGCTCTCTCCAGAATGACTATGTGTTATATTACTTTTCAATTCCTTTCATTCCTCATTTGGTATCGGAGTACAAGTTAAACTCGAATTTCAAAAATTTTAAGAATTTGATCAAGCCAAAATTGAAGATTGGTTATTTTCCTGAATTTACAAGAAGATTGAAAACTTTGAACAAATTTGTGGTCAAGCAAGCACTTGTTGATTTGGGTAACTTCACTAATCAATATCAAGACATTATTCAACAAGAATTTTCCAAGGACTTACAGACAAATGTGAACATTTATGAGTCTATATCGGAGTTGATAAATACTTTGCTAGACACTTCCTATAAATTCAAAAACGAATTAGACAATGAAGATATTTCAACAAGCTGTGCAAAATGTTTATCGATCATAGGATCCCTTGACTCAAATAAATTCAACCTTAAGTCCATTAAACCGAAGATCACGTTGGTTCATAATTTCAATGATTACAAGGAAAACTCGATCTTCTTGACTGACTTTATGGAGAACATTATCGTCATAAACTTTTGGGCTTCGAACAACCCTATTAAACAAATGCACTATAGTTTTGCGATGCAGGAGTTCATGAAGGTTCTTAAGCTCGATGAGAGTAATACCAATTTGAATCAGGGAGAATTAAACTCCAAGACCAACACAACTGCAACTAATAGCATCTATTTGAAAGTTTGGAACAATTTTAGCGATGTAGCAAAGTCTACATTGAGTCCATTCCTAAACTCTAAGTTCTTCTTCTCGAGTAAGGTGAAAACAAGTCCAGTTGAGTATCCTATTTTCAAAGCCGGAATGAGCCATGAGTATTGGTTGACCTTGATCATCAAAGATTTGATTAGTTACTCACCATGGATTAATGATCCAAAGAAAAGTACATTATTCAGTGCTTTTAATGCTTTGATCAGTCAAAACGATATGTCCATCTCGAATTACCTTTTGAAGTATTTGGTTTTGACCAACTTATTAAATCCTAACAGACTTTACTTCAAGAACCTTATTCTCGAGATCAGTGAAATTTTCAACCAGAACACATCCATACTAATGTCTGCTGACCAAACTGAAGCTTTGAAAGCCTGCTATCAAACCATATTTGAGGTTTTAGACTATTTGAACCAATGGAGATCTTCTACTATCGAGCATCTAAATAACGATAATGTGAAGTTTTCAAGTAATGACATCAATAATATGAATAAGAATTTGAGTCTTGTTAATGAGTTTATTACAATAATCTCGAACTATTCGTTGTACGAAAAGTCTGCTTATTGTGGCGCTTACGAACGTACCATTTTGTACTTGGAACAAAATTACAGAATAGGTGAGATTGGTAGTGACTTTATTATTGAAAATCTCGACAAGAGTTCCAGTTTGCATTCCATGTATGCTAACATTAATGATCTTGACGCACTTGATGGGGTCTTAAAGAACTTTCCTTCTCGTAACACTAATATTCAATTGAAAAGCTTTCAATACAATGAGAATTGGTCTCTTGCACAAGAAGCGTTTCATGTATTGAGTGAGAATGGTGATGACAATGATGAGTACAAAATCAAGTTTTTGAAGTCATTAAACGACCATGCTGCTTATGAAGAAGTGCTTTCAAAATTGACCTCAAGTTTGAATATGAATGACTTAACTAACTTTCCCTTGGATTGGTCTCTAACTGGATTACAGGCTTCTATTTTCTCGGGAGATATTAGCCAATTACAAAAATGGTTCTATATTACTGAGTGTATTGGAGTTCCACAAGATGTCGACAATTTGATTACTTTCAAGCTTGCCGAGTTACTCCAAAAGCAACTGGGTGATTTAGACGAACAGGTCCAAGATTTATACAAACTCATTGGTGTGTCTTTAAATTCCTCGAGTATTGGAACATCAAGAAATCTCAATTTGATGTTGCAACTACACATGATATTTGATCTCAAGTTGTTATTGAGTGAAAGTAATAGAAAGCTGACTGTGAACTTGAGACTTGAAAATATCGATCAGAGTTTTGAAACCAAATGGAAAGTATTATCTATGCACAAATTTGTGAACATATTGAAGCTGAACTTCAATGAGATTAATCAAATCTATTTGAGTAGCAGTAAGTTGGCGAGAACAAACAACAAGTTCCATATCGCTGTTGCTAGTGTTATGAAGGCAATGAACTACAACTATGAGAGTAGCGAGTTGGAACTTGAAACAAATTTTGAATATTCACAATTATTGTGGAATCAAGGGAAGCAAACAGAAGCTATCAAGGTATTGGAGACGATCGATTTAAATGAAATTGCAAATAATCAACAAAAGGCCAAGATTCAACTTCAATATGCTGACTGGTTGAATGAGTCAAATCACAGTTCATCAAAGACGATCATTGATCAATACACAAAGGCCTATACTTTGGAAAAGAATTGGGAAAAGCCTTACTTTGCCTTAGGCAAATACTATGACAAGGTCTTGGAATCACAAGACATTAATAACGGATATTATCAACAGCAAATAATCAAATGTTTCTTGAAGGCTTTGACTTTAGGTCCATCATCTATATTTGAAGGCTTGCCAAAGTTGATTACCATTTGGCTCGACTTTGCTCAAGAGACAAGACTCACAAAGGATGCAGAAAAGGCTTTGTTACGTATCATAAAGGATATCGAAGACTACGTCAAAAGTGTCCCTACTTACGTGTGGTATACTGCAATCTCTCAAATGTTGAGCAGAATTAGCCATAGTCACCTCCCATCTGTGAAGATGTTACAGGAAATTATCAGTAGGGTTATTACCAGCTATCCGAGACAAGCCCTTTGGTTTGTTTTATCACACACCAACTCCAAGGATAAGACAAGAAAGGAACGCGTTGAAAAAATCATTAGTAAAGTTGCAGAGACGTCTTCTGCTAATAATGCTCTACTACTAGATGCCACCAATTTGTTCAGTTATTTCATATCTATTTGCGGCAAGAAATTCAAAAAAGGAACTAGGAAAGTTTCGATAACCCATGATTTAAGCTTAACTCAATTATTTGAACCGTTTAGCCTTGTGATTCCTGTTAGATCCAACTTAAACATCAAGCTTCCTACTCTTGTACATACCAAGAAAGAGAGTACAGTCTTCCCTAAGTCGTCATTGATCACTTTTAATGGTATAGATGATCAAGTGAACATTTTCCACTCATTGCAAATGCCCAAGCAGATTACCGTGAGAGGCAGTGATGGAAGAGCATACCGATTGATGATCAAGAAAGATGATACTAGAAAGGATGCAAAAGTGGTAGAATTCACTACATTAATTAACAGGCTATTAATTCTGAATAATGAATCACGTAAGAGAAATTTGGCCATTCCTAATTATGCAGTGACACCTCTAGCACAGAATATGGGTGTGATAGAGTTTGTTTCGGATGTAGCCACGATGAAATCCATTGTTAATGAAGAAAGGAAGAAGAGTGGAATTAACGTCAATGACAGGCTTGTATTTGGCAAGTTGGACAAAGTACAAAAGGTATGTAAAAGTGCTGGAACAAGTGATAACGGAGAATCAAGGGCCAAATTGCTTAAAGTTTTTGAAAGCATACTTCAAAGTAGTCCTCCAGTGTTGCATAATTGGTTTATAAATCAATTTAGTGACCCAACATCTTGGTATTTAGCAAGAAATTCGTATATCAGGTCAAGTGCCGTGATGTCTATTGTTGGTTATATTATTGGGTTGGGAGATAGACATTGTGAAAACATTTTATTTTTCAAGACAAACGGATCAGTTCTTCATATTGATTTCGATTGTCTTTTTGAAAAAGGCTCCACTCTTCCAACCCCCGAAATTGTTCCTTTCCGTTTAACTAGTAATATGGTCGATGCCATGGGTATTAATAAAGTTGAAGGGACCTTCAGAAAGACGTGTGAAGTCACTGACTCTATCTTGAGAACCAATGAACATTCATTGATGAATAATTTAGAAACATTGATTTACGATCCTTTGTTAGACTGGGAAAACCAACAAAATCCACAGCAGCATTTAAGAAAGGTTAGAAGAAAATTGATAGGATTATTAGATGAGAAGGAAGGGTTACCGATGAATATCCACGGTCAAGTTGATAATTTGATTCAATTGGCCTCCAGTAATGATAATTTGTGCCAAATGTATGGAGGTTGGGCTCCACACATTTAGTGTCTAAATAAGTGTATATTAATGTATTATAATGTTCTTGATATTATTTATAATGGAGGAGGAGATCTCCTATGGAGCTTTGAAGCAGTTCGATGGGGTTCATTTTCATTGGATACCTGATGATCAAGCTGGATCAATTCGTTCAATTCTTCATCAAATGGATTTGGTATTTTCTCGTTTAATTCAGGCATTTGCTCAACACTGAAGTCACTGTTCCCTGATGATGTCTTCAATAATGCTGCAACGGGTAATTGAGTTGAAGGCTTTTCCTCTGACATTTCAATTCTTTGAGGGAAGATACTAGATTCTTCTTCAATAATGTCGGAAGCGAATTTACCAAAAGTTGGTGGTCCAAGTGAAGAAGTAGAATAGTTATCATCGGGCAAATTTTCAGCTCTTAGGCTTCTAGCCTGGGGACTAAAGTCTCCTCTTGGACTCGATTCACTTTGTTGGCTATAATCGCTGCTGACACTGAACTTGGAACTGCTTCTCGAGTGGGCCAGTTTGTTCTTAGCAAACATATCAACCGGAGAAGAAAGATTCTGCTCAGGGATTCTCTCATTACTGGCCTGCCTGGGGCGCCTTCTGTTGGAGTACATTTCCACTTTGTCTTGTTCTTTCTTGTCTTTGGTTTCATCTTTAGAATTGTACCAATCACCTATCTTTTTGAAGGTTTTGTTGAGGTTCTTGTTTAAGGTTCTCTGGCGGGGTTCCATGATCGAACCATCAGAAAGGAAGTTCGAACCAGTGACACCCACAGTATGAGTTGATTTTGATTTTTTGATCTTTTGGGACAAGTCACTTAAGGTTGCAGTAAGTTTGAGCTTATCAATGGAAGATGTATCAGAGTCAACGGACCTAACAGATCGTATCAGTTGATCATTCCGATAGGCATCGTCTGTATTTAATTCGGATTTCTTGATCATCTCATCATCTAGTGCAGTTTCTGAGGAATCAGAAGATTGAGTTTTATCCCAAACACCCGCTCTGTAAACATCTCCTTCAGTATCAAAGAAGACCACATCGTCATAATTGGGCACAACCAAACTTTCCTTTATAGCATCCTTAAACCTCTTTTCAATCGTGCTGGTAATGATACTGTAGGTTATGGGACGAGAACTAATGATAGGTTCTATTTTTAAGTTTATCAAAGGCTCAATTTCGAAACTATACCAGATCCTATCACTAGGAGGTGGCTTTATTTTAAAAATAACGGGACCTTCTATTTTCTGAACAGTCACTTTGAGCACCACATCCACCTGACTTTGGGTGAATCTTCCTCCGAAATTTAAGTTGACTTTGGTGGAAATATTACAAGATAAATTACCATGGTAATGAACATATGAGGAGATAAGTAAGGTACCATTTGGATTAATTTCCTTTAGGTTTGGGTAAGTGAAGAAAGGAATAGAGTCACCAGGATCCAAATTTCCCAACTTGAACTTGTCCAAAAATCCTGGGGTCTTAATTTTATTGAGCTTTTTAGTGATTCTGGTCTCCAAGAAGTTCCTCAACATATCCGTACGCTTGAGAGACAAAAAAAGTCGTCCTAAAAGTCCATTAAACCACTTGGTCTGTAGCTGTCCCTCAGAACTGTAGAGCGTTTGAATCAAGTCCATCATCTCATCTGTTTGAAAATGAAGGGTTTTTGCATGCAACTGAGAGCTCCATGGTCCCAAATCCGATTCTGACTTGGAAGCTTTGATCAAAGTAAAGTACCAGTCTTCCTTTTCAATATTGGTGTCACAGTAGATGAAAAACGATCCTTGTGGTGGAGTCAAGTTGTTTTCCAGCTGGAGGATATCTTGAACTGTTAGCTTATCATTCTCAAAGTTTTCAGACAAGCGTCTTCTTCGAGTCCAGTCTTTTTTGATCAAACAGATAGAGGCTCTTTTGGTGAACAATTGTCCGTCAGGCAAATCACGAGGCCACAACGTGACAAACTGATTAGAAAGTACAATCACATGTTTAACATCTTTCAAGTCCTGGCTCTTATACAAGAATAAATTCCCGTGTTTTAATAAGGCATAGTACCTGTGTTTTTTGTTGAGGGATTTGGTCTTATCATTGGCAGGACGCGGGCTGATAGGTTCAGCTACTTCGTTTTGATCACCATTGGGATTATTATTTTTAACCAACTTATACAATGTTGAATAGGCGGAGGAACTCTCATTTATGGATTGGGTTTGGGAACTGATCTCATCTGGCGATTCTAAATACTCTTGCGTGACGATTAGCCATCCTGACTTGTAAGCCAATATCCCTGACAGGGAATCTTCTTCTATCTCACCTGCGCTAAGGAGCTTAGGTGGAGACTCGTCATCATCATCTTGTTTATCGGGCTGAGAAAAGGTTTTGTCTTTGGGGTGGAGATAGATGAATACAATCACTAGAAGCGGAAGGAATGTAACACCTCCTAGCAAATATGTATATAGAAACGATAAGAATGGCATATTTTGTGGATGTTGCTGCTCTTCCATATTTGCGAATTCGCAGCACCTTTAATGCGCTCTTTTACTAAACTATTAAATTGTCTATTCACTTTTGCAAGTATTTTAACTCTAAAAACCTAAGAAGTGGATAAGCCACACCGGCAAAGCCAAAGCACAAGAAAAACCCAATGTCTCCACCGTAGTCCCCTATTTGTCTAGCAATTGGACCTTGCCAATATACTTGGTTCATACCTACCACAGCTCCAACTGCCCCAACTGCAAAAGCACCCATTGCAGCCAACCCATAGGTAATCCGAGTAGGATCATCCCACACCGGCCAGTTATACAGGTACAGCTCCACGTCCCGATCATCTTCGAATTCTCGAGAATGTAAGTGTCTGGTAGCCGGTGCTCTGAATATGAGATTCTCTTCCAATAAAATGGCAATATATATGGAGATCCAATAGCCAAGCATGGGTAAAAAGTTGGAAATGATGGCTGAAAACTTGTTCTTCCCTAGCAATGATAAGATCAAATAAATAGCAGTGACAAGAATGGCATAACACCACCGGGGAATACGGGCCATTCTTCTATCAATTAATTGGAGATCAACTCCTCCTGAGTATGAGTTCATGATATTGTTACAGATCAATGAGATATAGAGAACCACCACCACAAACTTGCCAAACCGGCCCCAAGGCTCGAAGGGAACGTTAATAAGGCCTCCTACTCCTTGAGTATTGTAGACATCAGTCCATGCAGGGTTCCCGTAGGCTATGGCACCACAGTATATTCCAACTACCGCCACAAGCGTGGTAGGAACAGCAATTCCCAAGAAAGTCACGGTAAAAACTTGCCAAGACGGCGTATTTTCAGGAATGTGGATATAATAATCAGCACCCGCTCCACCCCAGGTAGCTGTCACCGAGAATCCAATGGTGAAAAACGAAAGCCAGTTACCTCTCGAAGTCAACGAAGAGTATCCCTGCTCAGCAATCAACTCATTACTGGGCTCGATGTACTTTGCATTTTTCAACACCACAATATAAAATAAGATGTTTGCAATGGTGATAGGAATAGAAAAAGCGGTTTGGAATCTGAGCAACACTTTGATTCCAAAAATCGAAATAACAAGAGCACAAACAGCAGCTACCACTATCCCCACATCCAAGCTAACCCCAAACGAAGCAGCCAAAATCTGGCCTCCAAGTACACAATTTACCACAGACCAACCCACAAGTCCAACCACACAAACTATAGCCACAAGTTTCACACCCCAAAACCCAAACACAAAACGGGCACTGACAATCTGACGACATCCTGATTTGGGTCCCATGATAGAACAGTACGCCGGTACTAAGCACCCAAAATTTAAAGATATAATTCCACTGATGAGGGCATCTCGTAAATTGAGACCAAAAAGTAGAGTGGGAAGAAAAAACGAAGACATGGAGGTTAACCCACCACAAGCAGCAAACCATAAGCCGAAAATATCAACAAACTGACGGGCAATGGCGTACTTTTTCAGGTGCTTCATTAGCTCTCTCTCCTCCGGCGATACCCGTTCAATACCTCTGACTTCCACTCCTAGTTTGTCTAATTTGTGAAGCCAGTTCACAGGCTTGACGTATGGCTCTCTATAGTCGCTGGTACATTCTTCAACTTTGTCGGTCATATTGAAGTCTTTGTAAAGGTACTTTGTCACTGAAGTAGGGCAAGTCGTTCAAGAAAGTGGTGTTAATGGGGGATCAAAATTTATTGTCTGAACGAGGTTTTCGTAAGATTTTCTAATGGGCGACCCTTTAAGCGCATACTCATTAATGAGGAGTTTTATATTAGCTTGCAGCCAAATTGGTGCTGGAATCAAATCTCTTGTTTTTTCATTTTGATTATGTCGCCATCAGATGAATTATTGGAAAATTACTTCCATTGGTATCAACAGTCAATTCTGCACCCCTTGACAAATGAATTGTGTGCTGGTACTTTACCCGATTTTAAGCTCTTCACGTACTTGGTTCAGGACTTGAAGTACTTTGAAACCGGGGCAGACTTGATATCTAAAACCATGAGACTAAGTGATAGTAAAGAAGCATCTTCAACTATTTATGAATATATCGGCGGATTGAGCACTGAAAACAAGTACTTTCATGTTTGTATACATGAATTGAAACAGTCAGAAGAGGTACAGAAAAGAGTTCCTCATATGCTTGGAGAAAACTCGGAAACTCTTCCAGCCGTTAAGAAGTATATCGATTACCTCGACTATTTGCTTAATGAGTCCAATTCTTATGTGGAATTGATAACCGTCGTTTATATCATGGAAAAAGTGTACCTTGGATGGGTTGAATTCAATTTGCAACAAGGTTCAATTTCGAAGAGTCTTGAATACAAACACCAAGAGTGGATAGATTTGCACAGTGGAGAGGATTTTGAAAAATGGGTCAAGTTTCTTGCTCAGGAGGTTGACAGAGTGGCTCCCTCGGACATGGAAACATTTGAACAAACAGCAAAAAAGACCCTTGAATTGGAAGTCGAGTTCTTTGAAGACTGCTACAACTACAATTCATAAATGTGTACTTTGAATTCTTTAAATATTTATTTACAGGTAGTGCTTCAAATAGGCCCTTTATTTATAGAGGAAACTCAACCATCCTTCTTGTCTTTTCTCTCTCTCAGCTTGTGGAATGAATGCGTCAACATGATCTCTAATCTTTTGAGCTCCTTCTTTACTATCAACTTCTCTTCCAATAACATCCACAAAGCTTCCCTCACTGTCCATCAAGTAAAAAAAGATTGAGTGATCAACTAAATAGTCTTGACCAGGTTTGACGTTTGGAGGAGTTGAAAAGTACACCCGGTATTTCTTACAAGTGTTTTTGATTGCTTCATAAGTACCGGTTAATCCAATAATGGAAGGGTGAAAGTCACTCAAATACGTCTTGATTACATCAGGGGTATCTCTAGCAGGGTCACATGTGATGAAAATTGGTTGCAACTGTATTTTATCCTTGTCTAATTCAGTTAGCATCTCCCCCAACTTATCCAATTCCTCAGGACACACATCAGGACAATGTGTAAATCCAAAATAGATGATTGAAAACATCTTCTTGTCATTTTTCAAGTTTTCTTGCGTGAACTTGTCTCCTTCAGTATCCATCAATGTAAAGTTACCTCCCACCAATGGTTTACCATAACTTCTTTTACTTTCAACTTCTTTTTGTATTCTTATTCTTTCTTTTTCCCGAGAGAACCAATAAGTAGCAGCTCCTCCAGCCACCAACAACACAATCACCGCTTTCCAGGAAGCAAACTCAATACTGTTACCAGCAGCGAATTTTTGCTTGGACTGCTCTCCTCCAATAGCTATTCTGCTCAATGGCCTCTTCTTACCCGATCCACCAGTGGAGGTGGACTCGCTTGGAGACTTGGGGTTTTTGTTGGAGTCAGCATTAAGTCTTATAGAAGATGTTGATATGAAACGGGGTACAGCTGGGAAATTCACGCCCTTCCATAGTTGTGGTTTAATCAATCTAGTAGAGAACATTAGCCTGCTTTCAAATCATTCAATCACAAAATTTTCGAATGCGAAAAAAAAAACTAGTCAGCTACCATGGCATCGATCTCTGGACTTTTACAGTGGTGCAAGGAAAACGGAACCTTATTATCTCCAAGGGTAGAATTCAAAAATATTGATGCCACAAACATTGGCGGGTTTTTCCAAAACTCTGAAAAAGAGGCAGCTGATGATTTAGAAGATGAGCACATTAGATTACCATTGAAATTGGCCATCACAGTATCAGATGCAATCAAATCGTTTAGTGATGGGAATGAAGCTGACACATTCACCAACATTTCTAACAAGACATCCAATATAAACTCATTGTTGAAGTTATTCTTGGCCCGTGAAAAGTCTGAAAAGTACCTTTCCAAGTCCTTCTATCAGCCATATCTCACTCTTCTTCCTAGTTTGACTGATATCAATTCTCCTTACACTTGGTCTCCGGAGGACAAAGAATCTTTAAGAGGTACGAATCTAGGAAGCGCGTTGAAGGAGAATTTGGCTGCTCTTGTGGAGGAATGGTGGCAAGTCATCAACTTGCTTCCAGAAAGCATTGACAAACCAGAGCAGCACTTTGTCAACATGAAGTTTTATTATGAATTCAAGTTCCACCAAGAGAAAGACCTTTATGAATTGTTCAATACTGAACAAGACTTCAACAATTGGACAAGTTTCACAAACTATTTGTGGTCTTCTTTGATTTTGAAGTCTAGATCATTTCCCGCCTATTTGATCAAGAATGTCGATAAAGAAAAAGATATCAAGATGGATGAAGCCATGTTATTACCTGTGGTAGATTTGTTGAATCATAGCATGAAAGCCGATGTTGAATGGTCCGTTACCAGGACAGGAGGTACCGATTTCTTCAACTTCAAATCTAACTCAGCGTTGGTGGGCAGAGAATTGTTTAATAACTATGGCAGAAAAGGTAATGAGGAACTCCTTCTTGCCTATGGGTTCTGCATCGAAGGTAATGAAGCCGATACTACAGCTTTGAAAATCAAGATCCCAGTGGAAATGTTACCTGAATTAGAACAAGCTGGTGTCAAACTCCCACGACTTTCAGATTATACTACTGCGGTGGTGAGAACTGATGAGCCTACCCCTGACAATAAAGGAGACTACAGTGAGTTTTCTGATGGGTTACTTTTTTTTGTGACAGTCAATAATGTCCCCGAAAACTTAATTTCACTCTTCCAGCAATTGGTCAAAACTCCATGGGAAACTGATATAACTTTAAGAACCAAATTAGCTGGAATTAATCATTTAAGGCAGGCCCTTGAGTCTAAAATCACCATCATCAACGAGATCAAGAAACCATCAGCACAGTCTGCTAATACTAGAAACATCGATATCTATGTTTCCAGCCAAAAACAGATTCTTAATTCTGCCGTGAAAATACTCAAACGGAAAGAAAAGGATATACTAGTTGATCCAGAGGTCAAACCAAATCTTGTTACACTCAAGACCGTCTATAAGAAAGACAAGAAGTTTGCAGACGCCCTTTTGGTGTCACTAGGAGTCACTTCGTATGAACAATTGATTGAACATAGCTTCCAGGATCAAGCATGGTTATTGTTTTTGATCCGGTGCCACAACAAGAAAGAGTATGCTGACGAAGAAGAAAACTATCTTCCTGACTGGATCCATGATAGTTTTGAGAGAATGACCAAAGAACATACAATAACTGCCGAAGAAATCGTTCAATATCAAGAATTATACGAGAGCCTCGTTATACCATTAACCAGTACGGCACCCGATGTATTCAATAGAGGTGTATGGACGGTTGAACAGCTTATAATCAGTGCCAGACTTCTTGATACAATCAGCTTTGTCAGGGGCAAGAAGCAAGAATGCATTCTTGTCAAGACCTAAGACCTACCGGAAAGCCATTAACAATGTACATAGAATTATTATAAAAGCGAATATAGCATAACAACGCACTATATCTAATCTTCCTTAATACCACCAGCTCCACTGATTTCAGCACTTTCAACAGAGTGTTTGTCTGTCTTGACATCACCAGCGGTAGCACCAGACAAAGCTTGCAACAAACCAGGAGCAGACTTGAAAGGTCTCTTCAAGTCTCCAGTGGCAGGAGTACCAAACAAATGGATCTTCACGATGTTAGCTTCCAAAGCACCTTTCAAACCGGAGATGGATTGCATAACCAAAGGATTGGTGTATTTCATGTACAAGTGCATGAAACCCATCATAGCCAAAGATTGGAAAACACTCTTGATTTGAGTGTCAACTTGTTTCAAATCATATTCCTTGACAGTGGTGATGACTGGAGTTTCACCTTGGCCAGACATAGGATTAGCTGGCTCGACGTATTTCAAGGTGGTCAAATCATTCTTGGCGTTAATTTTCATCTTGGTGAATAAGTAGACTCCCAAAGTCAACGCTTGCAAGGTGATATAAATCACTCTAACATAGAACAAGATGTCGGGATTTTCTAAGTCCAAACGTCTGGACACTTGCATCATAGCCAACATGATGACTATGTTGCTCACAGCTGGGCTCATTCCAAACATACTGCAAATAAAATTAGTTGGTGAAAGTGGAAACTTTGAGTTTTTTTGCTCGCTACAGAAAATACTGCTGGCGATTTTGCCAGTCGAGTTACCCGCATTTTTTCTATGTCGATAAAATCTTCCAGAACCTTATCGGCCCGTGGCTGCTGCGAATTATATGCTCGTATTATTTTTTGCAGCTATAAAAAATGATCTAATCTTCTTCTTCAAATGCTACTTCACCATATTCCCAACAACCTTTATGGGCATTGATGGCTGCTGTTTGAGCTGCTTTTAATTGGGCAAAGATCTCATTGGTCGATTTTTGTTTTTCATCAACAATCGCTAACCCTTTTTTGACCATCTGTTTGTTAAGAGTATGAGTTGGGTCTTTCAAAGATGCTTCGGAATCGTACAAGATAACGTCGTAGTCAACACCGGTAGTCTTTGATGGTAAGCCTGAGATAACAAGTTTCTTCTCGAACGTTAACTCATCAAGTAAGTTCAATGATTCTGTTAAATAGTCAACAGGTTTAGAAGGTGCCAATTCAACATACTGTAACTTACAGGAGTTACTAAATGCTGGAATAGCACCCACGGAGTAGAAAAGAGGTAAAGCTCTCAATGAAGATAATGGAACTTCATCGACATTGCCATAGTCAATGTGCTTAACCTCATAGAGTCCGGTTGCTTTGTTGTAACCCAAGACCTTACCTCTGTAGTACTTGTTGTTATCCTCCAATTTGATAGAAACGTATTCATTCTTCTTTGGAGCTTTCGTCAAGTTGAATGGTAAGTCTGAGGAAACACTCGTGGCACTTGGAATCTGTTGGTGGAATTCATCAAATTCTTGTTTGAACAGATTGAACTTGCTTTTCACGGCAGCATCTAAGTTTTGAAAATAGATAACCCCGGTGGAATCAACATAAGTTACCTCAATATCCCTGAAAATTGGCTTTACTTCAAGTTGTACCTTTGAAAAGTCTTGGGCAATTTGATCAACACGTTCATGTGCCCACAATCCTTTCTTGGAGCTCTTTGCAGAATCCTCAGCTGTCACTAAATCTTTTTCAAAAGAGTTGAAACCAACAGCGATATCATGGGTTTGAACATATCCTTGTTCTAACAAATTGACCTGGAATGGTTTTAAGCTGCTGCTGTTTAAGAAAAGGTTACCAATGAATCCACCAATTTTGTCCATGTCGTAGACCTCAAATTCAATATTTTTCTGGAGAACTTTGGAGTTCAAATACTTCAAACCTTCTTCAGAAACTTCATTTTTCTGGTTAGATAATCCTCCCAAAATCAACGTCAATTTAAGACCTTCCTTAGGGTTGAATAACCGAACTTTACTTGTAGATGGAACAAACTCAACATGGTAACCACCACCAATTCTACCCTTTTGCTTAAAACCACCAAAGAAAGATTTGGCCCTGGCAGAATTTTCCGAAGCATCAACAATTCTTGTACCGACAGTAACAATCTTACTGATATCCCCTTTATAATAGACACCATTCTTCCCCAATCTTTTCTGCTCTTCCTCGATCTCAACCAACTTATCCCAGTTCAAAGATCTTTCATCCAATGTTTGCTTATTATGCTTGATAACTCCGGCCCAACCATTTTCAAGTATTAATTCACTCAAATCAGTTTTGCCAATCTTGACACTAACTAAAAATCTGGAGTCAAAACCCAACTCTTTGTTTGCGTTTCTGAAACCATCGATGTACACGGTAGCCGACTTTCCAGCTGCATATTGTCTAACGAATTCTCTTGCACTATTGGCAATGGCAAGTTGGAGTTGTTTATTGGAAGTCACAGTGGAATCGTTAGGCTTTGGGGCTCTCACAGACGCCAATTGAACGGTGATCTCTTCTCCAGATGGTATTCTGATGTTCAAAGTATCGGCCTGAACAACTCTGGTGATGGTGACACCATCAATAGTTAAACCTGGTCTCAAGTGCTTGGTAGAGATCTTACCACTCAAAGCACCAGTGGAAGAAGTTCCCGATGGTTTAGCGGTAGCATACATGCCCTTTCCCAATGCCTTAGCAGTTTGTTCAGCTTTTCTCAACCCCGACATAGTACTGGAGCCAATCAAAGTTGATTGCCAATCAACAACTTCAGCAAGTCCGTTCTCCAATAACTTCTCGTGGATATTGTTACCAGAAGGATGCTCAAATAAGGCCACTGGCAAACCAGCTTGGTTCTCACCGACGATTTTGACCTTCAAAACTGCTTTTGTGGTCAAGAATTTGTCTTCCACAAACAGCTTGGCTTGTTGAGCAGTAGTAGTCAACAATTTAGATTGAGAAGCATCGTCCGTTCTTGGACACTTGAGACCAGCTAACAACAATGGAGTAGAAACATGTTGGTGCTTGTTGACAATGATTCTTCCAATAACTCTGTCACCAGAAATGACTCTTTCCACAATAGTGGTTATTGGGTTTTTCTGGGACTTTTCGATGATCGCTTCATCAATGGCTACAACTTCAATAGGCTTGACCGATGAATCCCACAATCCTTCGTTTTTGGTCTTGGCCTTTTCCTCCAATGCTCTAAGGTTTTCAATAAATTCAGAGTCTTCGTTGATATTATCCTTCAACTTCACAATACCTCTTTCAACCAAATATGCAGCAAGAGACTTGAAGATAGGAGCTTGAACATCGCCAAACTCTCTTCCAGTAGTTGGGTTTTTATACTCCACCTTAAACTTTACGTCTTTTCCTATTAACAACTGTCTGACGAATTCTCTCGATTCAAACGAGTCGTTTGATCTCACGTAGGATAAGGTTAAAACCCTTTCAGGAGCAGGCACTTGTGTGGTCTTGGATGGCACAAGAACAATGGTGTCACCGTTTAACACATTTTTGACTTTAGCTACAAACACCTGACTCATAATTACGGTGGTGTCAGCTGGTGATTTGAGAAATGGACAACTTTGTCGAAAATTGAGGTGGCCGCATTTGGTGGAAGAGAGGGCCATGTATTGGAATCATGTGTTACAGGAGAAGAAGCGATTTTGGGAGTGGAATTGATACGATACTTGAAGGACGAGACAGAATTGAGTGCCGGGATCCTAGGAAGCACCATAAAAGTTGGTCTTCTATTACTGCAAAACCGGTCACGTGAGAGTAAGCAAGAAGTGGTGTCTTTTTTTCCTGGATGTTTCCAGTATTACAGATCCAGTAATCGTATTAGATGACGTATGAGCCTGTATGATTTGCGTTCTTCTGCACATTCACCATCAATTTCTAAATCCTACTTAATGGATCTTCGATCTGGTTCCAAATCAAAAATCCTCGCATTAAAACTAAATCTTCGGATCAGAATTTCGTCACCCCAATCCTATACCAATATCTATGGCACTCAGAACAACCGCACAAAAACGATTGCTTAAGGAGTATCAACAATTGTGCAAAGACCCACCTCCTGGGATCGTGGCCGGACCTGTTTCTGAAGATGACTTGTTCATCTGGGAATGTCTCCTCGAAGGTCCTTCAGGAACTCCATATGAACATGGGGTTTTCCCGGCCACGTTAAAATTCCCCAAAGACTATCCGTTGGCGCCTCCAATATTACAGTTTGATCCTCCGCTATTGCATCCTAACATTTATGCTGACGGGACAGTGTGTATTTCCATTTTACATGCTCCTGGAGAAGATCCTAATCGATACGAAAGACCCGAAGAAAGATGGTCTCCAGTACAGAGTATAGAGAAGATTCTATTGAGCGTAATGCTGATGTTAGCTGAGCCTAACCCTGAAAGTGGTGCTAATATTGATGCCTGTAAGCTCTGGAGAGATAATCGACAGGAATATGACCGTCAAGTAAGACAGCATGTCCAGAAATCCTTGGGACTATAGATGTACGTCTGTGTAGTATTATAGATACGAGCGAAATTTGCTACAACCATTGCGGAGTGCCAATTCCGTATATTGATATGCTTGTAATCTGGGGCCATAAACGGATTCACTTGCCAGAATTGGATCGTGCGGGTTTGCGTATAAAGCGTACCTTTCTTCTGCCTGCGAGTAATTTGATATAGCCATGGCTTCCATGAATACTAAAGTGTGTATTGTCGGTGCCGGGGTGGCTGGTCTTAAGACAGCACATACGTTGCTTAACGACCCCAAGTCTAAATTTAAAGCCGAAGATGTGCTTATACTCGAAGCCCAAGATCGCATCGGTGGAAGAGTGTTAACTGATAAGACTTCTTCGAAATTGGGCTACTCCTATGATATTGGTGGTGCCTGGTTCCATGACTGTTTATCCAACACTGTGTTACAGGAGAGCATTGATAGTGGGTTATTTGTCGTCCAGAAAGATGGTTATTTTGATGATAAAGATATTACTGTTTACGACAAAGACTTTAATAACCAGCCAGTTCCAGTGACTGACCTCAAGCTCAACCGAGTTAAGGAAGAGCTTGAGAAGTTCATCGAGGTATATTATCACGAAGATTTGTCCAGAAAGGATATGTCGTTGTTGGAGATAACCGATGTATATATAAAGAGGTACGGTGACAGACTTACATCTGAGCAGAAAAAATATTTGAAAAAGATGATTAGATACTTTGAGTTGTGGGACGGCTTTAGTGCCGATAAGATCAGTGCCCGGTACTCTCTCAATGATCACGAAGGCAGAAACTTGTACAATCTCAAAGGATATTCGTTCTTGTTGGATGAGTTGTTGAGGAAAATCCCTGCCTCTCAAATCCGTACCAATACTAAAGTCAACACAATTGTGAGAAACAACAAGCACAACGAAACGAAATTGAGGGTTGAAACCGACAAGGGTATAGTATATTGTGACTACTTGGTTGTAACTGTTCCCTTGAGTATCTTAAAGCTTCCGAGTTCCCACCCTTATGGAATTTCCTGGGAACCTAGTCTTCCAGCCTCCATAACAGAGGCTCTTGATGCTACTTGTTTTGCAGCGTTAGGCAAAGTGATTTTCGAATTTAATGATGTCTGGTGGGACAAGGACGTTGAGCAGATATTGCACTTACCCGAAGAAACCGGGTCTGTTGAACTTTCAGCTGTACTTAATCAACCTCCTCAGAAATTAATCTATCCGTATTTGCTTGTAAACTATGAAGCTTTACACAAAAAGGACAACAAGAAGACCGCTCAAGGTGGAAGTTTCGTACTTTTAACACAAGCCCCTTTGACCCAGTACTTGGAAGAAAACCCTGACAAAGCGTGGGATTATTTTAAGGCCTCATTCAAATCGTTTGTGCAACCAGGTCGAACCATATCTGAACCCATTAATGTGATAACGACAAAATGGACCACAAACCCATATATCCGTGGCTCTTATAGTGGAGTTGAAGTGAATGGAAGTTACGAAGACATGGTGGCCCAATTGTCTGGAGAAATCGAAGGACTTGGATTGGGTTACTCAACAGTCAGATTTGCTGGCGAGCACGCTACAGCAGTGGGCAGTGGGTGTATTCACGGGGCGTACACTTCAGGAGAAAGAGAAGCTGCTTGGATCCTAAACCACTACAACTCTTTGAAATGGACTCTTTAAATTAAGTTCCAGCATGTTCTGGCAGTGTCTAGTTGCAGCCATTTAGTATATCTAGAAAAAGTATTTGTATGCAAAATATCGCAATAAAATTTTTTTAAAGTCTTCTCGCTCCCAAAGATAAAGCTTTAAACCTTACAAAATGGCATCTAAATTTGACGCTGAAAAGGCAGAAAACTTGGGAGATATCGAAATGCAGTTCGCTGTGAAGGCTGTAACCCAGGCTGAAACATACTGGGGATTATTGGAAAAAATTCCTGGTTCAAAGTTGAAGTTAACCAAATTTGATGATGACATCTTTGAGCAATTACTCATTGACTTTCCCGAATTCAAAGACCCAAGCAATGTGGTCGAGGTTCAAGAAGAAGAAATGAAAAGCAAGGAAGGAAAGGAAAAATGGAGAGCTTTCTGTGAAAAATTCAATGAAATCGAAGACTACAATTTCGGTACTTTATTGAGAACTAAGTGTACTGATGAATACACCCAACATGGTACTATTTTCGTGGTAAGAATCCAATTCTATGCCTTCGAAATCGCCAGAAATAGGTACGGTTTGAACGACTGGGTATCTAAAAAATAGGTCAGTTCATAACGAGTAAGTAGATAGTGGTTGCACAATATATGTACAGTAATTAGTAAGAAAACAAAACACCCTGAAATGAAAGAACGTGGCGTCTACATTATACTACCGTAACCTTCCTCTCCAACAGCTATACAAAGTGATAGTTCTAGCTTTACTCCTGTGTGTGTGTGTGTGTGTGTGTGTGTGGGATCATTCTCAATTGTGCATCTTGTGCGCGAGTCGCAAAATCAACTTGATTGATCTTAAGGTTGGTGGGCGAACACAAATCCTATCACTAAATTTAAGGTATTGTTTCTTTGAAGTCAACCAAGAGTACCACAAGTGAAGGTGAGCATTTTCTGATTGGATATTCCACAGCATATTCCCCAACTCCCACCATGAGCAACAGTAATGGCGTATCTAAGCTCTCGCTGTGGCAGCCCCAGCAATCCCTTAACTCGAATCAATCGTCACAACAACCACAAACGCAAAGGCAGCAAAACTCACAACCACAAGCTCAAGGATCACCGAACCAAGGAAATCAACAAAGTCCTCCTACTCCCTTGGCCAACTATACTTTACCCGGGGTCATTAGCTACTTGACGAGCGAGTTTACGAACTTGGAGAGATTCAAAATCATGTCTAATTTAGAGAGATCAGAGATGAAATATCGGATCACTCAGTTGCAGGGTGAACTAAACACTTTGAAATACACCAATCATCAACAGAAACTTAGAATTGAGAAGTTGGAAGCTGAAAATGATGCATTAAAGAATGATAAAGGGTTTACAGTTGATCCTCCAGATGACCTTTCATTGGTTGACATCCCCGAAGTAGATTTGCATTTGATCAAGGAATCTCGTTATCAGTTGACCAAGTCCATGAAAGAAGTGATCCATTTATTGAAAAGTCCTGTTAATGCAAATGTCGATTACCTTGAATTACCCAATGTAACCGATACCTCCAATTCATTTGATGAATTGTTGTCTAATGACAACTTTGTTTTTAATGCATACAATAGATCGAACGGAGGTGCCAATGACGATGGAAACAAAACTTCGCTTGTCAACAAGTTTTTTAATGACGATTCTCACCTGGAGTCCGAAGACAACAGTGATCCGGTCCACCTGGGCTCACTTAGCGAGAAGTTTGATAAAATGACCCTTGAGGCTGAATCGCCAGTTTCGACAGAATCTTTAGATGTGGCTGAAAGTGATACTGAAACGGTGATTTTGGATGGAAGCAATGATTTCAAATTTAATGATATCGATAATATAGAGCCCAATATTGATGATGAAATCAAAAATCCTCCTCCACAACTAGTTGAGACCAAACTCACTATTAAAAACGATGAGTTCAAGCATGTCAAGGTATTTAGGAATGCCAGTGACAAACACATCATGTACTTACACTACGATAATTTCGAAACCCCCGATGAGTTGAGGATTACATTGCATGACGCCGAAAGTGACCAGGAAGTCATGTCAGTTACTAGCAATACATCATTGATCGATGGGATTGAAGAGATTCTTGAGTTATACATTTTGTCTTTTGACGTTGAGAATGAGGTTATTCGCATGTTGGCAGTTTACGATTCTGGTCAAATCAGCCAAATCGTTTTAGATCAGGAAGATTCTATGTCTAGCCTTATTTCTAGTCCTACATTAAATGGCACGAATATTTTGTCTTCTGCATTGGTTGAATTTGATCATAAGCGAACAGGAAAGAATAAGTCGTTTGGGTTGGCAGTGTCCTTTTCCAGTAAACCACAAGCAACCATCAAGCTTTACGACCTAAATGCTGGTCCTAGAAACGACATCACAGTCAAAGAAATTGGCTCATATAATAAGAACTTCTTCAAATTCAAATCCGCTGTTGAAGGATCAAATTTTAAGATTCTTAAATGGTTTAAGAGTAACAGTCAACACACCGACACTCCTAAAAAGGGACATACACATAGCCGCTCATTATCAAATTCCGATAGTTCTTTGAGTCCGTACAACTTGGTATTGAATCTTGGAGGTGCCATTTTCCTATTCAACATTGCCAGCAAAGTGAGCACGCCCATCAGCGATTTAACTACTCATTTCAACTCGGATCTAGAAAATAACAACCATAATCTTGTGATTCGAAGTCCAATTGATTCTACATCGTTTCAATTGGAGATATATGATTTGACGAGCAAAAACCCTGGAGATCCCAACTATATTACTTGCGATGAAGTTGATGACCTTGATCGCGATCCCGAATCGGCCTACACTACGATTTTCTCTAGTGATAATGTCCTGTACATCATAGAAATCCTGAAGTCCCGATTGAAAATGTACAATAACTTGTTTACATTGTTAGAGAGTTTCCCGGTGACTTATAAAGATGCATACAAGGTTGGAAATACTATTGTGCTCCAGCAAGATGAGGAATTATTGATGTTTAGAATTAAGTAACTTTAACTAGATCAGGTTTTATTATCGCATAATTTATTACCATCTCATCTCTACTAATCCAGATTGCGCACCTTTTTAGCAAAATTTTCAAACCGTGTTAGTTGTACTCTTCCTTGAAAATTGCAAATATGTCGAAAAAGCAGTCGTTTGATGACTTCTTGAAGAAGCAGAAGCAAGCTCAACAACAGAAGACAGGTTTCGGTTATAAAAATGCCGGAATTAACCAATCTGCTTCCAATTATTACACTCAAGGATTCATACCAGGAGATGTGAATAATGTTGCATCCCAGCCACAAGGTCAACAGGGTTTTCCAAACGGTTATCCAGTGGATGGAAGCCAGCAGGGATTCCAAGGGTACCACCCACAAGCTTACAACCCACAAGCGTATCAACCACAAACCTATCAAGGATATGATAATCAACCTAGAAGTGCCATTAGAAGCCCAATTGAAAGTTTCACTTCAAGTGCTAGATCAACTCCAGACCCAAACTCTTCCACCACCTCTTTAAGCTCTTTAGGTGGAACCTTGACTAAGTTGAATATTAAGGACTCCCCCATTGAAGAAAACATCATGAACATTGAAAGAGCTACCAAGTTAAGTGAAGTTAAGACGGAAATCGATAATATTTTGTCTTTAATTGAATCTAAATCCATTTCAGTTATAAATGATTGGAAATTTCTCGATATAGTCAAGTCTTTGGCCAAACCCAAAAATACTCCATTGTTAAGAGAAGCTTCTGCTTTGATTATCCAACAATTATCCATTAAGCTTGGCGGTCAAACTCCAAAAGAAGCCTACTTCACACAATTCATAGGTACCACTTATGACTTTGCTGCCGATAAAGATAAGAATGTTGTGAAGGCTGGCCATGTGGCTGCCAACTCTTTATTGGGAGTTTTCCCAGTTGAAGCGTTGGGATCAACAGTATTTGACGAGCTCTTGAAGTACCTCAAATCGTCTGCCAAGTGGAACTCCAAGGTTGCTTGTTTGGACACGGTTGATAAATTAATTGACGAGGTTCCAGCTGACTTGTTGGAATTGAAGTTCGTTAAGGCAGTCCCAATTCTTACTGATATGGCTACTGATTTCAAGCCTGAATTGGCCAAGCATGGTTTGAAGGTCTTGAAGAAGTTTGTTAAAGTTCTTGACAATTTGGATTTGCAGAACAAGTATGACATTATTGTTGAAACTTTAGCTGATCCCCAAAAAGTCCCCAACTGTATCAAGAACTTCTCCTCTGTAACGTTTGTGGCAGAAGTCACTGAACCAGCCTTATCCTTATTGGTGCCTATTTTGGACAAGTCATTGAAAATGTCCTCTTCCTCCAATGAGCAATTGAGACAGACTGTTACAGTCACTGAAAACTTGACCAGATTGGTCAATAATAAGCGTGAAATTGAAACCTTTATTCCAACCTTGTTACCAGGTGTTGAAAAAGTGTTCAAGAATGCTTCATTACCAGAAGTTAGAGAATTGGCCAGCAAGGCCTTGAAAGTGTTAAAAGATGCTGAAAATGAACAGGGTGATGGAAGTTTCCATGGAAGATTAACCTTAGACCAATGCAAGGAATTCTACCTCAGAAACAAAGAAGAGTACCAACCAGTGATCGATGCCCTATATATCGAAACTGATTCTGTGATCGCCGAATACTTGTCGGTTGTGTTACAAGCCGATGCTCATGTCAATGATTGGAAACGTCTTCAAGAATACTTGGGTATGACTGTCCCCGTTAACAACGATATTTCCGAAGAATTGAAAGAAAGCTATATCTCAAGCCTTATAGCTCATTTAAGAGGGTTATATAACCCTGATACTGGATCTAACAATGAAGATGATGATGGAGCCATTGAAATTGTCAACGCCGACTTCTCTTTGGCTTATGGTTCTCGTATGTTGTTGAACAAAACCACTTTGCGGTTGTTAAAGGGCCACAGATACGGTCTTTGTGGTAGAAATGGTGCTGGTAAGTCCACTTTAATGAGGGCTATTTCCAAGGGTCAATTGGAAGGTTTTCCAAGCCCCGAAGAGCTTAGGACTTGTTTTGTTGAACATCGTTTACAAGGAGAAGAAGGTGATATGGATCTTGTTAGTTTTATTGCTTCTGACCCAGAACTTAAAGATGTTGGACGTGAAGCCATCGCTGATGCCTTGAAGGAGGTTGGCTTCCCAGAAGAAAGAGTTGCCCAGCATGTGGGATCTTTATCTGGTGGATGGAAGATGAAATTAGAATTGGCAAGAGCTATGTTGATGAAAGCTGATGTTTTATTGTTGGACGAACCTACCAATCACTTGGATGTTGCCAATGTCAAATGGTTAGAAGATTACTTGAACGAACACAACGAAATTACATCTTTGATTGTTTCCCACGACTCTGGTTTCTTAGATGCTGTTTGTACTGATATTATCCACTACGAAAACAAAAAGTTGGCTTACTACAAGGGTAACTTGTCTGAATTTGTGGCTGTTAAGCCAGAAGGTAAGTCATACTACACGTTAACAGACTCCAACGTTAAGATGGCTTTCCCACCTCCCGGTATGTTATCTGGTGTTAAGTCTAATACCAGAGCTGTTGCTCGTTTAGCAAATGTAACTTTTGCTTACCCAGGAGCAGCCAAACCATCTTTGAAAGACGTTTCTTGTTCTTTATCATTATCCTCTCGTGTTGCCATCTTAGGTCCAAATGGTGCTGGTAAATCCACTTTGATCAAGTTATTGACTGGTGAATTAGTTGCCAACGAAGGTAAGGTTGAAAAGCATCCAAACTTAAGAATCGGTTATATTGCCCAACATGCTTTACAACATGTTGAACAACACAAAGAAAAGACTGCCAACCAGTATTTGCAATGGCGTTATAGATTTGGTGATGATAGAGAAGTGTTATTGAAAGAATCAAGAAAGATCTCTGAAGACGAGAAAGAGATGATGAGCAAAGAATTCAGCATTGATGATGGAAGAGGCCCAAGAGCCATTGAAGGTATAGTCGGAAGACAAAAATTGAAAAAATCTTTCCAATATGAAGTGAAGTGGAAGTTCTGGCTTCCCAAATATAACTCCTGGGTTCCAAAAGAGGTGTTGATAGAACAAGGATTTGCAAAATTACTCCAAAAGTTTGATGATCATTTGGCATCTAAAGAAGGTTTAGGATATCGTGACTTGACTCCATCAGTAATCAGTAAGCATTTTGAAGATGTTGGTCTTGATAGTGATATTGCTGACCATACTCCAATGGGATCATTGTCTGGAGGACAATTAGTTAAAGTTGTCATCGCCGGAGCCATGTGGAATAATCCCCATTTATTAGTTCTTGATGAGCCAACCAATTATTTGGATCGTGACTCATTAGGAGGTCTTGCGGTAGCTATTAGAGATTGGAGTGGTGGAGTGGTGATGATTTCACATAACAATGAGTTTGTGGGTGCCTTATGTCCTGAACAATGGCACGTTGAAAACGGTGAAGTGGTTCAAAGAGGCCATACAGCTGTTGACACTAACAGATTCGAAGGTGTCGATGGTGATACCGAAAGTAAAGAAGGATCTCCAGCGCCTTCAGGTCCTCTTCCTAAAAAGAGAGCTGATGATGATGACTCTCCTGCTAATATCAAGGTGAGAGCTCGTAAAACAAAGTTGACTAGAAACGAAAAGAAGGCCCAGGCGGAAAGGAGAAGATTGCGTCACATAGATTGGTTGAACAGTCCAAAGGGAACTCCTAAACCTGCGGATACCGATGATGAAGCAGATTAAATAAGTACTTTACTTAGTGTTAGATAAAATATATTCAGATTGTGAATGGCTTCCAAAAACTACCCGCGACTTTTTTTCCAACTTCGAAGGCAAATATCTACAGCACATTTAGCACCTATTTGATTCGACATCATTCAGGTTGATTGAGATATTGCATTGAAAATACAGAAAACATGGCTGATAGGTATTCATTCTCGTTAACCACTTTTTCTCCAAGGTATGTTTAAACATAATCCATTCAATTCGGGGGGTTTCCCCATGATTCTAGCGTATACTAACATCTTTCTAGTGGTAAATTAGTTCAAATTGAATATGCGTTAAACGCTGTCAAGCAAGGGGTGACAACCATAGGTATAAAATCTGCTGATGGAGTAGTGTTGGCCACCGAAAGGAAAGTTAACTCAAATCTTTCGAAGAAAGATACAAACTCCAAAGTAGAATTGATTACTCCAGACATTGGTATGTCATACTCAGGAATGGGTCCAGATTTCCGGGTGCTTGTTGATAAGGCCCGTAAGTTGGCTCATACAAACTATAAGAGAGTCTACAATGAGTATCCTCCAGTGAAAATTTTGGTTCAAGAGATTGCCAAAGTTATGCAAGAATCTACGCAATCAGGAGGTATAAGACCTTTTGGTGTTTCCTTGTTAGTGGGAGGTTACGATTCTCAGACAGATGGTTTCCAATTGTATCAGGTTGATCCATCTGGAAGTTATTTCCCATGGAAGGCCACTGCTATTGGCAAGACTTCTGTATCTGCGAAGACCTTTTTGGAAAAGAGATGGAATGAAAACTTGGAGCTCGAAGATGCTATTCATGTGGCTTTGTTGGCCTTGAAAGAATCTGTGGATGGAGAGTTGACGGGTGACAATTTGGATATAGCCATTATAAGTGGTCCTCAAGAAGAATTATTAGGATTCAAGGGAACTGACATTCCCGGTCCAAGATTCAAGAAATTAACCACAGAAGAAATCAATGACAGATTAGATTCCTTGTAGGATGTTCCGTTGTTTATTCTATATCCCTCATATATATTTCCGTATATAAAAATAATGAACTAACAGTTAGAGATCGCATCCTCACCATTATCGGCACGCTCATCTCAAATCTTTTTTTTCGCATCTCATCTAACTCTTAAATAAACCATACACAATGGCTAAAAAGACCAGACAAACTGGAAAGAGTAAAGCAAAGAGAAGCAACCAGAAGATATTAAATGCTTTTGAAATTGCTGAACGACAAGAAAATGGGTCGGACTCCGACGGGAATTCGGGCGACGATGACTACAGAGTTCAAGATGGGGTATTGGATGCCAGTAAATTCTTGAACAATGCTAAGAAAGAAGACTTTTCCGACGACGAAATCGACTCAGACGAAGCTTTGGGGTCTGACGATGACTACGATATTTTGAACTCGAAATTTTCACAGTCCATAAGAGATAAAGAGAAAAAACTCAAACTGAGGGCACAAAGAAGAAGAAGAGGTGAAAAGGTAGAAAGTGAATCAGACGAGAGTGACGACGGTTACTCGAGTATCGACGAGGATCAGCTCGTGGGTTTATCCGAAGCATGGGATATGGATGACAAGGACTTGGCCAAATCCAAGATGTTGGCGGCTGATAAAGATGTAGTTCTAGATGATGCCTGGGAATCCGCTTCATCTGAAGAGTCTGAGAGCGACGATGAAAGTGGGAGTGAAAGTGAAAGTGAAGAAGATATATTTGGTGACGATTCAGGAAATGAAGTTGATCTTTCTAATACCCTTACTCATTTAAAGTCTCAGTTGAAGATGTTACCCAAGGAAAGGAAAAAGTTAATAAGTGAAACCATAATTGAGAATGAGTTCAGTCTTCCCACCAATGGGAACAAGTTATCCATCAATGACATGATTTCTGCTGTTGATACTTCAGTCTCCAAAGATGCTATTTTGATAGACAATGAAGAAAGCTCCGGATCAAAGGCATTGGATACGCCGTTGCCAGTCAACATTCAACAAAAGCATGAGAGAAGAGCGGCGTACGAAATCACAAAGGAAGAGGTTAGTAAATGGGAAGATACCGTTCAGCAGAACCGTCAAGCTGAAGTCTTGAAGTTCCCCTTGAATCCTACCATCAAGCATAACGACACTGCTACTACCTTCAGATCTACGAATGATCCAACAACTGACTTGGAAAAGAAAATCCACAGTGTTTTGACCGAATCTGCCTTGACTGATGATAAGAAAGAAGCTACGTTTGAAGAGCTTGCTGTGGCAAAGATGTCTCCTGAAGAAATGAAGGAACGTACAAACGAACTAAGGTTAATGAGAGAATTAATGTTCCGGGAAGAAACTCGAGCCAGAAGAATCAAAAAAATTAAGTCCAAGACCTTCCGTAAAATAAAGAAGAAGGAAAGATTGAGAGATCAAGATTTGGTTGAAGGATCAGACGAGTCCGATAAAGAAGATCATGATAGAAAGAGAGCAGAGGAAAGAATGAACTTAAAGCATAAAACCCAATCCAAGTGGGCAAAGTCTTTGATTAAGAGTGGGTTAAGTAAAGATTCTTCCAACAGAGAAGAGTTAGAGGAAATGTTAAGACAAGGAGAAAGATTGAGGACCAAACAGTTGGGATATGAAGATGGTGATCAAAGTGATAATAATGCATCTGATATTGAAAGGGACTATGAAGAAGAAGAAACCATCAGTAACACTTCAAGAGCCAAGTTGGGCAAGGGTGTTTTGGCCATGGATTTCATGAAAGCTGCTGAGGAACGTCACAGGCAAGAGAACTTACAGGAAATCGAAATGTTGAAGAAGTTGGAAAATGGTGAAGACTTGCAACAATTCTCTGAAGATGTGAATTCAATCAATGTGATCAAAAACCAAGGTAGAAGAGTCTACAATCCTACTGCCGCTGATGGAGACATCAATGCAGTTAATAAAAGGGCCAGACAAGAGATTGAAGATGATGAATCTTCTAATTTGTTGAACAAGCTTTCCAAGAAAGCAGCAATTGTCATCAATAAGCCAGAGGAAACCAGAGCACACGAAACAGAACCACAAGAAGAGGCTAATCCTTGGCTTATCGCCGGTGACACAAAGAGGTCGTCTAAGGTACGTGTTGTGGACAAGGACTCATCTAAGCAGGAGAAGACTCTCAATAAGATGAAGAAAAAATCGGTGAAGTCAAAGATCGGCGAAAACTTGGAAATAGATGTAGGAGAAACATTGGGCTTTGAATTGGATAACTCAGATGACGATGAAAGAGAGACGTTCAAACAACTAGATCTAATCAAAGACGCATTTGCGGGGGATAATGTAGTCACCGAGTTTCAACGTGAAAAGAAGAGGGTTGTGAAAGATGAAGATGATAAAGAAGAAGATGTTTCATTGCCGGGTTGGGGAGACTGGGCCGGCGGAAAGAAGCAGAAGAAGAGAAAGATTGTCAAAAAAATCAATGGGGTTGTTCAAAAGGATAATAGACGTGATAAAAACATGAAGAACGTCATTATCAACGAAAAGATGAACAAGAAGAACTTGAAATACCAATCTGCTGATGTTCCATATCCTTATGAATCTAGAGAGCAATATGAAAGAGCTCTTAGAATGCCTATTGGACAAGAATGGACCAGCAGAGAAACCCATCAAAGAATGACCATGCCAAGAGTGATCACCAAACAAGGTACTGTAATAGATCCATTGAAGGCTCCTTTCAAGTGATACTGAAAAACGCATATATTTTATATATAATAAAAACGATTACTCAGTTATGATACCGTTTCTAATAGCCCAGTTCTTACCAGACAAAAAGACACCATGACGGTCGGTAGACTTTCTGACTTGGTTGAAATTCTCCAAATTCTCGCCGAACCAGTTAGACATCACTGAGTTGAAACCAATCATCAGGTAATGGGCTTTACCACCAAAATTTAACTGAGATTGCAAGTCGTTATCAGGTACATTGTTATGCTCCAACCCAACAAAGTTCTTAGCCCAATGGGGTTTACCAGAGGCTTCACGAACAATGTCTTCAAAGTCCTTAAACCATTGTCTAGTGTCCACGTCAGTGTGGAAAGGTCTGTACATAGTAGCATTGAGATATAAGGTCAATTGGTCATTTGTAATTTCATCTTGTGAAACATACTTCAAATCTCTTGGAGTGTTGTCCAAATAAGGTCTCAAGTTGTTTCCATTGATCGGTCCTTCACTTAAAATAGTTCTTTTGGCTAACCATGATTGAGAAGGGTACAAGGAGTCATTACCTTCATCATCTATGAAAGGCTTCTCCGACAGGGTAGTGTTTGAGCAACGAACTTCAATTGGGGCATGCACAAAATAGTCACCCTTTGAAGCAGCATTTTTAATGATAGCGTCCAATTTGGTCAAGACTTCAGGTCCGTTGGATAATGGTAAACCCCATTCATCCACAAATTGAGAAAACAAACAGTCCATGTTCAAACCTTCCACAGAGTTTTGAACGGCAATATCCCCACTACCAAGAGTCTCAACATTACCATATTGCTGCTTGAAAACGAACTTTTCAACGTATGGAGTCAATCTGGGAAAAAGGTGAACAGACACAAATAACAAACTCTGGTAGAAGAATCTTCCAAAGAAGGTTCCGTACCAACTATCTCTAGGAGCACTCAATGGTTCATCAGACTTAGAAGCTCTCCAGCAAACACAACTACCCGAATAAGGGAACCACCAGATTCTAATAAACTCAGAGTCCAACCAAATATTATCCCAGTTATTCAATAAAGTGGAGAACTTAATAATCTCTTGTTTGGACTTAATAGTGTACTTGGGAACTGCTCTCAACGTAACATGTGTGATAATACCAACTTTACCAAGTGATAACAAAGCGGCCCTGAATACCTCAGGGTTTTCGAGCGATGAACACTTGACCAATTCACCTTCAGAGTTCATCAAGTTTAAGCTAACAACCTGCTGAGAAACCAACCCATGATACTGGGATGAGCCATGAGTTCCGGTTGAAATGATACCAGCAATCGACTGGTCAGAAATGGATCCCAAGTTTTGGATTGCCAACTCATTTTCTTTCAAATATTCATTCAATTGATAAATATGGCATCCAGCTTCAACCGTCAAGTCCACAAACTTAACCTCTTTCTCTTTGGTATTACCGTTGACGGGTCCATAGTAAGGTTCTTTGGAAATGATAGAATCAAATCTATCCAAGTTGCACAACCATTCGGTTGTCATGGTCATGTCACTTGGAGAATGGCCTGAACCGACAGTCATGATAGTTTTGTGGTTGATTCGGGCCTGATTGACTAATTCTTTGATTTCATTGATATTGGACGGCTGGAAAATCGCTTGGGGCTTACATGTAAATGTACCAGCCCATGTTTTATGGATAGCTTTGGAGCTTAGGAAGCCTCTCAATGAGTTTGGTACATTAATGGAAGACATTTTAGCCAAACAAGGTTATTGAATTGAATTTTTCCGGATTTCTCATCAATCCCAGTTTCGGAGAATCCTAGCTTTTTTGCAACATACACGGCTTGAAAATGTTTTCGTATTTCAGAAACTGTGGAATAGAGGAAACACCGCTTCGGAGTTTTCATAATATTCCGGTCCAGGGTGAAGTGCTGGTATTCTAGTCTTTATATAAAGTCTATTTTAATTTGGGTGTATTCAGCCACACCTCGCAAACTAATACTATTGGGTAAAGTAGTGAAGATGAATAATTGGTAAAATAACAACTTTTTATAGCATTAGAACTATGATACCGTACAACTGAAGAAATAGGAAACTCTGTTCGATTAATCTATTTGAGCAAACCCATAATTTTGCATCCTTTTATTTAGTTCCCTCTCACAATGCAGAATAGGGCATATTCGTTTTCCCCAAAGTCCAGACATTGTGTGTACTAATATATAGCCGTATGTACCATTTAAACGACCAAACAGCCTCTTGTAGGTTGTTCCCACCATAATAGTCTTCGGATAATGTATCTAAACGAGGCCATTTGTAATCCTGGACACGACGCGCCCCGGAACTGATACATCGTATAAATCGACGAGACTTCCTGCAAAATTTCAAAGAACGAACCATTACACATTCTTTTATTCCTGCAACAAAAAATGTCCAGACCACAAAATATTGGTATCAAGGCTCTCGAAATCTACATTCCAAGTGAATACGTTAACCAAGAAGACTTGGAGAAGTTTGATGGAATTCCTCAAGGTAAATACACCATTGGGTTGGGTCAAACTAATATGGCGTTTGTAAACGACAGAGAAGATATCTATTCTTTGTGTTTAACATCTTTCTCCAAGTTAATTAAAAACTATAACATCGATGTTAACAAAATAGGTAGATTGGAAGTTGGTACTGAAACCTTGTTGGATAAGTCCAAATCTGTTAAATCAGTATTGATGCAATTGATGGAAGGAAACAACGATGTTGAAGGTATTGATACCATCAATGCCTGTTATGGAGGTACCGCTGCCGTCATTAATGCTGTTAATTGGATCGAGTCTTCTTCTTGGGATGGAAGAGATGCTGCCGTTGTTTGTGGTGATATTGCCATTTATTCTAAAGGTGCTGCCAGACCAACGGGTGGTGCTGGATCAGTTGCTTTATTAATTGGTCCAGATGCCCCTATTGTTTTTGAATCCTCGAGAGGTTCTTACATGGAACACGCCTATGACTTTTATAAGCCAGATTTCACTTCTGAATACCCAGTGGTCGATGGCCACTTTTCCTTGAGCTGTTATGTGAAGGCATTGGATAACTGCTACAAGAACTACTCCAAAAAAGTTACTAAAGATGCTAGCAAAACGGTTGGCGTAAACCACTTTAACTATAATGCTTTCCACGTTCCCACCTGTAAATTAGTCACGAAATCTTTTGCCAGATTGTTATACAATGACTACAAATCCGACCCATCCAAATTTAACTTTGACGAAGAAACTGCCAAGTTGGTTGACGTTGATTACGAAACTTCTTTGGTTGACAGAAATTTGGAAAAAGTCTTTCTTGGCTTAACTAAAGAAACCAAGAAGACTCAATTGGACCCAGCTTTGAAGGTTCCAACCAATACCGGTAACATGTACACCGCTTCAGCATGGGCTTCCTTGTGCTCTCTTTTGTACTATGTTGGTTCCGAAAAGTTGCAAGACAAAAGAATCGGAATCTTCTCCTACGGTTCTGGTTTAGCCTCCACTTTATTATCTGCCAAGGTTGTGGGAGATATCTCTCACATCACCAAGAACTTGGACATCGACTACAAGTTGGGTGAAGGTAGAACCAAGAGATCCCCTGAACAATATGTGACTGCTATCGACTTGAGAGAAAAGATCCATTTGCAGAAGAGCATTGCTCCAACTGGTTCTATTGAAACATTGGCCAAGGGTACCTACTATTTGGCTGAAATTGACGACAAATTCAGAAGGTCTTACAAGAAAGTTGAATAAGTATATTAATGAGCTAATTAGTTTTCCAAGCTTTAGAGTAATATTTATAACTATCTAATTCAGCAGCCTGTAGTTTTGTGATATCGATTTTTATTTGTGGATCATTGACGTGATGACAAGTTGATTTATGGAACTTACCCTTGATTATATCTTGAATACTTCTTCTTGGAGTCTTGATCAACAATCCGTCTATACTGAGAAAGTATCCTTCTTGCATAAAATAAGCAACTTTAACACCATCGACCTTCTCAGTTATGACATTAGTGGACTTAGTATATAAATTCATTTTTGCGTTGGGCAGAATTCTCCCGTATGCTGCTTGTTTGAGAAGACTGTCAGCTATTGTCAGCTGCTCACCTAACTCCTTGGCACCCATCATAGCATGATGGCTCTCTACATGAAACAGTACTAAGCTTGGAACATAAGTCCCTTCCACAGAATTGGAGGTCATGGGTGATAATTTTGGAAAATTAGTATGACAACAGGTGTTAGTGATGGCTGCGAAAAGGGCATACCAATTGTTTTTGTGTTTGTCATCAAACAATACACAAGAAATAGTTCCAAACAATGAATGTACAATGAGCTCTACATTAGACAATACCACATACACCACCAGAATGCTAATACAACTTGAACTACATTTATTTCAAACATGGTTCACACTCCAGCATATTCTCAACTACGAGCGCACACAGTGCCAAATCGGGAAGTCGACAAGCTCGTCTTTTTGTTTTGTTTTGAAATCGAGCGTTAATAAACAAACGATCCTAAGATACAAATTTTTCCTCTCACCAGAACTAAATCGCTTTAGTATCATATAAATCACATATATACAAATGAGAGAAGTCATCAGTGTCAACGGTATGTTACTAATCACCATTGAATACGTCCAGTGGTTCATTTACCAAACGTAATTGAAAGGCAGACATGGAGATTCCTCCCTTGGTTGCCACGCGTATGAGGTTCGAATGCATATACTAACGTTCTCTTTAGTTGGACAAGCCGGTTGTCAAATTGGTAACGCTTGTTGGGAATTGTATTCACAAGAGCACGGTATCAGACCCGATGGTTATTTACAAGAAGGATTAGACAAGCCAAAAGGAGGTGAAGAAGGATTCTCAACTTTTTTCTCTGAAACTGGATCAGGAAAGTACGTTCCAAGAGCCTTGTACGTTGATTTAGAACCCAACGTGATCGATGAAGTTCGTAATGGTATCTACAGTGATTTATTTCACCCAGAACAATTAATTGCTGGTAAGGAAGATGCTGCCAACAATTATGCCAGAGGTCATTACACCATTGGAAGAGATATTATCGATGATGTTATGGACAGAATTAGAAGAATGGCCGATCAATGTGATGGTTTACAAGGTTTCTTATTCACCCATTCCTTGGGTGGTGGTACTGGATCCGGGTTTGGTTCTTTATTGTTGGAACAATTATCCCTTGATTTTGGAAAGAAATCTAAGTTAGAATTTGCTGTTTACCCAGCTCCTCAAGTTTCCACTTCAGTGGTGGAACCTTATAACACTGTGTTGACTACCCATACCACCTTGGAACATGCTGATTGCACTTTCATGGTTGATAACGAAGCTATTTACGATATGTGCAGAAGAAACTTGGATATTTCCAGGCCAAGCTTCAGCTCTTTGAACAACTTAATTGCTCAGGTTGTTTCCTCTGTTACTGCTTCTTTGAGATTCGATGGTTCCTTGAACGTTGATTTGAATGAGTTCCAAACCAATTTGGTACCTTACCCAAGAATCCATTTCCCATTGGTTTCTTATGCTCCAGTTTTCAGTAAGAATAGAGCTAACCATGAATCTAATACTGTTGCTGAAATCACCGCTTCTTGTTTTGAACCAGGTAACCAAATGGTTAAGTGTGACCCAAGACTTGGTAAATACATGGCTAACTGTTTGTTGTACAGAGGTGATGTTGTAACCAGAGATGTTCAGAATGCTGTTTCCCTAGCCAAAAGTAAGAAGTCGGTTCAATTGGTCGACTGGTGTCCTACTGGTTTCAAGATCGGAATCTGTTATGAACCACCAACTGCTATTGTTGGCAGTGAATTGGCCAGTGCTAATAGAGCTGTGTGTATGTTGTCTAACACCACTGCTATTGCTGAAGCTTGGAACAGAATTGACAAGAAATTCGACTTGATGTACTCTAAGAGAGCTTTTGTTCATTGGTATGTTGGTGAAGGAATGGAAGAAGGTGAATTCAGTGAAGCTAGAGAAGATTTGGCTGCCTTGGAGAGAGATTACGTTGAAGTTGGTACCGACTCTATGCAAGTTGAAGAAGAAGAATATTAAATGTTATACCCCCTTCCAAAGTGACATGTTTTTTTATTACCATTGAAGGTCACGTTTCTTTGTTTTACGCGTATACATGTATACTTTCTGTTTGTTCTCTTCAATATATTTTAATGTGGGTTTAGTCTAATAAATGTATTTATAAGCACATTGTAAAATCAGAACATTGCAGAACATATATTTCACAATGCGTCAATTTTTTTCTGTGGAAATTATCACAACTACTGAAGGGAAAAATGGAAGATAAAAGAGATTTATTGAAACAACCACTTCATGGGATTTATATTCCCATTGCGTTGATGATCGTTGGTACTTTGATGCTCGATGTTTCATACATGCCCTACACCATTGCATTTATTGTCATCATGTGTAGTATCAACTTTTACTCTGCTTGGAGTAGAAGATGTTCTATTGATCCTGTTAAATGGACTGAATTAGAAATGATTGACAGAACTGTCATCTCCAAAAACTCGGCCATCTACAGATTCCAATTGAAGCACCAAGATGAAGTATTGGACATCCCTACCGGACATCATTTGGCTTGTGTTTTCATGGTTGATGGTAAAGATGAAGTTAGATACTATTCCCCAATTTCCAACAAGTATGATGCCGGGTTCTTTGATATTTTGGTGAAGTCTTATCCCAATGGTAAGGTATCATCCAGATTTCCTAACTTACGTGAAGGTCAAACTGTTAAATTTAGAGGACCGGTTGGAAGATTGGAATACAAAACAAACATGGCTAAAGAGATTGGGTTGATTGCAGGAGGTTCCGGAATCACTCCTATCTTACAAGTGATCACTGAGGTGATTACCACTCCCGCTGATACCACCAAAATCTCCTTGATTTACGCCAATAACACTCTTAATGATATTTTGTTGAGAGATGAAATTGATGAATTGAGTAAAAACTATCCGAATTTTAAAGTTCACTACACGTTAACAGAACCTCCAGCTAACTGGGAAGGTAGCACTGGGTTTGTTTCCAAGGAAATGATCACCAAGTACTTGCCTAAACCTTCCGAAGAAAACAGATTGTTTATCTGTGGACCTCCAGAAATGAAAAAATCTTTGATCGAAATATCTCAGGAATTAGGTTGGGACAAGACATCCATGAAGTCTGATCCTAATGATCAAGTTTTCTGCTTCTAGGTATTATTTGATAGTTGTCAAATTCATATTTATATGTAATAGAGTTCAAGTTCGAAAATCTGCGAAAATCATCTCCATCTCTATTCACATTTTAAATCTCATATTATAACTTACGCATCATGTCCGATTTCATGAACTGTCAGTTTTACACCAAGATTGGTGCTTGTAGACACGGGGAGAAATGTTCCAAAAGACATACAAAACCTTTGACGTCTTACACAGTGCTATTAGCAAACCTTTATCAGAATCCTAAATTGAATAAGAATGAACAGGATTTAAATCCCAAACAAATACGAGAGTATTTTGAAAACTTCTACAAAGATGTATTCATTCGTCTTGGTAAAATTGAGGAAATAGCAGCATTGGTGGTTTGTGAAAACGAAAATAATCATTTGAATGGAAACGTATACTGTCGCTTCAAAAATGAAGAAGGCGCCAGAAGAGCTGTGGTTGAACTAAATCAAGAATGGTTTGGTAGCCGACCCGTACACTGTGAATTATCTCCGGTTCAAAGTTTTCATGATGCTAATTGCAGAGATTACGATACTAACAGTTGTTCGAGGGACCATTGCAACTTTATGCATGTGATAAGGCCAAGTGATGAACTAGAAAGACAACTCTTCAGTGCACAAGCAAAGTCAGTTGTATCCAGAAAAATACTAGAATTGAAGTTCAAGCTTGCACAAGCCAATCCACCAGTTTCAGAATCTACAGATTTCAAATCCACTGTGGAAGCTCTTTTCAAAGTGGGACAAAAGTAAAAAAGTCTATCTGTTTTATTCCCTTATAATATTCATAATGATATAAGATATTTAATTATCCCTTATATGTTTATCCTTTTGGGCTTCTTCATCTGCTTATAAAGAATATTACCTGAGGATATCCCGATTACTGCGGAGGCAATGATAATTAAAAAGATCCAAAAAGCATTTGTGCTATTCCCCTTTACAGCAGTGGGACACACATGATGTGAACGCATTTCAAACATATAAGAACAGTCATTACTGTTACCAATATACGATACAGCCGCCTTGGAATGCATTTCTCTATCGCATGTTAAGGTTATTAAAGTGGATTTTCTGATCTTATCACCGTTTTCATCTCTTATGTTGCAAAACGAACCTCCGTCGTATGTCAAAGTTAATTTACGACCTCTGAATTTGGGAACCGTATTAAACTCTCCAATAGATACATATTGTCCAGACTTAGGATCCTTATAGTAGGCTCCTATAAGGGAAGAGTTCATACCATCCTGAATTTCGGATTTGTCGTGTAGTTTCTTCATTGGCGACGAACAAATTCCAATAGTGAAGTTGACACCTGAGTCGTAACCTTTAGCTCCCCAACCGATAGGCCGTCCTTCGTTACCACCAGCACTGAGACCTCTAAGATCAATAAACCCTCGACTGAGGGGATTCACTATAGTGCACTCGTCAAGTTGAAGGAGATTTTCTAGAAGGAGTTCCTCCTCAGGTGTTTTGGCATCACCAAGTGAGGATATCTGTACATTTTTCTCAGGTGTTTCGATTGCTATGGGTAGGTGTGTTAAGGAGTCAAGGAAGTGTATGTCTCCACTCATACCAGTATTAGTGTTAAACACGTATATACATAATGGTGCCAATATAAGTAACACCAAAAGGGTTATGCGTTGATACAATTTGGAGATCATAATTGGATAAATAAATTGGAGGGAATACAAAGTAGTGGAAGAACGGAAAAACTAGGAGGGATGATTAGCGATGTTGAAGACGTATATGTGGACTCAATACAACAAACGAATGAATAATAGTAGTACACAAAATCAGTAGTCTTGTAACGTGGAATTAAAAAAGGTTTTGAGAATCTTTTTGCGCGAAGCTTCAAAAACAAGAAAAAGGACAAAACCTCAAGTATTTATTAGCACATAGCAACATGGAAGGCTGGAATCTAGCTTCCAACCAATTCCTGGGCTTGTCGAACAGTTTTTCCCTAGGAAAGACCTTATTAAATTACTCCGACCCCAATTTCAGTCAAGTCGTTGCTGCCAAAAAGGCTCTACAATTGGCATTCGACAGCACCGGTGACGAAACCGATAAATCAGTCATTGAATTATATTTAGCTGCGTGTGATGGCGACCTTGTTACATTAGAGAATGGAGTGAGAAAGCATAAAGATCTTGTTAACTCCTTATATCCTACCGAATCAAAAGGTATTTCCTTATTAATCTACTCAATTTGCTTTGACAATTTGAACTTGGTTGAAAGTTTATTGAATCATGGTGCAGACCCCGACTTAGCCGACAGTATAATTCAGTATACACCTATGATGTGGGCTGTATATTTCAATCAGCTTGACATTGTCAAGGCGTTGTTGAGTAGTCAGGCGGATCCATATTTAAGTCCTAAAGAGGATGGCAGAAATGCCGTTAGTATTTTAAATCCCGATCACACCGAGATGGCTGAATATTTCAGATTGCATAACCTCAACAACCATTCACAGAACAAAGATGATATTTATGAGGGTAACAGTTTTGGGCCTGGGGATGAGATGGATAATTTGGCAAATGAAATAAGGTTACAAGCTATCACTGGCGATTCTTCTGTTTCCCAGGAACTCGAAGACGAATTGAAAATGGATGCGTACCACGAAGAGAACGAATTAGCTAATGATCATGTACTTGTTCAACTCAAAGAATTCGAGTACGATAAAGTATTACCTGATGAGTACCTTAAATTTAACGATTCAGATATTCCTCCATTATTGGATTACATTTTCGACTTGAGAACCCAGAATATTACTTTCCAACATGATACCAAGATACCAGCCGCAATAATATTCCAATTGGTTAGATATGCCCACTTGAAAGTGAACAGCGACGAATTGACAGAGTTCCTCTTTGATTGTTTTATTGCTAGACTAAGGGCCGTCACCAACACCAAATCAGGTGTGTTTAACATGATCATACAAGATGATCAGAGCTCTGTTGGTGGTGCAGGGGATATTGTTTTGTTGAGTTACTGGATGTCTGTCGTACAATTCTTGCATTTCTACTTCTGCAAAAATGAAATTTATAAAAAATACCCCCAGTTTCTTCAGGAATTGATCAATATCATCCAATCTTTGGTATCCACTTTATCGTTTTCTATAAATTCCAGATTGAACACTTTGGTTGAAGACTGCTTGTTGAACTTCACTAACTTGGTGGATGTTTCCAATGTGTTATATGCCAAAGACTGGAATTTATTTAAATCAAGGAAAAAATTGCATTCTAATACTTTTGATGATATACATGATATGTTGTATCCACCCACTCAAGCTGAACTTATGAGACCATCACCGTTGAAGTATATTCAAACATTGGGTGCTTTGGACTACGTGTTGAATTTACACCAAGTAGATAACTTGGTTAGATTCCAATGTTTTTCTCAAGTATTCTATTACATCAATGCTATCATTTTCAACAAGATCATAGCGCAGTCAAAGTATTGCACCAGATCTAAGGCAATTCAAATTAGATTGAACATTTCTGCTATTGAAGATTGGTTAAGATCACACAATTATAAAATTTTCAAGCCTGATAAAATCGGTGATTTAAAAAGTTTACTTCTTTCTTCACAAGATACAAGATTCAGCTTAATTAACTTACTTGATGATACTGAAAGAGCAAACAAAAGAAATCCCAACAATTTGATCTTCTATTACAACTCAATCTACTTCATTGGTAAGACTCAATTACAACCTACCATTGAGCTTTTACAATTCTTGCAATGTATGTCACTGTTGGATGACGAAGAGAGCTTGATTAATACAATTAACCAGTTCGATTACTTGAATTACTTTCAACTTTTAAAGGTGGCAAAAAACTATAAGTATGAGGTTAACGAACCTAAGCTACCCAAACTGTCAATAAACCTTCTCAAGAGATTAATAGCTGAACAGGGAGAAAACCAAATCAAAAGGATCAACTTGAGCTATATGATTCAGAACAAGTTACTTCTGAAAGAGTATAATATCTACATCAACCCCAATTTCGTCTACAAGGTTTCCCTTCCTAACTTATCCGAACTGATCAACAACTATGGATCAGGATTGGGAGGTATTAGAGTTCTTAGAGCTAAAAAGTTTCAACCTTCTTTACCCATTGAGACCCTTGATGATATCGATGATCTTTTGACTCGAAACAAGAATGATTTGAACGACACATTCACCTATGACCAACCCGATGAAGAGAGGGGAGAAAAAGAAGACGAAGTAGATGATGATAAACCCGAAGAGAACTACCACAGAAACGACCCATCCCTCTTCCGGTCGAAAACGGATTTCAAAGGAGATGAGCTTTTCAAACAAGTCCAGCTTCCGGGCTCATTGGCACACAAAAATTGGGGAGAAGATGACGACATCGAAGCTAATCCCTGGTAGCAGCCTCGGAGAGAACAAAAAATACGTCTCGAAGCATGTGGACCCGGTGCATGGGTGATTTGATATATTTCAGGTATAACCGAAACCGGAACACGAATTTTTTAAACTTTATAGATCAAGTGCTTTTTCTAACAACTTTACCTTGACATCAAGCCTTCAATACACATGAACATAGAGTGTTTTCTGGATGATTACCCTTCGTAATCTGAATACATATAATTAATAGAGCACTTGAGGAAGCTGAATAACGTATTATAATTTTTTATTAACGTTCTGTGATTTCTATAATATCCTAAGTCAACCTTTGATTTGATCGTACTCAACAGGAAGCAATATTACCTGTCCAACTACAATCTTTTTCCGGAAATATCATTCTCTTGACTAAAATTTGGCATAACACCTTGATATCAATTCCGCACAGCCCTGGAGATAGATTTCTGACCCATACAACCATACCGCACTACGAGATATTTTTGCACCCTGAATACTACTTTATGCGGTCTTTAGAATTTTAAATATCGCACTAGAAAATGAATTAATATCGTTAATTAATCACTTAAGCTATAGCAGAAACGGCCAAAGAATATCAAGTTGTGTATGATAATTGCTATATTTATCTTTAACAGTAGAAGTTTATTCGTACAATCACAGAAATATTACAGTAGTGTCCAAACCGATCAATAGTCTATAAATACCACTTGAGCAGCTACCCGACTTTAATTTATTCCTTATGGAGAAACCTATCTTAGGAGAAATATCAATTGATTGCTTACAAGAGGATTTTGAATTCGTATTTTCTTCCTCAGTAATACAAGTACACGAGTACGTCAATGACATTAAGCACTATTTGTTTTACATATACTGTGATGCTGATGACCTCAAATCGATCACTGATTTATTAAAGGACTACATTTCTGGGTTTAAGAAACGTGGTCACAATCATGCTAATTTGTATTGTCCGGGGATTATCATCAAAAGGGGTGTACACGAACTTATAAGTGATTGGGAACAAATAGGGAAATAAGTTATTTTTAAGAGAAATATTTCATCATTAATTACTCGGTGTTCTGTATTTAACCAATAAACATACTTAGTTATCAACTGAACTGAACAATCTGGTAGAAAACTATAATACGGCGTGAACCGTTTCTGTTTTACACTTTCCTGTCCAGCAACCACCACCTTCAGCAGTAGCAAACGCGTTTACAGCACCACAGTATTCGTCACATTGGGTGGAACTGCAATGACCATCTGGTGCATTTAAGACGCACTTGCATGCCTCTAAACAAGAATACCCTTTATTTCCCTTAGATTTGCAATTATGAGCACTCAAGTAACCTTTGAATTTACCACAGTTAGAACAGCCTGTAATTTTATAGCTTTTGTTAGAATTGTAACAAGTTCTTTGAGCTCGTTTAGTTAAATCTGAACTTGGGGGATTTTCATTTTCAGTGGAGTTGCTTATTTCCAAAAGTACTTCAAATCCTGATGAATCATATTCTACTTTTGTCAAATTGATACTTGGCCAATAGTATGTTACATTTTCACCATAATTAATAGCAATAAATTTGAGACTAGCGGTGTCATCGCTAGTCTCATACAAGTTAAGTGAATGTGCCAAATCTTGAGGAGTAGGCAAGTCAAAATCACCTTTGGCAAAACATTGCTTAGTGCAGAAAAGAGTAAGCACAACACTAAAAATAATCAACATTAAAAAATTTGATAAAATATACTAGAGTAGGTCAATAGATTTAGGGAATCGGTGCAGCTTTTGTACTTAAAAACTTGCGCCATATAATATAACACTTTTCATAATAAGATCTTTGTTTAGTAGTTATATGAACATGGCTTCTCTTTTGGTTCTAGAGTATAATTTCTCGAAAGCTTTTTTCCCCATTCTACTCCATTTGACCAACCACAAACGTCTAAACCCTTATGTTTCTAACTTACGGATAACCACAATTTCTGGAGAAAACAGGAACTAGTTAGATTGGTTGTAGGATCCATGGAGTGTTGTTTATGTGCACACGGTTCCTATCTTAATTCTCGTGTAAAAATCCTGCAAATGTGAAGGTTTGAGAGGGATTAAATATCTGCCAAACTTGCCAAAACTTTGGCAAACTTCTTGATCTCGATAATGAATATTCTATATCAGCATTCCATTATTCATCAGAGCCAAGTATTTCAAGGATGAATCATCCATGCTAGAGACTACTAGTTACTGAATATCTTCAAATACTGTTCCACTAGAAAATATACGAAATAGATACTCAGAAAAATGGTTCTCTACTTTCTTGGAAAAGAAACCTCTCTTACTCACCATGTGCTGTATTAACGTATTCCTTTGCGTTATTAATTACACTATGAGAACAATATCTATCCACTTACCATGCAACTTTAATTTTAATCTTCTACCACAAAATTCGTTCCGGCAGTGGGGCGACATTCATGTATTTTATTCCGATCATTCAGACTCACTTGTATAGATCCTTTTAGTATACAATAACCATATTTTTAAATAGATTCACAAAATTACGAATTTTCAAAGCTGTCATTCATAAGCTTACTTCTGCGATATCAAGGATCTGCTGACGAGTTACTCTTTTATTCTGTCTGTGATATTGAAACTTGAGAAGAGCGAAAATGGAAAATCGACCACTTGCGACATTCGGATAACGGAGGTGCAGTATTCATCCCTACTTTACCATATACTTTAAGACAAATTATACATGGCTATAACAAATTAAAAAGAAACTATACATGGCTATAACAAATTAAAAAGACTAACAAACTGTACTACAAATAAGCTCCCCAAGTCTTGTGTTTTGGTTGCTAAATTCCTGCCTAGAATCACTAATGGTTAGACTTCGCCCGATCCAGGTTCGCACTCAATTATTTGCATTGTAGTTTGGGCTGCAAACAATAGGAGGTGTAGGGAAACTGAAACAACCGAGCAGGGAACTACCTGAATGAAAACAAACACAAGTTTGGCATGTAGCGATGGTTTTTTATGAGGCGAATTTGTTGCATAGTGCTATGCAAGTTTATGCTTTGTTGCTGATGGTGGGATTTTGCTTGTCGAGGCATTGTAACCGAATGGGATTAATCGAACATAAATACCCCGACCAATACTTAATCATAAACTGCTAACTCCTATATTTCCTTTCATTATTTTCACACACATTTAGACTTCTCAATTACCATGTTCGTTCGTTTGTTTTGGGTTGTATTTCTTTTCACCGTCCCAGTTTTATGTGGGGACGGCTATTACAAGTTGGATTTTGCAATCAGAAAAGGGTCCAAGTTGACCGATGTTGTGAAGAACTTTATGGAAGAATTAGATTCTTCCTTCACCAAGAGAGACGGTAATGGGACTTTGCTTGACTTGGAGAATGAGAGTGCCTTTTATATCGCATCGTTAAGCATTGGTACTCCAGCCAGTGAAGTTAAAGTATTAGTGGATACTGGATCTGCCGACTTATGGGTCATGTCAAGTAAGAACTCCTACTGCTCTTCGAATGGTGGTAGCATGGATTGTTCTACTTATGGTACTTATAGTGAAGATAACTCAACAACTTTTGAAAGCAACAATTCCGATTTCTCGATCTCGTATTTGGATCAGACTTTTGCTAAAGGTACTTGGGGACAAGACACCGTTGAACTTACAGATGACTTGGTCATTGAAGGTGCCAACTTTGCTGTAGCAGATAGCACCGACTCCAATGTAGGAGTTTTGGGTATTGCCTACACCCAATTGGAAAGTGCTGATACAGTTTATGACAACTTGCCAGTGCAAATGAAACAACAAGGATTCATCAAGAAAGTTGCGTATTCGATGTATTTGACATCAGCTGAAAGAAACACGGGATCAGTTCTTTTTGGTGCCATCGACCACGCTAAGTATACCGGCGATTTGGTGTCTTTTGACGTTGTTCCTAAAAATGGTCAGAATGTTTACTTGCAAATTACCTTGTCAAATATCCAGGTGACTTTGGTTTCTAATAGTACGGAGTCTTCGTCGGTGGTTCCAACCACTTTGGCCTCGCTGGTGACTTCTTCTACCCTGCCTCACCCAACCATCGCTGCTGTGTTAAAGAAGAGAGAGGCAACCATCGATACCCAGGACGTTGACGCTTTATTTGACTCCGGAACTACATTGACCTACTTCAGTCAAGATGTTCTTGATCTGATTCTAGCTGCAATTGATCCATCTGCTGAATACAATAGCAATATTGGTGGTTACCAAGTTCCTTGTTCGTTGAGACAAGAAGGCAACAAATTTACCTATAATTTCGATGGAAAAAGAGAAATTGATGTACCTCTTTCTGACATGGTGATGGAAGTTGGCCAGAACGGTACTACAGGCCAAATTATTTGTATGTTGGGAATTGTTTCTGGAGACACCACTATTTTGGGAGACAATTTCATGAGACACTGTTATTCGGTTTTCGATTTGGAAGATAACACCGTTTCTATTGCCCAAATGAATTATGATGATATCAATGAGGACATTGAAATCATTCAATAAGCTCTATGTAGTTAATGAAGTATAAAAAAATATTGGCTGCAACCCAAGAGTAAATTAGCAGAGCGCGGAAACTTTGAAATTGGCAAGAAATGAAGGATTCGTTGGGAAACGATATCCATGGGGAGATACCAAGCATAGGTGAGTCCAAACTCAGCATAGACCATCTTCCACCAGAGCTTCTTGTGGAAATCTTTTCCAAATTAGAGCTTTTTCAACTACGCTCCATTAGGTTGGTTTGCAAGAAATGGAATAGCGTTGTTTCTGATCCCATCGTTTGGGAGAAGTCATTCCGAACAAAATTCGGTAACGATGAGATATTCCCCAGCTTTTCCGGCACCAGTAGCTGGCTTGTTGAGTATCTAAGTCGTCTAAGCAACGCTAAGAGGTGGAAGAAGGCCCCAGGACAACATTTGACGTATCAAGTGATCAATGAGGAAACAGGACATAATGATAGCTGTTTAACCAATTTCTACAGTGATAGGTTCTTGTCATATTCTCGGGTCAACAATAATGTGTCTATTTGCACATTGCATAACGGTAAGAACCAGACTTTTATCCCCGGTAACCATTATGCTGTCCGATCGTATTCTGTGAACTGGAATTACTTAGTATTTGGAACACGTGAAGGTGGACTTTACATCAAGAATTTGATCACATCAACGTCTTCAGGAAACCGTTCATCTGTCAAAGAAGTGATACCTGATCAGAATGGTCCCGAAGATCACGAAATAATAGAGAGCATACACTTGAGCCAGGAGTTTGACAAGAACAAGGTTAAACCTGATATTATCACCGGATCTTCATTAGGGGTAGTATCGACCTACAACTTGGACGGCGCATTGGTTCACAGCTGGAAGGTAGGGGCCACCATAATCAGAGTATTCTCTGATTTCAAAAAGCATATTATTGCTTTCACTTCTCATACCATATCTATTATAGACTATACCTCACACAAAGTGGAAGAAGTGACCATTGACATTCAAATCGGGCCAGAAACGATTATAGACATCGACTTTGGTGACAATAATATCGTCATATGTTCAGAAAACCATATACGTGTGGTTGACTACAGCGATCCTACCATTTTTATCCGAAGACTTGATTTGGGGTTCAATATTAAAAGAGGTAAACTCCAACAGTTGGGCCATCGAACCAGAAGGGATACTCTGTTGGTTGGTAAAGATGGGTTGTACTACGCAAACGTATTGGATGACGATACGGTCATTGTTTGGAATGTGAGAGAATCTACCGAAACAATAAAAATCAGGTGTAAGTTCCAAACAGAATTCAAGTACAAAGAATTGAATTTCAATAGAGGAATCCCTCCCAACGGGAGAGACAGAGATTACACTGTCAACGCAGTTGAGCTCAATAGCTCTGTAATTATTGTGGGAGGGTTCAATGGGTATTGTAATGTTCATGATATCTTTACGGGTAAGTTTTTGAGAGAATGCTCAATCAAATTCCCCAAAAAGTATCCATACATGTACAATTATCAAATACCCGTGAAGGATATTCAACTCAATGAAAGGTTCAATATCACCAACGGAATCATTCTCTGTGCAGATTTAGTCCAGTATTTCCAATTTGGAGACAGTGACCGGGATAATACAAAAACCGAAAAGAAAAAATCTAGCATCGGCGAGGCTGTAAAAAAGGGCCACACCATTAAGAAGACAATTAAGGATCAATTGGATGATTATGACTTGGAAGAATACAAAAAAGATGAACTTAATAAAATGTTTACAAAGTACAATGGAAGTGAATTTTCTAGTCAGGAAGAGCTATCGATTGCTATAGCTTTGAGTAAAAGTGCAAGTTCCCCAGAACAAGGAGATCAACAAGACGAAAGTGAACTGTTGAGACGGGCCTTGGAGCTCTCCAGGAACCAAACTATCTCTACAGAAGAGTCCGATGACGAAGAACTTCTTAGAGTATTAGAGCTCTCTAAGCACGACATGGTGATTTCTCCAACAAGTCTTCAATCAGCGAATGAAGAAGAGGATGAAGAGCTCCGAAGGATTCTTGAATTATCATTGGCCGACCATTAAAACACGAATTATCGGTATTCAAGATCCTATCTAAAGAGGAGATTTAAGTGGCCATTCCTAAAAATAAGAGGAAAGTTGAATGGAGTAAGGACCACAAGTACCTCATAACCTGATGACTCAAAACAGACGCATGTCTATATTCTAGGCTTGATTCAAAGCGTGTAGCATTATGCAAAACCTATTGCCACCCATATAACATGTACGAAAGGTTACGGTAATCGAAAGCTGCTCGGTAAACCACCCGAAACGGTGCGGTTCCCGACAGGCGCCGACTCACCCGTCAAATCCAACTTGCTCCGCCAATCCGCACTCAACGGTGCAGAACTGTGCGTGCGGCCGCCCTACACGGACCGTTAAAAGTCGGAACGGCCAGCGGTATACACACGTCGCCTCACCAATTCGCTTTTCCACCGGTAGAGAAAAACTTTCGTAAACGAATAAATAAATAACCTATCCCTTTAAAAAGGTTGCTTTCAATCTCCTGGGTGTTTTACTTCAATTAAAGAGCATTGAACTTTGGTTTAGTAAACAAACTCCGTGTATCGGTTTTTCGCTTTCAAATTACTTGAGATTATTGGAGCATTCTGCCTTCCCCCCTTGTTGACTCATACGCTCCAACATGGTGTTCTGTTCTTTTATAAGATGTAAGTACTACCCAGTACACATCAAGTTTTTCCAGAGCTCCTCTTCCTATTTACACAATCAAAGTTTGACCAGATTCTACCGTAAATACACCAGAATCTACAAAGATCATGATCCTCATCCTTCCCGACAATCGAACAGTTATTTGAACATTTCTGCTGGTCATTATGGATTGTACTTCACCATCTTCAATAGAGATGCGGAAAAACACTCGCTGAACAGCATCGATATCATTTCGTTTGATCCCCAATTACAGTTTATGTCGCCTACTACTCCAAGTGTCTTCACCAAATTTCACATTCTGGGATTGAATCAACATATGTATAACAATATGAGTGAGTTGAAATCACAATCAAAGAGTCTCAGGTCACCTTCCTCTTTGGTATCTAAGAGAGCCTTTTCCACCTTTGTATCGTCTAATGGTGCTCAAGCCAGTAGTCCATTGGTGACATCGGTGGAAGATGCTCATAAGCTGGAGCCTTTGGAATACGACGACTTTGAGAGCTTTAAAACCACCCAGATCTCCAAAATCAACAGTCTTTTTGAAGAGGAGGACTACAACCTAATTTTTCCGATTTATCAATCATTGAAGAGAAATCACATGGGTCTTGGATCAACTGAGCTATACAACAAAGTCTTAAGTTCTTTGCTCTTGAGAGAATTCGACAATTCAATGCAATTGGAGGATATTGAAATCAGGTTGACAAATTTGTTGACCGTGTACCAAGACTTTTTGTTCTTTGCTAACGAACAGATGAAGCCAGACTTTTCAACTTATAACATCGTTATTGGTGGTTTATTGAAGGGAAGCTTGGATTCGGTTACGTACAACAAACTGAAGAATTTGCCCACCATCCTTTACAACCAGTCTTTTATCAAGTCTCAAGAATTTGCTTTGATAGCACTTGAGTTACTTCATTCGGTCAAAGACGTGCAACAATTGGATTTGAATAAGATTTATCCTCTTAAGTTCGAGGTGCTAAATCAATTTCCAAACCTTGTGAACAAAGAATTGATGACTTTGGTGTTTAACAATTTATTGAAGAATACCGATCAATTCCAATACTACAACCAGTTGATCAGATTAACTTCTAAGTTTCAAAGTACTGGAGTTCTTAATTCCGATGAAGACTGCTACAACTTTATTTTCCACGTCTACAATTCTTATCAAGAGATGGCTGTTGGTTCATTTACGAAAGAACAAGATTATATTGTCTACGAAAGTCTTGTCACTGAATTAATTAAAATCAACAACCTTGAAGTTGCCACTAAATTTCTTGACTCAATTTTGTTGCTGTTCAAGTCTTCATATAAGGCTGAAGACAAAGAGGGTATTTCAAACTTACTCTCTGGATACTTGTCTGAGATTTCTAACCATAACTTGACCGAAGCTTATAAGTTGATGAAAGAGTTCAATGCTGTTAACTTCATTCCTGAATTATCCATGAGTTTAAACAATGAGTTAATTGATAAATTCATTGGCTATTACTACTCATTAGAGACATCCAAGAACAATGCCAATTACGAATCTGTTTGTGCTCAACAGCAAGATGTTTATTATAACATTTGGGACATTGTGAACTACAATTTAATTAGACAAGACTTCCAGTTGAACCATGGTCTTATTTCTTTGGTTGTTGACTTGAATGACTATGACAACATTTATAAGTTGACAAAGATTTTATTGATCAATGAGGAATTGATCGATTTGCAAGCATTCAAAAAATTATTGGACTATTTTGCCAGTGGCATGTCTTATAACTTCAACACGTATTATGAATTGATTTTGAAATTGATTGAACACCAAGCTCAATTTTACAATGATTACGGAAAGATTAACGATTACTTCTCAGAGGTGGTGGATTATTTGACTATTTCTAGCAACGAATTTGTTGTTCATAATTTGATTAACTCTCCCTTGATTGAAGAGGTTTTTGATAAATCTGATTTGGTTGATGACAAGATATATGGTTTGATCAAGTTTTCGAAGTTTTTACTTGATTTTTTTGAAACTAACGAAGTTTTAGAGGAAGATTTATTAAAGATTTTGAACTACCAGAGTATTTTGATCAATCAACTTGAAGATCCAGATCTCACTTACGTCAATCTTGATGAGGATTTAGGTAACTTTAAGACTCGGTTATCCCAAAGTTTCGGAACTAATCAATCTTTATTAGGACAGCAAACCAAGTCCATGATACAAAGTTGTAAATATTTGGACATTGAAGTTTCTGATAAACCTGTGGTTAAGGTGGTCCCAACTGTTAATTTGGTACCCTTGTTGAACATAAACTACGGTTTGGGTGTTAAGAAATTTATCGAGCACTTCAACCAAGGTTATAAGTTTGACGACCAAACCCTTTTTGCTTTGATCAGCAAAGAGTTTTTGGTTAACCATTTGAAGAGGATAAATGTTAACAAGTTTGTGAAATTATACATTTCAGCTGGTAACTCTGACCTTGTTGAAACTTTAGTCAACGAAAATTTAGACAAGATAAACATTGCTATCTTGAAAAACATCGAGAGTATGGATGATGGGTTGTTTTCATTATACTTGGACAAACTTTTAATGTCATCCAACAAATATTTATTCGAGGTGTTCAACTCGATTGACTACACCTTAGACGATATTCAAATGGGCAAGTATTTGCAATTGTTAATGAAGCATGAACAATATCAGCAGATCGTTGACATATTTGAATGTAATGATGAGTTGGTGAATAATGAACTGAACTTGGCTGTGTACCTCAACTCCTTGTTGGTGACGAAGCAGAACGATAAGTTTAATTTGCTTGTCAAGTCTAGATTCAATTCAAGAGAATCACTCCAGAGACTTTTGGAAAACCATGATTTGAAAATGGTGGTAGATGATTACTATTTGCTTTCGAATTTCGAATCTAATTTATTTGCTCCACAGAAATTCAAAGATGTCAAAGATTTGACCAACCAGATCTTCAACCAATTATCAAATGAGAAAAACTTGAGAGAGCTCTACCAGCTTAATTCCAAGTTGATAAATGTTAACCAACAAATGGTGATTTCTCGGTTACTTGCCAAGATCAGAGACTATAAATTAGGATATGATTTATTGTTCAAGTTTTGCCAAATCTCAAACATTCACAAATTTTCGGTTTTAAATTTGAAAAGAATCATAGAGACCTTGACTAAATTCGAAGATGTTGTCAAGTTGAATGTGATTTTCAACAAATTCTTGCACAAAAACATGTCAAGCTACCTTAAATTTGAGTTTTTTGAAATCCTTATCACCAGCAACAAAGATAAAGTTGAGCTATTAAAGTTGTTCAAAAACTCGTTCGCTTCTTTAAACTGTGAAATCAATTTGATCAAGATCGACAAATTCGTCATTGAGAACAATATATCATTATAATGACTTTTATGAACATGTACATATTTATTTTAATACAATAAAACAATTAGTAAGAAATCCTGTGGATTCCTTGGTTGTGTATATAGCCCGATTTTGACAAACGGCTTAAGGAGCATGACGGGGCAAACTATTATAAATTTCCGCTTCCCACGACACCATACTATGACTCCCATAGCTCACCAGACTGCTATTTCTTCCTTCAATTCCAATCATACTTCTTATGATCAGTTTAGACCAGACTTTGATCCAATTCTGGTGGACAAGTTTTTACAAGACTTGGGGTTAATAGAAAACCAATCTCCTAAAACCGATAAAGTGATTTTGGAATTGGCTGCCGGTACAGGTAAATTCACCAAGAATCTCGTGGACCATGGATGGAAGGACAATCTCATCATTGTGGAACCTAGTAAAGGAATGTTAGAAAGTTTTGAAAAGAACTTTCCTGGAATCAAGACTCATTTGAACTCGTCTTATGATATTCCAGCTGAAGACGCGTCGGTAGATTCGGTGATAGTTGCCCAAGGTTTTCATTGGTTTGCTGACAGGGATTCTCTCAAAGAGATCAAGCGAGTTTTAAAGCCATCTGGAACTTTCGGATGTATTTGGAATTACGATGGTCCATCTCCATCGCAAGTTGATGTTGGATCCAAGACTCATTATTTGTTGGATAATAGTTTATCAACCAAAGTTCATATTCCTGAAGGAGCAGACTCAATGGATATCAGCAACTCAACTATAGGGCTCCACAAGTGGAACGTTCACTTGGTTGATTATATTTATTCTTTTGATGTGGATGTTCCTCAATACAGAACAGGCGTATGGAAGAAAGTTTTGATGGATAATGAGTATTTCAAGCCAATAGAAGTCGAAACATACTTCTACAAAATTTCCAGCATTCCTAAACATTCAGTGTTTCAATATTGGTTAACCAGATCTTTTATTACAAAATTGCTGGATGAAGAAAAGGTCAAATGTGAAAAGACAATCAACGAGATCATCGATAAATATGTAACCGACGACGATAAGATACAAGAGAACGGCAATATTTATTTACAAAGGGTTTTGGGAACTCACTCTATCGTTGCTTTCCCAAAGTAATAGATCTAGTTAGCTATAAAATATTCAGATGCTGATTTGGGGGTATGTGTCATCCACAACTTACCCAAGGTATCGATTCGTGACACAGTAGTATCATTGAATACATATAACTTTCCAAATTCGTGATCTTTACCAGGGTGGTACGATTGGATTATGCTGTACCCACAATAATAGTAGCCAGCACATATAGGACTCTTTACCCAACCTTTTTGTGGAGGATTGGAAATCTTAGGCTCAAGTGGACCTGCGGTGTGAAAATCCTTGATCTCGTCCAGATCCTTTAACCGGCCCTTCCAAGTCTTCTCTATTTGTTTTTCTTTCCCGATGTTGTATTCATCGTTTAAATCCCTATAATCTGGTAGTGATGGAGGAACTAATGCATGGGTTATTTTGAATGGATTTTTGTAAATATTTTGCAATTCAGTTATTGGAACCTTGCAAAATGGGTACTTGGATTTATCTTTATAGTGTCTGTTCTTCTTGCAGAAGCTGAATCCCGAATTGATCCATAATAAATCTCCAAATTCATTTACATGCCCAGGATGCGTTGAACAAACTTCGTCAGAATCGTAATCATAAATCTTTAAAGCATCTGAACTAGCAACTCCCACTGCAGCAGCTTCATTCTCATTAAAGCGGAAATTATCGTCTCCTGCCATTAATAGCGAAATCCAGTAGAATTCTTTATCTCCCCACATGGCAGTTTTAAGTGGCTCCTTCCATATTCCTAATGGTAGAAGCATTGTTATGGCATTAAAATGTTTTTTTTTATCAAGCAAGACAACACCAGCTTCTTGGAAATGCCTATATCCCCTTAAGTAGTTGTTTCCTTCAAGGCTGCTCTTGTTGAGGATATTCATGCCGAAAAGGCTTTCCAAAGATCCATTATTCATTGGAAAAAGTCGTTGGACAAAATTTGTCTCCAAGTAGTCATTGGTATCTCTTAAACTTCTATCTTTAAAGAAGAAAGTGGATGTGTCAAGGTATTCACTTGAATGGAAAAACTTCTCGGGCTCTAACAATGGTACCGAATCAGCATCTAAAAGCATGATTTCTTTGAAGGAACTGAAAAATACAGAAAGTAATTTGTTATTGTAAGTTGCAAAATTCTTCTTATCGGTTATTCTTTTAATGTTAGTGAATATAACCGTTTGTTTTGGAAAGGAGGAATTTATACTGGTCACTTCTTTTTCCAATTCACTAGTCTTTGGGTCTAATTTACCTTCATCAAGTTCAATATTTGCAGCCCGTATGATAATGGCCTTTGACCTTCTACTCAAATTTCCTCTGTAGACTATTTGGATAGGTAAAGAGTTGTTCAAGGCCCGCAAAACCCGTATCAATCTGGCTATGTCTTTGGCATGTGAGGATGTAGCAGATAATACGATACCTTTTCCACTAATATTTTTGTGATAGAAGTCAAATAAATTTTGGTCCTTATCAGGCGTAAGGACATTACCCGTGAATTCACCATTCTTGAATTCTGGAAGTCCGTTATTAAATGTGGTAGTTTTATTTTCTATAACCACATCAAAACTTGGCATCTCGGAGTTAATATATGGGAATACTCGGAGGGTAATATCATTGAACCACCATTTATCGAAATCATATGAAATTCCGTCACCACCAAAAAAACATTTGTTATAAACTCTCATTATGGAGATGGCATCGGCCATTTGTTGATCCATCACCCTAGAATTTTTAACTTGTTGATCAAAATCGGTCTTTATACTATTCTTCTCAGAAAGTGATATTTTACTTCCCAATCCTTCTTTTGATTTGACCGATAGAAGGTTTTTCCGTTCTCTGTTGAAAAATCGCTGCAGCTTATCAATGTCTTTATTATAAGACCTCCCTGACATTGTAGGAAATCTCCAGCTCTTTCCTGAAGTTGAAGTCATCAAATCATTAAAAAATATCGTACACTTTTCAGGCAATGGCTTGTCCTTGAAATGCTTATGGCGTTCTGTAAGGCCATCCAAATCACCATACTTGTAGTTAGAATAATGGATTATTTTTCTCATTTTGATGTCTTGCTTTTTGAATGTGGTTGGAGAAAACCTGATAAATATAGCATCCAAAATCGTATAGAACAAAAAGACTGCCAAAAAGAAAACCATCCCCACGAGGGACCTTCTTAAGGTCAATCTCAACATGGGACACGAATGAAACAAGTACTATAACTTGTACTGTTGAAGCTTGAGAAGGAAATGGTTCTATTTATATGTGTGGTAAATTATAAAGTTTAATATAGCAGAGGCATTTTTACAAGGCTCAGCCCGGCTCCGCACGTGTCAAATACCGTTGCAGCCATTTTCGATTTGAAAAACCTGTCAAAATTTGAGGTCGCATGACAGTTACAACTATTATGTGGAATGTGTTAAAAGACTTGTATGAAACTAAGGCACAACTATTTAACGGGCTTTACCATCAGCAGCTTTAATATATAAAACGTCTCCATCTTCAACAAAGTAGTCCTTACCTTTTTGCAACAATTTACCAGCGGCTCTTACTGCATTCTCATCTCCCAATTCAATCAAGTCATCGTACTTAATAACTTGAGCCAAGATAAATGTTCGTTCCAAATCGGTGTGAATGGTACCGGCAGCTTGTGGAGCAGTGTACCATCTTCTGATAGTCCATTCTCTGACTTCATCTGGACCCCCAGTGAAGAAAGAAATCAAATCCAACTTTTGTCTCATGGTGGTAATGATTTTAGGTAAAGCCGATTGGGTTTGAATTTCTTTAAGGTAAGCCTCTCTTTCGTCATCGGTTTCCATACCAGCCAACTTTTCTTCCAAGGAAACAGATACTGGGATAATCATATCACCTGGAGAATTAGTATCAACCCATTCTTTGATCTTTAATAAGTACTTATTCTTCTTTCTGATGTAGTCTCTTTCTGACAAGTTAATCAAGTAGATACATGGTTTAGCAGTTAACAAGAACATCGAGTTGATTATTTCGACTTCTTTCGCAGTCCAAGTTTGGTTGGCAATTCTTTGTCTCTTTTCCAAAAGTTCAATGATTCTCTTGACCAATTCAGCTTCTTCTTTCTTTTGCTTAACTTCTAAAGATTGTCCACCTCTTCTAGTTATTTTTTCAATTCCTTCCAAATGTTTTTGAGCGAATTCGATATCTTTTAAGCTTAATTCATCAGAAATGATCTCTAAATCAGCTGTTGGATTAACTTCATCATTAATGTGGATAATGTCGGAGTCTTCAAAACATCTTACGACCTGGAAAATAGCATCCACAGCTCTAATGTTGGCCAAGAAATTGTTTCCTAACCCTTCACCAGCGTGAGCACCTTTGGTTAAACCAGCAATATCGTAAATAGTCATAAAAGCTGGAACTTCACTCTTTGGCTTGTACAACCCACATAACTTTTCGAATCTTGGGGAGGGAACAATAACTCTGGCTTCTTCTGGTTCAATGGTCGCAAATGGGTAATTTGCAGGGTTTCCTAAAGGTGATCTAGTAATGGCTTGGAAAAAAGTGGACTTTCCGACGTTAGCCAATCCAACAATACCGGACTTTAAGTTGTTACCTGGTCTACCTAAAAGGATAGGTTTCTCTTGTACGGCTTTCTTTTTAGGGGCCATTTTGGAATTGATATATGAGAAATGTATAAGATTTCGTTCACAAAAGGTTGAGGAAGAGGTGAGGATTTTTGGCAAATAAAAATTTTACTGCTGAGCCACGACTGCCTTCAGTCGCACCAACCTCTAGCCTTGCGGGTAACGCAACAAATTCTCTTCCAATTAACTGTTAATTATGTTCAGACTGTTGACTGTGGTTAGAAGATTCAGTATAAGTAGAAGTTCGTTGAATACCCCTAAATCGTCCTGTGTGGCAGGGACCGTCTTGAACTTGAAGGTAAAAAAAGCTGGTGATGAGCCTGTCGCTTTAGAAGATAGCGACTATCCAGATTGGTTATGGGATTCGTTGGACAAGGGAAAGAAAGATAAAACTTTGAAGAAGAATGACTTTATGAAATGGAGAAGGAAGCAGTTGAACAAGGTCAACACCGCTAAGATCAAAGAAAAGAATTTCCTTTCTGAATTGTAGTTGAAGACCTTCAACATCATAAGTTCATTCAGAACTATCAATTTAATCATAGAGATCATATCAGTTTTTGTGGAAATCAAGGACAACAGAAACTGGATTGTTGAAGTTCTAGACTTCCCTACAATACCACCTTTGTATATAGAAACATTCCTTGGTGGAGTGTATATTCCAATAAAATCAACCATCGAACAAACTCAGGTACGTCTGTAATGAATTATTGAAGAAAAACTTCATACCTCTAATAACCCTCACATCCCGAACCTCTCCTAGTAAGTAGGTTTTAAGCAATTTGTGCATTCTCCAAATTCATACTGTAAACCTGTCCGGGGACTGGCGGTTGAGAACTGTCAGTGGAAAAATTTTTTGATTGAAAAATTCGAATCCTAATACAACTGCAAAATGTCGGAGGAGAACCAATTGGAAACGGTTCAAACGTTGAAGCTCCAGCTCCTGTTACCTCAATGTTTATCCACCAAGAAAGAAACGGTTGAAATTGAGACTACTTTGGACGAAACTTTACCTCAGTTGAAAGAGACTTTGGGTTTAATTCCCAAGACTGAAAATTTAACAAACTTGTTGATTTTCTATAAGGATGTGAATTTATTCGAAGCCTTTGATGAAATGTCCACTTTCAGAGACGTTCTAAAGCAACTTGGTCTCGAAGGATCTCAAAGTTTATCTTTAAGATTGGCAGAGAAGCCTTATAATTTGGCTAATGTATACGAGCATTTGTTGAAATTTAGACAAGTTATTGGCTTACACTTTTTGGACAAGTCAAAAATGGATTTTGGTGTTAGTGGCGGTGTAAGCAAGTTTTCAGAGTTGGGTTTAGATGCCATTACCACACCACAGGTTCCAAAGGAACCCGAACAAGCTGAGTCTACGAAATCGAAAGAGAGTACTAAAAAAGAGGAAGAAGAAGAAGAAGAAATAGTGCTTTCATCAGAGCAAAAGGCAGAGGCCAACAAGCTTGCCGAGTCTTTAAGCAAGCTGGGTGGTGTCGATATCTTATCATTGGGATCATTCCAAAATCCATTCAAAGATTTCAAGTTACCTATCAAACATTTGACTATCTCTCAATGGTCTCCAGTCCCTCAATATCAAAAAATCCAAGGTGATTTGTTGTACTTAAGTTTACAAACATTGGAGAATGAAACTTTTCAAATTACTGCTCATTTCTCGGGGTTCTTTGTTAATAAATCATCTAGTACTACGTTCAACCCTCAAATTAAGCATTCTATGAAGTCTAACAAACATTTTATCTTGTTTGACTTGATAAGCGGCTTATCTCCTTTGTTTGAGAAAACACTTATAGCTAACTCCTCCAACTTGCATTCAAGTTCTAGCAACCCCGAGACATATTTAATTCCCACAAGCTCTTTTGTCAACCATCCATGGCTCGTTGGCAAAGAGAATATTACCAACAATGCTGATTTGACCCAAAACCAATTACCTATATTAGTGAGTGGTGTTGATGGTGGTGAATTGGTTAGAGATTGGAACGATGAGTTTCAATCCATTAAGGAGTTGCCCAGATCTACTGTCAATGAAAGAATATTAAGGGAAAAGTTGATCAGCAAGACCATTTATGAATTTAATAAAGTAGCTACCGAGACTGCCATTAACATTGTGAACGGTAACATTACCTCTTTGAACATCAGCGAAGATCCCGAACTTTTAACCTTCTTGAGAAACGGAGTCTTTTATTCTTTTGGTGTTGATGCTACTGGGAATTTTGTTAACTCCGGTGGAGATGATGCTGCTAGATATACCACTGGAAAAGATCTTAATGCGGTTAAAATCTTGAACAGAATTGATTCGTCCGATGTTCACAACTTATTGACCTTGGTGGTTGATTATATGGGGAAAAGAATTATCTGTCAAGCTCCCGTGCCTGGGATTTTCCAAGAAACTAGAAATATTGAAACTGACGAAGTGTTTGACAAAGTTGTGTATGGTTTAAACTCTGACAACAGTCAGATTGTTTATAACAAGAATTTCAATGATGCTTTGAAGACAATCAGCGAAGCCTTTCATTTGAAACCTCATTCGATTGAATTGGACGATGGAGTCAAGTCCAAAGAATTGTTGATCACTTCAAAGGATATGAAAGGTATTCATGGTACTGACGGAAGAAAGTATATGATTGACTTGTACAGAACCACGCCTTTGGATATCGGTTTCATCGAAAAGCATTTCCAACCTGAAAAAGATACTTCTTATCCTCACAAAGAGACCTTGGTGAGACATGAAGCTTTGGAAGAATGGTGGAAACGTAAAATCGCTGTGTTGATCAAATTAGAAACAGAAAAGTTAGAAAAGGAAGGTAAGACTTTTGATAAAGAAAATGGTGAAAAACCCCAATTATTGATCCAGGGAGATCAAGTTTCTATCAATTCAGATGCTTTCACCGGTATAAATGAATCGGAAGAAGACCGGAACGATGTCAGAGAGGTATCTAAGTTTGTTTTGACTTTGGTCGAAGAATTTTTGAACGAGATGGGTACTCAGTTGGCTCCTTTTGATGGTTCTCATTTGACTTCGATGTTACATAGATCAGGAATCAATTTGAGATACTTGGGTTATATTGCAGACCAATGTTTGGAAAGAAAGCAGAAAGAATTACAAAAGATTGAGGAACAAATTAAATCAAATGAGGCTTTAGCAGAACAGTTAGCCCAAGAAGAAAAGGAAAAAGTAGCCAAAGGAGAAGAACAAAAAGAGGAAGAAAATCTCGAAGAAACCAAGGAAGAAGAAAAGTCGGCTGGAATCTATGAACCTATTGCTGCGAACTATGAAACCATCTACAAGCTCTCGGTCCAGGAAATGGTCGCTAGAGCTACTAAGCATGTGTTACGTAAGTTGTCTAAGTCCTTACCCGTTAACTTGATGAGCACCTTTGTTAGTCACTTTTTAAACTGTTTACTCGGTTCGAATATCAGTGTGTCACCAATGTGTTTTATTGACGAAAACCTTAAAACGTTTTACTCTTTTAAAGATTTGCAGTTTACTTCCTTAACCAGTAATGATGCTATTGAGTTAGTAACTAAAGAAGTCTTTATTCGTTTCAGATTTCAACTACCATCAGACTGGGTTAACACTCTTATTAAACCTTATCAATTGTTTAGAGAAATCTCCCTCAAGTTTGGTATTCAGTGGAAAGCTCAGAATTATTCCTTTACCAAGGAAGAATTCGAGTTGAATAAAGAACTGATGGTTATTGAAGCCCAAGTTATTGAAAACAACGTTGTTTCCAAGAAGAATAAGAAAGGCAAGAAACAATCTTCTCCTGTTATTGAGAAGGTTATCACTCGTCAAAGCATATTTATCGCAGATGATATTCTTAATTTTTCTCCATTGGTTAAAGATTCAAGCTACAAACCTGCCTTATTCGATGAAGTGTTAGAGACGGCAAGAATAGAATTGAAGAATGACCAACAAAATGGATTGATGTTATTCAATGAATTATTATCTTTTCATGAACAAGTATACGGTAGAGTTCACACTGAGACTTCGTCATATTATGGATACTTGAGTCAACTTTACTCAGAATTGAACTTCCCTTATGAAGCTTCGACATTGGCAAGAGTCTCTTGTATTTTGAGTGAAAGGGTCACGGGATTTGATAGCTATAATAGTATCACTGCATATGTTAATTCGGCATTCTTTGAATCGAGCAATAAGGATTACATCAACTCGCTCAAGTTATATTCTCACGCTATTAGGATCTGGACTTCGATTTATGGTGAAGATCACCCATCTTTCATTACTACTTTTGCTAACTTGGGTGAAATCTTTACGAAACTTAAGTTATTCGATGCAAGCAAGAAGTTATTTGAAAAGTCCATCGAGCTTTCAACAAAATTGAATGGTGAAATTTCTGATGTTACTGGTTTGATTAAGTATAGATACGGATATTCTTTGCTTTCTGCTGATAGTTTTAAAGGTGCTAAAGTTCAATTTGAAAATTCTTATAATATTTTCGTCAAGGCATTAGGACCAAAAGACTTATTCACAGTTAAAAGTTTAAGTTATGCTACCAATTTGAAAACCTGGTTAGATTACCAAAACCATGAGAAGTCAAAGAAACAATCTGCTTCTAAAGCCAAGGCTCCAGCTTCGACAGCTGCTTCGAAGTCTAAGAAGAATAAAAAGAATCAAAATGCTCCAAAGATTGATGAAGAAATTGCCAGTAAATCGGTGGACGACATCATGGCCTTTATCGAAGGCTCAAATAAAAAGAAGGCTTGATCTAATATTACCATGTACATAAAGGGTCTTTGTAAATAGTAAATAGTAAATAGTATATAAATTGATATTTATCATAATTCAGAATATAGATAGCACCAGTTTACAAAGCATCAATGCTTGGTGTTGATGTCAGTTTCAGTAAGTTGTTGATATTTTGAATCATCGATTTTCTTGAATTGAATATAGACATTTCTGATGAACTTGTCTTGGGCCTTAATGGTTTGACTGATCTTATCGTCCAATACGTTGATCTCGTTAATGGTTTCATTTGTTTGATTGGAACCTACCAAGGTTATGAATATGTTAGAGTTTGCACCCGAAGTCAACACGGATAGGTTCAAAATCTTGAACCCTTCACCCTCTAAAGAATCAGTAACAATACCTTTTATTTTAACCGATTCTTCAGACAGCTTGCTCTCTCCACGGTCCAATAGTTCAGACAAGGCTTCTTTAAAACTCCCCCAACCAGCTCGGATGATCAAGGCTGAAACCAAAATCCCCCCAGCCGAATCTAACCATGCCAAACCGAATATGCTACCACCGGTTACCGTCATAGCTGCCACCAAAGCCGTCAAGGAGTCGACCCGATGGTGCCAGGCATTTGCAACCAAAACCTTAGAATTGGTTTGACGAGCCACTTTCATTGTCCGTTGATATAAGAATTCTTTAATGAGGATTGACCCACCGGCAAGCCAAGCAGCATTGATGTTGGGGATTTTAGGATCTGTAACCGCCAAAGCAGTTTCAGGAATTCCGTGATCATGAACTCCAGCTGCATGAGAGTGCCCGTGTGCATCGTTGGTATCAGGAGCACCAAAATCAAACGAATGGCTGTGACTGTGGCCAACCTGTACCTTGGAGAGCAATTCATACACGTAGGTTGGCATAGTGTATTCAAAAACTTGGAGTAGTGATGACCAGCCAACTGAAACACCGGCAAATAAAAGTACCCCACTGACAAACAAAGCACCAATAGTTTCAATCTTACCGTAGCCTAATGGAAACCTATCCGGTGTACCAATCTTGGTAGCAACGTTAACGGTGGCCAATGTCAAAAAATCGGCAATCATATCACTCACAGAGTGAAGAGCATCGGCTATTAACGATTGGGAATGGAAGTACACTCCTCCAATTCCCTTTGAAATTGCCAAGGCCACATTGACAATAAGACCGATCCAGGTGATTCGAACAGCTGGGTTCGACAAGCTGGACGAGAGTAATTCGTTGGGCTGGTGATGACTGTGAGTATGACCTAGAATCGATAACCCACCGTGCCCACTCTCATGTTCATGTTGGTGTTGGTGTTTGTGATCATGCTGATCATGTTGCTGAGTATGCTTGGATTGAGCTGACTCCGTTTCGGAGTGGGAATGATCGTGAGAATGGTCGTCATTGGACTTTTGGAAAGAAGAAGATTTGTGCATAGTTCTAACACCCGAAGACGGAGATCTGATCAATAGAGTGTAGTTTGTATTAAACAAAAGTCTCGGTCCCTGATAAAAATTTTGGGGAGAAGAAAACGCTTTTGGCTGATTGACCATTAGGGCGCCATTGGATAAATTTAGGGTTAAGTTATCAATTTGATACGCCCAGAGACGCGTCCCATGCCACTTTACTTTACCGGGATGACATCGTATCAAGCTCATTTCTTCTGTACACTGTTGTTATAAATTTAGTCAACAGTTTTAAGGTGTTTGCATGCAAAATAAATTGGTAATTGAGAGTACAACCCGATTTCACGAATTGCAGGTTTCAGTTCCGAGAAAGTTCGGAGACCTCAAAATAACCTGCACTTTCGTGGAGCAGCTTGTAGGATTTATGAAGCAGGTGGGTGGGGCACTACTATCTAAATGTTCTACAACCGCTTGAACTGCAGCATAGCTCGTTTAGCTTCCTACAATCCGGGACTCGTACCGGGATCTAGGTGGGGGTTTGTAATACAAGGGGGGCTTTAGGTTCGGATAAATCTGTTCTCAGTGAGCTTATATTGGTCAAATATCAAGCCGATTCGGACTGATGAGAATTCACTACCAAGAGCCGAGTTGATTAGTTCTTCTTCAGAGGAAGTTATATTTGTGTGACGATAAACCAGAACTATGTACAGTTTAGAAAGCATAGCTGCGATATACTTCTTTGAGTTCTTTTATGTTACTATAGGCGCAAAAAGCCGGAGATTCTTTCTATTCAAGAGTAATGGACCCCTATTCATCAATGTACACCACAAATGCTATACTTGAAATACACTGCCGTCAATAGGCTCATTTGGTCGTCATTTAAATGGAAAATAGTTTAGAAATGACAATGGGATAGGTGATAGTCGACACTTACAACGTAGGATTCGCCAGATTCAAGCTCTAATATTCCCCTTCAAGCCATTCCACTCTAGATCAGGTACTCAACCTCTATATTTCATTTAATTACTTCCCTCAAATTCTTTTGCAATCGCATTATATCTTTTGTTCTGAAAATCACAATGCATCAAATCTCAAAACGAAAAACTAACCTCAACTTTTCATCACTTCGTGGAACATATCATGAATGGCACCGAAACCCAAATAACGTATAGCTATTTGAATGATGAGCTATTGAGTGAGTTCCAAGGGCAAGGGACCGAACAGTTGATCCAATTAATTGAGGCTCCTGCTCAACCTGATGTTGATGCTTACGAATTGGTTGGAACTGTCTTTACAGAATTAATTATGGTGCTAGAAGATGGGAAATTAGATCCTGAAGCCATCATCGAGTTTTTGTCGAGCTGCATCAAAGATGAAGAAACCGCAAACCACTTCTGCCAAGTCTTGAACTTATTCCCATTGTCTGAACCTGTGGAATCTTTAATAAAGAAGCTTCATACTAATCAAAAGGTAATTCAACCTTCTAGTCTTGCTAAATTCCTATCAACCGATACCCTAGGAAAATTGGGCATTGTACCTGGTGATACTCTTTCAAAGCAATTGAACACTCGCAAAAGAGACGAGTACTATACTCAGAAGAAGTTCAATTTACTTCATGAAGAACCTGAAGGGTTTGCAAGACTTATAGTGGAGTTGATGAATATCTTAAGAAGTGGCGAGTCTGAATCTCAGGTTGATTACGCCATAAAGATGGTAGATACAATCATTGGACACTATAGCTTGGATCCCAATAGAGTCTTTGATGTGACTTTTGACTGTTTCTCCAATAGTTTAATCAGTAATGAAAAGTTCATTATTGCATTCTACAAAAAATCTCTATGGTGGCCCCAAGTTAACAGTGACAACTCCTCATTGAACAGCCTATCACTTGGTGGAGATGATGACTTAGCCAAGATAATTGGTCTCAGATTGGTCAAGCCTAGTGAAGATAAAGCGTTTGCCGAAACCACTAAGCTATTAATTGCCATTCTCATAAAAGAAGGCTTGGTAAGCTTTGGCTCTGTATACAAATTCTTTGGTCCTGATGATGAACAGATGGCCAAGTTAGAACGACTCCATAAGAAGGGTCTAGAAGAGGAAGTGTTTAAATCTAGTGCCAATGCTCTAGCCTTAGCTGCACCTTTGATGGATGAAGAAGAATCCGAAGGTCTGAGCACCAATACTAACAAAAAAACTGGTGACCTAACTACAGAAGAACAAATAGCCGATTTGTTGGGCATCAACTTGAAATTCCAAATGTTAAAGTCCTTCTTAGCTGTAGGGTTATATTGGCCTTCTGTGTTTATTTTGACTGAATATCCATTTTTGGCATTGGTGGATGAGGAAGTAGGAGAATTGATTTGCCGTTTATATCATCATATGATCACTCCCTTGTATGGAATGCATACCAACTTACTTGAGGATGACCTTGCAGCTTTGCTGAAGCCCAAACAAATCGCGATTCAAAGACCCAATAACGAAGTCTATTATCAGGACTACACTCCTCACACATATTTAACATTCAAGGCCACAACCCAGGACTATTTCCATAAAAGATTTGTTTACTTCTATGACAATTGGACGTCAGGATTACCACTAATTCATTCAAGCGAACAATTGTTTCAACAGTGTCAGGGCTTACTTAAGTTTTTGAATGTCCAATTTGCAAAAGACATTCAACTCTTTGTAAAAATATGTAAAATAGGTGTCAGTGAAATTGAACTGTCGGGTCCAACTGATGAATGGTTTACATTTTTCAGAAATCAGATGTTTCCTGCAATCTCAGTATTACAGGAAAATAGTATAGCGGTTGAAAATGCTTATCAAATATTATCTTTCTATCCAAAGGAAAATCGATTCAACCTTTACAGTGAGTTTCACCAAGTAACATCCAAGAACAATCCTTATATCAAGATTTCATACGGGAAGGCTGAAAAGAACACTAAAGATGTATTGAAAAGATTATCAAAAGAAACAGTAAGACCTATGATGAGAAGAATTGCCAAAATTAGTTTCTGCAACCCCTTACCCTGCTTCTTGACCATTTTACAACAGATTGAAAGTTACGACAATCTTAATTCATTGGTAGTGGAAACAGCCAGATACTTTAATAGCTATGGATGGGATGTGTTAACGTTAGCTATTATGATGAGGGTCACTGCTAGTGGTAGAAGTAATATCCAAACAAATGGGCTCTTTGAACGTCAGTGGATCCAATCATTGGCTTCATTTGTTGGGAAAATATGCCACAGATATCCAAATTCTATTGATATCAGCACCTTGTTGGAGTTTATTTTAAAGTCTTTGCATAGCAATGATACCAGTGTTTTGACAATATTCAAGGAAATGCTCCTTTCAATGGGTGGCTTAACAAGTTCCAATAATTTAACTTTGGACCAAATTTACCGCTTAAATAGTGGTGACACGTTAAAAAGGTTGATCTACTCCACCATAAATGATACTAGGTATAGCAACAGCAAGGCTGGAACTATTTTGGTGAAGAATCTTGTTGAGTTGGACTGCGTCAATGAATTTTTGGTTCTATTATATCAAATGAATGAAAACGTAACTTATGAAGATAATGAATTACATCTCAAAGTTATCACCAATAGAAAAGATGATTTACTGACTGTTATGCAACTCTTCTGTGATTTAATTAACTTTTATGTTCAGGATGAGCTCTTTGATGAAAAGCTCTCGCCCATCTCCAAACTATCCTATACTTGTCACGTTCCCCCGGAATGGGTATTTGAGATTTGGAGAAAGCATATGGACCCATATTCAAACGATTTTCTTGCTAAAGATATGGAAGGATTCAAACCTTACCTTGGAGACTATGTTTGGCAATCCTTATCTCCAGGTCTCTACAGCACTTTCTGGCAATTGTCGTTGTACGATGTTAATTACGTTGACTACCTTTATATATCATCGGCTGAAAAGCATCAAAATTCACTTGAAAGCCTCGAAACGTCTTACACTAAGAGCAAGAGAGCACATGCGTCTCGTCAAGATATCGAGCTGAAAAAAGATGCTTTTGAAGTTGTGCAAAAGCTAGTATCTGACATTCCGGTGGACCAACAGAAGCATGAACTGCACTACAATAAGGTTATTGCAAGAATTACTGAAGAATCCTCACTGTGGTTCGTCAAAAATGACGAGGGGGTTGCCATGAAAATGTTTTTGCAGTATTGTATTTTACCAAGAGCTGTACATTCGTCATTCGATGCAGTTTATTCCGCCAAGTTTGTGTTTAAGTTATTTCAAGTGGGAGTTCAAAAATTCTCTCTCGAAGAATATTTGAATTACTTGTTTCAAAGCAGGGTGTTGTTTGGAACATTCTTTACGTCAACTTTGACAGAATCGGAAAATTTGGGATTGTTCTTTTCCGAATTACTAATTGAATTGAATTCTTGGTGTAATAATGAAACTTTCGAAAAGTTAACAAATGGGTTGACAAACAAAGAAGGCGTTACATTGTCCTTCAAAGGATTCAAGGATTTATTGTATTCTTATCATACTAGCTTGTTGGATGATTTATTGACTACATTGAACTCTACGGACTACATGTGTCGTAGAAACTCGATTATTTTCTTGAAGAATATAATTCACATATATCCAGTGGTAGAAGATCAATGTGAACAATTGGCGGAAGTAATTCAACAGATAATCAACACCGAGGAAAGAGAGGATCTTAAGCTTGCAGTCAATGCTTTGATTGGACATATTAAAGCAAGACAAAGTAAATGGATCCACTTATGGGATTTCATTGAAATGCCAGAGGCTCAACTTGAAGTTCATAGGTCCAAGCGTGAAGCAATTGCTAACGAGATTCGTAAGATCAACGAAGCGAAGAGACTCAAGGAGCAGCTAGAATATGAAGAAAGAGAAAGAATACAGAAAGAAAGAGCTGAAACTCTCAGACGCGAGAAGGAAGCGGAGGCTCTAAAAGTGAAGGAGAAACAAAAGCTTAGTTATGATGAAAGTTCTCAAACTACATCAACTCGGGCAGATGTTAGAAAAGATGGAGTTGAATCTAGAAAAGACTATTATTCCAAATACGAGAATTTCAGTAAAGCCAGTACTCCTTCTGGAACACGTCCTACTTCTGAAAATGGAAATGACAAGAAAGAACTACCAGATGGACCTTCAGTTGCCAAAGACTCAAAAGATAAGAAGTCTCCTTCCGTGAATTCTTCAAATCTCCCTTCAAGTCAAACCTCTAGGCCACAGACTCCAGTTGCCAAAGCTTCCGCACAGCCTGCCAAAGCTTCCGCACAGCCTGTCAAAGCTCCTGTACAGCCCTCAAAAGCTCCCGTACAACCTTCCAAAGCTCCGGTACAGCCTGCTAAAACAGTAAGTGTTCCTAGAACCGCAAAGCCATCAGCAACAGCCTCGGGTCTATCTGCCGACAATAAGCCACCCAGAAAACTGGCCGTTTCCACAGACCGTGGCAACTGGAATAATGAGTCTAGATATTCTGGCAATGATAATAAAGGCTCTTATGTGCCTTTTAAATCCGCTGCACCTCCAAAAGATTCTTTGTCTGATAAACGTCAACCTTTGGTTCCACAGCTGCATTTGAGGAAGGATTTTGGTTCTGGCTCCAGGGCAAAGGCTCCCGAAACTTATGATAGAAGGAAAACCACTGAAGGTTACAATAGCAGAAATAACGGCTATGATGGCAGGAAGAGCTTTGAAAGTTACGATAAAAACTATGATAACAGGAAGAGCTTTGAAGGATATGATAACAGGAAGAATACTCAAAAGCAGTCTTCGGCAGAAGGTAATAAAACTCAAAAGCTTCCTCCCCCTCCACCTCCTCCTTCACTTCCACCTCCAAGTGGCAGAAATACGCATGGTAATGGAACTGGTAGACCTGATAGTAAGAGAAAATATGACTACGATCAAGGCAATGGCAGACCTTATGACAAGCGTCAACGATACTAAGGTGTACCATATTATACTATATAAGCTATTGATTTCAAATATAAACATAGCTATTTTAATGAGATACGGACTGTTGGAGTCTCTTTAGTTCATCATCAATCATTTGACTCATATCCGTGTCGTCCATCTCGTCGTAATCATCGTTATGGGTGTTGTCATTAGTATTCTCTGTCTCTCCTGTCTCTTCCTGTAAAGAGTTCAAGAAATTGGCGATCTTTTGAGCCTGTTCTTCATGCCAGATCATATGCCTTCTAAGATCATGATCTCTTGAGAACAACCTCGAACACTTTGGTTTAGGGCATGCAATTTTCTTGGTATTGTAGTTTTTCAGTAGGAGGCTAATGATCGAATTATTCTTACTCAAAGCAGAATTCAACGAATGCAATGACTTCTCGGACTTAGCAATCATTGAAACTTTATCTGATTCTACCTCCTCTTCTGACTCATCCATATCATGTGCATTTTTCAAATCATCGAGATTTTGGGGGTGGTTATCTTCAGCATTTAATAAAGCCTCTAAATTAGCTCGTTCGGTCGGTTTTAAAAGCTCTTCAGGAACATTTGCATCATGGAGTTCGTGATAGTGCTTAATTAGTTCGATTTTCTTGACAAACTGACCCATGTTACAGTATTCACACTTCCATAGTTTCATGATGCTAGTCGGATTGTGCATAAGCATATGCGACAGTAAACCCTGCTTACCCACGCAACTTTTACCACAAATATCACATTTAAGCTTAGGATGATCCGTTTTGATATGAAACTGAAGAGCAGACCAAGTTTTGAAGTTTTTAAAGCATCCTCTGAAATCACACTGGTATGTTGGAGTTTGGGAATGGTACTTCGTATTATGATGGGCTAATCTATAAGGTCTTGTGAAAGACTTATTGCAGATTTTACAGGTTAATGTTTTTTCGTGAACTGAAAGGGTATGATGTCTCAAGGATTGATGTTTATAGAAGGACTCGGAGCACCCTTCATGAGGACAAGTAAATGATTTTGTATGAGTTATTTCATGTCTCTTTAGATGCTGAATTGTATTGACACCTTTTCCACATACAGAGCATTGGAAAGGTTTATCATTCTGACCCTGATGAGATACCTCATGAGCCTTGAGGTGAGAGTTTCGAAGGAAAGACTTGTCACACTCTGGATACCCACAAATAAATGGTCTTTCACCGGTGTGTGACCTTTTGTGTTGGGCTAATAAAGATGGCTTTGAGTATGCTTTTGAGCAATTCGGATAATCGCAAACATGTGACCGAGGCGCTTGAGACGACGATACAGAAATCGAATTTTCGGACTGCACCGATGAACCAGCCATATGAGAACTCCAGTGAAACGAAGGTTCTTCTACAAACTAGATGCTCATCTCAAAATCAACCAATTAGTGCGGCTCCTGCTAAATGCGAAAATCCTGTACATCTCGTCACCCACACCACGTTAATTATAGACTTTGATTTATCCACACTTGTGGAATGTTATCACCGTAATGACTCATACGGATATACGAAAATGGAATAAATCCGGTACCTATCGAATCTGCTGTGCCTTGCCAAAATGAGCCGTACCTTGCCAAGATGTGAATTGCAGCCAACAAAGACGGTGAAGTGTTAACCTAACCAGCGAGTACAAGACAACATTGTGATACGACTCCCTATCCTCATGCTTTAAGTGAGACTTGGTGAGCATTTGAGTTCACCACCAGTCGTAACCTATTATGTATTCGTAATAAAGAATACCAACATGACCATTCGCTCGTGAGGCTCTGATACTAAACCACAGTGCGAGTGCCTTATCTTCGGATGTGTGCGCACCGGAATATGGGTATAACATTGTTAGGATTCCCAGGCTAAGCTATTTTTCAAATACCAAAGAAGTTGAAATTATTGGATTTATTCCTCCTTGAACTTGCTACAATGGATCAGATAATACTTGTGGATGGTAGTGCCGTGGGTTTGGGTGGTTCTGCCCCCATTCCTACTGGTGATCAACTATGCTCAATTGTTAGCTCTTGGAACCAGCCTTTGTACTCTCCTTATGAAAACTCATTAAACCCGTGTTTTATTTCATTCGTGTTTGGTGCTCTTAACTTGTTTTTCATATTTCCATTGACTATCCAGATTATCAACTTTTTGTTCTTCAACACCTTCGGTCCTTACAATATTAAATATTCCTTTGGTTCAATATTTAAAGTGAAAAGTGTCGGTATCTTCACCTTGATCAGATTCAATTCAGTATTTATCCAATGTTTATTGTCACTTGTGTTATTGAGCTTCAAATTCGTGTCCTTTCTGGACTTGAAGTCATCTGCTCTTATTCTTAATGTCGTGACTTTGGTTGTCTTTGTGTTACCTTTACATTTAATTGAACCTACAAGATGTGTTATTCCTGCTACATCCTTATTATTTTACTGGTTCAGTTCATCGGTTATCAATTTTGTCATTTCACTTCAAGACTTGTTTTCTGAACATAAAGTTTACATCCCTGATGGTGATATTTCAATACAGTCAGCTATTAGAACCGTTGAAATTTTGTTGTTGCTCAACTCTGTTGGAATTTTCATCCTCGAATTATTCTTTTATCAGCCTTCCGTTGAATTGATTGAGTATTATGACTTGAATGAGTGGAATTATGGAAGAGTCAGAAACATCTTCAATAGAGTTTTCTTCAAGTTCATGAAAGACACAATCGATATTGCTGGTAAAACTAATCACGTTGATGTCACCAACTTACCTTCCATTATCATTGATCTTGATAATGAAGTCGCCTATAAGAAGTTTTTGGGTGCTTGGAATAAGTCTGTTTCTAAAACTGAAGCTATTAATGCCAAAAATTTAGAAAAGTCGAAGAAGACTGGCAAACCATTCGTGAAAAAGACACCTTCTTTGTTTTGGCCGTTACTTTCAATCACTAAAGGGCTCTTTTTCAGGGCTTTGTTCTTTGACTACATGGAATTTTTTGCTCAAATCTGTCAACCTTACTTGTTAAGAAGATTCTTATTGTTTGCATCAAACAGATATTTCCTGAAATCGTTAGGTACCAATGATGTAACCCCTGAACCTTTAATTGTCGGCTTTGGAGTTGCCACTTGTCTCTACCTTGCCGCAGTCACAAGATATATGACATTCAACAGAAAGTTTGTTAATATTCAGGGTTTGGGAAATGTTGTCGAAACCGCTTTGTCTTCTCACATTTATTATAAGGGTATGAAACTTTCACCAAAAGAAAGAAGAAATAAGACTGTTGGTGAAATTGTCAACAATATGGCACAAGATATCTCCACTGTTGATTATGCACCCGAAGTTGTTATTGATGTCGTTTCTCAACCCTTCAGATTGGTTATGTATATTTACACTTTGTACAATTTCCTTGGTGCTTCTGCTCTTGCTGGTTTGTCCACTGCTCTTGTTTTGATTCCAATTGCTAGTACTTGCTACAAATTCGTTTACAAAGAGATGAACCTTGAAATGAAGTATAAAGATGAAAGAGCTAAGTTGATGGGTGAAATCTTAAACTCCATTAAAAGTATTAAGTTGTACTCCTGGGAGAATCCTATGTTGGAAAGATTATTTGAGATTAGAAATAATAAGGAGCTTAAAGTCTTAAGAAAAGTTGGTATTCTTTCTACCGCTATAGATTTTCTTTGGAATTCTATTCCATATGGTATTGCTGTTTCCACATTCACTGCTGCTGCTGTCTTTGCTGGTACTGAATTGACACCTGAAGTGATTTTTCCATCTTTAACGCTTTTTGACTTGTTGACTGGTCCTATTTTGGCTTTACCAGGTATTTTCTCCAACATTGCTGAATCAAAGGTCTCTCTTGCCAGATTGATCAAGTTTTTCACAATGGAAGAATTGGAAGTTGATGCTTTAGAGAGGTCTTATATACCTTTGAGAAAAGGCGAAGAAGCGGTGACAATCAAGAATGCTAATTTCGTTTGGACTATAGATAATGTGGAAGAAAAGTCAGCTAAGGATTTAGCTAAAGACAGTGCTAGAATAGATGAAGAGGCCGACATTGATGCCCCCTCTGAAGTCAACACAGTAGCTTTGACTGATATTAACTTCACTGCTAAAAAGGGCGAATTGACATGTGTTGTTGGAAGAGTCGGTAGTGGGAAATCCACATTGTTGAAAGCCATCTTGGGATGTATTCCTGTTGATACTACTATTAATACACCTACCCTCAAAGTGAATGGATCAATTGCCTATTGTGCCCAAAGTGCTTGGATTTTGAATTCCTCTGTCAGGGAAAATATTTTGTTCGGCAGAAAGTATGACAAGGAGTTTTATCAGGCTACCGTTCAAGCTTGTGAGCTTTCTAAGGATTTCGAGATGTTGCCTGATGGTGATAGAACTATTGTTGGTGAAAAGGGTATTTCTCTTTCTGGTGGTCAAAAAGCTAGAATTTCTTTAGCCAGAGCCGTCTATTCAAAAGCTGAAATTTACATCCTTGACGATGTCTTGTCGGCTGTTGATACTCATGTTGGTAAAAATATTATCAAGAACGTTCTTGGTAAAGATGGTTTATTGGCTTCCAAAACTACTATTTTGGCTACCAACTCTGTGCCTGTTTTACATCAAGCTGCTAGTATTATACTTTTAGCAGAAGGTAAAATTATTGAAAGAGGTACTTTCACAGAAGTTATGTCTACTGAATCTAGTTTGGCTAAGTTGATCAATGAATTTGGTAAATTTGAAGAGGAAGAGGAAGCTAATGAAGAAACTGCGGAGATTGAGTCTACTAAGGTTGTGGTTTCTGGTAATGTCTCTTCTTCTGAAGATGAGCATAATCCCCAACAATACCAACCAATCATACTGGAGGGAGAGGATTTATCTTTGGCAAGGGTCGTTACCAATGCTACTGTTGCTGCAAGTTTTGTTTCTTTTGGTCATGCTTACGATCAGGACTTTGATGATGACGTTGATAAAGTCACAAGAACTGGTGACAGTGAAGAAATTAAAACAAAGGGTAAAGTCAATTTGATGATTTACAACAAGTATATTCAAGCCTGTGGTTACTTCTCTGTTGTAGTTTACTTGGCATTGGTTGTCTTGAGTACTGCATTAGCCCTTTCAAACACTTATGTCTTGAAGTACTGGTCTGAACAAAACGTAAAATATGGCCACAACGTTGATATTGCGTTTTATTTGACATTGTATGCTGCTATTGGAATTATCTCTTTGTTGTTTACGTTGGTGGCCTCATTCATTATCTATGCTGTTATTATTATCAATGGTAGTAGGTATTTCCACGATACAATGGCTAAGAGTGTCTTGAGATCTCCAATGTCATTTTTTGAAACTACACCAATCGGTAGAATCTTGAATAGATTTACCGAAGATATTAATGTAATCGACAATCAGTTGATTTGGGCTCTTACATTATTTGCCAATTACGGTTTCAGGGCTGTAAGTGTGTTTGCTGTGGTTATCTTGAACTTACCAATCATGTTCTTTGTTTTAGTTTTCCTTTTGTTCTTCTACGATTCGTTTAGAAGATTATTTATTCCCGCCTCCAGAGAGTTAAAGAGATTAAGAAGTGCTACCAAGAGTCCTGTTTTCTCCCATTTACAAGAATCTATTACTGGCGTGGATACTATCTTTGCTTACAACCAAGTTGATAGATTCACTCACAAGGCCCTGGATAATATGAACACTTCCATCAAAGTTTCCCAAGCCAATATCCATGTTAATCGTTGGTTGTCAATGAGATTGCAAGGGTTATCTGCTGTTGTTGTGTACTGTTCCACCTTATTGATTTTAGCATCTGTTAATTCTAAAAACCCATTGGGTCCTGGTTTAGTTGGTTTCATTATGACTTATGTTTTGGATGTCACTTCAACCTTGAATGCTATTGTCAGATCTTACGCAGACATTGAAACCAGATCTATCACCATTGAAAGATTATGGGAGTACTGTAACTTGAAGCCAGAAGCTGAGATGGTTATTGAAGATAACAGACCGGCTGAGTCATGGCCTGCGGAAGGGGCCATCTCATTTAAGAATTATGAGACTAAATACAGAGAAAACTTGGATCCTGTCTTGAATAACATTTCTATCGACATTAAACCCAGAGAAAAGATTGGTATTGTTGGCAGAACTGGAGCTGGTAAATCCACTTTAACTTTGGCTGTTTTCCGTATCATTGAAGCTACTGGTGGACACATTGAAATTGATGGTGTTGATACCAGTAAGATTGGATTATTTGACTTGAGATCTAAGTTGAACATCATTCCGCAAGACTCTCAAGCCATTGATGGTACTGTGAGGCAGAACTTGGATCCTTTCGGTAAGCATACAGATGAAGAGTTATGGAAAGTGTTAGAATTGAGTCACTTGAAAGAGCATATCGAGGGAATGAAGACTGAGAGAAAGGTAGACGATGATGAAGAAGATAATAGCACCCCTTTGATTGCCACAGGCTTGAATGCCAGAATCGAAGAAGGTGGTGCTAACTTGTCCGCTGGACAAAAACAATTGATGTGTCTTGCTAGAGCTTTATTGAATCCTTCTAAAGTTTTGATTTTGGATGAAGCCACTGCGTCTGTGGACGTTCAAACCGACAAAATTGTTCAAGATACTATCAGATCTGAGTTTAATGATAAGACTATTTTAACAATTGCTCATAGAATTGAAACAATTATGGACAGTGATAGAATCTTAGTTCTTGAAAGGGGACAAGTCAAAGAGTTTGATGCTCCAACTGAATTGTTGAAGGATCAAAATACCATTTTCTACTCTCTCTGTAAACAAGGGGGACTTGTTTAATGTTGTCTACAATATACCTACCATTACAAGGATGAGCTCATCATGCTCGTGTATATCTTCCAGAATTAGATTACTGTTTGATAGGTTCACGTCTGTGTGATTCAAAACTAGCTATTGAGCCTAATTGTGAAGTAGGATGTTGTCCTCACAATCTAGTTATATGTATAGAATACAATTTAGATATACGTTTGTTGAAATTTGCCAGTGCGAAACGATCATTCTCCCTATCTGATTTATTGAGATCTTGCTGAGACAAAGCAAATTCAAAGAAATATGAAAACATATATACTCTCAGTTCCTACCAAGAAGTACGACGAAGTTAATTGGGTTCAGCCGTTGGATAAATATTTACAAGCGATTTATGGGGACTCCCACGAGTACCAGCTGGACTTGACAGGCTTTGATAAGTTAAGACAAGATTTAAAAGGGGTTAATGCTGATACTACTGGTTTGAAGTTATATTTCAAGTACTACAGCCAGCTTGAACTCCTAGATTTGAGGATCGCTTTCAACCAAATCAGTAGCAAAAAGCTCAACTTTACCTGGCATGATGCCTTTCAAAAATCAGTCAACCACAAGCAGCATTCTTTGCCATTTGAAAAAGCCAATATTTTGTTCAACATAGCTTCTGTTTTGAGCAAAATTGGGTGTAAGAAATACGAAGAAGCACATATCTCCGGTGACTTAGGCTCTAGTGATACTTTCAAAGAAGCTTTGCAATATTTCCAACAAGCAGCAGGTGTATTTGAGTTCATAAGCGAAAACTTTTTGCATGCTCCATCTGATGACTTGAGTCAGTCGACACTCCTATTCTTGAGGAGACTTATGTTAGCTCAGAGTCAGGAGATTTTTGTTTTGAAAGTAATTACAAGCGACTTGGATCAAACAAAAAACTCGTTGATTGCAAAACTCTGTGCCAGTGCTTCTGAACATTTCCTTGAGTGTCATAAGATGATAGACTCTTCTATTGGAGCTCGAGAGTCTCAGTCAACTTCGGACTTTGAGATTGTGGGAGATGATGAAGACGGAGATTTGGAAAGGATTGTAGACCCAGTTTATGATCCTGACTCTGAGAAATCCTCCAACAAAATCACCGTGAAATTAGACATCTTGTGGACCTCTTTGATCTCTTTCAAGAGTGTTTATTACAAGTCTCTAAGCTATTATTTCAATGGGCTTCAACTTGAGTCAGGCAACAGATTCGGTAATGCAATCGCCTATTTCACCAAATCGCAGGATTCCTTGAATCAATTAAGTACAATCACCCTCAAGCAGCTTTCAAATGCAGGTGTCAATGGGGTTTTTGAAGTGTTGGACAATTACAAGTACCAAAAGGATGCTTTGTCCATCAAATTAGCTGAATTGAACAAAGAGAATGATCTAATTTACCATGAAATAATTCCATCATTAGTGACTTTGCCAGAAATCAAAGCTCTTGATAGTACCAAGGTGATTCCTATAAATCAGATCGCTCAATTGAATGAGATAAGTGATAACAACTATGTCAATTTTTTGAAAAATGTGGTTCCAATTGATACGCATGAATTATTGAGCTACTATTCAGAAGAGAAGTCTCAGTTTTTAAGAAACGAGATTGATATGGTTGATGTTTCAAATGAAGAATTATCCTCGGTGTTGGAATATTTAAAGATGCCAAAAGCTATTGTGAATTTAAAACAAATCATCGGTGATGACCAGACAGAATCACAAACAAAGGGTCCAACAGCTATTGAACCTGGTATTATTGAAAAAGCTAATGAAATCCATCGACATCACTCTGCAGATATCGCTAATAAGGCAAAAATAGTTGAAACAAGGAAGAAAATCTACGCTTTAATTACTGAAATTGAAAGCCAAACGAATAATTTCAGTGGTTCCAAATATAAGGATGATACTGTTAATATCAAAAAGTCATTATATGATGCCACGACTCCTGATGATAAACTTTTTGCTCTTATAAGCGTTGAGAACAGTCATTTGTATAATATACTTGGAAAGGGAGTAAACTCTCAGGAATTCAAGGGTCTTTTTGAAGTGAAAGGTCAGGAACCGTCAACTTTTGATAAGGAAATCAGCTTGCTTGATATAGTGGATGTACCTTCGAAGTCAACCAATGAAGTTCAACAGCAAATAAAAAAAATTGAGGATATCTTATACGATTTGAATGTTATCAAATCCAATAAGCTTAAGCTTGTTGAAACCTTAAAGAAAGAAATTCACAATGACGACATTTCGGATATCATCGTCTTGAACAGCAAAAGCAAGTCCATCAACGAGATTAAAAGTGTTATTTTCCCTGAAGAGTTGAAAAAGTTTGATCCGTACGCCCAAGAGTTAGACAAGTTGATAGAAAATCAAAAGACATTCATTAATAATTTGAAAGAGGAATGGGCTTCTTTGTCTACCAATGAAAAAGTAAAGGAAATTCAATCTTCTAAGACGTTCAAAGAGACTTTGATGAAGGATCAAATGCAAAGAGTGAACGAGTTCTATAATAACTGGAAAACTTATAGTTTGGGTTTGAATAGAGGAGTTGAATTTTACTCCAAGCTTTTGAGTTTTGTCCAATCAATGAAAAGACGAATCACCACTGAACAAGAAGAGTCTTTGTCTGATAGATTTGGAGGTATGAACCTTCAAAATACCGGACAAGCACAAGCGCCTCAGCAGTATAACCAATCTCAAATTAGGCCACAAGCTTCTCAATACGCTCAACAGCCTCAATACTCTGGTCAGCATAAGAATTATCAACCTCCTGCTCCAGGTAGATATCTGCTACCTTCTGGACCAAATTCTTTGGCTGCAAGTCCACACTCGCAACTTTCTGATGGTCAATACTTCCCACAGCCATTATTAAAGCGGACACTGACCAGCTCCAGTTATGACCGTCCACCTCCTAGCTTGCCTCCCAAACAACCCCAATACTCTCAACCCCCACAACAACAATACACCCAACCTTCTCAGCAACAATACAGTCAGCCTCCTCAACAATACTCCAACCCAAATCAAGGTTATCCCTACCAACCTCAAGCTCCACCCCAACCCCCCCAACAAGGCTCCAGTCTGCTGTTGATCTACGACCAACCTTCAACATATAACCCAAATATGTACAACTTCTTCTCGAAAGAATAGACTCGTGAACCAACAACTAAACGCGTCTTCTAAAGTGCAGAAATAGAAAGTATTATACACTAATGGCTGGGTTTCACTCAATTACAGCGGTGAATACTAAAATAAACATTTTAAGATACGACAGTTGCAACGAGCGATAAGTATTTGATACGAACTCAAAACTAATTTTAAATGATCATCTGCACCCCTATTTTTTTAAACTCTCAACAAATAGGCCAAGTATTTTCGAACCTATTCTTCACACCAAGAATGCTACTATCTCGTTTCTCCCCAGATTCCATCTCTCAATAAAACAGAGACCACCCTAAAGTTCGCAGCTAATCCTGAAACATTTCCATAAATAACTAGCCAAATCGGGTAAATTGTCAATACCACCGAGCCTTGCAAAAAGAAAAAAATTTTCAACGCGCTCATATATATTTAATCCTCCTTTCAGTCCTCGTTTACTTGGAGTTACATTCTTTCTAGCCTGCCTTACGTTTTTCGTTGTTCCTACTTGTAATTTAATACCCTTGGCTGTTTGTTGGAAATTCTGCATCTTCAACTTAACTGGTATCCCCCTGGAATATTAATTGAAGTTTCAAAAATGATGCGTTCTAAACCCTCGATTCTCCTTTTGCTCACGTTCTTTTTGTTCCAAATTGTATCTGCTGATAGCGACGACTGGGATGCTTACAAATGTAACTCTACTGTGAGCTGCCCCAAATCAAGACCTTGTTGTTCTCAATATGGGATTTGTGGGGTAGGTAGTTACTGTTTGGGCGGATGTGATGTTCGTTATTCCTACAATCTTGATGCATGTATGCCTATGCCCGCTATGGAAAAGTACAGTGCTGTATTCGACAGTACAAAATTATTCATGAAGCAAACTGAATATTTGGGCAATTCTAGTGAAACTGATTGGGTTTATACTGGTTACATTGACACTTCTGATGATGCTCTTTTGATACAAATGCCTAACGGAACCACGGGTACCGTGGTCTCGTCTACAAAGTATACCTGGTATGCCAACATCACTGCTAGAATCAAATCATCCCGAGATGACGGGGTGGTTACAGCTTTTATCTTGTATTCTGATGTTCAGGATGAATTGGATCATGAATTCGTTGGCTATGACTTAACTCATCCTCAATCTAATTACTATTCTCATGGTATTTTGAATTACAACCATGCAGAAAACACTTCTGTGACTAACACGTTCAAGAACTATCATGATTACACCTTTGACTGGACTGAGGATGAAATCACCTGGTACATCGACGACAAAAAAATCCGTACATTGAAGAAGGAAGACACATGGAATTCTACCACTAAAAGGTATGATTACCCTCAAACTCCTTCTCGTATTCAATTCTCTTTATGGCCTGGTGGTGATACTTCTAACGGTGTTGGTACCATTGAGTGGGCTGGTGGTCAAATTAACTGGGATTCTCAAGACATTCAAGATTATGGCTACTACTACGCGTTTATCAAAGAAATTACTGTTATCCCTCATGATTTGCCCTCGGACATTGAGGAGGTCGAATCGGAAGACGGTGGTGATGATTTCAATGCCTACCTCTATAATAGTACTGATGCTGATGAAAACAATATTTACTTGACTAACAAGAAAACTTGGCTTGGGAATGATGAGGCTACTGGTTTAGACCCTGATAACGAAGATGATGATGAAGACGACTCTAAAACCGAAACTGTGGTAGAGACTTCAGGATCTCAAGTACACACTAAGACTACGACGAAGACGAAGTCTAAAAGTACTGTTTCAGCTTCCTTACCTACAGCTAAAGCCACCACCTCCACTTCTAACTATAATCCAAGTGCTGGAATCGGTGGATTTGTACAAGATTCTGATGCCACTTCGTCTTCTTCTACGACCAGTTCTGGTTCTGGTGCATCCACTTCAAGTAATACATTAGGAGGTTTAGTTGGTTTCTTTGTTACTGTTGGATTCGGATTTTTTTGGATTTAGTCCCTTCAACTATATAGGATTTGGGTATATTTAAATTAAGGAAAAAGAAAAACATCTAGTAGGTTATTATTAAAGGCATGTCTATATTGGCTGCAATCATTTATTACAGCACCTTTGCTACTGACACCTATTGAGAGTTTATTGGTGAATACACGCCCTCCTTTTTTTTGGCGTGTTCGATCGATTCGAGCTTGAAAAATGAACAACAAATTATCATTGAATCGACAACAACAGAAAAAGCTTTTCAGCAATCAGACCAATTGGATCTAAATACGTGTTTTTGAAGTAACATATCAACAATCTGTAGCTGTTTTACTTATTCTGTGGCCAAAAATGAAGATGTTAACCAAGTTCGAGTCCAAGTCATCAAGGGCTAAAGGGGTGGCATTACACCCTAAAAGGCCTTGGGTTTTGGTATCCTTACATTCATCAACTATCCAACTCTGGGATTATCGGATGGGTACATTAATCGATAGATTCGAAGATCACTCCGGTCCCGTGAGGTGTGTAAGCTTTCATCCTACTCAGCCTTTGTTTGTTTCAGGTGGTGACGATTATTCAATTAAAGTGTGGTCGTTGAACTCAAGGAAATGTATTTTTACCTTGAACGGACACTTGGATTATCTCAGATCTGTATCTTTCCATCATGATTTACCTTGGATCCTTTCCTGTTCTGATGATCAAACCATTAGGATATGGAATTGGCAAAACAGACAAGAAATTGCCTGCTTGACAGGTCATAACCATTATGTGATGTCAGCTCAATTTCATCCAAAAGAAGATTTGATCGTATCAGCATCTTTGGACCAAACCGTTAGAGTTTGGGATATTTCTGGTTTAAGAAAGAAACACTCAGCTCCAACTTCATCCATTAGATCATTTGAAGATCAATTACAAAGACAGCAATTACCTCAGCAGGATATTTTTGGAAATGTTAACGCTGTCGTCAAGTTTGTATTGGAAGGTCATGATAAAGGAGTTAATTATGCTGCCTTCCATCCTACTTTACCATTGATTGTATCTGGTGGTGACGATAGGTTGGTCAAATTATGGAGAATGAGTGAAACAAAAGCTTGGGAAGTTGATTCCTGTAGAGGACATACCGGTACTGTTTTAGCAACCATATTCCACCCTCATCAAGATTTAATCTTATCAGTAGGTGATGACAAAACCATCAGAGTCTGGGATTTGAACAAGAGAACTCCTGTTAAGCAATTTAGACGTGAACATGACAGATTCTGGGACATTGCTTGTCACCCAACTGTGAATTTATTTGCTGGGTGTCATGACTCGGGTGTTATGATCTTCAAATTAGAAAGAGAAAGACCAGCATATTCTATATTCCAGAATAAGTTGTACTTTGTTAACAATGAAAAACAAATTCAATGTTACGACTACCAGAAAAAGGAAACTTCCTTGCCAATGTTATCTTTGAAAAAGATTGGTAAAACTTGGTCTTTTATGAGAACTTTATCTTACAATCAGGCGGACAATTCTATTTTGGTCACCCATGGTTCTAGTGACGATGGAAAATACTCTTTAATCACCTTACCGAAACATGTCACCGGCGCTATAGAACCTACTGACGCTAGACAAGGGGAATGTAACTTTGCTTGTTTCATCTCCAGAAACAGATTTGTTACTTTCACCAAGTCAAATAAGCTGTTGGAGGTGAAAGACCTCAACAACAACACTACCAAGTCCATTCAGTTGGATTCTTCTGTTCAAGATGTCTTGTATGGTGGTCCCGGTCGTGTTTTATTGGTGAAGAGCCACTCTGTTATCAACTATGATGTTCAACAAAGAAAAGAATTGGGAGAAATCAGTGCCAATAATGTTAAGTATGTATCTTGGTCTAACAGTGGTCAATATTTGGCATTATTATCTAAGCACACCATCACCATTGCTACCAAGGACTTGGAATTGGTCAACTCATTGCATGAAACTATTAGAATCAAGAGTGCCGCTTGGGATGATTCAGACGTTTTGTTGTATACCACTTTGAATCACATCAAGTACACCTTATTGAATGGAGATAATGGTATTATCAAGACATTGGCTAACATCTTGTATCTTACAAAGGTTTCTCAAAGCAAGGTTTACTGTTTGAATCGTGCAGGTGAAGTTGAAGTGGTTACTATTGACCCTACTGAGTTCAGATTCAAGAGAGCTTTAGTGAACAAAAACTTGAAGGAAGTGGTCAGAATGATTAATAATTCGAACTTAGTTGGACAAAATATCATTTCTTACTTGCAGAAGAAAGGTTACCCCGAAGTAGCTTTAGCCTTTGTCTCTGATCCGGAGTCAAGATTTGTTTTAGCTTTGGAAAGTGGTAACTTAGCTGTGGCCTTGGAAGAAGCTAAAAAATTGAACAATAACTCTATTTGGGAAAAGCTTGCTGAGGAAGCTTTAAATGAAGGTAATATTGAGATTGTTGAATTTTGTTACCAAAATCTTCACTTGTTCGACAAGTTGTCTTTCCTTTATGTCTACAAGGGTGACACGGAGCGCTTGAACAAAATGGCAACCATTGCTGAACATCGGAGTGATTATTCTTCTTTGATTCAAAATACCTTCTACAATGGAGATATCAAGAAGAGGTGTCAGGTTTACATTCAAAGTGGTATGTTACCTTTAGCCTATACTGTGGCTAAGTCTAATGGCCTTGAAGATTTATGTGCAGAAATCTTGAATGAAGCTGGAATCAAAGAAGAGGATATTGAATTGCCTGAACTTAGTGAACCACTTCAAGTTCCCGAACCAGTTGCTGAGCCAATTCAAAATTGGCCATTGAAACCATCTGAGTTGAGTTTCTTTGAAAGTGCTCAATTAAATGGGGGTTTGGATGATTTAACTCTCGAAGAATCTGATAGCATTGCTCCCAAAGACTTGGAAGCCTCTCAATTAGAATTGGAAGAAGAATTTGATGATGAAAATATTGAAGAGGATGAAGGTGGATGGGGCTTGGATGATGATGACCTCGATATTGATGAAGATCAAGTCTTTGATGCCCAGACGGATAAAGAAGCAGCTGATGCTTCAAATGCTCCAGCTGTGGATGGGGAAATTGCTTTCTGGCTTCGTAACGCAAAGACTGCTGCTCAATATGTTGCTGCTGGAGCTTTTGAACAAGCTGCTTCTATGTTACATAAGCAGTTAGGTGTCTCTGATTTTGAACCATTGAGAGAGAGATTCTTGGAAGTTTATGAATCATCCAAATTATACTTACCAGGTGTGGATGGTTTACCTGCTATGAAAGATTATATCAGAGTTGATAATGACGAAGATAATCCAAACAAGTTTTTGCCTTTCATACCAGGCTTTGAAGGCTTGGAAGATAAATTGGCCGTCGGTTTCAAATACTTTAAGGATAATAACTTGGAAAAAGCCATTAAAGTATTCAGGGAAATCATATATACTATAACGGTTCTCACTGTTGAAGATGAAGATCAGGAATCTAAATGTGAAGACATATTGTTATTGTGTCGTGAGTACATTTTAGGTCTAACTATCGAATTAACTCGTCGTCAAGTTGAAACTTCAGATCCAAAACGTAACTTGGAATTGGCTGCCTACTTCACCAGAACCAAATTACAAAAACCACATAAGATCAATGCTTTGCAAGTTGCCATGAGTCAATGTTTCAAGAATAAAAACTACTCTAGTGCTTCATATTTTGCTGATGAGTTATTGTCACTTGTAAGCTCTGGACCAAGAGCTGAGCAAGCTAAAAAATTGAAGGCAAAAGCTGAAACAATTCCTGGTGATGCTATAGAAATTGACTTTGACCTGTATGCCGAGTTTGAGATTTGTGCCTCAAGTCTAACACCAATTTACAAAGGATCACCTTCTATTACTGAAACTTTAGTTGGAGCTAAGTACAAGCCAGACGAACTTGGCAATATCTGTAAAATTACTAAGATAACCAAAATTGGTGCTGCAGCTTCTGGTTTAAGAATAAAAGGTTGAGTAACTTTAGATTCCTTTTTTATATTGTTCATTCATTTTTTATATCTAATAAAAGTTTTTAGTTGGAGCCCAATTTTTTAAGTTCTCACTGTGAGATTAAAAGAACTGAGTTTTTTCATCTCGGTTACATTGTTGGAGTATTTTTTTTCAAATGCTGGAAACTAAAACAAGAGCCCTAGACCTTAAGAATGAAGGTAACAAATGCCTTAAGGAAAACAAATTCGAAGATGCAGTAGAGAATTATACCAAAGCTATTGAGTTGGAACCTACCAATCCTGTCTTTTTTTCCAACAGAGCCCAAGCCAATATAAAGTTAGAAAACTATGGTTTAGCTATATCTGACTGTGATCAAGCATTGGAACTTGACCCAGATATGGTTAAGGCTTACTACAGAAAGGGTGTGGCGTTGATGGCCATCTTCAAACACAAAGAAGCTCAACAAAATTTCAAGGCTATCTTAACCAGAGTGCCGAACGATAAGTTAACGTTAGAAAACTACAAACAATGTGGAAACTTCTTAAAAAAGCAAGCGTTTGAACGTGCCATTGCTGGCAACGATAAGGACTTGCTCATAAACAGTCTAAATTATGATTCCATATTGATTGAAAAGCACTGGGAAGGTCCGGAGTTAAAGGTTATGGTCGAAAAAAATGGAAAAGAAGTGGTAGACTTGAATATTGAAGGGCTTAACATCGACTACTTGAGGTATATGATTAAGCTTTTCAAAGAAGGCGGCAAAATTCCCAAGAAACATGCTTTTGCAATCATCGCTAAAGTATATACGTTATTGAAACGGGAGAAGAGTATGGTTGAAATAAGATTGCCACATTCACAAATAGACACAATGACCAGTCCTGACGAAATTATTCTTGCTGGTGGGAAAAAGTTAACAGTTGTTGGTGACACACATGGACAGTTCTTTGATGTGTTGAACTTATTTCAAAAGTTTGGATTCGTTTCTGATGAGCATGTTTATTTGTTTAATGGGGATTTTGTGGATAGAGGCTCGTGGTCTTGTGAAGTGGCCTTTTACTTATTTGTGTTGAAAATCTTGTATCCTCATTCAATTTTCATCAACAGAGGAAATCATGAAACTAACGATATGAACAAAACATATGGCTTCACTGATGAGTGTGAGCATAAATACTCTCAAAAAGTATTTGAAGCATTTGCTGAATCCTTTGGAGCACTTCCTTATGCCGCTTTAATCAATGGATCTTACTTGTGTATGCATGGAGGATTGTTCTCCAGAGATGATGTCACTTTGAAAGAAATTAAGAACTTTAACCGGTTCCCAACATCTGGTTCTACTCAACCACCGAGGGATGGAATTGCCATGGAACTTTTGTGGACCGATCCTCAACCTGAAGTTGGTCGCTCTCAATCCAAAAGAGGTATTGGAATGCAATTTGGACCCGATATTACGGAGAGATTCTGTTTAAACAATAAGATTAGAAAAGTGTTAAGATCCCATGAGGTGAGAATGGGAGGAGTTGAAGAAGAACACAATGGGAGACTTATTACTGTTTTTAGTGCCCCTAACTACTGCGATTCTACCGGTAATTTGGGTGGTGTGGTGCACTTTGTTGAGAATCCTAAATATAATAAAGCAACGGATCAAGAAGATGGCTATAAAACTGCAGACGATCCTAACTGTCCTTGGAGCTTGCAAATTGAAACCTTCGATGCCGTTCCACATCCGGATTTAAAACCAATGGCATATTCTAAAAGTGGATTTGGTTATTAATTGAACTCTGTATTTCCCTGTATTATTTAAAGTCACCAAATGTAAATTTAATATTTATTTGCTCAGTTTCCCAGAGAAAATCAAAGTGCTGAATTTTGCCAATTTTGCAATTACATGATGAAACCCTCTTACAACCAAAATGCCACACATGATGATGATGATGACAATGATGAGCCCGACGAATGGGATAAGCGAATCATAGCAACGGGCTGTCACGACGAGAATCTCCTGCTTCAATTGTGCCATGCAGATACTGGGGATTGGAGAATGTGTGCAAAAGAACTCGAAGCTTTTAGGAAATGCTGGAACAAAAATAATAATGATGAAAGAACTTCTACTGTTGATAATTAATAATCACTTTAATATCAGTTTGATTACATGTTCCTGTTACATAGAGAAGACTTCATCGGTTTGTAAATAGAAAACATCTGCTTAAAACGCATTTTATGTATATAAAAACCTGTCTTCACTTTTCGCACCTTTCTGCCCTGTTTATATGAACCTTTATACAATAATGGATCTGAGCGAAGACAAGCAACGAACAGCAATTACCATAGAGCTGCACCTTACAGACCTGATTTCCCTTGAACTTTCTGAAGATTCCCCGATAGAGTCCGAGTTCCTCCAAGTACAAGAAGGTAAAACCTATCGATCTGAGCAAGAGTTTCAAGAAGAAATAGATAAGCTAAAGATTGCTAGTAATAAGAAGTTCCTTACTAAATGGGAAGAGATACTACAAAAGTACTCACAAATTGATGATGATGTGGAAAGTGATGAAATAGACCTTGTTACTGGGCAGATCACCATTGATAATGGCCATTTAAGATCTTTAAGAAACGAAACCAAATTCAATCAGCATAGAAATGTTTGGTCAGTCGATTATGATGCCGAAAGAGATAGGCAGAAAGCACATAAACAAGAAAAGAGGCTAAATTCTCAGAAGAATAAAGTCAAAGAACACTTGAAGGCTCAAGATCTATTCATTCTGAGTAGTTCCCACAATTATAGAAGTCCAATAAGAAAGGTTTCGCCAGATAATATTCTACTACTCGACCCTTCACCTACCAAGAAGCAGAAGTTATCCCCAACTAAAACACCCCAAAAATTGACTTTTGATGTTGGCTCTCCTAGTGAAAGTGTTGTATCGGACTCGGAAGACCTGCTAATCGAGTTACAAGTCAGCAAGACTTCCACGCCAACAAAACCGGCAGCCCATCATCCCTTCATTCTCAACGACAAGAATGATCTTAATGAGAGCAGCGAAGAAGATGTACATAATGATGAAGGAAGTAATAATCAAAACAGTGATGAAGATTCGACAGAAGACAATGAAACTGCTTCTGAAGAGGATCCTTTCATAGACAAGTCCACCAGTCTAATCATAAGTAAAAGAGATCTAGCATTCAGCATTAGGCCCTTGCTGTTATCTGATGGTTCCAGTAGTGTCATTGGGGATAATGAAGATATTTCTAGTAGCCCTGTTAACGACGAATTTGAAGAAGAGTATCTGATTGTTGTAAATCCTCAACTGTACATCAAGACATCCAAGAATCAGATATTTACATGTTGTTTTCATAGCTGCTATTACACTACCGGAAATAAGGGGATCTTTGAAAGACACCTACTTGAAAAACATAGATTCGAGTTATATATTATGGGGTATCCAATTTCAGAGGAAGAAATCGATCGAACAAGAACTCCCAAAATAACACACCTGATGATCAATTCTTTAGGTGAAACTTTCCCGTTGGTTCATGAGGTGCCCCCTTTACCGCTTTCCCTGGATGGTGAGATGTTCAAATGTGAGTTGTTCATCAAGAATGGCAAAAAGCAATGTAAACGTCAATTTTTAACAGTCAATGAGTTGAATTATCACCATGACAATTATCCATTCCAATGCTCTTATAAGACGCAAGTTTATGTTTGTCCTGTTCTTGGGTGTGGTTTCATGACAGATGAGGGTTATTTTCATTGGAGACAGCATTTCATTATGTTAAACCATCATACAGCTGCAGAACCTAGAGGCACAGTAATGGATGAAGAAGCGCTCCAAAAGGTATCACTTTCAAGTGGTTCAGGTAGTCAAAAAGGTAGCCAGACGTCACTCCTGGTAAAGCAATGGGATATACATCGATTCACGAGCATCCCTTCTTCATTGAAGAACAATTCGATGGTTATGAAGGAGATTGATGATTTGTTCAACGAAGTCGATGATGATGAGAACAAAATATCCCACGATTTTGAAAGTAAGAAGTCAAGGGAAGTCGAAGTTAAAACTCCTCGTTTGGGCTATGATAACATTGTCAATACCACAGACACTCTCAAAAGCTAGTTTTCAACTTGTCGAGAGATATTAAGCGAAATAAACCCCATGTTCAATATTGTTGTATCAATATTTATGTATTATAGTAATTACTACAATTAGAACGATTAGCAAGTTTCTTAAGAGACTGTTAGTTCAATACAAATTCATTCTCACTAGTAAATCAATTCTGAATTGTTTATACATAGGGCAATGGGTGTCTATTTATATGAATATCCTTATAAATTAAGAATAAAGAGACTAATTACAAGAAAGAGATTGAATACTCTAGTATATGGCACGACAGGTAAACGTAGCTTGAACTTCAGAAAATTCAAGCAGCTAATATACGTTAACCAGGCTCCATGTTCAACATAAATGACCAAAACTTAACTGGTGGGAGCAGCTGAACCCTGGTCTTCAATTTTTTTACGTGGCTTGAAGGCATCGGTACCTTTAATATACTTATCAAAAGCATCGTTCCTTTCCCGGAAAGGTCTTGGGCCAACCAATCTGATCATATCTTCTCTGGTTAAGACTTCCTTCTTATACAATTCTTCGGCAACACTGTCTACTAATTCGATTTTTTCAGTCAACAATTTCTTGCAGGCAATGTAAGCTTCATCAATAAACCTTTTGACTTCAGTATCGATTAATCGGGCAGTTTTCTCCGAATAATTGTTGTGAACTCTGTATCCTTCAGCATCTTCTCCATTATCATAATATATGCTACCAATTTTGTCTGACATACCCAACTTCAAGATCATTGATTGTGCCATTTGAGTGACTTTCTTGAAATCGTCGGAGGCTCCCGTAGTTACAGTGTCAAAGTGCAACTCTTCTGAGACTCTTCCACCTAATGTCATAATCATTCTGTGGTAGTACTGTTCTTTAGACAACAAGTATTGATCCTTTGGTAAATATTGGGCATATCCTAAAGCTCCTTGGCCTCTGGGGATGATCGAAACCTTTACCAATGGATCTGCAAATTCCAAAAACCATCCACAAATAGCATGACCTGCCTCATGGTAAGCGACGGTTTTCTTTTCATCCAAAGACAAAACTCTAGATTTCTTTTCCAATCCGGCTATGACTCTTTCAATTGCCTGTTCAAAATGAGGAACGTCAACTGAAGTGGCATCTTCTCTAGCAGCAATCAAAGCACCTTCGTTACAACAGTTGGCGATATCAGCACCGGAAAATCCGGGTGTCAACGCACCTAATCTTCCAGCTAAATTTTCAATAGCCTCAGATTTTAACTGTTGGTACTTGTTGAAATCAACATCTTGTTTGGTAGCCTTGATATCCTCATCACATTTCAAAGTTAATTTAGACAAATGCACTTTGAAAATCTCTTTTCTTCCTTCGATGTCGGGAATATCAATAGAGATGTGTCTGTCAAATCTTCCGGGTCTTAATAATGCCTTATCTAATATGTCAACTCTGTTAGTACCTGCTAAAACAACAACATGGTCAGAGGATTCAAATCCATCCATTTCGACCAATAATTGATTCAATGTGTTCTCTTTTTCGTCATTTCCCATTCTGCCATTTCCTCTCTCTCTTCCAATGGCATCAATTTCATCAACAAAAATAATCGATGGAGCCATTTCTCTTGCGGTTTTAAATAAGTCACGAACTCTGGAGGCACCAATACCAACAAACATTTCAACGAACTCCGAACCGGAAACAGATAAGAAGGGGACGTTTGCTTCACCGGCCGTTGCTTTGGCTAATAAAGTTTTACCTGTACCGGGGGGACCAGATAAAATTGCACCTCTAGGGATCTTAGCCCCCAACTTTTCGTACTTAGTTGGGTTTTGTAAGAACTTGACAAATTCCATGATTTCTTCCTTTGATTCTTCACAACCAGCAACATCTTTAAATCTAATTTTAACGTCATTCTCTTGATTGAACAATTTTGCTTTTGATTTACCTATTTTAAAGATATTGTTTGGTCCGCCACCACCAGGAGAATTTGGTCTCCTAGAGGTTAAGTAATAAATACCACCAATTAATAGAAGTGTTGGTAAGATAGGCAAAACATAATTCATCCAATCATCCTTTTCGCTAAATGAAATCGGGATTCTTTCGTTGATAGGAATTCCCAAGTTATTCTGAATTTCATTGATCTCCTTCTCGAAGAAATCCACGGATCCAATGGCGAAATATATCGCAGGTTTGCCATTATAAGCTTGATAGGTTTGGTCCAGTACAGCACCTTGAATTAAATCGGCTTTTACCAAATATCTGTTGACTACAGTTATTTTGGTCACCAAACCTTTCATGAAGTATTTGGTTTTGAAGTCTTGGAAGGATAACTCATTTTCATGGTCGGGTGAAGAGTTGGAGGCGAGCATGGCAATAAGTATTCCTCCAAGTAATAACCCCCCGAGGACTTTATTGATGGTGCCACGATCAATGTTATAGAAATTCAAATTATTCAAGTCCAAGTTTGGGTTCTTCTCCTTCAAACGCTTCTTAAGCTCTTCTCGAAACTCTTTCTCTTCTTCCTCTTTCGTTTTCTCCTTTTGCTTCTCGTGATCCTGCTTATCGTGATCTTTTTGGTTGTCTTCCTTGTGGTCTTTATTATCTCGATTTTGTTGGTTCAACATCCATCTTGAATGCAGAAATTTCACCACAGGACTGGATATAAAAGTCCGCTGGGGAAACAACCTCGGACCCATGTTAAAAGTCCTTGAAGGACCCTTAACATAGCGCAAGGATAACTTGAACATTGAGTAAATTATATTTTTGCCGTTAGCGATAGTTTTCGAAAAAAAAATGTTACTGCGGAACATTCAAAGGTGAGTCGTGTGGTCGATCGATATTGAATTTGTCGTTATCATTATATTATATGTAAGTTGTATATGGATAATGTCACAAAGTTTAACGTGTATCAAAAACAAATTGATCCCATGTCTTTTCACAAATCTCTAAGAACTTCTTCTTATCTTTAGCAAAGTCATTAACTTCAACAGAGGGTATGTTGTTATCATCATCATTATTATTATTATCATTATCACTGTTATTAGTTGTAGAAGCATTTGTGGCTTCAGAAGACTCGAGCTTACCCAGTTCCTTGGATTTGTCAGACTTTTCTTTATCTGGCTTGTTCCCGGTATCGTGGAATATTCTAAAATTGAATACTTTTTCGTTCATAAAGTTAATAGAACCAAAAATATCATCTTTACTGCCGAAAAGTGCATTGTGCTCAGAATACTTTTCCTCCATTTCTCTCAATTCGTCTTCTGAAACCGGGGATCGGTCGTCCTCGATGAATCTTTTCATGTTCAGAGTGTAATCGAAGAATTCCTTTTGAGCCGATAATGGTTGGGATTTGAGTGGGGCATCTTTAATGAGATCTCCATGATACACATCAATGACTTTTGATGGTCCTTTTTTTGGCACCAGTTGCATTGAGGGATGATTGCATTTACTGAGAGTTTGTTGTGAGCCAGAAGATGGCCCCAAAGCTTGTTGTGACTGAGCTAGGGCCTGTGCTCGGGCTTGGGCTTGGGCTTGGGCTTGAGCCTGGGCTTGGGCTTGAGCCTGGGCTTGGGCTTCAGCCTGGGCTTGTACTTGAACTTGAGCCTGGGCTTGTACTTGAGCTTGAGCTTGAGCTTGTATTGGCCCGCTCAGAAAGTGCTGTGATTGAAGAGGAGGGAGAAATGGATAAACTCTGGTGTAGGTGTTTGCAGATGGCTGTGGTGTATACTGCTGATAATAATATCTTGACCTTGGGAAGAAAGGAGACGTTGTTGTATAAGGATGCTGAGGTATCACCCTCACTCTCTTTTTCAGGTTATATGGTGATGATTTATGGGGGGTCAAGTAGGTTGGAAACTTGACGTTAGAAATAGGAGTGGTCTGGAATTTCTTGGATGGATTGACTTTGAACTTGCTTATCAAAGGAGCTGATTGAATCATCGGCTTGGGATTAATGGAAATATCCATACTCAACGGAGCTGGAACATGACTTCTCTTCAATCCTCTTCCAGATACTGGAGCGGAAAGCTTGTCGTCGAGGGATGGGGAGGTACTTGTCGTAGTCTTGACTACTTTAATATCAGCTTCAAAGGAAGAGCCTTTTCCGGAGTTAGATTCCTCCTTATTCGTTGTGTTTTCATCATCACCATTATACGTTTGTGTACTATTTTCTTCATTTTGACCTGGTGATACATCATCATCATCAGTACCCGAATTTCGGGCTGCTATCAAGTGCTTTTGTTGGAGTTGAATTTGTTGTGAGAGTTTCATGGTGCTTCTCATTTCGTCACTCAACTGGGACAATCCAGGGCTAACGATTCGTAAGGCCAAGTCAGAGTTTTTATCTTTAGTATAATTTACTTTCACATGAGTAATCTTTCCGCCTGACGACTCAGTAGTTTGTTTGGGAGCAGGGTCTTGAGTGGAATCCAGTGACGTGGTATTGTAAGAACCGGAGGAATTATCATCGGGGTTAATAGCCGACCTTGATATGTTCATGTCTGATAAGTTCAAAGAAGTTGGTCTATGACGTTCACTGGTCACTTTTATCGAAACAGTATCTACTTCACCGGGGGACATTGTAGAAGAAGGACCAGCAAGTTGAAAAAATAAAATTGGTTATAGGATTCAATCAATAAGAAAATAATAGGTAGTGAATATTTCACGTTTCAAACAATGGACAAGGTGGAATGTGTGATAAAGAATGAGGTTGGATAATAAACCAAAATTGTATATGGGACACAGCGATGCAATGAACAACAATAACTTCTGGCGACGTGTGTGTTGTTAGTGCCAGCAAAAAAATATCGCTTAGTTAGATATAGTGTGAATGTATTCCCCTTTCTCGATGGTTTGTCTTAAAAGATACGTCTAGTTTATGCGTACGCTGGCTTCAAAAGAATGTGAATAAAGGCTTGAACCTGAATCAGAAGCTTAGTTTTCACGTAAAGTGTAGCTTTTGACAAGGACTTTTGTTAGATAAATTCAATAACAAAGCCTTTAAAATTATAAATTATTCGAGCTTTGGCTGCCCTATTATGTATTATACCAGGAAATTTTCGCTGTGGGAAAAAATGTACGTGGGCGGTCGAATTATAAGATGATACAATGGAAGATCTTTTAGTCTTGCAGGTTGTGATGTGGTAATGTTAAACGCGATAGGGCACAAGCGGATTTCTAGAAATGTTACCAGGGTAAAAATGATGAGAGGCGTGTAGCGGCGTAAGTGGAAGATCGTTTTTCAGTATCTTGTACAAATCTGATGAGAGCAAGAAGGGTAAGCATGATGTTTGGTAGGTATTATTTCCACAAGACAGTGGGTGTGGATATTATGTAGAATTCCGGCCATGAAAGAAAATTTCATTTGGCAAGGAGTGTGTTACAAAGGTCAATTTGGTGCACATTTTTTGGTGGAACATTGTAGTGCATCGAGTCCTACATAGATGTAAATAAGGTATATCGCGCACTATAGAAATGTTTCAGTGTTTTCCTGTAGAGACGAGACGATATAAAAAGTGTCTAATTTACGTTAAGAGTTTTATTTGCAACTAAATAACAGAAGAAAGCCAAATTGTATACAAAAGAGTTCTCGATCATCCACTAAAGTTCTCCCAACCCTTCATTCTAGGTAAGTTCTTCACGGTGTGGAACTTTTTTGTGCAAGAATAATCCTTCCAGGTAAAATCATCTTTAGGATCACAAGCACATCTCTTCGCTTTTCTAATTTCGGGGTCAACTGGACAATTGTTGAATGGAACATGGAAGTATCCAACGTCGTCAAAGAAGTGGATCTCGTCTTTGTTTAAGAACAATGCTGCAGCAATCGAGTGCACGGGAGCATCCCCCCATCTTTCGTAAAAGAACCCACCAGCTTTATCCAAATGGTCGAAATATGCTCTATAAGCATCGGATCTCCAGAAGTTCAAATCGGCAACCTCAAAGTTAGACCAGAAATGGCATCCGTTATAAGTTTCACCTCCATCGGAAGATAACCATTCCAACATATTGTCCTTGGCTAAGTATTGTTGGTTGTTCTTGATGAATTCCTTGGTAGTATCCCATAATGTTGGAATTGTTTCCTTATATTCAGGCAAAGTGATAGTGAAAGAATATCTTTTCTTATTATCCTTCATGAACTTGAAAATATCGTAATCAACGTCACAGAAGATATTGATATCTGGTTCAACTCTCCAATAGTATTCATATTCATCTAACAATGGATGTCTCCAGAAGAAACCGGATTCGTATCTACACATGTGTCTGTAAGGAACAGACCCACCATAGATCACCTTCTTCTCGACCATCTTTTCTCTACCCTCAGCAGCCTTAGCTTGGTCAATCCAATCGGGGTAAGACCATTGTTCTTTGGGGATAAGACCGTATTTGGTTGTACCACTAACAATAGAGCTGGTAGTTTCCTTAAACTCATCGGTGAATTCTTCATCGTTCAAAAACACCCAGTCGTAGTGGAATTTACCATTGAATCTATCTTCCACTTGTCTAATAGATTTCAACAAACCGTATAAATCTGAGTTTCTGGCCAAAGAAACAAAGGTCGCCTTAATTTTTTCACCGGGAACTGGGACTAATTTTTCAGCTCCGACTGTTTGTTGAACAGCCTTTACTGGTGATGAACCAGGAGAAACTTCCTTGGTATCCTTACTGGCGGCATCAGATTTTGGAGCGTCTGAAGCTGGTTTTGCTGTAGGTGTCAGGTAACTTGATCCTGTGGACAAAATGTACCCACAAACAATCAATAATAAGGCGAATACAGCGAATCTAATGATTCTAGCATTTGACCTCGAAGAACTCATATTCAGATGGTGTTCACAGAAAGAATAAACCCAAACTCGTAGAGTAGAAATGAAAGAGTAAAAATCGGGGGTTGAAATATGAAGAACTTTAACGTGTTAAGTTACAAGCAAAAAAATGCGAAGCATATTTTTTCACGAAACACGAATTTTTATAATTTTTTCTTACCTGGCATGGCGTAAGTCACCACCTTGCGATAACCGGATGTGTATTGACTGCCTCTATTATACACAACTTAGAGTTTTAAGCATCGTACCTACCGAATATACACCCTGTACTGCATGTATTTGAGGTCTGGCAGCTATCTACGTGATTTTAAAATCTCAGCCTTGCAGAATCTCATGCTAAAAATCCACAATGATAGCAGCTTATGAAGTAGATGACAGATGCTAGTAACAACTTTTGTAGACATTAAGAGATCCTACTTCGTTATTTCCGCCATACATTAAGTGGAGTAAATATGCGAAAGCCACCTGCAGATAGTATAACTGTGAGAGATAATGAACACGTAGGATATTTAAGGATTGGCTGCAAATGAGCCCAGGGTCGGCTTGAAAGTGATCCCACACGGAAATATATCATCAAACGTATTGTTCACAAGTCTCTTCGAATGTGAAAGCTTCTCCCAGGTATTGCCATCTCCAAGCTTGTAACAATAGCAGCCAGGCCATCCAGGTTAGAAAGGCACGATATTTACTTTGAATTTTGCGGCGCGTTCCTACAAAAGGCTAGATAGAAGCCCTGTAACCACTGCTTCTACAAGAACGGTGGTGATGGGCGCAGTATCAAACACATTTCCAGCTCTTATAACATTTCAGTGAATGGCAAGCGAATCTTTCGCCGTTTTTAGAGAGCTTGCTTTGTTGTCGTCTTTATTCCCTGGTTTGTTTGGTTACTCTCACGCGCACATGAAACTTGCCCAGCCATTTGTATCTGCAGCCTACGATAGAAGATACCCTCGGCCGTTTGCTGCGACAGTAGTCACAGTAAAAGCAGTCCCAACTTAATTATACGAGTGTGTCCCTTGTCAATTCACTACTTGTCTCTAGAAATAATATTAATCACTACTGGTAATCAACCCATTCTTTAGGCCTCTCCAATTTCATCACGTCGTAGTATTTCTTTCCACAGGAGTATCCTCTGAAAGTAAAGTCGCTGTCAGGATTGCAGTGACATTTATGTTCGAATCTGAAATCTGGATTTAAGGGGCATTGTGTATAAACACCATGATTGTAGCCAACATCATCAAAATAATGGATCTCATCTTTGTTCAAGAATAGAGCAGCAGCGATGGAATGGATTGGGGCATCACCCCATCTTTCGTAAAAGAAACCACCTGTTTTATCCAAGTAGTCAAAATATGCTCTGTAAGCATCGGATCTCCAGAAGTTCAAATCAGCAACCTCAAAGTTAGACCAGAAATGACACAAATTATAGGTTTCTCCATTGTCGTTGGAAATGAAGTCCATCAAATTATTTGGAGCAAGATATTCACTGTGTTCTTTGATGAAGTTTTTGGTATGTTCCCATAAGGTTGGAATAGTTTTTTCGAATTCATGGATCGAAATAGTGAAACCGTATCTCTTTTTATTGTCTCTCATGAACTTGAATAAATCATAGTCCAAATCACAGTGTATTTGAATACCGGGTTCAACTCTCCAATACCAATCATAGTCGTCTAACAAAGGACTTCTCCAGAAAAATCCAGATTCAAACCGACACATGTGACGGTAACTTTCACTATCACCATAGATGATTTTAGCTGCCTTCATATCTTCCCGAGACTTAGCAGCCTTTTCCAAGTCAACCCATTCAGGATAAGACCAATGCTCTTTAGGAATTAACCCATACTTGGTTTTACCACTCACAATGGATGTAGTCAATCTTTTGAATTCATCGGTGAACTCTTCATCGTTTAAAAACACCCAGTCATAATTGAACTTCCGGTTGAAACGATCTTCCACTCTTCTAATAGATTTAATCAATTCATACATCTCAGAGTTCCTGGCCAAGGTAACAAATGTTGCACGAATATCTTTATCTTTGCCAATGTAGTCTGGTGCTGGAGGTGCAGGAACGATGACGTTTCCATTAGAATCCTTGACCACCTTGACTTCCTCGACTTCATTGCTTTTGGTGTTATCTCCTTTGGCAGCAACAAGCCTATCTTGTTCTACTTGAGGAGTTTTATTGGAATCTTTGTTGGCGCTATTATCGACAGCAGCGCTGTCTTCTTTCACTTGTTCGATTTGAGCTAACGCCAACTGTGCTTCTTTCTGGGGGTCTTTTATTGGGTCCAGGACACCCCCAAAGCTATTCTGAAGCTTTTCCCGAACCACATCACCTAAAGAGACACCAGCAATACTAGCATCCTCGTCTTTGGGAATATAATTGTGAACAATTTCATTTGTTGAAGTATCGACGTAAACGACTTTTGGTCTCGCTATAACAGAGACAAAATATACCAACAAGAGGGCACCGAGTATGGCCGTAATTCTTACAACTGGAAGTCTGGCCATGTTATTCGTTAGTGCCGGAAGAGCAATGACCGGAAACGAAGTTGTAAGAACGAAATTAGATTCAGGTCAATTTTTGGGTTTGCGTTTGAGGTGTTTTCTCCAATATCGTTTTGGGTACGCGCGCGACTGGTCTTTGTCTTCAACTCACGCTGTGGTGAAAGTATTTTAACTGAAAAATCGGGGATGGGCGTAAGCCCCTTGGGTGAAACTAGATACGTAAAGCACGGCGAAAATCTGGACCCCCTGCTAGGAAAAAGTAAATATCTTTATTGTCATTATTATTTCATCTTCTAAAAAATATTGAATCCTCACTTTAGTAGGCGAACCCTTTAAAACTGCCTTAATGTCGCAAGTGTGCGTTGTATCCAAAACTTCGAGCAGCGCACACCATAGAAGCACGTCCCTGAGGGCGAAAAATGTGTCGGTGCTACACAGAAACTGCGGTCCGAGATTTGCCCTGCCTGTATCGAAGAGGCGCACAAGTAATACTCTACACCATAAATGAAACGCACGAAGTCATATTAAAATAATTGCAGCGCCCCAAGATTCGAACTGAATATCCAAAGAGGGTGAGTTACTATGTCCACAAGTTCCTGAATAAGCAAGAGGAAATTCATATGAAGAAAGACTTTATGAAAAAAAACGTTAAATCTCTTTGTAAAGCGTGTCATCTTTATGCAAGGACAATGCTAATCTTCTCTGTATTGTTATATTTGACAAATGTACTATCACGAGGATAGTACGAACATTTGTTTCTAAGGAACCTAATATTTGAAAATGAGAAATGATGTATTTGCTTTATGCACGACTTTGTCTGAAGGTGCGGAATAAGGCTCTAGCAGGTTTGATCGATGGCAAACAACTATGATATTGCGATTCAGATCTAAACAAGGTACTTTTAGAGTAAGTGTCGATGACAATGATATGTTTCTGACAGCTGTGAATCTGGTACTTGCAAAAATTGACTGCGATATTTCTAGTTTGTACATTTCTAACAGACCCAATGACAAGGGAAGTCCAGCACAAGAACTCATCGATCAGACAATTTCACTGTTGAACTTGAAAAATGGCGACATGTTATACGCCAATTATGAAGAAAGGGACTCTGGAATATCTGATGTACAGACTGGAACTGCATCTATCTCAATTTCTAATTCAAGAACTACTGCAGTGCCAACTGTATCTTCTACTTCTTCATCAGTTAAACAGAATGAACTAGCAGTGGATAAGTTACTTGACAGTCAAGACGGCTTGATTCCAAGAAGTAAGTCTTCTATGTGTCGCCATGGTGATAAAGGAATGTGTGAATTTTGTTCACCATTGCCTCCCTGGGATAAAGAATACAAGGAAAAGAATGGTATAAAACACTTGTCATTCTATGCTTATTTGAAAGAGATCAACGAAAATAAAAACAACAAGAATAATGCCACCAGCTATATGTCTCCCTTGGATAATCCTTCGTACAAAGTCAATAAGAATTGTCCATCAGGACACTTGCCGTATCCTAAAGGGATTTGTTCTAAATGCCAACCACCAGTTATTACCTTACAACAACAGAGCTTTAGAATGGTAGATCATGTGGAGTTTAGTGATTCTCAAGTATTGAACCGATTCATTGATAGCTGGAGGTTGAGTGGAACTCAGAGGTTTGGTTACTTATATGGTTCATATGAACCTTTTGATCAAGTTCCTTTAGGAATCAAAGCGAAAGTTGAGTTCATTTACGAACCTCCACAGGCTTGTGAATTGGACGGGATTACATTAATTCCGTGGGAGAATGAAGAGGCTATTGATGCATTGGCAGCAGAACTTAACTTGTATAAAGTCGGTGTGATTTTCACCGACTTGACTGACTCGGGTTTGAAAAATGGTAGTGTTTTGTGTAAAAGACACAAAGACAGTTATTTTTTGACCAATATTGAAGTGGCAATGGCCGCTAGAAACCAATTAAAATATGCATACTCCACTAAATATTCCAATGATCGGAAGTTTTCATCGAGGTTCGTAACTTGTGTGGTTTCAGGAGGGTTGAATGGTGAGATTGAACCAAGATCGTATCAAGTTTCGGTCAATGCTGAAGCCTTATTGGAAGCGGATATAGTCACCACATCAACCCAGCCTTCTATGATGTACATCAACGAATCCAATGACACCCGATATGTTCCAGATGTGTTTTACTCCAAAATAAATGAATATGGATTGGAAGTTAAAACAAATGCAAAGCCTGCATTTCCCGTTGATTACCTATTGGTCACTTTACTGGATGCTATGCCTAAAGAACCCAAACCGTTTTTCACATCTAACAGTTTTGTAATTGAACATAGAGACTTCTTGGGAGAACTCCAAAACTTAAAGGCTTTATTCAATCACTTGAATAATGATATTGGTGATGGATCTGTATTACTCGACTTCCACCTTTTAGCCTACTTATTAAGTACCCACATCTTGCAAGAACATGAAGAGAAATTGTTGGTGCAATTTGTGAAAGAACGCACCCAGGATGCATACTTAAAGCTTGTAGAGAGTCCTGGATGGATGAGTTTGATAACTATTTTAGAGCAAGGTTCTTAGGAGTAGCTTCTTTTAATACATAAAGTTCATTGCGAGTCATTTGCAGCAAAAAACGATCCATATATTAGATCACTAGAATAAATTGATTAAAATACCTAATAAAAGCTTTCAAGAGAGACTGACCAAACTATGTTTGTAGAACTATCCCAGTATACTTTACTTATCTTCAAATGAAGATTCAATGATGTACACTACCAAGGTCTATATTATCTCAAAACTTTTCATCGAGTATCAAATCTATCTTTAACTTTTGATTCCCTTGCGTAATTTTGAATCAGAAAAGACTACTAGATATATCGGTAAGATGTTGTTATGTAGCAGAGGATCTTACTGTCCTCATCAATCTACATTACAATCAAAACTTAATATATTCGCAGCAAGTCTTAGAATTTCGAAGACCTTCTAAATCATTTTGGCGTGCGTGCACCGCCCTTTGGTGAGGAAAATTTTTAAAGTAGCAGCTCAGCAGTGGCAGCAGCCAAATTTTTCATTAAGATAGACAACGTCTTTTTTAGATTAAACTACCCATAAATCAAAAGACAAGTACAGATAAATATGTCTTCTCCATTTGGTGTTGATTTCGGTAACAGCAACACTGTTATTGCTTGTGCCAGAAACAGAGGTATCGACATTATCGTCAATGAAGTTTCTAACCGTACTACTCCCTCGTTGGTCGGATTCGGTACCAAGAACAGATTCATCGGTGAATCTGGTAAAAATCAACAAGGTTCGAACTTAAAGAACACTGTTGAAAACTTGAAGAGAATCTTAGGGTTGAACTACAATGATCCAGACCTTGAAATTGAAAAGAAGTACTTCACCTCCCAGTTGGTTGAGAATGAGGATGGTGGTGTAAGCGCCAAGGTTAGATTCATGGGTGAACAGACCGAATTCACTTCTACCCAATTGGCCGCTATGTACCTCAACAAGATCAAGGATATCACCGTCAAGGAAACTAAGGCTAATATCCAAGATATCTGTCTTTCTGTTCCAATTTGGTACACTGAAAAACAAAGAAGAGCCGCCACCGATGCCTGCAAAATTGCTGGTTTAAACCCAGTTAGAATTGTCAACGAAGTTACTGCTGCTGCTGTTGGTTATGGTGTTTTCAAGGCCAATGATTTACCGGAAGATGAACCAAAGAAGGTTGCTTTCCTTGATATTGGTCACTCATCCTTCCAAGTTTCTATTGCAGCTGTTAAAAAGGGTGAATTGAAGATCTTGGGTTCTGCTTATGACAAACATTTTGGTGGTAGAGATTTCGATTTAGCTATTGCTAACCACTTTGCTGAAGAATTCCTTACCAAATACAAGATTAATATTCACGAAAACCCCAAGGCATTCTACAGAGTGTTGTCCTCTGCTGAAAAATTGAAGAAGGTTTTGTCTGCCAATTCTTCTGCTCCTTTCAACATTGAATCTTTGATGAACGATGTTGACGTCTCTTCTTCTTTGACTAGAGATGAATTGGAAGAATTCATTCAGCCATTATTGGAAAGAATCCATCTTCCTATTGAAGCTGCTTTGAAGGATGCTAATTTGACCACTGATGATCTTGACTCCATTGAAGTCATTGGTGGATGTACCAGAGTTCCATCTATCAAGGCTAGATTAACTGAAATCTTCGGTAAACAATTGTCTTTCACTTTGAACCAAGACGAAGCCATTGCTAGAGGTAACGCATTTATTTGCGCTATGCACTCTCCAACTTTGAGAGTCAGACCTTTCAAATTTGAAGATTTCAACCCATACACAGTTTCTTACTACTGGGACAAAGAAGATGATGATGATGTAGATCATATGGTGGTCTTTGAAAAGGGTGGACTTTTCCCATCCACTAAGATTATCACTTTGGTCAGAAGTGGTGATTTTGAATTGGAAGCTAGGTATACTAACAAGGAAGAATTACCGGCTGGTACTGAAGAAACCATCTGTAAGTGGGAAATTAAAGGCGTTAACGTCAGTGAAGGTGAAAAGACCATTGCTACTAAGTTGAAATTGAGGAACGATCCAAGTGGATTCTACACCATTGAATCTGCTCACACTTTTGAAAACAAGTTGGTCAAAGAATTAATTGAACCATCTGAAGAAGATAGTGAAGACAAGGAACCTGAATACCGTGAAGTCAAGAAGTCGGTGAAGAAGGATGATTTGGTTATTATTTCTCACTCCTCTGCTTTGACTGATGCTGCCAGAAACGAAGTCACGGAGAAAGAAAACTCAATGGTTATGGAAGATAAGTTAGTTGCTGAAACTGAAGATAGAAAGAATGCATTGGAAGAGTACATCTATGAATTAAGAGGCAAGTTGGAAGAACAATACAAGGACTTTGCTTCCGAACAAGAAAAGGAAAAGTTAACTGGATTGTTGTTGAAAGCTGAAGACTGGCTTTACGATGATGGATATGACTCGTCCAAAGCCAAATATATTGCCAAATATGAAGAATTGGCCTCTATTGGTAATGTTATCAGAGGTAGATACTTGGCCAAAGAAGAGGAAAAGAAGCAGGCTGTAAGAGAAAAGCAAGAAGCTGCTCAAGCTGCTTTTATTGCCGAAAAGTTGGCTGCTCAAAGAAACACCCAGCAAACTCCAAACCAAACCAAAGAAGAAGAAGCTCCTAAAGAAGAGCAAGATATTGAAATGGGTATGTAAGTGATACAGATATAGTTTTTAGATTATAGTTTTTTAATCAGTATTTATCTTGACCAACTTAGTTGCATTTTCTCTGGCGATGAAAATCCCAACAGGGGCAACGGTTCTAGGCGGCTGCTGTGCATTCCAGTGCTAATTAGCCAAACGCGCCAGCACGTTTTGATTGCGACCGGGTAATATTTTTCTCAAAATCTGCGCAGTGGGCGAGAAATCAAAACTTGTTCTTCTCTGAATCAATCGTACAAATACCATCAACATAATATAACTCAATGGGGATTCTCCACCATCCAATTGCTCGTAATATACGAAGAAAACCCCTCACGGTGGTTGCCCCCTTGGCTGTGATTTTCATGTTATATCTTTTTCTTTTTTCACATCGTGATTCCTCCAAATCCAACTCCAGGAGAACAGCATCCAAGTATAGCTACAAACAAAAAAATAAATCCTGGTTCAATAAAAACAAGGATTCTGTGATCTTAAGAAACTTGCCCAAGAACCATTTGAGCCACTATGACTTAAATCAACTAACTGTCAGTAGCACACCTTTGGAAAATAAAGAGGAGGTGTTAATATTGACACCGATGTCCAAATTTCTTCCAGAATATTGGGATAACTTAAACAGGCTCACATATGATCACAGCTTGATTTCATTAGGATTTATTTTGCCTAGGACTGAAGATGGTAATGTTGCTTTGAGGAAATTGGAAATTGCTATCAAAGCTACCCAAGGAAACCCAGTTACAAAATTCAAGAAGATCACAGTTTTGAGACAAGACTCTAATTCTTTAGAGAGTCAACTAGAGAAAGACCGTCATGCTTTCAGCGTTCAAAAACCAAGGCGAGCGTTGATGGCATTGGCAAGGAACTCATTGGTATTTACAACTATATCTCCATCAACTTCTTGGGTGTTGTGGCTCGATTCCGATATCATAGAAACTCCTCACAGTGTTATTCAAGAAATGGCTGCTCATGACAAGCCGGTATTGTCGGCAAATGTCTACCAGCGATTTTACAATGAGGAATCTAAGAAGAATGATATCCGTCCTTATGATTTTAACAACTGGGTTGAAAGCGAAGAAGGATTGAAATTGGCCAGTACTTTAGGTGAAGATGAAATTGTTGTAGAAGGGTACGCAGAGATGGCGACTTATAGACCTTTGATGGCTCACTTTTATGACCATAATGGTGATAAGAATACAGAAATGGCCTTGGATGGAGTTGGAGGTGGAGCGGTATTGGTCAAAGCCGATGTTCATAGAGATGGAGCCATGTTCCCGTCGTTCCCATTCTATCACTTAATTGAAACAGAAGGTTTCGCTAGAATGGCCAAGAGACTTGGTTATGAGGTGTTTGGATTGCCCAACTATTTGGTTTACCACTACAATGAATAGATATATATGACTGAACAATATATAAGTTTATCTTCCTTCCGCTCAAAGTTGTGGCATTGCACGACCATCGCCCTTCCTCAAAAAAACTGGGATGAGATGAGAAGAAAAAAAAATAGCTTTTGATTTGAGACCTTAAACAAACATGCAGCTTTCGTGGAAGGATATTCCGAGTGTTCCAAACACCAACGATATGTTGGATATTGTTCTTAATAGAACCCAACGTAAAACTCCTACTGTGATAAGACCTGGATTCAAAATTACCAGAATTAGGGCATTTTACATGAGAAAAGTTAAGTTTACAGCTGAAGGTTTCAGTGAAAAGTTCACTGATTTGTTAGCTGGTTTCCCAAACATTAATGACGTCCACCCTTTCCACAGAGATTTGATGGATACCTTGTATGAAAAGAATCATTATAAAATCTCCTTGGCTGCCGTTTCCAAAGCTAAAACTTTGATCGAACAAGTCTCCAGAGATTATAACAGATTATTAAAATTTGGTCAATCATTATATCAGTGTAAACAATTGAAAAGAGCTGCTTTGGGTAGAATGGCAACTATTGTTAAGAAGTTGAAGGATCCTTTGGTATATTTGGAACAAGTCAGACAACATTTAGGAAGATTGCCAAGTATTGACCCTAACACCAGAACTTTATTAATTTGCGGCTACCCTAACGTTGGTAAATCTTCCTTCTTAAAATGCATCACCAAGGCTGATGTCGAAGTTCAACCATATGCTTTTACTACCAAATCCTTGTACGTTGGACATTTTGACTATAAGTACTTACGGTTCCAAGCTATTGATACCCCAGGTATTTTGGATAGACCTACTGAAGATATGAACAACATCGAAATGCAAAGTATTTATGCTATTGCTCATTTAAGATCATGTGTTTTATACTTCATGGATTTGAGTGAACAGTGTGGATTCTCTATTGAAGCACAGGTTAAATTGTTTCATTCTATCAAACCATTATTTGCAAACAAATCGGTTATGATTGTGATGAATAAGTCCGATATTATTAAGTTTGAAGATTTGGATCAATCCAAACAAGAATTTTTGCAATCTTTATACGACTTGAAAGACATCGAAATCATGAACACCTCGTGTGTTGAAGAAGAAAATGTTATGCAAGTGAGAAACCAAGCTTGTGAAAAGTTATTGGCGTCAAGAATCGAACAGAAATTGAAGGGTGCTGCTAGAGTCAGCAACGTCTTGAACAAAATCCATGTTGCCAAACCAGCCCAAAGAGATGATCTTGATAGACCAGCATTTATTCCTGATAGTGTCAAGGAGTTGGAGAAGTATGATCCTTTGGATCCTAACAGAAGAAAGTTAGCCCGTGACATTGAAGCTGAGAATGGAGGTGCTGGTGTTTTCAGCATCAACTTAAAGGACAAATACTTGTTGGAAGACGAAGAGTGGAAGAATGACGTTATGCCAGAAGTTTTGGACGGTAAGAATGTTTACGACTTTTTGGACGCTGATATTGCAGCTAAGTTGCAAGCTTTAGAAGAAGAAGAAGAAAAATTAGAACAAGAAGGTTTCTACGATTCTGAATCTGATATTGAAGATGATGAAATTATCGATATCAAGGAAAAGGCCGAATGGATTAGAGATAAGCAAAAGAAGATGATTAACGAAGCTAGAAATAGAAAAGCTTTGAATAACAGAGCCATTATGCCAAGAGATAAGATTAAACGTTCTTTTGACGATATGGAAGAACATATGTACACCATTGGACATGATACAACTGAATTGAGAAACAAGCAAGTCATCGCCAAGGCTCAAGGTGTTAAGAACCACAAGGGCATCAACATCAAAAAGAAACTTCAAGATCTTGATGTTGATGTTGAAGAGCACATACGTAAAAAGAAGAGACCTGCCCATCAAAGTGATAGACTTAACGATGGTCTTACAAGTGAAGGTTTGAAGGAGAAGACAGAAAGACTCAACAAGGTGCAAAGAAGAGAAAGAAACAGACAAGGTAAGATTGGTGAATCTGATCATCATATCCCTACATTGTTGCCTAAGCATTTGAATTCGGGTAAACGTAGTTTCCTGGCTGATCGTCGTTAAGCGCATTCGTTATCTTTAGTTTTATTTTCACATTTTAGGCATTTATCTTATCAGAACCATTGGCGTGGTTAATGACAACTATGGAGTTGAATATATATTTTGAACAATACATACGTAATATTGATTGGGTAGCAAGTTGTCTGAGACCTTACCTCTAGTACAACTTTTATGATAAGCTTGGGAACTAGTTGCCAAACATAAATTTTACATACCCACTGCTATTTCCTGCTTGAAAAGCCAGCGATTAAGAGAACTTGGATAGTAAAGATAGTGGTAATGTGGAGGTTTGATTTGGAAACTGGTATTTTTACATTGTTTCCATATCACATTATTTTCGGCTGCTGGGTGAACCAAACGACAGATACAGGAGCATCAAAGGAGTATTTATGTATTTGAACTTATCAAAGATGACTGGCGTAGAGGCTATTCCATAGTGGGCCTGTCAAATATGAAACTTGTGTCAGTTCTCTGTGGCTATCCCAGCGCAAAATAAAAGACCCACAAAAATAAAGCCACAAAATCACAAAATGGTCTTGCGCAGATTAGATAAGGGTAATTCAAAAAAACTCAGATTAGCCCTAATAGGAATTGACTCATTATCAGGACCACCTCCTGAAACTCTGGCAAATATTTTACCTAGCTTTGAAGCTCAAGTACAAGTGTAAGTTGGAACTAGCCTCAAGTTTTAACTCTAGCAGAACCTTTCATAACTTTTATTTGCTGTACTGCTTCCATTTTCCTTCTATCTGATCCCTAAAACCCTTTTTCAATATTTGCTCGACCTAATTTCAATATGAATGTTGGTATCGAAGCAACCAATGTTCCCTTTTTAAATAAGAGATCTGGGAACCTCCACTCCCATTCAAGTAATGGTAGCACTCCCAAAGACTTGAATCCATTCGATTTCACTGCTTTGAGTTCAAAATTACCTCCTAACACCGGCCCTCCTGGAACTGTGCCGGTATCTTCCAATGGATCCAATTCGAATAAGAATTTGAGCCACGTTCCTTGTAAGTTTTACAAACAAGGTATATGCCAAGCTGGATCATCTTGTCCATTCAGTCACAACTTGGATGGAACCTTGGGAGCTGACAAATTACCCTGTAAGTACTTCCAAAAGGGTAATTGTAAGTTTGGATTGAAATGCGCTTTAGCCCACTTCTTACCAGACGGAACCCGAGTCAATTCCAAAGGATATATGAATGGAGGTAAGAAGTCGAACGGAAACTCGTCCCATTCCGGAAACTATAACTCAAATTCGTCGGTGTCAATATCTCTGTTCCAAACCCAGCCAATTGATATTGGCAACTTCAACAAAAACGTGAATTCTCCCAACAAGTCCGCTAATGGTAATTTGGGGAGCAATAATAACGGATCATCTCAGTCATCTAGAGTGTCCCAGACAATAAATTATACTCCGACCTCATCATCGATGTCTTTGGAGAACAATACCCAGGCCAGTTTCAACTCAGCGCTCAATTATTCTACTTCAGTTTATTCCCACCATGCCGGTTCTATCAATGTGGGCTCGTACGGAGTGACAGGTACTTTGACACCTAGTAGTAATCCCGTTACTACAACTACCCCAAGAAGTGCATTTGCTTCTACGAACGCGTTTGGATCGCTTTCTGCAAGTACCTCCCCAATTGGATTAACGCAAGACTTGTCAAACTCTCCTCAACAGTCAAACTTTTTCAGCAAGAATCAACCCATCTCATATTCTCCTACGAACAATCTCAGTTTGCAAATTTCGAGGTCGTTTTCTTCAAAGCTTCCAGCGTCTCATGGATCTTTTAGTTCGTACCTCAATGTCTTTAGTGAGTCTGCAATCATAGATGATGAAATTAAAGACACTGTTGACGACGGTTTTTTTGAAGAAGATTACGTTCCTGCATCTTTAGGAGATGATATTTTGACTCCACAACAAGTTCAAAGACGAGATTCAAGGTCCCAGTCAGGAACTTTATTGGTAAGACCTATTTTTAAAACAAGGGACAGTAAATTTGACAACGAATATGATGAACAAAAGAAATCTGTATTCGTACAAGATGATGTTTTCTTAATGGAATGATTTATTTGGTAATATGATGAAGCTTTTGTTGGTTTGGGATTCTCTTGGGAATGGTAATTTGGATTTGAAAAGGGATCAACTTTGGTAATACAAAGAAAACAAGAAGTTGGTTGGTTTGGTTTAGTTAGATAACTTATATTGTATATGTTTTAGAAGTTTAATTGTTTTTTGATATATACAAATATTTACAGGTTTACGGTTTTTGGATTGGCTCTAAAGATATCTGAAGTTTGTCTTTGAAACTCTTGCATAGCTCTGGTTTCCTGAAAGTTAAGGTCAGGTTGGATACCTCTTATATTGTCAGAGTCAAAGATCTTTCCAACCAATACTAACTCATCACTGAAAGGGTTCAACGTGTAGACCAAATTGTCAGATACTTCCTTTTCGGTTTCTTTCGTATCTTTTCCGTTGGTAAATGTTACCTTTTGCTTGGTTTTCACCTTTATCACCATTTGGACGTAGGTAGTAACATCATTTCCATCCGGTAAAATAGTAAAAGAACTGACTTTAGGATTCTCTTCTATAGAGAGAAGTTCCCACTTCAACTTTCCAATATCAGGAAACGATTTTGCTCTTTCAACTAAGCTCTGGGTGACTAAGGTACCAGTATTACCTTCCAATTTCAAGTTCAAAAACTTTTGCCTCCTTTCCTTTGGCAAAGAACAGCCTTGAGCAAATGCCTTGTTGGTTCTAACAAACTTCTCCATCGCATCTTCTTTCCAATTATTGAATCTGAGCTTCAACTTTGTATCCTGCTTGAATTTCACAATATTGTATGTATTGATAGCAAAGGCACCCAATCTTCTGAACAATAAACGGTGCCAACATAGAACTGAATATTGGGTTAACTTAGGTGGAACGTAAAAGTCTGCAATGGTAGCTATGCTCTTTACTGGAATTTGAGAGATATCGGTTTGAGTTTTGGTTTTCTTCTTCGGTTTGACTTCCAGGCCTGAAGCATAGGTCCTGAATCCTAATAACAAAGGTTGTATCCCTCTATGCTTATGGACTACGCATGAACCTCCTATTTTAATCATTTGTGGCGTGGATCTGAGTTCCAAATTTTTCAAACTGAGAAAATGGCGCTCTCTGACCATGCACTTCTTTTAGTGCATTAAAAAATTTTTGAGATGAGAAATAAACCATCAATCCTAAAGCAATGCCATCGGTGCAACAAGTTCAAGTCCAACGACAACAAACTCAGGTTGGGAATAATGGCAAAAAAAAGCTTGCACCTGAGAAGGAAAGATTTATACAATGTTGTGGAGATGTTTCACTCGAATTAGTTTCAAGCTTGAAGAGCTCAAAAGATATCAACTTAAATGGATTGATTAGCAGATATGCTAAAAAATACAAATTAAAACAACAGCCTAGGTTAACTGATATCATCTCCTCCATTCCTGATCAGTATAAAAAGTACTTGATACCTAAGTTAAAGGCCAAACCCGTGAGGACAGCTTCAGGTATAGCTGTGGTTGCTGTCATGTGTAAACCTCATAGATGTCCTCATATTGCGTACACTGGAAACATTTGTGTTTACTGTCCAGGTGGTCCTGATTCTGATTTTGAGTATTCTACTCAGTCTTATACGGGATATGAGCCAACCTCTATGAGAGCTATTAGAGCTAGGTACGATCCCTATGAACAAGCAAGGGGAAGAGTTGAACAATTGAGACAATTGGGACATTCCATTGATAAAGTCGAATATATTATCATGGGTGGTACCTTTATGTCATTATCAATTGATTATAGAGAATCTTTCATCACCCAGCTCCACAATGCATTAACCGGTTTTAATGGAAAAGACATTGATGAAGCCATCAAATATTCCCAACAATCTCAAACAAAATGTGTGGGTATAACTATTGAGACTAGACCTGATTACTGTACTTCTACACATTTAAGTGATATGTTGCGTTATGGATGTACCAGACTAGAAATTGGGGTTCAGTCTTGTTATGAAGATGTTGCTAGAGATTCAAATAGAGGACATACAGTTAAATCTGTATGCGAAACGTTTGCCGTTGCCAAGGATGCTGGCTATAAAATTGTGAGTCATATGATGCCTGATTTACCTAACGTTGGTATGGAAAGAGATCTAGAACAATTTATTGAGTATTTTGAAAATCCAAATTTCAGAACCGATGGCTTGAAGATATATCCAACCTTAGTGATAAGAGGAACTGGTCTTTATGAGTTATGGAAAAAGGGTTTATACAAGTCATATAATGCCAATGCATTGATTGATTTGGTGGCCAGGATATTGGCATTGGTTCCTCCATGGACAAGAATCTACAGAGTTCAAAGAGATATTCCCATGCCATTAGTGACCTCTGGTGTTGAAAATGGTAACTTGAGAGAATTAGCTTTGGCTAGAATGAAAGATTTCGGAACTTCTTGCAGGGATGTCAGAACCAGAGAAGTGGGTATTCAAGAAGTACACCATAAGGTTGTTCCTGACCAAGTAGAGTTCATTAGAAGAGACTATTATGCTAATGGTGGATGGGAAACTTTCTTAAGTTACGAGGATCCTAAACAAGATATTTTGATTGGCCTTCTAAGATTGAGGAAAGCATCTAAGAAGTACACTTATAGAGAAGAGTTCACTAAGCAGCCAACTTCTATCGTTAGAGAATTACACGTTTATGGTTCGGTGGTCCCTTTACATTCGAGAGATCCAAGAAAGTTTCAGCATCAAGGCTTTGGAACTTTGTTGATGGAAGAAGCAGAAAGAATCGCTATAGAAGAACATGGCTCTCGGAAAATTAGTGTGATTGCTGGTGTTGGTGTCAGAAACTATTATTCGAGGTTAGGATATGAATTGGATGGGCCTTATATGTCCAAAATGATAGGTACAGATGAAGTCGATGACGAAGATGAGGACGAATACTAATGAAAAAAATGGGACTTCAGTATAACTTATGTACATAAATGAAAGTCATAGAAGATACACAGGAAGCATTTTTATATGTTCATAGTTATCAGAACGTCTTGATATTAGTTATAATGAAAATAATGGTTACAATCTAAACTCTGATAAAATGGCATACGCAGTTAAACTAAAAGTACAATAATCATATGGGAAATTTGCAAATATAATACAACATTAATGGTGATAAAACTTATTGGAGTTGTAACTCAGCGACAGTATTTCTTTAGACCAACCAGGAATATCCTCACCAGATCCTCCTACCGGCCTTTCAAGAACGACATTTTCTAAACCCAATGCATCACTTAACCAAGGATGATTGATCATACCACCTGCATCGGCTCTTTGCTCAGGCTGGGTTGTCAACATCGGTAACAAGAAATCGGAAATCTCAATGGCATCAGATACAGAGAACTTATACTTCTCTACCATGACATCTTTCAATCCCCAAGGCTTTAATTTTTGAATGCGATGAAGTTCACCTCTAGCATTGAAAAAGTCACGGGCATAATAGCTTTCTTTCAACATTTGCCTTGGGAAGGGGCCTAACAACTCAATTACCTGTGCAATATGATCATCATCTTTAGAATATGCTTTTCCTTCTCTTGGATCGAATAGATAATCACCCGTTAAAAGCTCAAAAATCAAGCACGCAAAGGACCACAAGTCAGCTGAAGATCCCCAATGGTATCCTAAGAGTACTTCGGGTGCCCTATACTGCCTGGTTTGAATCTCATCCGTGAAATGATGGTTGACCCAGCATGCATTACCCAAGTCAGCTATTTTGACAGAAATTAACTCGTCGTCATTAATCATAAATGAGTTTTCGTTTATTGACTCGTTGAAGCTGGCTTCTAAGTTTGAAGCATTGTCTTCAAATTTATGAGAAATCGATAATGATGATAATGAATTGTTGATGTCCCGGTTACTCGTGACTTTATTCAAAGAGGAATCTGTATTGGGATTTGTGAGCTCTGATAAGGCGACACCAGATTGATCACTTTCATTGGTAAATGATTTCACGGGTGTATTTGCCGTAGAATTTGATAGCGCGTAAACGCTGGTGAATGATTTATTGAAGGTTCTCAAAGGCGATGGTAACGGTTGAGATCCAGTAATTAAGGTTTGTCTCCTGGATCTTCTACCATTCCTTCCTATGGAAGGAGAATTGTTGATAGATTTTATGTCAGAAGATGAAGTTTCGGGAGTTTTGAAGCTTGGGTTCAGAGCTTTTCGATCTATCCGGGGAGTATTTGGGTTCGAGATTGAAGGAGCACCCAAGAAACTGTTGTGCCCAGATTTGGATTTTGTTCTTTGGAGGCGCTTTTGCATCTTAGCTTGATTTTCCTCCTCTTCTACCATTTTAACAATCTGCTCCACATCACCTATTTCTATTAACACATTCTCTGGCTTCAAGTCAGTATGGATAACGCCACATTTCCTATGCAAAAAATCCATCGATGCTAGTAATTGCTTTGCAATTTGTTTAACAAATACAACTGGAATACCTCTATGTTTATATCTTCTTATCAACCCCAACAAGTTTTCCCCTAAGACTTCAAAAACCATTACCACGTGAACTCCATTTGGTCCTCCGTGGGTAAATGTGTCCAATAGTTGAATGACGTGTTCATGTCCTGGGTGATGAATATCAGATGTTGTAACTTTATCTAACAACTTTATTTCATCAATAGCAGTTTCTGTATAGTGCTTGGCCAGTCGTACAATTTTCATGGCCACATGACACTGCTTGTCATTATCTCTTGCCAACCAGACGGTCGAGAAATGACCCCAGCCTAGTTTCCTCACTAAGGTATACTTCCCATTTTTGTAGTTTTCTCCTATGTAACATGTGTGATAACCTCCTGGTACATAGTCTTTCATATCTTCTTCATTTTCTGGGTGTACTGAGTCAATATCAGAATCGTCGTCTTCATCGCTATCGTCTTCATTATAAGACTCGTTTTCGTTCGTATCCTCTGGCTTTCTCTTATATTCTTCACCATCCGAACCAAAATCGAATCGGGTTCCCGGAGTGAATCCTCCCCTTTTGAAATCTCCATCAGAAAATTTGGTCTTCAATGGAGAAAGATTGGGTTTAAAAGACTTGACTTTGGCTGAAGATGTTGTGCTGACGGTAGGATTACTATGGTGAATAACCGGTAAAAATGGTTGATTTGGTAAGGTATTCTCGTCTGAATTCAGAATCAGCGGTTTCGAATCATTATTTTGCTCTTGTCGTATGGATCCAGAAGCGAAAGGGGAGTTATGAATCAAATGGTTATGGTTATTGTGGGAAAGTTCTTCTTCTTCAGCTTTTTGTATAGCTATGGATAAGTTAGATCTCTGGGATTTGGAGTTGGGCATGGAATAGTATGATGTGATCTAATGTAAATAATGCTGAAAATATATTTGTAGGTAACTTAGTTACTTACAGTGTCACTGACTTCCTTATGAATCCCGATAAAACTTCCAAGATAGTTTTGGTATGCTGGCAAATTTGCTCGTTGCTACACGCCCTGATACAAACAGGATTTGTCTCTTCAAGTGTGATTAAAATAAATATACGTCTGGTAATCTATTAGCTGTTTAACAGAACGATGCTTTTAGTAGGAAAAATAAAACTATTACTCTTTAATATGACCTGAGTGCTTCCCGATTTTTTTTTCCAATGCAACCGTGAGAATCTTTTTCCTTCTGGTTTGTAACCGAGATGTTTTACAGAAAAAAACTACAGCAGCAATTGTAAGGTAAAATTATTTCAAGAATTACAAACGGATATATACGTAGGAAAAGGAGGGAAATACTTACTTGAACACTTTACCATCGACAATTTCTTTCTTTTCACCGTTGATTTCAACTGGTTCATCCCAAGCCAACATGTTGTTAATGAAAGACTTATCAGCAGCACTGGAGGCATCAAGCTTCTTGAATTCATAAGATTCCCAATCTGGAGCAACGTTGACAGCTGGTACATAATCTTGACCTCTGACCAAGAAGAAACCGGTAATACCGTTGTTGTTGTTTTCACCATAAACAACAGCAGTACCAAACAAATATTTAGTAGAGCCTAATAATCTAGAGAAAAAACCGCCAGCCAAGTTGTTGGACATGAAGGTCAAAGTCAACTCGTCGTTGTACATGTAGTCAAATTTCCACAAACTCCACTCTTCGGGGTTGTACATGTTTTCCCAGAACCAAGGAACGGCCTTCTCTCTGGTGTCTTCGTTAGAGTAAACTCTCTTCCATTCATCAATTGGCGTCTTGGATTTACCCAAGGCTTCCAATGGGTGTTTTGCCTTTGGAGTTGGGGCATCTTCAGTAGTTTCAGCCGCAGGCTTCTTTTCGGCAGCAGGCTTCTTTTCAGCTTGCTTCTTTTCCTTCTTTGGAGGAACGTATTCAACTGCCTTTTCTGGGAACTCAAAGCCTTCAAAAGCGCTACTGAGATAGTCCGTGGCAATAATAGTCTTAAACCACTTGGTAACATTAGGATAAGAAGCTCTTTCGGTTTTACCGAATACCTTACCGAAAACTCTGTAGAAGGATTGGGCAAACAACAAGTCGGCAAAAGTGATTCTGTCGCCAACCAAGTAAGTGAAGTCATACAATCTAGATTCAACGAGTTGACAGTATTTGTTGAGGTTAGCTTTACCAGTGTCGATTATTTTCTTGTTGTAAGGAACTTTTCCAACAATACCGGCAAAGGAGTCGGTAACAGAAGCCATAAAGTCAGAATTAGCAAATGAAGCCCATTTCAAAATGGAAGCAAATTCCTCATCAGTGCTTCCTAATAATGGGCTTTTTGGATCAGCCTTTTTGATCACTACACATTGTTAGTATATTTTCGCTTTGGAAATAAAATGATTTTTCGATTTGACACTTGGTTGATTTCAGAATAAAAGATCCTCGACATGGTTTATTAAGACAGGGATAACTGTTTAAATATGAAGATTTCTCATCACAATACAACTGTACTAGTGTGTGGTAGTTCATTAAGTGAAAGGGTTAACATACAGTAAATAGAAACAGCAATGGTTTCAGTCAACTTGAATCCGTCAGCGCCCAAGAAAGCTGGATATTTCTTCAATGGGAAGTTCTTTTCATAAGTAGCATCAGCCTTAGAGATCTTAATATCCAAGCCAAAGTGCTTGACTAACGCAACTGGAAGAAGTGTTCTAGTGACGTCGGCGGTGTATAAGGTACCAAGAGACATTTCGTGGGTTCTTTATTAACTGAGATGAAAGTGAAAAAAATTTTCCTCCGTTGAGAAAAGTCGCTGCTTATTTCGAAAAGGTGTGTGGCGGCTCACATAATCGTTTTATTTCTGGAAAGTTTGCAGCTTCTTCGATATCTTTTTATAATACATAACTATTTGAGCATCCAACCAAAATGGCCAATCCATACACGTTTCTGAGAGTCAGTGATCATGGAATTGTTAATCACCTCAAAAGTGCTATTGAGACTAGCAGTTAGATTTGTGTCGCCATTTTCTTGTGCTTGTAATTTTAAAGGATTTGTATCACCTTGCTCCAAAGCTAGAAGTAGGTACTTACTCAATAAAACAATCAAGGTCAATTGATCATTCGGGAATATAATGTTGGAATGAAATGCTGGATATTGTGGTATTTCAAAATTGTTCTTGATATCAAATGTCTTAAAAGCAGGAAACTTTGATGAATAGTCTAACCTCATTAAGTACCAGAATATTCTTCTCAACTTCAGAGCATTGGAAGTGAACTGATCATCAATTTGGGGGAAATCAAAATCAAAAAAGTCTGAGAACAAGTTCTGAACCTCAAAATAATTGAGTTTTTTGATAGTTGCGTACTCCTCGTGATTATATTCAATATCCTCTTCCATATCCTCTTCCCAAGCAGCAGAATCTATACTTGATGGAGAGGAATATTCCAAGCCTGTAGGTGACAAGCCAGGCTCTTTCTTTAGGCCTTGTGCAGCTTGGAGGGCACCATTTGCGTCTCCATCCAAGTCGAAGCTTTCGTTAGTGTCATTATCTCTATTATTGTCCTCTTTAGATTCGAGAACATCGTCATTAGGGGTATCATTGTTGGAGTATTGGTGGGACTCGATATTCTTATTGATTAAAAACTTCAATATTGAAGTCGATTGTAAGCAGCTAACCAATACTGCGGATCTAAGCTTCCTCTGCTTGGTTGAAGAAGTGTGAAAAAGCTTGTACACTGATTTGTTGAAAATACGAGCCTGGTTGTTGAATACCACGTGAATATCATTGAGATCATTCTGAAATACTATGCGGTTTAACAACTTCAATAGGATCAATACAATCGATATGAATAGAATTTCGAATAACTTCACATTATCCATGCTCACTGGAAGCTTTCGTGAAAAATGAAAAAGCTTCAATTGAGTACGATAGATGTTACCAGAATGATCCCATTGACCCACGTTTTCAAGTGAACAGTTTAACAAGCACTCCATCAAGAATGTATTTCCCACTACTTGTGTGTTCTCCATATGATTATTCACCAAACTAACACAATACGAAGGTACCAAACTCTTCCAGATATTCAACTCATTGAATAAGTCCAAAAGCCAATAGTAACGTTCAAAGTCCATGAGCCTGATGAATTTATGTACATCAAATTCAAAGTTCGGGTTATCGAATATAATTTTGCTGCTTGATAAGTTAGGAAGCTCCACTTCATGCTGAGGCTTTACCAAGAAGTTTTGAATGCTGAATGTAGAAGACATGTTAGGCATTTCAAGTGTACTCATCAAGTCTTCACTAAAAAATGGACTATCGATCGAAGTCTGAGGCCTTGGAGCAGTAAATCCTCCTGACATATCTTCATTGGAGAGTCTTGAATGCGGCCGGGAGCTCAAACGATACTTATTAAGGGGACCTTTGTTCACCTTCTCATCCAAGACGCCTAAATCGTCGTCGAGTTTCACACCTTCAATTTGAGGGCTGTTTGAGACAAGTGCGGCTCTTGTATCTCCTGCACTTTTGCTTCTTCCACCATTTGGCACACTGCCATTTGGAAGACTACGATTCCCCAGTATAAACTCACCCGAGAATTCGCCATCAAGTAATGATATTCCTGTTCCATTTTCACATTCCATTTTGAAGATTTCATCACTCTCTTTTAAATCCTCTTTTGAATGTAACCCAAGGTAAGGCCTGTAGTGCCTCTTCCCATCATATAACTTAGCAATTGTTACTGACTGGTCCAATATTCTAAATGACTTTCCTAACTGAACGTCATCATTAGGGTCATAGAAGCTATACTGAATGAAGTTGAGCCTTACACCTCTATAGCACTTTCTCAGCGACTTAATACAATTCTGACAAACAGGTAACTGTTCATCACACTTCATATGTCTGTCTCTGCATGTTAAACATCCTGAACGAGTTCTTCTTTTAACAGGACGTGCTTTCCCCATGTATTAAATTGAACGATAGCAATGACCTTTTGGATGGGATTTATATAGAACTGTCTTTTGATTGGGTTTGACGACACAAAATATGATGATTCCACTGACCGGGTGACTCAGATATATAGTGTGGTCTGTAGTCTGTTTGAAGTATTTACAAGATGCCAATGGCAGAGGCAGGGGGAAATATAATAAGGAATTAATGTATGGAAAAACTAAAGTTATTTTTGTAAGGTGAGAGTTTTTGGCAGGATCTCATTAAAAAATGATCAGAGCCCAACGGGCAAAAGTGAGGTTGCAGAGAAAGAAATCGAGCCGTGGGCACACAATAATTCTATAATTGATACATTAATTCATTGGTGCAGGTTTATACAGAAATTCTTGTACGATTCAGAGTGAGCAATTTACCTGGTACCTAACCAGCCCAACGGCTTTCTATTATGATTTTTCCTAATTAAGGAAGTATGTGGTGAAAAAGTAGAAAACTGACTTATTTGGATACCAAAAAGAAATAGCTGGCTTACATTAATCTGGACTTTTACTCAGTATGACTAAACAACATTGCTATGCTTCTCTTCAAAGGCAGGAGCACATGAAGATGGTCCCCCGTTACTAAATAATTCCTCAATTTCGGTATTCAGAAGATGCTTTGTTTCGGGAACGACCATCAAAAATGCCAACAGAACTATCATTGCACCCACAAAACACCATAATAAGTTCAATCCCATTATACTCATCAATACAGGGGATATATTGACCACCAAGAAACTAAACGCAAAGTTAGCCGATATGGAAATCGTCAAAACTTGCTTGTTAGCATTGGCTAGTTCATTAATGACTATGCCTGAAACAGGACCCCAAGAAACGGAAAAAACCACCACAATAGCATACACTACAATTGAGCTTTCACAAGCCCAGTAGCTGCATAATAGGGCTGTCAAAGTACCTGAGCCCATTTGAAGAAGAAATAACCTATCAAACCATTTCACCATTTTGAAACTAGCAATACTTCCAGCAAGATTGACACTTGCAAGAACTAAGGGCCATGGCTGGTCTCCAACGATCCTTTTAGAATAATAAAAGAAGAAATTTATACCAGTAAGTTGTTGGAAAACCATGAGGGTGACACAAAATCCTAACTTCCTCCACCTGAATGGCAGCCCATTGCCAGTAAGGGGCATATTCAGATCCTGTTCACTGGTGTCCTCTTGAGGTCTTAATTCTTTCTGTGGATTCATGAGAGGTTGAGGCTCGATAATTGCCTTTTGTTCCTCTTGTTTGATTTCTGCTAGGTATCGCAACAGTGACGAGGAAATAGGGTCAATAGGAGTAAGTAACCAACAGCTAACAGATCCTAATAAACATATCCCACAATTTCCACAGTACTGTAAGATAAATGGATCAATTGCAATTGAAAGTCCACTTCCTAACATGATACCTCCACAAAGCCAAAGTTGTATCAACAGTAAATATTGACCACGCCTTGTGGGGTCGATGGTAATCTGGGTAATGTAAATGGGACAAATAAGTATGAATATTCCTCCAGAAATTCCCAATGTTACTCTATACGCCACAAGGCACCATAAAAAATCGTATGCCAATATGGATGTCAAAATTTGAAAGAGAACACCAGCAGCATAGACTCCGTAACCAACCTTGATTAGGGTATCCGACCGCAATCTGAAAGCAAACAAGACAGAGATACATCCACAAACCTCACCTAAGTTGAATGCCAGAACCACTATCCCTAATGTGACTCCCACAATTTGTCCATATCTTTGTGTGAACAGCAAGCTGGAGACAAGTCCATCTGTGGTACCAACTTCAAATCCGACTACCAAAGCAGCTGCAGAAACTAAGACAACCAAAATAGTAACCAATAACTCTGACTCATTATGCGATGATTCAGTATCAACATGTTCATTGTTTTTAACTTTCATTGTTGTAGTTGTTATTGATAAACGTATTTTTGCAGCCGTGTTGCAAATGCATCAATTTACGACGCGCTATGTGACACAAAGCCTTATCTCATAAAACCGAATTTTTGATTCAGGAGACTCAACATATTCGTATTATGAATTCGCTTGTACAATTGTCTGGTAAACGACATCTGGTTGGGCCCCTGTCTACAAACAAGTCACATAATCATATGGTTGACAAGGTATCTACTGAGTGTGTAGGAAATGTTTCTGACCCTGAAGAAGCTGTTTCTGCTGTATCTGGACTTTCTTCGTCTACCTCGACGAAGGCTAATATTTCCGAAACGTCAGCTAAGACGAGCACAACCGAAATGTCGGTAGGAAAAGATCGTTGGTCTTTCAATAAGGATGCCCAACCTTTCTTCCCTACCCCACTGTCGCCTTCCACTCCTTCTACTTCCTTAGACGAGCCACTTCCAATAGTAGTGATGATATCCAATATCGTTCCCACGGTTGTTGAGTCAGACCTTGAAGCATTGCTTATGGAAACCTTGTCTTCTTCCAAGATAAGGGATCAAGAATATATTGACCCTGACTTCAATATACTTTCCTTCGGTAATACGAATAGTTTTGATGAAATAACTGCTTTAGTCGAAATATTCGAGTACCAAGAAGCTGAAACAATCATGGAAAAGTTACAAGGTAAACAATGGCTCAATAGTACCTTGGAGGTTGCAATCATGCCTCCCCCATCCTTATCACCATCACCCTATTATGGGTTTGGGTTTTTCAATCAAATGATGTACTTCCCTGGAATCGCTCCTTATGGGGTCTATGGTCTGCCTTACGGTTTTTCGGGCCGGCAAGCAATGATGCCGCCATTTGGTTCTGTACCCCCTTGGAGAAAAGCACAGCCAAGTGTACCAATGGCACAACCCCCTCGAACACCTGGTGGGGCATCTCGTCGACTGTCATCCTCAAGTACTGGATCCGCTTCCAAGCCAACAGGAGTTCCACAATTCGTTATGAATTTTGTTAAAAAGGAAGAACCAATTCATAATTCTGACTTTTCTGACCAGGAGTCTTCTCAGTTTATTGATGTTAACGATGATGATGGTAATCCTATCAAAGTAAATGCCTGTCGCTTATTCGTGGGAAATGTTCCATTTCTGTCAACTTGGTCAAGGCTCAGAAACTTTTTGGTAACCAAATCGCAAGAACTCGAAACCTCTACTTCTATTGACATTTTGAGGGTGGAAATCCCTATGCATAGTCCTAAGGATCATAAGGAAGAATTCACTCGCACCATGTCAAGGGGTTTTGCTATTGTTACAACTGGTAATCGTATTTCATCGGAATTAATCATAAAGCATTTCGATGGCATAGAATTTGAAGGCCGAAACTTAACAGTCAGATTTGACAAATTTCCTGAATTTAGCAACTATATATTGCAACAACTTTATTCGGGGCACAACAAGGATAAGGCTTTAACGAGCTTGGCATTTGAGAGGAATTCAATTCAGCAAAAGTTTTACTATGGTAATGGATACCAAGGCTACTCAAATTTCCCAAGCCGTTCTCATAGTTTCAGTCACCGAAGCTCTAATCCTCAGCACAATTCATCTTCGCCTCGATTTCCAATTCTACAACCAAATTTCGTTCCCCAAGTCCATCCCTCAGTACGCTACACCACCAACTTGAATATACCAAGACTGATCAAGCCCAAACAAGATGCAGAACCTTTGGATGATCTCAATGAGGACGAGAAGGCCCGTGAGTTGGTAAACCTGTTCAAATCGTTAGGAATATCCTCGTAAACGATTTCGGGTTCAAGACCTTGTGGTCAAAGCTAACACGGATATCAGCTAGATGCGCCCACTTCAGGCAAGTATATTGCACCTCACATTTTATCAATACTACCTGTATAACGCAGAAAGCTATTTCGGTGCATATTGGTTTGTAATCATGAATTATTTGTGTTGATCAAACCGCCGCATCTTTCTATAAGTTTAATGCACAACTTCAATTCGCACCACTTGCATCTACAGCAGTTGTACTTTCAGCCAAAAAATCATTATTCTACAAGCATGAATCAATAAACCCGATTGGGATACACGAGCAACATTTCAGTTGTTTGATATAGAGAGGCCATCCATTTTCTAAACAACGTATTGGTGGTGCCATTTTTATAATAATAGATTAGTTGGTTGGGTAAAATAGCTAGAAGTTGAATATAGTTTTACCTAAAGATCAAAGAAAAGGATGAGCAAAGCAAATTTCCTCTTCCATGGCATAATTATAGGTTTTTTACCATTTTATCTGGTTGAGTACAACCCACTAATTATTGCAAAATTCATAAATTGTCAATGACTTGAATTTTTCTAAGTGACCAGGCTATACTTGAAAAGCCTAGCTACAAATATGTGCGTAGCAAATGCGTCATTCTTCTCAGTCACTCAGACACTCATCAAAGTACAGGCATAGCAGAGGAACAAAATAGAAACTTTTAGAAAAATATATGAATAGTTAGTCAGATTGTTGTATATACGTAGAATTTACCTGTAATTAATACATTTGCCATCAAAGCCTGCTGGTCACTCAAAGAGTTTGTGATGTTAACCTAAATATGACATGTGACTCAAGTCAAACCCTGTTTTAAATTGAACTCAGTTCCCAGCTTTGTGCGCACAAAAAATTTCAGGGATCCGTTTGACAGCATAAAGCGATACATTACTAATAATCATAAGATACCATTAACGTCTAACCTGCAGTGAAAGAGTTTTAATGCCTTTAGACCAAGTCTCCGATCTGGATCTCAAGAGCTCCACGAAGAGTGATATGGGTGCTTCGCCCATATTATCGCCTTCTACATCTGCTGATATTCCACCTAGTGTGATGGCTATCTCCAACTTGCGGTGTCCCTCTCCTCCTCCAATCCTTACCAACAGTGGTAGGAATTCCACTGTATCTCCTCCTGTTTTATCAATGAAGTCTGATGCTACCTCAACATATTCAGACACGGAAGTAAGGCCCATAATTCCAACAGGTGTCCCTTTACCTGATGCTGAAAGGGAACTAAAGGAAAAGGAAAAAGAAAACAAGCGATTCAAGGATAAGTTGACATTTAATGCTGCAGCACTTGATAAAGAGAAAGACTTGCACAATTTCATTAATAACCATCAAAATCCTCTTGGTATTCATTCTCCAGCTTCCAATAACTCCAACGCCAGTCTTGATTACACATCTAATCATCCAAAGGAAAATACTCACCATAAAGCCCCATCAGTTCATGCCCACTTTTTTGTCGATGATACTATCAAGCCAAAAGTTAATCGCCTGCGTAGCCGCAGTAATAGTGCTACCTCTGAACATCTGAATAATGGAGTTGGTTCTGCAAACCCTAGCTCTTCTGTTTCACACGCCATTACTGCAACAGGATCTGTTGTCAAAGCTGCACTCATTAATAAAGCTGCAGGAGGGTTGGAAAAATTGGCTGGTCATTCAACCCTGTCGAGTCCTTCTTTAAATCAAGGTTTGAGTGAACAGAATGCCAACATTGATCCCAGGTTACCTCAAGATGATGGTAAAATACACATCTTACTCGGTGTTTGTGGGGCATTATCAGCCTCTAAGGTCAAGTACATCATATTGAAACTATTGGAAATTTATGGGCCTGAGAAGGTGTCAATTCAATTGGTTTTAACCAAAGCAGCTGAAAACTTCGTCGCTCCTGAGATTTTAAGCTACCTTGAGAACGTAAGAAAGATCAGAATATGGCGTGACCAGGATGAATGGACTACTTGGCATTCTAGATCAGATCCTGTATTGCACATAGAACTTAGAAGATGGGCTGATGTATTCTTGGTATGTCCTTTGACTGCCAATTCCTTATCAAAGATATCTTTAGGTTTGTGTGATAATCTTTTAACCAATGTTATACGAGCTTGGAATACTGGCTACCCCCTACTTTTGGCACCATCTATGGTTAGCTACAGCTACAATGCTATCACTACCAAGAGACAATTGAGGTTGATTGCTGAAGAGATGCCTTGGATTGAGGTTTTAAAACCAGTTGAAAAGGTAGTTGGAAGCTATGGTGATATAGGCATGGGCGGTATGATGGACATCAATGAGATTGTCAATAAAATTGTCCTCAAATTAGGTGGTTATCCCAATGATGAAGAAGACGATGATGATGATTATGGCGGGAAGAATAAGAAAGATGAAACCTTGGTAGATGATGATGATGATGATGATGACGACGACGATGACGACGACGACGACGACGACGACGACGACGACGATGATGATGATGATGAGGAGGAGGAGGAGGAGGAGGAAATCGGAAGCACCTCAAAGAACGAAGAGAAAGGAGATAACACTCCGGTCGTTAGCGCTGGTATCAAAGCTGTTAAGGAAATCAAAATCGGAAAATAAGCTAATCCTTCTGCAATGAGTGTACGATATTGTCTTGGTTTCAAACTTTGTGTATGTAATTTATATGTGGGGTGTTTTGTATATTATTATTTAATACATTAATGGTTTTGAATTGCTTGCGTCCGAAATTTATTATTATAAACCTTGACTATAACCTACTATACAAATTTTATTCATGCATTGTTCAATTGACTTAGTTTCTCTAATCTCCATTGAAGGTAGTCTTCTCCAAGATTGCTGGAGTTATCCCCTAAGCTCCTACTCTCACTTGCAGGAGTAGAGGTGTTCTTATCCCATTTTACGAGCCTACCGCTTTTCATAGGAGTAATATTCAAAGTTAAGTCTTCTTTCTTCCGTTTGACAGTTACATCTGTATTCTCCTTGTTATTTTCTTCAATTGAGGAAAAGTTCACTCTAAGGGGTGACATTGTCGAGAATGAAGGACTATTCTTGATTCCACTTTTAGAATCTGCTGTCAATGGTGAGTTCAAAGGCTGTAGCAGGGTTCTAAAAGACTTCAACAAAGTATTGCTAGTGTTAACATGTTTATCAATGCCATACGGGCTGACTTGGTTACTTGACTGGCTTGAGTTGCTTATGTGGCTGATTTGATTTGACGGAAAGCCCGAAACTCCTGGGTTGGTTCCATTAATGCTAGTACTCATTGCGTTAATAATTCTATTTGTCCGGGAAGTACTAGGGTGACCATTATTCCTGGTAAGCTTAATCGCAGGTTTTCTAATGGGATTCATGGAAGTAATTGGAGAATGTCTAGACGTGGAGACGCTCAAAGGACGAGATGGAGAGACTCTCTTTGGTTGCATTTGAGAGATACGCTGACTTTTGTAAGGGGAAACTGAGTTTGAACCTGAATGGGAATTATTGGAATGATGGATCTCAATTGACTTCTTATTATGTGAGTTATTTTTTCGTTTAGTCAATTTTTCATTTTCAATTGCTAGAACTCTTTTGTAAAAGTCCTCGCCTGTAATGGTGAATGGGTTTCTACCTTTTAATACTTGGTTCTTGTTGTATATCGTTAGACTCTTCTTCAAGTTTTCAATTAACCTAGGCATGCTTTTCAAAACTCTTTTTCTTATCCGTTCTTCGTTAAGAAGAATTTTGCAAGAGTTCTTACTTAGTAGTCGTGAGGAATCTTTTGAGGATTCAATTAGAAAATCTTGATCCAAAATGAGCTGCTTGAGTTCTTCATAATCTTGCAATATTTCTGACTTAGATTCAAATTCTCTTTTCAATTGACTAAGCTCGTTCTCGTGGTCTTTCAAAATCGATTCTTTGTCGTAGCTATCATTAGGGTCCAACTCGTAATCAAAATACTTGAATACCCGCATTTCTGTCTCTGTATAGTATAGCTTTCTCCAATACTCTTCTATCTCGCTTCTTGTGTCGAAAATGAAGTTATCAATGTATTGAGACCTTTTTGATAATAGTCTGTTCAATTCGGTTTTGAAGTTGTACATTGATTTGTCACTCAACCCTCTATTTTGCAAGACGAAATCTTCAATGTAGTGTTCTTCCTCTCCTAACTTTTCCCATAGCCTTGAGCAATGCCCTAAATAATATTCATACTTCTTTTGCTTTGTTTCTTTGACTTTTGACAACAATTCCAAGAAGTTGGCAATAAAAGCCAAATGACTGTCATTAAGTCCAAATTGAACAGGATTTGATTGAATAAAATTGAGAGTCTCGATATCGATAAAGGTTTCATTAATCGATTCGTCACTCTTTTCTTTCTCCCGTTCGTTGAACTGCTTCTGTAAGTTTATTAGTTGATCTTCACTGTATTCTAACTCTTCCACCAAATCGAGAATTTTGGATATAATTACCGTCATTTTCGTCTTTCTCTCTTCCACATTAACTTCACAGTAATTTATTTGCTTGTTCAAATCTGTTATAAGCTCTGCCGAAATCTTCGTCATTTTCAAAGTCCGTATGCTTTTGACAATTTTATAGTTTATCTCTCTCAAGTGAAATACAAATTCAGCAGTACTACCGCCGACCTCTTTGACCCGGTCATATCCTTCTCCGTCTGCCTCTATATCTTTTCCCTTGAGTTTTCTAGGACTAGATATCACAAATGCCATATCTTCATGTGAGTTGTCAACGAAACTGGAAAACGAAGCAGTCTTCATATCTGAAAGTTTTAAATGCCTTATCGTAGACTCAAACAGCTCTATGAGTTCTTTATGATTTTCAGCATCTTCCCTAGCAGGAAGGGTCTTGAGGTAATCATAATTTATCTCTTGTGAGTCAATATTTCCTATCGTTTCAATCAAATCAAGATACATTAAATTGCAGGAGTTAAATTTCTTAAATGTTTTCATAAAATGTTTTAGTACATCAAGAAAAACGGCGTTCAATTCTCTTTTGAGTTTCATTAATGATAACTTTGGTGAAGATTCAAGCATTCCCTCATACTTTTTTTCAAACGAAATTTCCTCCATTATGTTACTGCTATTGTTCGTGATATTGAATGGTGAGTCTTCATAAAAGTTCTCTCTCTTGCTTTTCAAATTCGTTAGTTTCTTCGTTATTTCTTCCTTGAATCCTTCCTCAAAAAGATCTGTATCATTGAACACAATCCCTTTATTCAACTTTGAAAGGCATTTGGTACCCTTGGCGTCATCCATCATTGCAAGAATTATTTTAATTTGTTGTCTTAGCCATTCACACTCATTTTCGATGCTAGCTTTCTCTCGTTTTAGAGAATTGGTACAATTGTGGATAGTGTCTTCTATAATGCTGAATATCTCTGACTTTTTTATCGATATTTCGGTTGTGGTGTATCCGATCTCACTGTAAACATCATTTAGCTCCTCGATGGTCTTATTCACTTTTTTGGCTATTATATCCAAATGCTTGTGATTACTGTTATCATTGTTTGTAAAAGTCACATCCATATCATCCCCATCCAAAATGTGTGCATACTTACTGTTCGATGGTGTTCCCACTATTCTAGAAGGGGTTTGTATGTCTGTCATCTCTTGTGAAGTGGAAGCAACACTTCTGAATGCTATGGATTAGGAATGCTGTCTGTCTCTGTAGGAACAAAACTTCAGGGTATAGACTTTCAATACCTTCAAGGTGAAATATGAACTGAAATGCAACGGCTGTAGGATGTGTGACAAACGAGTTTTCTACTTCTTATTCTCCTGAGGCTGTTAAAGCTGTATTTTTGTTTATACTATTTCTCACTTAATTTTCCCGATCTAGAAAGAACATAAACATTCTTCTCGTAGACTAGTTTTTTTATATTTACAAGAATATAGAACGTGAACGGGAACACTTACTTGATTTCACTGAAATCACTTAAGCTGAGAAGTCTGGAGCAAGGCTGTGAGGTTTTCTTTAAAGTTGGGGAACATTTTCTCCTGGTTTTCAAAGGCTGCTAAATCCTCATTGAGTCTTGCACCTAAACTCGAGAAGTTATCATCATTAATGTCCTTCATAGCTTCACGCAGAGCTCTATTCTTTAGATTTACTTGCCTTCTATAAGAAAACCCCTTTATATCCCACTTTAATTCTCTAGCAATCTCAAATATCCGGTTCATTTCAGATGACTTCGATTTAATTCCATGAGATACCAACATTTTATACCATGACTCGGCTTGTTTGAATTGACCATTTTGGTAGTGGTATATGATGAAAGGATATAGTTGATTGAACGTAAAGGGAAGCTTATATGACCTGCTTACACGGATGAATTCTGAAGCTGAAGAGAGGTCATTGTGAAGAATTAAACTGCTGTATATCATCAACTCGAATGGATATGGCTTTATAAGAGATGGATTTAACTTGAAACTTTTGAAAAATCCCAAAAGAACTGCTCTGGCCGTATCGTAGTTGTTCTTGTCTCTTATCAACTTCATTTTGTTACTTGTGGGGTCTACCTTCATCGAATAATTAAGAAACAATGTAACGATTGAATCAGATATCTTTCTCTCGTTCAAGAAAACATGCTTTGACGTCTTTATTTTTCCCAAGTAGATCATGAAAAGCCGGAAAATGAATTCAGGTGTTATCTCTTCTCTGGGTGTATTCTGTAAACTTGTAGTGTAGATGTGGTAGAGGCTTTCATGGGAAAATCTTACCCCTGTTAAGTTTTGGTCGACAGAAGCCAGAACTATGTTGGGAGACTTCACATACTCTAACTTCGTAGAGCCAAAAGCAACACTGAGAATTCGAAACCCGTTCAACAAATCTGTTATTGAAATATCTTGATCGGGACTTCGGAAAAGAGTTGTAGCATAACCTAGCAAAACCTTTGGAGAATCTGAAAACTTGCCGGCCATTAGTTTGAAAATATTATCCACAAGTACTTTTTTCTCTCTTCCATTCAAAGCATCCAACTTGATACTGTTAATAACCACAATAGCCTCATCATAAAATCCTTGCTCCATTAAATTACTCATGATTGTTGAGAGAATTTCGAACTTGATTTCTATGTTGTTTTTCAACATGTAATGAATGATCTTGATGGATGCATCAGCCCCTTTAAAAGTCATCAAATAAAATAATACCGTCCTCATGATGTTTTGTACCCTAGATGATATCATCTCTTCTGCATTATCTAATACAAACACACTGTTCTCAATCTCAGTGCAATTTTGTTCGAACTTAGAAACCAAAATGTCCAAATACATATTGGAGTCCGCTAGATCCTTTCGCTTGATAGCCTGGAAGGTGAACATCCGAATGTTATCAAAACTAAAAAAGTAAAGCATTTTTTGCTTAAGTGTTTCGTTTGTGATTGGCTTAACCGTATCATGCCACTTAGCATTCAACTGTCCCGTTCGAACAATATACTTTTCAATTTCACTTCCTTTACTTAATTGGTACTGTAGTTGCCTGAGAATGGATAAATCTTCTGGTATAAAATTAATGTTTACCATGTAACTGTACATTTCAGCTTTTCTTGGAGTAGGAGTCATTGTCATAACTTTTTTAAACAATTCGGTGGGTACCACGATTGGATGAGTATTGACCACGTTTAATAGTGACATGTGGTTTAAGTATGTGCATAGCAAATCTATGGGCAGCTGGTCTTCTGTGTTCACTATCATCTCCATGATGTACAAAAATAGCTGTCTAAATCTTTCCGATTTAACATCTTCAAGCATCTCAATCACAGAAAGTTTTGGGAAATTGTTACTGTAAAGCCTTCTTAGACTAACAAGAACTGCCATCTTTATAGTGTCATTGGGTATACTATTAATGAGATATGCAATAAGCCGATGATCTCGTAGTAAGTTTTGTTCCACTATTTGTGCAACTTTGGTACAAAACCCATGGGCATCTTCAATACGTTGCACAGGAAGGCGGATTAACTCTCTATATTCTGATACAGATAGTCCAAGTATATCTTCCTTTGTCATACTGAATAGTGGGTTCTTGGAAGAGTTCGAACTCAGCTCCTGATAACCATTTCTCGAGAATATATTCTTACCAAACAGAGGTAAGAATGTTGATTTTAATACCAGCTTTTTAAATACTGGGACTTGACTGAAACCACGCACACCTGAAGAATGAATAGGAAATATTATGTATCCTGATGAGCCCCTTAGTATCCACTCCCGGGCCTTGGGTTTCATCATGTTTGGGATCTTTGAAGTATTTAGGATAAGAATCAAACTTTTCCTTTCTCCGCGAAGCAGCAGCTGCAAAAATCTGAGACCCAAAGAATACTAAGTTTGGTATTTTATTTCTATACGCTACATCAACGAACTAGATTCATAACTGGTTCTTGAAACTTCAGAGTCGGATCCTTCAAAATTATCCATCCGCATTTGGATTGTCTCTTTCCCAGCATTCCTGTAAAGCCTTCTTTGGTAGAAGTATAAAAAGTCAAAGATGCAAGTTCCAGCACTACCCAAAATATATGGAAGCTCTTTCATAAAAAATATCGATTTGTTATCTCCGTTCACAAACTCACAACTGGTAAGAATGGAGAATGTGTAAGTCAAGTTTCCAAGTAGTGCTGCTCCAAATAATATAGAATTGATTCCGTCTACTGATTTTCGTTGATAGTTCTTTAGTAGCTGGGGACACCGAGAGGCTATGTACACGACTGTACAACACCAAGCAAGAAATATTCCAAGCAGTTCCCCTCGAATCCCTACTGATGTATCATCAGCTCTCACGGTTAGTATCGGTAATGAATTAGCTATTCCAACTAAAGAAGCAGTGACGATAGTTTTCTGAACAGGGCTTGAACCTGTAGAATCATATTTTCCTGATGGTGAAAGTGAGGATGAATTTGAATCGATAACGGCATGATGACGAACGTGGACAGAGTTATCATCAGCATGAATAGAAGCCGAATCAAAAGCTTCAGGAGCAATTTCTAACGGGGTATAAACACCACCATGATGTTTTGGGTAGACACTGTTATAGTAATAGTACTGTGTACATAGCGTTATATCATTTAATATGAAGAATAAGCTCAAATAAAGCTGAAATTTCAATACCACGTCGTTAAGTAAACAACTTGAAAAGCTCAAAAAGTCACCCATAAACCACAACAACAAGAAAGTAGGAGATATTCCTTCGGCAGACTGGTTTCTGTAATTGGTAATGATTTGGGGTAACTGTGCAAATATCCAGCTAGCCAATGACAAAGAGCTGAAGCAATTGGAGACTAAGGACCAGCCTGAACAGTCTACCATGGGGAGATACTTTCAGTTTTTAGTTGCGTCTCTTATCAACGCGATGGTCAAGACACGAAGTGTATAGCTCGGATTCGGGGTGAACAGCTATGTGATACCCTAAAGTCTTAAATAGGAACTTATACAGTACCGTATACTTAGAACTGAAGTACTGATTAGTAGTATAAGACATCCTCATGCACCACTGTGCTTAAGCCATAATTTATATCTGAAATCTTTAGTCTCTACCATCCTCTGCTTCAAGAACATCCTGAGCATCTCAGGTGAAAGGAGTCAAGCAGCAGATATCATCCAATATATCATACACCTTGACTTTGTAATCCCAAAGAATGCCACCTGCAAGTTACTTTCTTTTGATCACGTGACCGGGATGGATCGCACTGTGCCAAACCGCGAACGTCGAGAGGACGATGATCATCACTAGCCATACCAAAAGTGGATCCTCGTACCTGGCAGAAGCCATATTTATTTTGTCATCAAACAACGGCCATCCAGAAGTATTCCTGTATTCTCGTACATAGATACTATCAAAACATTTATTTTTGGTTTCCTGTACAGATAAATTGCTAGGAAATGAGTACACATAATGAAGTCAAAGCTTCCGGAAGCGCTTCACCTGACAGTAAAGGAATGTCTAGGACTCCTACTTCTTGGGATCCTGAGGATGATATTCTCTTGATGCACTTGAAAGATCAACAGAAGTTAGGTTGGAAAGCTATTGCCAGTCATTTTCAAAATAGAACCCCCAATGCTTGTCAGTTCAGATGGAGACGATTAAAACTGGGAAACTTAAAAAATCCTCCCAAATCAGCATCCTCTTTGGGTCCTGCAGCGACAGTGACAGAGTCATTTAAGTCTGTTGATAACAATCCAAGTGACCAAGGACACAAGAAACAAAAAAAGTATGCCTTCCCCAATACCAAGGCTGGGCACCACCATGGCACTGGATTTCCAAGTGCCTACACGCCTATTCCTGCTTCATCTTTCCCTGTGTATGATAACAATGTCGGCAATGCTCTTGCGGGCTTGAATGCATTATCTAACAACACTTCGACTATGTCTTCACCAATGCCGATATCTAATAACTCCCCTGTTTCGAATACTGAGGGTCACAACTCCCCAGCTGTTCCTCCGCAGACTACAAATAACTATGAGCACTCTCCCAATTCAGAGCTTTCTTTGGATCCTACTCACCATGGAGGTGTACCTACAGATGGAGGGGGTTATTATGCTGATATCTCTGTGGACCCCACTATGAACTTACCACACCATCAACCACATCCGCATCCTAGCTCTGGAATCACTCCCCGAAACTCTACATCAGGACCTTCTTCTACTTCTAGTGGGAGCGGTATAGGTGCTTCTTCAAGTGGAACTCCTACTATTCAACACAATAATTCTATCATTCAAATTGTTAAGGGTGGTGACGACCGTAACCTGATCTCATCGGCCAGAGATAGTATATCTTCACTTCCCTCAAAGTCTATGAATATCCCTCATCATCAACAGAACAGTACGGCATTGGCACATTTGCCCATTATTTTTGGGTCGAATGGCAGTATTAGTGGGCCATCAAGAAACTCAAGTATCTCACATTCCACGACTGTGCCGAGCTTAAGGAATGGCAGTATAGTTGGAGCCTCTCTGGGATACTTTTCTCGATCTGGATCGGTGGTTATTCCGTTGTCTGAGAAAAAGGACGAACTCAAGGCTATAAGAAAACTTGATAAACATCGGAAAGCTGCCAACAAAGATGCTAAGCGTAAGAAAGGAGTTAAAGAGCAAGTATTAAAGTTACCTTGGAGTATGGAAGAAGACGAACTACTTATTAACAGACGTAATCGGGAACTTTCGTTCGCAGAATTGTCTATACTTTTACCTCAACGTACAGAAGGAGAAATTTGGGCCCGGATTGATTACCTAGAGAAATTAAGAAATGGATCTCGCTCCAGTGTAGCTAGGGAAAGAAGAAGAAGACAATCATCTATTGGTTTGGATGATGTTGAAGACTTTTATATGAGTGATATCGGTGTCGTGACGGAAGACGATGATGATGACGAGGTGTTGTTGGAGGTGGAGGATATACCTCAAGCCCATAGACGTGGACTAAAAAGGCGAGCAAGCTCGGCGGTGAATCCACTTACTGTGAATCACTAGTGTTTATTACTTCAATTCCTTGTCCTTCTTGTGTAACGTTTTGTAATTATATTGTCTTATTAACAAAAATTTAATTTAAGGGATCTCTTGCTTCAAGCTTCTAATAATTAGTAAAGCTTTAAATCTCCAGTAATTTGATCTAAAACTACTTTAGGGGCTGGTCCGAGGCCTAATACTGTTGCTGACCCAGATTCCACTTGGGTTCTACCTGCATCATGGACTATATAACAATTTACTCCGAGTGAAATGGCCTGCGCAAATAAAGTATCCATCCCCTCTTGGTCAGGAACTTGAAGGGTGATTTTAGCTTGTCCATTACCGTATTCCCATCTTGTAAGCATCTCAGGATTATAAGCTGGAGACTGAGGATTACTCATTTTTTTGTATAACGCTAGGGTTGCATGAGAACATTGAGCAGCACCTTTTCCTTTCCCCATTTTTAAGTCTTGGCGAACCACTAAGGTCATTCTAACCTCACCGCTTATTTGGTTCAATTCTGAAGAATCAACATCGACGCCTTCATCCTCTTCCTCAGTTTCTTCTTCAGTTTCGTCTAAAATTGTGAATGAGCATTTACTTCGGTTAGTAGAGTAACAACCACGCTTAGCTAAAAGCCAACTCAGAAATAATCCTGTTATGAAGCTCACAGCAACCACTGAAATAAATCCGACAGTTCTGCTCATCTCAAATGCATTTGATTTTTCTGACCTTTGATTACGATGCGGAACTTAAAGCTCAAAGATCCAAGTTACATTATGGTCCTACATAAATAGTTTACATATTATCTCCAGAAGCTGTCTGACTTTATCATTGGAAGTATTGTATGTGATCAGGTCGATATTAGCGTTGGTGTCTAAAATAGCTAGACTGTACTTATTCAACTTAATCTCATACTTACTGAAATTGAGAAGTATGATGTCGTCTTGAATGGTTGTGTCGAGCCTAAAAGTGTTGAAATTGCCCAATAGTTTGTTCATAGTGACTAACCAATGCCCAAGTATGGAGTGGTCATTAACCGCGTCTTGATTGCCTGTAACATTTTTAGCTATCGTTTGTTGCAATTCCTTCAATTTAGATTCCAATTCCTTGATATAAGACTCTTTTACGTTTGAGTGTCCTTTCACAACCTCAATCTGCTCATTTGTCTCTTTCAATGTCATGTCTTGGCTGTCTCTGTCATTTTGTTGACTATCAATGTAATTTAGAATAGCATTATCGTTGTCACTTTTATGTAACTTGGACATATCCATGTTGTTTAATAGCAGATTATAGGTACCAATGTCCTCTTTTTCAAACTCAGATTCCATCAATGATATCTCTACGGTTAATGTGTTAAGTTTGCTTAACTGTGAAGCTTGCATTTTGTACAAGTGTAACAACTGGGCCGTTGTCCCTTCGATTTCATTCTGCTTCAAGACCACAGAATTCTCAAGACCTTCCAAAGTGGCCTTAACTTGTCTATTACCTTTTTCCATATCACCGAAGTCATGTTGCTCTTCGTTTAAAACTATTCTTAAAAACTTATCCCTGGCTTCTTGTTCCAAATAGGTAAACTTCAATCTCTCAAAGCGCTCCTTCAGTCTGTTGAACTCGTTTTCAATGGTTACAGGAGTGATAATTTTCCTTATTCCATCCACGCCAGCCCTAAACTCGCTCTTTGAATTGTACAAAGATATGTTCTGATCTAATTCAAGCATCCCTGTTGTTAAATCAAAACAAACGTTTTCGCGTCTTCACAAATATTGTTTCTCATCTCACGTTAAAAAACCTTGATACCAAATCTCCTGATCAAAGAGGGGTCCCCCCCAACTACATTCACTGAGTGTGCTTGCGGCTACTAATATATATTCACTGAAAATAATTTCAATTAATTCTTACCCATACATCAACTGTTTTTCTCCTTCACAAACAAACAAATAATGCAGAAACAAATCCAATATTTTTTTTGCTATTCTAATCATCTACTATTCTGATCATTTGCTAATTCCAACATCCTTCACCTTCTTAATTTCCTCACTTAAAACCACCGGAACTTCCACTGCCTCGTGTTCCAAAATTGAATTTGAAGGTCTGACTTTTGAACCTTCCCTGCTTCTATCACTTGGTGTCATAACCAAATCGTTGAAGTTCAACTTAGCATCATCATCAAGGTCATCAGCCGTTTCGTTCCATTCTAACAACTCCTTTTCATGTTCTCTTTCAATTGCGTATTCGACAGCGTCCAAAACAGTGTCAACAAGTTTCTTTGGCTTATACTTTGGCACGGTACCCTCTTGATAAACACCAGTTTTCACCAAAATGGAGTGCCATGAAACGTCATGGGAATTTGCAAATCTTATATCGCTTTCTGGAGTATCGCCGACGAAGTAAACTGTTGAAGCAGGAGGTAACTCTAAAGTAATAGACTCGGATTTTTCAACCGCCAATTTCTTAGCCTGCTTCTTCAAGTCCTTTAGTTCGAGGTCATCATCTTCAGATTCTGATTCTGAATAGTTGTAACTTTCTAGTTTCTGCTGATTAATAATTTCTTCACCTCTCTCGTTGATCAAAATATCTGCATCTTCTGCATTTGGGTCATTGATAGACAATTTCTTTAAATGTTCATCCAAGACTCCTTTTCTCCATTTAGTCAAAATCTTGTTCGCAAATTGAAAAGTACCCTTTTGTGGTTTACCAAATCTGTTGACTTTCAACTCCTTGCCGGTATGTTCTCTGTACAAAGCAGCAATTGATACCTGCAAGGCCCCCATCCCATATCTTGAAAGCTTGTAGTTAGTAGCCCAAATAAAATCTGAATGTGCAAAGTAAATGGATGGCCCCTCGTCAAATGTTTTCGACTCAGTACTCATAACACCCTTTTTGCTCAATAACAATTCTAAGATAATCTGTTGGTCGGCTGCCCAATTTCTAGAATCAGCAAATACCAAAATAGCATCAATACTGATCTTTGAAAAATCTGCATCCTTGCAGCACTTTAATTCGTCTTCAGTAAGATCATGGTAAGGCGAAACCGCTGGATTCCATTTCATCACATCCAATGGAGTATAGACATTTTTGAAACCGTAAGATTCAGCAACATTTCTGCAAACATTTCCAACACCCCCCACAACAAGCACCGTTTCATACACACCTACCAAATCTTTCATGGGAGTATGACCTTGAATTATTTGGTCAGGAGTAATAGTACAATCCAATCTCCTTGACAAATCTTCAGATCTAGCGCTTTCTGGCTTACCGCCCCCATTGGTTACAAATAAATAAGGAACTTTTATGTTATATTTGTTTTCCCCATTTAATAACTTCAAGGCTTTAACGGCTTGTGGAATTGTGTCTGGACCTCTCAAAATAACGCCATCTATGTCAAAGCAAAACGCATAAGAAGCCACTCTAACATGATCAACTATCGCTTTCTTCTTTCTCTTAATAATTGAAGAGTTTCTTGACAATTTAGCCAAAGAATCCACCTTTCTCAAATTTTGAGAAGATGACTTGTTCAAAGAAGTTGTTGAAGATAACTTTGTCAAGCCAGTTTGCCATTGGTTCAAGTCTGACAACGACAAAGAACTAACCCTGTGCTTTCTCAAGGTGGGCTGTAATTCATCGATTCCATCGTTATTTAGATAACTTTGGAAACCAGGAGACTTCTCCACGGTAACTGAAGAGGTGTTTGAAACTGTATCTGGGGAATCCCTTGACATGATCAATTCGAAATGTAAAAATAAATTTCAGACAGCAAGAGGGGGGGCTATCATGGGCTTTATAAATCCTCGAGCATCTGAGTACTAATTGTGCTGCGCACGTCTGATTGCTACTGTGTGGGCGCGAACACTATAACCTGGTGGTTACTGCACGAAGAAATTGCGTTAGCTTGCGCGTTGATAACTCCCTGCTCGAAACTCATAACCATTGTAAAGTCATGATGTATCAAAAGACTCCTGGGCTTCTAGTAAGAGTTGCTACAAGCACGACTAATTTACGATGGTATTAATTCGAAGCAAGAAATGCTTCAATCCACTGACGATTACTTAAAGAACCCGGCTTGAGCGTACGAGATGATCTGGGCCTTGTTGATTGCAAGGGTCTTATTTTCTAAGGTCAGGTCATTTTACCGGTGTTATAGAATTCGCCGCAATTCCAAATTGCTTTCGATGACATCACTCTACACCATCCAAAAATATGACCGTCACACACTTGTATTATTTGTGTCTTAGCATCGACTCCTCTTCAGGGCCATCCGTAGTTTCTATTTCCTTCTCTTCCTGTCATATCCTACCCTTATTCCACACGTATGTCACGTGTCTAAGGTTGACCGTCCAATAGAAATAGATTTTTGTGTTTACACTACCCGCGCTCTCTTCGGAAAAGTTTTCTCAAACCTAAGACATATCAAAATATTGTATCTTGTATCTTACAACCTTCTTACGTACCATGGCCCAAATTGCATTATCCGACGAATCGAAGGAAAGAATCTCTACTTTGTTGGACTATTCCAGAACCATTAGTCACTACGGATTTATCCCTTTTATCCTCTACTTAGGCTGGTCCGCAACCCCAAGCAAGCCCAGCTTGTTTAGCTTGTTGTCTCCATTCCCATCTGCTTAATTGGATTTAATAGCGTTTTATCATAAATATATACAATCTGTACATAATACTTATAGACCGTGAACTTGCAAATTTTGTCTCTCTTTGTCGCCTTAGTCGTCTTGTACCACATCGCACTCATTTATATTTGTAATATCTTCTTCCACAGCAATCAGTTTTTCAATGTTCTGTTAGATGAACACTCTTCAAATAGACTCCATTTCAGGTTTAGTCGCCGGTCTTAGCACTACTCTTATAACACACCCTTTGGATTTGATCAAGGTTAGGCTTCAATTATCGACTTCAAATCAGCCTTTAAGGCACATACTACAGAACATTTCAAAAAACCTGCAGTCATCCAAGCATTATATTCTATCCGAGCTCTACAAAGGTCTTTCACCTAATATAATTGGAAACATCACGGGTTGGTCTTTGTATTTCACCCTTTATGAGCAATTTAAGACAAGCTTCAGCCAGTCTCCTAATACAATCAAATATTTCAGTGCATCAACGGTTTCAGGACTTGTTACTTCCTTACTTACAAATCCAGTATGGGTAATTAAGACCCGCCTTCTTAGTGAAAAGAGCCGATATCTGTCTATGGCTGATGCAATCAGAAAAATCTATACTGAAGAAGGTGTGAAGACGTTCTGGAAGGGTTCTGTTCCCTCACTCTTTCTGGTATTCCAGAACAGTTTACAATTCACAGTGTATGACCACCTCAAGAATCTGAAACTACTAGATAACCTCAAGAATGATCATGAAATCCAGTATTACTTCACCGCCTCGTCAATTTCTAAATTCACGGCCATGTTGGTAATGTACCCTTTCCAAGTTGTGAGATCAAACCTTCAAAAGTTTGATTCTACTAACATATACAACGAATTACGGTACCTTTATGGTACAAACGGATTTTATAAAGGGTTTACTGTCAGCTTACTCAAAGTACTACCTGCGACTTCTATAACCCTCATCACATACGAATCAATGAGAAACTGGCTAACGCGTATCAACGAAAAAATATAATTTAGTTAATACATTCGTTGCTCAGACTACTTATTGTGTAAGTATATTCCTTGATTATGAAGAGGAGTCTCAGTATACTGGGAGATATTGACGATCATGGCATCTCTAGCCAAATGAAAAAGCAAGAGCAGAAGGATTGCCAGTCACAAGATGAACTTGGAAATGAAAGCGATATCGAAGGCGAGTCTTTATTTGATGGTGAAAACTGGCTACCACCACCATTACGCGATATTAGTGACAACTTCAACTCCATAATGTATTCCTCACATATACCTAAAGTGGGTGATACACCACTAATTCTCGGTGTTGATGAAGCTGGGAGAGGACCTATTTTGGGCCCAATGGTATACACTGTTGCTTACTGCAAGGAAGACTACGAAAGTGACCTCAAGAGGTACGGCTTTGATGACTCCAAGGTTTTGAAACATGAATTTAGACTCGGGTTATATAAACTTATCGACCAGAAAGATCATGAACTCAATCAAAAAATTGGCTATTTGAGTTCTATTTTGTCCGCAAAAGATATCTCCAGCGGTATGTTGAGAGTTCATCAAGGGAATTATAACTTGAATGAGCAGGCACACGATGCAACCATCAATTTGATTAAAGCTTTGGTGGAAAAAAAGGTTAACATCAAACGTGTTTACGTCGATACAGTTGGACCCCCAGAGAAGTATCAAGCAAAGCTTTCAAATATATTTAGCAGCTATAATATCAAGTTCACCGTCACAAAGAAAGCTGACAGTTTGTACCCAATAGTGAGCTGTGCATCCATCATTGCAAAGGTAACGAGAGACTTGTACTTGCATTATTATAATCAAAAAGATCCACTCTTACGGGGAACTGAAATGGGCTCGGGATATCCATCAGATCCTCGTACAAGCAGATGGTTAAAGGAACAAATCAATCCTGTATTTGGTTGGCATTTTGGTGTTTTACGTTATTCCTGGCAAACCGCAAAAGACAGCCTAGACAAAAATAAGGCAGTTGAAGTAGATTACGAGGCAGAAACGTTTACTCAGCCCTTCAAGTTTGGCTTGAGCTGTTTTGGAACCAAAACAGAGATATAGTGAAGACAACATGTAAATTTATGATTCACGATCTCCTTCAGAATACACGCGAAAATAGTAGAGCTGATGGAACGAGCAACGAGTCGGGCAAAGAAAACTCCGGGTCGGAGGCTGAGGTGAGAACCTGCCTATTCGCACCAAAATTCATCTCTGGACGGGCAGGATCTTTTCGGAGAATTAATTCCGCTCTTGAATAATTTCGCGGCCGGAAGACATTGATGCGATTAAGGATAAAGCGAAAAATACCGAACATAAACCAGAAATATTTTTCGTTCAGATTGTTATTAATAGTTAAACATGTCATTAATTGGAAGCACCAGAACTATGGCATTGAGAATTGGTTCCATTCCAGTGACCAAGAGATTCATGATCTCCTCTTACCAATTAGCTAGATTCTACTCGTCCAAATTTCCCAATCACGTTGTCATTAATATGCCTGCTTTGTCTCCAACTATGACCCAAGGTAATATCATCACTTGGCACAAGAAGGCAGGTGATCAGTTAGAACCAGGTGAAAGCATTGCTGAGATTGAAACTGATAAAGCCTCCATGGACTTCGAATTTCAAGAAGACGGCTATTTGGCTAAAATTTTGATGGGTGACGGTTCTCAAGATATTCCTGTTGGTAAACCAATTGCTGTCTATGTTGAAGATGCAGACTCCGTTGCTGCCTTTGAAGCCTTCACTGCTGCGGATGCTGGTGATGCTCCAGCTCCTGCTGCTTCCAAGGGAGAAGCTAAGACTGAGGAAGCTGCCCCAAGCAGTGAATCAACTTCAAAAGCTGACAAGCCAGTATCCACATCTGTTAGAACACCAACTGACAGGATAATTGCATCTCCATTGGCTAAAACTATTGCCTTAGAAAAGGGTATTTCTTTGAAGGGTATTCAAGGTTCTGGTCCAAATGGAAGAATTGTTGCTAAAGACTTGGAAAATGTTGAAGCTCCTGCTGCTGCTTCTGCAACTGCTACTGCAGCCACTTCTACTTACGAGGACATTCCTATTACGGGAATGAGAAAGACTATTGCCTCTAGATTGTTGCAGTCTACCCAAGATATTCCTTCTTATTTTGTTTCCTCGACAATCTCTGTTACCAAGTTATTGAAGTTAAGACTGTCTCTAAACGCTACAGCAAACGATAGATACAGATTGTCTGTCAATGACTTATTAATTAAGGCTATTGCTGTTGCTGCTTTGAAGGTTCCCCAAGTTAACTCTGCCTGGTTGCCAGGCGAAGGGATTATTAGACAATATTCCAATGTGGATGTTTCTGTCGCTGTTGCAACTCCAACAGGTTTGATCACTCCTATTGTTAAGCATGCTCATTCTAAAGGGTTATCTAGTATTTCTACTGAGGTGAAAGACTTAGGTAAAAGAGCGAAGGCTGGTAAATTGAGTCCAGAAGAATACCAGGGTGGTACTATCTGTATCTCCAACTTGGGTATGAATCATGCTGTTAATAACTTTACTTCAATCATTAACCCTCCTCAATCTACTATTTTGGCTATTGGTACCGTTGATAAGAAAGCTGTTCCTTCCGATGTCAATGAGCAAGGTTTTGTTTTTGAAGATGTGATCACCATCACCGGTACTTTTGACCACAGAGTTACCGATGGGGCTTTAGGGGGTGAGTTCATGAAGGAATTGAAGCAAGTTATCGAAAACCCATTGGAAATGTTACTTTAATTTCGTTATATATTCTGTTCATAGAATCTTAAAACCAATATAAAAGTGGATTCGTCACAAGTTTACAAGCAGGACAATAAATTCCTGCTAGATGCGTGTTTTCATGGTTTATGTCTTGTATGTTCAAAGGACTGCTTTACCAAACAAATATTGTACCCTTATTAAACTGAATCTAGTGTATGTCTTAACGTAGCACCAGTTTATTCTCAACCGGTTGCCAAAAACAAATTTGACTCCCAACTACATTAAGAATTCCACATTTTTGGACAGTTAAGGTATTAATAGCAAGTGAAACTAGTTACTTTTTGGCTTCAAAGTGTGAGGTAATAGTTGGAAGCATAACCAGTAGTAGAAAACCCTAGGCTGATACTAGAAGTTATTTCAAAATTGTTCAGATCTGAAAGACAATAAATTCAGGGAGACAAATCTTGCGAGGGATTATATCTATCCGGGGGTAGCTCCAGTGTGTATGGGTCAAAGTCAACGCACATCCCTTCTAACTAACATACACTCCCGTTATCGAATCTGATAACCATGTCAACTTAACGAATTCCAACTTACTCCTTCGATTATTCCGCTGGAACCTTAATCTGCCTTACCTTAGGCTACATTGGTCATCGCTTTGGTGGACGACAAGCAGGGCCGCCGATATCTTGATAATCAGTTTCCTCTATTGTTGTTAAATAGTAATAATATTTGTTAAATGTTCAAGGATCCGGTTCCTTTGTCTGATAACCTATATCTTTTCCTTCTTTTATAAGCTCTAGTTTCCTCCAGGTTGAAATATGTTATAAAGCACTCTTCTCTTCAACAGAGTAGAAATCCAACATTACTAATTTTCTTCAAAGCTAAATCATTTAATGTCGACCTTGTTTCCACAACAACATCAAGACAATTAAAAATGAGATTTGCAAAAATTGCAGATTCCAAAGATATTTGAAAAGCAAACTTGAATATTTTT